AGTACCTACATCACAAGTCATCTATCAAGTTAAACAGTCCATTAATATAAGATTCATCCGAATACTAATGCAGCAGTACAGGTAAATCCTCTTATATTTAAGAAACCTGTGCTCATACCAGAACTAGGAAATATGAATTCAATCTTTAAGTTAGAAGACACGATCATTTTAAGGGAAAAAACTTGAACAGACCTTACTTTTGCAATCAACATTTTATTCTCAACCAAAGAAAAGCAAACCCACAGACTATGAATGCTGTACAGAACAAACATAACCAGATTGCCTAGAAAAAGATATACTGTTTATGCTCTGACTGATTGGATATAAGAAAATAAACGATAAGATGTTTAGTATACCCCTCTTCAAGGCATTCAAATTCCAGAGTGGCTTTGTCAGTCTCGATTTCACCTATGACATCACCCACTTCAATCTGTTGAACAGGAAACGAGGAGAATCAATACAAGCGAGTGCATAAAAACCTAATTCATTGTGGTGAAATTGCAATGCTAATTAACTTTCCAGTCTTGGTCTCTTGGGTCACCAGAAACTAACCTTGTCACCCTCTTTTTTCCACCATTTGGCAATGTTACCTTGGTTCTGCATATCAATAAACCAAAAAATGATTCAGGGCCTCCAGCCTCAGGACAGGAAAGGTGGACGCGTTCTCATCCAAAACAAGCTAGTATAAAATATGGAGTTTCATACCATTGTAGGAGAAAGTGCTGGCATTTCTAAGACCACATGTGGGGGAAGATTTGATGCATTGGGCTGAATGGAACCTCTTTGTTTTGTGCTTTCTTCATGTTTCATCTCTTGAGGAGCTGATGTTTCCTCTTTACCAACACCTCCACCCTCTGCGGTAGCAGAAACATTTGGAATGTCATCTTCCTCCTCAACCTTGATTACAATTAAATAAGATAAGATTAGTTTCTTATCTATCAAACTTATGTAGCAAGATGCTGACTGAAAACACGAAGTATCATGTACGGTACATGACATTAAACCTCAGTAGGACGTAATATTTAGAGGGAAAGGCAGTACGAAGATTGGATTTTGGTCATCTTTTCCTAGAATAAATATTAATAAAGAAACACTATAGATCTCTATGATTCATAGTCTACCAGGAAGTAAACCGAGGAAACAAAAGAAAATGAAGAGGCCAAGAGCAGACTAATTAAGAAAAGGGATTCCTAATGAATGTAGGTTGATGCCTGCATCACCTGTTGCGAGATCATATTGTTATTGCAATCATTGTGCTTACCATTATTGCAATCGCTTCATTAACAGGAATATCCTTTGATCCTTCAGTTGCTATAATCTTGGCCAGATACCTACAGAACCCATGCTTCATTGTAAGCCAATTGATATTTGCATATATTTGTAATGAGTCAGATATTTGAAATACCAAGGTAACGTGGAACAAAAAATATATAAAACTAAAAGCGACAAAATCATGAACCGGCTTTTCTAGAATTACCCTTCCTCTTGACTCTCCAATTCTACAGTGGCTTTGTCTGTCTCTATCTCACATAGTACATCGCCCACCTCTACCTGTCAGGAAGAACAAATATATAAACCTGTTACTGAGAAATTCCACATTCTGAATTTTCTTTGTCAACCAAAAATAAGAAATACCCACCTTGTCACCTTCTTTCTTTATCCATTTTGCAATATTTCCATGACTCTGCAAAAGGACAACAAACATTAAAAAATTGTCTTCTCGCAGGGAGGCCAAGTTTTTTTACAAGACTGAAGTCCCAATTCCTACCATCGTAGGAGACAAGGCTGGCATTGTAAGAACCGTCTGCGCGGTAGGTCCTACAACCGAAAGACAAGTAATATTAAGAGAAGAATCTTGTATAATCGATTGCATCTCTTGTAGCTATATTTAGGAGAAGATGAAAGCACAACACATCAGAGAAAAGAGTGTTATTCTTATCACCCACTTAATACTTGTGTCTTGATAATTTTTATAGGTAAATCAATTTTTACAATTGCCTGTAGGTTGATTTATCATGTATGAAAGTCCCATAAATGGACTGCTTTAGTAATTCTATATTGGAATTGCTTCTTAGACTAATTTGTGAAGATCCTTATTCATCAGATTTTATAACAATAGCAATCTATGAATACCTGTAGATGAAAAGTTTTGCACGCCACCAAATCTCAACTACAAGAAAACAATGAATGTGAGAAACAGGGTTAGATGAAAGTGAGAAAAAAAACAGTACTAAATGCAAAACTTACAATGGGCTTTGGAGGACTATCATCCATTCTTGTAATCATGTCTATCGAGGCAGACCTGGAAATTTAGATCAGACAAAATCTGAAAAACGGATAAACACATATTCCCCCAATTTTCTTACAAAACGAGTTCAGTGGATACTAGTGAGCTATGAATAACACATAGGAATGATTTCAATAACCATCTTAGTTTCTACTTTAAACACAATCTTAATCCTTGAGTGCCTCAATTTTTAGGAAAGAGAAGCCATCTTTGTATAGACAAACACAAACAACTCGCCTAGCCAAAAAGAGATCATAAAATATAATGTACAGGATGGAGGCAAACCTAGAGAAAAGGATAAAACAGAAACTGGAATAGACTGTTCATGCCGTTCTTAACTTAATATTGATTCTATGATTCTACAACAGTTTGGATAAACCTTTTCTGCACCCAACATCAATTACCAAGATCTGTGGTATGGAACACATACCTCACACCATTACTGCTACGAATCTTGTCGTCCAAGTAGTTTCGTCCATTAGAAAATCTGAATTAGAGAGTTCATGGTCAAATGTATTGCAAAGCAAAAGAAATCACACCAGTTTTCGCTTCCATGAGCAGAAATATAACCCAAAAAAAGTTCCAGTTTGTTGTTCAGGGAGTTGATAACCCAACATCTATCAATGCAACTCATTGCAATCTACTAAACATGAACAAAAGGCTAGGTCAATTCAACTGTTTGAAGAAAATACCGCTAGCTGATTACTTTCACCAGTAATGTTTTTGTAACCCAATGCCAGCTAAAACAGGAATTCTACCTAACATACAATTGTGCTCACTGTGGTTTCCACAAAGGAGGAAACAAAAGTGGACACAGAACAACCAATCACCGAGGGAGTGAGCCAGAGTATTATTTTCAGTGAAAACAACTATTCAACAGCTCTAAGCGTTTCTTCCATAATAGTTCGATTGGTTCTAGCAAACACAGATTCGCATTCTTTCCATCCATCGAATTGCCCTCGTTCAAAATCAAACTCTTAAACATCACTATACACTACGCAATAAGAACTCCGAAAAGTCAATGGAGAATTGTCCAGAAAGAAAAAATGAAATCGAACTGAGAGACTAGTTCTCTTATCGAATTGGCAAGGATCACAAATGAAAGAGAAACATCAAAACATAGAAAGAGGCGAGACGAGAGAGAGAAGACGCGTGAACAGAATAAGCGTACCGAGTATGGAATCCGGAGACAGGAGCGAGAAGACGAGCTCTGAGGAGTGAAGAAGTGCGGGCGATCGCTGCGTGCCGGAGGAGCGGAAGCACCATGGCAGCACTTCGAGGAAGAGGAGGGCTCGGCAAATCGGAAATGGGAGAGACGATGAAATCGAATTTCTAACTTTAATTTTGGTCAGATCGCAGCGGCGGCACGAAATGATCCTCGTCAGTCGTCACGAAAGCGTTCAGAATTCAGATGCGGCCCGGTCCGGATGGAATACCAGTAATGGCTACTGAACCGAAAAAACACATCGAACCACACATTTAGATCCTTTGAATGCTTGGTTTGAGTGGTTAACCATAAAATTGATTAGGCCTTTTAACAACAAAAAACAAAACAAAAATTGATTAAATCTCTCAAAAATTGTAAACATGACCAGTAAAGTAAGAGGCCAATGTTTAGAGTTGGATCATCAGATAACGTTTGTTTATAAAAAATAATACTTCTACACAAAATGATGTGTGGGTGGTTGTGGAAATAAACAACAATTGCTTCATTTCGAATTCATTTAACTTTTTAAATTTCCGTTAAATCTAGAACATGAGGAGAAATGGGTACTATGGTAAATTAACAAAACTGGTAGACAGCTGGACAGAAACGGTTTCGAAAAAGTGATTATTCTCCTCGCCGCATTAAATCATCCTCTCTCTCCCCAATATGCACGTGGCCTCAATCGTACGGTCACGGAGACAATTTTAACGAGAAACTTTTTTCTATTTTTCTGCGTAATAGTAGTACTAAGTACTAACCATAAAAACTAAAAGTTGTATTATTTATTTATTTCTAAAAAAAACACAGCAAAAGGCCGTTAGCAGGAAAGGGTAGTATTGACATTTCGTGAGACATACTTTTTCTCTCCTATTTCTTTGCTTTTTCTCAGTCTCTACGTATACACACTCTCCTCCCTCCCAACACACCCACTATAAAAGCTAAAAACAATTTTTTGTCTTCTTCTTAAACCTCCTGATCAACGAAACGAAGAAGAAGAAGAAATCGAAGGTACTAGAATCGCTTTGGTTATACATTATCGGTTAGTTTATACATTATCGCTTTGCTTTCGATTTTTTTCTCACTGTTTTTCATGAAATCGTTGCAAAGGCGGTAATCGATTTATGTTTCTCATGGTTTTGCTGTGCGCTTTTTGTGTGTTGAAGAATATTTCGTTATTTTTGTCTCTCAGTTTTTGAAATCCTCTGTTTTTGTGTCGAAGGAAATTTGGCGACGAAATTTGTATGTGTCTTCCTTGCGAGATCCTGAGATATTGCTTGCTTACTTGAGCTTTTTTTCCTTGGTTGATGTTGTTTCGAAGCTGAAACTGGATGTTGCTGATAATGATTTTGTGTGTGTCGATGGTTGATTTGAGATGGTTGGGTGATGTTGTTTCCATGGAAGTTGATGATAATGATTTTGATTCGATCTCATGATTTTAACGACTTGCTGATAATTTATAACTTTTTTGATTTTGATTCCGACTTCCAATTTGTTGTGATGTTGCAGATGGCGTGTGTTGCCTGCAAAAGTCAGAAAACCAAGTGTATCGCAGATTGTATATTCGCAGCAAGTTTTGGCGGAGACAATGCACCTAAGTTTGCCTCAATCAACCACTTCTGGGCCAGAGATCGCCTCGGGAAGATGCTCAGTGCAGTACATGAGGACCAACGAGCTGACTTTGTTGACTCTCTGTTCGAGGAAGCTAGATATCGTTTGGACGACGGTGTTCACGGCAGCATTGGGGTTATCAACGCCTTGAAGGCTCGGGTGGCCAATCTGGAAGCTCAAAACGCTGCGCTGAAAGAAGAGAACGACCGTCTGGAGGCATTGAGCAGCCTTGGCAATCTCCCAAGACAGCAGCAACTGTCGAGTACTGTGACCTACACAACGGTCGTCTCCACAACGCAAATGGTCCATACTGCTTCCTCGTTGGGATTGGACTTGGCCATTTCCGGTCCGGGGATTCAACGTGTGTCCATTGCACTACCGACTGATCCTATCGACTACTTGAGTCCAACCAACGACGTGAGAATACAGCTTCCTCGGTCCTTTTCACTACCAGCTTCTGCCCTTTGACGTGTTGAATCAACTCGCCAGCAGGACCACGACCACGGGTTCGCAAAGCCTCCTGCCATATTATCCACCACAAGCCATTTTCACTCCGGGGGATCTGTGTCCTCTGCACCACCAATTGATCAGTCATTTCAATCACCAAGGCGTACTATCGACTTCTTATGTCAAATCAACAACCGGACCACCACCGGCCAAGACTCGCAAGCTTACCACAGTACCTCCTTCCCTCTTCAAAGGAGCATACGTCCTCGTCGTATGTCCCTTGAACCAACAACTGCTAGTGTCGGCTTCGTACGTCCAATCAACAACTCGACGTACTGAATCAAATCAACAACTAGACCACGGTTTCACTATATATTTTTATAATATAGATTTATGGAAACTTTTAAAACCTTATTAAAGTTAAATTATACATCAGATCACTGGTTCGACTATTTACAACAATTTATGAAGTCTTCCTATAAATTTCGAATGTGATGAGTGCAGGTTATGCTTGTCCAAAAAAAGCACATTTTATGCTAACTATGACTCTATGAGAATTGCCCTAAATGATAAATATTATTATCGTATAACAAAACTTTTCTGTTTATTTATAACCTCTTACAAATTTTATAAACAAATAACGATAACTATTATCGTCATAATTTTTCTTTGTCCTACCAAAACTCAACCAAACCTTTTTCTTTTGATGAATATAATAGCAAATCATTTGATTTTGATGTGATATCACTCGAACAAGATAAAACCAAAAGGTGATGTGATTCAGTTCTGTTTTATAGATGCTTATTATGGTTGTGTCTTATATTTCGGGTATATCCTTCATTTTCAAATTCATCTATAGGCTTTAGATTAGATTATTTGATTATTTACCCATTTAGGATCAAATTTGGATTTGTTTATATTTGTATACAAATAACAAATTCGTTTTTACCATTAGTCGATTGCTCTTTTAATTTTAAGCTATATTATGCAATGTCAAAAAAAAGATGAAAAAGCTATATTATGCTTTGGTCACTATGAGTGTAGAGCCTGTATTAAATTAATTTAATTAGGGTTTTTTGTATAATTGATGAGCTTTTTTTCCTCCTAAAACATGTGTTATTTTTCTTGCTAACTACAGTTTCATGTTTATGTTTTTTTTGTCAAAAATGCAATTTATTAAGCTTAAGAAATAGCAATTGCAAGCCAATCAACAATTTAATAGCCAACAGATTATAGATACACACACAAACACACACAAAAAGCCTAAACAAAAGTGGATTCCCTCTATTCCATTATATGGAAATTGTCGATAAGAATAGCAAATACTAAGTTGGACACAAATAAGTAAGACAATTAAGAGATCAGGGTGTTAAACGTGTTTGTTTTGGTTAAATTAACCTGTTAATCTTTTTGCGTTTAGGTTTCTGTCAGTGTTTTGAAAACCGGACCGGACCGGCCGGTTGAACCGATTAGGTCGCGAACCGGAGGCTTACCCGGTTTAGTTCATTACAGAAAACCAGAATGGTCAAAACCCTTAAAATCCAGTCAAAAACCGGTTAAAACCGGTGAAACCCGGGTTAAACCGGAGTCACCCAAACCCGATTTTTAATTTTGCAAGGTTTTCACGTTTAATTTTCAGTGTTTTTTGAAGTTGTCCTATGTTTTAAGTTGATAACTTTTATCTAATTTGATGACCGTGATCAAGTTAATATAAAAATTGATAAAGAAACAACAAAAATGGATTTTACAGAAACTTTGATATTCAGAAAAAGGTGAACGAGAAGTAAGAGAGAAGAAGGTGGCGGCGAGTGGCCACACTTTTGGAGAGAAAATAATATTTTAGGGTTTTGTCAATTAATTAATTGGCTGTATTTATTAAGGGCAGTGTAAGAAAAGGTAAAGTATATTGATTATTATATATAGTTGTGTATTGTATTTGTATGAGCCCGGTTGAACCGGTTAGACCGAATTTACCTATGACCCAAAAAAGTTTCGGTTCACTGTCCGGTTCGATTTTAAAAACACTTTCTGTTAAAATTTAAAAGTTAAAAAACTGAAGAAAAAAAAATTAGATTCATATCAAATTCAAAGAAAACAAACAATTAACAACAATAAAAGCCAATAATTGTTGACAAAAAAAGCCAATAATCTTATTATATAAAGTTGGATGCGCGCGACGTGGTTGCGACACGTAGGATTTTTATAAAATTTATGATTGCGACATGTGTCATTTTTAATGTTATGTCCGTTAAGATCGTGACATGTGTCTTAGAAAAAAGGAAAAAAATAATAATAATTAAAAAAATAGATAAAGGAAAAAAACGAAATTTTAATCTTTTATAGTTAAGAAAAAACAAATTATATTTGTCATATCCTAATAGAAAAAGGTTTCCCATTCATCAAATTTATATTATCCAAACACATATAATATTCAAATTAATGAAATAAATAAAATCATATTAGTACATAAAATAAGTTAGGTAAACTAAATTTCCTATAACTACATGGAATAAGTTACATGAACCCCTATAAAAAGAGAGTTAAAGTACTCTATATTAGTTGGATAGAAATCAAAATTATTGTCGATACATGTATCTAACTCTATATCGGTTGGATAGAAATCAAAATTATTGTCGTTACATGTATTTGATCCGGTGAAGACATGTTCATTGGAAAAATGTTAAACATATATAAAAACTAGAAAAAAAAAATAATAATAATATAAAAAAACCTAACTAATAGTGAAAATGAAAATTTATAATTGTCTGAGTCAAAAAAAAAATTGAGAAAGAAACAATATAAATAGAAAACTAACAAATTAATTATCAAGCAACTAACTTTTTTTTTGACATCATCAAGCAACTAACTAATATTAAGAAAATATAATGAACCGATATTCTAATTTTAAATAGTTTAATTTTCAATATTGTTTGGTAAAAAATTATTAAATAAAGATTTCATCAATTGAAATCTCTTAAATGGAATAATAAAGTTTTGTTGAATTAATTAATCAGTTGATCATATTTAGACATATATAAGTCTTTCTATGGATAAAAATAAAAATAAAACAAATTAATTCATTTTTCATATCATGAATTAAAAATAATATCAATTACAATAAAAACGTAAAAATGTTACCGATCTTATTTTATTTAAATATTTTTATCGAGTTTTTAATATTATTCTGTTTACTTTAAAATGATCAAATTAATTTGGTTTAATACTTTTCCATGATTTTATTACAAAATTTTAAAATAAACTCGCGTATACGCGAGTCTTAATCTAGTTACTATATAAAAAACATGCAAAGCTCCTGAAAATAACTCTCACATATGAACAAAACTAAACCGTCGACGAAAAAAAAAAGAACAAAACTAAACCATATGATAGTAAGGAAAAAATGGCAACCTGATTATTCTAAAATGGTAAGGAAAATTAAACTATTTATAATGAAAAGAGATTTAGGGTGTACACTAATTCTTATTTATTTTATATATATGATAATTATATAGCCAAATTTTGATCTGATTATCAAAAATAAATTGCCAAATAAATTATTTTATTAATGGTAATTTGGACTTTTCAATTGTAAGAGTTAATGAGAGAACTTTGTTTCACAAAATCACTTGGCAAATAATAGTATAGAGTAATGGATTTTTAATCGCTGATAAAATTATGCTCTTAATTTTTTTCCAAAATTTAGATGCCATAAGCCAATGTTTATTTTCGTATTATTAATACTTTTTGCATAGTTGTATGCATTAGTAAAAAAATTGTGAATGTGATACATACACTTTTTTAACAAATGACAATGACACCAATAGGAAAGTCTGCTCTAGATGGCGGAAGCACGATGTGACCATAGTCGTATTAAAATTTGGCATCAGAACAAGGATCAAAGGAATATCCTTTCCTACACCGTCCTTTGACTTGTGTAATTATCTCAACGTATGCACGATTTAATTCAAAACTACAGCGCAAAATCTCCATTTGTTTCTTCTTTTGCTAAATCTGAGATTTTGCAATCCCCATTAAATATACCCACCAAAATCTATCTGTCCAATTTCCAAAGTCAACTCCTTTTTTTGTTTTTGTTTTACTTTCTGTTCCTCTTCAGCTCTGGAAAACAAAAACAAAAACAACAAAAAATTATATATAAGGATCCGAATTGGCGTGGAAGAGATAAACACAACACATCGACCAAAGAGGGAAAAACAACAAATCAATCAAAATCGAATGGAGATTGAAGAAGCCAGCCGTGAAAGTGGGCATGTTGTGTGCGGATCATGGATTCGTCGGCCGAGGAAAGTAAACTGGGCCATAATCGCCAAAGCTGCTAAACGCCGTGGCTCAGCTGCTTCTCCTGCTCTCCTCAACATCTTCTCTTTCGATCCCATCACTACTTCTCTCTCCTCCTCTCCCTTGGTAAATTCTTCTCAACACCACTGATTTTTTTGAAAATTACTGTTTTCAAACGTATCGTATCGAGCTCCGGAATCTTATTGGGTTTTAGGTGAAATCTTAATTTGTTTCCTTGGATTGGGTAATTTGGGTTTTTTCTGAATCATGGGAGGAATCTAGGGTTTTTCGCTTTCACACTGATTCTGAGAAAACAGAACAAGCTCGTTTCTTTTGGTATTTACTTCGGTTGACTAATGAAACCAAAACAATTTTTTTTTTTATTCTTTGTTTGATCAAAGGCAACGCATACGCTTAAAGAGAGTGATGGTGATCCCGTGGCAATCTCAGTGCATCCTGGTGGAGATTATTTTGTTTGCTCAACCTCCAAAGGTGGCTGCAAGTACGTTTCTTCCTCTGATACAATATTTCTAAATTCGTTTGAGCTGGTATTTGTTAAAACTAGGATAGCTTCTCGATCTCGTCATGATAAGTAGACATCTATGACTAAAACTGAACATGGTATTGCTTCCTAGAGAACTGGAATGGACTTGCACCATTTTGGACACTATCTGCCTCCTTGTCTAGATGGTAAATGGAATTTATATGGCTTTCAGGTTGTTTGAGATTGTCGGAGGAACAAGAGTGACTACGATCTTAGCCAAAGAACTCCTTCCTCTGGAAAATGCTGGACTGCAAAAGTGTGTGGCCTTCAGCTTTGATGGGTCTAAATTAGCTGTTGGGGGAGTGGTAAGGATGGACCAAAACTGCTTTATAAGATTTTTCTTTTTTCATTCGTTGTTGCGATAATTTTTGCTGTAGCTTACTTACTATAAGCTATTTCCAGGATGGATGTCTCAGGATTATGGAGTGGCCAAACCTGAATGTGATTTTGGATGAGCCAAAGGCACACAAATCCATCCGGGATATGGATTTTAGGTAACGACCGGAATCTTATGTTCTTTTCAGTTTTGAGCATAATTGAGCTAGAAAAAAAAAGGGTCTTATGTAAAGATTTGGGACTTGGGTCATACAACAGAAATATAAGCTAATGGAGATTATGAAACAAAGCGGATCGTGTGCATCTCTCTCATATCTGCATCTTTTGTTGCAGTCTTGACTCAGAGTTCTTAGCCACAACATCAACTGATGGATCAGCTAGAATATGGAAAGCAGAAGATGGTTTTCCTTTGTCAACTTTGGAACGTAGTGGGGTATGTAATAGTGAGAGTTATAATGTGAATTTTCATCCCTATACTTCCAAACTAATAACTCTTTATAAAAACCTGCTTGAAGGATGAGTTTAATGTCGCTGGTTTTTTTTTGTGAATTCATGTGAACGCCAGTAACGTCTTCAAGATTCATATATGCTTCTGAGATATCCTGATTTTGATACGGTCATGTTTGCAGGATGAAAATATTGAACTTTGCCGGTTCTCCAAAGATGGAACAAAACCTTTTCTGTTTTGTGCTGCTCAGAGAGGTATATAATATAGCGACTCTTGACTCTTGAGTAAACCATTACAAGCAGCACTAGTGTTTTTAGTTTCGGAACAATAAATGAAAGTTTAAAACAATTTGGAATCAGGTGATATTCCTGTGGTCAATGTTTACGACATTAGTACATGGAAGAAGCTCGGGTTCAAGAAGCTGTCAAAGAAGACTGCTTCAACAATGGCAGTGAGCTTAGATGGAAAATATATTGCTTTGTAAGTGTTTCTTCATATACTTGATTGGTTTTAGCTTTCAGGCTTTTGATTGTACAAAGGCTTAAAACCTCACATGCTGCACCTTAATTTTTAGGGGTGGCAAAGATGGAGATGTATCTGTTGCTGAAGTCAAGACAATGGAAATCTACCACTACAGCAAGAGGCTACATCTTGGTCAGTCCATTGCTTCACTTGAGTTCTGCCCGAGTGAAAGGTATGTCGTTAAACAATTGAAAAAATCCTCTCATTACTGGGATTTGGATTAGCATTGTTTCTAGGGATGTTGATCTATCTTAATTGGTTCTTTTGTTAACTTGGGGATTAGGGTTATGTTGACAACTTCAAGCGAGTGGGGTGAGATGGTGACAAAACTGAGTGTACCAAAGGAGTGGAAAGGTGTGTTGCTCATCTCTTTCTTTCTGAGAATAGGGATTGGCACATATATAATTCACTCATTTCTGTTATCTGTGTTTGATGTGCAGAGTGGCAAATCTATGCACTGCTGTTTTGCTTGTTCATGGCATCAGTGATTGCTGCATACATATTCTTCGAGAACTCAGACTCGTTCTGGAGGCTACCAATGGGGAAGGATCAAAGAAGACCAAAGATTAGTCTTTTTGGAAGTTCTTCAACGCCAACTGAGGATCATCAAAAATGGAACTTGGACCTATAGAAGAGGATGCTGTAAAATCCAGGAGACCTTTTTCTTGTTTTTTTTTTTCTTTTAAAACTTGTTGCACGTTTTCTTTTCTAATGTTTCTTCAATTATCACTCTCAATATTCTGATTTTGTCTGACAACAACTCTTTTGATTCTGGAGTAAAATTTAAGTCGTTTTGCTGTTTTGGCGTCTTGAACAGTCTTCTTTGATTTCATTATTGATCAATTTACTGACTACTATTGTGAATAACGTATGGTGAAAAATCTAAATGTTGAGGGTAACAAGTTGAAGTGCAGAGAAGATCTTTTATAGACATGATGACGTAATGTGTGGAGTGGTCCCATTGGCTTTTAGAAGCGAGAAAATATCAAAAACAGTAACACTTTCGAACTTGGTTCAAATGCAAATAGGGAAAATGGGAAATATCTAACAAATATTCTGTAAAATTATTCTACAAAACAAAAACTTGAACGGTGGTGATGTGTGTCGGACGGAATAATACGCATTCATATTCTGTGGACCCACAGAGCTTACCCTAAAAGCTCAGTACAATCGAATCGGACGGCCATAGAGATTGCGAATTCGGTCGTCGTCGGTGACGGTGTTGGGATCATAAATGTTATTTGCGGTCAGAATCAGAGGTGGGTTACGTTACAAAATTAATTTTGTTTGTTAAAGCCTAGAGGGTGTTTTTGATTAAATTGAAAAGTTGGAGCTTCTTTTTAAACACTGTCCCTTTACGTAGGAAACAAAACAAAAGCGATTGCATTCCCGAGCGTGGGGTCCAAATTTTCTTGTCGCGATACTCTCACACTCTCACAGCAGTTTTGGACCTGAATTGAAATTAAGATCTTTATCGTCAAGCTTGTGATTGAGTGAGAGCAGCTCCATTTGCTTCCTTTTCCTCTGATTTTTTTTCTACATTCTCTAAGATGAATTGTCTTCAGAATCTTCCCAGGTATCTTCTCTTCTCATTTCCAGAAAATTTACCTATCTTTCCTGCTGTTTGATTTGGGTAATTTTGATTCGATTGATTTTGTGCTGTCTATTGATCGTCGCTGATTTCAGATCCTCAGTCTCACCTTTGTTGAGCTTCGGGGTCAATCAGAGAGACCATTCGTCGTCTTCTTTGAAGATGCTAGTACCGATCAAAGCAAATGATCCTGGAAAATCTCGACTTATTTTACAGGTTTCACCTCTATTCAGATAATTTGTTATTCAATTTGAATGTTGTTGAGTTTTTGCCTGCTTAAAAAAAAAAAAAAAAAAATTGTAAAAATCCTTCGAGTGTAGGCGGTATCAGATTCAAAATCGAGCACAGAGATGAGTGGTGTTTCAAAGAAGGAAGAGAAATCTGATGAATATAGCCAAGACATGACTCAAGCTATGGGTGCTGGTACGTTTATATTCTACTTATATATCTCCCAACTGTATATTGGACTAGCCATTTGAAGAGCAAACGCAAGTTTCCAAGTTTCCCAAATGCTTATATGTTTTCATTTCAGTTTTGACTTACAGGCACGAACTAGGAATGAACTACAACTTCATTCGTCCAGATTTAATTGTCGGATCCTGCTTACAGGTTTTCTTTGTTATCCTTCTGTCAAAGAATTATTATAACTTTGTGTGGAAATGATCTGTGAATTTCTTGGCAAATTCTTACTATCTTCTGCTCTGCTTGTTTGCTAGACCCCTGAAGATGTTGACAAGCTCCGTAAAATTGGGGTTAAAACCATATTTTGCTTGCAACAAGATCCAGACTTGGAGTATCCTTCCAAAAAAGCCCTCTTTTTCTCCTCATTTTTATGAATTTTTCTCAAGTCCCCTTTTGGTTTTTGGTGAGAAACAATGATCTGGATTAGAGTGCCTTGACCACTATTTCCAGATATTTTGGAGTAGATATAAAAAGCATTCAAGCATATGCTAAGCAGTTCGATGACATTGAGCATATTCGCTGTGAAATAAGGTAAGAAGACCTTTGTAAATCAACGAGCCATGATTTTAAAATTTTTACGCTTGTTAATGATCTGGTTGTGAATTTGTGATAGTTTGTACTAAACTGAGGAGAGATCATGAGAGTTGACATATTATTAATCTTTGATGTAACAGAGACTTTGATGCATTTGATTTGAGAATGCGTCTTCCTGTCGTGATGAGTGTACTGTACAAAGCTGTTAAACGGAATGGAGGAGTTACGTACGTGCACTGCACTGCTGGTATGGGAAGAGCTCCTGCTGTTGCGGTATGTTTCAGAAACCTGTTACTGACTGTTGCAACGAGTGAACAAGGGTTGACTTGTTGCTGACTAATACTGAGATGGGGTGTTAATTTTGAATCACAGTTGACGTACATGTACTGGGTGCAAGGCTATAAACTTATGGAAGCTCATAAATTACTTATGGTAAGATATACTAATCCACTTCTAATATCTAGACATCTTTTCTAAAGCGGTACGCATATAACACTGGTCTACACTTGATATTGCAGAGCAAGCGATCGTGTTTTCCGAAGCTGGATGCTATAAAAAATGCAACAGTTGATATTGTGAGTCATTCTCTTTAAATTTCACAATGCTTGCGCATATGTTTGTACCTTCTCAGTCTCATTGATTAGCATAAGTTACAATATGGTCATATAGTTCCTTGATTTCTGATTTCTGATTTCTGATTGTTGGTTTCTGCTATATGGATATAAAAGCTCACAGGACTCAAGAAGAAAGTTGTTACTCTGAAACTGAAAGACAAAGGGTTCTCCACAGTAGAAATTTCTGGCCTTGACATCGGATGGGGACAGGTGAATATGCCTTTTTATAAATCAAATAAAAGTATTTTGGTAGTAAAAGTATATGGTAAAATTAAATTGTATAGTTTTGGTTCCCTTTCTGTAGAGGATACCTCTAACACTGGACAAGGGAATCTGGAGCCTAAAGCGAGAACTGCCTGTGAGTTTTTTTTCTTTTCTTGATGAGGTTCTACTTCTGTAAATCATTTTCCAACCGCCATTACAATTCTGAACGCAGGAAGGACAGTTTGAATATAAATACATCATAGATGGTGAATGGACACACAATGAGCTCGAGCCGTTTATAGGACCTAACAAAGACGGCCACACCAATAACTACGCAAAAGTAAAATGTCTCTTTCTCTTAACATGTAGAGTTGAACAAGTTTTGGTGAATGAGTTAGTGTTGTAATGTTGCTGTTTTCTTCAAACAGGTAGTGGATGATCCAACGAGTGTGGATGGGGCAACCCGGGAGAGACTAACGAGCGAAGACCCTGAGCTTTTGGAGGACGAACGCTTGAAACTAATCCAGTTCTTGGAGACTTGTTCGGAGGCAGAAGTTTGAGAGCATCCTTTTAATTCTGTGAATGTAGACACTTACTAGTAACAATAAAATGCTTTATGTTGGTAATATATAAAGTTATGTTTGTAGCAAAACAAAGAAAAACATGAAAGTAGTTGTACTATGTTCAAGTATATAATGGGTACATAGACTTTAAATCTTTGTTCCTTTTATTTTCATTTTTCACCAAGTACATTTAGCGATGGTATTTTAAAAATATTAGATCCTCACAATTTTCTTTAAAATGATACTTTTTACACATTTAAAATTTATATTGGACTATTCTAGACAATTTCTCCTTATACTAAAGTCAAAGATTCAAAATTAAACAAAATTGTAGATTAGATCGATAATAACCATTGATAGTCCGGGAATTTGTGAATGAGGCAAGTCACATACACGATAAGTACATGTATATTACAGTAAAATTTAAATTTTCTATCTTAGTTTGTGTACAAATATTGCATTTAAACAATTTATAAAGCATTTCATTGCTAAATAAACTAAAAATAGAAAACTAATTACCTTATTGCAATAACAACTTTGATTAGGGGGTGTTATTGGGTTTAAGGTATTGAGTGTGTTTTGATGGATTTAGATTTTGAAGGTTTTTAATGTATTTTGATTGTTTCATGACGTTTATTGTTGTGTATTTCATTGTGTTTGGAAATCTATTAGAATTTTAAAATTTAATAAAATAATAAAATAGACCTCAACAATTAAATCCAATATTCATTTGAAATTTCAATATGAATTTCGGGTAAAAAGAAATAAAATATTCAAAATGAAATAGCATTATGTGTATTACCCAGAATTCAAGTTTTCTACGAAGATATGAACAATTTGTCGAAAGATTCTATTTATTTTTTTTGTTTCTTTTGATGTACGCAGATGTCGTTAATTTCCTTGGCGGCCAGCCACAAGGATCTTTGACCGACTCTGAGCTATATAATCTTCTCCTCTCTTGGACAATGTATATTTTACTTTCTGGTGATTATTAAATATAATCCATGACCGTTTGATTTTGTACTTGTATTCTAGGCTGATTTTGAATCCGTAAACATATTTTTGAATAAATTCATATTTGGACCCAACCATACTCGAGTCCAAGCACACCTATCTCTGAAATTCTGAGGTAAATTGATTCATGTTGACATGTTTTCGTTGGTTTGCCTTCATTTAGTGGTATATATGATCTAACTACATTTGTGCTTGTGTGAAAACAATTGTCTAATCTGTATTTGTATGTATAGTCTCTTTGTCCACAAATTTATTTGTCCTCGCTTCAACAAAATTTGTTCCAAACAACGTAATGCTCTTGACAATAATCAATCAAGAGGTCCAAGGACAGTCAGTTTACAACATTCTTACGTTATAACTGTGTTCCGTTAAGATGAAGATAATTAACCAGAAAGTCAGTAAAAACATAAAAGTACGATTTTGCCCCGAAAGTTGAAAGAATTACCCAAATTCCCGCTTGCGCCTCCCAATACTCTCACTCACAACTGTGTTCTGTGTACTGCGTAGGGTTTTAGTCCATTCTAATCTTTCTCGCTTTCTCCCCGGTCGCAGGTACAAACTGTAAGCACCGCTCTTTTTGCTTTCTCATCTCTTCTTCTCTATCGATGGAGTTTTTTGCTTTCCAATGATTCAATTGCCCTCTCTCTCTCTAATGTTTTAGAATTTCGCTTCGTGTGTTTGCAATCTCTCTACATTTGATACTCTCCGATACGCCGTATGCTAAATTAACAATTTTTGTTTGGAAATGATGAACTAGACAGATCTATTTCAATGATTTGTAATGCTTTTTATTAGTTTGATGGTAGAGTAACGCTTTTTGGGTGCTTGTGACTTAATCATTTGAACTTCTTCTGCAACAGATAATACATAGAACAAAGAGAGAGAGAGAGACAACATGCACTCTCTGAAGACTAGTTACGCTGGGCAAATATTTGCTCTAGCCAAGCCCCACGAGTCTCTAGGCAAGAGAACTCGTAATCGGATTCCCAAAGAGGAGAGGAAGACACTGGTCGAGTCTTTCATAAAGAAGTATAAACACACCTTTTTTTCTGTATCCACAATCTTGATTTTTGTTTTTTTTTTCCATTGTACTTATTGTAATTGGTGACTGATTGGTTGTTTACAGGCATCAAAGACTAAACAATGGGAGTTTTCCTTCACTTAGCCTCACACACAAGGAGGTTGGTGGATCTTTCTACACTATAAGGGAGATTGTGAGAGAGATCATCCAAGAAAATAGAGTTCTTGGTACTAGTGACTTGTTTCTTGAGAGCAATGGCTCTGACCATTTGCAAGATCAAAGCCTGTCAAGCTCACTCCTGATGGATCCTGTGCCCCCTTTATCTTTGTCCCCGAACGGATTCCATTCTCAGTCGGATCAAAGTCATAGTTTTTCTTCCGAGGCTGTGGAGGCTAAGTCACTTGAAGGTTGTGGAAACATTAACGGTAGCCAGGATGCCTCGGAAGACAGAGGATCCGATAGTTTGAAGAAAAGGGAAGTTAACGGATATAAGCTTCCCGAAGAAGATGTACACGAGTCTGTGGGATCTACTGACATATCCAAGACTCAGTTTGAAGCATCTTGCAGTGAAGAAAATGATACAGGACTACAAACTAGAGTGGAGACAGTGTGCGACAGTTTAGCCACCACGCCTCAGTGGGAAGAACTCGATGTGGATAACAAAGACAGAGACTTTGAGGAAATACCTCTCATTGAGTCAGAAGGTACAGAACCTGTTAACAGTGACGAAAGAGTGAATCATGCTGGAGAAGCAATGGCCGAAAAGAATACATTAGGCGCAATTGATTTGCCATCAGAAACAGTTGTTGAGACATTTCCTGTGAGTTCTGTGACTTCAGCAACGGAGTTATCTGATGTCCAGCCTAATGAGTGGGAGAAAGTTTGTGAGGGTGGGAAAGGAACTGAGGCAAAGGTGGAAACTGGTAGCAGCACCGAAACTTCCGTTGATGTTGGAGAGATTTCTTCATCCATTTTTGCTGTACCTGAAGAACAGGGGACAGAAGTCATTGTTGGTCAAATGCCAAATCATATTTCTGTCCCTATGGAAAACCAAGTTGAAGAGAAAATTGTGTATCCTGCTTCAATAGATGTTGAAATTGCTGATATTAAAGGAACCGTGGTTGCGAGTCCTGTGATTGGCAACATCCATGAGGTAAGCTTTGTCACGTAATATGTTTGGAACTAAATACTCTTTATGGTGTTCATGCAAGAAAATTGCTTTTGCCTTTTGGTCAGCAGGTTGTCCTGATTTAGTTATGTTAGCTGCAAGACTTCTTTTTAACATCTCTTGTTTGAGTTTAGAGATAAAGTATTTCATGATTGTGGTAGAAGAAAATTGATGGTGGAATAGTAAACCTCTCGAGTCATTTTAGCTGTTTTGGTAGCCAACACTCGGATTGTGAGGATTAGGTTGATACTGCATTCATGTAAAAGCTGTTAGTTGATTCCTCCTATCTTTAACGATGAAAACTTTGAAACCTTTTAAATTGTGTAGCAGACTGGAAGTTGTAAGAACGACAAAGCAAAAGTGGAGACTATGAGTAGCCATGCCAGGAATGAAGTCGCAATTGCTGAGAAGGCAACCATGGAACAAGGGAAACTTGAAGCATCAGATAGTTCCAGCTCTCAGAAAGGAAACATTGCAACACTAAACAGAATTAAACCGTGAGCAAACAAACCTTTCCATGTTTCAGTTGTGCCGTGGGATTGTTGGTTTCGCTGTGCCTTAATCTTTCTTTTCTTCTTTTTCTTTGCAGGGAATCGTGGAAAGAGCAATCTAACAAGGCACAGGAAACAAATCCCCTTTTGGCGGTTCTCAAATCTTTCTTGACAGCCTTTGTGAAGTTTTGGTCTGAGTAATAATACATTGTAGAGATCTCTTGGTTGAGTTTTAGTAGTTTTCATTAGAGAGAGAGTTGGGTAAGGTTCAGATGATATATGGTTTGAAATGTGCTGTACAACATTTTGTGTTGAATGTTATGGTTATATGTAAGAAGTTTAATCTTACGTTTAAATGTAGTTTAATCAGAGAAGAATCAGCAAAGTTCTGGTGATAATCCTCTTGAACATTACAACATATTGGTGAACCTAAAAGATGATAAGTTTCAATTTGGAAAATATTAACTTGGAGAATTAGAGTTTACTGGTAATTATTTGAACCGAGATTCGGTTTAGTTACACCACATGAACTGAATGATGCAGCAAAACCCGCCATTTCAACGGTGACATGCACCCAAGAAGCCCTCTTTCTGTTACAGAGTGACTCATTTTCATTTGATTATTTAAACAGAGACCACAAGTTTTTGATGCTTAGCAAAATGGAGAAAGAGGCAACAAAGATGGTGAATGGTGGAATTGATTCAAAGTCAAGCAAGGGCCTTCCCAATTTCCTCGGCTCTGTGAATTTGAAATACGTAAAGCTTGGTTACATTTACCTTCTCTCTCTCTCCAATACCTTTTGCTTCTTCTTGCCTCCTCTTCTCCTTCTCTTCATCTTTGCTTCTCAGTTTCTCCCAGTCTTGGCTTTTCCTTTATCCATCTTCTTCCTCCTCTTCCTCTACCATTTTCTTGCTCCTTCCTCTGTTTACCTTCTCAACTTCTCCTGTTACCGCCCACCGGATTATCTCAAGGTCATGTCTCTCCACCTTTCTTCTCTTTCTTTCTTTCTCCTTCTTCTCATTGTCATTTTGTACAGATCAATAAAAGCGACTTCATCGAGCTGGCAGTGAAGTCTGGCAACTTCAACGAGACTTCCATAGAGCTTCAGAGAAAACTGCTGGACCAATCAGGCATAGGAGAGGAGAGCTACATGCCAAGAGTGGTGTTCAAGCCTGGTCACAAGGTCAACCTTCGTGATGGCCGTGAAGAAGCAGCAATGGTGATCTTTGGAGCCATTGATCAACTTCTTGCAGCGACCAAAATCAACGTGAAGCATATCAAGATCCTGGTGCTTAACTGTGGAGTCCTCAACACCACGCCTTCTCTATCAGCCATGGTGATTAACCATTACAAGCTGAGGCACAACACAGAGAGCTACAATCTTGGTGGTATGGGATGTAGCGCTGGAATCATAGCCATTGATTTGGCCAAAGATCTTCTGAACGCTCATCAAGGCTCATACGCTTTGGTGGTGAGCACAGAGATTGTGAGCTTCACTTGGTACTCTGGCAATGACGTTACCTTGATCCCACCAAATTGTTCCTTTCGGATGGGAGCTGCTGCTGTTATGCTCTCTAGTCGTCGTATCGATCGATGGCGATCCAAATATCAACTTACGCAGGTGATGATGACAAGGAAACAGTCTTGTTTACTCTTGCTATGTTCTCTGTTTGCTTGATGATTGATATTATAAGTGGTGAAATGAAACAGCTAGTGAGAACACATAAAGGCATGGAGGACAAAAGTTACAAGAGCATGGAGCTGAGAGAAGACAGAGAAGGGAAGCAAGGACTCTATGTCTCTAGTGATGTAATGGAAGTTGCTCGCAGTGCTCTCAAAGCAAACATCACAACGCTTGCCCGTCTTGAGCCTTCCTTTGAGCATATATGTGTATTGGCATCGAGTAAGGAAGTGCTTGATGAGATTCAGAAGGATCTCAAGTTGTCGGAAGAGAACATGGAGGCGTCAAGGAGGACACTAGAACGTTTTGGGAATACATCAAGTAGCAGCATATGGTACGAGCTGGCTTACTTGGAACACAAGGGGAAGATGAAAAGAGGAGATAAGGTTTGGCAGATCGGTTTCGGGTCAGGGTTTAAATGCAATAGTGTTGTATGGAAAGCCCTGAAAGACATTGACCCTCCAAGACACAATAACCCATGGAATCTCTGAGGATTTGTCGACATTCCCAACTAAAAAATGTTAGTAAGTGTATGATAACATGAATAAAATGACCCATCAATAGAAAAAAAAGTCATTCAAGTAAAATGCAAAATCCCCATTTTGTTCAAGTAATGTGATTGCATTTGAACATATCACTGATTTTGGATCTTACATAAGGCAAACATCTAATAAAGAGATGCAATCTGCTCTTGCTTTGCTCACCATCAACAGCTAAAAACTAGCTTTACTAATTGAAACATGAGAAGTGTAGACAAGGATAAAACTTTACAACCTTTACACATAGCTATAAGAATGAGATAGTAGCAAAAGTTGAAAGCGTAGAGAAGAAAACAACCCTGGGGAAACTGGAAACTTGAAGCTTTGGATAGCTCCAGTCTCTCTCACACACAGATGCTGCTATCTGGAGCCACAACACCTTCAAGTTTCCATCCACCAGGCCCAGCCAGTGCAAAAGCCTGTGTTGCCAAAAGATACAGTTAGTTCCAAATCAAAGAGAAAGCGACCTCAGGCATTATCGAATGTAATGCTAATCTAAAAAAGGATAAAGTCTACAAACTTCTTCCCAGGAGTTGCCAAAGGCCTGAAGCAAAGCAGCATTGCAAGTTTTCAACTTAACAGAAGCTCCAGAGAGCAAAGAGGCTGCTTCTTCCCAACCTTTATTATGCCCCATACACCTGTATAAATCATGAAAGACTGATAACACAGCACAAGGAAGATAAAGATACATACGCAGAAGCAAAAAAGGGGATTTTTTAGAAACTCAGTCACTAACATGACAGTGGTGATGTCAGGTGTTGAATATTTGGAGATAAAGTGTTGAAGATGCTCGGCGGTTTGGCCGTCCATTGCAGCAATGGAGTAAAAACTTGGAATGAATTGTACATTTGCCTCCATAAACCCATCCACTTGCTCCTGCATTGACTTCAGTGTCTCCTTCGTCCGAGTCGCGTCGCTGCGAAACACACGAACGAATCGGATTCTCATACTCAATCAATCACACGAAGCAAATTGAGACTGAAATCACTGAAGGTTTTGGAAAATTTAAGACCTTGAGAGAATGAGTTGCGGAAGCCAACCAATTGTGGAGAGGATTTGAGCAACTTTGGCTGCATCGGCTTGCCCGGTCTTAGTTAGTGGACGATCATGGTCTATCGCCAAGAGAAAGGTTAAGATTTGATTTTGATTTTTGATAGAAACGAAGAGAGAAGAAGAGCAAAGAGTACCTCTGAGGGAGAGATTATCCCAGGAACTGTGAGCGTGACGGAGAAGGATAAGGCGGCGAGAGATTAGAGTAGAAGGAGAAGCAGCGAAGTCGGCGGTCGCACGAGGCGGAGCCGTTGAGCATGAATTGGTGCTCCGATTTGGGCCGGAGAAGAAGAACGGAGGAAGACACTGTAAGCTAAGCATCGAAGCTTATCTCAATTTCATCTCTCTGCCTTAACTGATTTTGGAAACATAAGACAGTAAACCGCAAACAAACCGAAAAAGTAACTCAATTTTAACCAAACCGCAAATATTCTGGAAATTGAGATTGACCAAACCGCAAATAACCGTTCTTGGAGGCTTCGTTCTTCTGTTGGCTAAAGTTTGTGTATTTTCATTTTTCTCTAATTTCCATCAATGTTTAAACAAAAGTTTAGGCTTGAGAAGTTTTGAAAGAAAAATAAACTAAATGGTTTAATATTTCAATTCAGAATGATTACAAGATGATAATACACTAGGCTCTAAATGTTTTTGCATTACAAACTCTTCAAAAAACGATTCTCTGCACTCTCTTATGATGATGCCAAAACACACTAGGCCTTGTTCACCCGAATCTTCTGTCCTTCCAACAGCTGCAAGTTTAAACACCCCATCAAAAATGAGAAACAAGATTTCTGCAACACTCACTCTTACATTTACAAGTGAAGAAGATGGTAACAAAGTTGAGGCCACTCACAGAATTGTTGAGACCCAAAATGGCAGCTTCAACATCTTCTTCTGAAGAAAACGTAACGAATCCAAACCCTGTGGATTTCGAAGTTCCAGGTACTCTTGAAACTTTGGCACTTACTACTTTCCCTTTCTCTGAGAACAAAGTCTCAAGCATCTCTCTTGTGACAGTCTTTGCTAGGTTTCCTACATAGACTTTGAAAGGACTGTCTACAAATGCTGAATCTTCGGACTGAAGCAGTGATAAGTCAGGAGATGATGATATTGGTTTCTCTGTTATGTTAACCTTTATCTCACGCCCTTCAATTGTCTGAGTAAACAAACAAAAAAGACGAAGCTTTGTGGTCATTTTTAAGAATTTTACATTTCCAGAAATGAACAGAAACAAGCAATTAGAGATTGAAAAAAAACTCACATTTCCATTCAATTTCTCAACCACAGCATTAGCATCTTCAACTGATTTCATTGTAGCAAACCCAAATCGACGGCTTCGTCCGGAGTATTTGTCATACATCACCTGATGCATCAAATTCACGAACTTTGATGATAAACTGACCAAGTAAAGAAGAAGAAGAAGAAGAAGAGATGTGAGAACAATAACCTGGACTTGTTCAACGGCACCGTGTTCTTCAACGAGTTTGGTGAGCTGCTCATTATCCACCGTTCTGGGTATGTTGCCGATGTAGACACGCCTGGAGGATTCCAAATTAGGGTCCAAAACTGCTTTTTCTTCCGTCTCCGCCACCGCATGAGGAATGAATCTCATCCTAGAGCTCCGTGGAAGGGAGACGGAAATGGTTCCGGCGAGAGAAGGAAATGATTTGGGGAGGAATACATTGGTCTGCGTCTGCAAAGAGGTGAAGGATTCAGACTGGAACGAGAAGACTGAGGGTTTGATTGAGACAACAGCTGTAAGGAAAGTGGCCATTATCAGAGAAGAGTTCGAGAATTAAAGGTATCAATGGAGAAGAAGAAGAAGAAGAAGAAGAAGAAGGTGTTGTGGTATCATCAACATTATCCATTAGCCGTCGTCTCTCACTTTCTAAGCTCTCTGGTTAATTGGGCCTAACTAAGGCTTCCAATTTGGGCTCAATAACCATGTGGGCTTCATCTTCATGATATCAAGTGGTTTCTTTCCATTATCCAAAATTCCAAATACAAAATGATAATCACATGGGTAAATCTTCCAAAACCACCAACCTGAGCATCAATAGCTAATGTTTGATCGTGGAGATGTGAAAGAAGAGGCCAACTCTAAATGCGGTTAAAACAAAAGGGTAAATTGTTGTGACCTTATTCTAGTTACTAGAGAAATCAATAGTCTTTGTGAGATAAGATTACATCCAAAGAAATGTGGGGAAAAGAAGAAAGTAAAAAATCCAGACATAACTGGAATGGGGACTTATTACCCAAATCGTTGAAACATAATGGGAAGCGGAAAAAACCAAAGCTTATAGTACAAAAAAGTATTATATCATGTAATGAAATCATCAGCAAGTAGTTATATCGCAACCGAGAGACAAAAACACCAAGCTCCACTACTTAGAATCGTGTGCACTTTCTTCCGAGAGCACCATTTCCCTTCAAAGCTCCTCCTCCTACTCTTTTTACTTTTTGGCCTTTTGTTTCTTCCTATCCAAAGATGTTAAACCGGCGCCTAATCCTGCAGGAGCTGCCACGTTCGCTGCTTTCCCGTTTTCAGAGGATTCTTTCTTCTCTTCTACCTTTGCCTCACCATTCTCTCCAGTTTTCTCAGAAGTGTTTGCAGCTCCTGAATTGATCAGGTTTTGGAGTTGAGAGAGCGGTGGTGCCATAGCTTGAACTGGAACACCGCCCTGTGGACGAACCAGTAGCCCCTTAGCAGCTGCTTTCTTCCTGACTTCAGCTGCAGCGCGTGCTGCTCTTTCATCAAAACCTCTTCCCCGAGGTTGTTGTGCCTCCCCGAGGACAGCTGCGTTGAGTGCATTAGACCTCCCAGAAGCTGCTGCGTTTTGGAACGCATGTACCAGGTCTGGATGCGCCTGTTCCAAACCAATTAAGGAAAAAGATTTCATTAGTATTTGGGGAAAGAGCACAATCATACAAAAACAAAAGCTGCAAGTTAGACACCTTGAGGAGATCGATAGCCTTTTGCGTGGTGGCCGCATTGGCTGCTTGTCCTTTCTGCTTTTGTGCATTCATCTGATGCAAAGTCCAACCAGAAATTTAAGAAATACAAAGAGAATGCACACGTAGGAAAAGAATAATACTCGGTAAATATCAATGCATCAAACCTGCAGCTCACGCATCTTGAACGTATTCATCCAGTTTAGAGAGTCACGTGTCCTGGAATCATCGTCTCCCAATTGCTTGACAAGTATATCATACGTTTTCTTCTCATGCTGTGACCAAAACAAGAAAGTTATTTATAAAAGATGAAGACATCCAGAAGCCTTATTAGAAGTGGTAATACCTGGTGAGAGAACTTGTATGCGCCCATACTGTTACACGCAATGGCAAGGGCATGGTAGCATACTGCAGTTTGAATGTGTTCAGGGCCAAGAAGTCTCTCATTCTTCTTCAAAGCATCTTGAAGGTAACGTAGAGCTGTGTCCATTTTCCCCATATCTTGATACATCATGGCGACATTAATAAATGTAGCAGCAACATCTGGATGGTCAGGGCCAGATGATAGGCCAAGTAATAGCAAGGCACGGCCCATGTTCTGTAGAGCGAGCTCTGTCTGATTAAGTCCATGGTAGAAAAGAGCCATATTCCCATAGCTGTAGTTCGGATACCGAAGTCAGTCCACATGTCTTTAGGATACGAAAATTTGTTGAGTTACAGTATTAAAACAAAAAGGAAAGTAAAAGATACCTGTGAGCAGTATCAGGATGGTCCAAGCCAAGGCATCGTTCATTTATTATTAGTTCCTTGTGTTGTTGCATTATGGCTCCGGCCATATCTCCTGCATGGTACAAAACCATGGCCAGGTACCTGAAAAGCCAAGGAAAACAGAAATCTTACGGCAAATAAAAAAGGAAGTCCATAAATAATAGCCTAAGTCAAACACAGATATGTAATCAGTGGAGCATCAGCCAGTAGCCAGTAGAGGAATTACCTGCAGCAGTTTGCAACTTCTCTGTGCATTGGGCCAGTCACCTAGAATCAGATTCATATGATGAACACATTTGGTGTCACAATATTTGACAGTTTAAGATGATGCATAAAGAGACCACTTACCTGTTGAAGAATTGAAAACGCCTCCGAAAAGAACGTGTAGGATTCACTAAGCATGCCCTACAAGAGATTAATAATTTTATTAAGAGAATGACCCAAGCTTATTAAATAGTTGTTTGCCAACCCAAATATCAACACAGAAGTATCACTAATGTGAAATGAAATAACAAAATTACCTCAGCCAGTTGGGCTTTTCCCATCTCAACAAGATCCTTTGCCTCAGAGCATACAGGGACCGAGTGTTTAATAACGGGTCGAATGTCTAATACATCTGATGTTTCGAAAGGTGAGGTTGAACTAAAGTCGTAACTGCGTGCAGCAACACTGATACCAACCTTTTTTAACAAAAAAGTAATAAATGATCAGTAACAAAAATAAACATGCACAACTATGGATTCCCTGGTAAATAGATTCTGAAGGAACAAGAAATGTATCTCTCTAATCACCTTTTGGCAAAGGTTACGAAGAACAGGTATTTTTTTGGCTGTAGTTCTTGATAGCTCGGGCAACTCAAACTGAAAATTATCTCGAATTAGCTTCAGGTGCTTATAGTAGGTGAAACCTCTTAAAATAGATAATCAATAAACTAATTATTTGCTCAAGATAATGAACAGATTGAATACCTCATACTTAGCTTTGGCAAATTCCTGAATGTCAGACCATAGAGTGTTGGAGTCAACCATCATATACGATGAAAGACTTTTCTTTGCAGAAGCTTTTCCTTTACCTCTTCCTTGACCCTGTTCAAACTCAAGAGTCAGTACTGCACCTTATATACCAAACAGAAACAATAAGCATGATTTATTTCATGCGAGACGGCTCCAAGGAACTGAAATAGCATAACTCAAGATGAACAAACATGGAACTATAGATATAAAAACTCTGATAGTGCATAAGCACCTTCTTTGGAGTTTTAGCATTCAAGCTGTTGGTGCCAGCTTTTCCCCCAGCAGCTTGATAGTTTCCAAAGAAACAATTGAGGAAATGTGAGACTGCTCCTCCAATATCGTGATCCTCTATATCTCTTAGAATGTCCTGCATATCAATATTAAAACTTAGTATAGCAATGGACAAAGAAAAAAACTTACAGGGAAAAAAATTATAACCTACGACGAGCTTGTCCACTGAGACCATAACTCTTCCTTGGAGTTTATTTGTGGTGTGATTTTTACAATATATATAATTACCTTGAGAATGTGCTTTGCGGATCTGACTGTAATCTCATTCAGGCAAAGATCCCACAAATGAGGCAAATGCTTCACACCGTTAGCAATCTGGTCATGTACAGCCACTGTTAATAAAGCCAAGCATGAAGATACGGAATAAAATGATATTGACAGGTGATGGACTTACCTTTCCAATGTAACGAACATTAACACCATGAGCATGGAGTGCTTCAGTCAAAGTCTGACCATCCATAGGGGAAACTTCAAGAGAGCAAAGATCTTCAATGAATTTTGGAAGTACCACATCTACAAGGTATGAGCTAACTTTCTTCACATTTTCTTCATCAGCAGCTATCTCCTGGTTAGCCCCAAAAAAATAAATCCGATCAAGTTCTATAAATATGAAGAAATGATCTGACAACAAAAAGTTACCTTTAAGAAACATATCATACCTCTTGTGTGCCACCTAATGTGAAGTCGGTGAAGACGTTAGGGTTAAATGCTATTTCATCACATGGTTTGGAACTTTCAGAAGATCCTGCGGCAGAATCTTGGGCGGTGGTATTTTTATTTTCTGCAACAGTTTTCTGTAGAAAACTCACAGTATCAGCAATTACCATTTATACAACTGTTCTTAGACAGAGTATATCAAGCCAATTTGAAATGTTAAATAACAGTATACAACACCCATATGAAATATAGAAGTTAATCAGTACTAAATAAGAAGGGAAACACATACCTTATCAGAAGTTGTATCCCCATTTTCCTCTCCATGGATCACTTCATCACCAGTTTTAGAAGCATCGACACCAACATCAGAAGGATCAGCAACACTATCCGTTCCTTCATCAGTCTTGGTTTTAGATTTTGATTTTTCCACAACAGATTGGGCCTTCATCACGAAAATTTATTGTCAAAAGAAAACTCAAGTGAATATGCTTTAAGGAATAAAAGAACATGAGAATATGTACCTGGCAAAATGATGTGATCAGTTCTGGTCTTAAGACACAAAACCGTGAGTCTGGACCTGTGTAATTGGCATCCCGAGGCGTCACTCTCATCAAGTCCAAAAGATAATGCCTGTTGTCACTCCCAACAATCCCCTTACACTCCACCGGTGCAGCCAACTTGAAGACATTTTCAGAAGCATCAATAACAGCGTGTTCCTTAATGTGAAGAAGCTTTGCAGCCTCTAGCACCTGAAGAAAGAATAAATCAGGAATAAAGAGATTAGTTAGGACAAACATAGTCGTATACAATAATATATAATACAGATCGATCAGTACTATAAATATCACAATAATGCCTACAAAATCTAACAACGACCGACTATATCAGTTTACCTTAGCGTGAAAATCTTCATTCCAGCATATTTTCTTGCCATTATCGACTGAACCATACAAAAGCGCATCTGATTTATCACCCTGAAGGATGCCTGGTAGAACACTCTAGAACACACATGGAGCACAATGAAAGCTATTAAAATATACACATGCACATGCAAGATACAGATAATCTCAAGAAAAGGGACTTAAGTACAAACCTGAGCAACAACTCTATGGCCTCTGTAATCAATAATGGCCATTGCCAGATTATACAACCCTGGGACATCTGCTTCCTGATATAACTTTGTGCCTTTCAAGTCGTTGTTTGCAGAGGCATACGTTGCCTGCTCATTTTCAACAAGAGGCGCCTCATTACAGCTGGTGTCCTCGGCTCCATCGCAGGTTCCATCTGTGCATGAAACCTTTTCAGATGAGATCACTTTCTCCGTCACGGATGGACGTTTCTTAGATAGCTGTTCAATGTCGGCATCGACAGCAAAACTGAAAAAGATATTGTTGTGCACATACCTACAACAGTGGAAAAATGTCACGTTCAAAATTGGTATAATCATAACAAGTGTTCAAAAATCAAAATTGAGAAAGTGAATAAACACAAACATGTAAATAAAAACGCTTCACGTCATTTTTTCATGTTTTAGAAAAAAAGTGATTTATTCAATAGACCAAAAGTCACGGCAACAATGAGCTAAAAGTAACGAAACATACAAGTTAACTATAGAGAATCAACTATAAAAGCCAAAGAATTAATACTGACATGTGCAGACACTCTGGATCAGTTGGGTTTATGGGTGGTATACATCGGCTGATTACACCAATTGCTCCGTTAAGCGCTGCATCGACAAAGTCGGAAGACACTTTGTAAAGAGCTCTGTCACGTAAGATCCTACAAAGACAAAAAAAAAATCAATACGAAGCAGCAATACACAAAATGAAAAAAATTCCAAAAAAAAAACATGCTACCAAAATAATCACTAGTCAAATATCACATTTACCTCTCCTGAGGATTAGCGTGAGGGAACTCCCTGCAAGATTGCAACTCTTCGTTCCAATCTCTTTGCATACCAATCAGTTCACTACCATAAGAAATGGTCAGTGCTTCTTCTGCTCTCGCTGCATCACGCTTGTGATCTGTGCCAGATGGAAGAGCCAATGCTCAGATCTAATAGAAACTTATTTTAACTGTATCTTTGTAGAAAAGGAGAGAAAGACCGGCTAAACTTAAATTTCCTTGTATATCAACCACATACAACAGGAACTTAACTTCTCATACAAGCAGAAGCGCATGTTCTATATGTAAAACAAAAATGAGTATGCAGACGATAAAAAAAGCAACAATTTTGACAACAAACTACCAATACGTTAATTTCCATAAATTAGTTAGGCAAAAAATATCAAAATGAACATCCTAGAGAGAAATATGACTTGGGCCTTAAAATGCAGTCACAAAGACACGGAGACATGAAAGAGGTATCAGATAATGAAACTAGGATCAATGCAAATCTTTCTTATAAATCATAATTTTTAAATTTCAACCCCGCTACTTCCTTTGGGGGCCATGTTAATATCTCAGAGCCATTATCAGTGGTTATAACTAGAAATGTGGAGAAAATCTTCTATAAGAACCACTAGAGCTGGCCTCAAAATGACAGAGCAGAGCTACTAAACCAAATTACTGTGTAGCACTTAAAAAACATTCTGCAGTAAACGAGTTCCATATGTGCAAAAGTTGATAAGGACTCAAATGCTATTAAAGACAAACTCACCGGGAACAGGATATGATCTCAGCCATGAGTGTGGTGGCAAAAGCGATTGAACATTTTCAAAGGGATGTGCAGAGGCTTTCTTTTCCATGACCTCGCGGAAAGCTTTCCAGTCAAAGGAAAAACAGAATATAATTAGCAATTTGAATGATAACTATTAAGTCATAAAAAGAGTAATATATAAAGTTAGACACATCACATATATACTGGTTCCTACCTTTCTTAAACTTAGAGCTAAGTTTTTGCAATAATCCAATGAGAGTAGCTTCGAACCCAGATTTAGTCGGCCTTGGATCGAGAACATTCGCTGAGCTAGAATTAACGTAAAATGCCTTTGTGGTACCCGTGATACAGTATTTGTTGCCTTCGAGGGTCACAACATCCAAATAAATTAAGTCTCCTACAAGTCTGCAACAGATATATTAATGAGATATAATATCAATGGTAAACTTATGCCTGTAGAAATAAATAAAATCAGCGGCTCTATACCTTCTGTGGCTTGGAGGAGGATTGAACGATGAGAAGACAATGCTCTCCACACACTTGATCTCTTCCGATGGAGAATTTATCAACTTCCTGAGAGAGCCAGGTACATCTTCCATGAAACCCAGACATTCAAGCTCCGGGACATCAGTTTTTGGTTTGTCTGTTTCAGAAAAGAGGCCAAAATTATACCCTCTGCAGTGCATGGAAAGCAAATATTTTTAAGCGAAACATATTCAAATCCGAAACCTCCAGGAGTCTGAGCTTTGTTCAATGCTGCATCATACTGCAAGGCAAGTGTTGTTGACAGGGAAGAGTGAAGCGTCGAAAGGGACAGAAGATCTCTAGCACGGTGAACATGTGCCCTGATCGATCTATCATCATACAATGCTGTGGAATAAAAAGATACATATCAGGAAATAAATTTCACCACAAAAAAATGAAGGAAAGATGGTTTTAGCAGTACCTGCAACCATTTCCAAGGAGCAACCACCAATGGTGATGTCAGCTACTTCAGAGATCTCATTGTAGTCTTCCAGATGGTGAGTCTCTCCCTCCTTACTGCGGAGCAATAATTCATAGCACGTGAAGTACGACGTCTCTGGGGCATCAAGGAGGAACTGCCTGATGTCCATCACTGAGTCTCCAGGGTTCAACTGCAAAACATAACCATTTGGACATATTCAATTAGTCACATAGCAAAAAAAAAACGGAATTAAAGGGTAACGCTTTACGAAATATATGTAGAGTAATTACTATAAGAAAAAAGTAAATAGGAAAAAAAAATTGTGACTTTCTAAGACAGAGCAATAGTGTATTAGGGAAAAACAGAAAGTTTAAACTCACTTGCAGCTCCATTTTACCCCCACTCTGTGTTTTGACAGAAACAGGATAAAGACGAAGTTCACCTGTGAAAGCCAATCATATAAAACACTTAAAACAAAACACAAGGGATGTGTCTGAATGATATAATACAAACTGGATGCTTCTTACAAAACGCATAAAAGCTAACCTTGCTTGGGTTGGGCTTCGTTATTTGCTACTTGCGATTCGCTTTCGTCAGCCTTTGGAATTTCATTCGCTTCAGGAACGGCAGATTCAACAGCGGCAGAGTCAACAGCGGCAGAGTCAACAGTGGGGACGACGACTCCATTATCGGAAGCAGGAACAGAAGCAGTGGCTGGGGCAGCAGAAGCATCGGATTGAATAGCGGCATCAGTGGAATTGGTGGTAGAGCTCTGAGCCTGAGCCTGAGCCTGAGCCGCTCTCTTGGCCTTCGATTTGTTCGACTTCCCAGCCATTTCACCTATCGGGTTAACAAAACGTATTAAAAGAGAGCGAGGGAAAGCGAAAAGGTCGAATTAGCATGTAGAAATGGTGAAAGGGGAGTGAATTAGAGAATCTCGTTGAATTGAAATAAACAGAGAGGAAGAAGCAACACAATCCAAAAGGGGGAAAAAGTCGTGGTTGTGATGAAATCAAATTAGCAAGGCAGTGATATAGGATTTAGTAGAGGATCTGAAAGTGAAAATTACCTTGAGGGTACAAGAGAAATGGGATGACGGCGGCGACGGCGAGGGGAGCGGCGGAGTAAGGAAAGAGATGAGGTTTAAGGAGGGTTGAAGTGAAAGAGGCGGCTGATGATTCTCTGACTCTTAAGAGCTGGAAGTGAGTAGTAGGAGAGAAAGAGACTAACCAACCCCTCTCTTTTTGGGCTTTATTTGTTGGGCCTTCTCTAGGCTTATCTTTTTTTACGCGGGAATTATGCGCCAATTAAATGTAAAATCGTATGAAATCAAGTAAGTTTAGATACCCACATTAAATTGGCGATTATCACTGATTCACTTGTGATGACAACGGTAAACAGTCAATGTGGTCTATTACGTGATGAACACACACAGGTATGTTGACTTTGAGATCCTTAAGGAGAATATTTAGGGCTTTAGGGACATTAAAGTCTGTTTGGAACAAAAATTAACTTTTACAACTTTTAAGATGAAACTAAGGCCTCACAGCCATTAAAGTCAAAAGTACGGTATGTGCTGTTTAGTATGATTGTCTTAATCCGTTCCGCTTTACAACTACGGATTTTATTGTATGTCTGTTACAGTCTGGTGGGATTTTAATTATTAAGCATATAAACATACATATAAAGTCTCTTTTGACGTAAATGATTTATATCATAAATCAAACTTAACATTTTAACCATATTACGATATTGATAAACCATCACCGTCATATATGAAATATATCATACTAGCCATGGTATATTGATCATTGTCATATAATTATTTCTGTATCTCTTGTGCCTTCATGCTATGAGGTATCAACAAAACACAGCTAGTTGTCATTGTCAGTATGGTAAAATGGATGAGAATGATCGAAGATTAAGAGTGGGAAACACACGGAGTAATCGTGGGGCTTTTTTGTTGTGAGGTAGGAGAGAGGTGTGTAACGGCATGACATAACACCCCTTACTCATACTATGTATATATAAAGAAGCATGATCTCGTTGCATCATGATCATCTCAGTATTTTAATTACTGTTTTATACATGATGAAATCTATGAGAGTTGGTTTAGCAATGACACTTGTCATGACCATAACCCTTCTTAACATTGTCACGGCACAGCTAGAGGACCCAGCACAGCAACCACCTCCACCGATGCTGCCTGAGGAAGTAGGAGGATGCAGCAGAACATTCTTCTCGGCGCTGGTGCAGCTTATACCATGTAGAGCAGCAGTGGCTCCTTTCAGCCCCGTACCACCGACTGAGTCGTGTTGCTCCGCCATCGTCACACTTGGTCGTCCTTGTCTTTGCCTCCTCGCCAATGGACCTCCACTCTCTGGCATTGACCGCTCCATGGCTCTTCAGCTTCCTCAGAGATGCTCTGCTAATTTCCCTCCTTGTGATGTCATCAACTAGGACCCGACCTATCATCATCTCTCTTTCTTTTTTTTCCCATTTACATTTCACTCTAATAAATACGCTGTTTAGTGTATTATTGCCCCAGACTTTGATCATTAATAAAGATTTAAGAATGAAATCGAAATGTCAAGTCATTGTGAAAGCCCCTTAGCCTAGTGGTTGAAGGGATTTAATGCTTCTACACCAGGAGGTATGGGTTTCGAATCCCGGCGGATGCGATTTATTAATAATTTATGCAGATTATTGGAGACAAGCTTACAGGAGGTCTATATTTGTCTTGTAATTAGAATTGCCTTGTAACAGTTCTCATATTTGTGTAATAGATTAGTCAATCCAGTGTTAAAAAAAAAAAAAAATCTCAAGTCATTTTCCATAACAGATCCATTGTATTCAAACTGATAGAACTAAATTTGCACACTTGGAAGAACGCAAAGTCAATCCATAACAACACTTCAATTTATCAGCAAACTGGAAAAAAACACTTTTTAATAGAAAACGCAAATCTCAGCTAGGGCTGGGGGTAGCGAGATAGCTCCTCATGAATGGCAGCACGTTGATTGACTCCTTAGTAATACGCCTTCCTTGGATTTCCCTGTAAAGAACAATTGAGAGACATAGAGTGAGTAAAAGAAGTGTTATAACAAAAAAGAATGGAGCTAAAAGATGGGCAAAAGTACCAGGGGATTGGGTCTGTGTTTGTAACCAAGCATCATTCGCTTCTTGTACTGCTCGTATATATCGTCCTCAGGATTGACCTCCCCTGGAGCAGAAGCACCAACTCCCAAGTTGTTTGTCTTTACATCGCCTGCCATTATAGGGTCTGCCATACCCTTTCTAGAGCTTCCTATACCTTCACCTGTAATCCAACTCCTCCAACTTTTTTAACCTCCTTGTCCTCCATTAAGGCACAAGAGATACAGAAAGAAACAAGAGCGAGGGCAAGTAAGCACCTTCTTTCCAACCCATTTTCGACAAGAGTTTATGTCCAACGTTATCTGCTTGGATCTTGGCCTTCTCTGCTGCCTCCTTTGTGGCTTTCTGTGCAGCTGCGTCGTTACACTTTGCTAGGAACTTATCTAGCTCCTCAACTGGGATATAGTCACCCATGTGATGACCTCTCTTTCCAGGGTCTGTGGAGGGAGTTGCTGAAATCAAACGTGGTTGCGCGGTAAGACATCACAGCTGCCTAACAAAAGAGAGTAAAATAGAAACAGGATTCGATTCTCACCGGATGGGCCTTGAAGAGAAGCTGGTGGGGGCATTTCATCTTTAGACTGCCTAGGACGTCTCATCTTCTCTTCCTGGGCAGCCTTCTTCATGTAAAACTCCATCATTGAAATAGGGTCAGCAGCCCTCGGTGCACTATAGGAGTCACCTGCAACATGGACACACATGTAACCAACCCACAATCAAATCTATATACCAAAAAATATGAGGGAATCTAGGCAGATGAAATAAGGCTAACTAACATACTGTTGCTAGGTCTTGCCATTGATCCCTGAGCAGATCTAGAGGAAGCTCTAGGTTCCTCAGGAGCATCATAGAGAGCTGAAGCAGGGATCTGATAACCTGTTTGCTGCTGACTTGGCTTTTGCGAAGTGTTTGCTGTTGTCGACGTTCGCCCACCAGATTCCTTGGTTTGTGAAATGGATTTTTCCTCTTCAGACAGCCTGAATGCATAGTACTTGTAGTCCGCACAGTTCTCATCAAAAAGAAATCTAGTTGGGAAACAGGACACAAGATTAGTATGTGTATGAAAGAGAGAGTCCAGGAATTTTAAACTGTTGATGCTGAAAAACCAATGATATACATACTTAAATGGTGTGTCCCCAGGATTCTTTTGGCGTGTAATCTGCTCAAATGGCCTTCCATGCTTAGCAACAAAATTTGCTAGTTTATCGGCAACTTTCTTCACAGTAGGATCACTGGGCGAAGGTGGTGCTGCACATCACTTATAAAACTGATTAATACCGAGTCCATGGAACAAGGAATGCAAATCACTCTTGTAGCACGCGTGGCAGATATTTCCAAATCTTTCCAAATCACAGAGACTTCCACAAAAGACCCACTCAAACACATAGATTTATATATATAGCCATTACCAACATCTGATGGTTTCGATGACTTTGCAGGCGTGTCTCCCTGCTCTAACTTCTGACGCTTTACAGATCCAAAGCCTTGATCATTGTTCGCATCCCTCTCGTCCTCATCATCTTCTGTACCAAGTACAGGAGGTGCAAGAAGCTTAGACTTTTGTTTCAAGCTGAAAGCAAGCTTGCCACCTTTCTTCTGGGCATCATTGGTCTTTAATCCAATGGAGATTTTATTAGCATAAGACTTAGGATTTGATATCCCAGAGATTATCTTCACAGGCTTAGACTCCTCTACATGGGCAACTTTATCCTTCTCTTTATCTTTCTCCTGTTGAAGTTGTCTGAATCTCTCCATGAAAGACCCGTCATTCACAAACATGCTTGGAGGTGCTCCTTTTTCCATTGCCAACGAGCCAAGTGCAATAGTAATATTGAATTCACTGTTCGACAGATAAGCTCTCAAACGATTCAGAAACAACTTAAGCTCGATGCAAGAACAATACAATAGCAAACGTCTTTTTCTGATAAAATTCAATCAAAGCAAATTCTTAAAGCGCTATCGTCCTCGATTCCATCGAATTAGCTAAAGGAAAAGCATATCTATCAAGACGAAGGCAATTTAGTGGTGGAAAAACAAATTTTGAAATCTCAAGCTTAGGCGTCAGAAATTAGCTAACAACAGAATCCAATAAGAACGACGAAAGCAAAATTGCAGGGCAGATGAAAACTTAGGTTTCAACAATGAATCGACTCGGAATCACACGAGGATAATCAAATTAAGATCCACAGACAATTAATTCAATAATAACAAACGAGGAAGACAAAAACAGCGAGATTTGTCACCTGTATCAATTTCCGGCGAAAGTCTACGGAAGGAGGTCGGACAAAACGGATACGAGAGACCAACGATCAGTGGGATTGAATCGGATTGAGAAAATCGACCAAATTTTGGGCGTTTAATATATACACACAGGTTAAGAAGAAGGCCCCTACTTTGTTTATATTTTCAGTTGGATACCTATGGTTTCGTTTCCTTATAGTAAGAGCTCAAGCGTTTCAAAATTACTTAATTCTACCTTACTGTAAAACTTATGGAAACAAAAACGATTTTCTGCACACGTATTTGTAAATTTGTAATTGAAGCTAAACTTAAGCTGCATTATTGATTTTTATCTGTAACGCATAGGAAAATGACTCTAAATTATTGATCATAACTTCATAAATCATCCTAAGAGTTTTTCTGGAGAGTAGTGTATAATTTTTTGTTACTATTTAGCCTTCCTATCCAAAGAAACCAAACATGAAGTCGAAAGAATGTCAAATACAGGAATCACATTTCGGATTCAAACCCAATGTTCCAGAATCCTTCAGGAGTCATTGGAGGAGCATATTTGTAGCGATGCCTCGATACACCTTCATGATGCTCACATCTCATGCTTTTACCATTTCCTTCATTCTCAGGAAGAACAGCATCGTAGAACTTCTTGCATTGCTTACACTCTATCCCTTTCAAATTCTCCCGATCAGCTTTCTTCCTCACTGGCTCCACATGCTTGAAACTTTTTCTACTCGTTTCCGCCACTTGAATTCGCTGCCTCGATGGACTCGGTTTAGGATTCATGTCCTGTGTCTCGTCGTCTGAATCATCCTTGTTAGCAGCATCGTGAACATGTTTTGCTTCCCCAGCGACGACCCTCTTGACGTTTTCGATGGGAGTATCTAGAAAATCATCATGAGGATCATGGCCACCAGGTGATTGACGAGACCTTGTGTCTCTCCAAATGGAAGCTGGACGTTTTAAACCGCTTAGCTGTAAAGATTTTGTACCAGAAGAGTCACCTCTAACACCAGGTGATTGCAACATGGGTGATATGGAAGTAATAGGCGTCTGCACCGTTTTGATTATACTCTGCTTCTCACCACTCGAGCCAGTACCAACTCTCGCTTTGTCTGCTTCTTGGTGTTTCCTTTCAAGAGCTGTAATATAAAGAGAAAAGTCAAAATTGATGAGTTAACTAAGATGCCAACAAGTAATTTGAAACGAGACTGTGCTTAAGAGACTACTAACACTTACTAATCGAGATGGCCGGTCTCTCATGTTGTTCCATTGAGTTAGTCTCATCTTCAAGGTGGCTTTGGTTGAGAGCACTGTCAGTAGTAAGACCGAACTTTTTGCAGAGAAAGTTATATTGGGACTTCAGCTTTTTGTAAGCAGTGAGCGAGTCTTTTCTTTTCTTTATCTCCATAGCTAACTCAAATGATTTCTCCTCACTCTGGCGACGCAGAGCTTCTAGCTCAGGCAAGTAGCTTCCATGTTTGACCTGCATATGCATACCATCAAGTTCTTTCTCATGATCTGCAATCTTCTGTTTACACTCCAACATTTCCTTCTCTGTCAAATTGAGTTTACACTGCAAAACCTCAAGCTCGTCATTTTTCTGCCTATGTAGCTCTTCAAGTCTACCTACATTCTCCTCAAAAACCAGCAACCTAGTTGTCAATCTTTGTTTCTCTTCTTCAGAGCTACTTAGCTTCCTTTCGCTGTCTGCAGCTTCTGTAGACAAATGCTCTACTTTCTTCAGCAGATTCTCAGTCACCAATGCTTTCTTGGAAAGTTCCTCTTGAAGAAACTCTGCTTTTACCTTAAGGCTCTTCACTTCCGAGAGAATCATATTTATCCCATCTCTGCTGAGCACATCCGAGCCCTTAACCTTTAACACAGAAACTAAGCTATGGTGAAGCTCTATGCTATTCTGAACTTGGTCAGATCTATTCTTCGACTTGAGATTCTCAGAATTAACGCGTTGATTCTCTAGCTTAAGCTCCTCGATCTCGGATAACAGAGCTTTCTCTCTCTCGTTCCAGGCATTAGAAGCAGCTAATCGGGCCTCTGAGTAAACTTTTTCGAAGGTTTTGGATTTGGATTGGAAATTTGGGAATAGCTGGCTACAAAATATGTACTCGATCTGGGAAATTCTGTCTTTGGCTTCTTGGATTGTGGCAACCATCACGGCGCTGAGACCAGAGACGTACTTGGCTTCGATGCCATCAACCGTTTCATCTACCATCTTCAAGCGAAGGAAAATAGCTGTAATCAGAAGAAAGCAGCAAATGGATCAGCCCAGAAATTTAGGGGTTTCTCTACTCAATTCAACGATTCCAGAACTGGGTTTCCTTCTACGATAATTTCTGATTCCTAACAATTCTATCCCGCGAATCATTTCTTCTACGAATCAAGTAAATACTTATGTTCAGATCCAATTCGAGATCTACGAAAACCTTGGAGGAAACGAGTAAAAGAGAACTTACGACTTTGGAAATGGAACCGCACGAGGAAGATCGAAGAAGCTTGGCTTGGTTACGGAGAAGAGTGATGTGTGGGATCGAGGATTTAACTTTTAAATTTTCGCTTCCCTCTATAATTTCGGAATTTTCGCGCGCCGGGATTAAAAAAATAAACTTATCAATTCAAGTTTCAGTGGAGGCTTACCCGGGAAGATTGCTAGGAGACCCGACCCAATCCAAAGTTGGCCCATACAAAAACATTGTTAATCAGGATTAGTTGAAAATCAAAAGTTAAAAACTCAAAAAGATGACTCAAAAAGATGTGAAGCATTATATTAAATATACTTATCTAATTTACATTACTTAATTTATATGTAAAAAAATTTAATATCATCAAAAAAGGATATATCATCAAAATTTAATAAAATCAATATAATGCCCTTAAAACTTATATATATTTTGGCGCCCTATGCAATTTTAGGAATTTTGACGCTTAAAGCCCATGTTTTAGGGCTTTAGCTCTGGGCCGACCCTGCTTTTAGCCATATTAGATCAATTGAGGGAGTTTTCATGGTGTTTGAAGGTTTTGCAAGAAATTTTGGTTTGAATATAAGCATGGCTGGTTTAGAGGAAGAAAATGATTCAAACAGTTTTCATTTCATTTGAAGTAGATTTTTTTTTTTTTTTGGTTTTAATGTTAAGATTATTTTGAAGTAGATTTTTTACAATTGTTAACTACATGTCTACATTTTAAGAACACTGGTTTCTTTTTTCAATCCGTATCTTTCGCCGTTTACCTTCGGGTAAGCACTATAATTTAGTAATCTTTTGTTGTATGTTTAGATTAAAACCCAAATTGGAATTATACTACTGTCAATTCATAAAATACATACATACAGCAATAATTCGGTTAAGGGGTGGTCCGCTCCTTCACAACATGACGGGCCAATTTGAGTATGGCCGAGCCGAAACGGCCTACTTACGTCTCGTTACTTTCCACGTGGCTTGGCTTTTAGGATTTTTTGTTTAATGTAAAAAAACAATTAATAAAGCTGCAACGGTAACAAGATGCTGCCACGTGCAGATGGCTTGTAACGTTAATTCCACAACGGTTACATACATTTCTTCTTCTCCTTTTCTTTCTCTCCAACAAACAAACTCTTAACTCTCTCTCTCTCTATCTTTCTCTCTATCCTCTGTGAATATTCTCTCTAATGGAGCCTGCTCAGATCGATTGGAAGCGAATTGATTCTCGTTTTGTTGAAGACGTCTTCTACGAACACATCCGAGCTCCCAAATGGGTCGATTTCTTGGCCCCAAGCCATTTAGACTCCATTGACGATGATGCTTGGTTCTGCAAACCTGGTAACAATCTCTCTCTCTCTCCCACTTTCTTCTTCTATCTCCGTTTCCTCTTTTGATGTTACTAATTTTGGCTTCGTTTCGACTGAAGACTGTAACCATCCCAAGAGACCTGAGGACTTCCTCTCGACGCCCACTTCTTCCAAGGTTTGCTTCTCCTTCTTCTTTCTTTTCTTGGCAAGCCCATGAGTCATTTCCTGCGTTTTCTCAAGTTTCCATTTTTGTGGTTCTGTATTTTGAAGCATCCATGCCTGAGGGATACGATTGAGACTCAAGGAGTTACAGAGCAGAAGAATCAGAGGTACATTGAGATTGCTTCTTTAACTCTCTACTCGAAATCAGCAACATCAAATGTTTCGCCATGGATTTCTTCATAGTCTGTTATTCATGTCACTTGCAGGTGGAAGGGACATGCTTTATCTTCTTCTACTTCAAACAACAAAGACAATGAAAACCAGAATCCGAACTTGTCCACGCCTCCAAGCCAAGAAGCAAAATCATGGCGAGCAGCGATTAAATCATCTTCCGTCAAGAAAATGAACAAAGAGATTCCAAGACTAAAGAGCACACAATCAGCAAGGAATCTGTTCTCAGGGAGAGACATTCTAGGCCATATCTCAGAGTTCTGCTACGAGCTGAAGAGATTAGCCACAAGGGTGACTGAGAGAGAAGACACTGGGAAATCTGAAGTGAAGGAGATTCATCAAGCGGGTGTGATAAATCAGCCTTACTCTGTTCGTGAACTAGAATTGAAAAAGGAGAGAAAGCCACTGCTCGAAGTAACCAAAGAGAAGCTCCATGATTCAGAAGATAAAGGAAGCACCTTTAAAGAGAACCGTAGAAGAAAGAAGTGAGCTTTTTCCTATTTGTGAGTTTTGTTTATCTTTGAAGCGAGTTTAGTACTAATAGAGGATTTGCAGGAGAGTGGATGATGCGGAGAACATTCCTGTCTCTGTTAATGTGGAGAACGTAAAGATCAACGGAGAGGATTGTAGAAGAAAGAAGTAAGTTCTGCTTCTGCACAATTAGGCCTGTGATATGCATAACGATGAGTTCAATAAACAAAAGTACTAAACTTTGGGGCTATGTGATGGTTTTTTTCAGGAAAGTAAATGATGCAGAGAACATCCCTATCCCTCTAAAGCTGGAGAATCTAAAGAGCAAAGGACACGAACGATTGATGCAGATCAGAACAAACCCACCATCTCCTCAATGCTTCTCAGAGAACCGGACTGCTTCTTTGAAGACCTTCAGGACCAAATCTACGGTATGTAACAATCATATTGTCATTTCCTGCTAATAACAAGCACATACTACTTCAAATTCTGAAATCACAAAAGTACAGAAAGAAGAACAAATTGGGTGGTTTCTTGTATACAGGTTGAAGAAGCGGTGAAGAGAAAGGAGGAAGAAGCAGAAGAAGAGAAGAGCAGAAAGAGTGGAGAAAGCAAGGAAGGGAGAGGCTTGGACGTGCTCTGGTTCCTAAAGCCTTGCACAATTGCAAACTAAAAACTTTTGATTTTTCACCAATTCACCAACGTTTTCTTTCTTATATTCAATTCATTCTTTTGTTATATTCATTTTATTCAATCTGTAAAACTAACGAGATGAAGATCTTGCTCAGATTCCACATGTAGTTCTGAGCAATTTTGAATCAATCTCACTTTTACAATACATAAAATTCGTTTAATAAATAAAGAGAGATAGAACAAAAAGAGAATTCAGATCTCCATCCCTAACCCTTATTAAAAGATCAACAACAAAAAAAAAAACTAAATTTCTATCTCGAATTATCCCAAATCGAAAAAAGACACTTATACGTGATCAACACAGAAAGGAAATTGAGCATATTTATTATCTACAGAGGAAAGGTATTGATGAGACGAACAAATTAAGAGGGACGGCGGGAAGAAGAGAAGAAGCAATCGAGAAGCCGAGACCAAGCAATTCTGGCGCGAGGGAAGAGTCTCCGGCTATAAACACCACCTTCCATTCCCATCTCCTCCATCGTTTCCACGAACATCGTTAAACATCTGATCGGCGGTATGTACAGCGTTAACGGCGCCGCCGAGAAAGCTATCGTGAAAAATAGCTGTAACATTTCCTTTCTCTCTCTCTCGCTCTCTCTACTTTTTTTTTGTTTCAGGACAAAACGCAGATCAGAAATTGTTTTTTGGTATTGATTTTGGTTATTTGTTAGTTGTGGTACCTAACAAAATTGAAATAACGTAAGATTAGAAAGAGATAAGAAGATTGGTTTCATCATCACGTGTTAGTGTTACCCTCTTTCTACAGCATCCAGCTCTCAGTTTTAACTTTATGTAATCATATGATTCCTACCATTTCTAGCACTTACTGCTATGTTCTACTTATATTGGACCGACACTTTCAGATCGAGAGTTATTCGGAATATTTATTAACCATGTTATTACTTTGTGTCATTTCGAAAACTGATTGTTAAATTGAGACTCTTCTTATCCGTAGGTCCTAGACTCCTAGTACTTGTACGCCATGTCGGTAAACGCGTGGCAATCTCCAGATACATCGTGTGTGAGGTTGACTTTGGTTTTTAGCTGTGTACAATTTTAAAGCACGTACTATTAATCTATTGATGTTTTGATGACCATTTTATATGATTTTAATATGTTTGAGAGAATTTAATAAAGTTGTTTGTTAAATCTGTAGAAATATCACATCAAATTCTAGCTTTGGATATTTAATGAGAAAATTCCTCTAAAATCATTATACTTAAAACGACCACTAGCATATTTTTATACTAAAACATAAGATTTTATAATACTTCACAGATGACGTTTACGTTACATTAACATTTACAAATGTTATACCAACAAGACTATATTTTTAAAAACTTCTAAAGTTTGAAGATTGAATAGCATCAAATTTCTCATCTGTCAATATCACATTATAAATGTTTTTGATAAAATACAACAAAGCCTACTCTCTTGTTTTTTCTCAAATCTTTTGCAATTCTGAACCTTCGTCACTATATTTCTCCCAGGCAAATAAGAAGCTAAACAAGTTTTTAAAAATGTGTATATTTTTACAAGACAAATTCTAACAGTACAGAAGACAAAGAAGCTAAATGTTATTGCAAATGCCTGTCCAAATGTGGACCACTCAAGAATGGTCTCTCACGTCCTCGTCCTCTTTTGCTTCTGAGGAACAAACCGAACCCCTTGCTTCCCGAGCTCCACTGTCTTCACTTTTCCGTTCTCAAGCGTTACCATCAACTTCGACGTGCCTCCTCCTCCTACTTCACTCACCACTCCTTTCTCCCTGTTTTTTTAACCAAGTTGTTAGAATAGATGAAACATCTAAAGATTAAGATCTTCTAAGGCAAAAACACTATACCATGAATTATCAGAGGCGTCGTGTATTTGAACCTTTTTCCCTTTTGCATCCTTCCCCAACTTCTTCAGAATCCAACTAGCATCAAGCATTTCGTCTAACAAACCGTCGTCACGTGACAGTGACGCGTCTTCATCTTCATTGAACGCTGATTTTTCAGCTGGAGGTGATGCTCTCTTTCTCTTAGACCTATGTCCTTTACCCGACCTACTTCTTTCTTCGACAGCAACGCTAGCGGGAGCTTCAACCTCTTGGCTCTCAGGCTTATGCTTTTTTATTTTCACTTTCAGCAACCGTCTTGAATCTTTCTGCAATGAATCTCCTTTGCCATCTGAGTGTCTCCCAATAACTCCACCCTCACCTTCATTGTGAGACCCTCCCTTTTCTTCCTTACTACTCTTTCCCAACAATATCTGGTGCTCTTCTCCGGAAGCCGTTTCTTTCCCATGCTTTCCTGAAATCACCAAAGCTTCTTTTATTATCATGTGTATGTTGTACATCAATAAAAGAAAAATCAGATTTCAAATAAAGTCTTCAATGTAAATTCGTAGTCTGATTTGAACATGCAAAAAAACTTCCACTACACATACCATTGGATTTGGAGGCTAGCTTTGATGTATCGCCGCTCGTATCAGTCTTTCGAGGACCTATACTTATCACCAACTTTTTCGTCTTCACAGTGTTCAGCTCTGTAGTGTGTTTTCCAAATTTCTCACTCTCCGAATCATGAGGCCTGCTGCTTTTTATCCTGAGAACTCTCAGTGGCTTCTCTTCTTCACCACTTGCAATAACTTTTTCAGCAACTTTTCTTTCTACAGAACCAGGAGGACTGATAACAGGGGCACCGCCAGTTTTCCCAAAAACTCGTGCACTGGATTTTAGGCTAGCAATCAGCTCTTTATCCTCCATATCTTTTCGCTTCCAAATTTCCTGTACAGCGTCCTCAAGATCCTTGACCTACCATCATAAACGCAAAACCAAAGAGAGAAAATGGGATCACTATATTATCAACGGCAGCAATCCACAAGCTTTAGGAAAGTATAAGATAGTAAACAAATAAAAAGACTAAGGACTGATGAAACACACCTGGTAGCATTCTCCACGACAAGTAGAACATTTGTATTGAAGATTCCCATCCACTTGAAACTGCATATATTTCTCATCACTGCAATATTTGTTTGCAAAATTAATGTAAGTTGGATACAGACTTGGGAAACATTCTTACAAGACACAGAAGTGCAATTGGTTATATAAATTAGATTAACGATATGAACCTTATTCCGTCGCACATGCAATGAACCCAGCGCTGGCAAAAGTCACAACACACCATTGGTGTTGATTCCGAGTCCCTGTAAACCTATGTGATGGAAAGCAAGATAAGTTGGTCAATTCAATTCGAAGCAAGACAAAGAATACATAAAAATGTTGCATTGTCTGATAGTATAGGGTAACAACTGTAAAATACATAACCACACACATTTCTTATGGCCAAACATAACCAAATATGAAGCGTGGAAACAGAGAAAACGTTTCAGAATCAGCAACGGAGAGGGTGCGAAGATATACCTTCAAACATACAGGACAATAGTTCCCTTTAACAAACAACCTTCCACAAGCATCACAACAAGTATGCCCCAGAAACCAACTGCAAGTTTAAAAGGAACGATAAGAGATCTTGTGCACTTTAAATGATTCAATTAAAAGTATACATCACCAAAGCAAAAAAATTGAGTACCGTAAGCTCTGGCCATTCCCAGGGACTTTAGACCCACAGCTGTAACATTTGGTGTGTTTAGGACACAAATAGGGTCCGGAACTTACACTCTGTAACATTTAGTGATGCAAAATAAATCAATTTGCAAAAGACAAGATGAGAACCTTGTATAGAAGCAAGAGAAACTATACCTTGTGCCGAGGTTGTTGGCAATCACAATGATATGCATCATCACATCTTTTGCAGAACATCAACTTCTTTGGATCCCCTAACGTTCCACAGGCCTAAAGGAAACATTATGTACAAGATAAATAGCCTATTAATTGTGTGTAGAGACTGTCAAACCATGTAAAATGTTCAAATATCAATTTCTCTTGACGTCATATTGAGAAAATTTCATTTTAGCTTAGCATGTAATAAACATGATTAATCACTAACCTCACAGCTCCGGCAAGAGGGGCACGCCCAAGAGCTCCAATTAAATAAATCTGCTAGCAAAAACCGCTGTAAGAATCTAAAAAGAAGAATTCATAAGCATCACATTCCTATGAAGTATGAAACAATACCTCTATGTTGAGCCCAAGGCTTCAAGCAGTTTCTATGATACTTCTTGCTACAACAACTGCAAGAAAGCATCTTTGCCGCTCTCTCACTCCTCCCAACTTCAACCGAATAGCATATGTGACACGTAATGCTTGCACTCTCTTGATGATCTTCTCCATTTAGCTCTTTTGCAGAAACCTGAGAAACACAGAAGATTGAAACAAACTTGAGGTTTAAGCTTGGTATTTGAATAAAACGGTGTCTCACAACGACGGTGATGTCTACACACACGATTCGGGATATCACGTTTCACAGCATTATCCTCAAACAAAGGCTGTAACTAGCAATTCTAGCCTATCTGAAGTAACTAATCATTCTCCTCAAGTCATCATCAACATACTCGTTCAATTCAATCGACAGAGCAGTAACCACAGAAACAAGTAAACGCACCGGTAAGTCGCCGGAACCAGAAATCGCAGCACGATCCTCAACTACCCTCTTAAGCACCACAGTGCGTTTGGCTTGTGTCACAATCGGTGATGGAGCAGCCTCAATCGCCGAATCATTCCCAGCAGCAACAACATCTCTAGCCGCAATGCGAGGACCAGTATCGAATACAGCGAGCTTAGGCACATGGATCTGAACGGTACCTTCCGTCGAAACCCCAGCATTCCAAGGGTCTCGCAAGACGTCTCCGAGAGAATGGATCTCGTTGAGAAACACATCCTTGACTCCATTGCCGTGAAGATTCCGAGGAAACCCCAACAAGCAGAAGCAGATTTTCCGGCTGCGAAGAAAGAAAATAAAAAGCGATTGGAACAATTCGTGTTAACTCAATAAGTGAAACAACAAGCCGATAGGCTTGAAGAAGCCTCACGAGGCGCCAAAAAAAAGAGCTTTTGAGAAGAGAGAAAAAAAAAATACCATGTAATTGGACAAGCTACGTGAAAGGCCATAGTCGGTTTTCAAGTTTTACGCTTTCGGGTTCGATTTTTAGGGATCTGACTTCTTTTTTTTTCTGAAATAATGAATTTTGTTAGGTCTCTTCCCAATTAAATCACACGCTCTTTTTCTGTAAATATCATAAACTTTGAGCCTTAAACGAAAATATATTAAAAGTACTGAGATTATCGGCCCGATCCGACCCAAAGGCTATTAACCAATAATAAAATAACACGTGGAGATTCTCCTAATTTTGTTTTCGTTTTTCTTTTTACGCACATATACAAAACGACGCCGTGGCTGACAAAGTTTTTTCAATTCGTTGGCCAGAGAGAAACTGAAGAACCCTCCCTGCGGCGAAGGATCTCCGATCAACCATGAATGCTCCCGACCGATACGAGCGATTCGTCGTCCCTGAAGGCACCAACAAGTATTGAAAGCTTTCAATCGAAACCGAAGCCTAATCTTCATCTTTCTTAGTGTAGTTTCTGTGGCTAAACCCTCTCGATTTTCCTATGTTCTTCTAGGGTTTCATATGATAGGGACACGAAGATCATCAATGCTGCTTCCTTCACGATTGAGAGAGAAGACCATACCGTTGGAAACATTGTCCGCATGTAAGTATTTGAATTTGAATTTCTCAGCTTTTTTTTTTGCAGAAGAAGTTCTAATTTTTGTGGATTTTATGAACTTAGGCAACTTCACCGTGACGACAATGTCTTGTTTGCTGGTTACCAACTGCCCCATCCTCTCAAGTACAAGATTATAGTCAGAGTAAGTTCATTTTTTTCCCCAAGTTCTACTGGAATAGCTATGAATTACAAGGAACATTACTGTCTTCTGTGGATTTTTCACTTCATTGACTGATCTTAGGATGATCCAAGTACTGGTTTGGGAACATAACAGTGTCGATGTTTTGGGAATATGAGCTCATAGTCAACAGTTTTCTCTGGATTAAAGGCTTCTCTTGCTTGTTTTCTGACTTGTGTTAGGATTCAGATTGATTGTTAATTAGGAAGAACTCATAAAATTATCTTGGATGTTGTAGTTTTAAGTGTGACTTTGGTTCTATTTGCAGATTCACACTACAAGCCAGTCTTCCCCAATGCAAGCGTACAATCAGGCCATCAACGACCTCGACAAAGAGCTTGACTTTCTGAAGAGCCAATTTGAGGTACCAAAGAGTCCCTCTCTGTCTCTCTCTCTCCAGAGTCCTGATTAGATTTTATTGTGTGAAACCCACTTGGTAGAGAAAGTTAGCTCTTCTTCCTCTAGGATTATCTGTATAATCTCAAGTTGTTGTTGATTAGTCTAAGACTAATATCAAAGGTTTATACACATGGCCTTATGCTTTACCCTTGTGTGTTTTCAGGCAGAGGTGGCCAAGTTTTCGACTCCTCAGTACTAAGGAACTTAGAGTTCTCCATCGGCATTTGGGGGAAAATGTTTCACAGTGTTCTTATCCAAGCACCAACCACAAGACTTATCATGAGCTTGTGAACTTTTTTCTAATTATGCTTGTATAAATCAGAAACAAATCTTCCCCTGTAATTTGTTTTAACTCTATGTATCGAACGCCATTTCAGGCTGCTAAGAAGTAATGCTTAGATTACATCATCTCTTTACCATTCTATCTACAAGAACCACTTAAAATGTTTGAACTATTATACAAAGAGTTGTGATGGTGAAGCTACTACTCTTTCTCGAGCTACTAAGTGTACGTGAACAAATATTCACAGGATGTTGAAATCATCATGAAGGCCTTCTAGCTGACCACGTGTACGCTGCTGCTGAATAATCAACATGGATGTGTTGTGTGAGAAATCCGATCCGGAAAGAACATCTCCTATGGGACCAAGCTCTGGACATTGCTGCCAATCATTGAGACCAGTGGTTAAACCGCTGCTCGCTCTTCCTCCTCCTCTCCCAACAATCACAAGCCCATAAACTCCATCCAGTGATTTCAGTGCTGTGAAAGTCTCTGAGGAGTTGGTGAGATGCTTCTCCATGTAAGACACTCTTCCTCCTCCAGCTATGTATCTTTCGTAGAACTCAGCAAAACACTCGTCATCAAGCTTCATTTCCTCCTCTTGCTCTACCACGCTCGCTCTGTTCAGGATGCTGCTGCGTTTCTGTGCGTTCTGAGAGCTCTTGTCTTCCAAGAAACGTATCACGTTTAGCTTCACAGCAGGGTGTCGAGCCACTTGTGCAGCGAAGGCTAGTGCCTCCCGGTCGTCTCTGCCACCTATGAATATAATAGCAATGTCCATTGACGCTCCTGGCCTCCACGCCTCTTCTGTTTGCCCGAACGACCTGTCCACGAGAATACCTATTGAACACGGTGCGTTCTTCAGAATCTGCACACACACACACACACAAAATCCAAATCACATCTCTGATGCTTCAGTGACTATAAAAGAAATGAAAGATGGAATCATTACCTTGCGGTTCACATGACGGAACCCTGCATGGCCAGAGTCAAGAGTGCCATCAGGATTGCGTCTTTTATGAAACGGTAGAATTATAATGGAAACCATAAGCTCATCAGCTAAACCGCAGACGTCATGTGCCATGGTCATGAACGTAGACAAGGCCAGCATCCGACGCACTGTCACACCTTGTCCGTTTCTGAGCTCACCGTACCCATTCACAGCCGCGGTTATACTCTCTCTCATCTCTGTCACCGACCTATCCGTTACCGTCACTGAATCGCTACTCTGACCAGCTCCTCCTCCCTTTTTCAGCGTGGCGGCGATCTCATCAGTCAGCTCCACCATATCAGTCGCGTAGAATATGGACCCTGGCTCACGTCCTCCGTGGCAGATCTCCATGAGGTTGAGCGTGGAACCGATGTTATGAGGACCGTGGAGACCGATCAAGATCCGAAGCTCGGTTGTTGGATCGAGCCACTGAAGGGCCATGATGTGCACAGGCACTCGCTTTCTTGCTCGTTTGATTATGTCCATGACCACGAATGGAGAGTAGACCACTGTGAGGACAATGACGAAAATGATCATTGCTCCGGTTGTATTTTTCACCCTGTTTGTCTGCATTTGCATCAAACGGAAAGAAAGTAGAGTAAAGATCTTGTTTTTAAAGATAACTTGAAAAAGAAAATAAAAACAGAGAAAGCTTGATGGTACCCGAATGGCTAAAGCGGCCAAGTAGACATGAAAATGGCCTTTGGTGGTTAAAAGCAGTCCGAGAGATGCGGTTTCTGGGACATGGTATCCGAGAAGTACACCACACAAGACTGTTCCGATGATTTTTCCGAAAATGACAGTGCCAAGAAGAGCAAAGAATCTTGCCCACGCCATTTTATCTCCGATGTCAAAGTTTCTCATGTGGATAATGAATCCAACCCAGAAGAAGAAAATAGGGTAGAAAACCGTGCTGAGCAAGTAATTAATTTTGTTGATGATCCATCTCGACATCCTTCCTTGGTTCGGAAGAAAGAGACCGGCCGTAAAGGCGCTGAGGATTGGGTTGTACATTGACTCCGGTGGCCAAGTTGGGAAACTGCAGATCAAGACAACAAACGCTAAGGACATAACAAGATGAGATCCTTTGAGTGGTTTGCCTTCAGGGTTCTCGTTGTTGACCCAGTTAAGAAAGATTGGTGATACGATAGACGTGAAAGTGACTTGAGCGAGGAAGAGACAGAACATGAGGAGGGCTCTGAAGAATCTGTGGAGGGGACGAGGGAGAGGTTTGTCTGTCGGGAAGAAAATGAATCCGAAGCAGTAGAACAAGGTGGAGATCATGTCGGTGTGGACACCTGCGGCTGACGCGAGCTTCCCGAGATCGGATTTCCTGATTTTGAGGTTGGAGATGACGCGTGTGAGGATGGGAGAGCCTGTGCTCGAGGCCATGAGGGAGAGAGCGAGGGAGAAAATGTAAGGAGCGGTTTTGGTGTAATGGAGGAAAGGTGTTGTGACGAAGGCGAGAACAAAGGTTGTGAACATGCTTGTGTATGCTATGAATGCGTCTTTTGTTGGTGGTCTTAGAAGGACGCTTGGATTCATCTCTAGACCCATCACGAACATGTGGCAGATCATTCCGAATTCGATGATGTTGTTTAGGGTTACAGAGTAAGGACCTGAGAATGCTTCTCGAAACTTTGGAAGATTACCTAGAATTAGCCCTATCTGAGGCATATATAGAAGTTGGATTAGTTTTGGAAAGCAATAAAAGTATAGAAAGACGAAGAAGAGATTTGACGTACGGCAAAGTCGGTGGTGAGGTAAGGTTGGCCTAAGGGCTTCATGATATGATGGAGGAGAGTTCGGATGACGAAAATGGCGATGAAACCAAGAAACTTCAAAGCCTCTTCAGGCTTGTCTAGGTTAAGATACCATTTGTCTCCACATACGTTTTTTGTTGTAGTTGTGTTCATTCTCTCTTTCTTCTTCCCTAGTCGTCTTAGTCGTTTCGTATAGTATTTTTGTGGGATTATTGTTTCTTGAAGAAAGCTTGTGGATTTGAGTTTTTGTTTTTTGACTTTCCAATTTGGTTTAGGGGTTAGTGAATGAGAGGATGTGAATGTTTTTTTACTCAGAAATTGACGGAAGAGACTTGTCGATCCTTTTTTCACGTTCCTTCTCTCCCCAATATTCACCATTCATCATCATTCATCATTGTCAACATGAGTTACATGACCACCATAAAGCAAACTTTTAAAATACTTTATTTTCTACGTTTACAAAAATTCTAACGATACATTATTTTCCTTGTAATCAAATCAATTATAAAATATGTTACTACTCATGGCCATTCAATTTTAATTCGGAATATCTATTTCTGATTGTTGTTCTCTCTTCTAGAACTTGGAGTTGACCTGAATATGAAGAATTGTTCCAGCTTGTTACTGGTACATATTGTTTAATGCGAATATTTATCCAAATGTCTCTGCCTAATATTAGTCTTTTCAATTCTTTGGGTCCAACTTGTTAATCGAAATGAAGAAGATTCCTAAACTTAACAAGAAAAAAAGATTCCTAAAAACCTTCTCTATCTTAAACCCTGAACTATTGAAAACTAACTTAAAACCCTGCATTCAACGGGAGTTTGACGTCGGTGACGTGGCTAACAGAGTAGGTATCACACTCGCACATCAGACATCACACATCAGGAAAATGGACACGTACAGAGAGAGAAACGTCGACGTTTTGAAATGAAAAGCAAAACCAAACTTAAAAAAATACACAAAACGGTCCCCGCACGGTCGACCGTAACGCCGTTAAATTCCCATTATTATCGGGGTTTCTTGGACGGCTTTCGATAGTAGTTTACGGCTCAAATTAGTGAAAGTTATTTATAAAGGTTTCTTTTGACTTAATTGAAAAGTTTAGGGACGTTTTTGATATTTCCTTAACCAAATTGAAAAGTAAAAAACCATCCGTCTCTAGACTCTACACTCTCGTAGATCTTTCTCGATCGGAGTAGTCTTCGTGGGTCACTTCGAAAAGACGACGAATTGAACTTCCCCCCTGAGCTTCCGCTTCTCCTAATTTGTAAGTTCACTCATCTCTCCTCCAAACCCACGGCTCTATTTTCGTTGTCTGCTATTTTGACGAGAACACTTGATTTTGTTTTGGATGATATACTTCTTCCCTTAGCTGACTTCGACCAAGTATTTATGGGCTTTTGTCACTGAGTCTTTCTGGTTCGATTATTCTTCGTAAATTGAGCTTAGAGTTGATCAATTGTGCGTTGTTGTATCCTAATCAGATACCATTTCATACAACCGTTGAAAATGAATGTTTCGATATGTATCTCAATTCTGGGGAATATCACTGGAGATCATGAAATAGTGTTGTTATAGGCTCAAATAAATGTTTATCATCATTCTAAAACTTCTCTCTTCTGACTCAGGCCGTGATTATTTCCAGAAACCATTACAGGATCGAAGCTCCGACTGGAAACAATGGATGAATCTCTGGAGCAGCAAAATCAACCCCGTGGTAAGTAAATTGCCTCTCATTTCTGGTGCCAATTATTTACACTCAGACTATGACTTCGCTACATTTGATTTCAGAAGCTGTTAGCTACAAATATTGGTCCTGCTGCGTCTTTTTTTTTTTTTGACTTAGAAATTCAGATTTTTTTCTGTCTCCATATTCAGTTGGATGATTTGTTTAAAACTAATCGCGTATCAAATTATGTGAACTGCTTTGTTTTACATCACATTATAAGGTCTTGTAGCGAACATGTACAACGTATTTGGTAGAGCAAATAACTTTTCTTTTTTAATAACTGAGAATGGTTACACTATGTTTTTTTCCCTTGCATCGTTCAGCTGAAGACCAAGAGAACGAAATAGTTACTGAAGGTAGTGCTGTTGTGCATGGTGAGCCTGCTCAAGATGGTAGTGTTCCCCCTAAAGTTGATAGTGAAGCTGAGGTCCTGGGTGAGAAAGTCAGTAAGCAGATCATTAAGGAAGGTCATGGTTCCAAACCATCCAAGTACTCAACATGCTTCTGTAAGTTCCCTTTCTACACTTTTGGCTACACTTCTGTAATGTCACTGGTTTGTCTTCCCTTTTTGTTGGAGCCTCTTGACTGATTTCAGAAAATTAGTTAGTTGTAATCATTGATATAAAATTGGAAGATGTGTGCTATAAAAAAAAGTTTTTCAGGTAGTAGAGGGTTGAAATGTGGTAGAAATTTGGTGAACTAGCGGTTCCGATTAAGGAAATTAGATTGAAATGTTTCCTCTAGGTGTGAATGATTTGTGAGGAACCAACGTCTCCTGGAGAAATTAGATTGAAATGTTTGACTATCTCTAACTGAACAATTTTATATTTGCCAATAGTGCATTATAGAGCATGGACCAAAAACACGCAGCATAAGTTTGAGGATACATGGCAAGAGCAGCAGCCCATTGAACTGGTTCTAGGAAAAGGTACGTGGCTGTCCGTTATGTATTCTATCCCTCGCTCTCGTTGGATGCATCATCATTGGTAGATTGCAGAGTCAGCTCGTATATCTTGAACCTAATGAAAATGATATTTGGGAGGAAATAAATTCAGTATCCTCTATGAAAATTTTTCACTTCAAAGCCATGTTGATGTTACTATACAAATTTTTTAAAACAAGATTGTGCACTAAGGAGTGAAAATGTTGTTTGTGAGACAGAGAAAAAAGAACTGGCCGGTTTGGCCATTGGTGTTTCTAGCATGAAGTCAGGTGAGCGTGCGCTCTTGCATGTTGGCTGGGAATTGGGATATGGGAAAGATGGGAACTTTTCTTTTCCGAATGTTGCACCTATGGCGGACTTGTTATATGAGGTTGAAGTTATCGGATTTGATGAAACCAAGGAGGCAAGTTTTATTTCCCTTCATCTGCAGTTTCTTGTTTCCTTACCCTGAAAACTGCACAACCAAGCTCTTAGCTTACAGCTGACTTAGAGGATGACTGTACAGGGAAAGGCTCGCAGTGATATGACTGTGGAGGAGAGGATAGGAGCAGCAGACAGAAGGAAAATGGATGGGAATTCACTGTTTATGGAGGATAAACTGGAGGAGGCCATGCAACAGTATGAGATGGTGATACATCTCTCTCTTCCTTTACAATTACGGTCAAAGTTTTTGATTTTCAGGCATACGAATCGAGTATGCTCAAAAGCTCTTGTGTTATATCTCAGCCCTTGATAAGTTATGGTTTTGCTGTCTCAGGCTATTGCATACATGGGGGATGATTTTATGTTTCAGCTGTATGGGAAGTACCAAGATATGGCTTTGGCAGTCAAGAACCCATGCCACCTAAACATGGCAGCTTGCCTGATCAAGCTGAAACGATACGATGAAGCAATTGGTCACTGCAACATTGTAAGACCCATTATCAAGCAAGAGATCATTTCTTTTCGTACTCGGTTTCTCAAAATCTAATCAAGCTGTAAAAACTTTGTCAGGTGTTGACAGAAGAAGAGAAAAATCCAAAAGCGCTGTTCAGAAGAGGGAAGGCGAAGGCAGAGCTAGGACAGATGGACTCGGCTCGTGAAGATTTTCGAAAAGCGCAAAAGTATGCTCCTGATGACATGGCGATTAGAAGGGAGCTACGAGCTGTTGCAGAGCAAGAGAAAGCTGTTTACCAAAAGCAAAAGGAGATGTACAAAGGCATATTTAGAGGGAAAGAAGAAAGTGGTGCCAAGGCAAAGAGCACCAACTGGTTGATAGTGTTATGGCAATGGTTGGTTTCCCTTTTCTGCCGGATCTTTCGTCGTCAGAGAGTTAAAGCAGATTAAGGCAATGAAGCTTTAACAAATTCAACTATAAAAACACCAAACTTCTGTTGCAATGACTTTGAGAGAAATGGAATCTCTTATCTTATTAATGATGTGAAGAATTTACAAAATAGAAGAAACTAGCTTAGCTATAAGCCCTATAACTACCATGAGGGATTGGGGAGGTTGACATGTGTCCAGGCGAAGTAAGCACAGACCATTAGTTGAGAGATATAAACATAAACTGCGAAAGAGAGACTCATAAGCATCAGATCCTTCATGTCACCTTTCTTCTCTGGCTTCAGATTCTTCCCAAACTTCCCAGCTTCTGAAATCATCCTTGTCACCGTTCTCTTGATCACTCCTTCCCCCTCTTCCGGCAATTTCTGCTGCCGACAAGAAGTCACAGTCAGAGATCTGTTGCTGTGTCTGCTTGGGGCTTGTCTCGTTGTACGGTGGTTGTGGTATTTGCAGAGTGGGTGGTAGAAGGTGGTGGAGAGAGCCGCCATGAGAAAGATGAATAGAATAATTGAAGAAAGCGAGGAAGAAAGAAAGAAAGAAAAAATCTAAATCTTTGATAGGATGAAAACAAAAATAATTAAAAAATTTGGGTGGATAGATCTAATCTATCACTCACTCACACACACACATTGTCACAGCATCTGAGTCCGTATCTATCCAACTCATTTTCTCTATTCACAGTTTCACACACAACACATTTGGACCTGTGAGATAAATGATGACTCAGTGGATAAGCAAAAACAATAAAAAGTCTAGACTCTCTGTATTTTCAAAGGATCTTTATGTCCCTATCACTATAATTAGATTATTCATCGATATGCTTTGAAAATTTTAAAATCGGTTGCTGAAAAAACCGTATCAACTCTCAATATTTAAATAGAGAGAGAGGCCCACGCAACAAATAGCGATAGAGCAACTGTGTCGATTTGTCCAAAAATATTTTTTTAAATTTTCACGTGTCCCCATTCGCTGACGTCATATTTCCCCTTTTTCCCTTTTTATTGTCTCATCAGAATTTCGTTTAATTCATTCATTCAATCATTCAATCCTATTCTCTTCTTCTTCATCTTCTTCCTCAGAAATTTCTAATTGTGTCTCTCTGTGTAGTTTCCGGAGATGTTCTCTTCCTCTACTCTCGTCTATTCTCTTACTCTCTTCCTCTCTCTTTCTCTTCTCTTCTTCCTCTTCTTCCTCTCCCCTCACATCCTTCTCTCTTCCTCCCGCCACAACCTCCTCTCTACCGCCGATGAACTCGACGACCTCTCTCTCTTCCACCGCGCCGCCGTATCATCCTCCAACAACCGTCGTCTCATCTCCCTCTCCCCGATTCCTCCCCCTAAGATCGCATTTCTCTTCCTCACAAACTCCGATCTCACCTTCTTGCCTCTCTGGGAAAGCTTCTTCCAAGGCCACGAACATCTCTACAACGCCTACATCCACGCAGATCCATCCTCCGGCGTATCACCGCTCCTCGATTCGTCAATCAACGCCAAATTCATCCCGGCGAAGAAAACCACGCGAGCTTCCCCGACGCTAATTTCCGCGGAGCGGCGATTGATAGCCCAAGCAATCCTCGACGATCCAAACAACCTCTATTTCGCTCTAATCTCGCAGCACTGCATCCCTCTCCATTCCTTCTCTTACATCCACAACCACCTCTTCGCTCATCGATCCTCACACCCCAGCTTCATCGAGATCCTCTCCGACGAGCCTTTCCTCCCGAAACGCTACGACGCGCGAGGCGAAGACGCGATGCTCCCGGAGATCCGGTACGAAGACTTCCGCGTGGGATCTCAGTTCTTCGTGCTCGCGAAACGCCACGCTCTGATGGTGATCAAGGAGAGGAAGCTTTGGAGGAAATTCAGATTGCCGTGCCTCGATGCCGAGTCCTGCTACCCTGAAGAACACTATTTCCCGACTCTCTTGTCTCTCGAGGATCCCAAAGGGTGTAGCCACTTCACACTCACACGTGTCAACTGGACCGGTAGCGTCGGCGGTCACCCGCACACGTACGGTGCCTCCGAGGTTTCGCCGCAGCTGATTCACACGCTGCGCAGATCCAACTCGAGTTTAGACTATTTCTTCGCCAGGAAATTCTCTCCGGAATCACTGCAACCGCTGATGGAGATAGCAGATGCAGTGATCTTCAGGGATTGAGTCGGTGAAAGTAAATTAGGTAAACACTGAACCACCACCACCACAGAGAGAGATTGAGAGATTGCTCAAGTTGCTTATCGTCATCTTCTTGTTGTATTGTTGTTTCAGGTTGCAGGAAGGTTTAGAAGAAGTTTGGTGTTCGCGCTCGAAGAAGAGTGTCGGCAAATAAAGATGGAAACTGTGTGTGTGTTTCAAATTCACCCCTTATAAATCAAAAGGGTGTATTATGTGTGTTTTAGGGAAATAGATTTGGAAATGGAATGTAAAAAAAATTGTAAATAGCCCCCAAAGGCAACGTGAGAACAAATCATCAAGTTGGCCAAATCGGCTTTCTTTTCACCACGGGAGAGAGAGAGAATTGGCAAAAAGGCCTTCCTTCTCTCTTTGTTTCAAAGTGTGAATGACAAAAATCTTTGTTATATCCTCTTTTAGTCCTTATGAGTTTTTTTAAAAATTCTGCTTGATCGATTGTTCATTGCCAAGTTATGGTCGATTGAGAACGTAGGCGACACTGACTGGCCATTGAACACGAGAATGTATGTAGTAGAGTAATGTCAATGGTAGCTTCAACAATGCTTAATTAAACTATTACTCGATTTTATTTTCTATTCATATTTGCAGAAAAACAGTCTAAAACTTCAAGTCGGTCACAGTTGTTGTATCAGAACAATTAGTAAGCTTCCGAACTAGTATCAACTTCATCATTCTCGGTACTTTCAATAAAAACATGCTTTACAAGAGGACTGTTCAAGTGTCTACCCATAACGTTTTGCGAGAGAATCCTCTAAGTGTGACCTTACTCTATCATATGTACCCGAAGAAAAGAAAAACACAAACAGAGGGAAGTAAGAGATGCACCATTTCATCATGATGTTGCTTCTACTTCCAGCGTCTCCCACAGCTTGAACGCTTTTCCGATGACTGGTTCAGCTGAGAATCCGTCTGCGTATGCCGCCATCGCGATTACCAGGCTTTTCCATCTCTCCCCATTGTCCTGCACACATTTCCAATTTCCTACTGTTACTTATCTCTCTCTTTCCTTTCATACTTCCTTTTTTTCCAATTCGTTTAGTGTAAAACAGATTATTATCATACCAACCTCCGGTTTCTTAAAAGTAAGATCTTTCGTGTCAAATGGTACCATGTAATCTGGGAGATCAGACCGTAACAGTGCCTGCCATTAACGAAAATTCATCATCCATACCTTTCGAAACTCAAGTTACTCAACAGCTGGGAAAATGAATGAGAGAAGGAGAAAAAAAAACATAAGTCTTACCAACTTCTTGCTTAGAATGGCTTGCTCTGCATTAGCTATAATGGCCTGTTGCAAAGACCAAGGAGATAGAAAAATTAGGCCTGGCTTGTTACAGAAGCACTAGCTTTCCTAAGCAAAGCCATTCACTCACCTCTTTTATTCGTCCTTCCTTTATTTCATCAACAGACTGCAACATATTTTCCAATGAGCCTGTTGATACAAATAAGAGTGATTCACAGGTAACACGGGGCACAAACCAATGAAATCAAAGACTATAGTATATGTGCCAACGACTTACCAAATCTAGATATCAGTTCAACTGCATGCACGTTCCCAATTCCATCAACTCCTGCACGTAACTCATACATCATCAGATTACTTTTGACACAAATACAGCTGTGAAAGGAATATGTTCAGAAAAAAATATCTGAAACAAATTCGTAAAGGGTAGATTAGTCGGGGCGTAACCTGGAATATTATCAGACTTGTCTCCAACAAGGGAGATGATATCAACAAACTGTGATGGCTCCAAATTTCCAAACTTTTTAGCAAAATCTTCTACTCCGAAAGAAATCATCCTGGCCATAAGATGCGGTAGCATTGACAACACTGAGTGAAAAAACCATACATATAAAACAGCCAAGGAATATCTGAAAGAAACTTCTAAGCCACATCTATATCCTAATTACAAACGAAAAAAATGTCTAGAGTATAGCACAGTTTCCTTAATCCACAAATTTCTATAATGAGACAATGATTCATCTAAGTCCATTAATTTCTTACTCTGATCCGCGTGGTGCAATTCGAAGAAGACGCAGTGAGGGAGAAAGAATCTGAAAGAAATCTTTGTCTGGAGAGACAACTCGAACCTGTAAGGAGGCGGCAACAAACAAATGATCAGTTCACTTCTAGGAAAAAATAAATAAGCAGAGAACACTTCTTGAATAGCTGACAATAGTTACTTTGAAACCGGTACCAATGCTTCGCATAGCCAGTGTTCCAATAACATCATCAGCTTCTACACCTGGCACCTGTCTTCATGGAATTTCTACCCTTTAGTGAATAATTATAAGTTAACAGAATAAAAAGAAATATGACAATCATGTGTATGATTTACCTCTATAACCTTTATAGACATTGCCTTGATGGATGCTTTGAGATATTGAAGTCCTTGCACTATAGTATCAGGTGTGGGAGGACGATTACTTTTATAGGCGGGGTAGAGAGTATGACGGAAGTTCATGCCTGTAAAATAAAAAGTACAGAATAACGATTATCACTGCCTAAATTCTGCCAGCAAACAACCCAATAGAGAACAACGCTAGCATTTCCCTTCAAATGTCACACTTGGCAAGTAGACAATAACATTTGGAATAACTTCTCTTAGGCACACAGCATGAAATCAGTTCAATCTGCAAGTAAAGATTCAAAGAAGCAATGTACTGTTGGCTCGTGTAGCAATTTAATACCCTCAGCGACGATATTACATTCATCACCATCGAGTCAGCATACTAACTTAACTCTCATGCAATAACACCGATTTCTTATACGGTCGACTGATCTAACTAAAATTATTAACTATAGCTTGACTAAGGACATAAGCTTTACCTTTTGCAGAGTGATAACTTTTCGATGAATCAGAAGTAGTGCCATAAGGAACTCCTGAAAAAGGCTACTTAGTCAACAAAAAAAAGGTGTAAACTAGAGACGTACAGGTGCACAAACCAATTAACCTCTTGTTTCACATAACCCAGCTTACTAGATATCACTGTCAGATTATCACTATCATGTATTAGTAGAAAACCATCTCTTGATACTGTAGTGGGAGATTTAATCAACAGGACAGTAATATTATCACATCAAGTGATCAAATTTTTTGCCCTAAAACATATCGCAATCTAGGTGGAGGCCTGCTTTCTCCTCGGCATATAGAATAAAAATTTATCAACCACTATGAAACAAATGAAGTAAAAAACGTGAAATTAAAGCTGAACACAGTTATATGAATTCATATGAAAGAGGTTCAATAATGAATATTACATTTATAGATGACTTGCGGAGAAAACAAGCATCAACAGATCAGGGTCAAGCAATCACATACTCGAGCAAGAAGTATCAGGAAATTCAGTGGCCATAACTACCGATTTAGAACAAAATTAAGGCCTTGTCAACCAATTTGTTCATATTATCTGCCACGCAAACCTAAAGTGGTTAACTATAGACACTAAAAGTCCCCCCCAAAAAAAACCTGAATTCCTCCTACAACACCACAAAAAATACCTACACGTCCATCAATCTTAACAAATTGTGGCAGACCCAATGTCTGCTTACACTAGGACTCACCATCATGGTCGAACACCACCTGCAAGGACATACTTCACTAAGTCAGTAGGGAGACGTGAAAACCCAACTGACAATTGCAGACAATGAGAGATAAAATAAAGAGTGGAATATACCGCCACATGGGATGGGAGAAATCTCAGAACATCAATAATCTGCATATGAAAACACAATGCAAAAAAGGTAAGAAGTCGAATCCTAAAGTTTGAACAGGCAACAAGAAAGAGATACTTAAGCCTTAAATTGAGAAACACAACTCTAAGCAGCCATGATTACTTGATCAGCTATCCGAAATGCTACAAGAAGCTTTTCTCAATCATCAGACTAAAGTACAATGTAAATGAACATCCCAAGCACAATATAAAAATTATCACTTACAAGAGAGAGAGCTGAAAATATTGTTAAAACCCAGTCCGCGTTTCCATCAGCGTGAGTCAGATGACCATGATTCAACCTTGCTGCACTTTTCCCAATCAAACGTCAGCAAGTGTGAGTGAGACCCGAGGAAAAAAAATTACATTCTGTGTACACACTAGTTGTTGCATACCTAAAAGCTTATAGTAAGCCCTGTACATAATGGATGTCCCATCAATAAGCATCATTTTCCCATTCGAAGAAGCAGCGCTGCTTGCTGTTCTTTCTTCTGACTTGAAGGGAGATCTTATCGACTTTAGCCCCACATCTTCGCTTTTAGAAGATCTCAATATATCGCCACTAGCCGCCTCATTTGAGGTTTCAGAAACAACCGCTTCCAAATTATAGGTGGAGCTGCAATAACACTGAGCTCCACACATGTGAGCATCAACATTGGACTAAAGTTGCAAGGAATTTTAGAAATGGAAGAACAAGTATACCACAAGATCAGTTTTACACGACTAATTTTTTTGGCTATTGTTGAATTAAGCAGAATTAAACAGCAAGGTCGCTTGAGAAAGATATCACATCATATTCCCAGAAGAAACAGTCAATTTCCGATTCGTAACAGTGACACCAGCTACTAAATCCTTAAACTAATCAGCAATAACAAAGCTAATAGCTCACAGAATTGAGCGACACAAAACAAGTGAGCATCACCTTCGCGGCGCGTGCAAGGGAAGGAGAGATGAGAGAATAGTTCCTGTTGCCCAGATTTCTAATTCTCCGAGGAAAACAGAGATTTCTCAATAGCAAACGGGAGTGATGAGAGAGATGCGACGCCATGAGGTCACTGAATAAACAAATGTAACAGAGAATCGAAACCAAAATCGAAGATGTAGACGAAGAAGCTAAAAAAAGCCGAGAGCAAGCGAAGAAGGATTGTGAGAGAATCTTCTGGAAATGGAAAAGGAATTTCTACAAGGAGGAGAAGAAGGATTTTACCGCTTTGTGTGTTCCTCGAGTGATATCTTCTCGCTCCCAAAAATTCGCCGTTTGAGACTTTGAGCTCAGAAGACTACAGTTCGTAATTAAGTGGGCTTAATAAAGAGCAAGAAATATGGGCCTTAAAGAGCCATTGTATAGGCTTTGAGTGTTACATTTCTTCTATTACTAACAAAACCTTTGTCGCAGAGTGTGGAAACGAAGGAAAACCCTAGAGACAACGATCAAAGATGACGCAGAAGAGCAATCAGTTCAAGGGGCAAAAGAAGAAGACTGTTGCTCTAAATCGCCATGGCAAATCAGTTCAAAATCGTAAAGGTATACACTTTTTCTTGCAGCTTACACTTGATTCTCAGATTCTTATCAATCGTTCTTCATCCAGGGAGGAGATTCATGAAACCATCAAAGACGACAAAAGAGTTAGACACCGATCGGGTACTTTCTCTTTTCCTTCCATCTCCTCAATTCTGAGTCGATTTGATCAAACTGTGTTCTTCTAATAGTAAAAGTGTGGTTACTGTGTTGTTGAATGGAGCAGGAGCTTACAAAGTTCATAAACCATTGCAATGAAGTGAAAGCAGCAAATGCGGCTTGCAAAGAAGGTGGTCAACTTAATATCCTCAAAGCCGAATCTCAAGCTGAGCCATCCAAGAAATCCGCCAAATAGACGACGAATCTGTTTCTTCTTTTTTTTTTTTTTCCAGTGTTTCAACTTTTTTGTAATTCATTCACAACAATAGTACAATCAATGAGTTTTGTCTTCAAATCATTTATAAATGCTATATTGAAACCGAATCATTTTGTCACAAATACAACAAAGTATCTGCTTAAAAACAGTAACAATTCTCTACTTGTGACCTCCTGAGAGATTGAATTTCCATACGCTTATGAATTTACCACCGTGAGCTGTAACTACCTTCTTCATTCCCATCGCTAAGCAACTGATCTGAGACCGATTTCTCCATTCAATGTTATCAATTTCAATGTCTTCAGAAACTCTTTTGCCTCTCCTTTTCTCGACAATCCTTCTCTTCTGAGTTGTTGAGACCTTATCGTCCATTATGCAGCTAGAGAGAACTCTTCCACTCTTCTGTTCAATCACTCGCAGCACACCGTCTATTCCACCAACAACCATAACCGATGTATCGTTTCGTAGCTGTTGTATTGAGTAGACGACATTAGGACTCACTCGTTCTTCCCACAACTGTCTCATTTTCCTGTGATAAAGATTTGATTATATAACACATTTCCAAGTAGACAATTCAAATTTGCATATTTTAAACAAATACCTGAGGTCCCAGCATGAAACATATCCAGCAGTTGTTCCAGAGAAGGCGAGATTAGAGCATTGGTTAAAGCATATGGTTTGTATACCTGTGGAGAACAAGAGGGGTTGCTTTAGGCATTCTCACTGGAAATGCAATCTGATATGGAGTTTGTTGTACTTACCTCCTGCAGTTATTGTGGATTTAAGAGTAGCCACTGGTTGATCCAACAGAGGATCAGATAGTGTGACTCTCCCGAGTGAAGATCCGCTAAGATACAGTTGATTATCGCTCATAGATAAGCATGTTATTGGCCCACCGTGAGTCCTGCAATTAAATAGTTTACAGCATTGTAACGATACCAATATTTTCCAGTTTCAAAACACAACAGACAGAGGAGTGTTTCGTAGCATACTTAATGATCTGTGAACATGTCTTACTGTACATGTCAAATACACGAGCTGTCCCATCCTCACATCCAACTACAGCCTCTGGGTCGATGTAACTGGTTCATAACAAAAACAAAAAGCTTTCTCAGAGTGGACAATAGAAATTTTACCAGGGTATATTAGCAGTTATTATCAGGTAACATGAAGCACTAGTTGGTCATTTTATAACAAAATGAGCTAAGATATCAATAAACAGGAAGGGTTCTCAACAACTCGATATTTTAGGAGTATTGTTTGACATACCGCATACAAAGGCCCTTAGGAAACGTGCCTTCACGAGATGGAAACATGCTTCGTTGTCCATTTCTCCGCCATATGCTTATGCGGGTACCAACCAAGCCAACAATCTGAAAAAGAAAATTCAAAGTTAGGGATTCTGCTCTTGCTCAAGATAGTTTATTTTTTCTGATTTCCTACACTTATAAAGGCAATAACATGATTCATCCAAAAGAAAAAACATAGTACTTCTACTGCAAACATCCAGCTAGAAGAGTGATCGATTCTAGATATCTAGTCAGACAAACGATAACATGAAAACAAGCTATACTTTGATCATTAATTCCTTATAAACTAATTGCCAGTTCAAGTAAAGAACAGTTTGACTGAATGTAGGCTATGTAGCTGAAACATCAAAACTAGCAGAAGTCATTCATAACATAGGATTGTACTTGAGGTTTACCTTACTCTCATCAAAATCGAAGTCAATCAAGGAAGCAGCATTAGGAAGGGAGTATTCTTCCATACATTTGTAACTATCTAATGACCAGAGGCGCATCACCTGATAAAGCAGCCAGAGATTGATTATCTTAGCCAAGACGATCCCTAATCGCAAAATTGTATACTTAAAAAGCCAATTTACAATAAGGAACATTCACCTTATCACCTACACCAGTAAGAAGCAAACCCTTCTTCATCCGACACTGAGAAACCCTGACATAAAAGGACATTAGAAAAATCTGGGGCAAAGAGTGTATCTTTGGAACAACGGGAACGTTGCCTCACCGGTATGAATGAGCTTCCCATCGCTCAATATCGATTCGGCCTCGTAGCAATGCTAAATTGTGATGTTTCATAGCACAATTCTCCACGTCTATCTCAGCTGGGCGCTCTTGCGACGCGGAGCTGCTGGGGAATTCGGAACCGAGCTGCTGCATCTTCCGGCATGAAGCTTGTATCAGCTTCTGCCTCTTGATTACAGCATTCCTCGATAGCAATAGAGAAAATTACGGGAATAAAAGTCAGCAAGGGATTGCAAATTACTCAGAATTTTCTCAGCTAGGTTACTTTGTTGGAAATTTCAAAGTTGAAAGTTGAAAACCATGGAATTAGGGGAAAAGCTAGGGATTGGAATTGGAGGGAGTACCAGGAATTGCAGACAACGTTAGAGTAGGCGAGGTCAACTAAATCTAGGAAAGAAAAGATTATGCACAATATGTCGCCGTTTAAAGACTGGATCGACGTTGGTGCTCTACGTTGTATCTTTCTCGCCGACGACTCGCCGTCGGCCTCTGTTATCACCATCTCTCTTTTTTGTCTTCTCGCGTTTCTGCTTGTTGCGAGAAAAGACGGAAGCTTTTCGTAATAGTTATGTAAATTAAATTTTACTAAGCTTGGAATTACCGACCCAAAAAAAATGTCATTCAAAACCCAACTTGATATGGGTTCTTGTATGAAAACAAACACTAAGCTAAATGATTGCACTTTTTTTTTTATTAAAGCTTGGGATAAGTTAGTTTGAATTAGTGGTGAAAAAAAAAATGTGAGTCCGATTCAGGAAAATGATTGTTTCCTGGTTTACAAGATTGAAAGAAAAACGATCTCAATAAATATTAAAAACACTGATTTGGTGATTTTTGTTTTTTGCATAAAATCATTTGGACTATTTATGGATTTGTGCGTGTTATCTGAGTGTTTCATGCTATTTTTTTTTAAATTATTGTTTCAGTTTCATTGAACATATATCTCGAAGAGTCAGTTGGTGTAGTGTTCTTCCGAATATATTTTAACGATTAATCCAATAAATGATAACACTAGCCACTAACCATTGGTATGAACAGTGGAGAAATAGTAAATAATTTTGTGGTAGTCGTATTCTAGCCGGTTTGATAGACAACGGACTCAGTGAGCTATTGGGTGAAATGGAGCATTATTACAGTCAACGTAGCTATAAATTTACCATGTAAATGGCGACCCAAATGCGCCTGTCTAGTCGTCTAGAGTCTAGACATTTGAAGTTTCACTTATGTTAATGTAAACATTTCCGTGCCATTTTTTGGGGTAAGAAAGATAATGTATTGACCTTGGAATATTTCGAATACGTACATACACTGTACGAGATGATCCCATCATACCATACGCAATGTGATGTCTACATTATATAATACGTTGAATGAACAAATTAACCAAAAAAAGTAAGAAAAATAAAAATTTGGCTTCAAAGCGAAGCACTTGATTTAAAAAAGTTGTTAAAAAATCATTCCACGGGCCGACCCACGGTTTCAACCATCATACACGGGTTTCCAATGCCTAACTCATCCCACCGTCGTGACCTAACCGACTTGGTCAGCCCCGTGAGCCACCCAACCACTTCCTCCATTCCCGGCCGTCTCTCTCTACACGTTCTCACGCACTTAGCCGCCACCAATCCCAGGTGGTTCCTCACGCTCACGTCCACCGGCGGCCCGATTCTCGGGTCATAAATCCCGCCGATCTTCCCTCTTTTAATCATCGGGATCGCCCAATCCACTATAAACGACGGCGAGTACCTTACGTCGATGGCTTTCCTTCCGCTGATTATCTCCAGCAACAAGATCCCGAAGCTGAACACATCCGTTTTCGTGCTCAATCTGTCCGCCGTCACATAATCTGGGTCTAGGTACCCCATTGTTCCTGCCGGCGGAGTCGATTTCACTTTCTGATCATCCGCATTGCATCTGATCGCCAGACCGAAATCGCCTAGCTTCGCGTTTAGGTTCTTATCCAACAATACGTTCGCCGATTTGATATCTCTGTGTATGATCGGTGGCTCCTGCGAGTGTAGCAATTGTACGGCCTTTGCTATCTGAAGAGCTATTTTGACTCTCTTCCCCCAGCTCGATATCGCTCCGAAATTAAAAGCCGACTCCGAGTGGATCACGTCGTAGAGACTTCCGTTCCACATGAATTCCACCACGATGAGAGGATTCCTGGCATTATCAGCGCTGAATCCTAGGAGATTCACGAAACTAGGGCTCCGGATCCTCGAGAGAATCTCGAATTCGTTGTGGAACTCCCGGCTGATTTCTCTGGATTTCGAAGGCCTCTTGACGGCGACGAGACGGGAACCGATGACGGCCTTGTAGACGCTTCCGTGGCTTCCACGTCCTAGAAGATTGTTGATGGCGAATCCGCCTGTGGCAGCTTCAAGGTCGCGATGCAGGAAACGACGCAGCTTGGGGCGGTCTTCGGGAGGAGATTCCGGAGGAGAAGCTTTGCTAACGGTGGATCCGGATGTGGATGCGGACGATGAGACGACGATTGCGACGGCGGATCCGGCCTTGCAGGAGAGATAACCCATCGAGTTGAGAGAATGTAGAAGGACGAAGAAGAAATGGGAAAGGGAAAGGTGTGGAGTTTAATGGCGTGAGAAGTCATTTTGGTAATTTAGCGACAATTGATTTTAGAATCAGGGAAGTGGAGTAGTCATGATGTTATTTTATTTTGTTCTATTCAATTTTTTTTTCTTTCTAATTATGCCAAAGCCGACTCTGTAATTTATCATCACTCCATATTGTAAAGAAGAATTTACAATTTACACCTGATTACTAAATTAATTATATGTTAACCCTGGACTAATAATAAAGTAATTAGTCTGCTTCGCTCACATCTTTATCATCAAAATTAATTGACTAGAGATTATTTATTCACCATGTCCATCCGACCATCCCTTCAGCACACAACTATTTGGTTCGACGGCTGAGATACTGCCACGTGTTATTTTGATGTTTAAGCACGATGGATGGGGAGCGATGACGTGTAATTAATCGATTGGAAGAACACGTTGTAAGAAAATTAGTTCCGTATAAAAAAAATCTGAAACAAAGAAATGCTGCTAAGTCGCACAACTGCAAAACCTTAAGCTTTCCTTTACTGATTTTGACTGCCGCCGGGAAGAAGATATGACGGCTATCAATATCTTCCGATGTATGTTTCTATTGCTTGTGATCGCATTCGTCGGTCGTTCCACTGCCGAGCGAGTTAACTCTTCTGGGGGAATGGTCTGGTCCACTGCGAGAGATGAGGCGGGATTGGCAGAAGATTCCGGCGTGGTGATCGGAGAGCAGGATCAAATCGACGGTGGATTTTCTTCCCTGGATGGGATGTTACACTGGGCCATAGGTAAAATTAACTTTCCCACTCTTCATCTTCTTCTTTTACTATTTTTTTCCCTTCCAGATCTGATTCTACGCCGAATATCTCCGATAGGTAATTCGGATCCTGCGACACTGAAGGAAGCAGCTCAAGACTCACAGAAGATGTCTCTGGATGAGTTACAGAAGCGTCAGTTGGAGTTAAAGGTGCATAATTTTGGTAACTCTGTTTTAGTTTCTGCTTGTTCTTCTCTGGAATCCCAGCTGAAACTAGTCTTGTACAGGAGCTGGTGGAGAAGCTGAAAATGCCATCAGACGCCAAGCTGATGCAAATAGCCGTATCTGACTTGAACAATTCTTCATTGTCTCTGGAAGATCGTCACCGTGCTTTGCAGGAGCTTTTGATCCTCGTTGAGCCTATCGATAATGCAAATGGTAACTAAGAAAAAAATCTCTTATCCAGCCGGAAGCCTTGTTCCCTTGGTTGTAGTTTCTCATCATTCTTCTCTGTGCAGATTTGAGCAAATCGGGAGGGCTTAAAGTTGTCGCAGGAGAGCTTAGTCACTCTGACTCGGATACAAGGAAACTAGCTGCGTGGGTGCTCGGGACGGCTAGCCAAAACAACCCATTTGTTCAAGAGCAGGTATGTTTTGCAGAGCGGAAACAGTGTGTAGAAAGTAGAAACCATCAAAAGCAAATCATGTTTTTTCTTCTTTGAATAGGTTCTTGGAACTGGGGCTTTAACAACATTGATAAAGATGGTAAACTCAAGCTCTACCGAAGAAGCTGTGAAAGCACTCTTTGCTGTGTCTGCCTTGATACGTAACAACGTAGCTGGTCAAGACATGTTTTATGCAGCACATGGATACATTATGCTTCAGGTGAGCACACCAGAAAGACTCAGTTTTTTGTCCATTTACTCTCTAAATAGAGAAAAACCAATTCAGGTTCTTCATTCTGTAGGATGTGATGCGGAATGAGAGCTTGGATATTAAACTGCGACGGAAAGCTGTGTTCTTAGTTGGTGATCTGGCCGAGTGTCAAGTACAGAACACAGAGAAATCTGAACTTCCTATTTTCAGTGACCGTGTGTTCCTAAAGTCTGTGGTCGATTTGATCGCTGTGCTTGATCTTGATCTCCAAGAAAAGGTTAAACTAGTCCCATGACCTTATTTTCCCTCTATGAATCTTGGCACACTTCTCCTTCTAACTCAGGATGTGTGTTTTCAGGCTCTTGAAGCAATCAAGACTCTTCTTCAACTTAAATCCGTAGAGCCTTCGGTTCTGAGAGACTTCTGTGGGTTGGAAGAAGCACTAGAGAGAATGAAGCTGCAGCTGGAGGAATCAATGGCGGATGAAAACAAGAGAGACTATGCTGAAGATGTTGAAAGCCTTCGTGGTGAAGTGGAATTGATCTTCCACGGAAAGCTTGGACGTGTTATCAGTAAGAAAGCAACTCCATCTGCTTTGATTTAGCTGTAGGAGTTGTCCACAAATCTAACAGCCATAGATAGATTTAAGATGTGTAACTTAGACGGATCTTGCTTATCAATTTTGCATGCTATTGTCTTTACTTTAAGAGGTTCTCTTCCCATCATCTTTAGTTCCATACATCATGTTTGCAAGGTTTTCTGTATATATTGTTACAAACTTCCACTATTTGCTTGATTAGTACTCTGTTTAAAATAATGGAGTTGAATAAACTATGGCATTGTTGTAGCGACTGAAAAATACAGAAACAAAAACAATAGAGATGACTCAAGATTTGTCACATGGTAAGTCCAAATAGAGATGCGGTCATGCTTTTCCTTGTCCTGACTGCAACCGCGCCTATGTATGCGTAATCTTCAATGGCCCTATCAAAAATGTTGCACCGCTTAAACTCCGGCATGAACAGCCACAAAGTCATCACCAGCACAAACCCGATAGTCAAAACCCGAGCTACACCTGCCGGAATACTCCACCTTCCGCTAACGGATTTCTTGACGGCGATCTCCAAAGTCGTGAAGATTCCGTTTATAAGGAAGAACCACATTACCTTCCAGTCTGGCTTCAACCGTCCAATGTAGAAGAAGATGAGCTGGTGCATTAACCCCGAGACAACGAAGGTCCCGAAAACAGCCAAACCCCGAGACCAGTCCCGGCCCAAGACGGAGAACAGCTGGACCGTTGGCTCGTACACGGTTGGCCGTAGGATTCCTGTAACCATCAAGTTCCATCGTCTCCCCCAAAAATCTTGAAGCGATGTTGCCAGGTACGGCTTGTCGAACTGTGGCTCGAGCTCGAGATTCGACATGGCTCGAACGAGGGCTGCGGTGGCGGCTAGAATGAGCTCGAGGGCTAAATAGATGTGGATCGCGTAGAGAGTCAACACGGCATTCTCGGGGAGGTTCCTGTAATAATCGTTGACTACTGTGACAAGTACGAGAAGAGCTGCCTTTATGGTGTAACTCAATGGACCCTGTCTGGAATCTCCGTTGGATTGAGATGTAGGAGGTTTAGGGCTCAGCTGAATCTTGATGGGCAAGCAAGACACAGCTAAGAAAACAGGAAGAGAGAGGGGTTTAGGGCTTGGAGATAGAGGACCTCGTCCTAAAGCAAAGAGGAAGATCTTGAAATTAGCTAGCCAAGCGATGAAAAATGCTGTGATGCCGACTAAATGTATGGAAGATATTGAGAGAGGAACTATGAAGAAAATGAGCAAGACAGGGATGACCAGTATCAGCATTGTGATTCCTTTTGGAACTAATTTGGAAATGAAGAAAGTGTAACACAATGAAACGATTGCTAAACCCCATGCCTCAATGAAACTCATAATTCTTTTGCTTCTGAAAATTCAAGTCTGGGGAGAAGAAGGAAGAAGATGATGAAGATAATGGACAAAACTGACTCGGAAACTTACAGAACATGGCATGCCATTAATGAAAACCATGTGTCAAAAGTCTTCTTTCTTTATTTCTACTCGTTCACAAGTTGACATTAAAGAATCAATTCTCTTTTGTTTTTTTTTTTTCATTTTCCATTCATTAGAATATTTATTGCGATAAGATATGGTAAACTAGCTTATGCCTCTTCCAGTAAAGTCATAGAGACCGTTTCAAGGTAAACTATCATCCTCTCTGTTCTCCTCGCAACTTTTTATTTTTGTTTCTGTGATCTCAAAATCAAAAACCATATCTTTCTTGGAATTTGGATCTTCCATCTTTTGTTTTTTGCAAAGGAAAACAACAAGTCTCTTGTCTTGATTCTCTGTATCCGTTTCTTCTTTCGGTCGTGTTAAAAAATAAAATTTAAAATAGTTGACTACTGTTGTATTCATCCACTATGTCTGATCAGGAACAAATTCTTCAACAGCATCTTCGCTTTAATCAAATAACCTAATAACATCCACATAACTCCATATCCCATTTTTTGAACAGAAGATGTGTTTTCTTTGAAGATCCGGAGTTTGAAATCAAAGATTTAAAGATGGATGAAGAAGAAGTAAAAATTTGGGACGGAGCATCGAGAGGATGTAGCCACACTCATAGTTGCAACCCTCCAGGTCCAGAGGATGCTTCTCACTCACACATATGCTTCCACACTCACACTCATCTCATCATCCCTGTAATAAAAATACATATATCTTTATTTCTCCATATAATATGATATGGTTCTGATATGAGAGATATGATTATATTCATATTGTTAATAGGATCAGCAAGAGAATGATCATTCTGACAGCAGCAACAAGAAACGCTCATGTGGGAACAGAGAGGCAGTGAGAAGGTATAGGGAGAAGAAGAAGGCTCGAACTGCGTACCTTGAAGACGAAGTGAAGAGATTGGAAACTCTCAACGGACATTTGCTTAGAAAGCTTCAAAGCCAAGCAATTGTGGAAACCGAATTCATCAGACTCCGGACTCTTTTGGTAGAGATGCAGGGGATGATTGATGGTGAACTTGCCGGTTTCTCATTTCAGAAACAATGCAACGATTCTGGTTTTGTGTTCAAAGAAGGTGAATGTCTTCTACTGTTTTTGGTTTACTAGATGAATTTGATTGCCAAAAAATCTATTTAAGTTATGAAAATGTCACAATGAAAAGAGCAAGAAGTAGCAAATAGGGTTAATATACAGTATGTAATTAGCGGAATACGGTAATAAAATAGCCAAAATAATTGAGTTGAATCTATAGACTACTGATTTTTTCATTTTCCACACGTGCATTGAAAATGAAAAACTGTTCATCGTTATTTTCTAACAAACTGGCTTTTTAGATTGGATTATGTTTGACCTAGGCCGAACCCTAACACATTTTCAATCTCGTGTAATCACACAGGTGGATGCAACGTAGCAACAGAGAATGTGATGTGTGAAGCGGCAAGAGTCGAGTGCGAGGAGAGCCAATCACTAGATGCTATTCACTCATTTGTTCCCCATTCACCACCATTCTCACGTTAAGCTTTTTACATTTCGTGGTATTGTGCATATATCCATACATATACGGTGTCTAATTATGGCATACAATAGTCAACATATACACAGATTGTAGCTTATTCCATATGTCTATTATAAGGGTACCAAAAACATATTGACTAGATTTGATTTGAAATAAGGAGGAGGATTGTGGTTACTTGTAAGTGTAACTGTATGCATGATGTTGATTGTGGGCTTGGAAGATCTTTGGGGGTCCATATATAGATTCTCTATTTGTGGGCATGGTGAAAACCCAAATTAATAAGGATAAGGTATGCATCATACACACATGTGTAGTGTTGTTAAATCATATTTTCTGAGGCATGCATATGAATTCCATTGCTGTGTACTGCCCCAATCATTGTATTTTTCTTCAATTTGTTTCAAATATTTGCACAATAGTAATCATTCTCCCATGTAATATTTTACATGGGAATCAAAATATATATGGATGGGTCAATGATAAGGCCGCAATGTTAGATTTTTGGGGTAATTATTCAGCAAGAGTTTATAATAATACTAATATTGGAACACATAATCATAGAGTGAGGAGGTGTTAGGTGCCTCGGCTCCTGTGACTAGACTAGACCACTGCTTTTTGACACCCAAAAAAAAAACTATTATAATCATTGCTTTCTCTTGTGGGTCATTCTTCTTTTACAAAAAGGCCCTTTCAAATTTTAAAATTTTGAAAAATACTAATTCCTTTTACCCTACATTCATTTAGAACAATCATGTCTTTTCATCTTTAATCCTACCCTCTCATCTATACAATATAATAGTCTGAGCATTTCATTTTTTTCAAAAAAGTTTGAATATGTGAAAGTACATACGTAAGATTGTATTATATAGTTAGTCCATACTCTATGACAAAGGTAGTTAATTGCTTCAAATAAGAAACAAATGAAACTCGTCAACACATCTTACAATTTATATATGCCATGAGAGTTTAATTACGACAGATTGATACTGTTTTTATTTAGTTTTCTTCAGCCTCATGTGATAAAAGCGTGCAATAATGATTGAATCAAATACTCCAGCGGTACTAAATCAAAACGAAAGTGTCTAACCAAACAATTAATTATCTTCAAAAAAAATCAGTACCAGGGGATTAAGCTGGATAAGTGACAATTTGGATGACATGTTTTTTTATGTTTCATAATTACTCATTTTGATCTTAAATGACAATAAAAGGAAATTAATAACAAGGGGAGGAAACACAGATTAGGGAAGAAACCAGGTGTTTATTTCCTTTTTAATTAACCAAAAGTATAGTTTTACTTAAATGTGTCCCTACAAAAAAATAATGATGAAAATGAGAAAGAGACGGTAGGAGAGAGTGGAGACCCCAGCAATACAGCTGGTCTGCATATCAATCACCGGCGCGTGCGTTAACACACCCGAACGGAGAGCGCGTGGATTTCAAATGTCCTTGTATGAAAAAAATGGGTTATGTCAGAGAACGTGCAATGCAACCATCTTTTGTTTTTTTTTGTTAATTTGCTTTTAAAAACAGTTTACAAATCTTTCTCTATTTCTCTCTCTCTCTTCTTCATCCACTCGTGAAAGACCAGAGAGTTTTCTCCTGATCCACACACACAACACAACTCAACACAGAGATCCCAAATCCGGAAGAAACTTCCTCATAAGTCATCACTCAGATCCACTCAACACACACAATCATGTACGTACACCTTCTCTCTCTCTCTCTCTCTCTTTCTCTCTGTTAAACTTTCAATTTTGGTGATAAGAATCTTACATGATGACACATCTTTCTTCATCTATTCACAAAAGGAGCAGTAAACGTCAGTCACCTGCAGGAAATTCACTCTTGTACCAATAATGTTCTCCATAGAAGTTTCAACTGTCTATCATTTTGACTTTTTTCAGGTAATTAAAAATTTACTTTTTTCCTTCCTCAGTTGAAACTGGTAACCGTCTACAGTCTACTAAACAAAACAAAAAAGCAATGATTTTTTCTTTTGTTTCCATGTAAAAAAATTCGGCATGCAAAAACTTCATTTCGTCTTTTTTCCTAAAAAAGTTTTTACTTTTTCCTATTTTTCTCCGACTCTTTTTCTCAAAGTGTTTTTCTTTTTTTGTTTCTTCTTCGTCTTCCTTACAAGCACGCGAGAAGATAAATGAACTTTTATACCATTTCCGCTTTTTAAAGTTTGATTTTTTACTCTTGTTTTTTTGCTGTGTTTCGCAGGAATCTGAGATGAAAAACTGTAGATAGTTTAAAAAACAAAACTGTAGTTTAGAAAGCAAAGAAAAATTAAACTTTGAACTAAAATCCAACACAAGAAACCAGAGAGACCTCTTAACGACAACAACCTCTCTGTACACAAGACAACAAACACTCTTTCTACAAAACACACCACTCTTCCTTCTTCTTCTCTCTAAACTAATAGAAGAGAGAGAGAGAGAGTGAGAAAGAAAGAAAAAAGCCATGGATGGGTATGAAGCAACTCGGATTGTGCTCTCTCGAATCCAAAGCTTAGACCCAGAAAACGCATCGAAGATCATGGGTCTTCTCCTTCTCCAAGATCACGGTGAGAAAGAGATGATAAGATTAGCTTTTGGTCCAGAGACTCTTGTTCACTCTGTAATAGTCAAGGCTAAGAAAGAGTTAGGTCTCATGAGGCCTTCATGGAGTCAAGAGGAGTTAATTAGCCCCAAGAACAACCGTGGCTCTTCTCTCAATCCGGCTTCTTTGCCCTTCTACGCCAATGGAGGAAGATCTTCTAGGGATTTGACCAACGATTTTGAGTTCATGGATGATGTGAACCCAAGAGCTGATTTTTTGGGCTCTGTGCATGCGAGAAGTGGTAGCTGCGTGTTGGACGGTTTAGGGTATGGTGATACCGACTTAGGGTTTGGAGGTGTTCCTTGTTCCTACTTCGCTAGAGGTTTCTGCAAAAACGGAAGTAGCTGCAGATTCGTTCATAGTGATGGAGGAGGAGCTGAATTTGCTGGCTCTCCAAGCAGAATCGAGCTTCTTAGGTCTAACTCTGTTCCTCCAAGACTCGCTCACCACTTCATGACTCGCTCTTCACTTTCTTCTTTCTCTCCCAAAGGTGTTAGCTTGCAGCAGAGTGATGTTCAAAGGTTCCACCTTTTTCCCAACTGTTTCTTGTTCGTTATTTATACTACAGAGTGTTTTTTTTCTTTCTTAACTTGTGTTAATTTTCATGGCAGAGCTGCTGCTTTGATGATAGGAGATGAATTGCAGAAGCTTGGTAGATGGAGGCCTGAAAGGATCGATCTCTCTGCTATGGCTTGTCCTGCTTCGAGGCAGATCTATCTGACATTTCCTGCCGACAGTAGATTCAGGGAGGAAGATGTGTCCAATTATTTCAGGTAAATCATTAACCAAGACAACACAATCACCTTCTCTTTGGTCTGAATGTATGTTCTTGTGTGTGATTTTGTAAAAAGACTTAATATGTTGTTATGGTGGGTATAGTACTTTTGGACCAGTTCAAGATGTGAGGATACCATATCAGCAAAAGAGGATGTTTGGGTTTGTGACATTTGTGTACCCTGAGACTGTCAAGAGCATTCTTGCAAAAGGGAACCCTCACTTTGTCTGTGATTCCAGAGTTCTTGTTAAGCCTTACAAGGAGAAAGGCAAAGTTCCTGAAAAATACAGGTACTTACACACTAGTACTAGTAACTCTCACACTTAGGCCAGATTTTTACTTGAATCCTTGTCCTTTTTTTGTAGAACTAACCAAACAACGGAGCGAGATTTGTCCCCAACAGGCCTTGATTCTAGCCCCAGGGATGTTCTAGGTAAATGAAACTGAAGCTTGTCTTTTGGGGGTTTAGTTGAATGAACCTTTGCTTGCCCCCATACTGATTTGCTTGTGGTGCAGGCGGGAGAGGGTTCTATAACAACGCGCAAGATGTGTTGTGGAGGAGTAAGTTTGAAGAAGAGATTCTTGAGCTACAGAGCAGAAGGCTGATGAATCTGCAGCTTCTTGATGTCAAGAAGCATTTCCAACTCAGTTCACCTACACAGATTCATTCCCCGAATCCTTTCAGCCAAACACTTGCATCCCCACGCCCATTGCCGGCGAAAGCAGGGGATTATGTAGGAAGAGAGACAGGGAAAGGAAGTTCCAAAGAAGGATCTGATGATGATACAATGAATCTACCAGAGAGGTAAGTTACTCAATGAACAAGAAACTGTTTTTGTATGTGAAGCTAAGAGATTAAACAGCAAGGTTTTTTGGGTGATTGTTACAGGTTGGAGGATAGCTTGCCAGACAGTCCATTTGCGTCGTCTGCTAATCATTTGCTTCTGTTTGCTGAGTCTTCAGACAATAATGGATCGGATTTGTGGTCGCCTTCTTCTGATAATGATGATCATTCTACTCCTTCTACACTTTCTGACTCCTTCAACTCTTTCAACTGCCAGATGCCTAGGTTTCAAGATTCAACCACAGTTTATATTTTTTCTGCTATCAAGTAAATGGTTTCTAACATTTGCTTTCATGAATCTAAAATAGGTTACCGGCTATTGGAATGCTACCCGGTAGGGGTGGACCGACTTGTCGTGTCGGGATATGATATAAACAGGTAGAAAGAGTTAAAAGTAATGGATGGTGAAACACAGAACAACAATCTTGTTAGGTCAATAGTTTCTTTGTTGTTATTGTTGCAGGAAGAAAGGTGAGAAAAGAACAGAGGAAGTTAAAAAAAAAACAACTGATAATATAGAGAGACCCTTAATAACCAAAAGATGCAGAGGTGTAAAAAATAAAGCAGGAAAATTGATGTAAGAGATAGAGAAGAGAAAGAAGAAAGATTGTTGTGTACCATTTCTCTAGTTTTAATGTGTAATGTGATCATGGACCACAGAAGATGATGTAATATGATATGATATATATAGGACAAGAAGTGTAATCTCTCTAAAGATTTACTAAAAGGAAAAGAGATTACAATTTGGGTTTGAAAAGTGCAAGTCTGTTCTTGTCCTTGCTAGTTGCTACCCTCTCACTCTAACCACTCTCTCCAACTTGTGAATCCAACTTTTGGTGATATTCAACCAACTATAGTCTTAAGGTTTGATTTGGGAAGTAGGTCTTCTGTCCTCGTTCATATACAACTTTGTGAGGTGGAAAGTGTAAAAAAGAGTAGGTGATACATCCATGGCAATTACCGTGATTTAAGAGAAAAGAAGAATGTTATGCACGTATTGCATGTAAAGACTTTTGAAAGATATCTCCATATTGTGTGATATTATGTCTCTCCTTAATGATTTAGCAAAGCCAAGGACAGTGGTGTGTGTGGTGGGGCACGCGCGAGAAAGAGAAAGAGAGAGAGTGTGTGTACTGTGTATGCTTTAAAACACAACATTACAAAAATAGTTTCCGACTTGTGGTCTACTTACAACTATGTCCCTTCTATTATGTGAAATTTGGATTTAAGGTGCTTCAATTCATCATATTGACCTATGATCAATTCAAATGAATGTGAGGGCCATTTTGTGTTTGGCTACATACTAATACACATGTATGATGTGATGTGTGTGTGTGTGTATAACCACAATTTTCAGTTGTCATGGATATATATAAATTTTCTCATTTAATTTAATCTATATATTCACAAAACAGACAGAACAAGTATGGTTAATATGAAACGGGCAGGATAAGTATGCAAATGGCACCATAAGGTTTGAGAGATAAATTGAGGTGATAAAATATTTCAGACTTTCTCATATTGCACAAAGTCTGAAACAATTTCGCCATAGATTTATAATAAAAACAACTTCGAAATAGAAAAATAGGAGGAAGAAAATAATGGGATCCCACGAGCCAACACACAGGCCATGTGGTGTGGGGATATATATTGCAGAAGTTGTGTTTTGTGGAGACATTTCCACAAATATACTCCAAAATTCAGTTTTTAATATTTTATATAGTTAGATGATATGTGAAGTGTCAAATCTATGTCCTTTATTTGTAATTAACACTAACAAATAAAATGTGTGGCACCTAATCAGGTAGTTAAAATAAAGTCATGAGATGTGTGGCACCTAGTCAGACATTGTTGAACAACAACACCATAATTCCAGAAATTGGTTAGTTAGGAACGTGTAGACGTCCTTAGGCCGCGTAATGGCTTGAGAAATAAATCGACAATTTAGGAATTTGTCTTAGTCAATTATAATGCAGGTTAACTGAAATGGTTATTTAAGAATGACTCCTGATAATATTCGTACAATATAGAGACAATTAGCATTGTGTGTGCAAGGATAAATCGAAAAAATGGTATAATGTTTATAGCTGAATATTAGTAACTCAACTAGTGCTAGTTAGTCACAAGAGAGAAAATGTTAAAAGACCTAAATTCGAGTAATGACAACAAAAATATGCTAATAAACATTGACTAGGGATCAAGTTGAGCTTATTATCAAATTAAACATTGTATCAAAATATGCGAAATGTTAATAAGATTGTACGATAGTAAATAGGCTCGAAACCAACGGAGACCAAGACATTGACTAGGGATCATGTCCATACTACGTATTCAGGGTAACACGTCTTATACAAACGAAGACGAAACATAACCATACTACGTATTTATACACACTCCATTCTATAAAAATTAGGGTAATGCATTTAATTAAGACTAGCATAATTGTCATCCCTAGAAATTTAGTTAGTGGCAATTAATATGAGGAGATTGAAAGTTGATGAAATAAATGGATTGGGGGCATCGTTGACCGTTGGTACTGGTTTCATAGAAAGAGGCACACACAGTTTGTCGATTGAATAAAAAATCGAAACCTACCCAATCCAACCCAACTAACAATTAAATGAAAATGAAGAGCTCAATTATTTATGGCTCCTGAAATCGATAATCATCGGCGCGTGAGAATAATGGCCAATGGGTGCGCGTGGGTGTCTAGGAGAGTGGAAGCAAAAGAGTAAAGAATGATGGTGTCAGAGGGTTGAATGCAACACAACGTGCAATTACCTTTTTTTGTCTTAAAATTGGGCCCATTTTTTCTGTCTTTCCTACTTCCTTTTTTTTTTTCTTTTCAAATAATAGCATTTTCTACAAAAGTAGAGTAGAAAGATCTGTTTGAGTATAAATAGCAATATTAAGAGCGAATCGAATGTGGAAGGCGACGTCATTTTACTGATTGGTGTGGAGCAATTGATCGGTGCTATTGCTTGATTGGTGTGGAGCATTTGAATGATGGATTCTCTATACACCATTGACCATTCAATCAACAAGCGTAAATTTACTTATATTCTAGTATTAGTTCAATAGCATGTAGTCAATTCACCAACGCAGAGACATGTGTACATGCATAGTTTTTGCGGGACTTAGATTACATGCATAAATTAATACTCCAAAATGCATACGTGACACGTGTTTTCAAAGGTCGAATTAACAAACGAAAAAAAATTGTTTTTCAAAATTTATGTAAAACGTCTCAATACAAGAGCTTCATCTCTGGGAATGCTGACATGCACAAAACATTAAAAGAGAAAAAAAACAACTTAACCATATTCTGCTTTCTTGTTAACGTACGTAGACACTTTAATTAATTGAACTTACTTAAAGAAATGAAAAGATAAACATATATTGTGGACATTGGAAAAGAGAAAGTTCCGAAGTTTGATGTTGTTCGTGAACAAGTTCCTAGGATACGAGGGAGGGACATCATTAGAAGCACTTGCGTTGTAGATACTCTTTTCGAAGCATTTGATTCCAAAACAAAATTACTTATATATAATTGATCGACTATTAAGTTTTGAGAAGCTAAGTTTGGTCCCAAGAGCAACAAGTCCAAAACCAATAAAACTATTACGAGCTGATGTTCTTTAGTTTCAAAATTGAATTTGAAAGTGAGTGTAATACGTATGAAAACCGGTGTCAGAAAAATTCAAAAATTCAAAATTCATTCCACTAGCCTCAACAAAAACCAGACCTCATTTTAAGAGGAAAAAAAACATATTGTGACTTTTGAGATCTATTCAAAATAACAAACCTGTAAATTTTCATTATTGTGTCTTGCTACAAAGTAATACACTCAAATTCTTCACTTGTATATCTACATGAATTCAGTCAAATAATTAACATATTCTCATGATTTAAATAAAGTAATGAGATTAGGCCAAATAAGGTATATATACATATATGTCTGTTTGGTGGAGACATATATTTCTGTGGTCATAAACGAAAACCTTGTTCGATGCTTGAACTTGTAGGTCTTAGGGAAGACTAGTAGGGATTCAAATAACTGCTGAGACAAGTTGTTTTTTGACCTTAAACAAATGTTGCAAAACTATGGCTTCAATTTCTTTCTCGTCAACCCAATTAATTCTGTTTTTTAAAGGCCACAAGACTTACTATATTGGGCCAATTTATAGCCCACATTTAACGAATTCGGGCCGTTACAGAACCGGAAATTAAACACCACCGTCTCTACTGCTCTCTCCTTCTGCAATTTCCAATTCGTTCCAATTCCATCATCAGCTACAGCTTTTCTCTCTCCCAAATTCTCCCGCGGACCCTATTCTCTTTCCCTCCGAATTTCTCGAGAATCCATCACGTCGGTTTGAGATTTCTCGATGGGAAAGTGGAACCATCGATCCCATCGATCCAGAAACCAGCGTCGCAGATCTCCGTTGCGATGGTATAGCGACCGACATTCTTCTTCTTCCTCTTCTGGTATTTCCTTTGTTTTCCACATTCATCTGATCTTAACCTTGACTCTTAATTTCTTTAATTTCTGTATCCTAAAAGTAATTGACGAACTCTTGTTACCGTAAATTAGGAAATTTCTTATAAACACTTCACTGATTTTTTTTTCTCTTTGTCACAGCTTATGGTGAAAACGATGGGATTCCGGTTTGGGAGAAGAGATTCTGCGAAGTGGTTGGATCAGTGCCATGGCAAAAAGTAGTGGAAGCTAGCAGTTTCAAGAGCTGGTACCAAGGCAATGTAATCACTTGGAATGATTCCGCCTGCGAAGAGACTTTCCACAATGAGAAGAAACGATTCTGGTCACAGTTTTATGGAGTCGGCTGTGATATCTCACTTCCTGATCCGGATTGTTTCATCGGCGAAGTAGATTGGGATACTTCCATTGAGCCAGAACTGATTAGGGATTTAGAAAGGGCTTACTTTGCTCCTCCTGATGAGGTGAATAATGGTTTGAAACGAGCGCGTCGTGACAACAAGAATTGGAGTAGTGGTTGTGACTTAGTGCCCATTGAAGAGACTCGTATGTTAAAGACTGATGCTTTGGGGAAGAAATCGGATGGCTGGAGCTTATCTGACAGTAGTAGTACTGATCATCTGAGGCCTTGGAAAGGTAAGCCTAGTTGTGAAGCAAATGATACAAACGAGATACAGTGGAAAAGTAAAGATGGTGACAGTTGGGAGAAGTCTGGCTGGGATAGGTCAGGGCATCAAAGCAAGAAAGCAAAAGGTTTTGAAAGTGTTTCGGCCGAAGAGTGTGACAATCCTTGGGAAGCCAAGCTTAGTTGTAGAGAGGAGATAGTTAAAGAAACTACTTGGGGAGGTTGCTCTGGTAGAGGATGGGAGGAGAGAGGTTGGGGTAGTGGTGGTGGATGGGGAAACCAAGTTAGGGAGAGGAAGGAGTGGCGTGATGAGGGATATAATCCATGGAAAGCTGACAATGTAGGTTTGAGAGATTATGGGGGAAATGCAGGCGGTTGGCAAACCGATCGAGTGAGTGACACGAGACGAAGAAATTGGGATGCGAAACGTTCGAGTGATGGTTGGGGTAGGCAAGATAGAGAAAGAGATGACTCATGTGGCTACAATGCTAACTACAGAAACTCAAGGCCTATGAGAGATGGTTATTGGAACAGGAAGGTCAATTTCTCATCTAAATAGATCAAATTTATTGTTATCTGGGATGTCTTTTTGTGTGTTTGAAGACGTAGTTTAAGCATGTAACACAAAGGATGTAGAATATATACAAATGCCCTTTTTGCGAAAAATGTTTCATAAATGTTCAAGGTTATTGCCTTTTCGACTAGACAAAATGAAAATGTTTCTGTTTGAAGAGGTTTCATTCACATTTTGCTTAATCTATTTAAACTTGAAAAAGAAAGGCATATACACACATGATTACACTTATGTTATGGCTCCATACATTCCTTAAAAGCTTTCTCATATCATTTTTATATTGAAAACTGTGACATTCTGCTTTTACAGATAATATTTTGGAATAAACAAAACTGGGTATATGCTTCACTTTCAAAACACCAGGTTGGTCCATTATGATGGGTGCGTCTTATTAATAGAAAAAAAAATTAAACGGGACATGGTTAAAGCATGCTGATGATGGAGAAAGGTGCACAACTCTTGCTTTGCTAATTGGACGGTGATCTAAGTTCAAAAAGTGGCTTAAAACAATATTTTTGGCAAACGAACAACCATTGCTACAGTTTCAATACAAAGCAAAGGAAACCGAAGCATAAGACTTTACTCTTGCTATATCATTAGGACCAAAACAGCTGGTAAACACAAAAGCTACCAAAATAAGAAGAATCACATTCATTTTCTCAGCCATTTGACTGATAATCTGAGTATTTGAACTTACAGTAAGCAAATGTTTCTTTTGATTGCAGGAGACACAAGTCCATCAAAACGAATTAAATATAATTTCTTATTATGTAAAAAATCCTCTTGACTTTACAAATTGAATAACAAATCAAAAATATATAAACCAAATCGTATATGAAAACTTGCAAAAGAACACCAAAAACTATATCTTTCACTCATTCCTTATTCATCAACAATGTCTCAAAACTCTGTTTCTTCTTCTTCTTCTCTTCTGTGTTTTCTTGTTTTGGGACCCACCAAACCCTGATGCTCTTGTCAAGACCTCCACTGTAAAGCATGAATCCAGCACCAACATTGTTAGGCGAAGCCTGCAAGCATTTCACCGGACCTTCATGCCCTTGTATCACTCCGAATTTACAGAGAATGCCACTCTTTTCCCTCCTCCACAACCCAATGCTCTTATCAGCCGATCCACTGCAAACCATTTCCCCAACCACACACATACACAGAACTGCCATCTTATGTCCTCTCATCTCAAACCCTAATCTCCACTCCTCAAAGTCTCCACCTTTCTCTCTCTTCTCCCACCCCATCACAAACCCATCTGACCCTCCTCCGTACACCCATTTCCCGTCACCGGAAACCACCACAGAGTTCACTGAAACCTCTGCACGACCCTCCAATGTCGCCTTCAGAACATGCACACAAGACGAAGAAGAAGAAGAAGAGGATGATAAAGAATCAATCTTTCTCTTCTCTCTCCCCCATATCTTGATCTTCCCATCCGCAGAAGCAGAGTAAACTCTTCCCTCTCCGGCGACCAAACCGTTAATCGCGTCGTCATGAGCCTTGATCGACTCCAGACATTTGAGATCAGACAATCTCCAGACTTTGAGCGTCTTATCCCACGATCCGGAGTAGATAATCCCAGCGTGTACCGCAAGGCACGAAATACTATCCGCGTGCTCGATCCAGAGACGCTTGTGGTTCCTTCTCGTCTGCACGTAATTGCTCTGTTTCATAAACTTCCCCAAATAGTCTTTCGTCGTGGGAAGCGTGTCGACGAGCCTGAAAGCGTTCTCTGAGTTTCTCCGAGATACTTTCCAGACTCTGATTCTGCTGTCTTGATGCGCCGTGAACACTTTGCTTCCAACGCTGACTAAAGCCTTCACGGAACCATCGCCTTGACCGAATTTCGCGAAGATCTTGAGATCTGGCTGTTGCCAGACGATGATGTCTTTCCCCTGAGACGCGCTCAGCAAGAACTCGCCGCAGAGGGCCAAGGAGGATACAGAGCCTACGTGAGCGGAGAGGACGGCGAGTGGCTTGTACGCGCCGGTGATCGGCGGCGGGCGGAGAGTTCCGAGGAGGAAGGTTTTGGAGGAGGCGGATGGGCTGAGGGAATCGTCGGAGTCGGTGGTGCTATTGCTTGTGGTGGAGGAAGAAGATGAAGACATCAAGATTCCTTCTTGGATTGATCTCACCATCGCATCAAGAAATTTCAAGACGAGTTTGTTAGTTTTTGGTATAGAAAAAACGGAAATTGGAGCGTTTGTGGAAATGTTAAAAAGAGTATTTAAAAAGGAGTTAAAAGGAAGAGGAAGGTGCAACGGCTACATTTGACAGATGGCGTAGCCTCCTCTTTTTGCCTTTTGCTTATCTATGAATTTTCCTTGCAAAAATATGAGATTATTTCAATCTCGATTCGGTTCGCATTATTGGCTCATGTAATATTATAATATATATAAGGTGCGTCTATATAATAACCGATTGCGTTGGTCTCTTGTTTGACCAGGTATTGTAACGTTTATTGATTAACTAGTATTTTGAGTCATAGACACTTTTTTTTGAACGACTATTTAACCATCATTATAATACTGTATATTGAAGTCATAACAAAAATAAGAAAATATAACAACAATACGAATTCAGAGAACCACAATACGATTCAATACATATAAAAACTATTTTCAACTTTTAGTATCGGTGCTCAAATTCAGAGAACCACAATACGATTCAATACATATATAAACAATACGATTCAGGCAACCACTGTCAGAAAAAACAACAATACGAATATACAATTCAATACACATAAACAATCAGCTAAATCTACTCGAATGCAAGGAGAAATTTTATAACATTTAACCTTCTTTAGTACATTTTCGTAACTCGCTTTGCTAAGACAAAAATATTAGCTCCTCTGTATGTAATCTTCTTGTCCTAAAAAACACCAATCAAAAACAACAAAACCAAGGAGAGTTAATAATTTCTGCAAATGAATCATAAATTTCAATCCTTTGGCTCAATGGTTTCAGAATTAAGTTACAGAATTTTGGTTTATACCTGCAGTGTCCCATAGCCCAAAATTCAAGATTTGGCCGTCCACAGCGACATTGGCACTGAAATTGTCGAGCACAGTCGGTATATAATCCTATCACACATAAACAAACGGCAAGAATCATTCATCAAATGAAACCTTAAAAACTGCAATTTCTGAAAAATATTATTAACCACAATAAAACAAATATGATATGAAACCTTAGGAAATTGTGTTATGCATGTCATCTAACTGGAAAAGTAGAGTAGAGAATCGAAAAAAAAAAAAAACAACTTGAACCCAAATAATAACTTGAAGAATTTCAGCATATGGGTAAACCAACATATAGAAGATCTTTTGAACCATAACAAAAAGATGCTTTTTCGCTTCAAGGTACGATGAGAAACAGAGTCTGCATAGTTTATTTGTTGTAAAATTAAACACAAGGTTAATGATCCGAAAACCAGAGAGGTGAGAAAGAGTGAGATCCGTACCTTGACATCCAATTGAATCCCCAAATCTTATTTCTGGTAAATTTCTCTATACAACAGCTTCATGAATGTAGGAGAGAACTCCTTATGCTTCTCCTTGATGAACTTCTGAATCGCAGATTGGCGTTCCCTCCTTCAACGATAGCATCCTTTATCATAAACAACAACAAAATCAATCAATCTCTAATCTCAGAATCAGAACAGAATCTGGCACGATAAAAGCGAGAAAACAACCAATAAAAAAGCTAGATCCGGATTTCTCATACCTCTTCGTAAGTAGGATGAGTAGAGACGGTTTTCTTTTACGGAGCCGCCGCAGCTACAGGCTTCTTCTCCTTCACTTCCTTGACTTTCTTCGGTTTCTTCTCGCTGGCCGGCGCCACATGTTCATTTCCTCCACGGCAGTAGCATTCTCTTTGCTCAATCAGAAAGTTGATTTTAAGATATGAATTTGATTGTTGGAAACCGCAAATGTAAAATTCGAAGAAGAGGAAGTTATGAGTATGAGATAATCGGAAACGTTTTAATCAGAGATTTATCGTAAAAGTGGATTTCTGAATTTGAAGATCGTGGGGAATGATGCGGTTTTCGAGATCGTGGAAAATAAAAATCTTTTTTAGGGAAATAACAGAGAAAAAAAAAGAAAATTTTGAAAAAAACAATTAAAAAATTCCAATGACACGTATCGATTAGATAAGCCATGAGGTGACTGCTGATTTATTAGTATTAGATATGATTAGGATTAAAGCATTGTATACCAAAATAAGTTAAGACCAAATGCGAAGAATTGCTAGCTTCGTTACATATTATAATTCCGAGGTTATTCCCAACTAATATTCCTATGACTTGAGGCCTACTGAATCTGAATTGATTATCTTCAACGTTTTAATTGCTTCCAAGACTATTTACTTATTTAGAATGAGCTTATATTAGTTTGTAAATTGGTAGATGGTCCAATAGACTTAATTCATATCGATTTGATGCTTATTTGTATTGTCCTTTTTTGCTTGGCTTCTCTATGATAATGATTACTATATTTATATATATGGTGTTATTATTGGTGGAAAGAGACAAATATTTTTTAAGGAGCTTCGTGGAATTAAGATATGGGCGTTGAAGTTAATTATAAACTAGTGTGATGAAATGGAACGTTTAGCTAACAACAATTAAACAAAAAAGCTTAAAAGGTAGAACAAAAGTAAGGATTTTAGGAAGCAACTGAAAAGATCTTCACTAACTAAAGTGGAGTGGGTGCGTGAGTTCACGTGACTCCGATTATGAATCATATCTACCAGTTCAGACATAAATGTTTCTGACATGACACTTACCACATTGACTCTTTCTTGATTTGTTGAGTTGTCGGTAATTGGTAAGTACTGTTACAAGAAAAGAGCATCGTCTATATCAAAGCATAGATCTTTAGGTGTCACCAAAATGGACATGTCGACTCACACATCCATTTAAGGATATACAACGTCGCATCTTAAACTTCCCTTTTTAGTCAAGTTACTACTAGTGAGGAAGGAATATTAACTTAGATTATGTTTTGATTTCCATAACTTGACAGATCGAAGTTGATTTGATTATTATTTGTCGCTGGAGAAGGATTTTGGTTTTCTTCTAAATGAAAGTAAACATGTAACTATACAAACATTATTTGTTTTTCTCTAGTGGATCGCCACAAAAAAAAGAAAAAAAAAACTTGTTCTTGCTGTATAAAATTTTAAAAGTTTAAATTCGACCATCATAGTAGATAACATAGTTATCTTAGCTTGAATTGAAAGATTTGAATTTCTTTTCTGAAGTTCCAAATTGGTTTCATTAGAAATGAACGTATGAATTGGTTCAAAAAACTGATTCCGATTTTTTTTTCCCCTCAAAGACCACTGTTTCTTGATTAATTTATTTCCAAAGTCAATATTCGAATTAAAAAAATGTAGCTATTCCCTGTCTATATACTGGTCTTGAAAATGCATTATTAGGACACCGTAAAAGTCGAAGATCAAGAGGAACCGGGTCCATACTCCTCGATAGTTTACATCTCAAAAATGCAACTTGCTCTTATTGTGCGGCTTATAATACTCGGATTCCTCAAACCCGCGCAATACTTGAAAATCCTCTTTTTTTAACTAGAGGAATCCTTACATCAATTAATCGTGATTTAAAAAACTATGAAAATAAGGCTTAAAGTCAAATGTTTGAACAAAGACGCGTGACTTGGAGTCGTGCCTTAGAAAAAAAAATCAGAAACAAGTGAAAACGCAAGGTCATTTGTGCTGACCTTGACCAAGCAATAGCCAAGAGGTTTGTGAGGTCATGAATGTACTTAAATCAAGATAGAATGCTCTCTACTCTTCTTCATCATCATCTTCCTTCATAAAACAAACCAAAAGAAGAAACGCTTTGACTTTTCTTTGTGATCGTCGAAGATGGCGGACGCTTTCTCTGATGAGCAGATCCAGGAGTTTTACGAAGCCTTCTGTCTCATCGACAAAGATTCCGATGGTCTGCTTTTGTTTTTCTTTTTTATTCTTGTTTTATTTGGATCGGTAGTTTTAGCAGAATCAGTTAGATTGATGAATATATGGTTTGTATAATATATGAAACAGGGATTATCACGAAGGAGAAACTAACGACAGTGATGAAGTCTATGGGGAAGAATCCAAAGGCAGAACTACTTCAAGAGATGATGAGTGATGTCGAAATCTTCGGCAACGGTGGAATCACTTTTGATGATTTCTTATATATCATGGCTCAAAACACTTCCCAGGTATCTATATATATGTATTTCTTCAAAACATTTAGTCATATAGTGAAGTAAAAATGGAAATTAAAATTCTTAGAAAAAAAATAAAATAAAAGAGGATTTGGTATAGGAATCGGCATCGGATGAGTTAAGGGACGTATTCAGAGTGTTTGACAGAGACGGTGACGGTTTCATATCTCCACTTGAGGTAAGTACAGTTAGTTGTTTCTTTGTTTGACTTTAGACACATTTAGTTTTATACCCACAAAAAAAAAAGTAAAAACTAATGGGGTAAATCAAATGTACATTATTACATAGTTGGGAGAAGGAATGAAGGACATGGGGATGAAGATAACGGCGGAAGAGGCGGAGCATATGGTTCGAGAAGCCGATCTCGACGGCGATGGTTTTCTCTCTTTCCATGAGTTCTCCAAAATGATGATCGCTGCGTCTTATTAGCATTTTCTTTTTAAAAATGGGTTTGTTTTTGCTCTTATAATAAGAACTTTTCAATATGTCATGTTAAACAAAATAAAAGGCACTAATATCACCATGTTATAAGAGAGATCCTATCTATCTATGTTAATGTTACTTCTTTTGCATATACAATATAACTGTCAGTCCCATATCAATGGTTTTTTCGAGTAAATTATACTAATAAAATAGCTATCACATAGAAGACTAAGGAATAGGCCACATATAGGATAGACTTGACAACACCATGAAAGTGTCTATCCAAAAAGGGAAATAAAGAAAAGAGAAGCTTAAAAGAGAAACTCAAAAGAAGTCACGCGATGCTATCCATCCAAGTCCTTCATCACAGCAGAGAGACCACGAGCGTCAATCTCAGCTCTCATGGTCTTCAATTCTGGATCTTCTTCGATTTGCGCCGCCATACGCTCAATAAAAGTATCTGCTGGTCTATTGTTCCTGAGAGTATTAGGATCCTGCGCACGGAGGTTATTACTGTGCTCCATGTGTGTCAAAAAATCAGGGCTTTCCAAGACCTGCCTCACTGATTTATGGAACTGTTCTTGGTCATGGTCATTCTCATGTATGTTACCTCCGTTGAGCCATGCGGTTGGAATACATCTCGCAAGCTGCTTACCTAACCTTTGGAACGCAGGATCTGCTTCTTGTTTCGCAATATATTCCTTGACTCTGCTTGAGCTCCAGTGATATGAACTCGAATCCCTTGACCACGATTCCGGTTTACTTTCTCCCTCCTTGGAAACGTTTATCTCATCTGACATAGGACGCACAAGACTTTCCTCTGAACTTGAATCTAAAGCCATCGGATATTTTTAGATCTACAAACCCTAGACAAACAAAAACCAAATCGTGTAACGCAAGAAAGAGCTTTGGGACGATAACGTGATGCTCTTCTTATATAGCCTTTACAAAGATATACACAAACTAACTTCTATCCGTATTCTAATACAACTTGGTCATTATCTCACCAGTTACACACATATATGAGTGATATACTGTACAATCGAATGTTCTAGAACTATCTAGAACCTTTCTTAACACTCCCCTGCAAAAACTTTAATGTCTTATTTTCACATTTCCAAGATCAAACATGAAGCCAACCACTCATTTACAAACAGTTATATATTCAACCGTTAACTACAAATCATAACTTTTTCACAGATATACATAATGTTAAAGAATCGTACAGTTTTGTCCTTTTACACAGCTACTAACTTTGTTAAGGAAATGATTGGAAATAGATAAGATACAAAAAAGGTTTTTTTTTTTGTAAAACAAGAAAACAAGCTTAAAAGTACACAACTAAAACAAAAAAAAACCAAACTAGCTTGAAGTGGAAGCCAAACTCTCATCACTAAGCAACTCTTCCCAGAAACCATCGTCTAATTCTCTCTCAACCACCAAATGATCCTCTTCTTCCTTCATATTCCTCTGTTTTCCAAACCCTTGCATCTCCAGAGCCAAAGCCTCCAGTTCCGACATCGATGAGCCTCTTTCCCTCTTCGCCGCCTCATCTTCAAGCTCTTTTATCCGTTTATCTCTCTGTTTTAGCAACTGATGCAAAAACGTAGGGCTCTTCATTGCTCTAGCCAAGAAAGACATCATCTGTCTCTGTTTCCTCTCTGCTCCTTCTATCCTCTGTTCCATAGCTTTGACGTAGCTGATCGTCGTTTGTTGCTGCTGCCTCAGACTCACTAGCTCCATCATCAACAAATGCTTCTCCCTCCGAAGCTCCACGCAAGGGTCATAACTTGACGGAGTTGATAAAGCGAAAGAAGACGTTCTTCTCTTGATGCTCTTCAGTAGATGTCTCTGTGCGAACAAGAACCCTTCGTTTGCAAATTCCCATCTCTCTGCTTCAATCTTTCTGAAACCCTGTAAATATTTCTTGATGTTAATATACAAAAAAACTGAATTTTTGAAAATAGTGAAGTCGGCAGATTTAAAAAACAACAATAATTGGAGTGAGATGTGGTTTGATTATTATAATAAAAAGGATAGAACAAGTGGGCAACGTTAAAGCTGATTAGTGAATAAACAATATGGATAAGATTGATGACTGTGTCTGACGATTATTTTAGAAGACAAGTTGCCACGGAAATGAGTTTCTAGAACTTACTAAACCTTCTTCTACTCCCACTATCTCACGGAATCTACATTTCGATGTTTCTAGAATGCTGAATTTAAAATTGCAGTAAAAACTGAATTTTGATATTGGTTTTTTTCTGTTTTCATTACCAAGTAATTTTTGAAGTTGAATCCTGATTACTTCGCTTGATTTTTTTTCCAGCAACTATAATAAGATGAAGGAAAGTAAAAAAAGAAAAACAGAGCATTGAACAGAGCACTCTGTTTTTCCTTTTTGTTTGGGGTCAGAGAACATAGAGAAATGAGAATAGAGATAGAAGACTTACATAAGTGTTGAGCTGTCTGATGAAACTTGAGAAATTGCTGTGTTTGAAATGTCGAGGGAGGAGAATGGTAGAGAAAGAATGCAAATCCCAGACGACAAAACTAGTGCCTCCTCTGTTCCAAGATACGATGTGGTCTGTGTTTGGGTCCTCCACAATCTCGAATGTCTTTATCAGAAACGGAGGTGGACCGACCTCGTGCAATCCTTCAATCGGTTTTGGTGTTGATGGTGAAGGATCGCTTTCTATGAGAAACGGATTCATCTTGAAAACACGATTTTTTTCTCTCTCTTTGTAATCCGATCCTTAAGGATCAATGACGCAATGAAACGAAGTCCAAAATTGGTTTCTTCTTAGGATTTCACATGGTTTTAGTGAAATTTGAGAATGATGAAAGTGATCAAATTTTGGATTTTTTGGAGTTCGTTTATGGCAGTTGAAGGAAGGAAGGAAAAGGAAAAGGAAAAGAGAGAGGAAGGTAATGTCCACGTAAGCCTCCGTTTGAGGTGGCTTAAATAGGAAGAGTGGAAAGAGAGTGATGAGATTAAATGGAATAAAATAAGAAGAGGGAAAATGTAATAAACTATTCGCATTTCTCAACTTATGAAATTTAGAAACTTCTGGAAATATGAGAAGACAAAAAGTGGGTGGCGCTTCCTTAGTTCCTTTGGAGTCGAAACTTCTGGAAATTCAAAGGTGAGGAATGTACGGTATGGTTTCACATGGTACCCATTATCTCATATATTTTACTACAACTTGAGAGAAACCATTGATGAAGTGAAATTCGCTCATTGGTTGAAACTGGTTATTAGTGTTGATGTGGCGGTCCGTTCTTATTGACATTTGGTTTGGGGTCAAGTTGTCTTAACCGGATGGACATATATACAATAATATTAATATTTTTTTTTACATGACCAGGCCTGGTCATATTGGAACACAGTTTTGCACAAGAACAACAGCTAAAAAATAGTAAAAGAAAATAGCAACACTAGCAAACAGTTTATAATTTTTTTTTGACTATATGGAACAAATGCTAATTGGCCGGCTTGGATGTTTCCTGTAATCAGTACACTGTACACTCCCTATAGCCACCTTTTCTATTCTGATGATCAGGTAACTCTCAGACATGTGTCAAACAGTGCAAGTGACACTTGATGGTTTTTTACTGCGCCTTGTGGTACGTGTTTATCCTCGACATCTGGCTCTTGCTACAGATTTACAGGTCAGCTTATAGCTGCATCAGACTGTTTATGTCCCGTCCTAAGAAAACTACAGTAGAATTATTATAAATTCGACGACTGGTTAAAAAAAATGTAAATTTTCTTTTATTATCACAGTAATAAAGGCTTTAATTTTGTTATTTTGTAATATGGCACAGCTTACTTAATGTTAAATCCCTCTCTATGTGGGACATTTATATCCTTAAATGCATTAATTTGTAATAGTTGGAAAATATTAACGGTCAAATAATGAGACTTGCTGTTAAGTTTAATGAGTTTCCAGCCCAAAATCAATTAATAATGAACAATGTGCCAATTATGTATTCTTCAATTTTTTTAAAAAAACTTGTAAAGTGATATTCTAGCAACTAAAAGACTGAAACCCACAAGTATGGATGGGTAGATCGATGGTACATTCCTTTTATATGGGAGACCCGACAAAAATATTTTGGTTAGCGCGATTTAATCGAAGTATTAGGAGCGATAAGTGCCTAGATTCTGCTGGAAAAGTGTATCAAAGTATTTGTACAAAACCACGTCTTAGCTTCTCGTTAATCATCGAAACGTCTATTTCATCGAAATAAGCACTTGTCGATTATTTCTATCAATGCATTAATAAGTCTGTTTTTTAATTTATATTTTTGTTTGAAAAGAGAATAAGTTTTACATTCTCAATGTTAAAATTTAAAAACTTCTTTTAGTTCTACTCTAACAAAATTATTACGCACAAAAGTAAAAGATACAGTATGATACATCTCTCCTTCCTTTTACAATTTGTTTAAAGTTACATTAAGCGATATGCTTAATTTAGCCGCTAGAGTAATATATCCACTTCTGTTGTTCGAGTAAGGTGAGTAATTGAGTGTAGTAACATACATGAGTTTCCTTCAAAATTGTCGATTAGAAAAAAGAAATTATGTTTTGGGACCAATACACTTTTTCATCGTGGAGACGTTGCTAAATGATGCAAGGCCATTGTTGGGCATAAGTTTGGGCTAAGCCCGATAAAAGGAGAATTTGAAAGAGTTATAGAGAAGGGAGGTAAGGTTTAACACTAAATAGTTTGCTTAACACTACTGGCATTTGGATCCTTGCAAGAGCTGTACCTGTTTGATCTATTGTCAAGGCCCACAATATAAATATTCGAATATTTGAAAACTGTCCTATATAGAACTCCAAAACATACAAAATGTCTTTTTGAAAACTGTCCTGTATCTGGTTTTTTTTGTTCTTCTTCTTCTTTTTCTGTTTACTACGTGATCTCTCATCTTTGTGTAATGTATGGAATACTCATCAGTCTCTGATTCGTAGGATGTGTGTTGTAAAGGTCGAGGCAAATTTAACAACAAGCTTTGTTTGCGTAGAAAATCACAAAATAAACAGTTTAAAAGAAAAACCGGACTCTCAAGATAGATTCTAACGTTTCTGACCAAACATTTCGTTAACTGTTTAGTCAAAATTTAAAGTGTTATCCCTCCCACGTTACCAAAGTCAAATTTAATTGTGTTATCACATGGTTACCAGACAAAAGAAAAAGAAAAATTGAAACTTGACAGTTGTGTAATGATGCGTTTTTGACTTGTGAGAATGAAACGCATAAAATCTGAACTTGTATGCTTATATGAATTACTACAAACCAACGTTTTACCTAAATTCATGACACTAAATGTAAAGCTTTCTGATACATCAATGATTAGTCCAGTTGGACCTAATATATGCGATCCATGTGTGTGGTGTAAACTTTGCTTTAATGAGACCACCTGCTTTATCTCCCATCCCATGCAATACATATGGAGACATCACACGACTGCCTTATTCTCTTTTCCAAACTAGTTGGTCCTAATAGAGAATGCCAAGATATAAGACCAAAAGGTGAAAAAAAATCATATCAATCACACCCGTATAACAACAAAAAGTTTTTAAAGCCTGCCCTGCCTAAATAGTAAAAACCTTAACGTTACTCTTTAACTTTGCAGATAACTATCCAACCATATAAAAACAAAAAAAAATCACATCTAAATAGTAAAAACCATTTTGTTACTATACATCTCTTTAACTCTGCAGATAACTATAACCTTTAGTAGAAGCCAGTGGGTCCAATGCCCCAACCCATCTATAGGGAATCTCCCTTTTATGTTAAAATGGATGGGATCTGAAGAAGACTTGCCTACTTTTTCAATTTATATATGGGGATTACTATCGAAACTTGTAATCATTGCATAACCCATGATATCGATTTTCCCCCATTCTTTGTAAGCAATAATTTGTTGTTGGTCCACTCATTTCCACATGTATTCAAAGGACCCGATCTACTTATTTTTCCCAAAACAAATCTGTGGATCCAACAAGGTTGAACTATCGATTTCGTTTTTCATATAAATACAAGTAAGTGATTATTTATAAGAAAGGATGGTCAAAGTCTCAGTTAAAGGATATCCGCAGGCGTTTGAGTAGAAACTCTTTGACATATATTCTACTCACATCAATTATTGTTGCCATACGAAATTAATTACATTTTACAAATCCAAAATTTTGTTGTCGATATATCCAATATATTTATGCTCAAAGACATACGCACATGAGTAAAACTCTAATGGGTCCAGCAAGTGGCACATTTGTGTCCGCACAATACGTGTGACTTACAAATTATGCATCCCAAAAACTGTGGATGCAAATCATATAACCATGCAACTTTAGGGTATGTATAACATTATACACTGTAGCTCAGTGTTTGGCCAATGTCACAGTACATATAATTGAGGTGTGAATGTGTGATATGAGAACCCATTTATGTTGTCTGCCAGAATATCTCACTAACATTTCAGAAACTTCGATGCTTCAATTTAATATACACGCTTAGTCAACGATTTATATATATAGAGTCCGAATTACAAACGACTTATACACATACAATCAGGGGCAGATGCATGTGGGCTAAAAGGAGTGTAAATGTATGTAACTATGTACCCACTAAATTTTAGAATAGTATTGTATGGATTAATGATTATGTCTACATTCTATTTGCCATTGTTTACAAATTCCATTAATGTATGTATTTATTTACTGATGGGAAATTATAATGAATAATCATATTGGAGAAGCAAATTAACAAAGTAACCATATCAAAACCATGGCTAGAATACAAGCCATATTTTCTGAAATATTGTCCATATTAACCTTGAAACTACTCTATACTATTTGTTCTTTGTTTATATGGAATAGTACGAACTAAATATTTGTGTTTTGGGGTTAGTTTATTGAGTTTAGGGTTTAGATTTTAGGTTTAGGATTTATATTTTGAATTTTGGTTTCAATTTTTTGGTTTTAGATTTAGTACTTTGAGTTTAGGGTTATTTTGGGGTTAGAGTTCTTTTTCTAAATTAGGGTTTATTTTTTGGGTTTAGGGTTTAGTTTTTTGGGGTTAGGGTTTAGTTTCTTGCATTTAGGGTTTAGTTTTTGGGTTTCAGATTTATATTTTTGGATTTTGGTTTCAATTTTTTGGGGTTTTAGTTGTGGTTTTGGGTTTAGTATTTTGAGTTTAGGGTTATTTTAGGGTTAGGGTTCTTTTTCTAAATTAGGGTTTAGTTTGTTGGTTTATGGTTTAGTTTATTGAGTTTAGGTTTTAGTTTATTGGATTTAGGGTTTAGAATTTTTTTATTTAAGGTTTACATTTATAGTTTAGGGTATAGGGTTATGGATTTTGGGTTTAAAATAGAGCTAAGTATACTTAATTTTTCTATATAGTATAAGTTTATTAAGGGGGTAATTATGGTAAAACTTGATGAATGTATTCATGTACTCTAGCCAAAGAATTGCTATGGCTATATTGTTAATATCAATCTCCCAATATGAATATTCACCAAATTAACCCTTTACTGATTATGTCTACATTCCATTAATGTCTGTATTTATTTACATGGATAACTTTGTCACTTTTTTGTCTGTATCTGCCACTGTTTACAAATTCTATTTAATTGGTTCTGTGTAAAAGATTTCCAGTTAAGATTAAAAATATTTCTAAGCAGTAAAGCGTACAAAGGGATTCTCCATTTTGGGTGCCAGATTAGTAACTAATATTATTCATTTATTCTGCATGAGACGCCAAAACTTAGTTAGTTAGTAGATATGATTAAGATTAACAATGCATAAAGTGGTAAGAGTGCTAGATATATATCCCGTATGTACTGAGATAGTGAGATGTTACAAATAGCCTTTGAAAACCTGAAACGACAAAAGTCGTAAATCAATCTATGCAACTGTTCTTGTGTTTAAAGTGAAATCGTTGATAGAATTTACTTTTAGTAATTCAGCAAGGTTGTTATCAATTTCCCATTTTCTATGCCACGAAAAGTATTGAGTTAGTGATTCTTGCACCTGTCCCGAATGTGTGATTGATGCGATGTTTAGTCAATTATATTGTTCTCTATACAAGTAAGTAAACTTGTGGTGGCTTTAGGCTAATGTGTACCATCGTCATGATAACACGGCCCATTATACTGTCCTTGTAGGCAAAATTCTGTAAGGTTGTTATATTTTTCCTCAGAAAATTCATATAAACTTTAATATTTATCCAAAAGCTTATATCAACTATATTTAATTCCCTGTTTATATTTTCTATTGAGTTAATTAAGTAGATTATTACATGTGATTTAGATGGACAGCTATTATGCAATGTGATTAGCTAGATCCATTGGAATGATTAAGTATCTAAAATTCAAATTTCTATTGGTTAGACGTAGGTTATATTCGTTTAGGTTTTGTGATCGAAGATATTTGATAAGATTTAGGTGACAAAAAGGTAAATCTAGCACTAAACAATAAACATATCCAACTTGAATGAAACACAAATAAAAATATTAAAGCAACACGACCAAGCTACCCATCAAGTCTGTCTATTATGTATTGCAAAGATCTACTCTATATTTTGATTTAATAGTGACAGTGAATGCAAAAACGAAGCAACGAATTCATGTCGCTAAATCTGATATAATATAGACCTTGGCCGATACCTTCTCCTTCACAAGTCAGAATCCTCTTTTTTATCTCAAAAATAATCTACACACCTTGCAAAATTTATATATTTCAAGTAAGTAATCTTTCACAGGTTCCAGAATTTCTGAGGTTCTTTTATTTCACCATCTTGTTTATTTTAGTGTATGTTTTATTTCGCGGTAACTACATGACACTCCTTATATAAGTTGTAGCGTGAGATAGAGGCCATTGTAAGTGGAGAATAAAGGAGTTAAGGACGTCGTAAACTGATCCATCGTTTTCTTTGAGGACTAAAAGAAAGAAAGAAAGAAAATACACTGTTTTTTTCCGATATATATGGTGGAAAATCCCATTACAAACAGAAAACAAGAACGTCAGGTGTCATGAATTTTTGTGGTGGGAAGGCAGAAGCACCTGTGGCTGCGGCTGCGATTCGAGCCGCGTCAAATACCGACTGTTTATATTCCGAGTCAATAGCGGTTCCTCTTTTATTTGACTAGAGTCATGTTACGTGTGGTGTTTTTTGTTGTTGTCAAAACACTTTTGTTTATACCTTAATACAATCAACCATATCTTGTTATTATTATGTCCTTCTATTTGTTTCCAACGCCTAACATTGTGATTTCTCAATAGTTGTTTCCTATTAACGAAATCTTTCAGACGTTAAAGAAAATCTATACGACTACATGAAACAGACAAGGCACCTATATATAGCTTGAAAACAAAGTTGTAATATTATGGTCTTTAGCATACTCTTTAGTTAGATGAACACTATAATTAGACATAAGATTAATACGTAACAACAAACTATTTTATATATATGCAATAAAAATTGGGTCACGAAACAAGAAAAGTCATACACAAATTTGGAGCTAGGGAGATTCGGTAGGTACATTTGTTATACAAAACTCATTCAAGTTATTAAACAAGTAGGATAAATCATCGTTTACCACGTTTTCATCCAGCTGTGATTGCACTGCAACTTCTGACTAATAAAGAAACTAAAAGGCATACTAATTTTCGTCGATTAGGCTCAGCTTTTTGGATATTTATAGTATCATCTTTTTCGTTTGTTTGTATGTAAAAAATTTATGACTAGCATCCGGTCCGTGTAGTAGTAGTGTATAAGGGCTTAATTAGTATCTGCAATAATTAAGTATAGATGTACAAGATGTTGTATATTGCTAACGCATCCTCACGGTTTAGCTACAAACCAAACTTACAACTGAGCTGCTCTTGCATAACTTTCCGGGAGAATCGAGTTTGTAGCTCAAAATCAATTTGGTTTCCTTTTCGTCAGGAAATTTTTGTTTAATCTTTATATACAACAGTTGATTTTTGTTCAGTTAAATAAAAAACCGTTAGCGCTGTCATAAAAAAAAAACCGTTGTCCAAAAATTACATGGTTGGTCAACTTTCGGTTGATTTAGTTTTGGAACGGTTAATACGAATGATTTACTTGCAGTAACATGGAGTTCATGTGTTTGCAACCGTTACCAAAACTCAATCATTAATAATTAATGACTAATGCAAAATATTAAAACAGAAAAAGGTATAATATCAAACACCGACTAAAATATTGTGACCATTTGTTGTTGCTGAATCGTCATCTCCAACTCCTAACGTTAGGCACGTTCAAGATGACTTTCGAGAATATCCCATAACGCAAAATGCCAAAATCCTATAGCTTAAGACCGGTAAAAAGAATCAACATGTATTACTTGCAAATTTAGAAATATCAAAAACCATTGTAGAGATTTTAATTAGGGAAAAAGTGGCATGGCAGTGAGAAACTAACCTATCTTACGATAATGGACAAGTGTCAGCAGAACCATACATTACAAAGTAATGATATATGGGAACGATGATGATGTCATTGTAAGTAGTCGGTAAGTTGGGGATAGAATGGGAAAATCAAGAAATACAGTATGATTGGAAGTGGAAAACGTAAGCTTTCTGGCTTTTGCGTCCTCTCTGTGTCGGGACAAGACATGCATCAGAGTCACACGTCCGTGAATCGGTGCTTTATCCATTTTTGAGATTGAAATAGTTATGATGAGTGGTTCATTTGTGTAATTCATCATAATTTCACCGAGGCATCATCTATTCAAAATAGTAAAATCAACGCTTTTGAATTATTTGTTTCTTCTATTAATATATCAACGCACACTAACTCCTATAAAAAGAAGAAACCACCTCAGCACTTCTCCTCATTCCTCACTTTCAGCCGCAAAAAGAAAAAAAACAAAAACCATAAATTCCTAACAAAACCTTCCTAAACACGAACCGACCCGAGCGGTCTTATAATGGGTACGGAGGACTACACATTCCCTGAAGGAGCAGAACAGCCGCATCGCGGCCTCCACACGGTTGAGGCTCCACAGCCTCAGCCGTTCTTGAAGTCACTTCAGTACGCAGTGAAGGAAACTCTGTTTCCAGACGATCCTTTTAGGCAGTTTAAGAACCAAAAGACATCTAAAAAGATTGTACTAGGACTCAAATACTTCTTGCCGATATGCGAATGGGCTCCACGCTACAATCTCAAGTTCTTGAAATCGGATCTCATAGCCGGAATCACCATTGCTAGCCTCGCCATCCCTCAGGGCATCAGTTACGCCAAGCTCGCTAACTTGCCTCCAATTCTTGGCCTTTGTAAGCGTTTTCTCTTTTTTTTTTTTTTTTTTTTTTTTTCTAGACATTTTGTATTAATTTAACTATATCAAAGCGTTTATCTTGTTTAAAATTATAGAGGTCTAATTATTGTTTGTGTTTTGTTATTTTTTGCGTTTAGACTCGAGTTTTGTACCGCCATTGGTATATGCGGTGCTAGGGAGTTCAAGGGATTTGGCGGTGGGAACGGTTGCGGTTGCGTCTCTCTTGACAGGTGCAATGCTGAGCAAAGAAGTTGATGCTGAGAAAGATCCTAAGCTTTACCTTCATCTTGCTTTCACCGCCACGTTTTTCGCCGGCGTTCTCGAAGCATCTCTCGGCATTTTCAGGTTCTTTTCTCCTATATATATTTTTTCCGTTTTTACAAGGATTTATTTATACAAAAAATGTAATAAAAGCCTGAGCTATAGTTTGGATCCAAATCATGTTGAAAAAGATTCCGGCATCAAAAATATCTAACCAAATAGTAAAGTTTGTTTTACCTTGCTTTTTTGTACGTAACAATAAAAATAAACACTCTAATAATTCAGAAAGCACTAGGCTGTGAGTGAAACTCGTCATCGCAAGTTACGTCACGTGAACGAAATATAGTTGCTGACAAACTAGCCAATAGGGGACAAAGCGAGATAACTTTAGAGAATCCTACGGGAATGTTTACTTTACTGGTATGATCGGTTTCATTTTTTTATTAGTTTACTTAGTCATTTGTCACACTCCTAGTTCAAATGGACACGATATAGAGATAATAAAAAATTAAATAAAGGAAATTAAACAAAAAAATTGAAATGAAATGCAGGTTAGGGTTTATAGTGGATTTTCTATCGCATGCAACGATAGTGGGATTCATGGGAGGAGCAGCGACGGTGGTTAGCCTGCAACAGCTTAAGGGTATTTTCGGACTTAAACATTTTACCGACGCCACTGATGTTATCTCCGTCATGCGTTCCGTTTTCTCCCAGACTCACCAGGTGTCTTTCACTTCCATTTTTTTTATATACATCCAACAATTCATTCCCAATGTTGATATTTATTCTCCCAATTATAATAATAATTGTATTTAAACCACTAAACATGTGTTCTGTTTTGTCATCTTGTTGTTGTTGTTGTTGTTGTGTAGTGGAGATGGGAGAGTGGCGTTCTCGGCTGTGGTTTCCTTTTTTTCCTTTTTTCCACTAAATATTTCGTAAGAACTCTATTTCTCATTCACACTTAAATTAGCTATATATAATTCTTTCGACAAGGCGGGTCTTAGCAAAAATACGCTACAATGACATTTCTCCAATTAGTTTTCATTCTTCGTCTTTATCAATCTTTTTTCTTGCAAAGAACACGACAATTAATTGACAACCAATGTAATGGAATGTATCCTGAAATAACGTAATTAATTGTGTTTAACTACGAATTGATGATGCAGAGCACGAAGAAACCAAAATTCTTTTGGGTGGCGGCAATGGCTCCTTTGACCTCAGTGATTCTTGGAAGCCTCTTGGTTTACTTCACCCACGCTGAGAAACATGGTGTTCAAGTGGTATTTTTCGATCTCCTTACTTTATCATAATAATGATAAAAATAAATAACATGTTTTCAATTAAGAGTTGAAGACTAAAGAGGTAGAGTATGTATCTCACCGAAATCTAAAAAGATAATATAATTTTTCAAAAGGGAGAAAAGGTTGAGTAGAATATTGTGGTTGAGAAAAGAAACAAGAAGCAAGAAGTTGTAGTTTATGGGGGAAAAATAGAAGTGGGCTCATGGGCAATTTTGGCATATTTTGTAATTTTGTCCGAAAGGGAGAGGAAATGATAAAAATAAACGAAGGTGTACGATTGTGCAGATAGGGAACTTGAAGAAAGGGTTGAATCCAATTTCCGTTAATGATCTCGTCTTTACTTCGCCTTACATGTCGACAGCTATCAAGACTGGCCTCATCACTGGCGTCATCGCTCTAGCTGTAAGTCCCATATATACTTGTTAATTAATAACAAGCATTGATGTAAATAAGGTAGAGCATATAATTTGTGAGTCTGTTACACTTGTTAATAACAAGCATTGATGACCGTGCAACTTATGTCGTATATACTAAAATTCATGTGTAAAATGTAGGAAGGAATAGCTGTGGGGAGGAGCTTTGCCATGTTCAAGAACTACAACATAGACGGGAACAAAGAGATGATAGCATTTGGAATGATGAACATCGTTGGTTCCCTCACATCTTGCTACCTCACAACCGGTAAGTACATCCATACACAGCTTAAGCTTCTATATCACATTAATTAAATATGTAATACGAAAAATCTTACTATTTCACGACGTATACCACACTACTAGGACCCTTTTCAAGGTCGGCCGTGAACTACAACGCGGGTTGCAAAACCGCGGTGTCGAACATAGTGATGGCGATTGCGGTTATGTTCACATTGCTCTTCCTCACGCCGCTTTTCCACTACACACCACTCGTTGTTCTCTCTTCCATCATCATGGTCGCAATGCTCGGACTCATTGACTATCAAGCTGCCATTCATCTCTGGAAAGTAGACAAATTCGACTTCCTGGTCTGCATGAGCGCCTACTTTGGCGTCGTATTCGGTAGTGTCGAGATTGGACTCGTCGTTGCAGTAAGTATATAACTTATTGCACAATTTACCTATACTTCAGATTGTTTGATTGCGTTTTTTTTAGTTTAACTTCTTTATTTTATATATTTTAAAGTTTGATTTTCTTTCGGCGTGATGAAGGTGGCGATATCGATAGCGAGGTTGTTGCTGTTCGTGTCAAGGCCAAGGACCGCAATGAAGGGAAACATACCAAACAGCATGATCTATAGGAACACCGAGCAGTATCCTTACTCAAGAACCGTTCCTGGTCTTCTCATCTTGGAGATTGATGCTCCAATCTACTTTGCCAACGCCGGTTACTTGCGTGAGAGGTAATCTAACGTTAATTCATATGTAAATGCCAATAATGGAAATTTTGGTTCTAATTAAATTAGGTTTTCTGATGAATCATATATCGGTCACAGAATAACAAGGTGGATCGATGAAGAGGAAGAAAGAGTCAAAGCATCAGGAGAAAGCAGCTTGCAATATATTATACTCGATATGTCCGGTAATTAATTATATGATCTTGATTGTCTCTTATCGTAGTCCTGTATTCGTTTGAGGCTTACTTTTTTTTGTATACATGTGTGGGTTGAACAAAATAGCCGTTGGTAACATTGACACGAGTGGTATAAGCATGATGGAGGAAATTAAGAAAGTCATCGACAGAAGAGCTTTAAAGGTAACGTAGTACGTCGACGTTATATTATATGTTTTTCGTTTCTTCATATAATATCATTCTTTCTTTTTTGAATCTTCAGTTAGTATTGGCAAATCCAAAAGGAGAGGTGGTGAAGAAATTAACAAGATCCAATTTCATTGGTGAACATTTGGGCAAAGAATGGATGTTCTTAACGGTAGGAGAAGCCGTGGAGGCTTGTAGCTACATGCTTCACACCCTTAAAGCCGAACCAGCCTCCCAAAAAGAGTCTTGGAACAACGTATAGCTCCTCCACTTTGTTCTAAGTTGTTATGGCTGCTCGTTATTATATATTCCGAATGTAATCTCAGATATCGGTGTAATATTAATGAATGAGTCACATGCAATCTGTGTACTCCTTTTTTTTTCCTCCGTTAAGTTTACTACTGAAGAGAAATGTTCATAAACCGAAAATAAAATCATGTGTCCTAAAAGGTTACAAATTATAGCCCTTCTATTCATAAAAGCCCATTGGGCTATCTGACGATAATAATCCTGTACGCCAAGGTCCACCGTACGGATGCTTCTTTGTACCGTATAAAACAATACACGTAAGCGTACAATCAGATAGAGTCAGATCCACGATACTTACGATGGTATCGTTTTCATTGCTTTGGTGTCTTTACTCTCCAACCAATAAGAAAAAGCCACGTAGTAGCTTACGAGAAGAACTTCGTCGTTACGAAAACAAGTGTGTTCACAAGCAGAGCAAAGGAGACTTTTCGAGAAAAACAGAACTCAAAAGATGAGCAACGACGATTCAGGTCTCGGTGAGTCAACTCGTTCGACGGAAGTTGATGGCGGCGACAGAGGAAATCACACGCTTTACGAGTCTCGTTTCCAGTCGCAGCGGTTTGACTCGTCCTTCTCCGACTTCGACGCCCAACCGGAGAAAGACGGCGATTCGTCTCCTCATACCAACCTAGAGGATTTCTCGTCGTCACAGAAGGAATTACCGGAAACTCAATCTTCGCCGTCTATAAACGGTTCCGAACCTACGAACGGTCCGATCTTGCCGCCTCCATCGGTCATGGAGAAGGAGGAAGGTTTCCCTCTCAGAGAGTGGCGAAGGTAAACGCTTTCTTCGTGCATGCAGCTTTAGATCATTTAATAGTTTCATACTTATAGATAATACAATCTTTTGAATTGTCGATTATTTACCTTAGAGATTTTCACGAATTTAGGCTAATCTTTTGATTCTTTAGAAAGTCTGTCAAATCTTCATTGACCAAGTCCCAGCTCCAAGCGTTGACCGTTGACCAGTGTTTTTAGTTTGTTCAATAAGTTTTCTCTTACATTGACAAAAGCCAAAAGTGTAGTCCATGTGTTTAACAATGTTACTAATTGTGGTTGATAATTTGATATGAATATGATTATGTCATTCTTTTAGTAATTTAAATGAGCATAATCGATTAGGAATGTCTAGTCTAGTTAAATAGCTTGTATATGACAAAAGTGTTGTGTTGTGTGTCTTCAAGGCTAAATGCTCTGAGATTGGAAGAGAAGGAAAAGGAAGAGAAAGAAATGGTTAGGCAAATCATAGAAACAGCAGAGCAATACAAGGCAGATTTTTATAGCAAGCTTAGCGTTACTATTGAAAACAACAAGAAGTCCAACCGCGAGAAAGAAAAGGTGATCTGTTGTCTTTGTGAAGTCTCAAGCTTTCTTTGATTTGTTAATGAAATGGCTAATTTTTTCTTTTTATTGACAGTTGTTTTTGGAGAACCAAGAAAAGTTTTACAGAGAAGCTGACAAAAACAGCTGGAAGGCGATTGCGGAACTCATTCCTCGTGAAGTACCAGTCATAGAGAAGAAAGGGAAGAAGAAACAAGTTTCTATAAATGTGATACAGGGACCAAAACCTGGGAAGCCAACTGATCTGTCTCGTATGCGTCAAGTGCTCACAAGACTCAAACACAATCCTCCTCCTCATATGAAGCCTAAATTGCCCACACCATCTGGAGCTGACCTTGTGACTGAAGTGAACATATGAAGCACAATCCACTTTCTCATAAGAAGTTTTAGTTTGTGACAAATTAACTTCTTCTTTATTTGTGTAAAGCGTCTGCAAATTGTTAGCTTCCTCAGTCTCGAATTTTGCTTCTTTTTGGTCACCTCTCTGGTCTTGTGGTTTCCCACACAAATAACAACTTTGATGATGTATATGTTTAATAAGACAGACCATATATGTGTGTTTACATCGTGTTCCTGCCAGAAGCACAACGGTTTGTTTACAAATCTATCTTTACATTTTTCAGGTGTTATTAAGGTGGTTGAATTATCAGTTTGGCTTGATTTCATATAAACTTCAATCAAATTCAACTAATCTCTGACACTAATTTTTGTTTCATTTACTAAAGTACTAAGCTTGTTACAAATCATGAAATCAATATGGTTTTGGATTAGCTTCAAATGATAAGCCCAAAACCATATCTTAAATCAAGTCTGGCCCATCGTAGACCCACCCACACGTGACACTCCTCGCATCCTTATCGTATCAAAGAACATCATCGTATCTTATTTGGCGGCAACCGTTTCATCACAACCGTTCAAATCAACGACTTTCTTTTCACAATTATCATTACCGGGTATAGCAGGTAAAAGCACCTGGTGTCACTAGACTCTTCCTTTCGTTAACCGGCGAACGCCAATTCTAGGTTTAGCAGGTAACCGGTAATAAGCATCTCTTTCTCCCTCATGCTCAACCTGTGCTCTCTGACTCTGATCGTCTTTTTCTTTTGATTCTGCTCAACGAAGAGATCTTCCATTCGTCTCGCATACTCTTTACGGTAATGGCTTCTCTCTATTAGTTTTGATTTGTAGAATCTCTTCGTTTTTAATTTTGCTGTTTCGAATCAATTAACTGTGTTTCCCTTCTTTTTGGAGAGAATCTGGAGCTTAGCTTCGTTGGATTTTAGAAATTCGTGGTGATAGCTGAGGATTTAGTACTTTTTGAGCTTTAAATCTGTTGTTTTCATGTGAACACTTTGTTTTTGCTTCTTCAAATCTTCTGGTGTTTCGAGAGTTTTCCTGTATAATTTCGATGAATTAGTATCTGCTCAGTTTCCTCATCTGTTCCTTCGTTTTCTGATTTCTAATTTTAGCTCGCAGCTTACATTGACTTTTTCCTTCGTCTGTTAGGTTACGATTTTGATAGGATTGGGTTATTCATTTCTCTGTAGAGTAGTGTGATTCTGCTCCATGTTGAATTTTCTGAGATTAACTGATAAAGAAATTTATTCGATTCGTTGGTTCTCTACAGTTACCACGATGAAGACAGCAAAGGGTAAAGATAAAGTTAAGACCACAAAGGAAGCTTTGAAGCCAGTCGACGACAGGTTAAATCCATCACCCCTTTGAAAACTTGTACAACGAAAGGAATATTTTCATTGCTGAATCGTCATTTAAAGTATATTTGCAAAACTGGCTTAGCTTCAGCTGGATTGTGCTTGGCGTTGGAGAGACTGGTTTTACCATTGTCTCTAGTGATTTTGATCCAAATGTAACCAAAAGCTTTGGTTATTATGATTGATTTTCAGAAAGCTGGGAAAGAGGAAGGCACCAGCTGAGAAGCCTACAAAACGAGAGACACGTAAAGAGAAGAAGGCCAAAAAGGACCCAAACAAACCAAAGAGAGCTCCAAGTGCCTTCTTTGTCTTTCTGTAAGTGCCTTTGAATGCTTTCCCTGAATTAGATTCCCACTTTGTATTCTTTCAGAGAATTTACTGGTTTCTTTTGTTTCTGATTGTAAAGTTACTGGTTTCTGGTTTATTTGTTTTCAGAGAAGATTTTAGGCAAACTTTCAAGAAAGAAAATCCAAATGTGAAAGCTGTCTCTGCTGTAAGCATTTTGGCAGATTCTTTGAATATATTTTTCGACGTGCTTAGTCTTTTATTGGATGAAGTCCTCATGGTCTTTGTCTTCCCTTTTCCTTGTGAAGGTTGGGAAAGCTGGAGGACAGAAATGGAAGTCAATGTCTCAAGCTGTAAGTATATGTGTAACTTTCTTTTATGATACTGTGATGGAAATAATTGTTCCATGAAACTAGTTGCCTTGTAAGCTTTTGTAGAAAGAATGTTCTGCACAATCATTTAACAGGACTAAAAGGAATCTATAATGACCATTGTGACATGAGTTTCACCTCTTTTCCTTTTGAAGGAAAAAGCTCCATATGAAGAGAAGGCAGCAAAGAGGAAAGCCGAATATGAAAAGCAGATGGATGCATACAACAAAAACTTGGTAAGCCCGAAGCCTTATCTCACATATAAAAATACTTTACGTGGCTCACTCTGATTTCGTTGCAATGTGGGGTGCAGGAGGAAGGGAGTGATGAATCTGAAAAGTCTAGATCTGAGGTGAACGATGAAGATGAAGCTAGCGAGGAGGTAACGATTTTACTAAATAATGTCGAGTTTCTAGTTGTTCTTCCTTTACAGTCTCTTTGGTGTGAGTTATAGCTTTTTGAACAATATGTTTTGCATAATGTTTCTGTGCAGGAAGAACAGCTAGAGAAGGGAAAGGCAGCTGATGAAAAAGAAAGAGATGAAGATGAAGATGAAGATGACGAGGAAGATGCTGATGATGATGCTGATGATGACGAGGAAGAAGAAGACTGAACCTCACGGAAATCAGAAGTTGTATCTCACGGCGTAACTAAGTATTTTGTAATTTGTGTGTTGACAACTATAGATCGAAATCACGTGTGCTTTTTTTCTTTTCTTTTCCTAAGAAAGCGAAACAGTTGTTAGTGTTTCGCGAGTATTGTTTCCAGCTTATATTATCAACGAAGAATGTACCAATGTCTGCTTTAGTGATCCAACCCAAAAACAAAAACCATGTACTTTGTTCAAAGTCTCTTCAGTCTATAATTTTCAAATAATAATATGATTATTTTCCTGGACATACAAATTGCTTCCTCACATGAACTAACACAAAAACCATTAGCCTCTCGTTTTCTGCATTACTCACCATCCATATTTGTTTATCACTAAGCACCCTTCCTTGAGATATCCAATGTCTTTGTGGTGGCGAAACATTAACAACAATTTTGCAGAAGATACGCCATCTTTACATCATAACATCTCCCAAGAGATTTATCATTTTCCTTTTTATTTCCATACTCATGGATCCTTAGCCTCTGCTTTACTGTATCATTGGACCTCTCTCCATTCGCATCACTCCCTTGTTTCTTCTCTCAACCTGAGTACACATACTCTAGCCGTTTTACCAACCTCAATTAACAGAATAAGAGTATTCTTTTTCTTTTTCCCTAACACACACATCCATAAGATGTAATAGGTATGGAGTCGTTGTTTCAAGCTGCGTGATCTCATCAATCTTTTGTATGACCTTTATATCTCTATCTCTAGCTGAAATTCCACCAGGCTCCCACACACGTTTGGCTTGTTTAAAAATCAGCAACATTCGCTTCTTGTACTCACAACCATAGGTTTCTAGCCAAATCCTTGCTTCTACATCAAGAGCAGAAAGTACCTGAATCTTAAGCTCTGCGTTTGCGATACAATCTTGAGTTCCCTTCTCCATAAATATGACCATTTCTGGATTTTTTTTCTGTGAACTCATAAGCACACTCATCTCGTGAAGCTTCTTAGACCATGAAAACTCGTTAAGCTTCACGTGCCAACCTCAGTTCAGCCTGCAGCAAAATTCACAACAGAAACTTGTTTTTGTACTTGACATTCCAGGTCTTGTGGTACTTCCTGACTAGTCTTCAGATTACTGAGAGCTGATCATCTTTACCTTTGAACAATTTCTGAATTCAAAGATTTGAAAGCATCAGCCAAACGGTACTAGTAATATAGGCGTACAAGACACATGTGTCTTTGAGTTGTGTTGTGTTGTGTTGGCGACCCTGCTTCTCATGGTGCCCACTTCAGTCTTTTATTAACTCTCTTTCTAGGGAAGCAGAGTAGCAGAGGATGGCCACAAGTTATAAGGTTTAAGGTAGTTTAACAGTCTCTCTGTGGATTCATAAGCAGCATCAGTTGCAAAAGTATCGAACGTCGTTGAGACCCAACTCCTCGTTTTGTTCCCATGATCTCTCGTACTCTTCATCTGAAAGTTCAAACACAACAGCATTCTCTTATTTCAAAGCCAAGACTCCTGTAGCAATTGAGATATGTAATCCTAAATTAAGTCAATTCCATATAGCAACTGCAAAAGCAGAAATCAAAATCAACCTTTTCTATATGTTTGTTTCTCCTGGATAACAGGTACTAGATCAACACCTGAACATATATATTTTTTGATCTTTTTTAGGATCCAAATAAAGAAAGAGAAAATTTCCAATTCGCTTGGCAAAAAAAAAAAACAAGAAGAAAATTTCCAATATTCAGTTTCCTATTTGTAATAGGTTTCCTTTTAGAATTAGGGTTAGAGTTGTATAAATACTTGGACCTTACGGTACTTAATCCAGTCACAGACTCACAGGCTATTATTAATATTCATATTCAGAATTTGTCGAAGCGCGTGAAGAAAATGCAGTCAGTCGCGTTTTCTCTCCTCCTCCTTATCTCGATAACCGCCACAGCTATCCCTCCGACGACCTCCGCCCCGACGATCGGCGGCGCGTACTCGAGTCCAGGCTCAGTCTCCGGTTCCGTACTACTCTCGCCAAACAGGTTCGCGGAGAAGATTGTTTCAAGGAAGATCCCGGCGGTGAGGCTTCTGGACTCCGATCGGGCGATGATTCGCGCCTTCGCCAACACCAACGTATCCCTCTTCCTCTCCGTTCCTATTCATCTGGTTCCACGCCTCGCTTCCGATCGTCTCTTCGCCAAGCGCTGGGTCAAGCGCCATGTGCTTCCCTTCTACCCTCTCTCCAAGATCTCAACCATCTCCGTCGGGTACGACGCGGCTTCACACTCGCCGGACGTTTCGCCGTTCCTACTCGGTGCGATGCAGAATGTCCATCGATCTCTCACAGACCTGAGAATCTTCCAGATCTCGGTATCCACTACCTTCTCTTTCTTAAACATCGTCACCACGATTTTCCCTCCTTCGGCGGTGCGGTTTAAACAAGAAGAGTCTATGAGGCCGATTTTACGATTCATAGAAAGAACCAACTCATCTTTCCTGATCAATCTCTATCCCGTTGATATCTACCGATGCTGCTTCCCCATTACAGTTGGATTTGCTCTTTTCAGTGATTGTCCTTTGAGTTACCATACCGACCTCGCTACCGGACTTGACTACCGTAGTATCTTCGATGTGGTGGTCGACTCTGTGATCACCTCTATGGCCGTGATGGGCCACGCAGATCTTCCCTTGATTGTGGCGGAAACCGGCTGGCCTAGCTCGGGAACCCATGCCAGATACAGCGACATGTTCTATAAAGCATTACTTACCCGCCTGAGAAGCGGATCTGGAACACCACTGAGGAAAGAACCGAAAGAGGTTTACATACTTGAGCTGGATCACAACATGGCAAGCAAGTCCAGCTTTGAAGTCTGAGAGTGTTTCATCTCTTGATGTAGAAGACGAGGTACTAACTCTGTTTCTTCTTTGGAATTACATTACTGTGTGTGTTTGTAGAGGAATTAGAAGTTGATTTTTTTTTTGGCTTAGCTTCCGATAGATTACTGTCTTTGTGTTTGAATTTCCGTTGAACAACAAACGAAAGATTTACAAAAAAGATTGAATTCTGAGTCCCCCAATACAAAAAAGATTTACAAACCATGTACTTTGTTTAAACTCTCTTCAATCTCAAGGTTTTTGATAATTTTTAAATAATAATGATTCTTTTCCCGGACAGAGATATTGGTTATTCTTCAGACATAAACTAAAAGAAGAAGAAATCAAAATAAAACAGAATTTATAACTAGTGACTACAACAAAATTATTCCAGCAGCTCCAAAAATTTTATGAAAAAATTGGTTACTGAGTCTGCTGGTCTCGAATCCGATTATCATCGTTGATCTTCTGAAGTTGTTTCTCACTTGTGGCGATAAGGCGTTTTACCATGTCGAAGGCTGTAAGCCTAATGCTGCAAAATAAACACATAAAGGACAATGGACAATTTCATTAGTTCGCATTATGATTTGATTTTTGCCTAATGTCATCTTACTTAAAAGACATTGATAATGATAATGATAATGCTAAGTCTAACCTGCTGTTTGGTAAGGTTTTCAATGCATTAGGTAAAAAGCCACGGTACAAGCCTATAAGCCCATCACGGTCTACAATTCCTGCACATCAGATGTAAAAAAACTGTCTCAGTTCATGTAGTATTGTATGTACGTGTAAATCGTGTAAATCGACTGATGACAAATCTTGCTCTAATGTGTTGTTGCATGATGAAATAGATTTAAATTTGGTACCAGCAAATGCTTCCGGGATTGATTTGTAAGGAGTTCCTCTCATTTGCATTTGGCGTCTCACAGTGTCTAGAGGGTAACACGTCAGTGTTGCGATACCAGCCGAAAGAACAGCTGTCAATAGAGACGATTGTGCCTTCTGTCTGTATTCCTCCGGTAAAGACTTCTTCACCCTGATGTCAGTTATGAAGGAAACAAAGTATATTTGTGAACTTTTTTCTTCATATGGATACTTGAAACAGATGGAGTGAAAGTTTAGGAGACTCACAGATCGAAAATGCAAAAGTTTACAGCAATATATGGAGCTATCCCCACAAGAGAAGGTCCCAGACCGTAATAGAAAGATGCAACTCCTTCTTCACGGAGCATACTCAAAGCAACCTGCAAGAGTTTTACATTACACATATGTCTATCAATAAATGTGTAAACACAGCCTTATCAAGCTCTGCATTTACAAATGAAAGTTTGAGAGATTAAATCAGGAATGATGCCTTCTCACCTGAGACATTGTTCTGTATCCAGGTTCGACTGCCAATCTCAGCCTCAAAACATCTAGTGGGTATGTCAACTGCATAAGAATCAAGATGTAAGAAGCAAGAAGCAGACTGATAATTTAACAAATGAACAGAACAAGAAAAAGGATAAACAATTTGAGCTGCCAGGAGATTCATCTAACCACAATTACGTACCAGAGTAGACGTCATGCCAGCACAAGCACCTGCCGCAAGTCTTCCGATTACTGAGAGCTGATCATCTTTACCTTTGAACAATTTCTGAATTCAAAAATTTGGAACCATCAGTCCAACGGTACTAGTAATAGAGTGACAGAGCAAAAAAAGTTGCTTTAAACTAAATGTTGTGAGTTTCAATACAGAGAACAACAGCAAAAGTAATGGAATTAAGCAAAGTTTTCTAGCAGCAGTGAAATTAGCTTCCCTGTTTTAACACATGAGCCATTGATGATAGAGACTCACCTTGTAAGTCTCATAAGCCAAAAGCTGGACCGCACTGTAAGGTAACACTCTTATCACCTGGTGTCACATTTTTCAAAACAGAGAATCAGACAACTCAAGAGAAACATCTGACATGTGTATTAAAGAAAACACAAGTTTCAAAACAAGAAATTTAGTGAACCTGAGGCAAATTTCCCTTCCAGTAACCTTTCACTCCTTCTTCTTTGCCTATCAAAGTGATTGCCTGTTTGTTTTTCATTTACAAATAACTCTTGCATCAGTTAGAACATGAAAGACTAATGTAAGAGCGGAAAAGAAAAAAAAAACGCCACACAAACTACCTCCATAAATCCTATTGCCTTCTTTGCACTCTGGTGTCCGATTCGTATACCATGTGTCTGCAGAATAAACCATATTCAGATTAGAAGAAAAGAGAAAAAAAACTCACGGTGAGATAAATTACTTGCTAAGCTTCATCTTAATCTACTGATATATATATATATATATATTATATATATATTGATATATATATATATTGTAATCATACTTGATACAGGACTAATCAGTTACTCTTTTTGTATTTTTCCATATGCTTCGAAATCAATTGAACATAAAAACTTCGTTTTATTTGAAATTCAAAAATTAATCCCTCCAGAGAGTTAAGAGAGAATAAAATTATACCTAAGAGAAAATTACCAAAGGAAAAAATTAGAGAGGCAGTCCAAAACCTGCATAAGAAGCTTGATACGGTCAAGCGGAGCGGTAACCGTTTTGGCGGCGGCACCGGCAATAGCACCGGCGGCGAATATGGCGGCATCTTTGGGGACGAGAGCAAGGATAGCAAGCGGGTTATTCAAGAGCTGAACCGGCGTCGGAGCGAATTCCCTCGGCTCGCACTTCTCCACCAGGGAAATGCATGCGAATCTACTACCCAGACCGACGTCTCCGCGAGCGGAACTCCGCCACGCACGGCGGCGGAATTGTACGGTGCCGGATTTAGCCGGGGAAGAGGTTAGTATGGAGGAATTGAGGGAAGGGATACGGTGAAATGTGAGAATGGCTCTGTCTTCTTCCATGGTTACGAAGAGACTAGTCACTAGAGGGAAAGAGATAAGGCGTTTCAAAAACAGGAATAAAAAAGATTTCATTTCCCCAAGTGGCGCGAATCTATTCGGGCCCGTCGGCTCCAGGCTCCAGCGTTTTAGTTGGGCTTTATGGGCTTCTTTCTTTTCAACGAGTCTCAGAATGTGTTTTTTACCTTTTTAGGCTGATTTGTAGAAGAATTTGTAAGAAATATGCAATAGTAAAATCGTAAATTTTAAAAACACAACTTGAAAGAATACCATATTAGATATTACAAAATACCATTTGGATAAAATAAGTTACGTATGTATTCAAAAAAATAAACATGATACAGATAAACCAACTTATCTACAATTTTATCATCTGCGTTTAAATACAAATGACAAATATGTGGTTATGGTTATTTAATAGAGATGAGTGACAGAGAAACTATTGCTAAAGTTGAGACTCATCTTAAGAGTTAACGGCACTGCTTAAGAACATGTGAAAATTTAGATAGATATGGTAAATTATAAACATAATAATCCTTTAACTGACAAAGACAAAATGAATTCTTTAACTATATAACAACCAGCTCGTCTCTTTTTAGCTTTATATCAGAAAACAAAAAGAACATATATATATACAAGAAAAAACATAAAATGCCACACAAACAAAAGAAAACAGAAATGTGACTCCTTAAAACATTTGTTTTTGTAAAAAAAAAAACTGTCTTCATCAAGCTCCCTCTCTCTCATGCTGAGGAATCTCTCTGACAAGTCTGTTTCCGTTTTTGGATGAGGTATTCAAACAAACAAGCCCTTTTTTCAAGTAATTTGAATATTAAGCTGAGATAAATCCTCCTGCTGCATTGTTATTGGGTTGAGATCCTACACCCATGCCATTTTGTTGTTCTGTAAAATCATTATTACGTTTTTTTTGGTCATTTTAAATCTGTAGACGATATCATAATGTAAAATTTTCTTATATTTATCACTTACTCTGGGGAATTTGGTTGACGAAGAAACAGGCGGCGATGATAACATAGCACAACATCAGAACCAGTCCCTTCATGTAGTGAGAAGTTCCATCCTAACATGTCCCAACACAAACCATTATTAATTAAAGGAATAGGCATATAAAGCAAAATAGACTAATTAAACCGAATCAAAATGTGTTTACCAAAACTCGTATAACATAATCAAACCGAATTACATTTGAGTAAGTTGGTACTGTGTGAGGAAAAAAAGTATACCTGTAAAGTGAAGGCTGTGATGATAATGGCCAAGGCTAGAGAGCCTGTTTCAAGGATGTTGAAGTTGAGATCCATTTTTATTCCCAGTATCCATGCTACGATAACACTCAAAGGGACCTACGGAAATCCACATATTTTCCATTGTCTTTAGATTTGTTATGCTTTTATATTTATAGTATGCAACATTTGATGTCAACGAATATTTTCATAGCTTACCACGAACAAAGAAATCTGAGTTGCAGAGCCCAACGCGACCCCTAGAGATATATCCTACAATTATAACCATTTCACAATAAGCGATTAATTTCAGGTGTTTTGGTCTAATTAACATGTGAAAGTTTCATGATAAGTTTTTTTGCAACAAATAAGTTTAACTTAAAAATTGTTAGTTCATTAGGAAAAAATGTACATTATAACACAAACTCAAACGAAAATAAAAATTCTAACAAAACAATAGAGAGCATAATCTAGAAGACTTGTAACTCAAGCAAGAAAAAGGGGAAACTCACAAGCTTGTTCTTGAATGCGAAAATGATTGCTCCGGCGTGCTCAGCAGCGTTTCCAACAATGGGAAGCAATATGATGCTTATGAAACTTACTGATAGTCCCCATGACTCCGATGCATCCTGATCAATATATAACCATCATATTAATATTAATATGTTGATTCTTTTCCATTTAGGAGTATTAATTAAACATATTGACTTAATTCATTGCCTCATTGGTAATTACCTCAATCGTTGCCACAACAAAGTCCGATAGTAATGCGATGAAGAGCGTCATCCCAACGAGCCAAGCAAATCCGCTCCAAAACCCTATCACCGGAGTTTCTTCAACAGTCACATCATCATTATACGCATCATCCTCCTCCTCCTCCTGAAATATGTTTTAATTACATTATTTATTAGCATTTTTACTTGTCGAGCAAATAAAACATGTAGCTAACTTCTACGTACCTCTGTTGCCTCGAAAAATTGGCGGTGGGTCCAGAGTTGGAAGACGAGGTAAGCAATGTAAGCAACAAGCATAACGATACTGCTTGCCCGGGACAGAGTAAGCGACATTTTGTTAATCAAAGAGGTCGATGCTTCTCCATTCGTTGCATATTTCAAAAACAATGGCAACAAATGACACAGCAGACCCATAAGTAGCAAGAAGAAGTTCACGTCCGCTTGTTTCTGTAACAATGAAAAGAGAATCATCATCACACGAAAGAAAACCTATATATGTATATAGTAGTTTTAAGTAAAAAATATTAATTTCTTTTACTCAATATAAAATTATTATGTTAGGTTTGGTTACACTCAATTCCGTATTGGTGCGGTTCAGTTCATTTCTGATGCAATGTTTCCCGGTTTGGTTATGTCAAATTACCATAAGAACTTAAAACCGGAGGGCAGGGAATATATATACCCGGTCGAACCACTGCTGGCGGCGGATATTGGCGATACCACCACAGAAGAGGGAACTGCCGAGAACCAAGAGAAGGTTTGAGAGAATTGAACCCAATAGAGAGTATTTCACCACCGCCACTTTGTTACTGGCCAACGCTAATATCGCGATTATCAGCTCCGTGGCGTTTCCGCAAGTAGCGTTCAACAAACCGCCCACTGCCAAGAAAACATCAAGGACGTTCACTGAGAATATTACTCGGACATCATAACCCATAATTTAATCAGTATGAAAACGTTACCTGTTGGGCCGGTGAAGAAAGCGAGTTGTCTGCACAGAGGACGATAATGTTTATTATTATGTGAGATATGATGGTTCACGGTTGTATAAAACTGAAACTAGCTAAAAATGTTGTTTAGCATATTGAAATTTGATTCTTGATTCATATCTAGTACGGTAAAAGCTTATGTCGACATAATTGATCAATTAGCCAGCGCGGTACTAAACATGATCAGTGAAAAATATTAACAAGACATGCACCTGAAGAATACGAAATAAGGAAATGCTGACAAAACAATAAAATAATACGAAATCATGAGAATATCTCATCTTATTTTATATATTTGTGGTAAGATAATTACTTACTCTGTCAAAAAGCTAACTCGTTCAGCTAGAGGTGCCAGCCCTATCAAGCTCAGTCCAAATATCAACGGCTGTCACACATTTCACAACAGAAATGTATTTCAGGAATAAATAAAACCAGTCTTTATCTTTTACGCACTAAATAAATATTGGTAAGGTAACATATAGTTTACGTGGCAGAATAGGGACAGAAAAAAACAAATAGACATGTAACCATCAAATTAGTAACGTAAATTAAAAAATAGTGTTTCCCGAGACAAGCAATTTAATAGTATGGTGATAAGTTTCGTTTTACGCTATAGACGAACAAGTAATTTGTTGTTTGTTTCTACAGTTTAGATGAATCTAGTGGAAACTAAATCTAAGAACTCCATCAAATTTTTTTGTCTCAAGTCTTTAAATTAATAACAAAAATTCATTAAAATTGGTTGGGAAGAATTCTTATTTCCTTCAACAGAACTTTTTCTTCTTAGGGAAATTATTGGTTAAATGATGAACAACACTTGCATGCCTGTTCTCTTGCAAAATTCACCAAATATACAGATTGAGAGAGGAAAGAAAAGAGAGCTTACGCGACCCAAGTGGTAAGAGTTGGCGATAATGGCAAGAGGGATCGCGAGAAATAAAAGAGCGAGTTTAGTGCCAAGAATAACTTCTTGGAGATTTGAGAGAATGTTCTTGACTGTTTTGCATGGAACCTTTTGAATCAGTCTCAGGTCTGATTTCTTCCTTAGCGATGATGACGACATGTTGTGCGCCGTTCTCCCATGTCGCAGCTCCCTGCTGGAACCCTTGGCGGTCGCGTTTGCGTTTTCGCTCTCGGCGATTGCCCATGGCTCGGTGATGCTTCCCATAGCTTAACACTTTGGATTCTCCATCTGGGAGTGTTGTGTCAGATTTGTATAAATAGGTGGCGACTCTATCTATGTATGTATCATTTTTTCTGTATTATATTGTTGGGTCCACGTACGCAACGTCCTCGAAGTTTCCTATTTTCTGTTTTTATAATTAAGTTTTTGGTAGGTTTTTGCTTTGTATTAACAAAAATCAAAATTTTAAAGCTGTGCATTTAGCTAAATTATGTCTCTCTCTGTCTCTGATCATATCATCTCTTTCTTGGGAATTTTTTTTCTGTATCAACTAGTATTAATTAGTGAGATGACATAAAATTGGAGGGTTAACTATAAAGGTGGCGTAAGACTGTTTGAATTCTTATAAATTGAAGAGAGTACGTACGAAAAAGTGTTGAAAAAAACTATTTGCATTAGGTTTTTATTTAATAAAATTAAAAGACACATTCAGTTAGATATGAAAATAAATCTAAACTAATAGTATAAATAATATATATAGCAAATATCATGATATTTTCTATGTTTTTGTATATTTTTCTTCAATTTAAATTGATATTGTGATTTCGGTCGATCAATATTAATTTCAGTTTTTTTAACAAAAGAAATATTAATTTCAGTTCTCGATCTCCTTACAAATTCTAATTCGGAGTCTCCTAGGTATGTACCATGCTAATAGCGGCAGGTCAAGATGAACTATTTTGATCATGATTCGGTGGGTTACGTTTTTACGTATGATATGTTTATTTTTAAAATGACTAAATGAGAGAAAAAAAAAAACCAGAAGGTTGTACATCGCACGTGTACTTGAAAGGTACTTTCCAATGGAAACTTGTAAAGTTGTACGGGCCTCGAAGTGTGGTAGCAGATTAGCCGTAGCATCATCACTCGTTTTCACTTATCACTTTATTTGTACGAATCTAACTCAACTCTTTCCCTTTGGCTTCTCTAAACGGCAATTTTTGGAACAAAGAAAAAGGGATCAGAAGCGGCTATTTTCTTTTTGGTCAGAAGCGGTTATTTTCTCATTCAAGTAGACTAATGATCTGAAATTAATAACTCGATAACTTAAATCTATATATATGATTGATTGATCGGTTAACAATCATAATTAAATCTTCTTTTTTTCATACATCACACACGCATATTACTATGGGTTTGAATCCATGATATGATACGTTGACCCTAATACAAACTATGATCAATCATGTATGTATGAATAATGTTTATGATGTAAGAAAGTGTTGTTAACTTAACATTAAAACAAAAAAGTATCATTAACTATAATACTAAAGTGTACACTGTGTGCTTGTTAGCGAGATTTGACAAGGATGGGGGGCCTATATTAGCCAATAATTTGAATGACTATAAATCATATTCAAAAACTATGTAGTGGTAAACTGTTAAGTAAAAGTAATCATCCATTGTAAATCGTATGTAGTTGTAAGTTGCATACCACGATGGTCCCATTATAGTCCCATTTCCAATCTTGTATTTCTTATATGGCTCTTCCATTATTAGCTCAAGTACTCATCAAAATATGTAGGGTTCGGTTCTAGGGAATGTATATACTTAATTTGTTTCGGAATTCACTTAACTATTATTAATCGACAAATACCTAGTAAACATTGTATCGAAACAGTCGATCAAACATCTCAAGTGCATGCGAGAAGTACATATAGAGACCTTCCTCGAAGTTTCCCATAGCTTACAAACCTATAGCTTTTTTTTTTTTTGAACAACTACTTACAAACCTATATATATGTCTTTGTCGAAACAAAACTTCAAATCATTTCTTGACTTTTTAAATTGTGTGATTTAGATGCCTTTCGTCAATTCATGCGGTCATGCCCACACGTAAATATCAAACCGAACTAAAAGAGATATCGGGGAAAAGTCCAAAATGATATAGAGAATTGTGGAGCGTTCCGGAATTGATAAAATAACATAGTACACTAGCATTCGTACAAGACACATGTGTCTTTGAGTTGTGTTGTGTTGGCGTCTCTGCTTCAGTCTTTTAGTAACTCTTTTTCTTCTTTGTTTTTCTGTGGTTTAGTGAATAGCTCTTTTATTGAGAGGGAATAATAAGAGCATGCTCAGAATGATTAACTAGATCTTGGAATTTTTGTGCTATATATTGATTTTTATTTAACTGTTTTTAACAACTTATGTAATCAGGTGATATTATTCCACCATGTGAGGTTTCACGAAAATTTAAACGATTATACAAGTGTTACTATTTAACTCAATCTTTGTTTTTGATGAACATTTTTTTTTTAAAATCGTTGTATTTTCAGGAAATTACATTAATTATGTATGATAAAATGAGTCGCATTTCAACAACGACAACACACACAAAATAATCCATTTTTTGAAACTTTTGTCTGAAAACCTAGAAAAGAAGTTCGAAAACGGTAGAAAATAGCTATTATGCATTTCTAAATGTAATCTTATGAATGCTATCAAAAGGAAAAATATGATCATATGTTGATTCTTTAATATGTCAAAGATTTCAATATAGATTTTCAATCATGAAAAATAGAGCTTGGTTTTCTGATTTAAATCTTTTTTTCGTCTAGTTCTGCTAGTACCACATTGACACATTCACACATCTCTTGACAAGATTGTGAAATCCCGATTTCGGAAACTTTGAGATCTTGGTATGATTAGTAAACCTTTTGCTCTGATTACTTACTCTGAAAATGGGTTTTAGATTTAACATCTTAAAGCTCAAAATTGTTGAAAATGATCGAAGCTGGTTGTTACTGTCAACTTTGAAAAGAAAGCAAGTGCTTCATTTCTAATAATGGCTCTTTAGGACATGATGGAGTTAGTTGGATTATTCTAGTTCCTGAATTGCATCGTTTTGTGAAACGTTGATTGATCTTGAGATTGCTTTGCAGGTCAATAATGCAGGGGTTTGCTGGTGTAATCACTGATGTTGATGCCCTAGGGGCTGAGACTAGGAAAGTAGGCACTAGGTATCGACAATCTCTGTAAACAATGCCTGAGTCTAAGTTTGGAATCTTTGACTTTAGACTCTTAATTTAAAATTCAATCTCAACTCTAATTATAGGTGTTAAGTTATTAACTATAAAATTAGGAAAATGAATCGTAATTATGTCATCAAAACATTAGTGGAGTAATTTGAATCATCTATATCAGTGAATAGAGGAAAGGATTGTGAATGATCTATATCAGTGAGAGATTAAGAAAGACGACAGAATATTACAACATCATTACCAGAAAGATCTGAGTTTTTTTTTTTTTTACTTCTACACATCAAACATTGATTCTCATGTCTTTGCCTTTCTCTACCACAACAATCTAAACACACACAACTCAGCCGACAAACCAATACAAAAGGACACAAATAACATAATCAACCAAAAAATAAACAAAGTAAAAAACCGAAAGATTTACAAAAAAGATTGAATTCTGAGTCCCAATATGTTTTACCTTCTCTTGGCTTTAATAATACTTTGACGTGGGCGTGAGAGACAAACTCTAAAAACCCTAACACGGCGGCTTCCTTCACTTTTGTTCGCTATTCGTTGCCTAGATTCAAAGATCCGTCCTTCATTAGCTTGATGCTTAGGCTATTGAATCTCCCTCTCGAGTAATGACGAGACGCCTTTCTCCAATCCGTTCCTGTTTTCATCATTGCCGCAAACTCTTCGTAGCTTATTCTCCCATCCTAATGCCAAAAAATCAATGTCAGCCATAACCAGAAGAAACATCATTTGCACTAACATGAGAAGTGAACTCTATACACACAGCATTTCCACCGAAATCAACATATAAATCATTTTTGCTTTAAGGAATATGGGGACCGCTTGCACAACAGACAAAGGCGGAAAAAAACAAAACATAAAAAGTGTGTTTAAAGCTACAAATTCTGTCCTTTGCAGGCTTTAAGAACCTTTTGCAAAGCATGTTTCCATTACTAATTTGAAAGGCTGTGATTTCAAATGGTTTGGTATCAAACAAATAGCGTAAAAAAAAGTTTAAAGCCACACTTTCCATATGGTCGTGCAAAAGATGATGAGACTATACAATGCATAGAATGGTAGAAGATTTGACACTTAGTCACTTACCTTGTCCGTGTCAACTTCTTGGAATATATCATTGGCGACATCCACACAATCATCTCCTCCATCTTCCTTTAAGGCGTCACAAAGCTCCTGGGGCAAAATGTACCCATTTCCATCCTTGTCAAAGTAAGAGAAGGCTTTGCGGAGATGCTCATCGTTTGCTACCTTTTGCAGGTGGAGAGAGACTGCTACAAATTCTCCATAGTCTAGTGTTCCTTTCCCTTTAGTATCCACCTGTTTAAACAGAAAAAAACTCACTGAAGGTTTGACTCTACTTGTTCTGTCAAGCAATCAGTAACAAACCAAATGGTGATGAAGAAGGGAAAAATATGTGTACCGCTTCAATAAGCATCTGAACTTCTGATTCAGCTAGCTGTGTACCAAAATCACGAAGTCCACCTTTCAACTCCTCGATGGTAACGATACCATCCTTATCAGTATCCATCTTGTCAAACATTTCTTTGATGTCTTCTACTTCTTCAGTTGATAAGAATTCCGTAATAACCTGGGTTTGAATAAGGTTTAATTAAGATAACTTTGGTCTACCAAGTGACTCATGCAAATAATCAACAGTGAAAGCTTATCTGATAAACAAACCCGTAAAGCTTTTCTCTTGAATCTGTTCATCACTGAAAACTGCTTCAACCTGGACCTCACAACGTCTCCAAGAGGAACATTTGGAGCTTTCTTTGCGTTCTGAATCCATGGGTGCTCTAGAAAACGAGAAATGATATCATAAACAGGAACAAGCATAATCAATCTTTTGGGGGCAAAGAGAGAGTAAGAGCAGATGGTAAAGGTAGATTGTATATACCAAGCACTTGCTTTGCAGTCAGCCGACGCTTCGGATCAGGCTCTAACATTTGTCTGACTAGATTCTTAGCGGTCTCAGAAATGTTTGGCCACGGTTCCCTCTTGAAATCAATTATCCCGCGCAGAATAGCCTGAGCAACTCCCTGTTCTGACTCTGTGGTTGAGAGCAAAAAAAAATTGGATGACACTACTAAAGTCGAGCTTGCTATAGATGTAATATAAGCAAATTCTCAAGCAGAGTATAAAGAAGAGAGGAAGGTGATAACAGACCTGCCCAGAATGGAGGAACTCCACACAACAGAATATAAAGAATCACTCCAGCACTCCAGATATCTATTTCTGGTCCATAGTTCCGCTTTAGCACCTCAGGTGCCATGTAATATGGACTTCCAACTATCTCGGAGAACTTCTCACCTGAAAATTTGTAAGCATTGTGAAAAAATAGCGTCAAGGACAATTAAACTGGCCAAGTTGCATCTAAGCTATCAATCAATCAAGAAACACGAAGCCTGCATAAACAAGAAGCTCCCTCTACGACCCTGTACCACCACCATACTACCACTGATAATCAGATCAAGCTTGTAAGTGGAAACATCCTAAAGCTAGAGGATTGAAGAATCTGAATCCCTCATATGGCAATATTAAAGCCCCATAAGTTGAAGTCTAAATTTTTCTAGTGGAATCTACTCTCAAAAGGGACTCAAACGCAGAGACACACCTGGCTTGAAGAAAATCGACAATCCAAAATCGATGGCTTTCAGCGGCGAGTTCTCCTTCTTGTTGGCGAACAGAAAATTCTCCGGCTTCAAGTCTCGATGAATGACGCCGTGCTTGTGGCAGAGCTGCACGACCTCCACGATCGTCTTCGTCACTCCCGCGGCGGCGCGCTCCGTGTAATGCCCTCTGGCTACAATCCGATCGAAAAGCTCACCACCTTCACAGAGCTCCATCACCAAATGCACCGCATTATCGTCCTCGCAGGCCTCCTTCAGAGTAACAATGCTCGAGCTCTTGGGCAGATGCTTCATAATCGCCACTTCCCTCTTCACGTCCTCGATATCGACGGCGGTCCTGAGCTTCCGCTTCGAGATCGACTTGCAGGCGAGGAGGTCGCGCGAGGACCTCTCGATACAGAGGTAGGTGACGCCGAACTCGCCGCGGCCGAGTTCTCGGTCAAGTAAGTACCGGTCCTCGATATTCTCCTTGGGGACATCGCTGAGGACTCGAATCGGCGCCGATTTTTTCCCACCGCCGGCGTCTTTGCGGCCGTGATCGTGGCCGGAATAGTTCGATTTGACGTCTTCTCTAGCCACAGCGGCAGGAGATCTGCAACAGTTGCCCATCACTTGTAGCTCAGAGCAATAGCTCGCTGGGCTGGAAAAGTAAAAGTATACAGCAAAAAGTAGATAGATCTCTGGAAAGCTCTAGCTAAATTTAGCTATCTAGGGTTCCACATTCTAGGCTTTGGAAAGAATCGTGACAATGGAATCTACGAAGCTAGCTAGAGAGGGAGATAGAGAAAGAGAGAGAAGCATAGATCGAAGAAGCGTACGGTGAAGATGAGCAGCTAGAGGTCTCTTCCCTTTTTTCTGAGTTTTTTTGATATTTTTCTATCTTTTTCTTTTTCTTTTTCAACTGATATTTTCCTGTTTTTGTAAAACTCAATCATAATTTGGTCTCCTTGCTTTCTTTTTCTTTTTGAAAATCGGTCTTTACTTGTTTGGTAAATTGACACTTTATAGGATTTTTACTGTTTAACATCAAAATTCCCACAATTTCTAACAAAAAAAATTTATGTCGACATAACAAAAACAGAAAAAAATTTGTTACTGTTTGCAGTATTTTTACATTTCCAAAAAATAGAGAACTCTGAATTAATTCTCGATACGACGATACCACACATATATAATACAAAAGTGTTAAACCGATTTTACATGTATAACTTATCTATTACTATTATATATTATGGGGGAATTTTAAATACACATTTTGGGACTTATAATGTGTACTGCAGTATAGTATTTAACACATATTGATAGAGAGTCACAAGACTCACAACCCATAACTAAGCTTCATAATATTGTGGTTTGGATACATCTTTATATCTCTAAGAATGCGGAATATTAGTGATGACTTCATTCTTCCAAAGGTTTTCTGTTTTTTATAATGCAATACACTTGATATTCTCCTTGGGTACATCGCTGAGGACTCGAATACCTAAAGTCTTTTCGTGTTATATATGTAGTATCTGTAATATACTATGTGTTCTGCTAAGAATTGTATGTAACACACATAGGCGGGATAGATGCATGGACCCTAAAAATCTCAATATGTGGAAACCGCAATGGTTGCTTTAGAGAGAATACTAATGTATGCTTACCATATTTAGAAACCTACCAACCCACCAAGATGCGTAGAGCTTGTTGCAACAGCAATGTATCTTGTTTGGTGGAGTGTGGGATCACAAAAATGTTTTCAGAAGCTACAAGTGTCTTTTTACTACATCCGGATTCCGGACAACCATTGATGCGTTCACATTTGATCCATTGCTAACCAACCAAATCTCAAGATGTGGAGATTCATTCACACCTACCATAACATATCTGTTTAATTATCTGGCGAAATCTAACACATAGCACCAGTGACTTATACCACGAATAAGGAGAAGATGTCTTCCTAGGAGATCAAATTCCAACAGCCACCATTTTCTCCAAAAAATTACTCCCAACATATCCATATAATGAACTAAAACTCTTTTATACTTTGTATACGCTTTTTTTAATCTAATTCTGAAATAAGAAATAGAGGTTCCAACTTGTTTTCGAGTGTCTTGACGAATATCTTGAACAACGAGTAACTTTTGATATTATTAGCCCATGCCTTGTGTGTTTACTGTCTTCTACTAATCTTGCAACCTAGTCTCTTATGATTTGACTGACTGACAAAATCAAGTAAATATATCATATTGTCACAACAGCGAATCCCTCATAAATCCGTCAATGTTCATTGCTTGACCGCTTCCGTAAGCTATCCACCAGGCCCGAAGCTTTACATCATATGTCTTTGTTAATATAGGACACAATTGGTCAATGATAATTATTACAACGCTAAAGGAATTTGGTCGTCAAGGAACTTAAAAGGCAGGATTTATCGGGACACACAAGTAGATCGATCATCGATGGATATGTTAATAATTGAAAGAAAAAAATTCATAACATAACTTTTTATATTTTCTGTGTATATAGTAGAGTTTGATGAGTTAGTGTTAAAGTAAAATGTGTTGGGCTTGTCTTTTCCTCAATTGTCGCGAAGTCTATGGTATAAGCGAAAGAGAAAGCATAGCACGATGGGCCACATACAAATATAAACTCAAGTATGCAACAAAAACAAGGTTTCAGTGCACTCATCTCGTATAGCATTTTGCCATTTTCTAATGTTATTCTTTTCATGGTGTCCCCCATTGGCTTGGCAATAAAGTTGAATTTGTGTTGATGGGTATGTAAATTCTTAAATAAATTAAAAGGATGCTAACAATTTGAATGATTGCATGTATATTATTATTTTGTTGTTACACAATTCGTACATGGACAACACTTCTAAGTTTGAATTCAGGTTACAGTATAGTATATAATTACACAAATACAAACCACTATAACTATAAATTTCGGTATGTTATATGTACATTATTTTTGTCAAATATACTACATGTAATGTAAACAAGCAAATCAATCAACCTAACCAATAAAATTTATGAAAATCCGAAATTAAAAGTCTTGTATAAATCCAAAGAACAATTAGTCCTTATAAAACAAACAAAAACATAGCAAATTGGTACAAATCACATATTCTCTTGCAATTTAACTTTCAAGGCTTCCATAATACTCTTTTTTTTTTAGAAAGGGTTAAGCTTCCAAAATAATTTATAGTCTTCTTCATGCGACAACGACAAACGAATAACAACAAACAATATGTTCATTGCTGTCGGCGAAATTAACAATGAAACGTTAACGACACAATTTTGTGGAGTTTGCGATATATCGTTTTCCAGTTTCACGGCTACAAAATTCCAAACATTTCACTCTCTGCCCCTTTTTGTTCAATGTTCTATTCATAACTATTGTTGTCACTTGTCAGCAAAAACAGAGTACGCAACTTCTAATTTTTTTTTTTTGGTCGGAGGAGGGGTTAAACCCCCATTTTATTAAAATTTAAACAACTACAATCGAACTTGACGTGGGAAAGAAACCCCAGCCAAATCGTCAACAAAAACCGGGTGAACACTCTCCGGAACACAGCTAAAAGAATGAAAACCCAATGGTAAAGAGAATGTATAGTTAGCTAACTCATCCGCCAGGCGGTTAGCCTCCCTATACACATGAGAGATACGGACTATCCAGTCCCTTGATATGAAGCCATGACACAATCGCACCAGGAATGACAACGGATTCGACTCGCTAATCCCTGTCTGAAGAAAACCTACCACCATCTCCGAATCCACCTCAAGCTCAACGCGTTGAGCTCTACCTTCCCACGCAATGAGGAGCCCGTAGTAAACTCCCCAGAGCTCGGCTAGTGGAGCTGTGCACGCTCCAATGTTAAGAGCGAATCCACGGACCCAGGACCCACTGTCATCTCTGAGAACTCCTCCTGCACTTGCCAAACCCGGGTTTCCTCGTGACGTTCCGTCTGTGTTCAGCTTCACCCATCCAGATATTGGACGCATCCATGAAATCTGCCTCTCAACCCTCTCCAATCGATATCCTGCAGGCCTGTTGTTCTTCATGTGCGCTAACGTCACCTCTTTCGCTTGATCTTTCACAAACTGCACCCTGTCTCGACACTTCCCCTGGCCATTAAAGACATTAATACAACGCCATTTCCATCCCCACCACAGCGACATTGCGAATAAGGTTGGCCATGTGGTTTCCCCCATACGATGATCGTCGCCAAGATTTGAGAACACCCATTCAAAAAGAGACTGATTAAAAAACTCTTGTCTTCTCCGGAGAGGTTCCTTCTAAATTTTGAAACCATGATAAGTCGATAACTTCTATGGAAACAAAAAAGAATTAAATATCATGCTATTGCTCCACGTAATTGCGTTAGAAAGAATTCTGGTTACTAACGCAATTCATTCTATCATTGTATCTATCGACATTTCTTCCATCACGAAGCCAAATAATTTCATTCCATTACGATCACTGTGCCATCATCTGCAAACCGAGGTTCCTTTTCGTCTCCACAGTCTTCCTTTCGTTTGATGCAGCTGTTTTAGCTCGCCGGTTCGATCTTTTTATTTTTCGTTTGTGATCAATCCTCGGAAAATAATATAATTTTTGTTTAGTTAATTTGGATTATTTTGGTTCGGCCAATGAGCTCATTGGCAACTTTTCGGTTTCAAAAATTGTAGATCATGCATGCAGAGTCACCATAGGAATTATACAGATTAGGAATGAAATTTTTTAATTCGACATAAATGCTGCTGTGACTGTGATAAACGTAAAAGGTAAATTATCTTCTCTTCTGTGAAAAAGGTAAAAATATCTTATCTTTAAAGAAAAATGCTCCACGTAACCACCGGGTCGGGTCCTGGTTACTATATTTAATTCATTTCTATCCATCTTCATCTTGTATCGACATTCGTTCCATCACGTTAGCCAAATACAATTTCCATTTCAAATTCGCCATGACTGTGCCATCATCTGCAGATCGTGGTTCGTTTTCGTCTCCACAGTCTTTCTGTTTTCAAAGTTTACATGTTTAATCTCCTTCCTCTCGTTTGATGCAGCTCTTCTAGCTCGCTGGTTCGAATTTTTTTTTTGTTGGTTTCGTTTCACTTATCCAGAAATGGACGAGTTTTTCTTTCGTTTTTGACGATTTTCGTGTCGATCATCGAGCGACCAAGCTATATCGTTGGTTCGGTCAATGAGACTCTGTTTTTGAATGTTAGTTTTGTGAAATTTAACGCAGATTGTGAATTTTATGAGTTTTTTTTTTCGATTTCAAAGACGGAAACTGTTTCATTTGTAATTGATTGCTGCGAATTATGGCATAGGTAGGATATATAGGAATCAACAAAGAAATTGTGAGCGAATTTTGGTTTTGAGAATTGAGAACTTTCGATGACACCGAGGAAATTAAGCTTTTACTTACTTGGAATCTCAAAATCGGATGGAATTTTGATTGCAGATCGTAGTAGTGAGAAGGAGGTGAAGAGTTCGTATTTTGATTTGCCAGCTATGGACATTTCTTTAGCATTTCCTCAAGCAACACCGGCCTCTAAATTTCCACCTTGCAGTAAGGATTATATACATTTGGATGATTTATAGTGATTTGCCTTCAACTGATTATCCAATACTGGATGCTGCTACAGCTTCGGACTATTATCATTTCAATGATTTATTGACTCCGGAGGAACAGGCCGTCCGGAAGAAAGTGAGGGAGTGTATGGAGAAAGAAGTTGCTCCGATCATGACAGAGGTATCTATCTATCTTCATGTTTCAAGATGGATTCTTTTTTTTTTTGGTCTACTTTGATACTATGGTAACGTTGCATCATCGTTCTTTCTTTGATTTTTGCTCTTCAGTACTGGGAGAAGGCAGAGTTTCCATTCCATATCGTTCCAAAGCTTGGGGCTATGGGTGTTGCTGGTGGCTCGATCAAGGTGATTTGCAATGCTTGTCTTTGGGTTCTTGTTTGATCTTGTGGATGGAAAGTTCAATATGTTTCTGGTTTGATTTCTTAGGGCTATGGCTGTCCTGGTCTCTCCATCACCGCCAACGCGATCGCAACAGCAGAAATAGCTAGAGTTGATGCAAGCTGTTCCACTTTCGTTTTGGTGCATTCTTCTTTGGGCATGCTTACCATTGGTGAGGATCTCCTGAATTTTCTTACTTAGTCTGTTTAGTGTTCAGCTCTTTTAATAAGACACCATACCAGGATTTGCATAAGCTTACTTTTTCTTTCTGATTTTCTCCAAGAATAGCACTTTGTGGATCAGAAGCACAGAAAGAGAAGTATTTGCCTTCTCTGGCAAAGTTGAATACTGTGGCTTGTTGGGTGAGTATGTTGATATTGAACATATACTATTTGCATCCCTTGAGTGAGTATTTGTGTTATGGAAAACTGATGTTGATACCATTACATATGTTGGACTTGTATAAAGGCTTTGACAGAGCCCGATAATGGGAGTGATGCAAGTGGTCTAAGAACAACTGCAACAAAGGTGTGGCTGGCTTCTCTCCCTGAATTTATTTGCTTGTATTATTCCCTGCTCTACTTATGCAATAACCGGTATGTTCAATGTTTTTTTTTACTTGTTTCAACTGTCTACTCATTAGGTTGAAGGAGGTTGGATAATTGAGGGACAAAAGCGTTGGATCGGAAACAGCACCTTTGCTGATCTGTTGCTCATCTTTGCTAGGAATACGACAACTAACCAAATCAACGGGTATGTCAGATTCTTAGGTCTCTTACATCTCTCAGATTTTGAATCTTAGGTGTAGAGGTCGTTTCTGAAAAACTGAAGTTAATGAGGTTGCTCTTGATCTCAACTTATGGTAGATGTTAAAATCCAGATTTAAAGAGAATGCCAAGTAGGTTGATTAACAATTGTATCTACTCAACAAATAATTTCGTTGGATTATCAAGAGCATAATGGACTAAATCTAATATATCTATCCAAATACATGACTCCTCATTTAGAGACATATTTTCTGCATTAATAAATTTTCAGCGACCCTCTTGCAGATACATAGTCAAGAAAGATGCGCCTGGCTTAAAAGCTACCAAGATCCCTAACAAAATAGGTTTACGTATGGTTCAGAATGGAGATATCCTACTACAGAATGTCTTTGTTCCGGATGAAGATCGGTTACCTGGGGTAAATTCTTTTCAGGACACAAGCAAGGTACTGTTGTGATAATTCAAATGATCCAGAAATGCTCTTCATTATTTAACGTCACATCTTCCTCTTTTCTTACTGATATTCAACTGTTTGTCTATACTTTACTTGAACAGGTCCTGGCTGTCTCACGTGTGATGGTGGCTTGGCAACCAATCGGCATATCAATGGGAATCTACGATATGTGTCACAGGTAACAACCAGATCTCAGTTACTTATGATACAATTCCTGTTTAATGTGTGTTGTCTCAAGGTATCTGAAGGAGAGGAAACAGTTTGGAGCACCGTTGGCTGCTTTCCAGCTAAACCAACAGAAGCTTGTGCAGATGCTCGGTAATATTCAAGCCATGTTTCTCATGGGTTGGCGCCTCTGCAAGCTATATGAGTCCGGTCAGATGACTCCAGGTCAAGCCAGTTTAGGAAAGGTATAACAATAAATCCATTTTGCTTGATAAAACTATAGTTTTTCTCGTAGCTGATTATTCGATATAGAGAAACATGGTGTCTAAACGACCATAGGAGCGCATGAATTATGAATCATTTGGTAGGACTAATAAATTTTGCTATGAGACACATTAGTTATTTGCTTCGACGGAATGTTAAACGGAAGAATAAAGGTATCTGAAGTCCGTGTTTAGAGATTAAGGAAAGTAACAGCTAATGTGATTGTATCAGTATTGTGTGCTAGAGACCTGTTTGGAAGGTCGACATTATACTATGTTTGTGAGCTGAGATAAGATGCATATGCGCATGAGCTATTCTACTGAAACATAGCTCAGTAGTATACACTGAATAATATCATTTGCATAACCAATTATGTGGTTCCATTAGGCATGGATTTCATCGAAAGCAAGGGAAACTGCGGCGCTAGGCCGAGAACTACTTGGTGGGAATGGAATTTTAGCTGATTTTCTGGTCGCAAAGGTGAGCTATTCTTTATATATGCCTTGGGGCTGTCTATTGCTGAAGAAGTACGAGAGTTAAGTGCTAAAAATGTGAAATTTTGTTGCAGGCTTTCTGTGACCTTGAACCCATTTATACATACGAAGGGACTTATGATATTAACACCTTAGTGACTGGGAGGGAAGTAACGGGCCTTGCGAGTTTTAAACCAGCTACTCGGAGCCGTCTTTAAAGTTAAAAGGTCGTGCAGTGAGTTAATGTTGTTGTCTGTTGGTTACTTTTGATAATACATCGTTGGTCAAATAAGCTGACCCAAAGGGGTCGTGCACGAACCACTATTGCAATAGTGGATTCTTCTGTAACATTATGTTAAATTCAAAGAAGAAATAATAGATAACTTTTGTTGAATGTCTATTGAATTGCTTTTTGGTGAATATAGATTTTTTTTTAATTAAATTATAACAGAACTACAGATTGGTTTGAAGTAAAAGTCTACTGTAAACAAACAGTATTCGAAGCTTGCACTTGAGCTTCAACGATAAAACAGGTGAAAGCAAAAGAAAAAAGACACGAAAGAAAAGAGAGAGCGGGCGTGGGATTTGAGAAGAATGTGAGACACAGACACAATAATGAATCTGAAGAATCAAATGAGATGGCAAAGACGAGGCCTAGAACACAAGTGCCTTCCATTGGCCTTGATCATCGCCACAACTCCTGCAGTCACTCCTGCCCACAATGCTGACGCCAGATACTGCTGCGTGTTTCTTCCCGCTGTGTTTATCACCCAACACACAACTCAGATCAATGATCAATCACAACTCAGTCTTTATACTCATATTAATCAAAAATCCTTTTTACCTTGATGAATTGTGAAAGATGTCACTGTTACACCACCTATCAACAATGCTGATGCTACCGGCAAGAACTGTTTATGCTCACCCGAAAAACAAACAATCAAAAATCAGAATTCAATTAGATTCTTTCCCTTGTAACAAATTGTGTTGATTGTATTTGTAAGCGGTTAGGAATATACAGAGGGTTGTGCTCCAATGGGCTGGATTTGTGAAGGGCTGTTTGAGCCAACTGTGTAGCGACCACTTATGAGATCCAAAGCATCCTGAAAATATGAAAATCTCTTTCACTTTTTTTGTTTTCTCATCTTCTAAATTGTTGATTCCATTATAATTAGATCGTCGAAGAAACTTGCCTGCCTCACACCATCCTGGAAATTGTTCAGATAATATCTTGACAACGCACTCATGCCATCTTTTATTGCTCCAGTCACTGTCTGTTTCCCGTACCTGCACCAAAATACCTCATAGCGTATATTGCTTATGTAACTTTTAACATTTAAAACATCTTTCAAAGGATCACAAGGAGACATTTCTCACCTGACAAGGTCTCCCTTAAGAGCATAGGTCCCAGCGTATTGCAAGCTAATTTCGTCCCCTTGCTCAGCCCAAACTATTACCCAAAACAAATGATTAGCGTACTGATGAAGACAAATGTGGCACTCTACAGCTATAAAACTGGAAACTGCACTGAAAAAACGGAAATGGTGACCACCACTTACTTGTTTTGAACTTCGTGTAATCATCTTCAAACTTAGATACACACTCTGTAGAATCAAACACTCCGATCCTTTGAAGTTGTAGATTCAGAATTTTTTGGGCCATGTAATTCTTTTCATATGATGCAACAAAAAAGGTTTTTGAAAGGGATCAGAAGCGGTTCAATAGAATGATTAAAGAATGCAACCAGAAGCAGTTCAACGATAATGTTTACATCTTAGGTACAAGTTTTTGACAATCTAGAAACAAAATACGTAAACAGTGATCTTTTCCTGCAAAAGGGTTAAGCTGAAATGCATAGCCAAGTTCCCAAAAGCTCAGACGACACAAAGAAGGCTTTACATTATACAGAAAATACCGTACCAATCAAGATGGCTACTGGAAATGAAAATTTGAGTAAGATATAACTCAACAAACCTGGGTAACATTTGTGCGGTCAAGACAGTCGATGCAGTTAGATCTGACAACTCCTTTCTGCTCTTCTAGGATGTTCTCGTCTGCGTCTACAAGGAAATATCTGCTCAGCTTGGATTAGTTGCAGCTTAAACAAAATTCTCTGCACACAGCTAGCAGCTAGATGATTTGAACCAAAAGGACAACATCTGACTGCTAACCAAGTATCTTAACGAACAGAAAGAAAACCATAATTTCTCTGCTTACCCTTGCTTTTCAAATTCATCCCCAATCTCTTCATACAGTACCCCCAAGTTGTCAAAGTTTGTAGTTCCACAGATGTTATGGAAGTCAAAGGAAACATATCTGCGTCAAAAAATCTCATTAGCTAACAATATTACTAAACCCGGTTGATGTGTTGATCGAAGAACACTTCCACAAACTTCCACAGAAACGGCAAAATGGTTAAGAAGTGTCAGGAAACGGTAAAACTTTACAGTGAATGCTGGGAAATATCCCAAACGAAAACCAAACACATACATGATAAAACACAAAGGAAAGAAGGTGAATGCGTCAATAAGTACGCAGAATCTTACCTCACATTTGGAAGCTTCTCCATTTCCGTGGCATATGCTTTGCTTAATTCACCTTCAGCTCCATGCTATAGTAGTCAAAAGTGAGCGAGTAAGTTGATCATTATGAAAGTAAGCAAGTGAAAATTGCATAGCAACAAGCACACTAGAGTTGAAGCTCCGATGTCAGAGATTTTACATTTCAGAGTCCACATATGTTTTATGCCATGTACTTTTGTTCTCTGGAATGAGGAACAAAGAAATCTACCTGATCTGTTAGGTCAACGGCCATAATTTCTCCATATCTTTGGCAAAGATCATGGAAATGACGCTGCACAACTTTTGGCTGGAGGTAGAAAGTAAACTAATCAAAGTTGAGCGCTGGACAGCGTATAAGTAATTAGGTAACAAGATCGCAATAAGTTACCGTGTCTTCATGCTTATTTATCTTAAGCTGTGGCTTATAGCTCAAGTCAACTATCTGTTCCCAAAGAAGTGGAATTGAACCCCGAACCTAGCAAGTGAAAGCAAGACAGATATGATCAGTAAGAAATGAAGGTAACTTTGGAATCAGACTTATATAAACTGAGTCAAGAGATGAAGAAACAAAATACTGAAACAGTGAACTTCGAGCGCATCATAACTAAAAATATAGTAACCATTCAACTGAAATGAGCTATACCGGATAATAGTTTTCGAAGGCTATGAAAGAGACCTCTGACAGCATTTTATATCCTCAATGAATGTCATTCCACAGATAGTGCAAATGAACTAACAAGAGGACATCATTTTACACTCCATAGGAATGAGTTCCTAACAAGGCTATACCTGCAACAGTGAGAACTTGAAACCATTAATCTCCACCACTTGTTCAGTTTCGACAAAATTAGCCGTGTCCCCATCAAGATTGGCTCCTCTTCTCCACATACGTGTACCTGGAATGCCAATTCCAACACGACTGTCAAATAAACAAACATGCATGTAACTAAATTTCCTAGCAGAACTAATTATACAAATTAAACCCTACCTAGACGCCGTGTACAGCGCCTGGAAATCAACGATATCACTGCAGGAGAATTCTTGAGCTGCAGCTTAGCAACTTGGTAACTTAACCTTTTGTTAATCTTAAACAACATTAATTGTAGTATTGACTATTGAAATCCATATTTGAAAGACACAACATTACATATATATGCAGTCCAAAAAGAAGTGAAACACAAGATTAAGAAGATAAAAAGGATATTTCCTTGAAGTACGGGGATAATAAAGCCATCCAGCTGCCACAATAAGAGAATATTAGATCTCTAAAGTTTGACATGGAATGAGAAGATTAGTTAAACAAAAATCAGACAGCTTACTTTGCATTCAATTAATTCCTCCAAAAGATGCCAGTTCCATACATATCGAGGGTCAGCCTGACAAGCAAGTAAACCACCAGCTACCATTTACTCGACGAACTCAAATCAAAGCAGTTGCACTGGAAGCCACGAAGATACTGTTTGTAAACATAAGAACAGATGAACAACTAACCTGCTTCCATACGGGCTTACGCATCCAACCTTCCGCTAACTTGAACCTTCTTTGCAGGCTGCAGCATTGAATGAATGAGTCTATCTGTCAGAAAATGACGCTGTTTACTCAAGATCATCAGATAGTGAAACTTACTTTACTGTTAGATCTGTTTCATATGAAAAATACAATCCAGGGGTTGACTCGAGTGCTAATAACAGAGTCCTAAAATAGGCTTCGTCCTTTTTCTGCACAAGCCACCATTTTCAAGTAGTGAACAAGCTATCAGACAACTCAACTTTGATCACAAATTCTTAATATCGGTTAAACTTTACAAAACCTTACTTCTTGAGCAGTAGCAAACCTTGACGCATCATTGCAAGGTAGGAATTTCATAGCCGTAATTCGAAAAATGGGGAAACCGAGGAATGTCCCAACTTCCTCCCGAGAGTTTATAACGAGCAAGTATGTTCCTATATATATGAAGTGGAAACCAGCTTAGAGAAAAAACTCATGTTGGAGCCAAACACAGTAAATCTTCCATTTGAGCAAAAACAAAAATCAAAAGAGAACATTTTCACCTGCTAAGAGCCTAATAGTTCCTCCTACGCCATAGATAGTAGAGACTTTGGTAGGATTCCCAGAAGAAGTGTTTTCTACATTAGCAGAGAAACAGCAATATCAAATACGATAGAAATTTACAACATTCTAAGCATGAAATCTAACGAGAAATTGAAATACAGATTCCTTTTGCTTCTAATTTCGGTAATTATCCCTCAAAATGCCATTTTTCTTGAAAGCAAAAAGGTTTAATGTTGAGAGCTGAGAAGGAAGAGTGAAAGAATGGCTACCATCAAGAGGTTTGATGCTGCCATCGCGCCGATCGACGGAGAAGCCTTCATGAGGCGATTCGACGGGTTTGACTACGTACTTATCAGGAAACTCCAGAAGCTCAAATTGATCGTAGAGCTTAAATCTACTCGAAGATGGAGCGATCTCCATTAACGCAATTACTGTGATTTCAAAGAGTAGTCGAATTGAAGATATTATTGAAGCCTTGAAGGATGATGATGATGATTGATGATGATTATTGGAGCTTCGTTAAAGAACGGATCAGAGAAAAAAAACGTCAATTATTTTTCCGCAAAATTGACTACTGCCACGTGTCTTTGTCGGGTACTAATGGGCTTTTCCCCATGGGCCTAAAACTCATGTCCAAAAAATATGCTATTATTTCCGTTTTAATTCATTTTTGAATCTGTTAGATTTTTTAGTGGTACTTTTTATAGCGAATCCAATCAAATATCGCCACGTGTCAGGACAAGAATCGAGGCCGCCAAAAAGTGTGACGTAGACTCTTATCGCCGGGTAACTTACAACCACTGGTTTCCCGAAACAGCTACTACCCAAAAAGCTCAGAACACTCTATCTCCGGTTAACTGCCACCAGAGACGATTCTCTCTGTTCGCAAATGACTTCGATTCTCAACACCGTCTCCTCCATCTATGCCTCACGAGTAACCTCCGTCGACAGAGTCGGAGCTCTCTCACTCCGGAATCCGGATTTCGTCGAGTTCACTCGCCGGCGTTTCGTTTCGCCGACGTTGGACTTCGAATCGTCAGGTACATTACTATTCCCTTGGTTAATTTCTGAACACGGTCTTTGGTGTTTTTACTGATTTTGGTTTTTGTTCGTAGGGCGGAGATTTGTTGTGCGTGCGGCGGAGACTGATACGGATAAAGGTTCATAATTATAGCCGTTTTGCATTTTCATAACATTTTAAAGTTTTCCGTTACAGTTCGAGCTTAATTAACTAGTTTTATCTTGGGTGGTTTTGAATTTTTCCCATGGCAGTTAAATCTCAGACACCGGATAAGGCACCAGCCGGTGGTTCAAGCATTAACCAGCTTCTGGGTATCAAAGGAGCAGCTCAAGAAACTGTAAATTTGTTCATCTCCTCCGAATTTTTGTTTTTTTCAATGCAGCTGAATTTGAGCTTGCATTTGTCACTAATGATATAGAAATGAGAACAAAGTCATCATGTTTGTGCTTAATGATGTGTGCTTGCATAGCTTAGGTGTTTCTTTACTGAAGATAGCCTCTGTGGAGTTGGTTCTGCATACTTAGTTATTTAGCTAATCGACTTCTTTTGGCAACAAGATTTAATTTTGTTTATTAATTCTGTGATCAGAATAAATGGAAGATTCGTCTTCAGCTTACAAAGCCAGTCACATGGCCTCCATTAGTGTGGGGAGTGGTCTGTGGTGCTGCTGCTTCAGGTAATATATGAACGTCTTTTGGATGAAATGTACTCTCAAAACTTATCTTCAATCTTCTTTATAGCTTTAACTTGTTTTCTGTTAAATCTTTGGTTGCTCTTCATTCCTTTTATTTTTGTCTTATGGCAGGGAACTTCCATTGGACACCAGAAGACGTTGCTAAGTCGATTCTTTGCATGATGATGTCTGGCCCCTGCCTTACTGGCTACACACAGGTCTGGTTTGGCAGAACAAAAAGCTCAGTTTTTACTTATAGTTGTGCACTTTCTTAGTGCTGCATAACCTAGACGTGTCTATTTTCAGACAATCAACGACTGGTATGATCGAGATATCGATGCAATTAATGAGCCATACCGTCCAATTCCATCCGGAGCAATATCAGAGCAAGAGGTACTGATACAGAACATTGAAAGCTTTTTAACCATTTGTTTGTTTGGTACTGATTTCTCCTTCTTGTTTACAACTCTGTAAATGCAGGTTATTACACAAGTCTGGGTACTATTACTAGGTGGTCTTGGAATTGCTGGAATATTAGATGTGTGGGTAAGTTGGCGGTTTTGATGTAACTAGTACAGTTAAAGCACGCATCAGAGTGACTAAACCTTCCCTTTTCAGGCAGGACATACCACTCCCACATTGTTCTATCTTGCTTTGGGAGGATCCTTGCTCTCTTATATATACTCTGCTCCACCTCTCAAGGTAAGTTCTATAACTAACTAGTCATTTCCACTGCTGTAGTGACAAAAACATTCTGTATCGTCTTCCTGATGGAAGAGGATAAGTTTTGGAGTTTAGAACTAATCAATACATGAACGTATCTCTTAATTTGCAGCTAAAACAAAATGGATGGGTTGGAAATTTTGCACTGGGAGCAAGCTATATCAGTTTGCCATGGTAAGATCGATATCTTGTGCATTAACATCTAGTGTGTTCTCATCTCATTGATTTGTTTTACTTGTTCACTTGATTGATAGGTGGGCTGGGCAAGCTTTGTTTGGCACTCTTACACCAGATGTTGTTGTTCTAACACTCTTGTACAGCATTGCTGGGGTACTCTCTTGCAACCATATATAGTGATTATTTCCCATCGTCTGGTTTTGCTTCATGTACTTGCGTTATACTGCAGTTGGGAATTGCAATTGTTAATGACTTCAAAAGTGTGGAAGGAGACAGAGCAATGGGGCTTCAGTCTCTCCCAGTGGCTTTTGGCACTGAAGCTGCAAAATGGATATGCGTTGGTGCTATAGACGTTACTCAGCTCTCTGTTGCCGGTATGTAGCGTGCCTTCTATTTTTTCTGCTTCATCTTATCAAAAGGATATTCACCACGCTTATGACATAAGAATCAATGAAACTGAATGATTTGCCTCGGGGGGGTCACAGACTCTAGAGAAATGAGCTAACGCAGAGGCGTCTATATTTATGTTTTGGTAGAGATCATCATCACTGATGATTGTCTATTTGGTCACAGGATATCTATTAGCATCAGGCAAACCTTATTATGCGCTGGCTTTGCTTGCTTTGATCATTCCACAAATTGTGTTCCAGGTAAGGACATATAACAGTACTGCGCATACTCAAACTTACATTCTTGTCACAACTCGTCTGATTATTACACTCTTTCTTCAAAATTGCAGTTTAAGTACTTTCTCAAAGACCCTGTGAAATACGACGTCAAGTACCAGGTAAGCCATCTAAGTGCACATAGCAGTTAACACACTATCTAAAGAAATCTGTAAGCTGATTTGGTCTTTTAACAAGAACACGCTTCTTAATTACAGGCAAGCGCCCAGCCATTCTTGGTGCTAGGCATATTCGTGACAGCATTAGCATCACAGCATTAGCATCGAGTCACTGAAACAGCGTATTTTGATGTCGTTTTTGGCGAAAGCAAATGTGCTATTGCGAACCACAAATCTGTAAGTGGTGGCATCGACTATAGTCTTAAAAGATATTGTAAAGTGTGTGTACCATCATTAGAAACAATTATCGTCATTATCACTTATCCCAATCACGTAAGTATTAGTAATCGCTGTGCGTGTATGTGCTGCTCGGAGAGAACCATGTAATGCAAGTTAGAAAGATTGGAGACTTTCTGTGGGGATTCAATTCTTTCAAGTCTCATGTTGCATGTTAAAACACGTCTTATACCGTGGCACCCATAAGTGAATAGCAATGAGTAAAAACAACTGCATATATAAGTTGATTGCACCCTCGCCAAGAACCCAAACTTCCGAGCGGTACAATCTTACGGTAGTTATATCATACACATGGAAATAAAACTAGACGCATTACATGTAACCCTAATTTGTAAAACGCTCGCTGCAACCCACAAAACCTAGAAGGTTACTTATTCAGATTATCTACTACGGATTGTTGCAGCGGACACTACTAGCTAGGTGCTATCACTTGTTGGTGAACTTCGACTGGTCGATTTTGATTCCTTCTTCCTCCGCACGCTCTGCACCAGATTTGTCCATTGTACTGAGTCCTCCTTCACGTCCCATCTCCTTGTAACCCTCAGTGCCTAGCTGCTCCTTCCTCGTCTGCCCTCCCTTGCTCCTTCCTAAGGAGAGTGCATAGATAATTTCAAGATATTTAGCAAAAATGAAAGTACAAAAAGGAGTGGCAAAGTTGTAAGTTAAGGCAGACACCTTCAGCGAGATGCTCTTGGGCTTCGAGGCTTTTGCCGCCGGTGCCTCCTTGAACGACAGTTTCTCCTTGCTTGGCCCTCTCATCAAGCTTCTCTCTGCTTTGTTGCTTTGACGCCATTTCCCAAGAACAAAAAAAGACAACGAACGATGTACTATGTACTAGTTAAAAGCTCTTACTTGGTTTTATGATCCGACATAGATACGGACGACGTAATATTCACATTTATAGAAAGTTTCCATTTCAGGGGAACAAAACGAATCGCAAAGTGAAGTGCTACGTGGATAATAAAACGCGGCGATACCTGAGAGTGTGGGCTGTGTGGAGACGACATGTTGATGCTTACTCAGTCAACTTGCTACAGTTATTAACGAGCTGCTTGACACGACTCCAGCTTAGCTTAATTTATCCTTCTTTTTGTTTCTCTAAGACACCAAAATAATTAATTACCCACCATGTGTGGTTTTTCAAAAACTAAAGTCTTATAACGATATGGACCCTCCACCATCCGTCCACAGTAACGTTAAAATTTTAAAAGGTTGGCCTTTGGCGCTTAACCTAAACGTTACGTTGAGACATAAAAGCAAAGAGACAATAATTCTTAATTCTCGGTAACAGTGAAATTAAATGACCAGAACTACAAAAGGGAACATAACCACAAGGTCCACAACTAAGAACATATGGTTTAAAATGTAGAATCAGTTTACCTGAGCTCGATTTAGATGATAATCAATCTTAACAGAAGTTGATTTAAATTGGATTCATGATAAGGAGTTCGTCAAATTAAGTTGATTTAGCTCGATTTTCGCAATTGCAAAATGTTTTGGGTTATATTAAAAGGTATGCACTTAAAACTCTTGACGTACGTTATTATGCACGGATGGTCGATAACAAGGTATTAGCGTCATCGTACTAGCCTTAAGATATTGTAAAATGTATGTACCATTTACCATCACTAAATACAACTATTGTTGTTGTAACCACTTAACCGAATCGAGTCAAAATTCTAATCGCTGTGTATGTGCTCTTTTTTTGTTTTTTTTATGCCCCTTCTATGATTTGGGTTAATGTTAGTCCAAATAATCTCAATACTACTCGTCTTATAAGACTAGCGAAAAAACAAAAGAAAAAGTACTTCAAAAATCTTACTCGACTAATTAGTAGTACTACACATCAAATTTTGTCTGAGAGTTGAGACCAACGAAAAAAAAAGAACACGTACTTTTGTAAATACACTAAGCAACAATAATATCGTACCTCATATACCGTAGTCCGTAAGCATTACAATAACTAATTAAATTATATTTGATCAGGTTTTCTAACGGTCATCTTACCAAACACAAAAGTTAATACATATATAAGCTCATAATTTCAAGTCTCTTGTTGCATGTTGAGGCGCCATACTGTCGCACCTTCAATAAATGGCAATGAGTAAAACAACATTTCAAAGCATAACCGCATATTATTTGATTGCACCCTCACCAAAAAACTACAAGAACTTCCAGAGCGGTACAATCTTACCGTTAGTACAACAAGACATAATAATTAAAAAAAAAACTAGACGCATTACATCATAACCTAACAGCTAAGACACTCGCTGCAAACCACAAACCTTAGAAGGTTATTTATTCAGACTAGCTACTACATAATGTTGCAGCGGACACTACTACACTAGCTAGCGCGCTACTATCACTTGTTGGTGAACTTGGACTCATCGATATCAATCCCTTCTTCCTCCACACGCTCTCTACCAGATTTCTCCATTGTGCTGAGCCCACCCATACGTCCCATTTCCTTGTAACCCTCAGTCCCTAACTGCTCCTTCCTCGCCTCTCCTCCTTTGTGGCCCATTTCCTTGTAACCCTCGGTCCCTAGTTGTTCCTTCCTGGCCTCTCCCCCTTTGTGACCCATCTCCTTGTAACCCTCTGTCCCTAACTGCTCTTTCCTGGCTTCTCCTCCTTTGTGACCCATCTCCTTGTAACCCTCTGTCCCTAGCTGCTCCTTCCTCGCCTCTCCTCCTTTGTGACCCATCTCCTTGTAACCCTCGGTCCCTAACTGCTCCTTCCTCGCCTCTCCTCCTTTGTGGCCCATCTCCTGATAACCCTCGTGCCCTAATTGCTCCTTCCTCGTCTCTCCACCTTTGTGACCAATCTCCTGATAACCCTCGTGGCCTAGCTGCTCCTTCCTCGTCTGCCCTCCCTTGCTCCTTCCTACGGAGTGCATACATAATTTCAAGATATTTAGCAAAAATGAGAGTAAAAAAAAAAAAAGGAGTGGCAAAGTTGTAAGTTAAGCCAAATACCTTCAGCGAGATGCTCTTGAGCTTCGAGGCTTTTGCCGCCGGTGCCTCCTTGGACGATGGTCTCTCCTTGCTTGGCCCTCTCATCAAGCTCTTTTCGGCTTTGTTGCTCGGACGCCATTTTGAAGAGAACAAAAAGTAACGATGTTACTTATAACGATTTATAAAGCTCTTAATTGGTTTTAGGCTCCGACAAAGATACGGACGACGTAATACTCGTATTTATAGAAAGGTTTCTGTTTCAGGGGAAACATTAAGAATGGAAAAGTGAGGTGCTACGTGGACAAGAAGACGCGGCTAGACCAGAGAGTGTGTGCTGTGTGGACACGACACGTTGATGCTTACTCAATCAACTTGCTACAGTTATTAACGAGCTGCTTGACACGACTCCAGTTTAGCTTAATCCATTTTCTGTTTCTCCAAGACACCAAGATAATTATCCACACCCACAATGTGGCTTACCAACATTCAGAAACCAATTGATTCTGACATTTCTATTTGATTCTTGTACCTTATCTACTTAAACGGTCGATCCAAATGTTATACTGTTCTACGTACTAATATAAATACATTACTAGATATATGTACATCTAAATCAAAATGGTTTATTAAGGATAAATAGGATGATCTAAAAATGGACTTCAAACTCATTTAACCAATGGCTGAAAATACTATCGGTTCCACAAATTAACCCAGATAATTATTTTCTCTTTCTTGATCAGATCACCACCAGAAAGTATTTTTAGTCAATTTACCGTAAGATGGGCCCATTGTGGGCCGCTTTACGTGCACAGATAGCGGCCATAAGCTCGAAACAGTTCATTCGGCCCACAATGGAGTAACGTTTAAACAAAAGCGAAGAATCTATTCCCAAAACGGTGCCGTTAGGACACAAAGGAAAACCCTAGTGCTCTTTATTTGAGCCAAACTTCGTCTTGCTTCTCACCATTTCCCCCAATCGCTCCCCCATTGCCCATTTCTTAAACCCTAATATTCCGCTGCCTGTTTTTTCAACCTTCGAGCTTTGCGAGAGATGAGTTCTGACGATGAGAGAGACGAGAAGGAGCTGGATCTTTCCTCTCCTGAAGTTGTCACCAAATACAAGAGCGCCGCTGAGATCGTTAACAGTAATGCCCTCTTTCTCCTTCCTTTTTACCCATTTCCGATTACGATTAAGTTTTTTTTTTTCGATTTTTCCTCCTTAGCGTTATTTGTATTTACGATTGCTGTTTGTGTTGGAATTACAGAGGCGTTGCAGGTTGTCTTAGTTGAATGCAAGCCAAAAGCTAAGATTGTTGATATCTGCGAGAAAGGAGATGCTTTTATCAAAGAGTGAGGATTTTTCACTCATGCTCAATTTAATTTATTCCTGGAATTTATGCTCCTTATATCATGCTCATGTGTTTGTTTTCTTCCGTTTTTGTTGTACAAAGGCAAACAGCGAGCATGTACAAGAATGCTAAGAAGAAGATTGAACGAGGTGTGGCTTTTCCTACAAGCGTTTCTGTGAACAACGTCGTTGGTCATTTCTCTCCTCTTGCCAGTGATGAGACAGTGTTGGAAGAAGGTGACATGCTCAAAATGTAAGCTTTCTTTTAGAAATGGCTTTGTGTTCACCGTTTTCTTAGATTTGTCTGTATGATTCACCGGTTTGCCTTTCTTCACTGCAGTGATATGGGATGTCACATTGATGGGTTTATTGCTCTTGTTGCCCACACTCATGTTCTTCAAGAAGGACCTATTACTGGACGCAAAGCTGATGTTATTGCAGCTGCTAATACTGCCGCTGAAGTTGCTTTGAGGCTCGTACGTCCTGGAAAGAAGGTAACCAGTTACTTGTATGGTTCATGAAAGCTTGAAATTATAGGGTTTTAGCATTTTATTTGGTTCTTGAATGATTGAAAAGGTTTTGCAAACCCCCAAATGATGAAAACTTACTGTTGGCTATGGATTTATTATCCACATGATGCTCTTTTGTCATAGTTACTCTGATGGGAACATTTTAAATTCTAATTTTTAGTAGGGTCCCTCGCCAAACTGACTGTAAGAGGTGGCAACTTTGCTGAAATGATCTTACTGTTTTTGTTTCTTCTCTTTGCCAAATGTTTCTTGAAGAAGATATTGGTTTGCTGATTCTTGATAAGTTTCTCATTTATATTTCCCCAATGATGAATTTTCACTAGGAACGGTATAGATTCACATTCGAATGAGGCTTTTATGTCATAGTTTTTGATATATGAATTAGTTATTGACTGTTTAACTCTACAAGATACTGCATTCAAGACGTCTGAAACTCTCTTTTTTTTTGTGTCATGTGGCAGAACAATGCTGTGACTGAAGCTATTCAGAAGGTGGCTGAAGCTTATGACTGCAAAATCGTTGAAGGGGTTCTTTCCCACCAGATGAAGCAGAAAGTGATTGATGGGAACAAGGTTGTCCTAAGTGTATCTAACCCAGAAACAAGGGTTGATGATGTGGAATTCGAAGAGAATGAAGTCTACGCAATTGATATTGTGGCAAGCACTGGTGATGGCAAGGTACATGCTTTCATTGATTTCATCTTGATGACCATTTCCGAAGCCTCTTTTATATCCACTGTTCTCACTATCTTTGAATTTGCAGCCTAAGCTATTGGACGAGAAGCAAACAACTATTTACAGGAAAGATGAGAGTGTTAACTATCAGTTGAAGATGAAGGCCTCCAGATTCATCATCAGCGAGATTAAAGAGAACTTCCCCCATATGCCTTTCACTGCAAGGTGTGTTTTGTACCTTCTTATGCACTTTGTATCGTTTAAAATATTCTATCACATACTAACGTTGCATAGAATACGATCCATCCATTCAGGTCTCTTGAGGAGAAAAGGGCACGTCTTGGACTTGTTGAGTGTGTGAACCATGGCCATTTGCAGCCATACCCTGTTCTTTACGAGAAACCTGGTAAGGATGATTAAGGTCCTTTGATCCATTAACATCTTTTTGATGAATCTCTTGACGTCAGGGCTCATGTTATGTTTTGGTTCTTCAACAGGTGATTTCGTTGCCCAGATTAAGTTCACAGTTTTGCTGATGCCAAATGGATCCGACAGAATCACTTCACATGCACTTCAGGAGCTTCAGACTACTAAGACCATTGAAGACCCAGAGATCAAAGGGTGGTTAGCCTTGGGCATCAAGAAGAAGAAGGGTGGTGGAAAGAAGAAGAAAGGTATGTAACTGGACATAAATTTGCTGACTTTTACTACGACAAGATGTTATCCTCTTTTCGATGTTTTAGAAATATAGATTCACGATGGTTTATGATTGTTTTGCAGCCAAGAAGGCAGGAGAGAAAGGAGAAGCTTCAACGGAGGCTGAGCCAATGGAAGCTACTAGTGATGCTCAAGCATAAGAAGAAGATCTCTCTTTTGTTTTCTTTTAAAAGAATTTTTGAAACTTTTGAGGTACCTTTTTCTTTGTATGTTTGGGTTTCAGAGAGTTCTTCTTAGAAAGAAAGAAAAAGAACAAAGAAAATACTTATCAACTTGTCTTTCTTTTGCACAAACCCTTGTCTGAAAATGTTCATGATCATAGCTCTCTGTCATAATCTTGTTATCTCAGTCTCGAATCAATGATATTAATAGGGCTATCATGATTTGGTAGCCATCAAATATGCATTCCGATCAAACCAATAGCTCGATTGCAATTTAGTTTGTCCTACAAATCAATCACTCATCTTTATTGCCGGATACCTCTTGATTTGCAAGTTTCATTCGCTTAGCCTCAAATTGTCCAAGAGAAAGGAGCCTGTAACTATGTTCACCTACACTGTGTCCATAATCATATATTGAGAAAAATCATCAGTGAATATGCTACTGTGACACGGCTATGTCATAACTTACTTGTTAATTGAATTTTGAACTTTATAGTTGGTCCATTGAGCACATAAAATAAGCCGTAAAGTAGATTAGGACCACTACGACAGTCTTGCTTGTAGAATGTGACGAGAGAATAAAATACTCTGTTGAGACTGATGAAATGTTCTACGGAGGGAAGATATCTGATTGGCGCTCTTACCCTATGCTGCATGAATCAGAAGCGGGTACGCGGAAGCGGAAGCGTTTGGAAGCGCAGAAGCGATATTTTTAAAAAAATTAGGAAGCGGGTACGTGTTGGAAGCGTCTATATATATACATATATATGTGTATATAGCATAAATTAAATATATCAATTTTATATAATTCAATTAATAATAATTAAAATAATTCAAATCAAAAACCAATTTTAGTTTCTTATTTCGTTATTCTCTAATTCCATGTAAAATAATCTTATATCTATGTTATTAAAGAAAGATCACTAAATTGAAATCGCATTTTTCTAATCAAAAGAATTATTCTCATTTTATTTTTAATAATTTTTCTAAATAATTTTTTTATAGATAATAGATTAAAATTAGTCTTTAATTTGTGAATGCAAAATTAAATACATGGTATAATTAATTTTTCATTTTTATAAAAACTTATAAAATCATAACATATAAAAGTATTCATAATTATTTAAGATATTATATTTTTATACGGAAGCGTAAGCTTCCGAAACGGAATTGCAAGCTTCCAAAACGTTTTTAAAGAGGTTTTTTAGGAAGCGTCATGGAAGCGAGCTTCCGAAAGCTTCCGAGAGCTTCCGATTCCGATTCCGATTCCGAAGCGGGAAGCGGTCATCGGACGAAGCTTCCGTGCTACGTAGCTCTTACCAACTGGTTAAACCCTCTGTCTCACATAGAGGTTCTTGACGTTCTCCATCGTTTATTAACTGGGCGGCTACTAGTTTTTTTTCTTCTTTTTCTCTTTATTTTTTTTCATCATCGAAGGAGAAAAACCCATAAACCTCTCTCACTTCCCCGGAAATTTGATTTCCGCCAGAAAATTCTCGAGGAATAATCAATCAATTGCGCCGCGACTCCCAAAATCCAGAAATGGCGGCGAGGTTCATGTTCCGACGGAGTTCTCAGATCCTTCGATCGATCCAAAGACATCCTCAAATCTCACCACCCTTCGAATCTCCGACGCCGATTCTCTATTCGTTGACCACCGCCTCACCAGATCTATCCCGATTGTCTTCCTTAACCCTCCTCCGATCTTTCTCAATCGCCCGTCGCGGCCCAACGCGTCCTAAGAAGGTCGACATCGGAGCTCGGGCGCGTCAGATGCAGAATCGCCGGTTATGGACTTACGCCCTAACCTTCAGCTGCATCGCCGGTTTCGTGGTTATCGTCCTCAATCAGTTCCAGGATCAGCTTGTCTTCTACCTGACGCCATCGGACGCAATGGAGAAATTCGCAGAGAATCCGACGAAGAACAAGTTTAGGCTCGGAGGTCTGGTTCTAGAAGGAAGCGTCGCGCAGCCGGCGGCGTCTCAGGAGATGGAGTTTGTGATTACCGATCTGATCACTGATATTTTGGTCAGGTATAAAGGATCGTTGCCGGATCTGTTCAGGGAAGGTCATTCCGTTGTGGTTGAAGGTTTCATCAAGCCGTATACTGATGAAATAAGAAAGGACATTTCCACAAAACCAGTTTCGCAGAAAGCAAGGAACCTCGATTGCTTCTTCTCGGCGACGGAAGTTCTGGCTAAGCACGACGAAAAGTATATGCCTCAGGAGGTTGCGGCGGCGATTGAGAAGAATAAGAAGATTATTGAAGCGAGTGAACAAGCGGCGAAAGTGGCGGCTGCGTAGATGGTATAAATTCATTCTTTTCAGCTTATCAATTTTTCAAGCTCGAGCATTTGGTGGGTATTGTCCATCCCTTACATACATTTGATTATAGTTTCTGGAAAAAGAATAGGAAGTTCGGAATATATATTCCTGGAAAACAGAGATTTGGTTTTTGAGTCTATTTGAGAATTAGGAGAAGAAACGAGATACATTATACAATAGCTTTATCTGATTCCACAAAGCTAATCTGTTTTTCTTGCTGTATCGGTTAAATAAAGATAACACTTTTATGAGGGATCAAATTTGCTGAGTGGTTCTTTGTGTTTTTGGATGTTTTGTTTGTTGTTTCTTCACACAGATTAGATTTAGCTAGTGAAGCTAGCTAGTATCAGCTTGACCAGGTCTCGGATTTATACTTGTAAGCTTATAACCAAAGTATAATCTTGTGTGACCTCCTTATTCTTATCATTACTATATAGGACAGTAGGAAGTAGGCACTATTGACAAGAGAGCTGAAAACACATCTTTTTCCAGAGCTTCCTTATTTGTCGTTCTGGATATGTTGGCCTCTGCTTGAGCACATAGCTTGGGCAAGCTACTTGATCACTAACTAGTATAGTTGTAGTGTTGGACCTGTTGGTTGTCCATATATTGCTTTTGCATCTATAGTTGCATCAGTCTCTCTCACTGCATGACAAATTTCTTGTGGTTGTTATATGATTGAATCATCAAGAACTGACTATTGAGTAGGGAATGAAACCATCGCGATAGTTGTCACTGACTTGTCAAATGTATCGATTGCTATTGTGTGCTTGGCCCATCTTGAGTATGTGACAAACCACCCATTACAATACGTGCTTCTCTATTTCTACGAACCACAGATGGTTAATTAGTCTTCTTTCTTTCCACTGCCGGTACTCGAACTCATAATTTTCCTACAGTTTATGCTATGTTCGCTCATGAATCTCTCTCTATATGTATTGTGGTGGTTTAGCCGACCTGATCCGGCACTCTCCTTATCCAAACCTGGTCCTTTTGCTTCAAATGCTGCCACAATTACAACTCGTTCAATCTGGTCCGGTCTGTTGGATGTTCAAATCGAAGTTTAGTTCAAATTGGCATGAAATTTGCAAATAATTGGGGGTGATACAATAACATTCAGTTATCAACTGATCTTGATGTCAAGCAAATGATCATTTACCAACTGTCTCTCATTGTTTCACATTTGTTTCAATAAATTTTATGGAATCATCATTTGAATACAATATTATCTCTTTATGGAATCATCATTTGAATACAATAGTATCTGATTATCTCTTTACTCTTACGGAACTATTTTATACTGTAAATTGTAAGAACATCAAGTGCTATACACTGTACAGTATACACAAGATATTCATATGAAGTCATAGCTCATAGCGACACAAATGCACATTTTGTAGATATTTTTGCTTTGATGTCGAGATTTTGTTCCTTATTTTTTCTCGAGATATTTTCCACTCCTTAAAAATCCGAATTACTGAAAAAAAAAAAACAAAAATCGAAATTGAAAACCCTGACATCCGGAGGATTTGTATCGCATGAGGAGGTGAAGAAAGCTTTCCGTACCGTCAAATACGCAGTCGAAAACCCTAATTTCGTGCTCCGAGGGGTTTTTATCACTTTTCTCTACCACTACTCCGAATCTCTCTTCGAAAACGATGATGCATAACTCAAGCGACGATTCGGAGTGGGAAGTGAGACCCGGTGGTATGCTCGTTCAACGAAGAGACGACGCTGCTTCCTCTGACCAACCTCTCCAGGATCCCGATTCTGCTTCCGCCGTTTTTGCTCAGACCATCAGGATTACTGTTTCCCATGGCTCTTCCCAGCACGATCTTCATGTTTCTGCTCACGCCACTTTCGGTAAACTCGCTCGCCGACAGCTCATTTCCGATTCCTTTTCTGATTTTTCCTATTTCTGGTCATCACTCCGACCATTTCTCCGTTTTCGAGTTTAGAAAATGAAAGTTTATAACTTTATTCTGATTCATTGCGTGCACAGAGATTTTCGTGTAGATTCATTGTAGAGTGATAAAGTTCCTTGCTTTTTTCTCGTTTTTTTGCTTGACTTGTGTTAATGTAGTTGAAGATTGATACTTTTGACTTCATTTTGATTCATCGCGCGCCTAAATTTTCGTTTAGATTCATTGTAGAGTGATAAAGTTCCTTGCTTTGTCTCGTTTTTTTTGCTTGGCTTGTGTTAATGTAGTTAAAGATTGATACTTTTAGGCTCGAATGTGATAAACAGGGGATTTGAAGAAAGCCCTTGTTCAGAAAACTGGTTTGGAGGCTAGTGAGCTGAAGATCTTGTTCAGGGGAGCTGAGAAAGATGATGCTGAGCAGTTGCAAGCTGCTGGTGTGAAGGATGCGTCTAAGGTTGTTCTCGTGGAGGAGCCTAAGAAGAAAGAGGAACAAGTTGAGCAGCCTCCAGTGATGACCGAGGAGATGGTAAAGGCTATTTCTGCTATTTCCGCAGTCATGGGAGAGGTCGATAAGCTCTCGGATAACGTGAGGTTTTAAGGATGCATCTTTTGGTTGTTACTCAAGTAGATGAAGAAAGAAGGATTGTGTTTAAGCTAAAATTTTGTTTTGAAATTCAGGTTGTTGCTTTGGAAGTTGCTGTGAATGGAGGGACGAAAGTGAAAGTGGAGGAGTTTGACATGACTGCAGAGTTTCTCATGAGGCAGTTGCTCAAATTGGATGGTATCGAGGCAGAAGGGGACGCTAGAGTACTGCGTAAGGCAGAGGTTGGTTTCTCATTTTTTACACTCTTCATCTGTGTGCATAGAGGTGAAAGATATATACATTGTGTACTTGTGTATTGTGAGACACTGCAGTGAGGTGCAACGATTAAAATGTAGGATTTGGTAATGATACATTTGGATTTCATATATCATTGTTGCTCAGTTGATTGTAAATGTAGAAACTTTGGTAAAGATACATTCTGATTTCCTTAAGATTCGGATTGTTCATGTTGTGCTCCACTGAATCACTTGAGATCTCTATCTTCTGACTTAAGTGATGAACTATGTCACTTAGACTGAGGATTGATATAGATTGATTGGGGGTATGTGTGTGTTGTGCAGGTACGTAGGATTCAAAAGTTGCAGGAGGCTGTGGATACGTTGAAGGCAAGGTGTTCGAATCCGTTTGTGGATCAGAGCAAAGCAGCAGCTGTGAGCACTGAGTGGGAATCGTTTGGGAATGGTGTGGGAAGCTTGAACCCTCCTCCGCCAGCTTCGCCATCTGCCAATGTGACTCAAGACTGGGAGAAATTTGACTGACATTCACGTTGCCATGCCAAGAAAATAAAAGCTGCTTGTTCTTTTAGAATTTTTTGTTAAATGGGGAAGTGACCATTAAAATATCGGTTTTTATCCTCGAATGTCTATAGTTTTTGGTAGTATCTGAATCTGCAGAACATGTTTTTGTACGAAATGTTCAAAAGACTTTAATATCTTTGTACGGTCCGGTCTATTTTGCCCAAACGAATTTGGGGTTAAACGAGTAATGTGTGGATTGGGTTTAACCCATTTAAGCTGTTAAATGGTTCGATTCGTAAAGTTAGTTTTTCAGATATTTGATGGAATGATGGTTAAATCTTAAATTGTTCAATTTGTATTATTCCCTCAAGATAAATTCCATCGATATTGATCAAATGAATGGCTTATGGATGTTGAGCATCCAAACTTAAATTCCAAATGCAGAATCAAACAACACCTTAGTTTAGTAACCAGATTCAAACTCATAATCTATATTATTCTCTTAGAAAAATCAAGGAAAAGATTCTGATTAGATAACTAATAAGGTTAAAAATTTGCTAGCCTGAAATCTCACAAGACCTCAATACATTGAGCCAGAATTAACCGAGACTTAAACCAGCTCAATAATAATGTTAATATAGCTTTTCCATATCTGATATATGTTTCAGAAAACAATTGCTGCGAATCAAACAAATTCACTGACCACAATTTTATGCAGAACTTGTGTAATTGAAAACATTAAACAAATATGTTTTTCTTGGGAAGGTAGTAAGAAATGTGAAATAGAAGGTGGGACATGGACAAAAAGATAAGTGATTTAGGTGGTAATGTACAAAAAGTGTATAGTACGATCCGTGCTTTTGGATAAAATTCCATTCTTTACCCTAAACGACATTCTTAGCTGTCTCACCCACATGACCTCAAGTTTTCATTCTCAATTATATGTTTCAAGGAATTATATATATGCATATAATATTCTTGTGCCATCACACAAACTAATCACCAGCAATATCAGACTTAATCATACGCTTAGCACAGATTTAATTACGATTACTTCCTTAAGCATAAACATATAAGAAATTAACAGTAAAACGTGTTGACATGACTTCGCCGCACAATGTGGGTGGCATAAGCCATTTGCCGGCTATCTAACAGCACATATATTATTATATTTTCCCCTCGCCATTTATTATGTCCTGTCAGAAAATATAATTTTTATAAAATACCAATTTCTTACGTTTTTTATCAGTAACAATAGTTGTTTGTAAATAAAAATACAGCAAATAATACGATTTTGTTGTATGGATACGCACACACACCAGTATGTGATAGGCCTCAACAGAAAATTTGATGATAAAAGAGACTTGTAGATTATGAATATAAACTAAAGCAACGAATCTCTGCAGAAAATTTGTTTATGAAACTGGAAGATTCTGACAGATTTATGGTGGCTATCTTTGGAATATAATACTAGTCGACTGGTAGATAATAGCTAGAAGAATTTGACGGTAAAAGAATGAAAAACTACATCATCTTAACGAGGATTTATAACCCATTTTTAACAGTTCTAGTGAAAGCAGAGGAAACACCAAACAGGGAAAATGAAATACTTCACATTTTGGACTAATACAGAAGAAGAAAAAATGAAACATACTGTAATTGTAACGAAAGAAGTAAAGCTAAAAAACTGAGAATAATTTAACTGTCAAAAGTAAAATGAAGACCTTTTGGAAATGTAAAAAGTGCCGCGAAATCTAAGAAATGGCAGTTGATTAACGTCTTTATAGATGGAAGAGGATAATTTGAGTTTATAACGAGAAATGGCGATTTCACAAAGCTGACAAGAGGACAAAAATAAAAGCAAAAACCCCGAATAAAAAAAGTAAAGATGCCCACATAACTTAAAAAAAAAAGAAATTTAATTATGCATTATTAGATCGCATGACTCTCTGAAACAGAAGAGGTAAAAAAAAAACAAAAACAAACAATAAACCAGATAGCTAGCGATCGAGCGGAGGAAGATTCTTCCTCCTATTACCTCTCTCTATTTTTACGGGAAGATTCGTAAATTAGTGGCAACCAAAAAACAAAATACGAACCGGATCGATCAAACGTTGAAACTTTTACACTCCCAAAACACGATTCCCCAGACGAAGAAGAAGAAGAAGGAAAGGCAAGAGCTATCTTCGTTAAGTTTCCGCGACGAACGATTTTTTTTTTTTTTTTGAAAACAGAGTAGAACAAAAATGGCGTCTTTTTTTCCGTGATCTAATCCTCCGATTAATTTTCCGGGATTTATTTGAAAGTGACGGCGAGATTGTTCGTCGTATTTGTTTAGACCCAATCCCATTTTGGGTTAGATCTTCGGAATTTGGGGAAATGAATTTAAATTTTCGTTTTTTCCTCCAAATTCGATTTGGGGTTTTGCTTGATTGAAGATGCAGCATAATCTATTCACCACAATGCGAAGTTTGAAGCTTGCTGAAGGTTGTAAAGGCACACAAGTATATGCACTTAACCCATCGGCTCCTACTCCGCCTCTTCCGCCTGGTAACGGCGGCGGAGGCACCGGAGGAGGAGTCGGGGATAAGCTCCTGCAACACATCCAAGATCATCTCCGTGTCAATTCGGTCCGATCTAAATCCAGCCGGTCATACACGGCTCCGAATCAAGCAAACGCCGTCGTGTCTCCCGAGTCGCTCCTCCCGTTCGGACTCCCCGTCACGGATCTGCTCGAGCCTCAAATCGATCCTTGCCTAAAATTCGCCGATTTGATCGAGAAGATGGCCGAAGTCTACCGTCGGGTCGACAATTGCACGCAGCTCGAGAAATCCGGAGCCTATTTAGAACAATGCGCAATATTCCGGGGATTATCTGATCCGAAACTATTCCGACGGAGTCTCCGATCGTCTAGGCAACACGCCGTGGACGTTCACGCGAAAGTCGTCTTAGCGTCGTGGCTCCGATACGAGCGGAGGGAGGATGAGCTGATCGGAACAAGCTCAATGGATTGCTGCGGCAGAAACTTGGAATGCCCAAAGGCGACTCTTGTTCCCGGGTACGATCCGGAATCCGTTTACGATCCATGTATCTGCTCCGGATCCTCCAGGTTAGAGATGAACGATGATTGTGATGTTGCCGAATGTTCGACTTCCGAGGAAGTAGACTACGATATGTCCTTCTGTATCGGCGACGAAGAGGTTCGTTGCGTAAGGTACAAAATCGCGTCTTTGTCGAGACCTTTCAAGTCAATGCTCTACGGAGGATTCCGAGAAACGAAGCGAGGGACGATCAATTTCACGCAAAACGGAATCTCTGTGGAAGGGATGAGAGCTGCGGAGATGTTCAGCAGGACCAGCAGGTTAGATAACTTCCCTCCTAATGTCGTCTTGGAGCTCCTGAAGCTCGCGAATCGGTTCTGCTGCGACGAATTGAAAGCCGCTTGCGATTCGCATTTGGCGTGTCTTGTTAATAATCTTGACGAGGCCATGTTGTTGATCGAGTATGGATTGGAAGAAGCTGCGTATCTTCTTGTGGCGGCTTGTCTTCAGGTCTTTCTCAGGGAATTGCCGAGCTCGATGCATAATCCAAACGTGATAAAGATCTTCTGCAGCGTCGAGGGAAGGGAGAGACTTGCGTCTCTTGGCCACGCTTCTTTTGCATTGTACTTCTTCTTGAGCCAGATCGCTATGGAAGATGATATGAAATCCAACACGACCGTGATGCTTTTGGAGCGTTTAGTTGAATGCGCGGTGGAGAATTGGGAGAAACAGCTTGCTTACCATCAATTAGGAGTGGTGATGCTTGAGAGGAAAGAGTACAAGGATGCTCAGAGATGGTTCAACGCAGCGGTTGAAGCTGGTCATCTCTACTCCCTCGTGGGGGTTGCTAGGTCGAAGTTCAAGCGTGATCATAGGTACTCGGCTTATAAGATCATCAATTCGCTGATCTCAGATCACACGGCTACTGGGTGGATGCATCAGGAGAGGTCTTTGTATTGCAGTGGTAAAGAAAAGCTGCTTGATTTGGATACAGCTACAGAGTTAGACCCGACTTTGACGTTCCCCTACAAATTCAGGGCAGTGGCATTGGTGGAGGAGAATCAGTTTGGGGCAGCCATCTCCGAGCTGAACAAGATTCTTGGATTCAAGGCATCTCCTGACTGTCTGGAGATGAGGGCATGGATTTCAATAGGGAAGGAGGATTATGAAGGTGCTTTGAAAGATATTCGAGCACTGTTGACGTTGGAGCCGAATTTCATGATGTTCAACTGGAAAATCCCTGCTGACAATATGGTGGAGCTGCTCCGTCCGTTGGCTCATCAGCGGAGCCAGGCTGATTGCTGGATGCAGCTGTTTGATCATTGGTCTTCTGTGGATGATATTGGATCTCTAGCTGTTGTTCATGACATGCTTGCGAATGATCCAGGGAATAGTCTTTTACGGTTTAGACAGTCTCTTCTTCTGCTAAGGTATTACCTCTTATTCGGCCTCTTAGTGATTATTATTTGTTTTTATGGTGAATGTTGTGTCGGATCCTAATTGTTGGTTGCATGTTGGCAGGTTAAATTGTCAAAAGGCGGCGATGCGTAGTCTAAGGCTAGCTAGAAACCATTCAAAGTTGAAGCATGAGAGGCTTGTGTATGAAGGATGGATATTGTATGATACAGGGCACCGCGAGGAAGCCCTGGCCAAGGCTGAGGAGTCCATATCTCAGCAGAGATCTTTTGAAGCGTTTTTCCTCAAAGCTTATGCTCTTGCAGACTCTACGCTCGACCCGAAGTCCTCAGATTACGTTATCCAGCTCCTTGAAGAAGCACTTCGTTGCCCTTCAGATGCTCTCCGTAAGGGACAAGTAAGCTCAACACTTTTCATCTCATTTCTTTCTCAGGCTTGTTTTCCTGTTGGATTGCCATGGTTTTGGAATCTAAGTTTTAGGAATAGTCAGACTTGCGTTTTGATTAAAGTGTCTGGAGCAATTTGTTGATACTGTTCTATAGAAAGTTTTAGTAAATTTGGTCAAATGGTTATCCAACGATCTCTTACTGCATTTCCAATGGAATGATTCAATATCATGAACTTTGCTTGCAGGCTCTGAACAATCTGGGGAGCGTATATGTGGATTGTGATAAGCTGGATCTTGCAGCTGATTGCTACACGAACGCGCTCAACATCAAGCACACACGAGCTCACCAAGGTCTTGCTCGTGTTTATCATCTGAAAAATCAACGCAAAGCTGCTTACGATGAGATGACAAAGCTAATAGAGAAGGCTCAGAACAATGCATCGGCATATGAGAAGCGCTCTGAGTATTGTGACCGCGAGATGGCACAGAGCGACCTTAGCCTGGCAACACAACTAGACCCTCTCCGAACCTATCCTTACAGATACAGAGCTGCAGGTACGCTAATTACAAAGAACTCTGAATATTTGTGATCAATGTTTCGATATTGCAAAGATTAGAGAGCAATTTAAGCTTTTTATGTGTTTTGTATAACGTGAACTCTTGGTTGCAGTTCTTATGGACGACCACAAAGAACATGAAGCCATAGACGAGCTTTCGAAGGTGATATCTTTTAAACCAGATCTCCAGCTGTTACATCTACGAGCAGCATTCTATGATTCAATGGGAGAAGGAGCATCTGCTGTCAAAGACTGTGAAGCAGCATTGTGTATTGATCCAGGTCATGCAGATACACTCGATCTCTACCACAAAGCACGCGAACCAAATGCTACAGACCAAAAGTAGAAAAACAAAACTATCATTTTGGTTTGGTGAGGCAAATCTCTTTCTCTTCTTCCCTCCTGGTATGCTTCTACTCTGTTTCATTTCCTTCTACATAACAGGAACTGAGCAATCAACAAGGTTCGGTTTGAGTGAACCAGAGGAAAAAAAAGAAAAGAAGTAAGCATAGCCATGTAAATAGAAACATCTATAAATTTTTCTTTAATTTTGGTTTTATTGGGGGGTGGTGGTGACTGGTGAAGATACTATAGTAGATGCAGAGTGTTTCTTGTTGTTACAGATAATACGCTCAAAAAAGAGAACCACGAAGAAGAACTTACCTCTGGTGAAATTTGGACTTCTTCTTCTGTCCTATTTCTAGATGTATTATTGCTTCTTTCTTTTATTTATTTTTTTACTGGGAACTATGTAATTGTATCTGTAACTTTCTTCTCTTTTTTTGTTCTTACATGTTTCTTGTATTGATTCTTAAAGCATCCGGGGATGTGTTTTTAATCCTCATGAAACAAGAAAACAAAGAGACTATTCATACATTTTCAACATGTTCCAAAAATGTATCCCTAATATTTTAGTTAGATCTTTGTTTTGTTTCATGGTAGATTTTATAGTCACATGGTTGGAGTTGGAGATTTAAAGCTTTATTTCTAAAGCTCTTCTGCTTCTCTGTTTCTCAACCTCTGAAATTTTTCTTTCTTGCTTGTGAACACAATAAAGAGTCCACAAATATCGGTTTTGCACACACGAGAAAGCTTCAAACTTTTAACAACTTCTCCATTAAATTTCAACTCTCAGCTAACAAAATATAAACAAAAGGTGTTTTCGATTACAACAAATCTCTCTCCCAGACTCACAAAATTATCTTCTTGGAACCGCAATCAAGAAACATCTTTCCCCACCAGATGATATTGTTTCTAACAGTTGAAGAAATGATGGACATGAATCGTTCTCGGAGGCTAAACTTCAATGCTCCCTTCTTGTCGACAAAACGCCATGCCACCCAAGAGAAGCTCCCGGGGCATTGCCCAGAAGCTTCTGTTCCGTTTTGTTGGGAGACCACTCCCGGCATGCCCAAGAACTTGTCTCACTTGAAAAACGACTCTGAATCCGAGACGCCTCGCCTCAAACTTCCTCCCGGAAGACTCAAGGTTTCTTATTCTTTGGACATTATTAACATTTCTAGTAGATTTTGCTAATCCACTCACAACCAACTGCTTTTTGCGATTTATCTGCGTGACGTCAGATGCACGTTAACAGTGAAAATGGCGATTTTGAAGACGCCAGTCAGATTTTAACACCGGCTAGTTTCTTGCGTCTCAATAAACGCGACAGCTACGAACATTTACATCAAAACGATCAAGACGCAGTAGATGTCTTGTCTCTCACGCAAGCCATTGACATGGTTGAGCATCCAAAAGATAGTTTTACGGAATCGGATGATGGAAGCAGCAGAGGAGGAGGAGGAGGAGGTGACTCAAACGGCTACTTAACAATGGAGAGCACAGAGAGAAGCGAAGACATGTCACCGAGCTACATAATAGAACGGTTTCTGCCGGATGCAGCGGCTCTAGCAGCCGTGACATCAGCGGCTAGCCAAAGGAGGAAGAAGAAGCTCTCTTATTTGAGTGCAACGGTGAAACAATCTTGCTTTTCACCAAAAGCTTGTGGCTTGCATGTGTTGCTGCCTTGGAGCACTAAGCATAGGATTTGTGGCGTCGAAAACGCATTTTCTCCTTCTTCCCAAATCCACTTGCAACGCAAGTTTATTACAAAAGATAGCTAGTTAAATTAAGGTACTTGTTATTTAGACTATATATTGTTGTGACACAATGTGGTGGTTAATAAGCATGTACAAACAAACATAAGGCTTTTGTTAGCCAAAATTGATGCAGCTAGCTTCAGAATAATTCGGTATTGTTGTTAATGTTTTCTCAGAATTATACTTTAAAGATTGATTGATTTGGTTTTAGTTTTGGAAGTTTTGTTTTAAGTTCAGTGATTCGGTAAGATGAAGATTTTTAGAGACTAAACGTTTTCAAAACTTTTTGAAGTCCTCAACAAATATTTCTTTCCGGTTAAACCTTTTAAAGTAAAATCATTTGGCCCCTTTTAAAATAGTAAAATCGTTGATAAGTTTTTGTGACACCAAATGTATCAGGTAAAATCGGTAATTAAGGGTCTTGAATTATATTGTAATCTTAGATGCTTCTTTCATGTATACCTTTTTAGTTTTTACAAACTCTTGTAAAAAATAGTCTTACCACATAAAGGAAACTTTAAAGACCAGATCTAACGGCTGAAAAAGGCAAATTCAGAACATGTCACATATCTAACCCTTGAAGCGGGGCTATAAAAACGCACCCTTTTTAAATTTTCAACAAACAAACCTCCTCTCTCGTCCGCAGCCATCTAACCCTAAAAAGTCTCTGATTTTCTCCATCTCCCATCGAAATAATGTATGCCAGCGATTTCGCCGGTAAGATCTCGCTATACCTCTTAGAATCAATGTAATATATATATCACAGTGCTTGTGGTAATGGATCTGAAGTTTACTCTGTTTGATCTAATCGGTTGTTGGTTTGTTATGGATTTGATCTAATCGTTTGTTTTGTATATTAGTGCATCTGATCAATTATAGTCACGATCTGAATTATTTGTTTTGAATAGATTGCCGTAAGTAAACGCCGATCTGAAGTTTCTAGTCGTTTTTTCAACTGTCTTTCTTATATTCATATCAAAGTTGCTTATGTTTGTTTCCCTTTTTTTGTGAAACCTCTCAGTGGCTAAGACAGGCGTCTACTGGGACATAGAGGATTGCCCAATCCCTGAGAATCTATCTCCTAAAATGATTTACAAGAATATCAAAGCAGCCCTTGCTGATATGGGTTACAAGAATATATATAGAAATTTTCTGGTTCATGGAATCCATGAAAGGCTTCTCGGTACGACCTATAAGCCACCTAAGAGATGGAGCTCACTAGAGGTACCCTTCGGTCCCAATGTGAGGAGTAGCTACTGGTGCAAAGTTCGACAATAATCTATTATGTCCTATAGGGCTACGTATGTTGAATGTTGATGGTATCTTCACTTGATAAATCATGGCTTACTAAATGGCTTATAGGCTAGATATCAAGTGGAAAATACTTGAAAAGATACTTTATTTCGTGTGATTATAAGAAATACATGTTGACAAAAAAAGAAATTCTGTCAATCTTGTAAAATGGTAAAATCAGTGGCACAATGTCGCATCCCTTCACATGTCAATATGTGTCGGTGGACACGTGTAATGAAGTTTATGGGCACACAACAAGTTACGAGGTACGTGTAAAAACCACATGACCGCTTGTCGAAAACAGTCGACGTGTCGTGTCTTCCGAGATTTTGTACTGACGTACCCACCACTTTCAGTCACAACAATTAGTTTATTTAATAATTTTGTACCAGAAAAATGGAGTTTCTTTCTCCTTGTCGGCTTTGGATAACCAGTATTATCTCGTTCATTGTATTATGCATCGACAAAATACAACACTATTAGTTTATCATTTAATTACTAGATCTAAAATGGCACCGCGTTTAAAGGAAAGGTGGAACCAATAATGGTCAGGAAACAGTAGAAACAAAAGGAAATATGGAAGAGAGCGTTCCAGAAGCAGAGAACCTTTTGTTCTCTAGAGAAGTCGCAGAAAAAGACAAAGATAAAGAAACACAAGAAGATGAAGAAGAAGAGAAGGTGGAAGCTAATGGTGGGATTTTGAACAATCTGATATCCAACTTGATGGGTGCAACAACAACAACAGTAGACGGCGAATCTGGTGAAAACATTAAGAAATCTGAATGTGAAGATGAAGATGAAGATGAGAAGAAGAGAGAGAGCTCAGGCGCTGGAATCTTGGAAAAGATTATTTCTCATTTCCCAGGTACGCTCTTTAGTTTTATCAACGGGGCTTACATATTTTAAGCTATTTTGTTAAAAAAAAACATATACGGTGATCTCAGTTTTAGTACTAGAATCGTAACTTCGATATAATTACGGATATATGCAAACACTATGCGTAGGTCATTGCCCAAGTGTTTGAAGTTTGATGTGTGTGGTGAGTTTATGGGAACTTATTCGCCAAAGTGTCTCTTCACTCCTGAAATTGATGCTTCGATGAAATCCGTATATCCAACGTTAAATCTAAGAAAAATGGTTTAGCTTGTGGATTTGTTGTGGAATTTGGAAACATTATAAGTAGATTATGGAATATGGTTAATTAACTCGTAATTATTATTTTTATTCTTTGTAATATAGCAGAAGATGCAGCTCCAACAACGGAGGAGGCATCCATTCTGATCCACTCTGTGATTGACTGAACAAGACTTCAGCAACAGCCCATTTTCATCGTTTGTGTTGTTGTGACTGTGTGTGTGTGTGTGTGCGTGTGAAATCTTCTCCAGACAAACTATGAATCCATAACGATTGTGTCTGTCTATTTGATCAGCTCTTTGTTTAAAAATAGATGGATTATTTCTAGTTAGATCTGTGTTTTAATTCTATATTTTTCCAATCCTAATCTTGAAAATTTTCGTGCTTAAATCTATGCTGTAACAATTTTATACAATTATGCACAACTTTTAGATTTAAGCCACGAAAAAAATCTATCTATAAGGAAAAACTTTTTTAACAAACATGTGTATTTGTTCCTTTCCAGTTCTTCCACTTATATAGACTTAAGGGCCTTTTCTCACTAAAAACAGAAAAAACGAAATATTTTTATTTCCATTTGTTACAATTTGTATATACAGGTAACAGTTGTCTCATATATGTAAATTAGGGGTTAAATGCATGTCTCATAATTAAAATCCTACTTTTTATATGTATGTTTATGCTTCCAGTAATGTGAAATCTATGTATTTTTAAAAAGTAATCTTAGACATGATAGGAAAAAAATCTAAATCAAATATTAAATAGTAAAAATCTTTTTTTTTAACATATATACAAATTAATTACAGAAAAGAAATATTTGGAAAACCAGGTATGAATAGCAGAAAGAGAAAAAAATACATTTGTCAAATTAAAAGATTTATATATGAGAGAAACTAGGCTCCATTCTTTAATAAATAAAAAAATCGCAGAACTTGACATTTGACGAAGAAAAAACATTTGAAGACGAAATAATATGAAGAACTCGAGAATCTACAAGTTTTTTTCATCTTTCTTCAAAAGGATATCTTTCAAGAAATATAAGATTCAAGAGAACACAACCTCAAGATCTCAAGGTATATTTCTTCTTTTCTTGAATGTTGGTAGTTTGATAGAATGAAAATATCGTCGAAACAACAGCTAGGAACTCAATTGATTCTACAAGTATTAAAACCTCCGGATTTTAAGGTAAATTGCTCCTTTTCGTTCAGGGCTCACTGATACGTGTTCACTGTGCCGTTCAACCCCAATGGAGACAATATCGGAGTCGAACGCCTCTGCAGTGACGAACAACGGTGGCATAAGTCGCTTGACCACAGGTACTCGCGCAAGCATAAAAGAATTGTTTTGACACGATAATAAAATTATTAAGAGCTAATCATTTTGTTTAGTTTTGGGTTTTAAGATTTAGGATTTAAGTTTAGTTTTAAAAGTTCATGGCTTAGTTTTTAGGACTTCAAGTATTGAATTTAGAGTTCTGGGTTTAAATTTTTAATTTTAGAGTACTTTGGTAATTTACAAAATCTAAACTAGTTTTTTTAAGTTTTTGTGTTATCAAGTTCATACCATTTTGATAACTTTTCTTAATTTATAAGATATGTAATATAGTGGTTTGTAGTAGTGTTGTTTTTTAGTCATCTTAGAGTGTCCACACTAACAAAGAAAAAAAACCATAGTTAATCATTCAATTAGTTACATACACTTTCAGATTACCTTTCACTAAAAGATGTAAAAAAAACATCATGATTTTCATACACTTTCATAATTAATGATTCAATTAGTTACATACACTTTCAGATTACCAAAAGAACAAACATTTTGTATGTTGTATTTAATGATGTTCATACTCGACATGAAGTCGTATTATGTTTGCATTAGACTAAATGATAAGTAGGTTATCGTTTGATATCAAAGCCTTAAGGTTCACACAAAACATGATATGAAAGAATTTTTCCTGGTGATAGTTAACGAGAAAGTTTATTCTTCCCATGGATATGTCTCAAATAAGTTTTCTTATTCTGAGAGTTTCATTTTTTTTAAAGTTTCATTTTTTTTTAAACGAAAATATTAATCTCGGTTTTATGTTAAAATTTTGAGCAACACGCGGAAAATATCTAGGTTTTCTAATATGAGGACATTGTTATAACCAAAAAAAAACTAGTTTTAAAGTGAGGAATTAGCTAGGAAGAGTTTTTGCGAGCCTGTCTATTATTACGACCAAGCCTTTGTGTAAGCATTTATTGAAACACATTTGCAACCTAGGCATTCAAGGAGAGTGAAAGATGCAGTTCTCCATGGATGAAAGCATTTTTGCAACTATGATCATCATGAAACGACATGGTCGTAGTTGTATAGGATCCAATAGTCTTGGTGTTTTTTTCACAAAAGTGTATGCGCATTTTGTTCCTTGTGAGACTTTTCTACAACTAGAGAATGTAGGTTTCACAGTCTCTTTTGCTTATGGCTTCAGTCTAGTGTCGCAAAGACAAATGTTCTGGTCTCAACTAAAACTATCTTCTCCTATAGTGAATCAATCATGGGTAGTAGTAGTGTGTGATTTTAACCAAATTCTTAGGACAAGTCGATACTCCAGTTTTCCATATTCTAGTGGATACTTCCCCAACAGTAGTAGCTTCTTCCTTCTAAACAGAACAATAGTGCTTTTTCGTCTCTCATATACAATCCTGGATTGGATTTATATCATCATAAACATCAAAAATTAGACCACAAACAACTTTTTTATATCCCTAGCTCACTCGAATCTCCAGATGAAACTAACAGATAGATCATCACAATCCACTCGAAAACCTTACCTCTATCGTTTAGACTTTAGGGGCACAATATAAACATAGGAAATAACAATAAATAAAATTTGCTTTTCTCCAATGGTTAACTTATAAGGTTATCACGTGCATTATTTTAGTTCTTTTTGTCATACGTTGATATGTATAAGATTTAATCATGGGTTTTACTAACTATATTTGCAGAAAGTCATGATGATTTAGAGAAAATCTACACCGATCTATTATCTCGTGAAGGAAAACCCGGTGAGCTCGGTGATGACCTCGGTAAATTGTGGGAGAAATTCAATTCTCCTTGAAAAGATGTTATCGACGGTCTTAACATTAAAACCAAAAAAAAAAAAAAAAAAAATGTTATCGACGGATATGCTGTGTCAAACTCATTTAACTTAGGCAAATGGAACGGCAAAACCAATGCAGATATAAAGCAGACAGTTATAAATACAGATTGATCTGTATTAAGTTGCCAATCACCATTTTAATTACAGATCAAAAATAAATGCAGAGCAAAAAAGTAGCCTGCATGCACACGAAAATACACTTGTAAATTTTGGCCTGCAGTAAATGCGTCAAAAACCATCAATTCATATACAGATCAGATTATCTCTCTCTCTCACAAATTAACTAATTTAAAAATGTGATTTATAATTTATAATTAAGACATTTATCATTCTAAAAATCTCTTAAAAAATTAACACATATTAAAATAAGACTAAAATCTAAAATATCTAAATAAATTTAGTTTTATTTTGATTGAGATTATATCAGAAAAAATTACAATATAACTACATAAGGTTTAAAACTAACTAATATATATATATATATATATATGATAGGGGATATGAAAAAAAAATCCATAAGTACTACTACTAATAAGAATTTCAAATTTATTAAGGAAACCAAAAAAAAACAAATGAATATTATAATCAAATTTAATCAATATAATTAAATAGCATCCTAAAATATATATATATATATATATAATAGACACTCTATATACTGCAATCATAAATTCATAACCGGAAATTATGAGACTCTTTCATTTGTTTAATAATATATTTCTTTTTATTGAGCATTAATTTTTTATATGAATTAATTTCTATAAATAATTAAATATGAATAAATATAATAATTTTTGAGATTGTTTGAAATATCTCTATAAATATGTTTACAAACATGAAAATTCAAATTTCAATTTTATTAAGTGGTATATAACATTATAAATCAGTATAATGAATTTTTGTAAGGTATTTTATAAATTATATTTTAATTGTAAATATTTATGAAAAAAAAACAAATTACATCTACATAAAATGTGGAAAATAGAAAAAAAAAACATGAGAAGAAAATGTTACTCGAATCCGACTCAAAATCGACCGGTTATCTGAAAGATCCAAATATATATATATGTATTAGTTTTTTGGATACTTTGGATATACCAAACATTTAATTTTTTAGGATATTTTTTAGTTAGTCACAGATTCTCAGGTAAATTTTTGGTTTTTAAAGATTCGGATTTCAAATATATTTTTTTGTGTATTTTAGATTTTTGGTTAATAAATACTTGAACCGGCTCAAAATTGGCTGAAATCAAAAAAATCAGGTATTTATTGGTTTTCTAAAATTAATAATTGAACCGATCATCTTTCGGTTTTTCTATAAGTATAAAATTTATTGTCCGAATGACCGGAAACTTAAATAACAAATATGTAACAAACATAAAACCTGAAATATTTATAATATTTTTATATTATATATTTGATCTGTATTTATTCTGCATTTGTTCTTGATCTGTATTTGTTCGGTATGATATGTATTTACTGTTTGATCTGCATATTTTGATCTGCGTTACCATTCGAAGCCTTAATCTCTCATTTATCAGTATAATCCAATTGTTGGTGTTTCAGAAGAAAACTAGAGAGTCAAATGTTCTTGGGGGATCATTCATGGCAGAGTTTTCTATTGTAAAAGATTTTAATTTGTTATGTTTTATGACATCTTTTAATAATCGTTTTGTTTCTCTTCCAATATATTATGAGATTTTAGAGTTTAAATTTACCAACTGTGTTGTAATCTAGCAGTCCTTTACCTAGATCTCATAGTCCGAATACCACTAGCAAAATGTGCAAGTTTTTGCTTAAAACTTTAGGGTTAAGTGGTTAACCACCTCCATAAATTTTGTGTAGAGGAAAAAATTATTATACTATGTTACAGTTTATAACATTACAGAAAGAAGACATTCAGAAAATGAATTGTTGTATTACTTTAATATAAAAAAATGGATAATTGAATTACATATGCTAACACAAACTTCAAACTAATTGTATCTACAAATTACTTGAACAAAAGAATAATTAATGAAATATAAATGTGTTGATAACTTAAGTATATAAGTATGCCTTATTTATTCTTTTCACTCCGATAGCTTTCAAAAACTTGCTTCAATCCTCCTCATTTGATTTAGGATCTTTAGCTTCATCACCGCCGGAACCTATCGGCGCCGTCTCCATCTCGGCCTCAAGCTCCGGCCTGATCTCATCCAGCTGATTCACCACCTGATTTGCTTCTGGCCTCGCCGCCGGCGACGGATCAACACAATGCAACGCCAATTTCAGAGTATTCAAAAGCTCGTCTCCGACGGTTTGCGTCTCTCTCATCAGCTCCAAATCAAACACTTCATTGGTCCACTCTTCCTTCACAATCGACGCCACCCACTGAGGCAAATCCACTCCGTTCGTCGGCTCTCCTGGAGATTTCCCCGTCAAGAGCTCCAGTATGATGATCCCTAAGCTGTAGACGTCGGTCTTCGTGCTTGCGTTCTTCATCTTCGAGAACTCCGGCGCTCGGTATCCCAGAGTTCCGGCGGTTGCGATCACGTTTGTGGCCGCGGCGGCTGTCATGAGCCTGGAGAGTCCGTAATCGGCGATGTGGGCGTTGGTCTGTTCGTCGAGGAGAATATTGCTCGCCGTGAGATTCTCATGGACCATGTTCTCGTTGCTGTGAAGGTAAGCCAAACCTCGAGCGATTCCTTTCGCTATCTTCATCCTCGTTTCCCATGGAATTAGCGTTTCTGGTCCTCGAGCTGATTTTCAATTCCCAAATTCAAAAATCAAAATCCATTCACCTCAATCGAAATCCAAAATTAGGGTTTTTGTTTTTGCTTACCATGGAGAAACGCAGCGAGACTACCCTTAGACATGTAATCAAAGACGAGAAGCTTCTCTCCTTTGGGTCCCAAGTAGTAAGCTCTTAGCGCAAGAAGGTTTTGGTGACGAATCTTGCCTAAAGCAGTGACCTCTGCTTCGAATTCTTTGACCCCTTTGGTTGTTTTCTCTCTAAGCCGCTTCACAGCGACCTCATTGCCGTCCTCCAGAGTAGCCTTGTACGCTGTGCCGTAAGTACTTTTCCCCATGATCTCAGCCGTGGCACAGAGCAGATCATCGGCGGTGAACACAAACGGACCATCGAAATGGACCAGCTTTCCTCCCATCTCACCTCCTGCTGATGCTGCTGCTGCGGCAGCTGCTGATACCGTCTTCTCAGAGATCTTGTCCTTGCCGTCTTTTTGTTTCAAGGCGGCGCGTTTCTTGATCAGGCAGCAGAGTAGTATGCAGCATAGCAGAAGGAGAATGGCTAGGAGAGCTCCAATGGCGATTAGGATTATATCCTTCACCGAGAGTCTTCTGTGGTGTTTTCTTGGTTCTTGTGATGAGGTAGGTGAAATGGTGAGGGGATGATGATGATTAGGAGGAGGAGGACACGGATTCGAGGAGCTGTAGCCACAGAGCTTGATGTTTCCCAAGAAAGAACTTGAGTTGAATTTTCTGGAGAGAAATGGCGGAACAGGACCAGAGAGGGTGTTGAAGGAGACGTTGAAAGAAGAAAGATTCGCCAGGTTGACTAGTGAAGACGGGATAAGACCTGTGAAGTTGTTTTCAGACAGATCAAGCTGACGGATTCCGGATATGTTCCCAATGCTCTCTGGGATCGGCCCGTTGATCTTGTTTCTCTTGAGGTTAAGCACTGTCAGGTTGTGGAGTCCATCAATGGCATCTGGGATTTGGCCCTTGAGGTGGTTGCTTTCGAGGTTTAGTGAAACCAGAGATGTGAGGTCGGAGAAGCTCTCTGGTATGGTTCCGTTGATTGAATTGTGAGACAAATCAAGGCTTTGGAGGTGAAGAAGAGCTCCACATTCCTTGGGAATAGAACCAGAGAGCTGGTTATGGCTTAAAGAAACATCTTCCAGCAAACTCTGCTTGCAGAGTGACAAAGGAACAGCTCCAGAGAAGAGATTGTGGTCAAGATTCAGCGTTCTGAGAGGGTGAGAGCCATTAGCCAAAAATTCAGGTATCGAGCCAGAGAGGTTGTTTTGCTGAAGGTCAAGAAAAGTGAGGGTGTATGATCTTGCAACAGTAACTGGAATTGGACCGGAAAGTGAATTGAAGCTGAGATTGAGCCTATAGAGCCTGGTAGACTCGGCAAGGCGAGGTGGGATGGTTCCAGATAGCTGGTTGCTGCTGAGATCAAGATTCTGGAGAAGAGGGCAGTTTCCGAGTGAGGCTGGGATCGAACCAGAGAGGCGATTGTTGAAGAGATAGACTCCACGGAGGCTCCGGAGGTAGCCGAGGGAGTGAGGAACTGAACCGGCAATGACGTTGTTGTGGAGGCTAAGTTTTCTGAGATTCTGAAGCTGTCCTATCTTCTCGGAGATAGTGCCGCCGAGTCCCTTATAAGGGAGGTTAATAGCGATCACTTGGCCTCGGAGGCATCTGATTCCAGCCCATCCACCAGAGCAGACACCAGAGGAGCCAGAGTTGTTCCAGCTTCTGAGAACTCCGGTGAAGTCAATCAGTTCGTGTTTGATTGCTTGCAGTGCCTGAAAGTTTGCTTGAGTCACCACGATCCCATCCCAGGAGTGACCACCGCTACCACCTGCAACAGCTTGAGCAGACAATAGTGAGAGACACAAGAGGAGACTGGTGCAGAAATTGAAACTAATTTCAAAATTCAGAAATGGGCGATTGTGAAGCTGATTCATTTCAAAGTATCACAGTGAAAAGAACCAAAAAAGAAAAAAAAAACGAAGAAGAAGAAAGATGAAGAAGAGCAGGAGTTTCAGTTCTTTGTTTTGTTCTTCTTCCTGTGTTTTTGGAGGACAACCAAAGAGAGAGAGAGATAGTGAGAGGTAGAGAGAGAGAAGTTTGATTTTTAGTGAGAGAGGAAAGGTAAATGTGAGTGAGTGAGCGTTGGAGCCAAGACTAATTATGGTTCGACTGATGGAGGAAGAAGACAAAGACAAAAGTTTAGTTTATGCTTATTCTAACGGCTAGTTTTTACTTCTTGGCCTGCGCCAAAAAAACGGTAAGCGAGAGAAACATGACCAAACGGCTACAAAGTCATTTCGACCGTTTTAATCATTTATTATGATTAATATGTCTGGAGAGTCTAAAGTCTCTGGTCGTCCATATTATTAATTATTCCTGTCTCACTAATCTTAGATTCTATTTCATGTTCAGACAAACAAAAAACTCTGTTTCATGTTCAGACAAACAAAAAATTCTCTTATAAAGTGCAAAGTGGTCCAACCTTGACCCTTTTTGCCACGTCAGTCCTACCAATCATGCATGTGTAAACTCGTCGATATATTCAATTTTTTTAAGAGAACATGTATGTCCCAGTTACCTTCCTATAAGAAACTCAAAACACTGCGAATTGTTTTGATGTTTTGATTCATTCAATAAACATTGTATAGACAAATCCACTAGAAGATCAAAAGGAACACGTCTTAGTCCTGATACAACAACACACAGGCTTGGCAAATAAATAATTACCAAAAATCAACCAGAAAAATAACTGATGAGAAGAAAAGAAGAACAGATAAAACAATTCTTATAAATGTAACGAACCTGAAAAGGGATTTAACAGAATACAGTCATTTCACGATAGACGTACAATTTGTAGCGATCATTATTTAGTATTTACACAAACGCAAAGTGACGTTTTAGGAGCATGTGTCTAAACCCAAACATAAAAATAGTACACAAAGTCTCCAACAATTCTTATGGACAAAACACATAGCAGCTCGTCTTCCTACTTAGACCATAAAGAAATGGAATTTTCAATGTTTCAACAATCAAGAATCCGCCGACGAGCCAGGCTGCCTTATAACCATTTCCTTAGCTGGACATGCACGTAAGAGTGTGCAGATGTCGTTTTTCACTAGATACTCCTCCGCATTTACTAGGACCAGAGGTCCATACTCGAACACCAACTTCTTGCACTGTAACAACACAAACACACAACACGGTATAAAAAAATGAGAAAAGCCTAAGCTAACACCACTAAGATCACCAACAGCAAAACAAAAAAAAACAAGAAGAAAAAGGTATATGACAAAACATGATCAGGCATGGATATGGGATTTGAGTTATTAAAAATGATTGGAACTTGACTATTCTAACCTTCTTCTCGTAGTTCTTCAACGACTTGCATGCCTTGAGAAGCATTTCAACTATATCCAGCTGCATAATCAATGGCAAACAAAGTCAGTGTATATTGTGGGCATGACTAAATCAGAGTGCTAACACAGAATGCGTAGAAGCAATGTCATCATCTTGTAGTTAGCAACTACTAACCTGTGTGTCAGGGTCTTGAAGTTTGACGAGAATCTCTGAAACAGTCTTGTGGCAGACACCGCAGCTGTCTTGACGGACTTGTTGAACAAGAGCGGCCACGTGCTGACAAAGATTCAGCCTCTTGCAGAAATAGTGAGGCTGAAACGACTCCACTGTTTTGAAGAACAGAGGGACGTAATAGTCCACCAAAGTTCCGCACTGATGCAAGCATAAGCACATTTGTTATTATCTTAACAAGAGTCTGAAGCAATAATATATAAAATGCAAAATGAGACAAGGAAAGGAACCTGCTGCTCAAATCCGCGCATATGAGAACACCGATCATGAAGATCCTCGATGATCTGGGATTGTGTTTCGTTGTTCTCAAGGTAGGTGAGAGCATCAGTAACATATTCCTCACACATAGTGCATACGTTTTCCTTCTTGTGAACTTCCTCTACACAAACACCCCAAAATAAAGTAAAAATCTTAAAACTTTAAAGCCTTTTGAGCTTTGACTAGACACTATCTGTTCAGAGCCAGTTCTTGTAAGGGAAATTGGGTTGGTAATAGATTCATCGAAACTCATAGAAACCAACTTTTTCATTAAAATTATCAAACTGAACTCTAAACTGCAATAGAATCAATATAGATTCCTCCAAATTCTTTAGGATATAAATTGGTACCTGAGAGGGTGGAGTCAAGGAAAGATCTAGCATCAGAAACCAAGGTCAAACCCAGCAAGAAAATAACCAAGGTTGCAGCTTTGGGTCCCATTGATTCCTGGTCAAAGAAAGAACACAAGATTCAACTAAGAGACTCTTCACAGGAGATATCGGATTTACAATAACGAAACCCGAGAGATTCAACCGGAATAGAAGGGAGGTTATCTTACCTTATGGAGCAAATGATTTGTGGGACAAGAAGAGCTGTTGATATTATCCAGAAGCAATCACTTACCAGATCCGTCGAATTGGTCTGATTGCGTCTGAGAGTATCGAATGTCAAAATGAAGGTGAAGTCTTCTCATACCACAAGCAATTATCCGGACACGTCATCATCATCATCTTGTGGCTAATTATATTCGATTATTCGAATATCCCCCACACAACTACATTTCTTTTACGTTTTAAATACTTGCTGACGTAATGAAATCCAATTTGTCATCAAGACTGGTTTTTTTTGGTTCACCAAGTCTTGATTTTTTTTCTCTTTGATTGTAGTAATCAGAAACAAAACTAAGAACAATTTTGTTTTCATATAAAAACAAATCACATACAAGAAAACAAATGAAAAAGCCAATTGCTTAACACATAAACAAACAAGACACACAAACACCTAAATAACATCACCTAAGATAAGAATAAAGATGGACCATTTCCACTCATTGCATCATTTTAAGTTTAAAGCTATTTTCTTCTTCTTGTTCTTGTTCTTGCTCTCTTTGTTCAACATCACTGACAACTTGGCCAATCCAAACCTCTTCCTCTTCCCATTGAACCTCTTCTCCTTCTCCTTCCCTTCACCATTTCCATAGTTAGTCTTTCCAAGAATCTGACCCAAAGAAACTCTCCCATTCATCATCATCGCTGACTCATCCGCAAGAAGCAGTTTCCTGCTTAGTATTTGCCCTATCGACATCGTCGGTTTCAAGACAGCAACTGAAGAAGATGTCCCGTTTCCATTCATCATCAGATTCAGACCATTCACATCCATCAAAAGCGTCTCTCTCCTGTTCTTGTACTTAGCCTTGTATGATGATGATGATGATCTCTTCCTCTTCTCTGACCACTCCCATTTTCCATGCCTCGTCTCTTCTTCCATTTTCACGTTATTCACTTTCTCAAGACCTTCCTCCAACGTCCTCCTACTGCTTCTGATTTCTCTAGCCGTCTCTTCTATCCTCTCAAGAATCTCCTCCTGCAACGTCTCTTCTTCACCATCTCCTCTCCTTCTTCTTCTTCTTCTTGTAACAGCTTTGATCTCAGCGATTGCAACCGCTTCAGCAGCTCTAGCAGCTTCCTTCATCTTCCTAGCAGCCACCAAACGCATCTCAGCAGCTCTGATCTTGCTTCTCGTCTGTTCGATCTCAGCCACAGCTCTATCAACCGCGAAACGCGCATCTTCTCCAGTTCTACTAAACTCCATAGCCTCATAGCTCAATCTCTGAATCTCCTTGGAGATCTCTGCTGCGTTCTCAGAGTTCAGTCTCTCTCTCGTCTTCTCTAGAGCAGCTCGTTCTTGTTCCAGTCTCTTGTTTAGTAGCTCAACGGACTCGCGTATCGCAGCTAGATCTTCAGTTGTCTTGCAAAGATTCGTCTTTGCTTGGTTTAGTTCATTGAGCACATTCATGTCCAAGTTTTCTTTCTCTTCTTTTCTCTGTAGCTTTGATTTGAGCTCTTCGACGATGGCTTTGGTTGATTCGAGCGACTTCAAAACCTTTAAAGTTTCTTCTTCTTTCGCAATCAGTTCCTTCTCTAACTCACTCGCTTTCTCCACCATATCAGATTCATCAACATCGTTCTGTTTTAAAAAAAAAATCGAAATTTCGGATCATAAGAAACAATTAAAGACGAGAACTTTCGATAAATTGATGATTCCGAGTGAACAAATTTCCTAATTATTTTCATTTTCGTTAAAAAAAAGGCAGTAGTGTGACAAAGTGACAATCAAAGTCAGTTTAAAAAGCCCTAAAGCCAAAGAGATGGACGAAATCAGTGAGAGAGACAGAGACGAACTGAGGGGGAGAGATAATAGACCTGAGAAGCTTCGAGAATGGTAAGGGAAGAAGGTTTCCAGAAACCGAATCCGCCGAAGCGAGAAGCGGCCTCTCTCACGGACTCGAATGGAGCGGAAGTGTCGATTTCCCCGACGAGGGAGGGTTCTAGTAGGGTTTCGGCCATTAAGGAAGAAGACAAGAGCTTTGGTAGAAGAGTAGTAGTGAGAGAGAGAGAGTGAAGAGAGTTGATCGAATTGTTGTTTTGTTCGCAACTGGTGTGAATGTGAATGAAGAAGACTTGTTGTATCTCAACGGCCTTTTGTATGTAAATGGTGGATTAATTAAAGTTGAAAAAGCTACAAGTATCCGTTTTCTTCTCACTTCCTAATTTTGTCTCCATTTTAAAGTTTAATCGCTTTTTATAATCCAATCTCTCTGTGTTAATAGGATGCTAACAAACAAGCAATTAGTTTTACAAAAATGTGATCTTAATCAACATTTTGTTTTTTTTTTGTTTCTTTCTGAATTGTCTTCTACATGTTATAAAAGTTAATAGTTAAATGCTATCGATTTCCTCTAGTGTGACGTGCTAATATGAATTTGATTAGAGGAACTTTTTGCCCGAGAAAGGAAAAGGAAAAAGAAACGTAAACAAATGTTTGGACCGTTGGATTAGCAGAGAGAGTTGTGCCGGGGTTGGCTGCGTCAATGATGGAGTTGTGGTGGGGATCACTAACGGTCATAAGTCATAACGCAGGGCCACATAGTGAATCTCTCTGTTATTTTAAATTTTGGTATTACTACATGTCTACAAGTCTTACAACTAACCGTTGGATGTTCAAAGAAAAATATGAAAAAAAAATAGTCTGGTCGTTCAATCGTTGCACATTGCGAAATTTGTGTTTTTTGGTAAATACATAAACTATAATCGAATCTACTTTTTGCGAAAAAAAATCAATGGATTTGACCCATATGGTTTCAAATCCGGATGAATGGCCGTTTTTTATTTGAAAGCTAATTGTAAGTGACTATAGCGTTTGTGTCAAACAAATGTATACTATAAACAGTTTTTCCTCTCAAGCATTTTGGTTAACATACATGCAAGCTTTAGGACTACAAAGTGACAAACCTCAAAACTGCATAGAACAATCTTTCCATAATTGCTTCCCCACATTTTGGAATATAAACTTTCAGAAACCTCAAATTCTCTACAATTGAGTAAGTATCTCAATACATTACAATTTTCTACGTGGCTCTATGGAAAATGTATCAATGTCTACATGTGTAACACAAATCCAAAATCTAATCTGCAATGGGCTGAGGCTGAGGCTGTGGCTGGGGCTGCGTCTGCGTATGCGGTTGCGATGAGCTTTTCCGTCGTTTCCTAATGAAATAAAAGCCAAAACCAGAAAGAAGCAGCAAAACAACAAAAGCATCAATCCCTCCAACTAAACCCACAACCCATTTCCTCACATTCGATTTCTCACCACTCAATCTCACTCCTTTTGGAATCTTCACCATATAACTCAATCCACTCACTCTCTCAATCTCCTTAACACCCATCACAACCCCATACATGACACAAAAGCCCTCATCAGAAACAGAGTAACTCGCAGCTCGACACTCACAGTCCTTCTTACACAGCTCTTCACATCCTTCTTTGCTTACGTTTCTCACTTGTGTCCCGTTTCTTAGCACAGTAGCGACTCCTTCTAGCTCAACCATCTCGTGATCGCATAGCCTCTTCATCAAAACCCCTTCTTCTTCCTCGCTGTTCTTGCTGTTGCAATCTCCATCGCTCGCAACCCTAATGCAAGAACAAGACTTGGAGAATGTGCAGATTCCGTATGGCTTACACGCTACAGGAAGATCACAAGTGTTGCTCACAGCTTGAAACGTAGCCTCAAACTTCCCCTTTTCCGGTTTATACGAATAGAGTCCCAAATTACCGGTTTTGTTCCCAACCGCCAAGAATCTGATCAAAGTTTGCTCTATTCTCCCTATTCTTTGGCTGTTATCGTCGAATAGGTCAAGACCCTTTGGCCCTAATCTCACGAAGTTGACCGTATTGTTGTTATCTCTTGGCCTGTACTCCCAGTAAGAGTACTTGAGCTTGTTCAAGTTGAGGAAAAGAGCAATCTTGTCGCGTAAGACTTCGAAAGAGTAGAACAAATTCGAGTCTTTTGGGAATGAAGTTAGTTGAGTAGCAACGTCTAGTCTCTGACCACTCAACATCACATCTGTTGGGAAGTTGAAACTTTGCCATTTGATCAAATTCATAGCATCAATCAACACTAGATTCCCTGTGCTTTGTATCTCCAACTTCTGCAAATTTTTATTACCAAACATAATTTTAAATGTAACTGTCTTTAAAAATGTTATTTTTTTTGTCCAACATATATAATTTTGTACCTCAACGCCTTGTCCTGAAGTTCCACTTCGCCAACCAACGTGTTTATTGCTACGCTTTATCCTCAAGTCTCCATCTTTCGCGAGCTCGATGATGCATTTGTTAGAAGCATACATCTTTGTGTAATGCCCTGAACTCCAAACTCTTACATCTCCAAGGAAAATTTGGAGGGAACACAAATATCGTCCATCATCTTTGTCACTTGATTCCATCGTTAACGCAGCTTTGAAACTTGGTTCTCTTGTTGAAGATGAGTCTGTCTCCATTATATAAGCTTTCCCCATAAATCCAGGAGTGTATTCCACTGGAGCAGAGAGCGTCAGAGCAAAGCCGAGTTCTATATCTGATTTGCAGTGACCTTTGAGTATAGAGAACAAGAAGACTAAGAAAGTCAATGTGTAGATCTTCTTGATCATCATGATCATGAGATGCTTTTTTTTTTCTGCTGTTGATCTTTGGATTTTTCCGAGAAGAAATGGAAAGATGATAAGAAAACTAAAAGAAAGGAAAGTTTGGTATGAGTGTGCTTTCTTCTCTCTACACTTTTTCAGGGAAAAAGGCTTTTGCTTTATTTTTGCCTTTGTTTTGTTGCTTGTGGAGTGTTCTTACTATACTAAAGCTTTCTTTTTTTCCCTATTTGGTATTTATCTTAAGTTTACTTAAAAAAATTCGAAGAGACACACAGATTAGTATGTTCTGTTTTTCCACTCATTAGTTTAGTTACTTGCAAGTTTATGAGCAGAAGATGATGCACGCTTGGTCTTCCACAGGCTGTCCATGTGGGTTCTACTTCTGCATTCCAATTTTTATGACAAAAATATTCATAATTTTAACGAGCTAAACGTAAGAAGATATTGTATCGATCGGTTAGAGAAAATTATAAATCCTAAACATGAAAGAATCATGAGATATTGGTTTAGTGTTTTATTAGAACGTCTTATATCAGAAATGGAGTGTAACTAACATAATTATCAATCTCAGCTAACTACTTTTGAATTGGAAGCATATAATTCTTAAAAAAATAGTATAAAGCAGATGTTTCGTAGCTAATTGCCTTTTAAGAAGAAGAAAAATCAATCATATTTTCACTAAGGTTATATGTAAAGTGGGGGGAGTAAAGCAGGTATTATGTTGGAAATTAGGTGAGATTTGATTAGTAATGATAATTTAGTCGGATTAATTGATCTATTTGTTTATTTGATATTGGCTTAAAATGGACCACGAGAGGTGGCCATCCCTGTCTTTGTCTGTTATGTGCAATATTTCTTTTTCTTCATGCTCTCATAGTGCTGACTGCTGATGTCAGCGATGCGTATGGCTTCAAAATCTGACAACTTCTTTGGGACTGGTTTCAGTGGTTCTAGGCTTCTAGGTCTCGGCCCGCAAATTGTCTGCAAACGGCCCAATGTTTAAACACTTCTTTGGGACTTTTGTTTGCTTAGAGTACAAAAAGATTCAGGAGATGTTTTGTAATGAAAATTGAAATGAAAGTGGAAGTTTTAGTATTTATCAGCCAAGTCGCGCAATCTTGGTTGCGAGAGGTTGTTGGCATGATAAAATACATATAAGAAATTCATACTATACAATATAAATACACGTAAGAAAAAACCAAAGTTATCCTTTTCTCAAAAAAGGAAAGGAAAAAGTTATAATCCAATGAGAGATTTGAAAAAGGCTTCCACGTTTAAAGTCTATAAATATGTTGGCTTTGTAAACCATAGGCAGACAGAGACAGAGAGGAAGAAAACGAAAGATCACATACAGTTTCCAGTGATAAAGCTCACGTCTCGAAAGGTTATAAAATCCGAAGACCTATAAGTTGTTTCTGTGACAAGAAACCTCCAGCGCAAGGAATCGTGACGATTCGTAACGTTAGAGACACGATGCTTGGACTGCTAAAAATCAACCTCGAACCGTTTCGATTCATCCGCTGCCATATATCAAAGGTATATTCAAAATACAATCATGATCTAGTTTTTAATTCAGTATTTATAAAAACCCTAAAAATATTTCTTGTTATAAACTAGTTCGAATTTGAGCATAAAATCTGACTCAATATCAATTATATTGAATGCTATTAAATGAAATGAATACAAAAATTGACTACGTAAGATCTTTCGGTTACTATAAACCGAGAGCGAGTATTATGTTTAGGATATTTTGGGTAGATCGTGGTTCTGGATTTAATGAGACTCTTCTGGTTGAGTCTATATAAACGCTCCATAAACTTTTCGCTTAACCAAACTCATAAAAATAAAACGATTCTCAAACAGGTACAATAATGGCTCTACTTGGAAAATGGCCTAGATCTTCTTCTTCTTCTCGCGATGAGATCAAGCCATGGAAGATCGAAGTGCAGACAGTTCGAACGTGGGAGGGAAATAACAAAGAACAAGGCAAATCAATCGATATGGTTCTACTTGATGCATCGGTATGGCTTGTTCTGGATTATATATATATGCTTATCGATTTGATTTTGTTACAGAAATAATTTTAATTTCTAAATTACTATGTTTTTTTTAAATTGAATCTCTCAGGGGACAAGACTTAATATAACTATGGATGAAGATGTAGCTTTCACTAAATGGATTAAGGATATTGCGAATGACAGTATCAACAAACCAAAAGGTGGAGAAACTGATATTGATACTCGTGAAGATTTGCTGATAGCAAACTGCGAAAATCATATCGAAACTATGGTGAGGGAAGTTTTTGGAGAAAACTATGCAAAAACTGATAGGGCCATGTTATGTCCTACAAATTCCGATGCAAAGCGGGTTAATGATTATATTACTTCACAATTACCAGGTAATAAAATATGTTTTACGCTTATCTTGATATTTTCTCTTACAACCTATACGCTATAGCCTAACTACAACTTTTGTATGATATCATATATCAGGTGAAGAGAAAGACTATCTGAGCGCTGACAGTCTTTGTCCGGCGAATTCAAGCCCAAGTGATCACATGCTATACCCTCTAGAAATGTTGAATACCATCGAAACCTTTGGAATGCCTAACCATAGTTTGAAACTAAAGGTTGGTGTTCACGTCACGTTACTTCAAGACATTAGCCCTAACGGGTTATGTAATGGACAAAGACTTCAAATTACTCGCCTTGGTAATCACGTGATTGAGGCTAGAGTTATGTCAGGTAAAAAGGCTGATGAGAAAGTCCTACTCCCTAGGATACCCATGTATTTTTCTCCACCGGAAACAAGGCTTCCGTTCGCAATGCGACGCAAACAGTTTCCTATAGCAGTTGCTTACGCAATGACTGTAAGACAAAGTCAAGGGCAAAGACTTTCTAGGGTTGGTCTTTATCTACCAAGAAAACCGTTTTTTCATGGACAGCTGCATGTGGGGATATCTAAAGTGAAGTCCAATGATGGTTTGAAAGTTCTTATCACAGATAGTATCATAAGACCCCATGAAAAACCTGCGAACGCTGTGTTCAGAGAGGTGTTTCAGAACGTTTAGTTACGTGTGTTAGACTGTTTTTTATTCTCTCTTTTTTTTTTTCTTCTGCAAACTTTTAAATAATTTTATATTTTATGCATGGTTTTTCTAATGGTTAGACTGTTTCACTACATTCTGGTTTTTGTTTGCGTCTGGGTTGTTTTCCAAAACATAATCAAACTTTGGTTTAGTGGACAATGTGGTGCTTATACAACATGAGTTACAAACACAAACAGAAACTTAATCATATGGAGATGTCTAACCATGTGACATTTCTAGAAAAATGTATAACAACAAAAAGTATTTATAAAAATCGTCTACAACAACTTTAACGGGCTTCAGTACAATTAACATGCAATAATTGGCCCAGAAGAGTTTCAAATAGTATTGTTGTTTGGTTGTTTGATTTTATGATGAATTAACATTGTACAAGCATTGTAAAAATAAAACTACAACATGAACATTTATATTGTTAGTTAGGTGCATAGAGATGATAATATGAATCGCTTCAAACAACAATGAATAGGTTTGGTTGAGCTGTAAATTTCCCTTTTTCTATGTGATACAAACAACAATGAATAGGTTTGGTTGAGCTGTGAAATTCCCTTTTTCTATGTGATACAATAAGTTACTTACACTAATTATATATAATCCACAATTATTGATAGGCTATATATATGATTCGATCTTCAAAGATTTGCGTACCGCGACTAGTATTAGTATATGTTTAAATTAAGATTGAATTTCCTTATGAATGAAGTCAGTCACTTAACAAATATATATAGCTAAGTGGTCCCAAATGGTTCATGGTACGTTTGGCGCATCATTCAAATATTGTATTAGACGCAATGGTTCTATGACTCTATGATCGATATATATATACATCACTTCACGTGACCAAACAACTCAGCGCAAAAAGACATCTAATAACTATGTAACAAATATACTCGGAAAATAATGTGTTGTGGAGGTTAACGACCTCTATTATATTTGTGAAAAAATGCTTTTATTTGTTGATGTATATGCTTTGAGGTTTATAACATTTGAATAAAATCTTAATACCAAACATACAACAACTTTTACAAGTTTATTTATAGAATAAGTATTTTGATGATACATCGACCATTTTGCAAATCAGAGCTTTCGTGAAAGCACTTAAGAATACGAGTATCAAAAACACTAGTACTATTTTATTGTGTTTTGTACGGTAACATTTATGGAGGTGATGGCTGATGAGGATTCTGGTAATTAATTACTAGACATATCTCGTACTGTATATAATTAGAACTTTTGCATTGCCAGCACAATAAATATATGCTAGATCTCATTATATCTAATAACTATTTTCTTATAGATTCCTTCTAACATTAAATCTGAAATTAGATCATCAATGATACATTCCAACATTATTTTGCATTAGTATCAAGCTGGACCGGTGGTGATATGATATATTTTGTTTTATACAGAGATCACAAGTAGATCCGGTTGACCAAAATAAGATTATTAGTCTCTCTTAAGTCTTAACTCAAATTAGTTCATATATATAGTTTAAAGCATCCATCGATCCAACAAATATATCATACAAAATGTTACTTTCGCTGTCTTTCCTATCTGTTAGCTTTCGTGCGTACTAAATTATTATTTAGAATGATTCCAAAACTTGAGCATAATTGGATGTTTCACACTTGTTCAGAACTTGTCTTTCGTACACACTTTTATATAAATAGATGTGTTGATGTATGTTATATACTATTCATTTCCACATTAAGACTTGGAAAATATTCTCCCTCTCATTTTTACTCACCGATCTCTACCTCTCTCACTAACAAATCCGCCATGCCGGCCCAAGTGATCCCTGAGCAGACCTTTCAGTCTCTCCACGACACCATGATGGAGGAGACAAATGCAACTTTATTCCATAAAAGGTACAAATCTACACAACTACATTGTTTTGTCTCTTCTTGACTTCAGCTGATAATGTATCTTCTGTATATAGGTTGGAAGGCAAAGTAGCCATTATTACCGGAGGTGCACACGGAATCGGCAAAGCAACAGTCATGCTTTTTGCTAGACACGGTGCCACAGTGGTGATCGCTGACGTGGACGACACGGCGGGCACGTCCCTGGCTAAATCTCTCTCATCATTCCAGGTCACGTTCATAAGGTGCGATGTCTCGGTGGAAGCTGACGTGGAAAACCTCGTGAACGTGACTGTTTCGCGGTACGGTCGGCTCGACGTGCTGTTCAACAACGCGGGAGTTCTCGGCGATCAGAAGAAACACAAAAGCATTCTAGACTTCGACGCGGACGAGTTCGACCGAGTGATGCGAGTGAACGTGCGAGGCGCAGGGCTCGGGATGAAACACGCGGCACGTGCGATGATCAAGAGAGGGTTTAAAGGATGCATCATCTCGACGGCGAGTGTGGCCGGCGTTATGGGTGGGATGGGCCCACACGCTTACACGGCGTCGAAGCATGCGATCGTTGGACTGACCAAGAACGCAGCGTGTGAGCTTGGGAAATATGGGATTAGAGTTAACTGCATATCTCCGTTCGGAGTTGCCACGTCGATGCTTGTGAATGCGTGGCGGAATACAAGTGGTGGTGACGTGGATGATGGTGATGACGTGGAGGAGATGGAGGAGTTTGTGAGGGGTTTGGCTAATTTGAAAGGAGAGACGTTGAGAGCGACGGATATAGCTGAAGCTGCGTTGTATTTGGCAAGTGATGAGTCGAAGTATGTTAACGGACATAACCTTGTCGTTGACGGTGGTGTGACCACTGCGAGAAACTGTGTCGGTTTGTGATGATATGTGTTTTTGTTTTCTTCTTCTCTAATTGATCTGTTTATTAACTGGATTTTGGTAAATCTTTTTTTTAGTTTTTGATTGTTGTTGTTGGAATTGCTTTGAGATTTTAATTGGAGATGTCAACGGGACAATAAAAACTAAAGCTTATTTGCATACTAATCGATCGATGAGTCGATGACATTATTCTGGAAGATTTCGTTTTATTTAACTAATACTAGTTGAGTTACTTATATAATTAGTTACAGCTGTTTAGTGTATGGAGATGCTTAATTAACTGGCTGTAATACATCGTCGAGACTCGAGAAAGCTTATTGCTGTCCTTTTCAAATAATGACAATTTAAGACTATGTCGTTGTCACTTGCCAAATACTAAATTGACTTGTATGTATTACTAAATTGACTTGAGAAGTTTTTGAGCCATAAGATAACAGTTGGTTGAAAAAACATTGTTCTTCCTTTGTGTGACCTTTCTTTGTACCTTTAGTACAATAGACTCTTCAGTCTTCACAGACATGAAACATATTTAAGTAAAAAAAAAAGCACCGAGTTAGTTTATAATTTTACGTATATTAATGTTTATTAATTACTCTTCGTTTGAAAAGAAGACAAAAAAACGACCGATGCAAATCTTTTCTTTAGGAACAATTCTCTGGAAATAAAATAGTACTACTACTAATTAGAAGGATGGAATCCGAATCTCATTGGAACTAACTGAGCAGAATTTATTCCTGTTTTGTCATATTGAGGTTCACCAATAACGAATGTATATTTTATTTTACGAAAAGTCTTGAATGAAAATGGCAAATGGCTCTTCGAAGCTAAGGTTCGATCTTTACCCATATATTTTAATGAATGCAAGGGTGTATTGGGCTGTATGTAACACGTATGAGATCAACTAAAATATTAATTATCAAATGCGATTATGGTGTTATATAATTGTGAATCATTAACTCGATTGAAAAAAAGCTAAGAAAATCACGAAGTAAAGAGAGGTTCCCACTTCCCATGAATGGTCAAACCCATAGCTATACACTAATTTCCTTATTAAAATGTTTAAAAAGAACCGAGGAGGAAATTTTAGGAGTATAAAATTGAGTAGCCACCATTTCTTGAAACCGACGATTCGCTTTCTTCCATAGCTACATTTGACTATAGGTTTCTATTTTTCACCTTTTCTAAAAAAGTTATGAAAAAGAATTATGCGGGAACAAAAAATGAAGTAATGTTCCATAGTAATGCTTTTGAGCTTTTGCGAGATAAATTACTGAACAAATAAAAGACTTGTACGAATTGATTTTCCTAGTAGATAACAAGTGTTCGATCGTAGAAACCTCCCAAGTGCTAACCAAAAGAGTTGAGATCATGTTAGACAAAAACTGTTGTAAAGAACTCAAAGTCAGAAAATCGGATTTAAACGAATCAGAAAATCACAGTTGTTTTATTTTTCACTTTTCAAAAAGTTATTTTTCTCCAATGATTTTGAAAACCATAAGAAAAAAAGGGTGTGTTATGAAAAAGAATTATGTGGTTATAAACATAGTGTTTAACCATAAGAGTAGTTGTAAATTTTTATTTGTGTTTCTTTAATGTAATGTGAGTTAAATCATGGTTCAATTTTGAACTATGAAAGTATGAATACAAAGAAAAATATACAAGTAGAATTTGTCAAAAAAGATGTATGAGATAATGTTATCATACCTTGCTTTGATTGATGTTCTTCCATAAATATGGATAATCAACGTGTTAGCTGTACAAAAGTTGTTCAAAACATATTCTTATGGTGTTAAACATATATCTAAATTGTGTGTTACCAGTGGAAAGTCTAGCCACTTTACCTGGGTACCTAATATTTGACGACTACCTACTTGGATCAGGGGACTTGGACCACACCACCTCCGATGACAACAATGGGTCGTCGTCTCTTGTGTGGATTCTTCAAGACCACATGGTTCTACTCTGCGGCAACAGCTATTGTTGAGGTCGCAACTGTGTTCATTACCCCCTATGTTTATCAGCATTTGCCTACTGCTGCTCAACTAGCACTTGTTCAAGAGCTAGTGTTGATTGAAGTTCAGATATACCAAAACATTCGTGGAGCCAATGGAAACAGAGCTTAGAAGAAGAGAGGTAATGTCTCTGTTTTCTTCTTTTCTTTTGTGAACAAGCTTTAACAGATATCATACTTAGCTCAGGATAGACACCTTTAGAAGAACAAGCGTTTTGTATGTTTTGTTGCTTTATTATATGGATCACAACATGACAAGCAAGCCCAGCTTTGAAGTCTGAGTTTGTTGTGTCTCTTGATGTAGAAGAGGAGGTACTAACTCTGTGTCTTCTTTTCGCTCTTTGGAATTAGATTGCAAAGGTTGATTTTTTTTGGCTTAGCTTGCTATAGATTATTGTCATGTTGTGTTTTGTAGAGGCTATTTCTTTGGAATTTTTCTTTGAGATACAACAAAAGAAACAAGTATTTTGGCGAATATTTATTTGTATATGGATCATTGCAGAACAATGAAGTTGGAGCTGATTAGCTAAGGGTGAATCACATTTGACAGAGCTACCTGTCTACTTACCACACACTCCTCCACATTATCGAATGGGAACGACATCAAATTTGTTATTCACTTGGCCTTGTTGAATTTTCGTTAATGGGACGGCAAAAAAGCCCATTATATACAGATTCGCTAATAAGTAATAATACTCTCTTGTTTGTGAATAACACAGTGACTGGCACAATATGCAAGTTCTTGCTCACATGATCTTGAATCAGTAATTGGCACGGACAATCGCCGCCAGGCATCATCAATTTCACGTGGTACTAGTTCAATCCCCATATCTTACCTTGTCAATATGATGAATCATGTTCACCGACAATATAAACTTTAGCACTAGAAAGTTGTCAAAATTTCACAGAAATTCCGAATGAATTGATTCTTCAAGTTTGGGTGCCTATTTAGCTGTTAAAGATTCAAATTTTCCTTCTGGAAGAAAAGGATAATTTATATTGTTCTCAAAATGTAGCTAGTATGAGCACTGGACTTCAAATATCTGACTGCATGGAATCAGAAGCGGGTACGCGGAAGCGGAAGCGTTTGGAAGCGCAGAAGCGATATTTTTAAAAAAATTAGGAAGCGGGTACGTGTTGGAAGCGTCTATATATATACATATATATGTGTATATAGCATAAATTAAATATATCAATTTTATATAATTCAATTAATAATAATTAAAATAATTCAAATCAAAAACCAATTTTAGTTTCTTATTTCGTTATTCTCTAATTCCATGTAAAATAATCTTATATCTATGTTATTAAAGAAAGATCACTAAATTGAAATCGCATTTTTCTAATCAAAAGAATTATTCTCATTTTATTTTTAATAATTTTTCTAAATAATTTTTTTATAGATAATAGATTAAAATTAGTCTTTAATTTGTGAATGCAAAATTAAATACATGGTATAATTAATTTTTCATTTTTATAAAAACTTATAAAATCATAACATATAAAAGTATTCATAATTATTTAAGATATTATATTTTTATACGGAAGCGTAAGCTTCCGAAACGGAATTGCAAGCTTCCAAAACGTTTTTAAAGAGGTTTTTTAGGAAGCGTCATGGAAGCGAGCTTCCGAAAGCTTCCGAGAGCTTCCGATTCCGATTCCGATTCCGAAGCGGGAAGCGGTCATCGGACGAAGCTTCCGTGCTACGTAGATATCTGATGACATTCAAACATGGTACAAAGCAGTAAACAAGCTTACACTTGCAGACAAGCATATTCAATCTATTAAGCCCAAACATTAAAAATGTCATACAATACAATCATTGTGTTTATACATATCCCCTCGCATTTTCTTAGATATCAGATTCAACACGAACGTTGAGCAAACAAACAAACCTCAAGCAAAGAAAATCCTCAACACAACCCCAAAAAACGTAGTAATAATTAGACGACTGTGGTAGATTTCCGGACAGTGTAACGATAAGCAGCGACTTTCTTCTTGCGAGACAAAGTGTTGTCAACAGAGAGAATGAGTTTCCCAGCTTCTCCTGTCGTGAATGAGTTGCAAACAGCTTCATCTGTAGCTTTCATCTTCCTCGGTTTCTCCACCACAATCGCGTAACTGTCTTCAGCGTTTGGCACAAACTCTGCAGTGTACTCTAAGTCCCATCCTCCAACTACTATATCCCACGTTATCGTTGCTCCACCCTGTGACGTTATACAATCATTGTTATACTCACTTAGTATCTAAAACAAATGTAACATGCTTGTTAATATATTTTTTTACCTCAATGCCTTCGATCTGAATGTTAACTTTCTCACCGCCCTTGATGGAGAACTCAGACGCAGGTTTTGGCGGTCCGTTTTGCGAATCAGTAGGACGGCTAAGACCGCCGTATTGCACCGGAATATCTTCCGGCCTTATGTACCTGAAACATCAACAGGCAATGTTATGCACATTTCAACAACAAGAAGTATAATTTAGCAAACAAGAAAACAGAATGTAAAAAGAGTGTTTTAGTTATTATTACTTGTAGAGTGTTTCAGCTGCATTTCCTTCTTTGGACATAACAAACTTGCTCTTTGTTCTGTGTGTCAAGAAAGGGCTGAACATTGAGTAGATGACACTGAAGTACCAAGGCACATTGATGAATATCTGTAAATAATTGAACAAAAAAAAAAAGATTCATTAAAACTTTAGATGTTCTGTTACTGTTGTACCTTTTAGATATTAAATGATTAACATTGGTCTATGTCTCAATGTCTTTGTCAAATATTTAAATAGTGAATCGAGGAAGGGAGAGTGATTTATTGTAAAATTCAGAGTACGGCAAAACAAAGTTAAGGCTTCAGTTTCACATTGTAGCAGTAGCAGACAAAAGCTATGAGGTAACATTACGGAAAGTAAAACAAAAATGGAATCTAGAATGGACAATACAGAGAATAATGCCAACACAGAAACATCTAAAACCATTCATACTTCTTCTTCTGTACCATTTTTTGAAATTTTGAACGGTACTAAAAAGAACACACACACAAAAATAAAACCAACAAATTATCAAAGATTTAGAGCAAAAATCATGTTTAAAAGAAAAATAAATAAAATAAGGAACATATCTTTCTTAAATGAGATTTAAGACATTTTCAGATTCGTTTTCTGTTAAATGCAAAGAGTGTAAGCAAGTAACCGAACACGCAAAACAGAGCAAAAGCACATGAAGAAACCGCAACATTTTCAGACAAAAGTACAGAAACATAATTTTCTGAAATTCAAGTTTATGACTCCAAAAGAAACACAAATCCAAAGAAAAGATCAAGAAATGGTACCTTAGTAGCAACCATCTCAGGGTAATTATCTTGGAACAGAGAGAGGATCTGGTTTGAAGCAACTCTAAGCTCTCGCTTAGGCATATCCTTAAGATCCGTAACTTGAATAATGGAGTTAACACCACCAGGTTTGAAATGAAGCATCTTGACACCTCTCTCAAGAACCTGAACTCTCCATCTAAGAAACTTGTTGAGTTTCTCTTCGTCGCCAAACACTCTCTCGTACATGTCTCTCTCTTTAAACACACCGTACGCATTGTAACACACAGGGTGTCCTTCTTTGTCGTATCCTCTCATGTAAGCGACCGTACCTTCCAAATCCTTGAAACCCAGATCTTCTTCCGTCAGTTTCTCTGCCTTGAACTCTTCTCTCCACTCCAAACACTTCTCAAGCATCCTCAGCGAGTCGCTCACTTTGAAGTCTCTGGCTCTGAGGAACTTGAGGAGGATGACGTCGGCTTTGTCGTCTCCACCGAGGAGTTGGACTCCCCACATTGAAGAGGCACCGAAGGATGAAGCTGCGAGTTTGGTTTTAAGCTCCTGGAGAGATTTCTGCTCGGAGGGTTTGAGTTCGGAGACGAAGTAAGTGTCTTCTTTGAAACGATTTGAACGGAGGGTGATGAGTGAGGTTATGAAGCTCTTCTTTGGCTCTGCGATTGGGGTCTTTTGGTGATCGAATGGAGTTGGAGACAATGAAGAAGAGTCCATTGTTTCTAGACTAGAGAGAGTAAGAGTTTTTTTTTTCTTTTTTCTGTTCTTGATCTTGTGAAATCTTGATGGAAGAAATTTTTTAAAAAAGAAAAAAACAGAGGAGGATCGATGTAATAATAAGGAAGGAAGCAGAGAGGGGAAGAGTGAGAGTGACGGGAGAGAGAGAGAAAGAGATAGGCGTGACTCTGATTTTCTGAATTTTTGAACAGATAACGCGGCTTTTTACAAATATATATAAACAAATAACAAATCTGATAAAGCAATTTTACTGAATTCCAATTCCAATTCCAACACCTTTTTGTTTTATTTTTATTTTATTTTAAAAAATTGTAGCTCATGCATATGTGTATAATTATTATTATTATCAGTATATGTGTGAAATGTTTGAAATTTGAAAACGTAAACTAGAAAAGTATATATGAGGAAACATGTTTAGTTAAATATGAAATGAGAAATGGAAAAAGATCTTTTTTAGGGCGAATCGGAGAGAGACAAAGAATCACAAGAAAGAGAAAAACAGAGAGAAGTGGGGAAGTGGAGCGTGAGAGTCACGTGGTTCTGAGGAGGAGCGTGAGAGGGGTAACGTGTGGAAGAGGTGATAATTATGAGAAGAAGGGATGGGGGCGTGTTGTGTTTGCTTGTGTCCATCTCTCTACCCAATGGGTCCCACCGTTCCTCTCTTTTTTTTTTTTCTTTTTTGTTTCGCTCACCGAAAACTTCACAAGTCGCTTCTACGTTCAAACACACCTTATATGGTCTGGCCTTATCTCATCTACTGTTCTCTGAAACTTCTCTAGGGTTGAATTATATTTCTATGTACGCTTGTAGCCGGTCATTTCAAATGCTAGTGTTTCATATGGTTTTGTCCGTTTTCTAGCCAATTATGGAGAGATTGCAGTCAATAGTAGAAATATATATATGCTGAGTTCATCTACTAAATTGTTGCACATTCATCCATATGTCTAAAGACGTTCTTCTTTATACATGAGACATGCCACATGCAAAAAAATTATAGTTAGACCGTGTTTGAACCATGTAAAAGTAGATTAAAAATCACTTATGTTGGAAATATGAGTACCAGTTACCAACAAAGATTACCAGTGGACTCAATATATCGACTATCGAGAACCGTATGGTGTTGACGGTTGACCACTCTATACAAACCAAGGCCTCACAAATTCACAATTGTAGTCATAGACTCATAGATATTGAGAGAATACAAGACACCCGTGGTTAATAGGCTTACTATTGGTAATCGCGAGTTTAAACCTTAATAACTTCGTTAACTAATTTTGTTCTCCCCTCTAGATTCTAAAAAGCGAAAGGAGTTAACGCTCAGCACTTTATTTCAAGTTTCAACATAATCAGAGGGAACGATTATGAGAATATTTGGGGATCTGATCAATTAGCATTTAAAATTACATTAGTTTAGACAAAAACAATCATCTTTCCACACCCATGCGATTCAACTTTATTATACTTTCCAGTTCATTCCCAAAACCTACAATTTAAACATTTAATTAACATCACTCACAATTACTAAACGAATAACCATGTGTATTGGCAATGCTAGTTACGTTGGACCACATCTCTAACTTAAAATTACAATAATGGTTTCGTTAGATAAGTCCATCATTATTTCCTATCTTGTTAGTGAGTATTCTTTTCACTTTTAACATGTTTATGATCAAACAAAAACACACCAAGCTATGCCCACTTTCGCCTTTTTTAGAAATTGAATATGAACACTACAAAGATCTTTAGACAATTTTTTCTTCTTGAAAGTCTGGTTTATATATAAATCAAACCAGTTTTACAAAATAATATTTAAAAGTAAATTTTCAAATGGCAACACTTCACATTTTTTCTATAACCTTTATCATTTTCTTATATTTTTTAAGAGATTTTACAATTTCCCATCTTTTATATACATATTTTTTTCTCTCTCTCTGAGAGTTTAATTATATAAATGTTTATTTCTGAATTTTAAACATTTTATCTAATTCTAAATATCCCAATCCAAAAAAGAAAAACGAGTACTTGAGCTCTTTACAAAATTTGTAAAACTACAAAATAAAGAAAATGTTTTGGCGTTTATTGATAACATGGTGGACCTTCAATGTGCTAATTCTCGTGGACATAATTGCTTTAACAATGTTTGAAACCTTTGGCTTTGGAGTTTACTTTTGACTTAGTGCGACAGTGGAACAGTAATTGATTAAGTACCCTTTAATCATATGGGGATGCCTTAAAGACAGCCTCTGTCCTAGTGTCCTTGTTTCGGCAATTTACCCCTTTTCTTATTCTCTTTTGACTTATTCTATCCATTTGTTTTCTTTTTCTTCCTCCTCGCTAATGACTTATTTTGGCTCTAAATGGTAATTTGTTTTTAGCTGAACTGGAAGAATTAATGGCTGAATTTGTGGAAACTATTTTGATGAGAAGTTGTGATTTAGTGATGGGATTTGTGGAATTCCACAATATACAACAAAAGCAACAATTTTTTTTTTGTTCTTTTATAAAAGTTACTTCTTCATTTGTTTCCATTTTTTTTAACTTCTTTGACAAATAAAATATAATTACTGCTATCAATTTATTTGCCCATGTTTTTGAGTTGGTGTTCTTCTTCTTTTTCAAAAATCCTTCTCCTACTGCCACCACCACACCTCGCTTACTCTTTTCTCTTTATTGACTTCGATCACCACATCAATCTTCTGATTCTCTTGCCTGCATCACCCCTACTCCACCACCTCTAGCCGGAAAACTCTTTGGAAAGCTAAGAAATTGAATAAAGAAGGTAAGTGCGTATAACGTAATGTGGAAGTTTATGATACTCGTGTTGCAATTTAATCGCTTTGGAAAACTAAAAAGTTGAAGTGTATAGAATCTCATGATTCATGGGTTCTTTATAAATGCGCATGGTTGAGAAATTCGGTTGAGAACCGAAGTTCGTGAAACAAAAACACGTGACACATTGAACTTACGTCCAATGATATTAAAACGTAAGAATTGAGTAACAGATTAACAAAGATGCGTTCGGTTTGTTACCAATGTCTTATGGTCTAAACAAAGATATAAAGTTTGTAAACCTTGAGGTTTATCAAGTGTAAACATTTAAGCATCGGGTTTGGTCATTTGGGTTTAGCTAACTAAATGAACAAGTATGGATCAGATGTCCATGGCCCATGGTTAAAGATGTTTTTTGGTTTGGCCACCTTTACGATAGATATAGTATTTTAATAGTGGAACTCGATCCCTAACCTTGACTTACCATACAAGTCCTCTACACATTCGAAGAGACCACTAGACCACATACTCCTAGATTATACTAATTAAGTACTATATGAGCAATATTCGTTTAGCCATTGTACACTTGTTTATCGAGTATTGCAATGATCCGGATTCACTAAGCAAATGGTATGATCATGACTTTATAAAACTACAAATAATACTAATACTTTATAAAATATGTAATTGTAACATAAAACTAATACTCCCTCTGTTTCATAATATAAAAGATTTTGGAATTTTTTTTTGTTTCATTATATAAAAGACTAGACAAAATTAAATGTGTTTTTGTTACTTTTGATTATTTATATTATTCAGATTATCTTGTTATTGGTTGAAATGTTTTGAAATTGATAAAAGTATAAAAATTAAATTTCTTCTTAATCTCTGTGCAAAGACCTTAAACCCTTTATAAAAAAAAACAGAGCGAGTATTCACCAGAGTAGTTCACGTCCTCTATCAACATCACATGTGTTGCTTGTCACACAACGCAAGCCTTGTATCGTTTGATTACGAACATCTCATATGAAAAATATCTACCAAAATCATCGTCACTACACTGTCATCAACTGTACTTATTCATGACCATAAATATTTGTCTTATTCGGTTTGTCCACACTAAAAACATTGTCTTATTCTGTTATATAGTGACGTATCCAGTTTTACCATATTTCATCAAACTTTCTATTGCATATTTTTCACATTCATTCCAATCTCAATTATCTTCAGCTCTTTTTCATTTTCATTTTATATTTGTATTTATAGAAATTGCGAATTTGCCCATTGCTCCATAATATTTTGGACTATTGTTGCTAAACAAAACAAAACAAAAACAAACCATTATGCCCACTTTTTCAATCGATATTTTTATCATCAAGGAGAGTAAAACAGTTTAATTAGCACCCATGAACATGAGCGAAATCTGAACATAAAAACCCACCATTTCAATTTGAGCAAAGTACAAAGGAAAGCTAAAGTTCTAGTACATCACCAAAGAACACTCGTCTCCACTAGACGTCGATTATAATACACCCTTTTTGTTTCCGACACACCCACATTATCGTTTTGTCAATGTAATACATCTGAATATTCACTTTCTGCCGAATTTATAATGTACTTAAACTATATTGTGAATCGACCAAACTTAACATGATTTCCTCAAATTGTGTTTTGGTGCATCGTAACATATTCTATGACACCAACTATAGATGAATTAATGTTGATAACCCCAATTAGTATTTTATAACACTTCGTCTAATGGTAAGATGATATAACGCTTCACATATGAAAAATATGCTGTTTAAGTATGAAATGTTTTACTATATGATTTTTGTTTTTGTTTGTAGTCTGTACAAGTCTTACGCATCACTCTCACAGTGGACCGTTATGGCTCTACCATGGTAAATTGTCGAAAGCCATATGTCCATGACTTAAGTACCTCAATTGAAAAGTAGCTTTCGATACAGGCTTGTCGTAGCAAACCGTGAAATAAACATGTGTAATCGTAACAATAAATTGTAACCAATAACCAACCATACCTAACGATTTTCATAACTTATAAGTGTTATAATGGTACCACTGATTTTATAATAGCGGACCAGTTCTGGTCCCCCGGCTCACGACAAGCAAGTAAACTACAGTATAAAAGTAATTAAACAAACAAAGTTTTCTATAAACTTTTTTTTTAGCCATTCGTAAAAAATCTCTTTAAACTATGACTTATTTCATAGATGATGTTTTCTTTATATAGTCTGAAGTGATAGTAGAAACCATTTTTGGTCCCTTTTGACATGTCTAAGTGATCGTAGAAACCATAATCGAATATCTGCAGATGAATAACCGGTGGTCCATACATCCTCACCACCACAAGAATGTACTATAAACAAAGATCAAGATCTGAAACGAATCTTTATCTCAAATCTGACTTACTTCTCTATCGTTCAACATTTCTCAAAAGTGTCTCCTTGCGGAGGAGATACTAATGACAAAAATTGCTTCACCATTATAAGTTTGCTCCTTAAAAAACAAATTAAGGACTTAATTTTTTTCTGTGTGGTCCAATTTGGGTATGAAATCAAATATATTAGACGGCGACGTAGCTGCGGTAATTGATTTAGTCGCACGTCAAGTTGTCAAATTTGAAACACAAAGATATTATTTCTAATTTAGTTCACATCAAAACGGATTCTTAAAATAATAATACTACAATCCAATAATTTTCTTAAGACACTTTCATTAATTTGGAGACCATTTATTTAGTTCCCCTATTTATTGGCGCCATGTGAGATCTTCTCTTCTTCCATCTCCAACTCCAACTCCATAAATACTCTTTTGATCTCCTCTGTTTTTTCTTCAGAGTCTTGGAAAGAAGCTTTAAAAGCATCAAGAAAGGGTCGTTAGTGTTCAACGGTGGGGAAAATGCCTTGTCTTTACATTACTACAAACGTCAAGTTGGACGGCGTTAACACCGATCCGTTCTACTCGGAAGTCACCAAAGCCGTCGCTTCCATAGTCGGACGACCTCAGAACGTAAGAGCCTCTCTTTACGTTTAATTTCTCCTTTCCTTCACAAATCTCCTTCAAGTTCTCAGATACATTCAACTTCTCATACTTTATACTAATATATATTGAGTTAGGCAATTATCACTGAATAATATGCATTGTTTACTAGGTTTCGCTTAGTTCTATGTTTATTACTAGTACTGCATATATTAAATAAATGAGATATGAATGTTGCAGTTAGTGATGGTGGTGTTGAAGGGATCAGTAGAGATAGTGTTCGGTGGGAACAAAGATGCAGCTGCGTATGCAGAGATTGTGTCCATGGGAGGCATCACAAAACAAGTTAAGAGACAACTCATTTCAACCGTTGGCTCTATTCTTCAGACTCATTTTTCTATTGATCCCACTCGTTTCATCTTTAAAGTTTTTGATATTACGTCTTTGCCTGTTCCTTCTAAGTTATAGTTTTGTGAGCTTTCTGTTGTTCGTCAAACAAATTGTTTGAAATCATTCGTACGTGTTAACGGATATATATACAGTCGCATATTTCTCTTTGATTTTCTGTGTTTTCTTTATGAGTCTTATCTATTTTTTTAATGTTTGCAAAGCTTATATATACTATTATATCTATCATTCAATAGGATCTTGATTCTTGACCATCTAACTTTAATATTAAAATTGAAACAAAAGATACCGAGAGTTGATCCTAATTAGAGAGACATAGACCAAGTCTTTGGACTTGGTCATAATTTCTTTAAATTACTTGCAATCATTAACAAGAGAATAAGTCTCCTTGCTTAGGAGAACAGACTTTTAAATCTTTGAGTTTCCGGTTGTTAGGAATCTAATGTCCTTATAATTTGTAAAACTGAAAAGAACGACAACAATAGACAAGAGAAACATTTTTCAGAAACAAAATTCTCCAGTCGTACATATTTGTCTTTGCTTATGATTGGGACCAATAACTGGTGTGCACGTTTCTTGATTTGGACCACAACAGAGAGTGGAATCTTCACTGTGTGATCAGAACAAGGGATCCAGAGAAGTACAATATGAGATTTCAAATGCAACGAATTATGATCTTACAAAAATTATAGCATTTGAAGACAAAGTTAACCCGGTTTTTGAAGTCAGTCACGGACGCTCAAGACATGGTCTAATACAACATGAGGAAAACTACATGACGACTGACGAGAGCCACACTAAAACTCTTTTGCGTTACAAGCTACCAGAACAATGACAAAATTACTTTTGTTGATTAAAAAGGTTAAAAAGTTAAACAAAGAAGTCTCAAAAACATCACAACTCTGAAAACAAGGATATTTAAAATCCCAAAAGAGAAAAAAATCTTCATACGTCTTGTAGTAAGATATATCCCCAGAAAAAGACATGTCACTCTTATTTACCTGCGAGTTAAAAGGATGAGCAGTGAGCACCACTTATTTTAAAAATATTATATAGTGATGGGATGTCATAGACACCTACTATATGTATACAATATAATTTCTATATATAAGAATGGTAAGAGCATGTATTCGATAAACAAAGTTAAGCTAACAAAACTTTAAATTAGAAAACATCATAAAAAATCGTGAAAGTCCAGTCGAATTATATGACATGTGAATTATAATTAAAAAATGATCCAAGGAAGATATTTTTGAGATATGTTAATGAGTTTGGATGCCTTCGTGCCATTGATCTCTTAAATTTTGAAAAATCCAGTTTCTGTTATTTAAGTCACTAAACATCTTAACTCGTTTACTGAGTTTGTCGAAATGAATAGTATCCAGATAGATGTATAGAGTAACCTAACTTAGTATCGAAATGACATTTTTTGTTGGCTGTTGATTATTTTGTTACAGTGTGAATGAGTTGCGAATTGTGCCATCTTAAAAATAGTAGAAAAGTGGCGTCGACTAGATGTTGCTTTCGTTGTCTGCTTAACTCTTCTTTCGGGTTAAATATCTCTCTTTATCTGGTTGATTTTAAATTTTTGTTTTATATATATATATGAATATCACATAATACAAACCACATCTTGAAATATTTTCTTAAAGTGGAACTATTCAACTACAGTGCTGTATACAGTATATATTTTTAAGTTATTTCAAAACAGTACTAAAGTGTTGAACTACTACTGTACTGTGGTGTTGCCAAATATTTAGAGAGGAACATACTCTCTTTACTTTCGCCATATTCAGTTTATAGGTTATATTGCACGTGTAGAATTCATTAAGTAAAGAGTACCTTGATTATAATTATGCGTTGAGTGTCCATTGGAGCTGTTTCAAGTAAAGAAACTCAAAACTCTCCATTGAAGACCCGAGAGGACAAAGACACAGACAGATAAGACACAAAGAAAGTGTGCTTATTTGCAAAAGTTGACCTCATTTTTGTTTCAATTTGTGACTACCAAAACGACTCTACATCTTTTTGGTGCTTCTCAACTTCACCCGCGGCCACAAACTGCTTCCCAGTCCCATCCCCTGAGCCCTTCACTTTCCTGCACATTCACAAATTCCACCATATGATTAGGTTGTTGTCGTCTCAGCAAACAACAGAACAAAAGTTTTTTTCGATAGAAAAGAACTTACTTGAGCCAGTGATTTGGAGAAGGATGCTCAAATGGGTTGTCTGGAGAAGATTCAGTTGGACTCCCGTAAGCCGCCACATTGTTCACGACACTTTCTGTTTGTATACTAAAAGAAAAAGGACTCTCTACGCCAGATAATGCAGGGAAGAACATCGTCTGTGACCAAGGATCATGGTTGCTTGGACCAGTCATGGGGCTAAAAAAGCCACTTTGCTGATCATTTTCAAGAGAGTCTTTCCCATGTGAGTGTGAGTAAGCATCCTCTTTTGCAAATAGTGATGATGTTCTATGCTGAGGCACATGATGCATTCCACTTTCCTCGTTAGATCTAGCTGTCTCTGAAGGTATAATCCAGTTTTCGGAGCCACCAACTAAACCGAGACTGTTTTGGCCAAGGGGACTCTTCCACATTTGCCAGCTTCCATCATTAGCCTGTTTTTCATCCGCAGCCCGTGACTTGGACAAGGGAGATTCAATCGGAGATGGTTTGCTGATTTCACAAGTCGGCGACTTCTTCACTGGATGATGTTTTGTCAGTCCTATGCCACTTTCATACCCACCCCTTAAATCAAGTGATTCTGAAACTGGTCCCAGTAGAGATATTGGATCCGGAACATAACATGGATCTTCAAAATGCTCATCTTCAACATGTTGAGGGAAAGCAATCTTTGTTGGAGAGAAACCTACAGTACTGGTAGCGGACCCACTAGAGTACACTGGTATGGTGAAGGGCGATGGGAGACCAAAGCTGATGGGATTGTCAAAAGTTCGTATCGAGGAAACCTGTGAGTTTTGAACAGCTTCTTTTGGCTTTGTACAAGGTCTGCTTATAATACTAGCATTCGAGGAAACAGGAACAGAAGTTGAACAGGCAAACAGTTGGTGCCATGCTTTTCTAGGTTCTCTACTCGGTGTTGGCTCAGAAGCAACCTGAGGAAAGAGCATCAGACATTCAGTTTTTAATTGCCAAAAAAATCAATCGAAACAGATTTTCCTTGAATGTATATCAAGAAGAAATGAACTTTGAAATCACATCTAACAGAAGGCAGATGGATTAAGGACATAATTTTATCTTTAACATAACCATAGACCAAAAAGATATGAGAAATTCTGGAAAGGACACTTACTGGACGATTAGCATTCGTTTCCCTTTCACTAAGAACTGATTTCAAAGCCACAAATTCAGGAGGGTTGATATGAGTAGATTGAGCAGAGGTATGAGAATTATCTGCAGAACCGGTGGGCTTGTTTTCTTTTATAACTGTAGGAGAAGTATTAACGCCTCTTCCAAATAAACGGCTATCAGTGAAAGCCTTAGAAGAAGACAAGAATGTACCCTTCATTCGATCAAAGTATCGACCACCAGATTTTGTACTGTTACTAGTGGCATTATTCTCTAAACATTGTCCATGTCTCCTTTCCATGCTAGGACTCCTAAAATTATCAGGTGCATGCCTCTCATGTTCTAGATGACTATTCTTATCAAGATTTCGCTTCTTCTCTGTTCTCCTGTCATGCTCTTCACCATCAGAATTACTCTTACTTGAGGCTTTATCTCTCTCTTTCCTTCTCTCCTGACGCTTCTTTTCTGCCTCCTTGATGACTTTTTCCTTGGCAGCCAGTGATAATTTGCTGCATTTCTCGGCCTCGGTAATCTCATCTCTCAGCTTTCTACGTTCTTCCACAAGTCTTGCAACTTCTTCTCTTTGTTTTCTCTCTTCCTCCTCTGAAAGCTCCTTCTCCAACCTAGCTTGTCTCTTCTCCTCTGCTTTTCTACGTGATTTTTCTACCCTACTCTCATGATAGCTGTTCCCGTTCTCACCCTGCCTAGCCAGTAACCGTCTCCGCTCAGAGTCAAGTGATGAATCATCAACTGATGAACTAAATCTAAAAATCTTTCTCCATAGCCACCTAATGCTCATGAAAAAAGATAACAGCAACCTGCAAGTGAAAACAACGCCACCAGAATAAGATTTCTCCACCAAACAATTATCTTCTCCATCAAATGCACCACCGCTATTACTCCGCCAATAGCTTGACCCGCTAGTCCACGTGCTGCTATCAGACCACTCTTGCCTATAAAAATATCCGTTCCCATTCAACATTTTTCCACCTCTTCCAACAAGATCCTTCAAAATCCCTGAGCCAGAAATCTCTAATCCGGAAGACAAGGGCATGTCTAAAACAGGACGTTTTGATATATGGCCACAATAAGAGCACATAAACTTTCCACCACCAGGGTTTTGGTCCTTGTAAGGTGTTGAGCAGTTGCGGCAACGCCTTGTTGCATTTCTCTTTAGCTTTTGCATTTCAATAGCTTCTAATCTCTCTCTCTCCCTAAGTCTGGCATTCCTCCGCACACGCCAGGTAGACAGCTGAGGCATCAAAACCTCATACCAGAAGAGAGTAACCAAGAGCACAAACACACAAGCAAGCCTCGGTGAAGTAATTTCGAAACGAAAAGCTGGTGGAAGAAGCTGAGACAGAGCCCATAGTCCAATCAAAGGGATAACAAACCAAGGCAGCATCGTTGCAACCTGGCGAGACCACTTTTGAATAACGCACAGTATACACATTATCCTCCAAAGCCCACTCCTTTTTTCCTAGTTCTCCTTATCCAGAACAAATGAATGAGCAAACCCTAAACTCAGAAAAATTCCAAACCAGGGGATGTGGTCAAAACAGAAAACTCAAGCCCTAATCTTATTTTCAGGTTGTTGTAGACCATCGAAGTAAACAAGTCGCAGCTCCAAGTAACTTTAGTCAAGATGATAGCTTTCGAGAATCAACACAATACCTAACGCAGCAACGACAATGGAACCAATTAGAAGACAACCCACGTCCGCAAATGGAAATTCGATTAGGTCAAAATACGCAATGAGCGAGAATTTTATACGCAGAGTTCGGATTTACTTGCGGTGCAATGTGAATCAATTGAGAGAAGCAAGGAGACTTACAGATAGGGCGGCCATTGAAGCAAAGCATCAGCACACGATATTAGAGCTTCGAAATTGGGGATGAAGATGTGAGACTTCCCGATTCGGATTGTATTCGGGTTGAATCACGTAGACGTGGCTTTTCGTTCGATTCCTGCCAACGAAGAAACGGTAAACGCGAGAGATTGAGAGAAGAGGAAGAAAAACGAAAGAAAGTTTTGAAGGCAAATGCGAGACTAAGGAACGAGCCGGGTGGGTAATCGGGTCAAGTTGGTGTTTCTTAAACGCCCCACCCATTTAGTGTTTGTAAAATTGTAAGGGCAGTCAAATGACATTTTACAAAAATAAAAATAAAAAATGGATATGAAAAACAATTAAAAAAAAAAAAACTATCTCTGAATTTGTTTCTGGTTTTCTGTGATCACAGCCTTAAGATTTGTCATCTTTCTTTATATTATTAATTGAGAAGTACATTCTAATGTTTGGATACAAGAATTAGAGAAACATCTATTTGGATAGAAGAATAAATGGAAACAAAAGTTGTTTGGATATAAGAATAAGAGAAAAATCTATTTGGATAGAAGAATAAATGGAAAAAATTGTTTGGATACAAGAATAATAACTTAAAATAAACCGATGGTTTAGAAAACTTCCGTTTTCCATCTCTTAAAAATCTGCAAAAAAAAAACTTAACATAATCTAACGATAATTCCAAATCAATAGAATATGCTTTTTGGATTTTCGGGTTTTTATAGACAAGTTCGGGTTTGGGTGAAAATCTGAGACATAATTTTATAGAGATATATATAGAGATATAGAAATTGTTCGGGTTTCTTTGAAAATTTCTGTTCGGGTTAGGTTCAATTTTTTTTTCAGTTTAGGGTTTTCCGGATTTTTTAGATTTCTGGTTTTCGGGTTTAGATATATTAAAAAAATTGAGTATTTTAAAATTTTGATTAGGTATTGGGGTCGGGTTCCGGGTGAAAAAGTTTCCAGATTTTTTTTGTTCAGTCAGGGTTTTCGGGATTTTTTTGATTTCGGATTTTCATGTTTAGACCTATTAAAAAAGTTTGGGTTTTTAAATTTTTTGATTAGGGTTTTTTGTCGGGTTCGGATTTAGGGTTTAAATTTTCTACACAAAACAACAACGTCACACCGCACAAACGTGCGGGTACTCTACTAGTCTATATTTGTAGAACGAAAGGTTTATTTCTTGAAATAATTTCAAAAAATATGGAAACACTTTAAAAGTCAAAGATAAGTTGGCAGTTTCATACTATAAGGTGTTTTAGTTGGCCTTGATAGTTCTTTGTTATGCATAGTTTCATGTTGAGGTAAAATAATTTCTTCAATCTTGTTGTCAATTGTCATTAGAAACAAGCTTCCGTTATATACCTAGATTTTGAAACTTTCCCACCAAAAAGAGGAAATAGTATAGCCGATGAACCTGGCGATAGCGGGAGGTGAGCTTGATGGTGCTGAATCTCTTGAGCTTACAAGTTGGCATGCCTTTAGAACAAGCGAATCTCCGCAAGAGTTTCTTCTCTTATCAGAAAATTTGGTTGAGGACTAGCCTTGGCGATTGTCAGTCTTAGCTTCTTTTCTTTTCAAGAGAAGCGTTTCCGAATGGGAAAGCACAATGGTAGTGAAAGATGTGTTCTTGGATCTTTCTTGCTTCTTCATTGGGATGGATAAAGACTATCTAATTTGTCTTCTATTATTTCAAAATACATTTTTCATATTTGAAGTTTCTTTAATTACGAGAATACTCAGTATCACAAAAAGGCGATAGTTTCACTAATTCATGCTCATTCAATCGAACAACTCAGGTGAATTATTACCAAACTCATATTTTGAGCATCGAGATAGATAGGATCACAATTGTATTGGTTACGTTTATAGGTAGATTTTATAAAGTGAAGAGTACCTTCATTATAATTATGCTTTGAGTGTCCACTGGAGCTGTTTTAAGTTAGTAAAAAACTCAAACTCTCCATTGAAGACCCGAGAGGACAAAGACAGAGACAGATAGGACACAGACAAAGTGTGCTTATCCGCAAAAATTGACCTCGTATTTGTTTAACTTTGTGACTACCAAAACGACCCTACATCTTTTTGGTGCTTCTCAACTTCACCCGCCGCCACAAACTGCTTCCCAGTACCATCCCCTGAGCTCTTTACTTTCCTGCACATTCACAAATTCCACCATATCATTCCCCTCTTCACCGCTTTGGTTCAAGTTTAAGATGGTAAAAAAACCCCAGCAAACAACAGAACAATAGGTTTTCTATTGAAAAGAACTTACTTGAGCCAGTGATTCGGAGAAGGATGCTCAAATGGATTGTCTCGAGCAGATTCAGTAGGACTCCGGTAAGCCGCCACATTGTTCACGACACTTTCTGTTTGTATACTAAAAGAAAAAGGACTCTCTATGCCAGACAATGAAGGGAAGAACATCTTCTGTGACCAAGGATCATGGTTGCTTGGACCAGTAGTGGGGCTGAAAAAGCCGCCTTGCTGATCATTTTCAAGAGAGTCTTTCCCGTGTGAGTGTGAGTAAGCATCCTCTTTGGCAAATAGTGATGCTGTTCTATGCTGAGGCACATGATGCATTCCACTTTCCTCGTTAGATCTAGTTGTCTCTGAAGGTATAGTCCAATTTGCTGATCCACCAACTAAACCGAGACTGTTTTGGCCAAGGGGACTCTTCCACATTTGCCAGCTTCCATCATTAGCCTGTTTTTCATCCGCAGCCCGTGACTTGGACAAGGGAGATTCAATCGGAGATGGCTTGTTGATTTCACAAGTAGGTGTATTCTTCTTTGCATTGTGTTTTCCCAGTCCTATGCCAGTCTCATATCCAGCCCTTAAATCAAGTGATTCTGAAACAGGTCCCAGTAGAGATATCGGATCCGGAACATAACAAGGATCTTCAAAATGCTCATCTTCAACGTGTTGAGGGAAAGCAATCTTTGTTGGAGGAGAGAAACCTACAGTACTGGTAGCGGATCCACTAGAGTACACAGGTATGGTGAATGGCGATGGGAGACCAAAACTGATGGGATTGTCAAATGTTCGTATCGAGGAAACTTGACTGGAAACCTCTGAGTTCTGAACAGCTTCCTGGGGCTTTGCACTAGGTCTGCTTATAATACTAACATTCGTGGAAACAGGAACAGAAGTTGAACGGGCAAACAGTTGGTGCCATGCTTTTCTAGGTTCTCTACTCAGTGTTGGGTCAGAAACAACCTGAGGAAAGAGCATCAGATATTCAGTTTTTAACTGCCAAAAACAAATTGAAACAGATTATATTTGAATATATATCAAGGAGAAAATGAACTTTGAAATCACATCACAAAGAAGGCAGATGGATTAAGGAGATAAATTTATCTTTAAACACACTAGTTTACTCATAACCATAGACCAAAAAGATATGACAAATTCTGGAAAGGACACTTACGGGACGATTAGCATGAGCAGATGTATGAGAATTAACTGCAGAACCGATGGGCTTGTTTTCTTTTACAACTGTAGGAGAAGTAGTAACGCCTCTTCCAAATAAACGGCTATCAGTGATAGCCTTAGAAGAAGACAAGAATGTACCCTTCATTCGATCAAAGTATCGACCACCAGATTGTGTACTGTTACTAGTGGCATTATTCTCTATACATTGTCCATGTCTCTTTTCCATGTTGGTCCCCCTAAAATTATCAGGTGCACACCTCTCATTCTTATCAAGATTTCGCTTCTTCTCTGTTCTCTTGTCATGCTCTTCACCATCAGAATTGCTCTTACTTGAGGCTTTTTCTCTCTCTTTCCTTCTTTCCTGACGCTTCTTTTCTGCTTCCTTGATGACTTTCTCCTTGGCAGCCAGTGATAATTTGCTGCATTTCTCGGCCTCGGTAATCTCATCTCTCAGCTTCCTCCGTTCTTCCACTAGTCTTGCAACTTCTTCTCTTTGTTTTCTCTCTTCCTCCTCTGAAAGCTCCTTCTCCATCCTAGCTTGTCTCTTCTCCTCTGCTTTTCTACGTGCTTTTTCTACCCTACTCTCATGATAGCTGTTTCCATTTTCACTCTGCCTAGCCAGTAACCGTCTCCGCTCACGGTCAAGTGATGAATCATCAACTGATGAACTAAATCTAAAAATCTTTCTCCACAGCCAACTAATGCTCATGAAAAATGAAGTCAGCAACCTGCAAGTAAAAACAACGCCACCAGAATAAGATTTCTCCACCAAACAACTTTCATCTCCATCAAATTCACCACTCCTCCAGTAGCTTGACCCGCTACTCCACGCACTGCTCTCAGACCACTCTTGCGTGTGCAAATATCCGCTCTCACTCCATCCCTTCACATTCAACATCTTTCCACCTCTTCCAACAAGATCCTTCAAAATCCCTGAGCCAGAAATCTCTAATCCGGAAGACAGGGGCATGTCTAAAACAGGACGTTTTGATATATGGCCACAATAAGAGCACATAAACTTTCCACCACCAGGGTTTTGGTCCTTGTAAGGTGTTGAGCAGTTGCGACAACGCCTTGTTGCATTTCTCTTTAGCTTTTGCATTTCAATAGCTTCTAATCTCTCTCTCTCCCTAAGTCTGGCATTTCTACGCACACGCCAAGTAGACAGCTGAGGCATCAAAACCTCATACCAGAAGAGAGTAACCAAGAGCACAAACACACAAGCAAGCCTCGGTGAAGTAATTTCGAAACGGAAAGCTGGTGGAAGAAGCTGAGACAGAGCCCATAGTCCAATCAAAGGAATAACAAACCAAGGCAGCATCGTTGCAACCTGGCGAGACCACTTTTGAATAACGCACAATATACACATTATCCTCCAAAGCCCACTCCTTTTTTCCTTCTCCTTACTCAGAACAAATGGATGAGAAAACCCTACACTCAGAAAAATTTCAAACCAGGGGATGTGGTCAAAACTGAAAACCCAAGCACTAATCTTATTCTCAGGTTGTTGTAGACCATCGAAGTAAACAAGTCGCAGCTCCAAGTAACTTTAGTCAAGATGATAGCCTTTCTAGAATCAACACAATACCTAACGGAGCAACGACAATGGAACCAATTAGAAGACAACCCACGTCCGCAAATGGAAATCGATTAGGTCAAAATAGGAAATGAGCGGAACCCTTATACGCAGAGTTCGGATTGATTGCGGTGCAATGTGAAACAAAAGAGGCAAAGCGACTTACCGATATGGAGGCCATTGAAGCAAAGCATCAGCAAAAAAAGCAAGAGCTTCCAAATTGGTGATGAGGATGTTGGAATTCGAATACAGATTCCCGATTCGGATCGTATTTTCGGGTTGAATCACGTAGAAGTTGCTTTTCGTTCGATTCCTGCCAACGAAGATTGAGAAGAAGAAGATATACGAGAGAATTGTTTTGAAGGCAAATGCTGAGACTAAGGAACGAGCCGGGTGGGTAATCGGGTCAAGTTGGAGTCTTTAAAACGCCCCACCCATTCATCCAACAGTTTGTTTAATGAATTGGACAACTAAATCAAGGAACTTAATAAATGACATTTGCAAAAAAAAAACGATATAAAGAAAAAAAAAACAATCTCTGCATTTTGGTTATTTAGGTTTTTCCTCTCAGTAACATATACTGAATAAAAAATGCTACTTTACTTGGCCAATTCATCAAACAACGATATATCCATATGAGGTAGATTTGGGTTGGGATAAACTGAGAAAAATCATTTGATCAATATTAGGTTACTGATGCAGTTGAAGGACTCAACCTAAAGGCTGAGACTGTTGCTACTCTTATCATGTAGCTTGAGTTTCCTCTTGACTCCATGCTGGTTTGAGTTTCCTCTTGACTCCATTCCAACAAACTTGCATTTGGGAAGTTTGGTTGTCATGAACTTGCAGCACAGCAACCTTTATACGATTTTGGAATGATCAAAAGCTAAAAGTATATTAGAAAGGTTTCTTGTGAATTTAGAGAATTTATTCTTTCATTGCCGCTGCTGGTTGATTATTCTTTTATTTTATTTTTTTGCGGCAGCCTCGGTGTTCATTCTTGAAGCATTCTATGTTGGAATCTTGAATGATTTATCAAGTGGTCTTCTCTATAAGACGTACACGAATTAAGTAAATATTATCCAAAACAATAAGGAATATACAAATCCAAAGAGTGGTTCATTGATACATTAGAGTGATTCAAATACATATACAGTAAAAACATTAGTGTGATTGAAAGAACCATAAGAAGATGCAAAAAAGTGAAAGAAAAAGAAAGGAGCCAAGGCCAAAGTTGTCTGAGTCAGTGGAAGTGGTGGAGGCGGCAGGTGGTAAAAGGAGAAGAGAAGGGATCCATGGAGAGATCCAAGAAGAAGTTAAGAGATGGAGAAACAGAAGTATAAGTAAGAGAAGGATTCCTACGAGGAATGTTCCGGTTTGTAAGATTGGTAATACGCAATCATCTAATAGTGAAATGAGGTATGAGCCGTAGAGGATCCAGCCAAAGACTACCACAAGCGCAAGTGGAACTATTGGCGATGGCCCTTTGCTCTCCATTTCTCCTCTCTCCTTTGCTCTCAAGTGGAACTATGAGGTTTTCTGTATTATATATAGCTTAGGGATCTCTACATTTAATCTATTGCTGCATTAATTTACATTTTGCTTTAATATTCTTTAGTGACAAAGTCAAGCTGGTGTTGAACAAAGATGAGGTCAGACTGCGCAGTTTTGATGATGTTTTCTAATATGTGATTTGCTTGGAAGTATGCGGTTAGATAACCTAATTAACGCAAACTTCATTTTAGTATTCTCTTACGTTTTTTTCTCTTTTATTTTCTTATGATGACTATATTTTTTTTAATGGATTCTATCATATTATTGTCTATAGACAATCTAAAGTAGTGTTGATAGTTCTACGAATGAGTGTACCAAACTAGTTTAAGTCACTTTATTGAACTACTTTATCTATATCCTGTTCTTTTGTTCCTACTTTTACATTTTTCGTATGTTAAATTGTTCAACTGCCTCTACGTTTGATACGAGAAGATAAACAACTTCCGTATCAAGATAATAGTAAGTTCTTGCATTTGGAAATCTCGTCTATACGAGTCAGACTTATATAGTTATATATGTAATATTTCATGATTATTTGAGTAATAGCATCAAGATTTTATTGTAAAACTTAGCAAGTTATCAATGTAAGGGTAAATACATGTTCTGAAACACTATGAAAGATCTGAGCTTCACAGCTTTTCAACTAATCAAAGACATGTTCAAAAATTTGATTCTAACTTGTATCTTTACAACAGAGGAAAAAAGAGTTAAAACATTCAGATATGTATATATATATGCAAAAGGACGCTAAATAATTATTTGGTACAAAATCATCAAAGCAAAAATGCTAATTCCAACAATAAAGATCTGTCTTTATCATGAAAGAGCCACAAACGGCGGCTCTCACCCATTTCTCAAGATCGTCTCAAGAAATCAGTGGACCGTTGACGTTGTAGCTCGTCCACGGTCCTGTTGAAGCCACGCCCACTTCGCCTGTTGATCAACTCCATGAGCGATCGGTGCAGCACCTGCGTTCTCGTGCCCACCAGCGATCTCATCTTATGTAGCCTTAACCGTCTCCTGTGTTGCTGGCTTTGATCATCATCATCATCATCAATGGCAGGGGAGTAGTGGTCTGTTGAAGAATTCAACCAACTTTTATGGCTTCTCCTACTGCCACCATCGTTACCTCGGATCATATCGTTACTAAAACCTTCCCTATCGTCTCCAATTGCTGCAGGAGACTCGTGAGAGGAAGGAGCAGAGAAGAAAGGCTGTGTTCTTCCTCCTCCTCCCTCGTCAGTGTCATCATCATCATCGTCATGACCAAAGCTATGGTGCCGGGGAGAAGAAGATTCATGGACTCTCCAGTTAGGGACGAGCAAAGATATCTCATTTTCTATCATTGCTGCTATCTCCAAAGGATCCCAATCATTGATCTCAAGCTCTTTCACCATCTCCAAAGCTACTTCTAGAGGTGTGTCGCTTACAATGCTGAACGGGAAGTGAATGTTCCTCATGTGCCCTGTAACACAACAAAACAAATTCATCACAACATTTCCATTGCAACCCTACGAGATTCAGGTCCTAAGCAGACGCATCAAGAAAGTTCAAGAACGTACCATCCTCATCTGAAATCTGTACTTGAAGAAAGATGGTGTGGTCTTCTGAGTTCATCTTTCCTGTTATCGACATATCTGTCGTTCGAGTTGGATCAGTCGCAGAAGGCAGATGCTCCACCACCGTCCCATTTGCAGCCAAATTCTGAATCGCCAGCTGTGGCGGCAATCTATAAAGAGGCGCTAAATCTCTCTCATCAGTTGTGGCGAGGAACGGGTCTTCCAAGAGCTCCTTCGCAGACAATCTCTTTGAGACAGTTTCCAGGCATTTCCCAACGAAACACTGAGCCTCCGTGTTTTGAATCAGATGGAAAGACTCAGGCAACTTCCCCTGGAACCAAAAACCAGCTCAAATAAAGTTAAGATATCAAAAGATGAAGATAATGATGAATGATTGAGATAAGCCTCAGGTCCTCTCTGCTTACCGATGTAACTTTCTTGTATATCTGCGCAGGGTTGGAGCACTCGCTGTAAGGGTAGTCACCGGTAAGCATCTCAAGGACACACATTCCGAACGAGTAAATGTCCACGAGCTGATTGTAATCTTCTTCGTACAGCTCCGGTGCCATGAACTCAGGCGTTCCTATGACGCTGTGAGCATGTTGTGACTCACGGAGGATCGCGGCTAAGCCGAGGTCACCAATCTTGACTTGCCCGAGGTGGCCATTAACGAATATGTTATCGCATTTGAGGTCTCTGTGAATGACGGGAGGATCGTGCCCGTGTAAGTAAGCAAGACCATTCAAGATCTGGCGTGCCCAGCTCTTGATTGCTCTGATATCAACCTTTTGATACTTCCTTCGATACCTGCACAAGGTTCTCTTTTAAAGTGATTCTACACAAAGCATGAGGTAATAGTGTTGGATTGGCACAAAAGCCTACTCTCTAAGGGTGCCGGATGTGAAGAGCTCAGTGATGAAGTTGAACGTTCTGCGGTTGACGTCGATCCAGGAAGTGCAGTAGCGGATGATTGATTCGTGGTTGAGATTCTTGAGGAGATGGACCTCGGAGTAGAGGCGTTGTAACGGCTCCGGTGATCGGAAGACCTCGTTGAGCTTAACCTGATTCCATGCGACTTCCATTCCTAGAACTTGGTCAAAGGCTTTGTAAACCGTCTTCATTGCTCCTTTGCCAAGTACTTCTCTGAACTGTGGAGTAACAATCAAATGCATGCAAACTCAATAGTTAGAATCAATAACTCAGTTTTACGAGCTTCTTCGAATTTTGGGGATGATCAAAATTCAAAACAGCAAATCGGAAGAGAGAATAGCAACTTACACGGCCGTATCGACCGGAAGGATCAGTCTCGACGTAAGGAGTCGATTCAATGGAAGCTCCGGTTGAAGAAATCTCCATATACATGGCTCCGTACCGGATCTATCAGAATCTCTAATCGGGGGAAATTTTACAAGAGCTTTAAGAAATGAAAATTGGGGGAAATAAGATCGCGATGCAGAGAAATTAGAAAGAGAGGGAAACAAGAGATCGGGAGAGAAGAGAAAGAGAGAGGAGAGAGGAAGCGTGCTAGAAAATCCTAGGTTTTCCTTCGTGATTCTCGTAGGAGAAGACGCGGAAGAGCAACCAAAAGAGCCTGGAATAATCAACGCAGAGCAAAATCCAAGCCATTTCCACAACGACGCCTTGGTGCCGTATTTTGTATTCGTGCTGTTTCGCAATCATCTGTCTTCTTCCCTGACGGACCTTCATTCAAAGAAAGGAGAAGTTTGGTGGGAAAAGGCAAAGTGAGAAAGAGAATATGTGGTTGCCGCCGATCAAAGTGGGGCTAAAAAAGTGGGTATTTCTGGAGAAAATTATTCAAACAAACAACCAAAAGGGAAGACAATTCGAAAGAGAAGAGAGTGGAAATTTCTGAAGATGCAACTGGTTTGACGCAGATCGTGAATCAGTCAAGGAAGTGCATCAGGACGTATGGACGGACATGTAGCGGAGCTTAACGGAGCTAAAGGATGATGCTGAGCTGGATGCGAGCTTGTAGCGGTTAAGGACGAATCCAGAAGAGGCGGTAGCTGAGCTGGATGAGGAGATTTGGAATTATCAAGACAAAAGGAATATTTCCTATTCTTAGAGAAAAATAAGGAAAGGAAATATTCCCTTGGAGATTTGGAGTAATCACCAAGACACAAACCTTGTAGGGTTTGGCGGTTCGTCTATTGAGGATAAATAGAGGACCTTGGCTGCTTGGAAGCGGCTATCACAAATATTGAGAGCTTTAGACTTTGGGTTTAGATCATCTTGTAAGAGAGCTAGGACAAAGGGTTAGGGCTTGAGAGGTTCGAAGATCGTGGATAGATCTGAGAACAGAGTGTTACTAGAGCAATCAAATCGTGGATAGATTGTGGTTGTCAATTCGTTTAAGCAATACTTGTAAGTTACACTTAAAGAATTTCTAGTAATATATTTCTTTGTAGAGAAATCCCTTGTGCCAATTTGTGATCTATCTTCCATATCAATAGCCCTTGGTTTTTCAATTGGTATCAGAGCAGTCACCTTGCGTGTATTGCTATAGCAGGTGAGATCTTGCGGAATGGAGGGCTATCACCCAGAGCTGAAGGTGATACTTGATGATGGAAACTACACGTACTGGAAGGCAAGGACGAGAGCAAATATTCAATGTATTGATGAGGCCGCCTGGTACTTGACTGAGCATGGATGGAAACCACCTACAGTCACATTGAAGGAGTAACTACAGCAGTGCCTCGAGAACGCTGGACTACAGCCCAACGTGATGATTACAAGTTCAATGCTAGAGCACTGGCACAGATCAATGGTAGTTGCTCAAAGAAACAGTTTGAGCTGATTCAGGGCTGTACTACGTCAAAGGAGGCGTGGGATATCCTCCAGATCCACTTTGAAGGGACAAGTCAAGTTCAAAGCTCAAGGAAGGATCTATTGGCAACTAAGTTTGAGAATATGAGGATGGAGGAACATGAGTCAATTGCTGACTTTAGCTCGAAACTTAGCTCACTCGTTCAGGAGTCTCCGTACCCTGGGAAAGGTATACAAGGATGCTAAGTTAGTGAAGAAACTTCTTCGGTGTCTTCCAGACAAATTCACAGCATACAAGGCTGGACTAAGTGCAAACCCTATCTTTGGGACGATCTCCTATGACGAGATGGTGGGAAAACTGCATTACACGAACTGGAACTAGGAGGTGTCAAAAAGGCTAAGGGTATTGCACTCATATCAACGGAGAAACAGTTGGAAGAAGAGCCTGAAGAAGACAGTATCAGTCTCTTGGTACGTCGCTTTGACAGAGTCTGAAGAAGTATGAAACTGGAAAAACTCAGCCTCGTGTCAACAATGGAAGGAAGCCTATGACAAGAACGAGGGGACGAGTAAAACCGAGTCACAGTGTCATGAATGCAAGGGATATGGACACTTCAAGACCGACTGCCCCACTGTCAAGAGGAGAAGCATTACTTGCTACAAGTGCAAAGGAATAGGTCATACACAACAAGAATGTGAGTATGATGAGAAGATGGGGAAGTCGATGATGGGCGTTGCTGATGAAGATTCTGAAGGAGAGTCTGAAGATGAGGAAGAAGTCAGTAACTTTGTCGCATTTGCTGGAATTGCTGAAATAGAAGATACAAAGATCTCTGAATCTGACCAAGAGGATACTCACAGATGATGAATCTGAAGTTGATATCCATGAAAGCTATAAGGAAGTTCGAATGCCTTGGTAGAAGTTGGGAAGGAAAACATTGAGCTCAAGAAGGAGAATACTCGTCTTACTGCACGAGTTGACGAACTTCAGAAAGCACTTCAAGCCGAGAAGGATCTCAACATGGATAATCTTAACATCGTGCTTGAAAAGATGGATGCAGTTAAACGAGCAGACGACATTACCAAGGAGTACTTTCTGGAAAAGGAGAATTCCAGAAATCTACAAGCTGAATTGGATCAACACAGAAAGCAACTCAAGATGCTGACTGGTACTAAGGAACTCGACAAGATTCTGAGCATTGGCCGTGTAGGGAAGTCAAATCTTGGTCTAGGATACACACCAGCAGTGTTACAACTGGAAAGAATGTCAAGTTTGTCTCTGGAGGGTTGGCTCAGGATGTCCATCAAGCAGATACTAAGACACCAGCTCAGAAACTTGATTCCATTCTCAAAACTGGGAATCGAGGGAAGAGCACCATGGGACTGGGATATGATTCTTCTCCAACTCGCAATCCGAAAGGATTTCAGAGTCCAAGAGGAAAACATCAAGGAAAGGAGTGCTATTTCTGTGGGTCCTTAGGACATATCAGGGCTTTCTGCAACAAGTACTGGGCTAGAGTCGACTATGCATGGAAACGAGGACGCTATCATTGGAATCGTCATCTAAACCAGTTCTTCATCAGAAAATCGGATCTATATCAGAATCCTGCCCGACGTACATCAACTGGTGGTTCAAGACAGCGTGTCTACTCCAACATGGCCTTACTTGAAGAAATCGACGAAGCTGACAACACTGGACCATGGTACTTCGATAGTGGATGCTCCAGACACATGACAGGAGTCAAAGAAAATCTTCAGGAAGTGAAGAAGCTAAAAGGAGGGAAGGTCACTTTTGGATGTGGAACCAAAGGGAATGATTCAAGGCAAGGGACGCACCTCTGATGAGCAACCACAGCTTATGAACGTCTATCTCGTTCAAGGTCTGAAGTCAAACCTGATCAGTGTCAGCCAGCTTTGTGATGAAGGTTTAACGGTCTGGTTTAACAAGATAGAGTGCAAAGCCATTGACTCTGACGGAAAGACAGTCCTACGAGGAGTTCGCTCAGGCAACAACTGTTACATGTGGGATCAATCTGCTAAGTGCTTAAGTGTCCGAGATGATGTTGAACTATGGCACAAACGATTGGGTCACATGAATGTTCGACATCTCACCGACTTGGTGAATAAGGAGATTGTTCGTGGTGTTCCGAAGCTGAAGGGAACTGAGAAACTTGTATGTGGTCCTTGCAATCAAGGAAAGCAAATCAAGGTCCAGCACAAGAAGGTGGCAGATGTACAATCCAAGACTGTTTTGGACTAGTACACATGGATGATGGGACCAATGCAAGTGGAGAGCATTGGAGGAAAGCGCTATGTCTTTGTTCTAGTGGATGATTACTCGCGATACACTTGGGTCCGCTTCATTCGTGACAAATCTGACACCATGGCGAGTTTCAAGATTTGGGCTCTTCAAGTTATCACTGAGAAAGGAAGCCTCAAGCGCATACGCAGTGATCATGGGGGAGAATTTCAGAATGAGGTCATGACTAAGTTCTGCAATGAACAAGGCATAGCTCACCAATTTTCGGCACCTAGAACACCACAGATGAATGGAGTAGTGGAGCGAAAGAACAGAACACTTCAAGAGATGGCGCGTGCAATGATCCATGGAGGAAACATTCCTGTGAAGTTTTGGGCTGAAGCAATCAACACCGCATGCTACATCATCAACCGTGTTTACATGAGAAAGGCTTTACTCAAAACTCCTTATGAGTTGTGGAAAGGAAAGACACCTAACTTAAGTTACTTTCGTGTTTTGGATGCAGGTGTTTCATTCTGAATGACAAGGATCAACTTGGAAAGTTCGACTCAAGGAGTGATGAAGGCATATTTCTGGGTTATTCAGGCAATAGCTTCAGCTACAGAGTCTTCAATCTTCGGTCCAAGATGATTATGGAGTCAGTCAATGTTGTTTTTGATGATCGATCAATTGCGGCCATGGGAGACTCTCCAATATTTCATGAACCAGAAGTCAGCGAAGCAGAAACAGAAGCAGAGGAGGTTCGTGAAGAAGAAGAAAAGGTTCATGAGGAAGTCTCTGACACAGCTCCTGATGTAGGTCTCCCACTGACACAAGTTCACAGAAACCATTCCTCGAACGATCTGATTGGAGACATCACTGAGCCACGAAGGACGAGAGGAATCAAGATGAACTATAAGCAGATGGTCAGCATGGCAATTATCCAATTTGAGTGCTTTGTCTCTGCCATAGAGCCACGAAATCATCGTGAAGCACTGGAAGATGCAGATTGGATCATCTCCATGGAAGAGGAACTAGAGGAGTTCGTGAGAAACGATGTATGGGAGTTAGTGCCACTACCTGATGGTGTGAATGTGGTCGGTACAAAGTGGATCTTCAAGAACAAGACAGATGATGCTGGAAGCATTGTACGAAACAAGTCAAGACTTGTTGCGCAAGGTTACTCACAAGTTGAAGGAGTCGACTTTGATGAAACCTTTGCCCCTGTAGCTCGTCTTGAGTCTATCAGACTGTTTCTAGGGATGGCATGCATATTGAACTTCAAGGTGTATCAGATGGATGTGAAGAGTGCTTTCTTGAATGGCATTCTACAAGAGGAAGTATATGTAGCCCAACCGAAGGGTTTGAAGATCCTACACATCCTGAGTATGTGTATAAGCTCAAGAAAGCTCTCTACGGACTGAAACAGGCTCCAAGAGCTTGGTATGAGCACCTGACGAAGTTTCTGATTGACACAGGCTACGTCAGAGGAACTGTGGACAAAACCTTGTTCACACTTGAGAAGAAGAATGAGATGATGATGGTGCAGATCTATGTAGATGATATCATCTTTGGAGGAACTTCAGAGAAGCTGGTGGAAAACTTTGTGAAGAGTATGACTAAGGAGTTCAAGATGAGCATGGTGGGAGAGTTGAAGTACTTTCTTGGACTTCAAGTGAATCAGACTGAGAAAGGAATTTTTATTTCTCAAAGCACCTATGCCAAGAATCTACTGGTGAAGTTTGGTCTTGACAAATGCAAGGAGGCAAGAACACCAATGAGCACCACGACAAAGATTGGAAAGGATGAACAAGGAGAAGACGTTGATGTGAAGCTTACAGAGGAATGATTGGAAGCTTGCTTTACCTTACAGCAAGTCGGCCTGACTTAAGCTTCAGCGTTGGAGTTTGTGCCGCTATCAGGCCAAACCAAAACAGTCCCATCTTCAAGCGGTGAAGAAGATCTTGAGGTATGTCAAGGGAACTGTCAATCTGGGGATCTTTTACTCCAAAGGATCCAACAGAAATCTTGCTGGATATTGTGACGCCGATTGGGCAGGATGCGCAGATGATCGGAAAAGCACAAGTGGAGGTTGTTTCTTCCTTGGGAACAATCTTATTGCTTGGCTTAGCAAGAAGCAGAATTCTGTGTCACTATCTACTGCAGAGGCTGAGTACATTGCATTGGGAAGCTGCTGCACACAGCTTATATGGATGAGACAGATGTCAGCCGATTATGGGATGGAGTCTGGACCCTTCTTGGTCTACTGTGACAACAAAAGCGCCATTGACATATCAAAGAATCCGGTGCAGCACTCAAGGACTAAGCACATTGACATAAGACACCACTTTGTTCGTGAATTGGTGGAAGAAAAACAGGTAGTACTTGAACATGTTGTCACAGATTTACAGCTCGCTGATTTATTCACAAAACCATTGGACTTTAACCGTTTTGTCACCTTAAGAAATTCCATTGGAATTTGCACAAGTGGTTTTGAATGATGCAGGGGCTGATACAGGCACTGGCTCGGGGTGTATAACAAGTTCAGATTTTGTTTGGAGTCAAAGGTGCCAATGAGGATCAGCTACTTTGTCATGCCGTCATGTCACCTCAACATAAGAAAAGTGAAAAGTAAGTGATTCTAAAAGCATGTTCAAGGTCAAAAAGCAGCTGAGCCAACTCCAAATGAATGCAATATGATGGAGATGGCTTGCTGCTTCAAGAACCAAAAAGTGATTCAATGAGCATAACAGGAAATGTGATGAACTGACAACAATAGCTCACAAGGCTAAGTTGGTTCATGTGATTTCTCGAAAGACAATGTTTCACAAGAACAAAGTCTGACGATAGAAATAAGAGCTTAATTGGAAAGGGGATGGATTGACAACAATAGCTCACAAGGCTAAGTTGGTCCATGAGCTTTCTCGAAGGGTAATGTTTCACAAGAACAACATCCAACGACAGAGAATGATCACATGTTCTGCCTTGAACAAAATAAAGAGTTTCACTTTGCACATCATTGGAATTAGAGGTGGTGATATGATCTGGGTATGACAAAGTGAAAGCTGCAGGTTGGAATCAGGATGGCCAAGCGCTATGAATCTGTTGAGAATTTGTAATACATCCTGATGCAAGTGCCGACTCAGTCAATGTCTCCTTCACTAAAATGAAAGGTATTTAATTTGAGATAAACTGAGTAAAAATGTTTTTAAGCTGAAAAGATGTGACACATGGGATGGTATTGCTTGTTTGGATTCTACTTTGAATCGAATTTTATGTGGATGTCACAATTTTATCCTAAGTGTTGTACTGCTGATATTGGTGCTGAATGTTGCAGGAAGTCAAGCAGGAGCTCTGGATTCTAAACCAATTAATCCGGCTGATTTATGTTTTTAATTCCTAATCCGGTTTGGTTTAAGTGGTTTCTCGATGCAGTGAGGTATAAAAGGGAAAAAGAAGAAAAAGGAAAGTAAATCGATCTCGATCGAAAACCCTAGATTTCTCCCAAATCGATTGAAGGAGTCAATCGTTGATTCAATGGTGACCGCGACTAGACGAGGCTTAATCCGTCCAAGTCAAACCGATCCGAGACACATATCGACGGATCCGCCTCTACGCCGGTCCAAATCGACGAACCCGAAGCTCAAACGACGATTCAAGATCCATCACCGCCGATTGTCACGATGATCGACGGAAGCCGTCGACGAGTAGCTGATCCAATGACGGCTATGGTTCTCTTTGAAGGAGAGGTCGAGACCGAGGCCGAGTCTTTCGCTACGGCGGAAGATGAACCGATGGCGGATGAAGAAGCCACGGCGGAGAAACCCGAGGAGCCGGAGATTCCTCGAGATGCGCAAGACGACGGAGCCGATTCCAAACTCCGCCGAAACCCTAGCTCCACCGCCGAATGACGGAGTGACTGAAGCAGCGGTCACTACACAGAGACGAGCTCAACGCCGCCGCAACACAGGATCACGGAGCCCGACGCTTCGATTCCACCGAGAGATCCAACTCCGGTCGTTTCTCCACACGACGAGGTCTCGATGAACTCATTCCCGGCCAACCGTTTCGATCTGAGCAGAAGGAGCCGACGCCTGAACCGCTTCTCCTACATGCCGGAGATCCCGAAATCGGCTTTCGCTCAAACTCGCTATGCCGTTTCCGATGAAGAAAGCGATGATGAGCATCGCTCATTACCCGGAAGAGGAAATTCTCGATCAACCGGACTTCCACCGTCAAAGAAGATGAAGGAGAAGGCACATGCATCGCCTTCCATCTCCAAAGCCAAGCCTCAAAGACTCGATCTACTCCGGTGAAGAAAGCTCCGGCTCGAGCTAGTTCACGAGCTAAAGGCAAGGGAAGCAAACCGAGGCTCCAAACCAAGAAGACCATCTTTGGACAGGTTTGTGATCTTTAGCTCTCGTGGAATCATTGATGAGCGAATTGTGGATCTTAAGCTGAAGCTAAGTGGGGATATCCTGATATTATCATCAAAGGAGGTTTAGGTCTACGGTTGAGGGTTTAGGAAGCTATGTTAGGTCGCAGATTGTTGAGTTCTATGCGCGTTGCCTCAACCAGGAGATGATAGTGTTAGGTGATGATTAGAGATCAGGAGTATGAGTTCTCACCCACGATTGTCAACGAGTTTCTCAACTTGCAGCCTCTAGTGAAGAAGAGAGAAGCGTGAAGCAGATGCAGACTCTGTCAGCTTGCAAGACATTGGCTCAACTGTTCACTGCGAATGAGAAGGCTGTGTGGTCTGAGATCTACTCGATTGGGATGAGTCCGTGTTATGCATCCTTGGTCATTGTAGCGTCTCACAATGGATGCCTTCGACTCATAGCAACCATGTGTCTGAGCCACGAGCTAAGCTTATCTACAAGCTATCCTCAGGAGTCGAGTTGATTTTGGTCAGTTGGTGTATGATCAAGTGATGGGGATGAGCAAAATCCAACACAAAGACTCTCGTTGGTTGATTTTCCAAGGATCATCTATGGATCATTCAGATGCAAGCCCTCTCCCTCTCTTGATGATGATGTCCTCATTCGTCCTCTTCACTATCAAAAGGATAAGCGCTCTGGGAAGGAGTACATCAAAAGAGGAAGATGAAGAAGAAGAAGATGAAGCAAGACGTCTTCTCACTCGATCTACAGCAGCGCCTGCAGCAGCGACTACATCAGAGGCTACATCAGAGGCCTTCGTTCACTGTGGATCTTGGTCTGTCCGCTTCCCAACTCCCAATTCAGCCAGCCGCAGCGATTCAGGCACTCGGCGACATCGTCTACACTCTCCAGACCTTCACGGAGGTTCAGGGCCTTCTCGCCAACCTCCAAGGTAAGTTGAAACTCTGCACAATCTTGTTCCATATGATTTACATCTTGTGTTTTTAACTTGTGTGGTCTCACAAGCAGGGGGAGAACAGGATGAACCAGGGGACGAAAACTAGGACTTATGCTAGAATTGTGGGGGAGCAAAGCTTTTGTTTGTTTTTGCTCTGTTTTAAGTAGTTTTCGGTTCTAGAATTCTGGGGGAGTTGAGAGTTTTTGCTTTGTTTCTAACTCTTTTGTTTTTGGATGTTTAAACTCATAACTCTCATGTTCTGAATGATTTGAATATTTTGAATGTCTAATGATGAAGTATTCAGAACATCCTGTTTTCTGGTTATCTCTGGTATGTGCATTGTGGATTTGAGTTTTACAGGTGCTTGTAAGACACAAAGCTAAAAAGGGGGAGATTGAAGATGCAACTGGTTTGACGCAGATCGTGAATCAGTCAGGAAGTGCATCAGGACGTATGGACGGACATGTAGCGGAGCTAAGCGGAGCTTAACGGAGCTAAAGGATTGATGCTGAGCTGGATGCGAGCTTGTAGCGGTTAAGGACGAATCCAGAAGAGGCGGTAGCTGAGCTGGATGAGGAGATTTGGAATTATCAAGACAAAAGGAATATTTCCTATTCTTAGAGAAAAATAAGGAAAGGAAATATTCCTTGGAGATTTGGAGTAATCACCAAGACACAAACCTTGTAGGGTTTGGCGGTTCGTCTATTGAGGATAAATAGAGGACCTTGGCTGCTTGTAAGCGGCTATCACAAATATTGAGAGCTTTAGACTTTGGGTTTAGATCATCTTGTAAGAGAGCTAGGACAAAGGGTTAGGGCTTGAGAGGTTCGAAGATCGTGGATAGATCTGAGAACAGAGTGTTACTAGAGCAATCAAATCGTGGATAGATTGTGGTTGTCAATTCGTTTAAGCAATACTTGTAAGTTACACTTAAAGAATTTCTAGTAATATATTTCTTTGTAGAGAAATCCCTTGTGCCAATTTGTGATCTTCTTCCATATCAATAAGCCCTTGGTTTTTCAATTTCGCGAGAGCACTTAGACTATTCTGAATTTGAGAAACCTATGGCCACGCTTTGGATTCACCATCGTTAATGATTAGGATTCGAACAACGAGAATCGGATTTGCTTTCAGCTCAACTTTTTCTTTCTTTCTTATTTTGACTTTTTATGGATGATTGTGTTAGTAGAAGTCAAACGAGATTGATTAACGTGAAGTATGTGTCTCTACAAGTTTGAAGCGACGACTGGTTTAAGTGAATTGTTGTATGTAACCGATGATTGCGTTATTTATTTGACACCGTCTATTTTTTTCATTTCTTTATCTATTGTTGACTATTTCCCCTCCCACAATATTTATTTTAATGTAAAGATTATGTTTTTGAAAGTGAATTGCAAAACCAACCAGTGATAGAAGATTAACCAGGTCAGATTAGGTGTCAATGAAAACATGATTTAGAAAAAATATTTAAAGTTGAAAACGTTTTGAAAACATGTATCAATATATACATCAAATACATTCACATGTGTTATTGGTAAATTTTGTATAGCAAATATACAAAGTTTCACAACACTTGATAAATATAATGAGCATAATCATTTTTAATTTATTCATTCACCGAGGAGAAAAAAATGCAACTCAAAAGGCATCAAGTCATGAAGAAAGAATAGTGACTGAAACTAGGAAAAACATCCTATAAAAATACACTCACATGCCTGTCTATGTATAAAATACAAAGCTCTGCAAAGGTTTTGTCCAGAGAGTTTGAGACTTTGATAAAGTTACATAGATAAAATTCTATCGAAGCAGAGATAACAAACAAAACAAAAGAGAGAAAGAAAATACAGCCAAAAACAATCAGCTCCATCTTTTTTGTTCTTTCTTTCTGTCTATGAGGGGAGGGAAGAGATGTAAAAACAAAGAACTTAGGAGCCAAACCAAGTTAGAAAACTATACCTGTTCCTATACCGGTCTAAACATCATGTCTTTGAGATCAGATCAGAGCTACAAAGGAGGGAACTCGTGATCATCCGTCAAATGGTACGACTGCGGCGGAGGCGTTACCCTACACGTACATACACACAATGAATTAGACACAGTGAGTGGCTTTGATGATCAAATGGTAATAATAATTGAATGACATGTCAAGGGTAAAGAGATATACTGTACCGATCTTCCTGAGTGGAGTTGGAGGAGTTGGAGGAGGGTTTAGATTTTGGGCGGTGTGACTGATTACGATGACCTCCACTGCTTGTATCTCTCTGTTTGCTTCCTTCGGAAGGAGGGGAGAGTAGTTCAGATGGTTGAGGCTCGGTAGATGTGACCTCTGGAGCCTTCTCATGAGCATGACTTACGGAGCCATTGGTATCAGAGAAGCTTTCAACTGAATCAGTTCGACTCATATCACAAGAACCATTTGTTTGGTTGGCATGGTGCTGAGGATGATGATTGTGCTGCTGTCGCTCACGGGTGTTTCTGTCCGGGAAATTCATTTCCGAGTGCAGGTGCGGCATGGATCGGCCGTTGTTATGGGGCGACCTAGCTTGGTGTGAGTTTCTTCCTCTTGAGGAGTGCGGTTTTTCCCTGTAGTGGTTCTGCATGAAAGAGATGTTAAGAAACTTGGCCGTTTCGAGGTCACTTATAACAGAGTGTCCTTGAGAGATGTGAGAGAGGTGAATCAGTAAATACCGTATTGGGGAAGTAGGTTCCAGTTCCTCGCGGCTTAGGCAGTTCCTCCATACCAAAACTAGCAGCTGGAATCATCTGAGGGTGAGGGGGAGGATGAGGGTGAGGGTGAGGGTGAGGGTGAGGGTGAGGGTTCATATGAAAGAAAGCCTGTCTGGGAAGAACACCATTGCCGTTTAGTGGAGGAGGAGCATTCCGCCTGAATGGCAGAGCATGCCGAATTACTTCCCATGGGTTGTTGTTCGGAATAGACAGCAGAGGAGGTGGTGGTGGAGACAGAGGACCATTTTGGATATCAAACCACCAGCGCCCATATTGCAAACTGTTAAGCTGACTGTCAAAATCCCCTGTGAGGTCAGACAGCAAATTTGGAGTGCCAGAAACACTATGACCTGAGTTGTGGAGCTGCATGTCCTCCTGCGCCCAAGTAACTGTGTCCATAGTTGAATTGAAGTGTTCTGAACCTGTAAGCGGCAGGTCTTCATGACCAACATGCTCATTCTCATTGCTATGTATGTCTTTCACTCTTCTGGAATCAGCAAGGTAGGAGCTCTCTTTCTGTTTCTCCACCCCGTTCCCATTTAATACTTCTCCATTTCTGACCTGATGAAGAGAAGAATGATGCTTACCATTCGAAAGAATGGTACTCTCCTTATCACCAAGAGACAGAGATTTCATTGCATCATTGGCAATCTCCAGCTTTTGGATTCTCACAGTAGCCAAGTCTTTTGCGTCTCCTGCATATCGTTCCTCTGAAACCGGTGGGGCTTTTCCACCAGGTGATTCGCTTAAATCAAGCCTAGCTGTACTTGATAGATTGGCTCCTGCAAACGACGAGTCTTCCTGGTCATGTCTACCATTCCCAGCAGTACCAGATGAACTGGAAGATTCCGATTCACAAACCACTTGACCTTCATGGATTTGGTTGGCGGTTGAAGCAGGCGATATGGCACTGTACCTTCCCACTGGAACAGCATCAAGGACATCGGGCCTTTGGCCACTCCCATGCCTGTGAAGCATGTTGGAGAAGAACTTGCGAAGCTCAAAACTTATGTCTTCGTCTGACTGCAAAATGATTTGCCCAAGCTTCCGAGCACCATATGTGAACGCACTTCGTATCCGATAGAAGTTACCTGTGTAACAGAAAGTAATATACATAAGCTTCAAAATTTTACCAAAACAGAGAGTCGTTTAGATCATAAATTTCACGGACATTCCAGAGGCGCAAACTAAGTGTAAAGGTTTTGACTCAAGTTTTAAAATTTCTTCAATTGCAGGGCAAAAAGACATGCCAGAATATCACAATCTAAAATTTAGCTACACTACACTACAAAGAACTTCAGAGAAAAAAACAGCATGATATTATAAACGCTAAAACTCTGGACAGGGACAAGTTAGAAGCCACTATCTTAAGCCTGTAAACAATTGGAATCCAAAAGGAGAGAACAACAGCAGAACAAAAAAAACTGTGATTGTTGGATGGAAACAAAAAAAGAAGCCAACCTTTGCTCACGCTGCGACCAAGATTGTTATTTTCTTTGAGCGGATCAACTATGTTAAGATGCTTTGATGGAAACACACGTGGATTTGTCTCAAATCCTCGTGAAGGTACAGCGTACATCACCAAACATTCCTTGAGGAAGTCACTGGTCAGCAGTAGATCTTGCCCGCCATTTTCCGGAGTCTCAGCTACAGAAATTAAAGAAATGAAGAACACTGAATTCACAGAAAGATCTCAGTTTTACATAAATCTGAGAAAATGCTTACCAACAATGTCCGGCAGAGAAGAAAGGCAGACGGGACCACTCAGGCTAATGCAATAGTTATCCCAGTCGAACTTGCTGAAGTAGTCCAAGAACTTGTATAAAACCTGTGGAAAACCAAAAGCTCAGTAATCAAAGATGAGACTAAACAATGGTGTATCTCTAAAAAATGCTGAAGATTCTTACAGCTAGTGGACCATCCAGCGATGAGTGAAAGAGATGGAAGATGTATAAAACCAATGTCTCCAGAGCATAGGTTGAGATCAATCCATGTAGAGCCCCGAGAATACGGCTCTCGTAGTAGCACCAAGCTTTGATGAGAATGATACTTCGCTTGAAGAGATGGTCCTTCCCAATGAGGTGATCAATCTGCGTTAATCAAATAGTCAAATGTTAAATCTGCCAGAAGTAAATCTTTGCCTTCGACAAATGCATCCTTTGAAAACTGAAAACTGAAAACAATATCAATATGACAGATTGGCAAAATTCAACTTACATATATCGAACACAAAATCTATGCTTTAAATTGTATTTGCCTTCAAAAAGGTTTAGTTGAAATTGTTTGACACAGCATGGTCATACATTCATACTGAGGAGGATAGATTACCTTCTCAAGAAAACACAGAGTACAAAGCCCACCGAGCTGGTTGAAAGAGATGTCAACCACAATGTTCTGCACCAGACACTTAACAAGCTTAACCTGTAACAGAGCAGAAAGTTCAGTGCTTGAGGAGATAACAATCAACATGATAGGCAAGCATAAACACCACAAACATACATCACATATCATAAGAGATTGGAGAAACAAACCTCAGCACGAATTAACTGCACATCTTTCACCACAAACTGAGCAGCCCCATTCTGTGCTTCCATCTCAAGTATTTTGCAAACTCTGTTGGCCAGTTCTTCCTCGTGACACATCCCACCAAAAGCTGTGAGATCAATGTCTCCATCAGGAAGATACGTTTTCAACGGCACCGATCCAAAAGAATGCACCTGAAAGACACATACCAGTTCAATAAATAAAAAATCAAAACTTTAAAAAGCACATCAACAGTCAATCAAAGTTATCATCCGCAACATCACAGAATCTCAAGCCACCAAACCAATTCGAGATAGAAAACAACAAACAGAGGAAAGTCATCATTCATCAACTCGAGAACAACAAAAAACAGAACAACATCGTCGATTCAAGCAACCACCAAACATTAAAAACCACGTCTTTTTCAGTTTTTCCAGATATTAATTCAAAGAGAGACGAGAGAAGCCAATGTAGAGCAACAAAACAGAGAATGTTTGAAAAAGAATTTTACCTCGCATCCAACAGTCATTCTGATTAGTCTCTGCATATAATCAATCACATCTCTTCTTCGATCCTCGGAGACAAGTGTTGGATGGACCTGCTCGATAATCTCACGGGTGGCTTCCTCAAGTCTCTTCCAGAACTCCGGCTGGATGGACGGCGAGCGAGGCGGCGGAAGCGGTGCAAATGAGGACGAACTCTCTCCCAATCCAGACCAATCATCGAGATCCGCGGCCATGGAAGAGAAAATCCCTAAAACTGACAACGAAATTCGATTGACACAAGAGCGGCCGATTGATCAAAACGGAAGGGGGAATAAGTTCGTTGTTAACTACGCCCTGAAATCGAAATCAGATTGAGTTCGGCGAACAAGGCGAGTATAACAAAGCAAACAAAGGAATCGAGAGAAGGAGAAGAGAGAGGAGATATCAAAGGCAAAAGGAAGAGAGGAGGAGGTGGTGTGTTTTCTTCTAGGTTTTTGAAGGATCCCAAGTGATTACTGTTGAGGACCGATTTTTGTGTATTGATGTTCTTTCTCCTTTTGATTTGTGTCTTTTTTTTTTTTTTCCACTGCAATCAAATCAAATGAGAAGAGGAAAAATAACGAGGAGAGCAAAAAGAAAAAAATGGTCTAACTTTTTGTCTATGCATCTTCAAACCCCCCTTTATATGTCGCTCTTTTCCTAGACCCTTTTCTTATTCTTAACGATGCAGTTTTTAGAAAGAGAGACCAGCATTAAATTCTGTAAGACATCATTTGAGTTTTGATTACTGATTCGGCAGTTATTCTGACCTCTGATTTTAATGGAGTTGCTTAATTACAAGAGATTTTGTTGAATGTTGTAAAGAAGACTCATGTGTGTTTTTGTTTTGTTTTGAAGATGCTTAAATTGTATTGACGTAACATAGTCGGAATATAGAGTAGTAGTTCATCAATTTGGCGGGTGAATACGTTATAACGAACCGTAAATTATGTTAATTCGTTAAGAAATTTGGCGGGTAGATATATTTTAACCAATCATTAATTATTATACAAAATAGAAGTTAACTAATTTGGTGAGGTAAATACATTCTAACGAACCGTTAATTATATTGACGTGGCATAGTCAGAATATGAAGTAGAAGTTAACTAACTTGGCGGGTAAATAGATTCCAACGAACTTTAAATTATATTGTCATGACATAGTCATTATACAAAATATAAATTAACTAATTTGGTGAAGTAAATACATTCTAACAAACCGTTAATTACATTGACGTGGCATTGTTAGAATATAAAGTGGAAGTTAATCAATTTGGCGGGTAAACACATTCTAACGAACATTAAATTATATTGCCATAACATAATCATGATACAAAATAGAAGTTAGCTAATTTGTCGAAGTAATCGTTAACTATAATGACGTAACATAGTCAGAATATTAAGTAGAAATTAACCAATATGGCGGGTAAATACATCCCAACGAACCTTAATTACATTGACATAACATAATTAAAATACAAAATTAAATTAATAGTTAACTAATTTTGTGGGTAAATACATCACTAACTGTAAATTATATTAACGTTACATAGTCAAAATACAAAATAAAATTCAACCAATTTGGCAAGTAAATTCATTCAACAAATAAAACATTGTTATAATGACCTTTCCTAACTTACAATCTTATGACATTGTTATAGTCTTATAGATACTCATGTTTGTACTAAAAGTTTCAGGTGAGAGTCAAACTTAGGATTGTTGAATCCGAATTTATAAATTTTTGGAAAGTAAGTAATTTTCTCCTGATGTGATTTTGACCTGTGAAGCAAAGAAAATTATGGCTAAGATAGTCATTTTCTTAAATAACACATATTTATAAATAAAAAAATGTGTTAATTATTTGAATGTTTAAAGATTTGAGAAATCGTTCTAAATTTTTTTCTGATATTAAACTTTTTTTGGTAAAAATATTGAATTTACATTTAAGACCTCGTAGTTGGTCGAAAAACTGGACTTGGTTGTAATCTGGCTTAGGATGCAATTCGTGGATCATTTTTGTTATTACAAAAAATATATTTCGAAATAATTACTTCGTCGAGATTTTATATCTAGTTTTATGTCGTTTAGATGCTTTAAGAAATGAGTAGTATGATTTGTTTCTCCCATCGAAATATTTCTTTTCATTTTGGTCAAATCCTTTTTATAGTAGGAAATCTAAAGTAATTTATAGAGACTAGAAATTGACCCGCGCTACGCTGCGGGAAATTGTTATTTCATTTTTTTTTCTTCTTTAAATATTTGTTTCGAAACATAATTTGTATTTGGGTAAATATAATTGCTTATTGGGTTTTCGTCAAATGGACATTTAAATAAACCAAGACGAAATTGTAATGGTTCGTTCACCTTCTCTTCGCTGGTTTTCATCTCATATTACCGTTTCCTTCTCTTTGCTAGTTTTCATCTCATTTTACAGTTTGCTTCTCTTTGCTGGTTTTTATCTCCTACGGATGTTTGTTTGTGTTAGATTTGTTCCTATATTATCAGTTACGCATAATATCAGATTTGTTTTAGGAATACACCTGGTTTTGGGAATACACCTGTTTCTCTGTATTGAAGGTTGTTAAAGAGAAATCTCGTATTAAATTTATGTTTATAAAAAACTTATAAATATAATATAACTTTAATTTTATAAAACTGATTTAACATTGTATAAAACCACTTGACCTTTCTACTCTTTAGAAGTTTACATTTTCATTAACTTTTTGACAACTTGTAAGCTTTTGATAAATATCTTGGATGATCCATTTGAGTTCAAATGCTGTTTCCCTAGCAAAACAAGCAGAAAAAAAAAATGAAAATGTCTAATGAAATGTGTTATTCCTTAACATTCATACCCAGAAAAATAAAAGTCTTATTCCCAGAGGGATAATAATTTTACTCTCGCTTGCAAAAGAGTTCGAGACATACATTCACAATGTTGTTATTTCGTACCTGGAACAATTCTTTACGATTATTTTGATACCCTTCGTTGGTCACACCCTCTTTTTGTGTCAGTCATCACTTTCTTTTGGAAAGCTGTTTCTCTAGACTGAATCTCTATCTGAGTCTTGGCCATCTTCTCCAAAACCCCGACATCTCCATCACTCCTCCGATTATGCAAGTCATCGGGTTAGCAAGAAACCACATTGGTCTATCCTATTTGATTAACGGTGCATCCACTTCGAAGAAACCACCGACCGTAAGCCACCAGATCGGTTCGTCCCTCTGCCACTGCCTTATCACCGTCTTCTTTCGTGTAACCTCCAGCGGAGATGAAAGTCCCCTGAAAGGCGTTCCTACATCGGGATAAGCGTGTGAGGACACTCTATTATCTCTCCCAATGTTTTCATTCTTGCTTCAACCGTGTGACAGTAGAGGATTCCGTATTTGTTCAGAGATTCCGCCATGTGAACAGCTAATGCCTGTGGGTTAGTGTCTTCGGATTCCATGTAGTCAGCGAACGGAGACAGCCTGATTCCAACACGGTTTGGTCCAATCTCGTTGCTCGTTGGCCAGTGCTTCGACTAAATCTAGAGCGAATTTGCAACGTTTTTCCAATGATCCACCGTATTCGTCTGTTTTGTCATTCACCGTGTCCTTCATGAACTGGTCTATTAGATAGCCATGAACACCATGAATCTCTACTCCATCGAAACCTGCAACAACAACAACATTCAAGTAAACATACATTCAAAGCATAACATAATTTTTACAATAAGCAACCAAAATGACCATCATGTTCGTTTGCAAATCTATTTCTTAACAAATAACAATCACATCAATCATTATTACTCATCAATCTAACACATACGTATCTATTTCAACATTTGTTCTCAAGGCATGAACAAATCTATAAGCAACCAAAATCAATACATATTACACATAGGACCATATCACTAAACCCTTTGAATTCCTTCTAATAAGATTGAGGAAAAAAAAAGGTAATAGAATCAGATAGACCTTCTTCTTTTCTTGGCCGTAGCATCATCGTCTCCACCAATCTCACTCTCCACCTTAGCTCAATCTTGATTCTCACTTCCAGAATCAGTTAACGCATCCGACTTCTTCTCAACCAAGGAATCAGCCTTCTCCTTCCTGGAACCATAGGAGCTGGTGAAGACAAACCATTGTAATCTGGTGAAGAAAAATCATTGAAGAGCTCAAATTTACCCGATATCTTAACAAACATATCCAAAACTTCTTTCATGTTTGGTCTTCCTTAAGGATGATCCGCTGTACATTGCACACCGATTTTTTAATAGCTCAGTCATTTCCTCAGCTCCGTTTCCTGGTTTCGTCCCTCAGAGAGTAAACAGCGAACCTTTGGCTGTCATGTTACCTGCCCATTCGACCAAACACTCTTCTCCTTCATCAACTGCTCTTCTACCCGTTGAGAGCTCCATTGTCAATACTCCGTAGCTGTAAACATCTCCTCTTGTGGTGGCTTGCCAAGTTTTTCCATACTCAGGAGCCACATTGTGCCTGCAATCACAGTGCTCACATGACTATCTGTGACATTTAAGAGCGTAGCTAGTCCGAAAGAATGATGAAGGAAACAAAACTCAATAGAAGCACACAATTCATAAAAATTAACACAAATCGTCATGTCAAGAAGGATACCAATGGGACATAAAAAAATCCACTAAGAACGCAGATCAGTCGAAATAACAATTTTCCGGATGAACATACAAATCATCAACAATCAGAAATCAAAAACTATTATGAGCAGATACTAAAAAGGTAAAATTGGGAAAGCTAATCGAGAAACTAACTTCACCGGAGAGAACGGGGCCATGAAAATAGGAGCTCTGACACCGAGCCTCTGATGTCTTTGGGATTCATGTGTGAGAAAGAGATAAACGAACAGCAACGTCAAGCCAAAGTAAAATTACAGCAAAGAGGAATCGAGAAAGAACCATAGAAAAGAGAGTGAATGAGTTTTAGAATTACTACATGATAATCACGAACATACGATAATGAGGAGGACTTGAGCAAGAAAAGAGAGAGGGATCAGAGCAAAAGTCGAAACTTTTATCAACAAAAGACGATGAAGACGAAGCGAGAGGAGAGAGAGATCTCGAAGTAAAAGAAAAAGAAAAAAAAAAAGTCTGACGTGGTTAGTGAATATGCTGACCAGGTATTATTTAGAATGTTTTGATGGACAAACCAACCTTTTAAATGATGTGTCACTTTTTCCCTGCTTGAAAAAGCTGATGTGTCAACTCCTGGAGCAACACAAGGGATGCTAGTGTGTTGATTATCTTGTCCAAATTTGGATTTCGGGCTGTCTAATCGACATTGGTTGGATCTTTAGTAAATGGACTATGACACAAGTTACCACGATTACATCAACGGATCAAGTACTCTGCCACATGAATACACCTAGTTTTGATAAGATCTTCATAATCACGTATAGATATGCACATCGTTTTCTACATTGAGCATATACATAACATATGTTGAATGATTTAATTGTTGACACTTGACAGAGTAAATGCACAGTGCTGGTCAGACGAAACGATAATTTTTAATTTTACCACCCTTGTTAAAAAAATCTGAGTACCTGGTTAAAACTTGAAAAGTAAACATGTAAGTTGGGCCAATGTTTGTGGCCCAATAAGGATTCGAAGAGATTTCTTACAGTTGCTCATCGTCTTTCTGTCTCCGCTTCGATTCTGAGAATTCCCAGGCGTAGAAAATTACCGGCAAATTTTCCGCAGAGAAGCCTCGCCGGAAGAAGCAAGTTATGGCGGGCATGACCGCGGTGGCAGGATCGCGACCGTGGAACGCGTTTCTTCAAGCTCTAGTTCTGATATCACTATCATTTCCCACTCTCTCCACCGCTTACCGAGCCGGAGATATCGTCCGGATGAGCAAGATGGGGCAGTATCATTCTGTTCGTACTCCTCCTCTTTACATATAGCTGAGATTGATTTATAATTTCGATGGAGACTGAAGGATCTGTTAAATTCATTGGCAGTCGCGGACGACTTGGCATGATGTGATCGGAAAGCATTGCCCGATCTTCGCCGTCAATCGCGAGGTACTAGTACTATGTTTAATTGATTGGTGAAGACATTTTTGGAGTATTTTTTCTTCGTATTGTTATGGATATTAGATTGAATCTCGTCTTCCTTTGCTTATGTTTAGGTGTTGATCCCCATAGCGAAACCAATTGGATACACGGGAACCGATCCTTATAAGATGTGAGAATCTATATGGGTTTTGATTTTGATTACATTTTCATCTATTTGGAACTTTGGATTGAGATTGCTGTGTCTATAGTTTATATGCCAAGTTCATCACTGGTGTCACCAGGCTATTAGATAGTATTATCTGGCAATTTCTGTAGTTGCTGCTCAAATGGGAAATGATAGAAATAAGAAAATACAGTGATGATTTGCCGCATTTAGTTTGTTTTTTTGTTAGAGAAGGAGCCATTTTGTATGGTGTTCTTCAGAATTCTGAAAGTTGATTACTATTATTGTACGGCCACATGTATTTCTTGTTTGTATATTAGCTATATGAAAGTGAAAGAGTTATTTGGTTTCTGATGTGTGGTCTCACGGATGATTTTACATGCAGAAAATTCCAAATTGGAAGCGAGAAATTTCTAATTCACTGGCTTTTGGTGATAAACCGTAAGAGCTCAGAAGTTCCGATGATCGATGTAAATCTGGTATGTCTAGCATTGGCTCTGAATCATTTCAAAATGTCTACCCTGGAGAACTGGCAGCTTTGTATGATACTAGTTTCTTTATCTTTCGTTTTCACAGAGGTATTCTGGAGGAGATCTGCTTGGAGTCACAGCTCAAGTTACTGATATGCCTCACAGCTGTACGTAATACTCCATAGCTAGTCATATCTTTTACTGATTTAGGTGTCTCCTCTTTATTACTGTCTGTTTTCTGAGCATAAGCGATTTTCCTAAGAACCACTTATGTGGCCTATATCAGGTCTTATACAGTCGTAATGTTTTAGTAGTTTTACCAAACTTAGAAAAAGCAGCAGCAGGAGAAGAAAATATTATTTTGAAATTAATGTAATTACCCCCGTTCACACTCTATTGCATACTAAATTTTCTAACGATAACTTTCTTTACGAATTTCCCTATACATATTGTGACTGATAAAAAATGTTGAAACTAGTATATTTTTTATCAATATTATTACTTTATGATAGATAACGATAAAATATCTCTATCAAAGTGACAATCATAGTATAAATCTTCAAAAAGTAACATTTTGTACATTTCCCAAACAAGAAGAAACAGCCAATATTGTCGTTTGTGAAAGCAAAAGAAGACTGGATTAGGAATCGGAGGAAAAAAGACTTTTGGTTTCAAATCTGTGAACGTGAGTAAAATGGACAAGTTGATAGAAAATATGTCAAATGAGATTTGTATCTTAACCATTTGACAAAATGTGTCTCGAACGCGTGTTTCGACTTTGTCAGACCTAGAGAAATGACAACCCTTGCAAGTTAGGATTTACAGGCTTTTGAGTTTTGCATAGTACTTTGAATCTTAAAATAAAGTTTTTCAGGAATATACAAACAACATATCAGATATTTGAAATATTTCTGAAAAGGACATTGGGATAGTCTTGACATTGTGATCTTCTAGATTCCAACGTACTAAAAACTAATTATTTCCACAAACGTAACGTACATATTGAATCATCTTTGTAAATGGATTGCGGATTCAGTCATCTGTTTGTATAATTGCCAAGTCTTGTTGCTCTTGATATTAAGTTATCAATTACAATACAGAAAATGGTTTGAACAAGTATATGGTATCGAGTGAACAAAATAAACTTGACCTTGATATAATACAAGGAGCAACCACTATAACCAAGAACAGCCAAAGATATGTATATGCCCCCACTTTGGTGTATTTTTCAATGAACTATTTATGGTAAAAATAAATACATCATATGAAAAAATTATGTGCGAAAAAAAAAAAAAAAATCAATCCGAGTTATTATGGTTAGTTCTTCAAAAGATTCAAATTCATGAAAAACCAATAATATTCACATCGAGGATCTCCATATTCTTCCTTCAAGTGAGATCACTATCACAGAGATGTCATCATGATACCTCCGACGATCTCCTTGAGGTATCTCCAACAGCTCATGAAAGTCCATACCTATGAAATGAAACAATTTAAAATCAGACGTCAACGATATTCATAAGAATTATTTGGTTTATTAATTTTTAATACCATTCTTACCAAATTTGTTGGCAGCACGTAGGAGCACTTCTTGGATTAAATGCTGAGCTGGATCGCCTTCAGGAAAAGTAGAGATGAAAGATTCAACCTCGAAAATGGCTTCTTGGTTAGAGAAATATTCATACAATCCATCCGAAGAGAGGATTAGGAATTTGTCACGTGCCGTTAGCTTGTGATGGCATAGTGATGGAGAGCATGTGATGTATGGTGATGTCCCGATGTAATCGATCCTGAACATCTCTAAGAGTGCATCGTTCCATTTAGGCTGAGGAATTCACAAAAGAAAGAAAATCCAAGATTAGTCTAAATTCATATTACAAAACTTAATTAAAAAAGAAACAATGCATCAACTACCTGACCAGAGGCGGTGCCATTCCTCGAGGATGTTGTTTTGGCGTTCGAAGGCTCAACAGCGCGGCCCGGACCACCCGTGACCGCCAGCAAGCCTGCCGCTGCATCCAGGGAGCAGCTAGAGCCTTGGGTTCTAGACTTAACCCACGCCGTGCTGCTCGTCTCCCTGGTGCTTGCCGTGTTAGGATCTCTTACCCCATCAGCGCTAGAACCAACTGTAACCGGTAATCTTCTCTCACTCTCTATTTATTTCATTTTACAACTTGAGGGTTGTTTGGACTTTATTGGAGTGTTGTTAACCGTATCATACAATATGATTGACGTACTTGGTTGGTTTGCAGTGTCAGGTAAGCTCCTGAGGGGATCGTTGAAGGGTTTTCATATCATCGATGTATTACAATAATTACAAAATAAGATGTCGCATACTATTTATAAGAGTGTATCATTTTACTGTTGTGTGTTTTTTTTTTAAAAAAATTATCTTTACTGTTATGTGTTCTTTTTAGAATGTGTTTTCATGTCTTTCTTTGTAATCACGGTCCATCTAATTGGTCGTTTTTTTTTACAACTTGGTCGTTTATGTATCCCACTAATGACATACTATGGAATTACGACATGTTTATGCTTTTAATGCCTCCCCTAATCCCTTACTCCCTACGTCCCTATACGTTTGGGCGGTTAATAAACTAAAACATGGACTCTATTTTATTTTTCTACAGTTTTTATCAGTTGACATAAGCAGAGGTGAAAATAAGTATTAAATAAAACAACAAGATATATATAGCCAAATGGGCTGATTAAGGGATTAGTATGCTTTAAAAGTTACTTGGATTCCTGATGTATTATGAATCAAACAATATAACTATAAAATTTCTCTTAAAAAGGGGGTTAAAACATACTCAAAGTTTTGTGTTTGCCAGATATATCTTATTCGTACACGAGGGGAAGCTGTTGATCTTCACATCACAAGATACTCACTCGTTTTTATCAACTCTTATCAACTTCTTCGTACACTCACAACTTGCTGTTTTACACTTCTCACTCTTTATTATTTACAGTATTCGTTTTCGTCGGTGAGTGACTAAATATGTCAATCGACCCTAGATCCTATTTTTTATGTATAGCGTACAAGTTTGTAGAGTGTTTCTTCAAGCACAATATAAACTATAATAATTGCATTATGTTCATTGAAGGTTTTAAACACGTCGATCCATTTATGATAATGCATAAAATTTGCCTACGACTTGTTGACATCTGAGATACTCCGAAGATTTATCCAAGTCAGTGTGACCGTATAGCCTCCAAATGTCCTTTTTTCTGATAGACATCCAAATCTCTTTTGCCCGTCTATTTGTTTTCCATCCTCTCCTCTTGTCATTTTCTTTAGATGTCTCCAACTCTTTACCATTTGATGTTTTCATCCATTAATATCTACTTGGACCCTTTCCACTATTTCCATAATTTCTCTCATTTTTTTTTTTTTTTATAAATTTCCTTGAAGTGTCACTTGCAATTGATCATCATTTTCAGTCCACACGTCCAAGATCTTCTTACTCTTGCACTCGAATGAGTGGCCTCATATTCGTGCTTGGCCACCTTGTTTGATATGTCCAAATTACCTAGGCGGTAGACATATTTTTTTTGTTTTTTCTTAACTACATTCAAAACTAAACGATTTTTTTTTTTGAGAATTTATTTAATGCAAAGTCTTTGGGAATACTCAAATGGTTTCCTCCCCTTCGCAAGTGCTCGAAATTTGTAATTCTATTTTGTCTGAGTATCAATTCAAACTCCTGGTTTGATCTTGATTTCTGATGTTACATCTTGAAACTCAATTAAGCAAGGATCGGGAATGCAATGTATTTACATGGGAAGTTGTTTATTTTTTAATGTTTAATACTAATTCTCATTACTCATTATATTTGCATGGATGAGAAACTAAGCATAATTAACGGGTATACATGACATTTTCATGAGTAATTCCACTTATAAAAACCCACCGACGTACCTCAGCAAAAGAAAAACAAATTCAATTAAGAGAAAAAAAAAAACAAAAATGGTGTTCTCTCAAAAAATCTTCACATGCCTCTTCGTCCTTACGATCTACATGGCAGCTCCAACAGAGTCAACCATAACGTGTGGGACGGTGACAAGCACATTGGCACAGTGCGTAAGCTACTTGACCAACAGTGGTCCATTGTCATCGAACTGCTGCGCGGGAGTCAAATCACTGAACCAAATGGCTCAGTCCACACCGGACCGCCGACAAGTATGTGAGTGCCTTAAATCAGGGGCTAAGGAGATCACTGGCCTCAATATCGGCCTTGTGGCCACACTCCCTACCACTTGTGGCGTTTCAGTTCCCTACCCCATTAGTTTCAACACCGATTGTGACAAGTACGTCTCTACAACTCTTGCTTTGTTTTATATCAGTAGATCTTTTTATGTTTCTTTTTGGACGATGCGCATGCAAATAAAAAGTAATCTTCCTTTCTTTTTTTTTCCTTTTCATGATTGTATGAAATAAATACATTTGGAGGTTCTATCTTAATGAGTGGTTTACAATGTCATGATGATAAATATTTGTTGTGGTTGTTCAATGGTTGCAGTATATCGGCTGGCGTGTAAAAGAGGGCAGAGGTGTACGACTTATCAAAGTTGCCAGCTTTAAACCTAAATAAAAATAATAAAGAATTCTGCGGCTATTTCCCTTTTTATGACTTCATTTTCTTATGTAATCTACCATTTCATATCGTAATAACGACTAATGAACTGTCTTTCAATCTATCTGTGGATCGACCAAGCGTGTTGTACTCCAGATAAATTGAAATGCTAAAGGTTATAACGTAACCTATAACCTTGGATTGTTTTGCGTATAAATTTTTGCAACCGGAATTACATATTTACATGTGTGCCGAATGATTGAGCGTTGTTGACTTGCTGAAGAGGTAACCAACACAGATTTAGTTGGATGTCGATAACATTAAACTACCGATAGACACATGTAGTGCCAAACAAAGAGTTAAGTTTAGACTTTCTCAGACGAGGAACTAAAAAAGGTAAGGATGGTGAATCTATTATGTGCCATGCTGTATATACAACAATAAAGAAACACTTAAAAACAAGATTTTTTTTGTTAAAGATTCATCATATTCTTGAGTCGACCTTGTGTTACTATACATAAATCCCATTTGATATTCGATCGATAAGTTTAGGCGTAAAGGCCTTTTTTCTTCTATTATAACTAGTGGTCTGCCTATTTTCTTATTCAAACGACTGGACAAAACAAGTATTTCTTGAAACAAAAGTGTAATACAAGTTGTTCTATAGAACAAGTTTAGTTAGTTAAGTTTACAGTAATGTTTTTGTTTGGTCGGTAAACTCGTTTTATTGGATTGAGAAGTGAGAACTAATGAGAGAATTAAATAATCCGTTTGTTTCTCAAAGAAAGAAATGAAAATGATGGGCTCATAGATTTCTGTGAGACAACTAATGGGCTTTCAAAAATATGGCCCAATAATTTGTCCGACGGCTCCGCCGAGTGGATGGATTGTCAAACTCAACTCCGTCTCTGCCAATTTCAGACGCGACCAACACGAGCAAGAGCCAACCTTCGTCTTCCGATCATCGATCTTTCAACCCGAGGAACAAGTGATCAACAAGTCTGTTTGCATCGATCATCTATCTCTCTCACTGTATTCCCAGTCCTCTGCTTGAAATTTAAGCTTGTTGATTTGCAATCGCCTGACTGTGATCTGCGAATCTCCGATGCGTTTCCGACGATCGCTTATACCCTGAATAATGAGATTCTGCTGCGGAGGTTCAAACCCGAAATCGAACCTGGACTTCCACTGGATTAGAAATCAAGCGATCGAATCATAGTCAAAGGATTTGAGCCGTGTTGCGATGGATAGAAGCTGGGTCTCGTCACTTCTTCTATTGATTTTGATTTTCTCCAATGCTTCTTCGTTCGGGAGATCTCGGGAGTTAGCTGATGAAGAAGAACCCAAGGATAATTCAAATTCAACAACACCTACACAAGTAAATTCGATTACTTTTTCTCCTCATGAATTGCTCTCTTCGTTTGATCTCGTGTAGGGTTTTGAAATTTGAACAATGTGTTTTGACTTGCTCTATGTTCCTGCTTCAGAATTCTACATTGCCTAACGTTACACCCATCGGAGATGTAAAATCCAATGAAACCTCATCAGAACCTTCTCTACCAACAAGTAATTCGACGAATCCTGATCCTAAGGAGCCTAATTTGGCGAGTCCACCTCCGCCGCTGCAACCTGAAAGCGAGAATAATGGTACGACGGAGCCGATAAGCCCGCCTCCGGTGAACCAAACAGATAGCCAGGACAGTGGAAAATTACCGGCTAAATTGGCGCCGCCTCCAAAAAGTCCAGAGAGTGGGAAAAATGAGACGGAGCCAGGAAAGGGAAACTCGCCTCCGGCTAAAGATCCTGATAAAGTGAAAGACTCTGAGGGGAGCTCAGAGCCTGCCATTGCAGAGACCTGTGAAGGGAAGTCTAAGATATGTAGGACTGGGAATTCGTTGGTGGCATGCACTTTAAGCATCGAAAATGGTACATTGACGAACTTACTCTTTGATATCTGTTCAACCTGTATTTGAGCACTGTTAGTGTAGTATTCAAAGTTTTGAGCTTTGGTCTTTGGATGACTGTCAAAGTTGCGGAGTGGATATGTATGGCTTTTTATTCTATCAAAGAAAAGACTTGCACAAAGCTGTTGGTTTCAGTTTTCACGTATATTGAATGAATAATGCAGTGATAACGATGTCCATCAAAATAAGTCGTGTTAGCTTCTTGAGTAAAGGCCAAATTAGCAGCTTTTGTTTGCAGCGTGGACAGATGTCCATGAAAATGGCTGGACAAGTTAAATATTAATACTTCCTGGTTATGGTGGTCTTTATGAAATTTATCTGTTTAAGGACTAAACTAGCAGATGCTTTACGTTATTGTGGAAGCTTCGTTGCTGAATCAGCGACACAAATTAGCAGATGTTTGACATTAGTGTGTTTTGTGAATTTGTTAATTAGAGTGATCTCAGCAACATGAAACATTTTAACACATAATAGCTATATTCCTTTACGATTGTTAAGGTCTCTGCTTTATCTGTTCTGTTTTCTCCAGTATGTTTAGCTTGAGTTGACAGAATTTCTCATTCTGAAGTTGCGTTATATTGTTGCAGATCCTTCGAAATGGTTGATTCTAGTTCAAAACGAAGGTGAAGAATCTTTGAAAGCAAAAATTGTTCCTCCAGTTAACTCTTTACCAGAGCTGACACTGCCAAAACACCAGAGTCAAAGGGTACGTTTTCTATGTGCTTCAATGCTGATTCCTTGAAATAAAAAACCGTTATCTTGGACATGTCTCTCTCTGGACTAGTTTCTGATCTGATACAATGCAAATCTAGTTATTCCATAAACCGAATCGACCTACTTTCATTTGCAGAAAATTTGAATTGTTGGTCTATGGCACAGGTAAACATATCCATCAGTGGAGACACAAACAAAATCATACTGGACGCCGGGAAGGGAGAGTGTGTGCTTCACATGCACGTACCAGAAGCAAACACACTATCCATCCACCTTCCTTCGTACGAAAAGCTAGTGACGCCCATTAACGGCGCCTATTTCTTAATAGTATCCGTCGTTATATTTGGGGGAGTTTGGGGACTGTGTCTGTGCCGGAAGAATCGCCGAGCAGGCAGTGGAGTGCCTTACCGTGAGCTAGAATTGAGCGGAGGGTCGGGCTTAGGAGGTGAGTCAGTGGTCCATGACGTTGAGACAGCGGACTGGGACGAGGGTTGGGATGATGATTGGGATGAGAATAATGCTGTGAAATCTCCCGGTGGTGCAGCGAATAGTGTTAGCATCTCTGCGAACGGATTAACAGCGAGAGCTCCGAACCGAGATGGATGGGACCATGACTGGGACGACTAGATTTTGTGTGTGGATAAACTATAACTGAGGAGTCAAAACCACATGGATATACAGGTTTCTGCAAAGAAGACGAGACAGAAAAACAGAAAATGGTTTAATGTATACGCAATTCGCCTATATAGAGATCTTTTAAAATTCTTTTTTTTTTTTACTTAAAGTTTACATGTCACATTTTGTACTACAGTTTGACAACTCTAAAACCTTTGTGTTTTGTTCCCATATCTTTAATTTTCATATTTTGTATCATGTATACGAGCCACAAATTCAGTTTTGTATTTTGCCTTCCTTTTTCCATTTAGCATTCTTTTGGAAGTTTCTTTGTACCACCAGCACTTGTTGACTGGAATTCACGAACAGTTAACGGCAAGAATTTTCCTTTTTTCTGTACTTCTGTTAAGTGTTAAGAATAAGATCATCTTCGTCACTTAATGAGCATTCGCCAGTTTCTCACTGTCGTACTACAAAGCCATCATATTAACTTCCGCATCAAGATCAAGCAAAACTGAATAACGTATTCAGCTTCTGGTAAATCCTTTGAGTCCAACTCGCCACAAGAAGAATACATCTTTGACCAGAGAAGTTTGGACAAATGAGTCCAAGAAGAATAAGAATCTGAGCATGGTGGGTTCAATTTCCAATAGGAAGATGAATCCGACTGTCCAGAGAAGAGAAACGGAAAGTAACAAATTCGGATTTGGCCACGAATGATGGTGTTGTTCCATACTAAAGACTCGAGCTTTAGATGGTGAATATGATGATAAATCGGAATTGTAAAAGTCACTAATTACCATTTCTCAATGTTAACAAGTCTCAGGTAAACGTTTATACATACATACACATCTTCCAGTTCTAAAATCGTTTGGAATCTCATTCTCGCTAAAGAAAAAAGAACGTAAAGATTCGAACTGCTAAATTGTTAAGTCTGACTACGAAACGGCAAGAACAGTAACCATTTCTTGGGATATAGAAAACTGTAACATTCTACCCGGAAGAGATTATCGCAGCTGCGATATCCTTGACCAGAATAAAAATATGACAATTCTCAAACCCCAAAATACGGTCTGTCTATGCCGTCACGTAATCCGGCTCAGTTACATTTAAACACAATCGGCTAAGTCGAACGAAGGTTCTTGCCCCTCTTATATAATAAGTTGTGGGAAAACCATTCAACGTCTTTTACCGATGTGGGACTGTTACCTCTTGCATTTTATGCCTTCAGAAGAGAAGTCAAGAAATGATTTGAAGTTTTGTTTGGACAAAGACATGTATATAGCTATAGTTTTGTAAGCTATGGGAAACTTCGAGGAAGGTCTCTATATGTACTTCTCGGATGCACTTGAGATGTTTGATCGACCATTTCAATACAATGTTTACTAGATATATTTGTCGATTAATAATAGTTAAGTGAATTCCGAAACAAAATAAGTATATACATTCCCTAGAACCGAACCCTACATATTTTGATGAGTACTTGAGTTAATAATCGAGGAGCCATAGAAGAAATACAAGATTGGAAATGAGACTATAATTAGGAACTTGTCGAGTGCTTTTCTTGAAGTGGGTGACCATTGTGGTATGCAATTTACAACTACATACGATTTACAATGGATGATGACTGCTGTTTAACAATTTACCACTACATAACTTTTGAAGTGTTAAGATTTATAGACATACAAATTATTGGCTAATATAGGCCCCATCCTTGTCAAATCTCGCTAACAAGTACACAGTGTACACTTTATTATTAAAGTTAATGAAACTTTTTTGTTTTAATGTTAAGTTAACAACACTTTCTTACATCATAAACATTATTCATACATACATGGTTGATCATAGTTTGTATTAGGGTCAACGTATCATATCATGGATTCAAACCCATAGTAATATGCGTGTGTGAGGTATGAAAAAAACAAAGATTTATGATTGTCAACCAATCATATAGATTTAAGTTATTGAGTTATTAAATATTTCAAGAAGAAATTACAAGATCTTTTGTAAGACATATGACATATCGTTCTTCTTCTATTCAAGTTCCATTTCTGACAAAAATAAATTTACTTCAGTGAGATTTCAAAGTCAATATCTTTTCGATTACTTGAATCATTTTTTTAGGGAAAATTCAAGTTAACATAATATTGAAATTTTAGGTTTTACAAGTATCAAATCATTAGTCTACTTGAATGAGAAAATACCCGCTTCTGACCAAAAAGAAAATAGCCTCTTCTGATCCCCTTTTTCTTTGTTCCAAAAATTGCCGTTTGAGGAAGCCAAAGGGAAAGAGTTGAGTTAGATTCGTACAACTAAAGTGATAAGTGATAACGAGTGATGCTACGGCTAGATCTGCTACCACACTTCGAGGCCCGTACAACTTTACAAGTTTCCACTGGAAAGTAGTCAAGTACCTTTCAAGTACACGTGTAATGTATAACACAATAACCTTTTTTTTTGTTTTTTTTGAACAACTAATACAACACAATAACCTTCTATTTTATTTTCTCTTATTTAGTCACTAGATTAAGTCCCGCGTATACACGCAGATTTATTTTAAAATTTATAAAATTAATCACAAAAATATCAAAAAATCGGATCATTTTGGTAAATAAAATAGTATTAGAAATCAATAATAAATATCTAAATTAAATAAAATTGGTAATCCTTTTACATTTTAATTATAACTCACATTTTGTTTCTGAATTCATAATATAAAAAATGATTTTTTTTATCTAATATTAGAAAGAATTACATGTGTCTAAATTTGATTAATTAATTAATTCGTAAAATTTTGATTATTCGATTTAAAACTTGAAAATAAAATTATTAAAAATTATAAAATGGGTCTATTATAAATTTTTCTTTTTAATATTAGTTAGTTGCTTGATAATTATTCTGTCTGTTTTCTATTTATATTGTTTCTTTTTCAATATTTTTTTAGCCTTTGTCCATTATTAATTTCCCCTTCCAATATCAATTAGGTTTTTTATAATGTTACTTTTCTTTTTCTGTTAATACATTTTTCCAATGTTCTTGTGTTAACACAACTCATCACCTGATCAATTATTAGACACATGTTGCGACAATAAATTCAATTTTGATCCAACTGATCTAAAATTAAATATTCTTCATTGATATCTAACTTTCATATTTATATAATAAGATATAAATATAAAATGTTACTAACTTTTTCATCAAGTAATAGAAGTCAACTCCCATAAGAATATTGTTTTCTTTAGGATTTCTAGCTTCCCACTTTCGAATAACACGTACTATAGTACGGCGATAATTTCGATTTCGATCCAATTGACCTAGAGTCAAATAATCTCCACTGTTCTTTTGAACTTTCAAAGACATGATTTTAAAATTAGAGAAAGAGAATCAAAGAGATTTGCTGAATTTGTTTTGATGAGTTTGTGAATAGAAAAAAGAGATTATAATAGCTCTCTTTTTATAGAGAGTTCATGTAACATATTCCATACAGTTTTAGGATATTTAGTTTACATACATATTTCATGTACTAATATGATTTTTTTAAACAGAGGTTTATGTAACACTAGATTAAGGCCCGCGTATACGCGGGTATATTTTAAGATTTTATAATAAAACATGGAAAATATTAAACAAAATTTGATCATTTTTAAACGTAAACAAAATAATATTGAAAACCCGATAAAAAATATTTAAATAAAATAAGATTGGTAATACTTTTACATTTTTATTGTAATTGATTTTTCTTTTGAATTTATGATATGACAAAATGAATTAATTTGTTTTACTATTATTTTTATCCAATACAGAAAGACTTACACATGTCTAAATCTGATCAACTGATTAATTAATCAAACTTTTATTATTCCATTCAAGAGATTTTAATTGATGAAATCTTTATTTCAATTTTTTTACCTAACAAAAATTGAAAATCAAACTATTTAAAATTAGAATATCAATTTTTTTTTAATATTAGTTAATTGCTTGATAATTATTTTGTTAGTTTTCTATTTATATTTTTTCTTTCTCAATTTTGTTTTTGCCTCGGACCATTATAAATACTATATATTGGTATTTTTAATAGATGTAACAAAAATTATTTGTTTCCTGTTTTTTTATTACTTTTAATGGATGTATTATTTTTTTCATTTTAATTATTTGTTATCTGTTTTTCTAATTTTTAGTTAGTCTTATACATATTAAATTTTTTATTATTTTTATTCCATGACACATGTTACGATCTTCATACTTCCAGAATTTTTTTTTTCTAAAACACATGTCGCAATTTTGTCAGTTATAAAAATCCTATGTATCGCAAAACTTTCAAAAACATGATTTTTAAATTGGAGAAATAGAATCAAAGGGATTTGATGAATTTGCTTTGATGAATTTATGATTGAGAAACTTGACTCTCTTTTATAGGGGTTCAAGTAACCTATTACATGCAGTTATAGGAAATTTAGTTTACATAACATATTCCATGTACAAATAGGATTTTATTTATTACATTATTTTGATTTTATTATTTGTTTGGATAATATTAATTTGATGAATGGGAAACCTTTCTCTATTAGGATATGACAAATATATTTTTATTTCTTTTAACTGTAATGGATTTTTTTTTAAATTTCCTTTATCTAAATTTATTATTATTATTATTTTTTTTCTCTAAGACATGTGTCACGATCTTAACGGACGTAACATTAAAAGTGACACATGTCGCGATCTTATAAATTATAAAAATCTATGTGTCGCAACCACGTCGTGCGCATCCAACTTTATATAATAAAAAATTTGATGAATGGGAAACCTTTTTCTGTTTGGATATGACAAATATTATTTTTTCCTTTTTGATATAATAGATTAAATTAAATTTCGTTTTTTTAATTAACATTTTTTTTTTTAAGTTCTCTTTTTTTCCTAAGACACGTGTCACGATCTTAACGGACATAAACTTAAAAGTGACACATGTCGCGATCCTGAATTTTATAAAAATCCTATGTGTCGCAACCACGTCGTGCGCATCAGCTTTATATAATAAGATTTAAAATAATAAACATGTCATGTAAAATATACTATTTATACTATTGGTTTATATTTATTTTCATATCTAAGTAAATGTGTCCTTCAAATTTATTAAATAAAAACCTAATGCAAATTTTTTTTTAACACTTTTTCGTTTTACTTACTCTTTTCAATTGATGAGAATTCAAACAATGTTACCATTGAGAAATCGATAACTCGAGTTTAGAAATTGTTCTTCTTATTGATATTAGACCTAAAAGGTCTTGTATATTACACATACATATGTTCATTAATGATAAAGGTAAATCTAGTGTAATCTAGAAATATGCCTAATCACATATAAATGGAAATATATAGGAAAGATATGGATCTATCCTATTAGCCATCTTTCTAGAAACCCTCCAATATTATGTCATCTCACTAGTTACTAGTTGACACATAAAAAAAATTCGTGTTTTGAAGAAACATTAGTAAAAAACACATTGTTCAAAACACAATATATAAAAAAAAAATATTTGCGCCACTTGGGAAATCTTTTTTATCCGTGTTTTGGAAACAAACATTTCTCCTTTATCTCTTTCCCTCTTACTAGTTCGGCTGGTATCGTAAAACTGATATGTTAGTCTCTTGATACTGTGAGACGCCAAATGCAAATGAGAGGAAACCCTTACGAATCAATCCCGAAAACATTTGATGGTACCAACTTTAAATCTATTTCATCATGCAACAACACATTAGAGCATGATTAAGTCATCAATCGATTTACGTACATAGGATACATGAGACAAGTTTTTTACATCTGATGTGCATGCATTGTACACCGTGATGGGCTTATAGGCTTGTACTGTGTATTTTTACCTAATGCATTAAAACTTTACCAAACAGCAGGTTAGACTTAGCATTATCATTATCATTATCATTATCAATGTTGTATGCAAACGAGATTGTTGTATGCTGATGAAATTATCTATTGTCGTTTATGTTTTTATTTTGCAGCATTAGTGGTAAGTAATCCCGATCGTAGTGGCGGCGGAGGACGACGGCGGACTAACAGCCGCTAGGAGAAAAAAAGCGGCGGCGGCGATGATTGACATGAAGAGATTTCGTAGAATGAGAGAGTCGAGCGTTGTTCTCCAAAAACTTGAGCTGAGCAGAGGAGCGGGACGAGAGTATAGTTATAGAGGTTGGTCATGAGAGATGCAGACACGTGTATGGCCAAGATTAGAACATATATCAAAGGGCTGAGATCAAAAGATGGTTTGAAGTTGTTTAAAGGGGATCGAGAAAGAGAAAAAGGAAATCAATCAGAAAAATTGTGTTGGTCTCTACTCCTATTACTCTTGGTTGTGCTTGTTGGGTGCAATGCATATGGTCAGGAGCTGCTGCTGATCGTTGTCAAGAAGAGGCACAGAAGTCATGACCTGTTTTCATTCTCAAAACTGTTGCTATTACACCTTGAGAACAAGGCGTGTCTTTTAGGGCCGAGTAAAAGTATGTGGAGAGTAATGGTTAATGATACAGAAAAGACAAAAGAGTAGGGATGATAAGGTAGATCTCGTATAAATGAGTAGTGAGGTATACGGATTGGCTGTGTGGGATAGACAAAAGATATGGCGGAAGAAGTCACTAGGATACAGTAAGGCGTACGTTGGTTGCTCACTATCTAAGAACCGTCTAAGAGAGGTTGGGTTTGAAGTGAGTTCATCTTCAATAATGCACTTCAGCCTTGAGAAGTTTTGGGCCCCTTTATACATGAAGGTGATGTTCACATGATTATTATGGCGCTGGGCATTGCCTTATTTGAAGGTCATGATTTTGGCATCACTAGACACAACTTGGTTTTGAGCACGACCCAGAGATTTCAGTCCAAGGCATGTGAAGAGCTGCAAGAGAAAGTCTCACTAGAAGTTTCTTTGTGTTTTGATCAATGGTACAGCAAATAAGCAAGCCAAGAACATTACCGAGAAGAAAATAGTAGCTGCTAGAATTGAAAACAAGAAAAGAGACATAGAGCCGCTGTCCTTACATGCTTATGCTGAACCGGAACAGGAGCTGAACAGAATCGAAGGATATTGTGACTTGTTGCTGTCCAAGAACCTTGATGCTCACTTGTTCTGCCCTTGCATCAAATTTTCAGGGATAGAGAAGAACAAGGATGTAGAGATGAAGAAGGTGCTGGGAGCTTTAAGTCAAGCTGAGAAAAACAATTGCGGATCTGACGTAGTTACAGAGTCTGAATCGGAAGTGGTTTCTTCTTCAGAAAAGGTTGGACGTTGTTACTCTGGTGTTTTTAGCCCACAAGCAGCTAGAGTTGCCTACGGGACCAAAGTCTCAGACTTTGTATTATGATGAGCTGAAACTTCATGGTTACCAACTGCTTGGGACATTGTTTTTGCAAGTACAAGGTAAGGAGAAGCACAGGAAGTACCACAAGACCTGGAATTTCAACTACCAAAACAAGTTTCTTGCTGGTCTGAGACGGCTAGAGTATGTCTACTCAAGTTGAGAGAAGAAACAAGGGTAAGATGTGAGAATTCTCTGACAACTGAGTTCAAGAAACAAGGGAGTGATGCGAATGGAGAGTGGTCCAATGATACAGCAAAGCAGAGGCTAAGGATCCATGAGTATGGAAATAAAAAAGGAAAATGATAATCTCTTGGAGAGATGTTATGATGATAATCGTCTTGGGTGTAAAGCTGGCGTATCTTCTGCAAAATTGTTGTTAATGTTTCGCCACCACAAAGACAGATTGGATATCTCAAGTTGTAAGAAAAATACTTCCTGGCTATGGTGGTCTTTATGAAATTCATCTGTTTAAGGACTAAACTAGCAGATGCTTTACGTTATTGGGAAGCTTCGTTGCTGAATCAGCGACACAAATTAGCAGATGTTTGAGGATATTCAGAGTATCCCAAGAAATCTAAGCAAGTTATGTCTTGGTGGAACCGCCATACAAGAACTGCCTTCGCTTGTGCATCTCTCTAAGCTTGTTGTATTAGACTTACAGAACTGAAAAGAGCTCCAAAGGCTACCTATGGGAATGATTAACTTGAATTCTCTTGAGGTGCTTAACCTCTCTGGATGCTCAGAGCTCGAAGATATTGAGGGTATCCCAAGAAATGTGAAAGAGTTATATCTTGTTGGCACCGCTATACACGAAGTGCCATCGTCAATCAATCATCTCTCAGAGCTTGTAATATTAGATTTGCAGGATTGCAAAAGCCTTCGCCATCTTCCTCTTGAGATTAGTAACTTAAAATCTCTTGTCAGGCTTAAGTTATCAGATTCATCTGGGAGGATGTCCACATTAGAAACTGCCATGAGTGATCTGAATCATCTTCGCTTGACTTTTAACAAGAATGCAAATCAGCATCGAGAATATTTGCCTCTGCCAAGGCTTGCATCTTCAAGATTATATGGCTTGATCCCAAGATTTTATGCTCTTGTATCTTTGTCCCTCTGCAATGCATCCCTGATGCATATCCCTGAAGAGATTTGTTCCTTGCCTTCACTAACGGTGTTGGATCTTAGTCTGAATGGTTTCAGAACAATCCCTGAAAGCATAAAGCCAGTTATCTAAACTACATAGTCTTAGACTACGACATTGTAGGAACCTCAAATCGCTTCCAGAGCTTCCCCAAAGCCTGAAATTCTTGAACTTACATGGCTGTGTATCCCTACAGTCAGTTTCATGGGCGTCTGAGCAGTTTCCAAGTCATTACACCTTTAACAACTGCTTCAATAAGTCTCCAGAAGTGGCTAGAGAACGAGTGGTAAGAAGTTTGGCTAAAGTAGCAAGCATTGGCAAAGAACATGAGCAGGTACATGATCTCTCGTTCTTGTTCATTGTTTCTCACTCATGCATACTTTCGCATATGTCTGATACTGGTGTTGTCTTGTTGGAATCAGGAACTCGTCAAAGTACTTGCATTCAGCATTTGCGCGCCTTCGGGAGTAGGCCAGACACCCTCTTACAATTTGCAGACAGGTTCATTTGCAACGATAGAGCTAACTTCTTCCCTACGGAAGACACTCTTGGGCTTTGCCATCTTCGTTGTAGTTACCTTTTTGGATGATAGTCACAAGAATGCTGGTCTTGGCGTTAGGTGCATAAGCACATGGAAGACTAAGAAAAAGGTCACTAGTAGAGTAGAGAAAGTTTTCAGGTGTTGGGCTCCGAGAGAAGCTCCTGAGGTTCAAAGAGATCACATGTTTGTGTTTTATGAGGATGCTAAAATGCATCAACGTGGTGATGAAGACAACGGTACTAATCTGTTGGCTGATCACGTTAAATTTGAATTCCAAGCAGTTAGTGGAAGAAACAAGGTTTTGGGAGGTAACTGCATGGTGACAGAATGTGATGTTTGTGTTATAAAGTCTGCAAGTGGTGTGGCGAGTTTGAGTGTAATAAGTGCAAGTAAGGATCATAAGAATCATTCTCCGAAGCTTTCAAGTGTGCTTGGTAAGCTTAGGTTTAGGCCCACTGGGAGGTTTGTTGGTTGTGTTTGCCCCTAAAGTAAGAGAGAAAAGTATGTGACTTGTCTCCCATGTCCAACGGTGAACTAGCTTATAAATGAAGTACTTAATGAATTGTAATTTGTACTAATCTCAAATAGGATAATTTACTTGTTGGAATCGAATCTGAACGATCTTTACTTGTCTTGATATCCCCAAACATACAAACTTGAAATCCAATAGACAATCGAACTTCAATCTCTCGAAAAACAGTACACCAACGCATGACTCGATTAATCGTTTGCCCAAAAACAAAAGTTCTATCAATTTTATAAAGACGGATCGATAATTAGATCGTTTCCTCTAACGAGTTTGAGACCAGATCCAATGTGCATTTCCATAAACATTAGACATAAATCAACAAACGGTTCATGCATTTCCATAAACCTTCGGATTTTTGGTTGGATACGTTACGTAAGACAAGGCCTACTTCAATCTGGGCCCGTATGAGATCAACTGAAACAAGAATGAAAAAAGCCCATAATTACGTACACTAATTAACAAAATCAGAATGGGCCCTACTCAGTCGCTTGAATATAAAAATTAGAGGGCCAGCTCAGCCACGAGCCGAAGAAGTCAAGTCACACCGCACAGAGAAAATACGCGTTTCAATATTCTCTTTCTTTAACTTATACACTCTCTCACATATATATTTGCATGAACTGTCATCCAATCCACATCACATAAATAATACCCAACATTATCCTTCGCATCGAATGGTTAGGTCGGGAATGTAATTACAGCTGTTGTCTCGAGGGTATTATCGTCACTTCACTCAATCAAGCCGGCTTTATTTCAATTTGCCTCTAACATTATTTTTAAAAAGTTGATATTATAAATTTAATTTGACTAAAATAACGTTTACGCGTAGAGGGAGGCAACAATGCTGTCCGTTTTGTCGTCATAAACTATACTTACCTCCACTCTCTCTCTTTCCTCTTTCATTAATTCTCTGTTGTGATTCATTTATTGGTTTTCCACTCTCTCTCCTCCCCCAAATATCTCCAAATCTGTCTTCTCTAAAACTTTCCGATTTGATCGCTAGGGTTCTTCTCCGATTCTTAAGGTATGTTGTTCTCTTCTTCTTCAGTCAACTCCTACTGAAATCAACTTCAGTTTCATCAGTTTAAGCTATTTTTCCCCGGAATTAATTTCGCTGTCAAATGAACATCTTAGCTCTCCATTTATAGATCTGTGAAGCTCTTGTTTGATTTTGTTGTTGATAGATCGAGAAGAAATCTTCTTCCTCCGGGAGCTGCTCTGATCTATGGGGATCACGGAGGGGCGATTCCGTTCCCTTCCGTCACTTCTTCTTCTTCTGTTATCTGCATCTACTTTAATCTCAGCTGCCGATTACTCTCCCACCGACAAAATCCTGTTGAATTGCGGCGGCTCCTCCGATTCAGTCGACACAGATAACCGCACGTGGATCCCCGATGTCAAATCCAAGTTCCTCTCTTCATCGGGAGACTCCAAGACGTCTCCGGCGGCGACGCAGGATGCTTCAGTCCCCGAGGTCCCTTACATGACGGCTCGCGTTTTTCGATCTCCCTTCACCTACTCTTTCCCCGTAGCAGCAGGTCGTAAATTCGTGCGTCTCTACTTCTACCCAAACACATACGACGGCCTCAACGCCACGGCCTCCCTCTTCTCCGTCTCCACCGGCCCTTACACTCTCCTCAAAAACTTCAGCGCCGCTCAAACTGCGCAGGCGGTGTCATACGCTTTCATCATCAAGGAGTTCATCGTCAACGTCGACGGCGGAGCATTGAACCTGACATTCACGCCGGAATCGAAACCTTCCAACGCTTACGCGTTTGTTAACGGGATTGAGGTGACCTCGATGCCTGATCTCTACAGCAGCACGGACGGGACGTTGGTGATGGTGGGATCGCCTACTGCGGTCACCATCGACAACAGTACTGCTCTTGAGAATGTTTATCGGCTCAACGTTGGAGGCAACGACATCTCCCCCTCCGCCGATACAGGTCTCTACAGATCTTGGTACGACGATCAGCCTTACGTTTTCGCCGCCGGGCTCGGAATCCCGGAGACTGCTGATCCCAACATGACCATTAAGTATCCCACCGGCACACCTGAGTATATCGCTCCGAAGGACGTTTACTCGACGGCTAGGTCGATGGGACCAAGTGCTGCTCTCAATGTCAACTACAATCTGACTTGGAGCTTCAGTGTTGACTCCGGCTTCATTTACCTCGTCAGGCTCCATTTCTGTGAGGTCTCTCAGAACATCACCAAGCCTAACCAACGCGTGTTTACCATCTTCCTCAACAATCAAACCGCTGAGCCTGAAGCTGATGTGATTGCGTGGACGGATGGAAACGGGATTGCGTTTCACAAAGATTACGTTGTGAATCCTCCGGAAGGGAAGGGACAGCAAGATCTCTGGCTTGCTCTCACTCCAAACCAGAGGAACAAGCCGCAGTATTATGATTCTATTCTTAACGGAGTTGAGATATTCAAGATGAATGCAACGGATGGTAATCTTGCGGGTACCAATCCTATACCTGGTCCAGTGGTGACTCCAGATCCCTCCAAAGTGCTAACCGCGCGTACTGGTCGTTCCAAGAACATTACGGCTATTGTTGCAGGCGTAGCCAGTGGTGTAGTGGTTCTGCTTCTTGGCATCGGTTTCTGCTTGGTAGCTGCTTACCGGAGACGTAAACGCGGTGATTACCAGCCTGCGAGTGATGCAACATCAGGGTGGCTTCCTCTGTCTCTCTATGGAAACTCGCATTCCGCTGGCTCGGGGAAGACAAACACAACAGGAAGCTACGCCTCTTCGCTCCCGTCGAATCTCTGCCGTCATTTCTCCTTCGCTGAGATCAAAGCCGCCACTAAGAACTTCGATGAGTCTAGGGTGCTTGGTGTTGGAGGTTTCGGAAAGGTTTACAGAGGAGAGATTGATGGTGGAACTACTAAAGTAGCCATCAAGCGAGGCAATCCGATGTCGGAGCAAGGTGTACACGAGTTCCAGACTGAGATTGAAATGCTTTCAAAGCTTAGACATCGTCACCTTGTCTCGTTGATTGGGTACTGTGAAGAGAACTGCGAGATGATCCTAGTGTATGACTACATGGCTCATGGCACAATGCGAGAGCATCTCTACAAAACTCAGAATCCTTCTCTTCCCTGGAAGCAACGTCTTGAGATCTGCATCGGTGCAGCAAGAGGCTTGCACTATCTACACACTGGTGCTAAACACACGATCATTCACAGAGATGTGAAGACGACAAACATCTTACTGGATGAGAAATGGGTGGCTAAGGTCTCTGATTTCGGTCTGTCCAAGACCGGTCCTACACTAGACCACACGCACGTGAGCACTGTCGTGAAAGGAAGTTTTGGTTATCTCGACCCAGAGTACTTCAGACGGCAGCAACTTACGGAGAAATCCGACGTCTACTCCTTTGGCGTGGTTCTCTTCGAAGCTCTATGCGCACGGCCGGCTCTGAACCCGACACTAGCGAAGGAGCAAGTGAGCTTAGCTGAGTGGGCACCGTACTGCTACAAGAAAGGCATGCTTGATCAAATCGTTGATCCGTATCTCAAGGGGAAGATCACGCCGGAGTGCTTCAAGAAATTTGCTGAAACGGCGATGAAATGTGTGCTAGACCAGGGAATTGAGAGACCTTCTATGGGAGATGTTCTTTGGAACTTGGAGTTCGCGTTGCAGCTTCAGGAAAGCGCGGAGGAGAGCGGGAAAGGAATATGCAGTGACATGGACATGGATGAGATCAAGTTCGACGAAGGAAACTGTAAAGGGAAGAACAACAGTGACAAGAGTGCTGATGTGTATGAAGGGAACGTGACTGACTCGAGGAGCAGTGGAATAGACATGAGCATCGGTGGTCGGAGTTTGGCCAGTGAAGATTCAGATGGACTCACTCCAAGTGCTGTGTTTTCTCAGATCATGAATCCCAAAGGACGTTAGAGAGACTCGGTAACACTATCTTTCTAAACCGGCTCCATCCAAAGGAGACTGGTTCGTTTCTCTTTTCTCTCGTTTTTTTTGGTTCTTCTTAATTATTTATTATATTCTCTTTTGCTGTTTATTTATTTAGAATTTTGGATTTGTGTATTTGATACAACCACGATGAAGAGTGTAAAAAATAATGTATTTTTATTTTTGATTTTACAAACATTATAACATGATTCGCGTCAATGTACTATTTGGTTTGTTATCTATAATGCTTTTGTAATGGAGGATGTATATGCATCTTGGGAACCATTACAAAGTCTAATCCTTGTGAGTAAACCGGACCCTCTTATAAGAGACGGAAACAGCATGAAACATTACCAAACAAGCGTGTAAATTAAATTGCGACACAAATCAGTTAGTTAACGAGATTGAACTTTTCTAACCGGAATCACGTCTAGAAACGAATAATCTACATTGTTAGATACATATGCCTAAACTAAACAAGAAAGTAATAGCATTGTTAGATACATACCTAAACCAAACATAACTGCTCTGTAGACTTTTAGAGTCAAAATCAGTCATGAGCTAAAACTAAAGTCTACAACGGAGCTGACACTTCAATCCTGTTATTTTCTTACAACTATTTTGTGCAGAACGACAAATTGCTCAAAGCTGTATATTTTTGTCAATGAATACAAGGACATTTCAAGAACATAAATACCTCAAACTCAAAGAGTAGAACAATCCTTTTTTTTCTTTTTTTTTTTGCATAAAAATTTAAAAAGAGTGAATAAGGATTATTTTTCCAAGCAACTCTTGTTTTAAAAGGTTGAAACTAAACAAATAGAAAACAATAATAAAAAGAGTCAAAGAGGAGAGAATGGTTCAGGAGGAGAGTCGAAAGCGTTGTCGAAGATGAGAGAAGGATTAGTTTCATCATCAAGGGTAAGTAGCCAGTTAGTATCTTTCACATCTTTAACATCCAAGAGTGCTTCGTAACGAGCACTATCCTTCTTCTGATCTGTGTTTCCTTCTTTCGTTAAGCTTTTCCCTTCTTCCTCTTCATGGTTGCTGCTGCTGCTTCCTTCACTACTATCACACCTTTTCCTTAAAGAAGAAGACCTGATGCTGTGTGGGTACAACATTGTGCTCGAAAACGGATTTGTGCCCCCTTTCCCATTTCGTGCCTCCTGAAATTGTAGTATCGTGAAGCAAATACGCATCAAGAACATATTCTTGGATGTTCTTAAGTGGCAAGAATATATCATATAGTGACAAGAGAATGTTACCAAGTGATTGTTAGCAATTTGGACCGAAGCTTTTGACACTTTTCTTCCAGATCTCTTTGAATCCGTAACAGTTGTAGACTTTTGAGTTGCGGATGTATGCGAGACGCCTGAAAAAGTAGGAATCAGAGAAGAAGGAGAAGCAGAACGTCCTTTAGGCCTCGTTCTTGTAACATCCGGTGAGGTGTTTCGTTTTGGCGAGTTTACATTCCCTGTGGTGGTTCCCACTGGTCTACCAAACGCTAGAGTGACTGTTTCTTTTAGTCTCGGCGGTGTCCGAGGTGTTGATGTAACTGATGGGCGTGATGTCACAGACACAGAACGCACACTGGTCTTACTTGAAAGTGGAGCTGAAGTTGCTGCAATCTGAGGCTTTGACCTTGGAGTCAACGATCTTGATCTTTGAGCGTCTCCAGCTTTTTTAAAGGAAGGAGTGATTGAAGTAGTAGTAGTTGTAGTGATTCTTGAAGGAGTTGGAGATCTTGATGCTGGTGTTTTGCGTGATACGGGAGTTAGAGATCGAGAGACAGTTCTCTTTGGATATGAAACCAAAACCGAAGCTGAAGCTGAAGCTGTGGTTGTCTTCTTGGGGGCTGAAGAGGATCTGACGACAGTTGGAAATGTGGGGCCAATGTTTGAGGGACGAAGTGTTGGAATGTTGGAGGGACGAAGTGTGGGAATGTTGGAGGGTCGTATTGTTGAATTGCTTCGCGTTGGTTTTGAGGATGGATCGCTCTCAGTCTGCGCATTAAAAATCGTACATGAACCTCTTTAATTATATGATACACATGTAACTAATCATAGGAAATTTGTTGCATCGTACGTACCTTTGAAGCAGCCTTTGTAGTAGAAATGGACTGAAGCTTGGAAGTCACGTTTCTAGCTTCTAGAACCAATCTAGAAAGAGTTCCTAACGGAACCTCAGGAATGGTGTAAAGCCGCCTAAAGCAACAAATTAATTAGTATAACTTGTTTACATTAATATTCTGTTTTGAGCAATATTCAAACGAGGGGTTATATATGAAATAACTTACGGGTCATTTCCATGTTTCTTGTCATCGTCGGATTCAGGGTTAGCAATTTTAGCTTGTTCGAAAGAACGTCTTCCTGGTTTATTCAAAACAGCTGACCAAACACAACAAAACCAGCTACATCAGTAACATCAACATGGTAACAATACCTATTTGATTGAATCGTCAAGTTTTATTGAAATTAATGCATAATCAAATATCGTATTTATGTATCTCATCCTCCTCCATTCTTACTAAATTACTTGCTTTACAAGCAAACTGAAGAAATTATGGGAACCGCTAAGCAGATTAAAAGAAAAAGTGGTATTCTGTCTTAGAAGCGCACAATCTTTTGAATGCAAAATGCGACAGAAGAAAAGAAAGAGCAGTTTCAATGGTTTGTTGTTGTAGAAAAAGCACAAGTCAATGGAGGGATGGATGATAAATGATAGATTGATACCATTGAAAGAAGTGATCACAACACGGTTGACTGAGATGAGATCCAAGTTCTCGTCGGCATCTTCAACGACGATTTCATTGGGGCGGTTGCTTTTTCCGGAGAGAGACTTTTTCAGGCTCCGATCGCTCATCGGCGGTTTACAAACACACGACAGAGAATAGACGAGAACAGAATTCAGATAGAGATAAAACAGAGGAGAAAGAGAATGTTTTTGATTTTAGGTTTTGTAAATAACTAAAAAATAAAAAGGAGTTGACAAAGAAAAGAGTGAAAGAGATGTCCTATAAGAAGGTGGTGGGTGGGGCAGTTTTGAGTTTTTAAGAGAGTCAGCTTCAAGAGAAGAGGCATTTTGCATTCCGTGTGCTTTTAGTTTTCGTGTCGTTTTCTTCCAAATTTTATTATTTTTTCGACATTCTTTTTATTATTTGAAAGCTCCTTACAACACGAGAGAAGTTTAATGGGAACATAGACCTGACTATTTTATGACGTGTTGCAATATCATACACATGAAAGAAATTAGTTATCTAACTGTTTGATTTATCGGATATAATACAATTTATATGACGTGTAAATATATAACATAACCTTATCAAAAAAAATATAAATAAAATAACATAACAGCTCTTCCATGTATTCACCCATACGACTCTACTTTCGTCGGTATCACGGTATGTTTTATAAATAATTTTGTATGACTTTGTTAAGTTTTATGTTTGTACCGTTAAGTTCAGTTTACGAAGAGTATGTAATGACGATTGTTAGCGAGATCATACAATTATCCATATTGCCTCTTTATAATCCGAGTATGCAATGACCTCAAAATTAATGAAGAAGTGTGATTTAGATATGTACTGTATAATGTTGACCAAAAAAAAAAGATAAGTTTTATGTAACATATTCCATTACTACAACAGTTTATGTCAAAGACATGCAGGTAACTATCAAAAGACAAAGGATTATACATAAATTAATAATGATTTCCTCATTTCCATTACAGAATCAAAGAATAATTAACTGAAGATCAGGGTAGCCTGCTCGAGCCTTGTGCCTCTCAAACAGATCCTTAATCGCTTCCACAAACTGTCCATGGAACTTAGCAATCTGAGATGCACAAAAAACACCACACTTTAAAGAAACATTCTCTTCACACAGACACAGTAACAACGTCTAGCAGCTGAATATACAAGAAGATGATGCCAAACCTCTTCATTAGTTGGCTGCATAGTTTTTGTAACCTCTATTGGTTTACCAACCACTACGTGCATTGGGTGTCGATACGGTAACGGAGATCTACAACAAAAGAAATTGGAATACAGTTTTACTTACATCTTTCAATATTTGATAAGCAGAGTGTAACCAAAATTGAAACTAACCCAACAAAAGGTTTAGGCTTACCCAAAAACTCCCCAGAAGCAGATCGGTGTAAACCTGATGGCTCTTGATAATTTATGGTAGATGTTCCAATTCGGTTTCCACCATTTGTACACGTGTGCCTACGGTACAAACAAAGACATGAACATAAGAAACAGTTACATGATGAAAACACTACATAAAGCATACACACTTAGTGGCACAAACTCAATTTCACTACCTGACCAAAGCAGAAAACTGGAACTATAGGACTCCCCTGTTCCATGGCTAACCGCACAAATCCTCTTCTCGAGGAGAGGAAGATCGTCTACAATGTGAGTAAACAGTTGAACAAATAAACAGAATGTTGCAGGAGGTAACCAAATTGAAATAGCAAATATCTCAACTCTCAAGTAGTCCAAAATTCTAAAGGTAATCCAAATCCATCGGTATAAAACGATTTCCATGAAAACAGAAATGAATGATACTATAATGACTAATGAGTGAGGTATAAAAATAAAGAGAAAAACCTCAACACCATGTTGCATGTGACATGTCTCCTGCACACCACCAGGTACGAGGATACAACTATAGCCAGAAGCCAAAAGGGAGCTGAAATTCTTCCTAGAAGCAGGAGCGAGCCCTAACCATGTCCATATGTGCCTTAGAAACGGTGTGTAGAAAACCTAACATCCAATTTATAACAAAAACTATAAATTTTAGGGATACTATATACTACAAAGAGATGAAGCAGAGCATAATAAACTCACAGCAGAGCTTGCAAGAACTTTGATGTTAGGAAGAGGCATAAATCCTGTAAGATCAGCCAGCGCAACAGCTCCAATCGGCCAAACCGAATGTGGCTCATAACCAAAAACTGTAAATTGCAGATTACAAAGTCAACGGTATCACAAAACCCATCTTGAAAGCTTGAAACTTTAAGAGAGTTAAGAAGAAGATTTTGACGGACCATAGGAACGATTGGGCTGAAAAGCTTCGTAATCCTCGACGTGAAGAGAGACGGGGAAATAACATGATGCGTGCTTACATATGTACCTAGCGAGGATACGACCGTATTCGCCACGCTCGTTGATTGGGATGAAGATAAACAGAGAGAGCAAGGCAAAGCCCCTGAAAACAAAAAACAGAGGATTTCAAAAGAGTTTAGCTTGAAACTTGTAAAATCAAAGAGAGATAGAAACAGAGGGAGAGAGAGGGGAATTGTATGTATATACAGGAGAGATAGAGAAGGAGGGAGGAAAATGAGGGAAAGGAGAACAAGAGCGGCGATCAAGTGAATGGAGCCAAGCCAGACGGCTATGGCGATGATTGAGTGGAATACGTTTGAGGAATGTTGCTCAGCTCTGAAGTCTCTGCTTCCGCCCATATCGCCAGCTCCGGTTGATGACTCTTTGGTTTGTCCGCTTCACGGACGAACGTAAATCGTAGATTCGAGATCCTCCCAAGACCAACCTCTCTCTCTCTCTCTCTCTCTCTGGGATCTGTGACAAAAATTATGAGCCCAAAGAACCAATCTTTATAAACAAACTCATCATCATCTTTGAAGAGCCCACAAAAGTTCATTTTCAAAGAAGCGTAATAATTGGCGATTTGGCGTTTTTCAAAGTATTTTTTGGGCCATGTCTTTTGCAATTTTCATATTCACCAATTGACCACTCCAAGTCTCTAAACAATTTTGGATACCACTTTGACTAGAGATATCTTCCAAAGGGATCACTCCTGCTTCCTCTGTTTTGATAAATTGAGCCTAGAGCTTGTCTTGTTTCCACTTCTTTCTTCAATTTTGTTTATATTCAACTGGATTTGGATACATCACATTCACACACAACAATCACATGATTTTGCAGTTGATCCTTTCTAGGAATAGCCTTTGCTCAAGCAGAGCCAGACTATTACTAGTTCCATCAAGTAATGCTTTTGACTCGCATCTCCTAGCAACAATGAAATCAACCAATGTCTTTCCACAACGACTTGGATCTGTACAGAAACTCATTCAACAGATGGTGATATAACCATCAGCTCATGTGTTCTTAAACCAAGATGAGGGAATGTTAGTCTGCTAGTTTAGCTAGTTGAACACTAGTCTGCTAGTTTAGCAGCTGCAGCATTTACTACTCCTTGGAACATGACATTGTTAAAATGACAAAACTTTGGCGGTTAATATATAGTGAAATGTGAAAAGAGGCTTTCTTTTAACAATGCAGAATTATAATTTCAAAGTATGAGGTGGAGGACAACAATCATTGTAAAAGTTTCGGAAAGCACATAGACTTTTAACGAAAGCCATCTCTTTTATCTTGCTCCGCAGCTTCCTTGTTAGCAGCTTCAACGGATTTGAACCATAAGAATATCTGCAGACAAAAACTCACTTCTTCAGCTGATGAAACAACACAAAGATCAAATGGAAGAAAAAAAAAGAGAGAGATGGAGAGAAGGAAACTCACAGAAGTGGGGATTCCAGTAAGAGCAAAGAATCCAAGCACAGGAGTATAGAAGATGCTGTCAGACTCCAATACCCCAAACACTGGATTCTTACTCGAGTACTCAAAAACAGAACCAATCTACAGTTATCAAAAGTTGCATAATGTTAACATCTTAGATATCAGTTAGTAGTAAACAGACAAAGGAGGAGAGAGAGAAAGAGAGAAGAATCGTACAGCAGCAATGGCAGTAATCGCTGAGGCTAGGAGATACACAAAGAAGGGAACCTCAAAACTCTCTTGCGATGTAGAAGAACGACCTTCCTCTCTAGCCCATGGAGGTGGCTCATCCGAGTCAGGATCCGCCCAAGAAGGTTGACTCTCTTTAGATTTCCTTGATCCTTCCGTCGCAGCCGTCACGACCAATCTCCTCACTCTACTACGTTCGTGAACCATTGCGTTTCTCTTCACAGCCGGAAGATGGCTTGGAAATGATGTTCTGGTGGGTAAACGGCTGCAACACTCATCACCATGGCTCAGACAAAAACTAGTCGGAAGAGTCGCTAGAGGAGATGCAGCCATTTACGCGGTTTACGAAGACGAAAGAAGACAATCTCGACTTTAGTCTAAAACAGATTCTCAACCGGTAAAACGATTTCGAGCCACACATTTTCAGTTCTTGAAAAAAATCTATTTTATCCATCTTTAGCATCCTAACGTGGATGAAGGACACGTGGTGCAACCCAAAAACGATTCTTTAGACATAGCATTTGATTTAGCTTGAAAATACACAAGTGAGTGAGATTCACAAAACAGCTCAAAGTTATGTAACCAGAGAGACTATGTGACTATATAAGGTTGGTTTTGAAGTTTGTACATGATGAATCAAGGATCAACTAAACCTTCCATTACAACGAGTTTGTCCAAGAGCTCAACTTTCTCATTTTCAAGTGCTTTGACATCGTCTTCCACTTCTTTCAATTCTTTCTCCAATGCGAAGCTGTCTTCCTCCAGCAGCAAATACTCGCGCCTCAGTACTCTGTACTCGTTTCCCGAAGATGAATCTGAATTACACATCTCTGGTTGATGATGGGAGATCGCGTAAACCTGCTCCGATTTGGTCTTCGTTGAAGACTTTTTCCCGATTCGCGGTGGCAATTGGGTCAGTGATTGTTTCGGAGTAGGATTCTTCTTTCTCTTTGGTTCGGAAAACGGTGGAATCTTCGGATTTTGCATCTCTGCCCAGATCAAAAAGAAGAAATCTTGAGCTTCTCCATACAAGAATTAAAGCGAAAAGAAAACAGCTCCCAGAGTAACCATAGAAGAAATTCAACGATGTTGATCAAAGGAAACACTCAGAAGCAGATTATAGATTATTAATTCCTCACAAATCGAGATCTCACAGTAGGACTAACCTGCAATCAGCGTTCTAGGGTTTCGCAGACCTCTTCGGAAGAGAATTTGGGAAAGCAGATTGTGAAATTGCGGGAAGACGACGATTGAGTTGGTTTGGGTTTAATGATTTTAATCTAGAACCGTCATTTGCTTAAACCGTAAAGTCTAACCGATTGGATTGGACTACATGAACATGGCCCAATAATAACGCCGGTTTAACGTCCGGTCCGATTATTTTTAAAATTCTCGTCATTGATTAGGCCAATCAGTAAGTCATCATCAAACTCTGATTTTGGAGGGAAAGAGTATGATCTTGTGGAGATGACATTATGCATAATCAAACACTGCTCGCTAAAGAGAGAGATTTATGCATCTATATTTAGAAAAAAAAATTGTGTAGGTAAGTTTAGAAGAGTGGAGTGAGACCTTACTATTTGGGAAATTACAGAATATGAAAATTTTGCAAACAGAAGAAGCGATCAAAGGAGAGAGCGAGAGTTTGTTGTCACCTTCTTCTCCTTTTTTTCCTCCTCTTGACCAAACCAACTTCTCAAATGCTGCATGCTTCTAATTAATCACACTTTAATTAATATACAATTTTTTTCTTTCTATTTGTAAGGAAACAAAACACAAAATCATCTTTGACCAACTGTAATAACAACTTTTGTTATTTTTTTCCGTTCTTGATCTCTTTCTTTCTTGGTTTGTGAAAAATAAATGATTTTAGGACACTAAAGTATCTCTTCAGAAGGCATAAACGTGATGTTCTTCTATAAACTGGATTATTGATCGTGGAAAGTAATTAACAACAAAATCAGGATGAGGAGCGTAGTGCTTGTTGCTTTGGCCGCTGCAATAGGGAATATGTTGCAGGGCTGGGACAATGCCACCATTGCAGGTTTTCTTCTCTTTCTTCTCTTTTCTTAACATGTAACTACGTAAAAGCAATGATTCTGATGTTTGATATCTATTTTGGTCGCATGCAGGAGCTGTGATTTACATAAAGAAAGAATTCCATTTGGAGAAAGAACCAAAGATAGAAGGATTAATCGTAGCAATGTCTCTCATCGGAGCCACTATGATCACAACATTCTCTGGTCCTGTCTCTGACAAAGTCGGAAGGCGTGTGATGCTTATACTCTCCTCTCTTCTCTACTTTATGAGCAGTATCATCATGTTTTGGTCTCCCAATGTCTACGTCCTCCTTTTCGCAAGGCTGCTCGATGGCTTTGGGATCGGTCTAGCTGTCACTCTCGTCCCAATCTACATCTCTGAGACCGCACCTTCCGAAATCAGAGGACTGCTCAACACTTTCCCTCAGTTCTGTGGATCCGGTGGGATGTTTCTATCGTACTGTCTTGTCTTTGGTATGTCGCTTGAAGAATCTCCCAGCTGGAGGCTCATGCTCGGAGTTTTGTCAATCCCTTCCATTCTCTACTTTGTTCTTGTGGCTTTCTTCTTGCCTGAATCTCCGAGGTGGCTTGTCAGCAAAGGCCGGATGGATGAAGCTAGACAGGTTCTTCAGAGACTCCGTGGCAGAGAAGACGTTTCAGGCGAGCTTGCTCTGCTGGTTGAAGGGCTTGGGGTGGGAAAGGACACGTCGATAGAGGAATATGTGATTGGACCGGACAACGAGGAAAACGAAAGCGGACATGAACTGCCAAGGAAAGATCAGATAAAGCTATACGGGCCAGAGGATGGACAGTCATGGATGGCTAAGCCGGTGAAAGGGCAGAGTTCTCTGGCGTTGGCGTCACGGCAAGGCAGCATGTTACCGCGTGGCGGATCCATGGTGGACCCGCTTGTCACTCTCTTTGGCAGCGTTCATGAGAAACTCCCTACTGAGAACATGAACGCGTCATCAAGAAGCATGATCTTCCCCAACATGGGAAGTATACTTGGAATGATGGGAAGGCAGGAGTCTCAGTCTCAGTGGGATCCAGAGAGGAACAACAACGACGACGACAGCTCTGACCAAGATGAAAGCTTGAACAGTCCTCTGCTCTCTCCGCAGACTGAGCCGGACGACAGCTACCAGCGTCCTGCTGGGACCATGCAAAGGCGACAGAGCAGCTTGTTTATGGCAAACGTGGGTGAGACGGCAACAGCTACGAGCATAGGCGGTGGATGGCAGTTGGCGTGGAAGTATAATGATAAAGTTGGTGCAGATGGTAAGAGAGTCAATGGAGGGCTACAGAGAATGTATATTCACGAGGAAACGGCCAACAACAACACCAACAACATTCCTTTCTCGAGGCGTGGATCGCTTCTCTCCTTCCACACAGAAGCTGGTTGTCCTGATCATGAGAATGGATACATTCAGGCTGCTGCACTTGTGAGCCAAGCTTCGATGATGCCTGGAGTTAAAGGCGAGACTGCAATGTTGCCACGGGAGGTTAAAGAAGCTGCTGCTCCAGGCTGGAGGGAGCTGATGGAACCAGGTGTGAAGAGAGCGTTGATGGTTGGAGTTGGGCTTCAGATACTTCAACAGGTAATGTAATAGTTATCTTTATTTGATCAAGTTGGTATCTAAAATGTAGAAATATGTAAAAGGAGAGGAAGCATGTTTGCAGTTTGCAGGAATAAATGGAGTGATGTATTATACACCTCAAATATTGGAAGAAACAGGTGTGTCGAGTCTTTTGACAAACCTTGGAATAAGTGGAGAGTCTGCATCGCTCCTCATCAGCGCCTTGACCACACTCTTGATGCTTCCCTGCATTCTTGTTTCCATGAGGTTAATGGATGTCTCTGGGAGAAGGCGAGTTCTCTCTGCTTTTGCTTCTCTCTTTTTTTCAGTTGAATGGTAATAAATTGTAAAAGTAGCAAAACGTGATTGCAGGGCTCTGATGCTTTCCACAATCCCCATTCTAATAGTGTCGCTGGTAACGCTGGTGATAGGGAGCTTGGTGAAGCTTGGAGGCCAAGCAAACGCATTGATATCGACAGTTAGCGTTGCCGTGTACCTATGCAGTTTCGTGATGGGTTTTGGAGCAATCCCCAACATCCTCTGCTCAGAGATCTTCCCAACCTCTGTGCGTGGTCTCTGCATCACCATCTGTGCCCTCACTTTCTGGATATGTGACATCATCGTCACATACACTCTCCCTGTGATGCTGAAATCGCTTGGTCTTGCGGGAGTCTTTGGCATTTATGCATTTGTTTGTGCTGTCGCGTGGGTTTTCGTGTACCTCAAAGTACCGGAGACAAAAGGAATGCCTCTTGAAGTTATCTCCGAGTTCTTCTCTGTCGGTGCAAAACAGCAAGACGCTGCAGCTTCGTTTCTCGCTGATGACTGACTTTTCTTTTCTCTTTCGCCCTTTATTCAACTTTCCTGCTGTACTTTGAACACTTCAATAATAACAAATCCATTACCAATAGCTTGAGCTTATATAATCTTGGTTATGTAGCTGCAAATTGGAAGGATCTTTCCTTTTGTAAACATGAGAAGAGAAGCAGAGTTTTTTACATTTCTGTTGTACATCAAAATCACCATGACTCAAGTGTAGCAAACAAAGAGGGATTTAGTTACATACTAGAGCCATAAGGAGGCTTCTCTTGTGCATTTCATTTGCTGGAAACACTTAAGCTGCAAGGACTTGAAGCATTTACTCAGATAGTTTCAAGCTGCCTTTCCCTAGAAGACCGAGCCTTGGCGTCTTCTTCTTTCTCTTTCACAAAGGAGAGAAAGGAGTGGATACGTGCGGACGGTGAGCTTCTTCTCCTTATCGCACCATCTGCTTCTTCAGGACAGCGTCGTCCGAACTGACGTATCATCAACACTATATACACTGCAAGAGCAAGAACGCATGCAAGTCCACACGCCACAAACAATCCCCAAAAGCTCTTAAGCTCCAACCTGTCCACTTCTATCTCTGCGCCTTGCAAGGAACAAGCTTTCCTTAGCAACCATTTGTCTCGAATTCTCTGCAAGTCTCCATTTTCTGATAGCTGCAAAATCGCCGTTGAAACGTCAACCGCCAAAGGTGAGTTACGTGGGAATGCCTGAACAATGGGAAGAGCAAAACGTCATCAGTTCTACATACTATGCTTGCCAACGATTATCATCAAACAGACTCAGAACGATACTCACAAATCCCCATCCGTTTTTTGTGAACTCTTGACCAACTATGCCGAACTCGCATCGGTTTGAGAGGAAAAGCTCTATGTATGCACGTTCATCAACAACAGCAGCAACACCACCTTTTCCTGGCCAATCTCTCAAGGCTTTATCGTATTCCTCTGGAGTTTGAAGAGGGACCAGTCTTGACTCATGGATGCCAAGCTCGTGAACCAAATAGTCTCTGACAAACGAGCCTTGTGGATACCCAATAGGATCATTATTCGTTTCCAAAGTTTCTATGCCCTTGATTGGCGAAGACAGCTGATGAACTGTGAGGATTGACGTGAGGCTCGCTGTATAACTTGAGTTGATTATGAGAACTACGAATAGCCATATTAGCAGCACTATTCGTCCAAGGTTTGTGATGGTTGTCTCTCCTGTATAAATTTAGCCAAAAAATCTGAAATCTTATGCCAGTTATAAAATGCAGAACAACTAAAGAAAGAAGAGAGTGTGGAGAGTACACTTACTATGTGAGAAGAAAAGAGTTGAAAAGCTGAACCTGCAAAACAAACGAAATATTTCAGAGATAACAACTGATTTTTATTTTAGTAGAGTAATTGAAATTGAGTCCATCTAGTTGGAGCTTATTCTGTTCTCACCAGAAAGTAGTCATGACTTGTCTACGAGGAGGGCCTCGAAATTCATCGTTCTGTTTGTGCTCCAGAAACCAAATGACAGCACCGACTATAAGGAAAGAGGCAGCTGCAATAAGCCACATCTGGGGAGTGAACGGCCTCAAGAACGCCATAGCACTGGAACCCAACTTTCGAACAGGAGCCACCACCACTAGCCCTGACTCCACATACGGCTGAGTAAAATCTGCCATTTTGGTTCTCTCTGTTATGATAGTGATATCACCAACACCTGCATCATAGACCTGTATAAAAAACGATATTTTAGCCCCAAACAAGTCACTAGAGCCATCATCATAACAGATTCTAAAGGAGTTTCCTATGTACTCACCCCAGCTGTTATCAAGCGCACTAGCTCAGAGTTACTTGGATTGTCATGACCGTTCCCAAAAGCTACCAGCTCAAACGGGACTGCATAAGGTAATAAGCTGAGAGCGGCAACAAAGACATCAACACAGAAGCCAGTGATGATCCCGTTGCTCTTAACTGAGATAACCTCTTCGAACCTGTTACGGTTAGGAACTCCAATCCTCAAATGCCTTCCATTGTTCGAGAACACCCATCCACGGGGATTTTGTGTCGTCTGTCCTGGCCAGACAACACTGTGAAGCTTCTGTCCCGAAAAAGATGTGTTCCGCTGCTCGTCAGGAGGCATCACAGACAAGCCTAGATGATTACACCAGTAACCTATGGTCCTATAACCAGTGCCAATGACATTAAGCACATCAAATGCTGGATTTACAAGGTTCCTGTCTTTAGTGAACTTCATCCTTCCGGTTAAGCCGATTCTATCAACCTGTAAGATGCTCTCAAGAAACATGTTTCCTCCGTCAAAGACTTTCAGAGCATCAAGGTGCAAGTTTCCACCCCTAAGCTCAGATATAATCGGATTCCTTGAAAAGGAAACGTTTCCACCTCTCTGGAAAAAATCTTCAATGGCGTGAGCAAGAAGCCAAACAGTGTCGTAAGCATACAGTCCATAAGTGCTCAGTCCAACATGAGTTAATTTACGCCACCGTTGAACGAAGTTCTTCTTCATGACAGAGTTAGGAGTGTGCAGGCGCAGAGCAATGACCCCTTGAATGTTATTCATTGTGTCCATGGGAAGAGGAAAGTCTGTATCTATGATTGTAGAAAGCCAGTTGGTAGCAATCCACACGTAACCAGTGCTCATCATACCAAGATACTGAGCCACATTGAACACCTCTAGTCCCCAGATGAAAGAAGCGTGAACAACAATGATCCGTGACTCACTCAAAGCTACCTTAATCAGCATGTTAGTAATGTTCTCTTTGGTAGGTTCTGGGGGCAAAGCTGCTTTGTATGAGATTCTGCAACGCTTCTCTGCTAACTTGTCTCCCAAGGCAGCTACCCCATTTTGCCCATAATCATCATCGCCATATATTGCTATGACTTCTCGCCAACCGTAGAAGTGAACAATGTCTGCTATGGCGGCCATCTGAAAGAGATCATTTTGTGAAGTTCTGATGAAGTAAGGGAACTGCAGAAGAGACATGGTAGGGTCTGTGGCAGTGAAGGATAGTATAGGAATCTTCAGTTCTGTTGCAACGTGAGATACTACACGGGCAGAGGATGATCTCTGGGGCCCAATTATAGCCACTGTCTCAGACTCCATGAACCGCAGAGCTATCAGAGTGAAATAAAACCAATCAGTCAGTAATATGGACATAAGGATACCTAAATGTCGTAGTACTAGAAACAAGAGTAGATCACGCATAAACAAACCAGAAGAAGGAACTAACGGAACTACGTCAGAGTAAAACACATAATGATCATTCAAACAATCACAGGACAGTCTCACTTACGTTCCATGATGCTCATGAATCCATTGAATTTTGTGTCATGCATGATGATCCTGAGTTTGGTGTTGTTAAGAACACTGGGGTTGGCATTCACGTCTTCAATAGCAGTCTCCATAGCAACTTTGATGACTCTGCCGATGAGAGAGTTGAATGTGAAAACCGAGCCAATGTTCACAACTTGGGGTCTCGCAGAGACATTTGTGGTGAATCCTTCTTGCAGAGGAACTGCACCGCAGACAACGAGTAAAAGCAGAAGCCACTTCATCTTTCTCCTCAATTTCAGCAGCTTCCTGTTTCAGAGAGTAGAGAGAAACGAAGGTCAAGTTATTGAGTCACTGAAATCACCAAACAAACTCTGGAATGTTGAAGGAGGATATATGCCTAACCGGTCGCTTTCTCACTGAGCGTGAGGGAATGGTGGAGCAAGTAATTGAGTGCCCCTTGACAATCAAGAAAGTGGAGATCCTTTGTGAATGGTGGTCACAGATTCACTCTCACACACTCATATCCTTGTGTCTCAGTGGAAACAACACTTCATCGATGATCTGTCATCTGTGGCATCTTTCCCTCACCCACTCTCTTTCTCATATGAGTACTTCCACATCGAAGTCAGAAGCTCCCTTTAATACCAAAAAGACCACTCAGATTTTACACACAGAAAAAGCTCAGCTTTTGCGCATTCGTGTTAGTGCGCTAAAAAAAAAAAAATCTCAAGTCAACACCTTTTGCTTTCCAACCCAAAAAAGAGCAAAAGTTTGCAATTGTTTGATGGGTAATTGTACTTGGACAGAAACCCAGATTCACAATTTCAAAATCTTAATATCCTTTGTTAATTAGAAAGAAAAAAAAAACAGAACAAAATTCGGAGAGCAATGGAAAGAGAGAAAATGTACCAAATGAAACTGTCTTTAGGGTTGTGGAAAATGATTCAAAAGCTGATTAAAAGTCCACCCCTTTCCGATGCGAAAAATGCCAATCAATGGGCTTGTTCGAGAGTAAAACCCAGACACAACCTTCATCTTTCACGCTCAAGCTTCTGTGTGCGCTTGCTCTGTGTTATAATAGGAAGAGGAAGGAGACGGAAAAAAGGGAAAGTAATAAAGTTACTATATTTATTATTTAGTATTCAAATTGATAAAGGAGAAGTTACCACACGTGGCATCGAGAGAGTTAATTGGTGAGTAAAATAAGGAGAAGGTAGCTATTTTTATATTTAAAGTGATGATTCTAAAAAAACAGAAAGCTGATCGGAATCTGGAAATGGCAACGGAGACGGAAGTTTCGCCGATGATTAACAATCTGGAGGTCGGAGATGACAAAATGGCTCACACCAGCGCCTCCGGCAAGCCTCCACGGAATATCTCCGCAATGCGCCATTGCAATAGCACTGCTTGGTTGATCGATTCCGTTGGTTCATCTCTTCTTTGCTGATTTTTTTTCTCTTCAAATGTAGCTTAGATCGGACGTGAATCTTTCCGATTGGATCTCTTTACCTAATCAATGGGATTTTGCGAAATTCAAAAGCAATTCTTACAATTTGAATTGGAAAATGGCGCAGGAAGGAGACGAGAGATTTGGCGCAAAATCCCCAGAAGGAGTAAACTCCACATTCCAGCCCGTGTTCAGATCGGGAAGTTGGTCGGATAAAGGCCCGAAGCAATCCATGGAAGACGAATTCATCTGCGTCGACGATCTCACGGAGCATATCGGATCATCCACAGGAGCTTTCTATGGGGTATATATATATATATAAAGTCAAAATTGTTGAGATCTGATCATCGAATGATGCTAATGTGTTTGTTGTTATGTAGGTGTTTGATGGGCATGGAGGTATTGATGCAGCAACGTTCACAAAGAAGAACATTCTGAAACTTGTGACGGAAGACAAACATTTCCCAAGCAGCACGAAGAAGGCAACAAGAAGCGCCTTTGTGAAAACGGATCATGCTTTAGCCGATGCTTCCACTCTCGACAGATCCTCAGGCACCACCGCACTCACCGCTCTCATCTTGGACAAGACGATGCTGATCGCAAACGCAGGTGACTCCAGAGCCGTGCTCGGGAAACGCGGCAGAGCCATTGAGCTCTCAAAGGACCACAAACCAAACTGTACTTCAGAGCGGCTACGCATTGAGAAGCTTGGAGGTGTTATCTACGACGGTTACCTTAACGGGCAGCTCTCGGTGGCTCGAGCTTTAGGGGATTGGCACATTAAAGGAACCAAAGGGTCGCTCTGCCCGCTAAGCTGCGAGCCGGAGCTGGAGGAGATTGTGCTTACGGAGGAAGATGAGTATCTTATAATGGGCTGTGATGGACTGTGGGATGTTATGAGTAGTCAGTGTGCAGTGACAATGGTGAGGAGAGAGCTGATGCAGCATAATGACCCTGAGAGATGCTCTCAGGCTCTGGTCAAGGAGGCTCTCCAACGTAACAGCTGTGATAATCTTACTGTAGTGGTGGTGTGTTTCTCGCCGGAGCCGCCGCCTCGGATTGAGATACCAAAGTCGCATAAGAGGAGGAGCATATCTGCTGAGGGATTGGATCTCCTCAAAGGGGTTTTGGATGACTTGTGAAGGAAGTGAGAGCAAAGGTGAAAAAGGTAAGAAGAGAGTTGCTTTTATTTTTTTTTGTTTTCCTCTTTTGACAGGAAGATCAGAGATTCCAAGTCGTGTGTGTGTGTGTTTTTTCTCTGGTTTTCCAAGTTTTGATTCCGTTATTCTTTATTTGTGAGGAATTGTTTGTTTACCCCATTTTTTTGTACTGTAGATCTTTACTATATCTAAATGATTTTTTAATATTTGGTTTGAAAAGGATCAGTCTTTGGCCGTTAAAACCGTTGCATGATTGATTGAGATCAATTCATGTCATTACCATTTCACACGATTGAAGCGCAAGCCTAAACTCTTCCTTCCACAGTGCCATGCACAGATTTCTCTTTCTAAAAAGTTGTTATTTACCAAGCGGTTGAATTATATATTTTGCTTGGATCCAAAAACTAGAGATGGATGTTCGAATACTCAGATCGGATTCGTCTCGGATTTTTTAATCCAGTAAAAACTGATACCAATCAGACATTTTTTGAATTAGTTGCAGTAAAAAAAGAAAGAAAGAATTAGTTTTGATTTCATACTCTTCAGACATGAAAAAGACGTACGTGTTGATTGTAACTTGTAATTGTATCGAGTCACTGAAGGATGGAGTGTGAGAGTTTTAAAACGTAAGGGATCCCCACCTGAGACAATTGCCTCTATGTAGGTCCAACTTTGATACAACAAATAAAAGAAACAAATAACAAACCGAGAAAACTTTATGCTTCAACTCGAGCTCATGTCCTGGTTAGTGATCACAATGGTCACCCGAGTGGAGAAGAAGAAGATGGATCAGCCTCTGGGTTTGTGCAGACGAGGCCGGTTGCAGAAGATCCGGCCATTGGCCCTAACCAGTGCTGTTATGCCCACACAGATGCCCGTCCACAGGAACGAGAAGAACAAGTGCTTATGCTTGTAATCACTCCCAACTGCTCATCATTTTATACAGTTTTAGATTTTAAGTTCCAAAGAAAATACTCTTAACCGTCCAGCAAAAGAAGGATCAGACTTGCCTTGTTTCAGAGACATTGTTGCAAACCAGAAACTGAGCAGAACCACCGCCAATGCCACTGGGAAGTTCTGAGAAATCAAAATTACTTTGTTGTTAGACTATGATTCTTTATATGCTGAAAAAGTAATGGTTTTAACATGAATGCTTACAGCTACAGCCTCGAGGCCTCCCTTTTGAGGCACAGGAGCCGTGTCTCGGCTCACAGCAACTATGTAGTGCCCTTGCAGGAGATCAATCGCATCCTTTTGCACAAAGCCAAAATTAACTAGAGTCAGGATACGACAAGCAGTCGCACACAGTTGTACGTATTATTACAACTGACAGTATTAGAAGATATGACAAGTGTGGTTACTGAGAATGCAAAGCCACCGACCTGCTTAGTTCCATCAGCGAAGTTATTCAGGTAATAGCGTACGAGAGAGCTCCATCCATCTTTCAGGACACCTTGCGCAGTCCGATGCCCGTACCTAGAATTCATCCAGTTAGAGAGACACATCACTACATCAGATGGCATGTAGAGTTAATCTACAGAACACTTTCTTCTTAAGATGAAAGCATATTGCCTTATAGCCAGGACATATTCAGACTTGAATATCAAACATATCGCAAAAGTACCTGACAAAGTCTCCTTTAAGTGCAGGGGTGCCAGAGTACTGAATACTGATGTCATCACCATGATTAGCCCATACTGAAAGGCGAAAGCACATAAGCAAAAGTTATAAGTTCGGAGATTTTCTACAAAGATAAGAGACTGACATATTTTGTAGCGTTCGTCAAAATTCAGATGCGAGCTTATGGTTTCTTCAGCGCCAAAAACACCAATCCTTTTGAGTTGAAGTTCTAGCATCTTTCGACCTATCATGCTCTGCACTTGGCAGGAAGTATGCGGCATGGATGAGCAAAGGCCAATGAGATAAGATAAGAGCAGCATCATAACATTATTAAGACTAACCTGGGTGACATTTGTACGGTCTAGGCAATCTATGCAGTTTGTTCGGACAACACCAAGCTGCTCCTTCATTTTCTCACCCTTGTCATTCATCAGAAAGTACCTGTGTAAATTCAGAGACTGCAAAATGACATGCTGTTTTTTTTTTCTTTCATAATTGCATATTTCAAGATTACATAACTAGAAGAAATTCATACCCATTCTTTTCGAGAAAACTCTCAATCTGCTCGTACAGAATTGATAACCGCTCAAAATGGATATGCCCACAGATTTGATGGAAATCGAAGTGCAGGTATCTACAGGATAAGGCACCTTCTTTAAATGAGTTGAAGACAATTAGGAAAACTGTCTAAGAAGCACGATAGACTCATATTAACTACCTTATATCATCCCCAGTAAGGTGCTGCATAACACTAGCAAACTTCTCGCTTAAGCGCCCCTCACCACCATGCTGATTAGAGAAGAAGCAATTGATAAATAAAAATTTGAACAAGATCTATCATCTATGCAAGGCACTTGATTTACAGACCAAGATGTGCTCACAAACATGACGTGTACCACATCTAGAGTCACATAACTGCACAAATACTCAAGTCAATCTGCAAGAATACGTACCTTGTTAACAAGATCAACTGCAAAAACTGATCCATATTTTTTCCTTAAGTCCAAAAAGTGACGCTCAGCTGTCCGTGTCTGCAAGAGAAGCACCCAATGTGAGTTACTTAAAAGAGGTAAAGTTCTAACAGAGCAAATGGTTAATTTGAAATTAGTACTCACAGCTTCTTCAGGTTGGACAATCTCAAACTTGGGCTTGTAAGTAAGATCTACAACTTGCTCCCACATAAAAGGTATGGATCCTCTGACCTGCAAATGTTAAAGGTAAAATAACATAACAAATTCAATCTTGGATAATTTGGTCTAGAGAAACATTGTATGCAAAAATTAAAACAACACATGTAAATGATATATCTATAAGAAAATTCACAATATGCGAGGCAAGCATGTAAAAAGAACACCTGAACAAATGATGACGAATATCCATTCATCTGTACAATTTGCTCAGTCTCCACAAAATTTGCAACGTAGCCATCGGCATCAGCTCCTCTTCGCCACATACGTGTACCTTTAAAAAGATCCGAGATAAGGGAAAGACCATCCCAATCACAACACAATAATAATCATCATCCGAAGATGACATATCATCTCCTATCTATCCAAAGGGAATAATTTCAATAATGATGTTATGGTGCCAACCATGGTGATTTCAAATACTGAAAACAAGTCCCATCAAGTTCTGTCAATATCTGAATTCCTTGTTATAGTTATCTAGGAGAAGTAGTAGTCAAACAAATGATTATAGTCCCAGCTATCTACTTACATATTCACACTAAAAATAAATGAATTTCCCTTTCTCATGGATTGTTACAAAAAAATAGTGCAGCAAGACAAGAATGTACCGTTTCTCCTAGTGCATCTCCTTGCAATCAGGGTAACATCAACAATATCTTTTCCAATGGCTGTTTCAAAGCTATTAAAACGTGATTGAGGGTTAAGGAAAGATTCATTCAATAATAAAACTTAGCCATTACGAGGAAATAGAAGAAAGAGGAGTTAAAAAAAATGATAACAAAAGGATATTCCCTTGAATTACTGGAAGCAAGAACTGATCAACCTGCAAATTTATAACAACATAAGGTAAGATATTCTGCAAGTACAGAAACAAGGGGATGTGACAAATTTAAGAACCTCAGGGACACACTAACCTTATTATCGATTAGAACTTCCAACATGTAATTGTTCCAAAGAAACCTCTGCTCAGCCTGTCAAAAGGAACACAGCAGCACCAAAATAAGTTAGTTACAGTTCTGTCACAAACAAACAACAAGGAAAGACTAATTAATGTTTATAAATAAATTTAACAAAATCAGTAATATGGTCACCTGTCTCCACAGAGGAAGTGACTTAGACTCCTCACCCAAATCATGCAAGCGCTGTGAGCTGAAATCACAAAACGAAAAGATCAGACTAAAAGGAAATAACAGCAGAATCGTTAATGAGTACCATGACGGATATTTTCAGATGAAATTGTCAACATCAATGTGTAAGTAGAACGCATCATAAGGAAGAAGATAAAATCGATTACCTCAGTGTTAAGTTAACTTCATATGAAAAATAGAGACCAGTTGTCTTTTCTGCGACACTCAACAGCCTGGAGAACTCAGTCTCCATCTTTTTCTGCCAAAAGAAAGTGGTACACAATGCTTTGAGAATTTGAGATCCATCATTACTGCTAATATATATTTAACAGAAAACTGGGGCACAGAGTTATTTACCTGTTCTTCAGGCGAGTTCTTAAGTGAATGATCACAAGGAAGAACCTTGAGCGAGGTAATTTTGAAGATAGGATGGCCCAGAAACGAGCCAACACGCTCACTCTCAGTTACAACCACCAAGTATGATCCTGAAGTCAAAGAATATCGCAATCTAATCAAACTCTAGGATAGCTTCCAGATCTAATAATAAACACCTGAAGCATACACAGGAACTTAGACATTATTGATCTATAACATAATTGTTTCTAAATTCTAACCTGCGAGGAGCTTCAACATCCCAACCACACCAAAAATGGAATGGATTTTGGGGACACGCAAGGAATTGCTTTCTGCGACTCGATCTGAGCAGAGTAGGCACAGAAGAGACGCAAGGAAAGAGGATCAGAAAGCAACCATTTTCCCAGTAAAAGCAAAATGTTTGGAATAGAGAAACGAACCGATAAGCTTCATGGAGGCATCGACACGACTAATCTCCAAGCATGGAGCGCCTGCCCCATCAGCTGGTTCGATGATATACTGATCGGGAAATTCCCATAAACGTAAACGGGAGTGCAATTTGTTCCGAGAATCCGACGACTCCATACTAAAATCGACAGAACGACACGGAAAATTCACAAATCGTAGGGGGGGAACAACAAGAAGAGAATCCGTAAAAGCAAAGGGAAATGATGAAAGGAGAAAAGTAGAAGATCACCTGAGCTGAGGAAACGGAGATCTGAAGCTTCGTCGGAAAACGTCGGAAATTAGGAAAATCGAATTGTGCGAAGAATTGAAGTATGGTATGCGTAGAACGTGCAATGATTATAATCGTTGGATCAAGTCTTGAGTCTGAAATCTTAGTGGGCGACCACCACGTACCTTTCAAAGCCAACTAGCTTCTTTAAGGTCATCGGTTCGATTTTCCTTCTTACCATCTTTACTTATAATATTTAATATAACGTTATTCCATCCATTGACTTTAAAATTCATGGGATAAGTAGCAAAATTTTATCCAGTCACTTGTCCTTTCTTTTTCATCATTATACCAAATCACCAGTCAATTGATTTAATTTGAAAACTTATGTAATTAACATTTTGAGTGGATTACAATTTATGTTCATGGTACTGTGTACTAGTGTGGTCCTTATCATTTTCTATGTAGGAGTATGTTTAGAAATCAACGTTCCATGCTACTAATATTCGAGAGAGAAAGATCCTAGTCATCATCATTATTCTATTGGACGATGTCGATAAGTTTACATTGTACTGTCTAGTATTGAAATGATAGGAAGAGTTAGTACTTTATATAAACTTGATGATGTTTAAAGCCACTTCTGTGCAGGATATTTCAGGAGATCGAGTCGCATTATATGTGAATGCAAGAGGCTCCCACAATAGAGATGATTCCCAATTTTGACTCCAGTGGTTATGTGAGAGAGTTTATGATCACGGTACAATGCAATTGGATTCCCATCCAAATCCACCTGCAAAACTCCAGCATTCTCCAAACCTATGGGATTGAAACCGTACTTAACCGTCATATCTGTGATTTTCCTCAAGAAGGGGTACTTCATCAAGAGCTTCCACAACGTTGTTACTGTCTGTTTACAAAACAGAATCAAATGACATGGGAACTACTTGACGTGGATCATAATCTTGAAAAACCAAAAGATGTCAGTTTTACCGTAGGCATCGCAATCCAGTAATGTCCATCTCCATCGTACCGGATGTTATCTGGAAAACCGGGTAAGCCTTGAATAAACACCTCAACACGCCCTCCATTGATATAATACTTACTGCATCTTCTACTGAAAGACAACAAAATGACAAAAATTCAGATGAGAATTCAATGCACATCGAGGAGTATACGAAAGAGAGAAACGTATAGATGAAAGAGGACATGTGTGTTTCGCAGAAGACGAGATGGGTTTGATCAGGAGACATGGAGACACCATTAGCGAAATAAAGGTCTCTGAGGAGGACACGTGTGACTCTTGTAGTGGGGTCAAAGCTCATGAGACGGCCATGAGGTTTGCCTTCCAAAATGTCAAAGACACACTGTTGGAAATTGTATTTATAAGAACCATCTGTGAAATACAAAACGCCGTTATCCCCAACGGCGACTGCATCGGTAACCTTGAATCTCACTCCCTCCGCTTCCTCCGTCAACAATTCCGTCTTCTTCCCGTCACCGCTTATGTTCAACAGCCCCTACACACACACACCAAAACCAAATCATCCCGTGATTCTGAGATTTTCGAAAATTCGATTTCAAAAAATCACGAACCAAACCTTGTAAGCGTCTGCGACGATGACCTCGCCGTGAAGTCCAAAAGCGATGCCGAGCGGTCTACCGCCGGTATGAACCCAATCCTCAACGACCGAGTCATTAGCTGAGTCGAGAACTTTGACTCGTTTCACCCATCCATCTGCACAGCCAGTATAGATGAGGCCAGAGTCTCGGTGATATGCGATATCCTCGGGGCGATTGAGAAGACCGTCGCCGACAAACTCAGCTCCGTCGAGAATTCCGTCGTTGAGCAGCGGCGGGATTGAGGTCGTAGCGGAGGCTAATGCATCTGAAGGAAATGGAGCTGGGTCAAAGGTGTCGAGTTGATAGAGAGCGATAGAGACGAGGATGGAGATGATGGTGGAGAAGAAGAGAAAACGAGTGGAAAAGAAGAATACAGCCATTGAGAAACGATTGGGTTTGTGAAAAAAAATGATGAACAAAACTCTCCAATCTTTGAATGTGAAAAAAGAGAAACACGTTTTGATTGCTGTTGCAATCGCGGATATATCAATCGCATTTATGTCAATCGCAACTATTCAGTGTTACAATTCCATGAAGATTTTTTGCCTGAAACGTACCAGTTTAAGATTCAAACTGGTATAACCGATCCAAAAACGGAGCCAAACCAAATTGTTTTTTGAGTAAATTAATTTTTATGTTCATGATATATTACTGTACCAGTGGTCCAGTGTGGTCCATATCATTTTCTGTGTAGCAGTATTGTTAAGCAATGTGTATGTTTTGTAAATCAATGTTTCATGCAACTATTGTTCGAGAGCGAAAGATCCTAAATTCCTAATCATCATCATCATCAATCTCAGGGACGATGTTAACTAGTTTACATTATATGACAGTGAAATGATACTACACGTATAAACTTGATGATGTTCAAGTCAAAGCTTCTTCTGTGCAGGATATTTCAGGATATCGAGTCGCATGATATGTGAATGCAAGAGGCTTCCACAATAAAGATGATTCCCAATTTTGACTCCACTTGTTATGTGAGAGCTTTTGTGATCATGGTACAACGCAATGGGCTTCCCCTCCAAATCCACCTGCAACACGCCAGCATTCTCCATAAACATGGGATCAAAGCCGTACTTAGCCGCCATAGCTGTGAGTTTCCTCAAGAAAGGATACTTCATCCCGAGCTTCCACAACGGTGTTACCGTCTGTTTTCAACACAGTTTAGCAAACGAGATTAATGTCCATTGCAATTTTAACATGTAGCATCACAATCTTGAAGAGAAAAAAATAAAATAAATAATTCAGTTTTTAACATGTACCGAAGGCATTGCAATCCAGTAATGTCCATCTCCGTCGTACCGGATGTTATCCGGATAACCGGTTAAGCCTTGAATGAATACCTCCACACGCTCCTCACTGATGTAATACTTGCTGCATCTTCTTCTGAGAAAAAAAACAAAAAGACCAAAATTCAGATATTAATTCAATGCACAGGGAGGAGATAAATAAGAGAGAGTAATAGAGATGAAAGAGGACATTGGGGTTTCGCAGAAGACGAGATGGGATTGATCAGGAGACATGGAGATGCCATTTGCGAAGTAAAGGTCTCTGAGGAGGACACGTGTGACTCCTGTGGTGGGGTCAAAGCTCAGGAGACGGCCATGAGGCTTGCCTTCCAATATTGCAAAGGCGAATTGATGGAAACTGTATTTGTAAGAAGCATCTGTGAAATACAAAACGCCGTTATCTCCAACGGTGACTGCATCGGTGATCCTGAATCTCACTCCTTCCGCTTCATCCGTCAACAATTCCGTCTTCTTCCCGTCACCGCTTATGTTCAACAGCCCCTGTATACAAACACACCAAAATCATTTCCTGATTCTGAGATTTTCAAATTTCAAAAAAAAATCAAAAATCACAAACACACAAAACCTTGTAAGCGTCTGCGACGATGACCTCGCCGTGGAGTCCGAAAGCGATTCCGAGCGGTCTACCGCCGGTATTGACCCAATCCTCTACGACCGAGTCATTAGCTGAGTCGTGAACTTTGACTCGTTTCACCCATCCATCCACGCAGCCAGTATAGATGAGACCTGAGTCTGGGTGATATGCGATATCCTCGGGGCTATTGAGACGACCGACGCCGATAAAATCGGCGCCGGTGAGAAACCGGTCGTTGAAGAGCGGCGGGATGGAGTTAGTGGAGTAGGCTAAAGCTTCGGCGGGAAGATGAGCTGGGTCAAAGGTGTCGAGTCGGTAGAGAGCGATGGAAACGAGGATGGGGATGATGGTGGCGAAGAAGAGAAAACGTGGGGAGAAGAAGAACAGAGACATTGGAGAGAGGATTGGGTTTGTGGAAAAAAAATGATGAACAACAACTCCAAATTCTTGAAGTGATAAAAGAGAAACACGTTGATGTATGATGTCGCAATCGCAGATTCGATCGTTGACTCTAAACGAATCTTTGAATCCTTATTCCTTACTCCGTGCCACGGTGTCCGGTACGCAATTCATTCAATAGTCTCCGTCCTAGCTCGTGGGCTAAACTATATTGCCATTAGGCCCAATAAAGATTAAACTTTGGGCTTACATAATTAGGCCCTGTTTCGAATCACTACATACAGAGAATAGCTCATGATTGACTTTTAAACTTCTTAAGACGAGGTTCAATGTATCGAATCAAGATCTTTGGTCTGAAATTGAAACGTACAACTTGTAATATTCCACCGTACATTACATCGTCCCATGATCTTGCGTTTAAACGTACAACATTTTAAGATTCGCATGATTTTTAAATAAATAAATTACACCATTTAGTTATAGCTCTTGTTATAGAGACAAGTCATTATCTTAATTCATAATCTTGTCTGACTCTCTTACTCAACATGCTTCCAATTGATCATGTATCCGGTGACAGCCTTGAAGCACTCAATCAATTTAAAAACCATATAATAAAACGTCTTTTAGTATTTGATCAAGGGATAAATATTAGACCACTTTTCTAATTATAGTTTTATTTTCTTTCTTAAGGTTAGTTTCCGCACATGATTTACAATATATGTCTTGTACGCTAAGACGATTTCATGTGCAAATTTGTTTACCACTATGGGTTCATGGGTTGTATAAGAGATGTGAGCTGAAAATGAACCAAACTATTATCACCACAAATCCCAAAATTTAAAATATTTTTTTACATGATAAAATCGAGATTTCTATTTCTTCTACAATTTATTTCTACTGAAATGATGTCTGATGACTGATGGAACTAATGGAACTGGAATATTTTATAATTTGGTGTTGGCTATCATAACATCTAATAGGCCGAACATGATTTTTATCACAATTTCAGAATAAAACATTAAAGAAACTGATTTTTGTAACAAGTATTGTATTAAATGAATTGAATTTTGTAACAAGTATTGGTTGAATGATATTCTTTGATTTTGCTTTCTTTAGAGCAATTAAATTTGAATTTAGTCAAACCGCACAAAATATGGACATACATTTGATATTTGATAAACTGCATAAGAATGTGGAGCGAAGATACTTTTTTGTATTTTGAAATATCAGAAATACTACAATACTTCCAAATTTTAAGTTTTAAATAACAATTAAAATGATGAACTGGTTTGTGATGATTTGAATGGTGGTTGCAACGCGAATTTTCAAGGAAATTTTTTAAACTTAGAAATAATGATGACTTTTCAATTACATTTAAATTCACAATATGTTGAGAGATGATACAAACATATTAATGAAAAGAAATTCAAAGAATGAATCAAAAGTGCACTTGAAGAGTGACAAGTGACTAATTCTTTTATGGGATTTTCATCCTTTAAACTCTTGACCAATTTTACCATTGTATTAGGCTAAAGTATGTGTTTATCTTTAATGCTTTCACATTAATGCTCTGTGTTTAGGAAACGTTACCATATTTCTATTTCATGGGCTTTACTATATTCCCGGTAGGCCCAATATGTTTATGGTTACGTATTTTTGCTGAGTTTTAAACAAAATACAGTAGTTTCTTTTTTGGTTTTAACAAAATACAGTAGTTGTAAGATCATGGCCTTGTTATGAATCAGTAGATACAGAGAAGAAACATGTGTGGAACTGTGGATTGACTTGGAGTCTTTGAGACGAGGTTCAATGTATCAAAATCCACGAAGATCTTTTGTCTTAATCGTACCACTTTTTAAGATTCCCCGTACATTACCATAGTCCCATATAATCCCTGTTTTCTCCTAAATAAACAAGTTTATCATATACTAATCATTGCTCTTGTAACGGAGACCAATATCTTAACTCATAATCTTGTCTCTCTAAAATGTTTTCCAATTGATCATGAATCCAATGGCAGCCTTGAAGTACTCAATCAATTTTTAACAAAGCCTTACAATAAAAACATCTTCGATTGGGTGAATTAGGGGACCAAAGTCCCAAAACATTGAACCGCACTCTAAATCCTAATCAACATTAATAAATAAAGTAGGTAATATTTTGTAGTATAATCCTGATTAAGAAAATTTCTAAATAAAATAACGTTTATAGCGTTTGCGACAATCTTCTTCCTCTTCACGACCGTCTCGGGAATTGTCCATGAACCAATGGTGAATAATTAATAGGATTCAAAATTGACAATTGGATGAAACAAAAGAAGAGTTGAAGTCAGCGACAAATGTTTCCATGTCTCCTTCTTCTGACAAGCCCACTCTCTCCGGCTGATCAAATGGGAATCACAAAAGCAACATCAAGTAATGGCTCTCTCTAGCTCTGGTCCTCTGAAAATGGTTTCACGTTCCAAAAACAGAGCATAAAAAGCTTTCCTTCACACTTCCATGTGCGTCGTGGCTTAACTAAACATTCACTGTACATATAATATCAATATCCACATGTTTCCTGCACATGCCTTCACTCATATATATACCAAACTTCTCCTTCTTTCTTTTCTTCAGCAAGAAATCAAAACATGGCGTTTCCTGAAACCAATCTCCATATGCCTATTAGATCTATAAGTCTACCATCAAGAATCCATCCTCCTTCCACTAAGTTCCAAGCTGCAATCTCTCAGCTTCAGCGTTGTCAAAGCTCATCCTCCGATTCTCAATCACTTCAAATCTCATTACTCAACCTCTCTGAGCTTTACCAATCTCTCCACCAACTCAATCACTCTCTTCCCACATCTCAAGCAGAACATTCACTTGACGTGTCAACCACGTTACTAGACTCATGCGATGCAGCGAGAAACCTAATCTTCGCTTTCAGAGAACATCTTCTCAATCTTCAGAGTGCACTTAGAAGAAAAGGCAACTCCATGGAGGTCCAGATCAAAGAGTACTTCTCCTTCAAGAAGAAAGCCAAGAAAGAGACAAACAAGCTTCTTCTTGGCCTCAAGAAGTTGGAAAGCTCCGAGACCACCGCGTTGGCAGTCTCCGTCTTCCGGTCTCTTTTCGTGTTCCTGTCGACAACAACGCCGACGAATATTAATACAAAGACTTGTGCTCTCAAATTCATCTCTAAGCTTATCATCGGTGGTTCTCGATCTTCTTCGTCCATAGTGAGCGAGTTACAGAATTTGGATTTGGTTTTGCGTTCGGATGGAGATCTTGACAACTCCATGGAAGTGAAGAAGATGTTGGAGATATTAGAGGAGAGAATAGAAGGACTTGAGGCTTCACTTGACTCTCTTTTCAAGTCTCTTGTTCAATATAGAGTTTACTTACTTAACATTCTTACAACACACTCTTAGCTAGTTAATTTTGTTTAGTTAGTTAATTAATTAGTCTCTAAGTGTACACAAAACATTCGGATACGTATTTGTTATCCGGTAATTATAGCTACATAAATCAAAGACTTCTTAATACCCAAGAAAATCATCTCAGCTAAGAGGAAATATTATGGCTACATGAATCAAACTGATGACGTGTAGGTCTACCATTGGAAGAAGTCCACTCCCTCGTGCACATTATTTTGTTAAAATAATTAAAATTGACAGCACAATGTGATAAAGTCGGTCATCATCATCATTCATCAAGATCTATCTGCATAATCGCTAATTTAAAATGGATATAAAGGAGAAAGGAGCGGATCTTTGATTCCTCTTGTCCCCACACATCGACACAGGCAACAGTTCAAGGTTGTCGACCCCATATTTTAATAATTTTATATACTAGTACTTGAGTAATCATCAATCATAAGACAATAATAGAGATCTAAATAGCTAACATGGTTTCTAACAAAAAAAAGTCATAAACAAATCAGTTTTTTTGGTACGTAGCTTGGTTTGCATAATTGGTTTGCGTAAAAGGATGCATGTATATATAAGTTAATAATTTGAAATTTCCCTACAATAAATTTGTAAACGATAACTAATAATAAATCTAGACAGCTAACAATAGTATTTTTTGTCTTTTTTGCTAAAAACAGCTAACATTTTCAATACAATATTATATCCATATGTTTCATTATACATATCATTTAAGATTTTCGTACATATCAAGATTTGATATATATGGTACGTCTAAAATTAACAAGGAGAAATTGAATTTATTTATACGCATAAAACTGGACTTTTATTTGAATATTTGTATTAAAGATACAAAACGATATCTATCATAATGGGAGCAAAAGAAATTACAGTGGGAAATTGGGAATTTGCATGGCTGATGGCGTTTAATCACATTTTCTAAGTAAGAAAAGAACGGTCGTATATCAAAAGTTTGGTTTATGTTTTCGTATTACCCAATACATAGAGAAAACGTGGGCGTGATTAAAAAAGCATAAGGTGTTTTCGTACCTTTTATTCTCTATGATAATATCATGATATTATATTGTTGGTTATTTGATTGAAGTGAGAGAAGAAGGGAAGAGACATGGGAGATAGAGAGAGTTATGGCGGAGGCGGCAATGGAGGTGATGGGTGCAATGGCTCACCAATTATGGCAATTTGGTGGCACAATTATCACAGAAAATGACAAAAAACAAACAGAAAATAATAATGAAAAACAAGTGTAATGTTGATAGTCGCTATAATTTTTATGTGATCTGATGGGTCCATCCAAGACTAACGTGACTTCACATGGCCCAACTTTTTTCTTGTCTATCGTCGCAAACTCGCAATAACAAAATTACAAAACTTCACTTAGTTCCTTAATATCAACTTCAACTATGTTTACTTCTTTTGTTTTATCAAGAGGTTGTAGGCCGACCGTAGTCCCCTCGGACCGGGATGGTCGGATCAGATTAATTAGTCCATCTTCCAAACTCGAACTTGAGAGTTAAGAAAGATTAGTTAGAGAGTGTGTAGCGTATGGAAAATGAATTATACGTAAAAACCAACAACTTTTTGGTGGTTTTAATACATGCATGGGATCGATCACAAAATATCTCTCAAGTGAATGAAAATATCTCCTTTTCTAAAAAGTAAGAAAAAATATCTCAAATCAAAGAAATATCTGTTTGTTACCCAAATAAGTTGCAAACCAAGAAAATCGAAAAGAAGAAAAAGTTACGTATCCAAGGCACGGGAGATATTATTATGGAAAGCCTAATAGTTAGGATAGATATTTGAGAGTAGGTCTTGTGTAATGTAATATCTAAATCTATTAAGAGATGAGAGATTCAGTTGCAGGCTGTACTTTGATGGTGACAAGTCACATTCATGAATTCAAAATAGTTAAGAAAATGAAGGCGGTGTTTGATTGTGATTGTTATTTTTTAATAAAAATGATCGTTTCCTCTGGAAGGTTTCAACAAGACACTCGTGCACACGGTCCCATTTATAGTATTATCCAACCACCAGCTTCATTTCTCATATCAGATCATTTTCAGTTTAATTATTTGGTGGTTAGAGTTAGATTATGCTATGTCATCTTCGTTTGATCATCACAAATATATGAGATTCTAATTGCTCACTAATTTAAGTACATTAGAATCCACATATCCATGCATGACGGTGTTTATCAATACCCAACAAAGTTGAGGAAGTGCTTGAGACAAAAGATCTTAGTTTTGATTCGTCTCAATCGCCTAATTAAAGATCTAAGTGGGTACCTCAATTATTTTGTGTTTGTAAGGAAAACAAATTAGTTAAGAACACAAAGACATAAAATTAGCAAAATTAGGTGCATATGGAGAGAGCTAAACTCTATAATGGCATCTGTCGATATCAAAAATTTAAATGAGAGAAAAAGAACATTAAGTTGGCTTCGATGGAACAAATGAACCTTGTCCCCTTCACGTGGCTCAAGTCTAAATCCTATTTCATTTGACCTCTCTAACCTCTATATATTTATTATTCAACTTCTTTCTATCGAAAGCTCTCTCTCTCTATCTCATAACCTCCCATCAATGGCTACCTCCTACCACGTCCGGTCTTGTAGCTTACCAGCTCGGTTACACTCAAATGGCCTCAACCATATTCATCAACTCCTCAACAAGCTTCCAACAGATCATGAGAATAGTTTCTCACTTCTCTCACAGCTCTATGAATCCGTCTCTCGTCTCTTCAACGACTCACCAGCTTCGTTACTCCTCCCTCATCATTCTTTCTTCACACATCTTCTTGATCTCTCGCTTGTACACCTTGACTTGTGCTCCAAGCTAAGAGACATCACTTGCCGCATCAAGGACTGTCTCCGCGACCTCCGTTCTGCTTTCAGACGGAGGAGACACGGTGGAGATTCTACCATCCGGTGCCACGTTAAAGCCTTTATCCGCTCGAGGAAAGCAATCCATAAGGACCTCGCTAAGCTACTCTTGTTGCTCAAACAAACCGACCATTCCTCCACTTCCGGGTCGTCTCATCCTTTGATCGCACTTCTCCGACAAGTTTGTTCTCAAACATGTATGTCCTTGCGGACAGTCTTGTTGTCTTTATCCACATCTGTACCAAAGCCTAAGCCTTCCAGATGGGCTTTGGTCACCAAACTAGTCATCAAGAATACAAGTGTTCAAGTTGAGACCGGACACAGAAACGAGTTCCAGACGATGGACGAAGAACTAGGAAGATTCTGCTTAGCGAAAGAGATAAAGAAGGAACGAATCAAGTCTGTGATCACCAACTTGGATAACGTAGATGTTGCAGTTGAAGATCTGGAGTCATCACTTGAAAGCTTGTACAGACGTATGATCCAAGCTAGAGTCTCTCTTTTGAACATACTCTCTTTGCATATATAATTCACTAGATTTAATGTGTTGTGTATACAAACTTCATCAGATATTTTTGAAGAAACATGTTACCTTCATAGATTAATCTGAAACAATAGAGGTATTTGTTTGTTGTATAAACAAGTAAAAAAACAAAAACAAAAACTTAACAGCAGCGACATTTCAACATATCTAAGCAAGTGTATGGTCTTGATCTATCCTCGATTTCAAAAGCAGTCGGTAGTGAGTCTAGATTATGGTTGCCGCAACAGACGTTGTATAGATTCTTCTTTATGCCTCTGCTAAAAGGATGCACTCGCTCCGGAATATTCCTGCAAAACCCAAAAGCTCTGTTATTACAAAAACCAATACCCTCTAGCGTCAACAAACCAACACATTTACATTTGGTTCTCTAAACCCAAAAGCTTGTTTAAAGGTAGCTTCAAGAACCAAAGTTTCTCTCTTCGATTTTCTTTAAGCAAGCTGATGTTATTACTAGGTGATAGAAGATTGGTTGAGTACCTCATGTATGGAATACGTCTTCGTCTCACAAGTTCATAAGTGCTTTGATTCGTTAGAATGAGGTAGCTGCAAGAAATCAGATTTTGAAATAGAAACGTTACGCATTTAGACCAAAAAAAAGGTATGAGATTGCTGAAAATGTCAGGAAATGTGTGTACACCCACCTGTGAAAAAGCAATAGAAGCAGGACAAACACCAAGGAGATCACCAATATGACAAGCAGTAGTATGACAATTGCATTCTTCCACCTGTTCACATTTCCGTTTAAACACTCATCATATTTCAACGAATTGGATATGCTAAGAAAATGGCCAAAGAACGAGAGGAGGAAGATGAAAAAAAAAAACAAGTTGTTATACCAAGGCTTTGCTACGTTACTCATGTAGTCAATGTACATGATGAGTGTCCAGACGCATAGAGCTGACTCTTCAAAGATGTACCACCTGATATGGTGGAAACACATCATCAGACTAAATTACCATCATTATCGAACAATGTAACAGTACGAGTTCAGATTTTAGAGGCTTACCAGAATTTACAATGGTTTTTCTGGCCTATACATGTTCCCAGCCAAAGACAGTGATGATCAAACTGAAGAACGCATCTGTCACAATCATGACAATGCTTGGCTCGCGGAGGCTGCAAAGCATCACGAGAAAGATTTAGGGAAGGAAAACTTGAACAAAACAGCAAGTTGAAAAACTATTACAGTGGATCCAATTGTTACCTGCTCGACATGACAATAGCTGCAAGTCAAATTCCTGCAGGTTATAGAAAGAAACAATTCAGTACACTCCTCCTTACTAATAGTTACCCAATTCATAAGCTGATTCTTCAAGATTCACACAGTAAGAGAAGCCTTTGAATTACCTTACTGATGTTCCTGGAGGGTACAAGTCCAGAACCAACTTCTGCCATGAAGTTGGAGTCCTTCTTGCACCTGTTGTTGCTGATTCTCCTTCCACATTAATAACGAAACTCCTACTTTCTCTGGAAGCAGGTTGTCTTCGCTTAAATAATGACATAATCAAAGTATAACACGACAGTGAGACAGACACAATTTTTAAGTATAGACGACTTCACTTCCCACCACTTATTAGTTCCACCAAATTCCAATAAAGAGTTTGCTACCACAAATAACAATTTCTTACATTGAGGTCGTTGGTACGTTTCTGTATATCGCATTCGTCTCGCTAACATCCCTCATTGCATCAATAACATATCTACAAAAAAACCAGAAACAAAAGAAGGTTTTTAGTATTCAATTGCAGAATCAAAATGAAACGCATGAAGGCATGGATAAGTTTAGTTACCCAGGAGAAGAGCCAGAAGTTACAAAATACTGCAGAAGCGTAGCAGAGAAGAGCAAGAAATAAGAGGACATGTACCTGTTAAGAGAATCAAACAGTAACAAAAAGTTAAGCTCTTTTGATTGGAGCTGAGCAGTGATTACAAATTTTCCAGAGAGATGAGCAGAGCAACTACCATGGATCTCGTTTAGCTTTCTCAATAAATTCTGCATCGAAAAGGAAGAGAAATCCGATGTAGACGAGGTGGAGCACTACTAGTGCCAATTTCAGAAGCAGAGAAGATCTTCGAACTGGTAAATTGAAGAAAAATCCGAGGGAAATTAGTTAGTGAAATCAGAGCCAAAATTCAAACTTTGCTAACAGATCAGAAAGGGAAATTGAGGAGGTGAGAAGAAACATCGTCGTTAGGGTTAAAAGATGGGAGGAGAAATTGTACCAGGATCGGAGAGACAAGGGAGGTTGAGGAGAAATCGGTCTTGCGTTCGATCCCAGGGACGAAGGATAGGGCAGCAGACGCCCATGGTTGACTCTCTCAAGCAAACATTGGGAGGGGAGAGAGAGAAAGAAAGAGAGAGAATCGCGCACGAAGCCAGAAGAAGAAGATCTTCAAATGTAAGAAGAGAGAGAGAGAGAGTAAGGGATTAATTTGCCATTGCCAGATTACTGTTTTAGTAGCAGCCAACAACGCAATGGAGAGAGAGAGCGATGATGAAGCAGCTGTAAGATTGGGAAGACAGACTTTAATTGGGCCTTTTGGCAAATTGAGGCCCAATTAATATTGGGCTTTCACGAAACTATAATACCTGTGTTCAGTGTGACTCCCTCGCAAAGTCAGAGGCAAGCAAACTCTCATTTGTGCTTCCATGTCGCATATCATATCTCTAAGAGTGTTGAGCTTTCAACATCGGTTACAATTGAGGGCTTTATCAGTGATTCAAAAACCCATAAAATTCATGTTTTCAGGAGCTTTGTGATGAATCTGGCGGTTTGGAAGCGATTATGTTGGTTTTATCAGTGATTTGATATTTACCAAATTTGGAATACCGGTGGGTTCATGATATTGTTTCAGGGTTAAATATTTATAAACCTGTCTTTTAAGTAATGTCATAAACTAAATAGGTAAAAAGGTAAAAAAAAAAAAACATAAGCTCAATCCTTAGAGACTTTCCTCATTTCACTGAATTACATAATTTGAAATCATCTAAACTTTTTTGAAAAGATTCTTAGAATTATTAATTGAAGATGTGCAAAATGACACAAAATACTGAAATAGGTTGACACAATCTGAAAAAGTCCTCTAGATATGTCTTATTCTATAACAGTGTTGTAAGTTAAGTACATATCTCATTGAGATTTCCTTTTGTTTTGACATAACTGTTAACTAGTCTAAATGTAAAAAGACCAAAGACTTTTGCATGTTCTGTCTTCAAAAGTAATAAAACAAAAGAAAAAGGAAAACAAGTAGAAACAGGCATGCGAGCACGTTCGTTCGTTATGATCAGGCAAATAAAAATGGAGAGCACATCATCTCCATTCCTTAAAGCCACCGCTTTCACTTTTATTCACATTTTACGTTTCCCTCTCTCTCTCTCTCTCTCTCTCTCTCTCTCTCTCTCTCTCTCTCTCTCTCTCTCTCTCTGCTTCCACTTGTTAAATACCAAACCAAACCAGAGAAGATCAAACATGGCCAATTCTAGAAGATTGTTTGGAGTCGTAAGGAAGAAACTTCTCCTGAGATCTCCCAGCAGAATCACAATCATTCGCTCATCCCCAGAAACCAATAAAGAAGAAATCGCCGCCATTAAAATCCAAGCTTTCTTCAGAGGTCACCTGGTAAAATAAAAACACTAACACACATTTTCTTTATAAACATCTCTGCAAATTTTCAAAACCTTGTTCTTGTTTTGGATTGACCATTTTGAGATGGGGGTTGCAGGCAAGGAGAGCGTTTCGAGCATTGAAGAGTCTGGTGAAGTTGCAAGCGGTGGCGAGAGGAGTGCTTGTGAGGAGACAAGCTCGAATAGCGTTACATTGTATGCATGCTCTTGCTCGTTTGCAGGTTAGGGTTCGTGCTCGTCAGCTTCTCTCCCATTAATTCTCTCCCATGACCACTTCTTGATTTTCCTCTGTTTCAAAACCTTTTGTGATTGTGACATCTGTATAATATCATTGTCCTTTCTAATTAACTCACCGGTTCTGATTTTGTATATGTACTAATTAACTCTAACACATTGCATTTTGTACTAATTAATAAACAAGATCAGCCTGACATTCTGTCTCCAAATTTTGATGAAAATTATTTAAGAAATATACATTTGATGGATTAAAGGAAGCAAAAGGCCATCACAAGAGATGATGAAAGATAGGGTTAGTACCTTGGATGAGAAGAAATGTCAAGGATTCCATGGAGATGCACATTTTAAGAATCTGGAACTTATAAGCAAGATCAGTTACCTGAAAGAGTTTACATATAAAACCACAACAAAAAGAAACATAGAGCTCGATCCATAAAGGTGGATCTACAAGAAACAAAGTCCAAAACGAGAGAGCACTGAGATATTGGCGCGGCTCAATCAGATACATTTTGTGGAGAGGAAAATTCAAAAGATCTGAATGAACCAGGCCAATATCAAAGGGACACTGTCGTGCTTAAGTGTAAAGATCAAAAGGAAGCTGTATTGTTGAGTGAAATTGACAAAACAAGAAAGAAGAAAGAAGAGAGTGAGGGGAAGTGTGAGGAGAAGAGAGAATGTCTGTGGGGGAGTTATAAAGAGAGAGAGGAATTAATTAGGGTGTGAGAGAAGGAAATGGAAGGTATGGAGCATTAAAACCACATCTACTACCAAAGCACAAAAGCTGGGTCACCCTCTTTAATCCCATCTCTCTCCTTTGCTCTTCTCTCTCTCTCTTCATATAGTTTCAACTTCCATTACATATGTCCATCGCTCGTAACTAAACTGGCTATGCAATGAGAACCTATACTCCTTTGTCTCCTCCACTGTCTTTCCTTGTTGAGATTTATTACAAAAAATAAATAAAATGATTTTGAGGAAGAAGTTAAAGAACATCGAAGATGCTCTACAATAAATTTTAAGGGAATCTCGCAGAAGGGAGGGGACACTGGCCCTGCCTGCAACCATTAATGTTCTTACTTCTAGGCCCTCTCTTTTTCTCTCTCTCTTTTTGCTTTTTACAACCTCAAGCCAGTTATGAACCCTAATGACCCTTCTCTTTCTCTCTCTCTCCATTGAAGATTCTCAAGAGAAAGATCTGACTTTTTTTAATGTCACATTGTAACAAGAGAGCTTTTGTTAAAAACCCAATCCCTTTTTTTGTCTGGTTAGAGGACGGGTGGGGAGGCAAGAACTATTGCACACATGTATTTACTTCTCTCTAGCTACAATCCGGTCCACACTTTGCCTTAAATTTTATGCACAACACACATTACCTCTCTAGACTGTACCCAATTATATTGTCTGGACTTGGTAAATATGTCAAATCTCTAACAACTGTACCTTGTTCTTGATCTACACATTATCAACATGCTTAATTCTTTCTTTTGATTTTGGGATACTTCAACTAACATCATTGCGGCCTTAAAATAACATTAAGAAGTAATCACTATCAAGCAAACTTGGTGTCATGATGTAATTGCGCGTGATGGAGATGACTTGCGCATCATTGCTCCTCTGTATAGTGAATGCGAAACATACATAAATACGATAGAAGAAAAGCCTACATTCGTTCATCATCAACAACAATTACATCATTACACAAAGGTTTGCTGAATAAATAAATAATTACTGGAATGAGTTTCCAAACGTCAGTAGTGTGTGGCTTTCACGTTAAAATTATACATTCTTACACCAACAAGAGTGTCTTTTTTTCTTCTTTCATAACTACAAAAGATGGAACCTAAAAAGAGGAGTAGCTTTAGAGTTTCTTGGGGAAAGTCATACCACCGCCTCTGATAGAAAGAGAAGGTCCTTTGGCAGAGCTCACTACATTGGTATCAAGGAAGATGACGACCACTGTTATATCATCGTGGAAATGCCTCCTCACTCCTCTCTCTATCTTCTTCAGATCAGAGTACCTCATCTCTCTTTTCTTTGCCGCCGCTTGCAATGCCATCTTCACCAGTCTCCGTGCAATCCCCTGCACTCATTCACACAACAAAGAGCCAGTGAGTTTTGGTTGTGAATAAATATGTTACTAAAACGTCAAAAAGAAGAAGAAGAAATGAGTCTCACGCACGTTTCGAGGGTGGTTCTGAACGATGTCAACAGCTTCTTGGTTGCTCAGCTGCTCCCATAGTCCGTCAGAAGCAAATATCAGAAACTGATCTTGAGGTTGTAGCTCATGCTCTGTTATTGTCGGTTCCCCACTCAAGATCGGTCTTTTGATCGGCTCGCGGAGTCTGTACTTTGTGTACAATGGTTCCTTGTTGAACTCTGCTTTCTTTAGATACATGTCGCCTATGGATCTAGATACCTGCATAGAGAAACAAACATATCTAGCCTTTTTAATTTCGATATTCGTAGTTATCTTGACAGTGCAAAGGAACAAAACATATCTAGGCATTTGCACCTACTGTTATGGAGACAGAACACATGTTCAACTGTCTTATTGACATATACAAACTGGCTTTCAGACACTAGCAACTTTAACAAGAGCTCTGACTTTCTCGGGTTGGTGGGTTTGGTATTTGTTTTGACAAAGTCAAGGTCACTACTTACAAATTAGCCTTCCGAGTGTAAAATCTAATTTAATGCATAGTCCTTAGTCCTTATCCAGATACGAAAATGACAGCAAAAATTGATAGATCTCTTGTTGATCTTGACATGGTGCAAGTAACAAAAAAAAAAAAAAAAGTTTTGTAAAATTCTAGCGCCTTGGTCAAGAAGAAGATCAAGGCCATATATTCAAACTTTCTCCACTTTGTATGAAAAAAGACGACTAAGGTAATCATATACAAATAAAAAAAAAACTGAGTCCTTGATCAAAATTTAATTAAGATTGAGAAGCATACCTGAATAAGGCCCTTGACACGCCACACATTATGCTTCAACATGACGATATGCGAGTCATCAGGGTGCAAGGAGTGCATTTCCTGCCTAACAGACTCAATGCTCACATTATGTTCCGCTGAGAGCTGCAGCGCAATAACCTCCCCAGTCGCCTTCATAGCCCTTCCAAGGACCGCACGGGAGTCACCAACATTAGCTATGTAGAGCATCCCTTCGCATATAACACCCACCAGGCAGCAAGACCCAACCGCTGCAATCAGCGGCTTAACCGGCCACTGCTTTGTCACAACCGCTAGAAACCCTTCTTCAGTCGCCGCATATGCTTTTCTAATCACATCCATCGACATAGAAGCGTTCTCTGCTGCGAATCCTGCACATTCCAATAACATTTCAGTTTCATTTGGTCGTTCCACAAGCATGTATGCATATATATATATAACAAAACAATTCAGTTGCTCACTCTTTAGATGCTGAAAGAGGTGATCGTTGACGAAGCGTGAGGTCTCAGGCCCGCCGTGACCATCATAGACTCCGATGAAAGTTCCATAAGGACCAGAATCAAGTGTGCTCAAAGGGCCAGACTCGACTTGGCTCTGATCCTCGAGGAGATTGTTGGCCTGCACAACCGCCATGGAGAATTCACCGCCGAGGTGTTGACCGGAGTCCTTGTACCAGAGAAGTCCATCTTGTTTTCCTGTTGAATCGGAGGACTTGCCCGAGGAAGAAGGCCACAGACAAGCGCTCAAAAGTTTCATTAACGTTGATAACATGCCTCATGTCATCTGGGGAACCCTTTTTTTCCTCCACATCCGTCAAGGAGATGCTCCAGATTCACAACAAGTAGAATCGATTTTGGATTTTCAGAATCTGCAATTCAATTTCAATTCTAAAATAGTAAGTAAGGAATCTCAGAAATCACCCATCAAACACTAATCTGAACAATAGAATCTGAAAACTCAATTAACTCAGCAAATCTGCAAACCCAATGGATAATAGATCAGATGAGCAAGAGTGAATCAATCACAGGAAACTAGTACCTGTGATTCTGCAGAAGCAGATGTAACAGGAAGTCAATAAACACGAACGATGCGAATCAGAGGAATCACAGAAGGGAAAATCAGCATCAATCGTAATCTACACAGGGAGGATTTAGGGTTTAGTGAAGAGGGAAAAGGTCAGAGGATATGAGCTCAAAGTGTGATGAAGTTACAGAGGGAAGAAGAAGAAGAAAAAAAGATGGAGATCTGGAGGATCGATGTGAGGAAAGAGAGAGAGCGATGGATCCGAATCAGATCCAGAAGAAAATGAAGGAGACAGAAGGAAGGAAGAAGAAGACGAGCCTCTCTCCCAGAGGAAGGCAAAGAGAAGAGAAAGAGAAAGAGAAAGAGAAAGGAAGGAAAAAGGGGCTCCACTGCTTGTAACCAGACAATCCAATCCCAATTGCTGGATCAGATTTTCTAAACCTAACCCCTCCTTTTCCTCTAAATTGACTTTTCCTGTCCTTTTTTCTTTTCTCAATCGGTCCTCATCTTTTTATTACTTCATGATTTATGCCACTAACTATTCAATTTCCATTCATTCACCCCCTCTTCTTCAAACGAAAAGTTGAGTTGTGTGGGTTAAAAGAAAGAGAAGTGTGTTGTGTAACTTGTGTGTTGGTCGAATTAAGAAGATTGATAGATAGTTTAAGAAAGAAAGAAAAGGAGAAAGATAGAGAGGTTGACGAATTATAATTTTGATATATATGATGTGAGTGATTGAAAGAGAGACACGTGATATAGTGACATGAATAAGCGTTAGGTGTCTGAACAAGGACATACGTGTGCACAACCACATCCACCTCCACCTCCATCTCCATCTCCACCTGCACCTGACCTGCACTTCTTTTCCCGTTTCTTCACTTCTCCCATGTGCTTCGCTTTCCTCTCCCCTCCATATCACATTTTTCCTCTCTACTTTTTTCCCCCTTTTTCAGAAAAATTGATAATGGGCCTTTTCTTGTCATAAATTGGGCCTTAGATTGGTCTGCTGGGTCTTATCACCAAGATAGGTTTCATAATTTTTACATTGAAAACATGCAAAAAGATGCATAAAAGGAGGGAGAGGAGTAGTCAAGAAAACTAAACCTACTTTCACTCTTTACCAAGAAAATTAAGGAATCACAGAAACTCCCCCACTTGTAAATAGCTAGCGTTTTCTTTTATGTTCTGTCTGAGAATAACCAAACCTGGCTTCACTCATCACTACATATTACCAAACTACATTGTATTTTTTCTTCTTCTGTGTCCTGTGTATGTATAGATTCACACTAATTAATTACTTTTCAGACTAGTTAACAGAGGATCTTTTAAATAGCTAACTGTTCTCTCGATCGGTTTTAAATTTTTTTGAGAAAAGATGCAACATCATTCGGAGACGACAACGACGTCAATGACGCAACCTCTTTGCCCCAAGCCACGTCGTGTGTGCCCTTCTCTTCCTGACTTCCTCAATCCGCTCTCATGTTCCCTACACTCTTCCAGCTGGTAACACTACATATATATGGTCTAGATCGTTTGTCTATGTTTTCAATTGCGTTTGGTGTTTATATCATTGTATGTACTATAAATGCTTTAACTTTCAAAACTGTGGTTTTTTTTTTTCCTCTCTCATGTATACGCAAAAACTGTTCTTGAAACAACTATATTCCTCCCTAGTTTTTCTTTCATGTTTATTGAGATTTCGACATGATTGCTTATACATCTTTGGGCCTCAATCAGCCAACAAAGTTCGGATGGAAGAAGCGCCGTTCTCAGCACAATCGAGAAGGTCATAGTTGCTTTTCATCATTTCGATTAGATATAATTAATTAAGTAGATATTTCTACCGTTTTATAATGTCTTATGATTTCAATATAGATTTTGATATAAATATATAAATTGTTCGTATTTAAAATTAACAAAATTGTAAAATAGAACAAAAGTTCGAAAGTCAACTATATTTGTACAAATATAACAAGAAAAATCTTATACTGAAGCAGAAATAATATTTCTTATCTTGCATTGCATGCATGAATCTTGAGTGTTAATTAAATATATATTAATTGTGATAGGTGCAGCCGATAGAAGGTGGAATGGAGTCAATGTGGTACGCAGGGTCTCCACCTAGGAGAACCGGGAATCCTCTTGTACACGACATTCATTTCATTAGCTGCCTCGACCTTCTTCCCAATTTCTCAAGAACCAAGGCTTGATCTTAGGCTACGTATACCTCTCCTTTATATATGCATGCATAGCCGCACAAAAAGCCCCTCCTTACGTCCACCACACTGCATTCTCGATTGACCTCCGCATAAAGAACATAAACCTCATCAACTATAAACTGTTTATACACATGTGCATCTCTTATATTTCAACAAGTTTTTGGAGTTTCTTCTTTGTAGAAATGTATTTGGATATTCTTGACCACCAAGAGTCCATGCACACTGAGATCAGCAGAATATATATAGAATTGTTAGTTAGTGGGGGGCCATGTATTAGGATTTGGATGTTATTTGTATTAGAACATTTTCTCCTTTTTAATTTTTTTTTATGACCTGCTTTGTATTTGAGACATTCCTATAACCTGCTTTACTACACGCACAAACAAGTACAATTTGATAGACGTTCCTGCTTTTTATGACCTGCTTTCCTTTTATCCCATTGGTAATTGTACAGTTGTACTTGTTCAGTTGTTTGTGCGTGTAGTAGTAAAGTAAAGTTTCTTTTCCCAAAAAGACAGTCATAAAGTAAATAATTTATGAATTGGTAGCCAGACGAGTATTGTCTTGTTTGTTGCAATTATCGCGATTAACCAGTTTTCTGACCAAACAGTGAAAAAGAAATCAATGATTTGATGATTCAGTTTTACCAAATTACAAAAACAGAGCCTTTTTTTTCGGAGCCAAATTGTTATGCGTGCTTTTGTTAATCAAAAATTCAAAACCGGATTAAGAAGAAGTAATTCGGACAAGGGCCCACATATATGTCTGACCACGTGCACATGACCTTATCCGAAGTCAACGGTTTCTACTTTCTATACTTTATCAGTATTTGCATTTCCATCCTCTTGATTTTATCTCATGAAAACAACACCCCTTTGTTTTTTTTCGTATCGATTTTGACACTTTATAGTTTATTGACTTTATTCATTGCCAAAATTGTACCGGCTGCACCTAACTAATGGAACAAACAAACAAACATCCCACCACGTCTCTTTTCACATTTCCACCAAGCATATGTATAAACAGCCACACAAACGCAACGATCTCATGTACTTGTGGTTTTAATTTGTTTATCAATTAAGCTTATAATAAGAACTACTGTACTATGCTTTTATTAAGTTCCTCTATAAGCAATAATTAAATACGAGGGTTGATATATTAAAAATAATTTGAACTAGTATATGGGAATTTCGTTGGCAACATTCCTTCAATAACGATCTTATGAATCCGTTGACATATACCAAGAACCAGACAACACGTTGACCTTTTCCCTCACACACACACCCAAAAAAACCCCCTTATGGAAACAAAGAAAGTTTCGTGCAGTAAAAGAAACTCAAGTTGCAAGAAGCAACAGACCTGTTCCTAATCTGACAAAACAAAAGTTAGATTCATCATTCATAGTGAGAGAGAAAGATCAGAGAATGGTTTGGAGTAGTAGTGCGAAGATGAGATGGATATTTCAGCTTGGATTCTGCGTTTTGAGTTTTGGATGGGCTTCTTCAGTTTCAGGATCATTCTCCTATGATATTCACCATAGATTCTCTGAACAGGTCAAGACCGTTTTGGGTGGACATGGCTTGCCTGAAATGGGCACTCTCGAATACTACACGGCGTTGGTTCACCGTGATCGAGGCCGCCGGCTAACTTCCAACAACAATCAGACGACTGTTTCTTTCGCTCAAGGCAACTCCACCCAAGAAATCAGTTTGTATGAACAAAACAAAAAAAAAACTCAAAAATCCTCTGTTTTGCATTTTAACTACAAATGGACATGCTTTTGATTATATGATATTTTTTTTTTTCTTTCTTCTTCTGAATGATCAGTCTACATTATGCGAATGTGACGGTAGGGACACCGGCTCAATGGTTCTTGGTGGCTTTAGACACGGGAAGCCATTTGTTCTGGTTACCTTGCAATTGCAACTCCAGTTGCGTAAGGACCATGGAGACCGACCAAGGAGAGGTAACATTACTATCTTGTAATATAAACATGAAATCTTGTTATTTTTTTTTAACTCACACGGATACATGTATAAATAATAGAAAATAAGGCTCAATATCTACGAACCAAGCATATCAACAACAAGCTCAAAGGTTTTGTGCAATAGCACACTTTGCTCATCAAGAAATAGATGTGTTTCTCCGCTCAGCGATTGTCCTTACAGAATCCGATATCTCTCTCCGGGAAGCAGAAGCACGGGTGTGTTAGTTGAGGATGTGATCCACATGAGAACGGAAGAAGGAGATGCTAAGGAATCTCGGATCACATTCGGGTTTGTTCTAATAATCTAATCACATTTTTGAAACAATGGATTGACCATGCAGTGTCCTTTATATATTATGTGAGATTCCTAAACACTAAAAAGTGCGTATATGGTAGCAGTTGTAGCGAGTCCCAACTAGGGCTATTCCAAGAAGTGTCTGTAAATGGGATAATGGGACTTGGAGTAGCCGACATAGCGGTTCCAACCATGTTGGCTGAAGCCGGTGTGGCCTCAAACTCTTTCTCAATGTGTTTTGGTCTCAAAGGGAAAGGCACAATCAGTTTCGGGGACAAAGGCAGCTCAGACCAGCTTGAGACTCCGTTTACTCTCACACCTTCTATGTAAACTCCTCTCGTACACTTAACATCTCTTCTTCTTTCTTTATACACAAGTAAATTCACTGTGTAACGAACATTAACTAACATCTGAACACAGGCCGTTTTATGATGTGATCATCACTGAATTCAAGGTAGGAAGTGTGACGGTGGAAACAGAGTTCAGTGTCATATTCGACTCTGGGACCGCGGTTACATGGCTGCTTGAGCCTTACTACACTTCTCTAACCACAAATGTATACCTACTTAACTTTTCTTGGCTTCTCATTAGATTCTGGTCTCCGTTGTTTATTTGCATCTAAATTTGCATTTTAGTGAGTGTTTCCGATGAACCTACATAGCTACAACCTCGAGTATTTAAGCAATTATTTTTGTTAATTCTAAAGCTAAACGTTCTTCCGTTTGCATTTGCATCATGTTAGAGTGATTTTTTTTTCTGAAAAACTGACAAATGGTTTAGTTTTAATTGCTTGATCATCTAAATGAAAAAGCCAACGTATAAATTTTCTTTTTGAACTTTGAAACAATGGAGGCATAAATTCACTTGCTAGAGCGTACTAGTTGATGTACTACTGACAAATCTTGTGTTTTGTGTTGTGCATGCAGTACGATCTTCATATAACTGACAGACGACTTCCGGCAAGGGTGAAGAGTCCCTTTGAGTTCTGCTACATTATTACACCAGCGTGCGTGATCTCACTTTAGCTACTATACATATGAGATTAGTTTATCTAATTCAAGGAATATTAAATGGTGCATATTGTGTATTGCTGTTTGCAGTTCAGATGAAGAGAAGCTTCCTTCAATTAGCTTTGAGATGAAAGGAGGAGCTCTATATAATGTTTTCAGCCCCATACTTGTCTTCGACACATCCGATGTATACACATCTATCATTCATGACATTTTTTTTTTGTTAAATCTATTCATGATATTATACAAATAAATATCTGAATCTGATCCATTGTACTTTCAGGGTGGAGAAGTCTACTGTTTGGCCGTTCTAAAGCAAGTTAATGCCGACTTCAACATCATCGGACGTAATTAGTTAACCTTTTCAATGAACAACAATATTTTCTTTGCACAGTTTTAACTAGTTTTCTAATCACATTAAATTTTATCTCTGACGTTATGTTTTTTTTCTTAATAGAAAACTTCATGACCAACTACAGAATTGTCCACGATCGTGAGAGAATGATCTTGGGATGGAAAGAATCTGATTGTACGCCCTAATTCAAATTAAGCTCTTTCTCCAAAAGTTAAAAAAACAAGAAAGTCATGTTAGTATAACTAGTTTGTTTCATGAAATTTCCAGGTAACGATGAGAATCGTTTCACGGGACGTAATACATCAGCGAAACCACCATCGTCCCTGCCACCAACGCCGTCTCCAAGACCAAGAAACCCTTCAACTCGTTTGAGTCCTGTCGCTATTTCTTCACTCTTCATTATTTTCTTCATTTCTTCTGTATGTTTGTAAATATTATTTACATGTCGACTTTGTGCAAGCGCAGTATTGTTTTTATTATCATCTTCTGTCCTCATATTCGTCCCTTTCATCCAAGTATGACATTTGTAGATAAAATATCTTGACTTCAAAACTCTCAAAAATTTATGAGAGCATGAGAGTAATTCCTCGGTTGAATTGTAATTGTCTAATATTCAACCGAGGAATTACTCTCATGCTCTCATAAATTTTTGAGACAATTACAATTCAATCGAGGAATTACTCTCATGCTCTCATAAAAGATGACGGAAGAATATGGACTAGCGCCAAGACTTTCACAAATGAGAATGATTTAAGTCTTATAGCTGCACTCATAATTCATAATGCCCTCCTCGTCTTATTTTTTTCTCTCAATTTGTTGTATATAAGATTTTAGTATGATAATAAAATTAGTTGTAATAATCAACAACTTTCTTTATAATTATGTATATATTTATATCCTAATGCGACGTGAGTGAAATATTTTATATAAAACGCCGACTACTGTACATTTTTTTTATTTGTAAACTTGAAAAGGTCAACTAAAATGTTCTTGTCTATACAATGCGTCTTATATAAATATCAGGAGTTAGGTGAAAATTTGTTCGTTGATTATAGAATTTAGAAATATTAATAGCAGGAGGTAAGTGAAAAATAAGAAGAGTTAAAGGACCTTTTCCGCAAAACAAAAGCGTTGACGAAACGACTTATAACGGTATAACGGATAAACTCAGAAATCGCCATCCTCTGCATCATAGACTCTGCTCCCTCGTCAACTTTCTGCTTCAGGGACGAAGACGAAGCAGCAAAATAATGGCTACTACTACTCCGATTAAATAATTATTACCTCGAAGAATCAACTCAGCTTCTCTCTGCTTATCTGGAACAATGCGAACGAGTCAAGCTTTTGACCTTTTCCTCAACTCCCTTACAATACAAATACGAGATTATCCTTCCCGGCGTAACTCGTCATCTGAGAAGGGAAACGGAGTTTCACACCGAAAGTGCTGTTTTTTCCCCCGGAAAACAGCTCAGAGAGTCAAGTCATGGCTTTTGCACGCCAAGTGTTTGTGTTATTGTCTCTGTTAGTGTTAGTGGTGTGTTGGGGATTGGAGAGATGTGAAGGTTCTGGGAAATTCAGCTTCGAAGTCCACCACTTGCTCTCTGATGCAGTCAAGCAAAACCTTGGCCTTGACGGTCTAGTACCGGAAAAAGGAAGTCTTGAGTACTTCAAGGTCTTGGCCCAGCGTGATCGCTTGATCAGAGGCCGTGGTCTCGTCTCCAACAACGAAGAAACTCCTCTTACTTTCATGGATGGCAACCTCACGCTCTCAGTCAGACTTCTTGGAGCGTAATGCCCCTCTTTCCTTTTCCTCTTGATTCATAACAATTCGTGCATTGCCTCTTGAATTTGAATTTTGGTTATGTCCATGTGGTTTCTTTCAGTCTGCATTACGCGAATATCTCTGTGGGAACACCACCTACTTGGTTCTTTGTGTCATTAGACACAGGAAGCAATTTGTTTTGGTTGCCTTGCAATTGCGGCACCACTTGCATCCGCAACTTGGAAGATGCTGGGATTCCACAGGTACATATGTCTCATCTTGAAAGCAAATTACACAGTTGTCTTCAAAGCGTTTCTGATTTTTAATGCTTTTGCGTGTAACTCTGCTTTTGACACAGAGTATACCACTCAATCTGTACAGTCCCAACGCATCCTCTACGAGTTCAAGCATTAGATGCAGCGACAAGCGTTGTTTTGCATCGAAAGGGTGTGCTTCTCCTTCAAGTATTTGCCCTTATGAGCTGAGTTACTCTCCTGGCACAGCCACCACAGGGACATTGTTGCAGGATGTATTGCATTTGGCCAAAGAGGATGTGGATTTAGAGCCTGTCAAAGCTAATGTCACGCTTGGGTGAGTAATGACTCTGCACCTCTATAAAAAGTTTCATTTCCTGTAAGCGCCATGAGAATGAATTAGTCTTGTTTAAGAGTTATATGCCTAAGGAGATGCTAAAACAAACTTAATCCGTGGTTGTGGTGCAGTTGTGGTCAGAATCAGACAGGTGAGTTGCAGAAAAATATTGCTGTGAACGGTAATCTCGGGCTTGGTGTGAAAGAGTACTCTGTTCCGAGTATGCTGGCTAAGGCAAATGTTACCGCAAACTCCTTCTCAATGTGTTTCGGACGTGTCATTGACGTTGTGGGAAGAATCAGTTTCGGTGACAAAGGCTACACAGACCAGGAGGAAACTCCATTCATTTCTCTTGAACCAAGGTACAGTATGAAAGTCAATTTTCACCGGTTTTTCTAATTCAATGTGCTAAATCTCCCATGGTTTTAATTCTTCACATTTTCTTAATCCAAAATGAGATCAGTTCGTCATACGTTGTGAATGTAACGGGAGTATCAGTGGGGGAAGAACCTACCGGTATTCGCATGGTGGCAGAGTTCTACTCTGGCTCATCGTTTACACACTTACTGGAGCCAGCATACAGTGTTTTTACCAAAGCTGTAAGTGCTTAAAATTAAGTATATCTTCTAATGCTGCCTGAAGAAATTCATGTCAATCTTGTGTTTGTTACACCACATGACCTTCATTCTATAAACTTGTGCAGTTTGACACTCTTGCCGAGGACAAGCGTCGCCCCGTTGATCCTAAGAGTTCCTTTGAGTTTTGTTACGACTTGAGGTATTACCTTGTCACTGTCAGTGTAGTTATCAAACGCTTTGACACAATTTAGTAGCACTTGGACACCTAACAAGTTGAGAAAGATAGGAAACGTTGAAAGTTATAGAGAAGAAGATTATGGAGTTGTGGAGTATTTGAACTAAGCTAAGAAACTTGTAGAATGGTCTAAATCTGTTTTACCACATTTCTGAATTGTGATGCTCTGCCTCTTTCACATGTAGTCCAAACGCTACAAGCATATTTTACCCCATACTAGAGTTGACTTTCGGAGGAGGATCCAAACTGAGACTCAAGAATCCGTTTTTCTCAACAAAGACTACGGCAAGACTTTGTGTTCCAAATTGTTTCTGTCTTTTCCTGTATTAGCGTATCTGTTTACATTTTTTTGTTTTTTGGTTTTGAACAGGAGGGTAATGTGATGTACTGCTTGGGTGTTATCAAGGGAGGCGAAGATATCAAGGTTAACATCATCGGACGTAAGTATTCTCAATCCTAATGCACAAATATATATCTGTTTATATACATATAATGAGTATATGTGTGGAATGCAGAGAACTTTATGTCTGGGTACCGCGTTGTCTTCGATCGGGAGAGGAAGATTGTGGGTTGGAAGGGGTCTGACTGTAAGTGACCAAATCAGGAAGTGACTGTATGTTCGTGTATATCTATGAACAAAGCGTTTTGCTAATGGATTGTGTGTTTTGTGTTAATGGCAGGTTATGAAGATGAAAGCTTAGAATCTACAACTCCTCCACCGCCGGAGGTCGAAGCTCCTCCACCAAGATTACCAACTCCACTACCTCGTTCTCCTCCTCCTGCTGCTGATGAGACACCGCCCCCAGTCGACCCTCGTGACTCCACCGGAAGCCCTGGCACTGGCGGTGCAGCCAGTCTCGTCCCTCTCGCATCGCAACTCCTACTTCTCCTACCTCTTTTTGCTTTGCTTTGATTCACACAAGTCATTCGTTTTGTGTTGGTTTGAATGTTTTATTGTTCGTTTAATAAGAATCTTTCGTTTGATGAGTAAAACAATATTTTTTTGGTTTGAGAGTTGTCTTTTAATCTTATTATCTCCATGTTACAATGTGTGTTTTTCTTATATAGGAAACAGAAAATTCCACTTTCAAGAATGGATTTGAAGAGTTTCCATTTTCTTTGTGCTGTTGTTGTTTTTTGAAAAAGTTTCTCAATTATTTGTTTGAGCCGACAATGAAAAAAATTGGAAATTCCTAGCGAAATGTTTATTTTGTTATAATACATATGAGAGGAAGAGTAAAAAAAAAGCTTTTTGAAAGAAATTTTGTTGGTGGTGATGAGGATGAAATTTTGGAACGCAACAACTTTGTTAACATCTTTGAAACAATGCTGAGACTTGCTGCGCAAGTAAGATTTACTTCTCTAGGTCTCATTCCTGGTGGAGTTAGGATCGATCAATTGATGTGTGTATAATAAGAATATTATACTTATGCATTGTGTCTGTTCACTTTTAATATAATTTCCCCAAATCGTTCACCGGATAAGGAGAAGGAAAAGACGATAATTTCAGATTCTTAAACCTCATCAAGTACTCCAAGTAGTAGATCAACAAGAATACCCCTCTTTTGATCCAAGGATGGGTAATACTGATAAAAAACAAGATTTCGAGACCTAAACGTATGTGTTTCCAGTTTGTTGAGCAAGTTAAATGGACAAGAGATGCCGAGAGTTTGAAGCTAAAGGTAGAGTTCAACGTGAAGCAAGCACATTTGCAATGAGGAATTGGCAAGCAGCTTCAGTGGCCGATTCAATCTGAGATATATGATTCATTTGCTGTGAGCCATCTTCCCTAAGATATTCTGAAGATCCTGAGAAGGTTGTCTTCGGAAGAGATACAAATTAAAGTTAGAGAATCATGAATTATAAAATCTAAAAGATAATTGACTAACTAAATTACATGGAGGAAACATTTCCTAGTGGAAAAAGGTTTGAAAGATTTGACTGAGTTATATCCCTGTCGAAATGCATTGTATTTGACAGCAGAACCTTCTGCAACAAGGTCTAGGTCTGGGTCAAGTGTCCATACTCTCATCACTTCATCTCCACATGCTGTGATGATTTCACCAGATGTCATGAATTTTGCATCCCAAACCCAGCGATCAGCGCCTTGATTGCAGAATCAGTGTTGATAGATGCACTATCCTTCCATGATTTATAATCATCACCATAACTCACATATTTCCATTTTTTAAGTAATAATTTTATGGTATATAACAATCGGGCTCATAGTATATAACAATTGAACAAAAAGTGCACTTTGGTGACATGCAGCTAAACAAAAAAGTTAAAGCCTTTTTAAAAGTGAGATTGTTAGTAACTATTGCAACATTAATCCTCATCTCTTAAATACTCAAATGAAAGATGGTAAGAAGAATAAGAAGAATGTTGATAATCATCTTCAGATTCTCATCTTCAAGTTCAATAAACTCATATTCTTCCTTTGATCCAAGAAGATGTAATGGATCAAAGCTTTCTCACTTAAACAATACACAAGAGATCAATTTTTAGTCAAAATAAAAATTAATCAAGAGAGCAGAAAATTCCACTTTCAAGAATGGATTTGAAGAGTTTCCTTTGTCACTGTGCTGTTGTTGTTTTTTTTAAAAGTTTCTCAATTATTTATTTGAGCCGACAATGAAAAAAATGGAAATTCCTAGCGAAAATTTCTGTTTTGTTATAATATATGAGAGTAAAAAAAATTCGCTAGGGATTTGGTATGAAGAAACGATGACGACGATCTCTGATCTTCCTAGGGATATGGTAGAAGAGATTGTTTCTAGAATTCCTTTGAAACTTATGAGAGAAGTGAGATTAACTTGCAGAGAGTGGAACAGTTTATTGAAAAGTGAGAGCTTAACGAAGATGCGCATAGGTAAAGAAGAAACAATGGAAAAACAAGGGGAGTCTAGGATGGTGGTATTGACAAATGACAATCTTTACTTAATGAGCATCGTCGTGGATGAAAAAAAGCCATGCACAGAGGTTAAAGGTAAACTCAGTAGAGTGAAAATATATCTCGTCTTTCACTGCGAGGGTTTATTGTTGTGCATCTTGAAAGACGACAAGACTAGGCTTGTGGTTTGGAATCCTTATTCAGGGCAAACAAGGTCGATCCAACTCATATACCGTTACACCAAGCACATTTTTCAGAATAAGGATAGGTACGGTTACGCTCTCGGATACAAGAAGAATAAGAAGAAGAAGAAGAAGAAATCCCACAAAATCTTGAGGTTTGTCGACACGGAACACTGCTTCACATGCTATGAAATCTACGATTTTGAGTCTGGTTTATGGACGACGCTTGAAGTCACTCCACACTGGCGTATACACGGTGTTGAGCATGGCGTTTCTTTAAAGGGAAACAGTTACTGGTGTGCTTCAGAAAGGAACTCGCCCATTGGGTCCAGGTCCATCGATCGCATAATCTGTTTTGATTTTACAAGAGAGCGATTTGGACCGCTTTTGCGTCTGCCCTTTAGTTCTTGGGATGGCACGGTGAATCTATCTTGTGTTAGGGAAGAGAAGCTTGCTGCGTTATATCACCAAGCGCATTGTATGGAGATATGGATTACGACTAAGATTGAGCCCAAAAAGATGTCGTGGAACAAGTTCCTAACACTGGAACTGGGACCAGAAGGTCCGATTGATGTTCAAAATTTCAGTTTCTTCATTGACGAGGTGAAGAAAGTCGCCATGCTTTTTGAAAGAATTTTTGTTTGTGGTGAATATGAATTTTTGGAACGCAACAACTTTGTTAACATCATTGGAGTGGCTGGAGACGTTAGACAAGTGGAGCTCGGAGAAATTGCCGTCAGAGCCTATAAGCTAAATGTGTGCCCTCTTGTCCCAAGTTTCGTGCAGATCAAGCAACCTGCAAGAGGCAAAAAGAGAAAACAGAGCATTTTAGAAAACTGTCGATTTGATCAAAAATTGTTGATAATGAAGAAGAAGCCTGCAAAAGGAGAAAGCTAGATGGATTGTATTAGTCTCCTAAATCTCTTTAGAATACTTTTGTTATGTGAATGTGTTTTTCATTTTTCTGTAACAAACTTAGACTTGGTAATATTATCGATATGAAAAAGAGATGGGAGCGTTGATCATGGTATCGTAATAAAAGAAACAATGCTGAGACTTGTTGCGCAAGTAAGATTTACTTCTCTTAGGTCTCATTCCTGGTGGAGTTAGGATCGATCAATTGATGTGTCTCTACACTTAAACCTATAAACCCTCCATGTTATAAAAGCAAGACCTTTCATCTTCTTACATCAACAAAATGGTGGTGACTATGGATGTTATCTCAGAGAAGAAAATACCAACCCATGAGCATGCAGTACGATAGATCATGTGAAGAAGAGACTATGTCACCCTTTTGAAGAGCGGTGGCATTTATATTTTCCTTATGACCCATTAGGACTTGGAGACTCTTCCCATCTGTGAGGTTCCAGATGCGTACAGTCTTGTCCAGACTAGAAGAAACTAACTGTTCAGTGGAAGGAACATAGATGATGTTTCGCATAGAGGATGTTTTGCACAGATCCTCTGTGACCCCTGAGAAGAAATTGAATACTTACCTCATCTTTATGAGTATGGAGCTCACACTGATCAGGTCTGACTTGATGTATTCTACATCAAAGTCTGCATCAGGGTCGGGAAATTTCGCATCAATTCTTAGTGATTGTTGTATCAGGTACTTATCTAAAACAAATATATTACAATGTCAAAGATATCACAATGTCACCAAATCCAAAAACTAATGCACGTGTCATTAAATCAAAGATATAAGAAGTGTCAAATTAAATCATAGAAAATCCATCATGGCAAAGATATAAGGAGTGTCAAATTAAATCAGAGAAAATCCATAATGACATGAGGTATGGCTTACCCATCATTTGAGGCGGTGACATAAGCATCACCAGGTTTCACAGCTAAGCTGTTAAATTTCAAAAACTCATCAAAGTTTTGATGCTAATCGGGCTCATAGTATATAACAATTGATCGAAAAGTGCACTTTGGTGACATGTAGCTAAACAGAAAAATTAAAGCCTTTTCACAAGTGAGATTGTTAGTAACTATTGCAACATTAATCCTCATCTCTTAAATACTCAAATGAAAGATGGTAAGAAGAAAAAGAAGAATGTTGATAATCATCTTCAAGTTCAATAAACTTCATATTCTTCCTTTGATCCAAGAAGATGTAATGGATCAAAGCTTTCTCACCTAAACAATACACAAGAGATCAATTTCTTAATTTGTATTTTGAGAACTTTTAATATATCTAATTAACAAAAGAAAAGAAGATATATGCATGTTTGACATTAGATTTGTGTGTTATAATTATGATTGCTCCGACATTGTCTCATATATTTGATTCAGTTCTTGTTATGTTGATTCCTTCAAGCTGGGTTCTTGAAAATTTCTGACTTATGTGAAATCCAATTAGTTTCATCGAAAGCTGAAAACTTTAGCGAAAATGTGAGAAATTTAGATGCTTTTCTTAATTATCAGATGAAATCAGTGGAAAACATTGACATATATGCATCTAGATGACTTTTTAGATGATATTTTTTTGTAAGAACTTTGATAATGTATCTAGTTAAATCAAAGAATTTTTTTAACCACATCATAAATAGAGGAAGAAGGAAATGCATGGTCAACAATTTTAATTACATGAGGTTGGTGCTTAATTGGAAGTGAATATACTTGTGGACATCCGGAAGGGTATTTTTGTACGCTAATAAAATATGTTTTGCAAACTAGAAAAAAGTCGCAATCGCTTATCTAAAAATGGTTAAATTGTTTTGGCTGTTTTGTAAGAGGAGGAAAGAGGCAAATTGTCTAAATTTTTCGTTGCTTGCGGATACATGAACAATTACAATCTCTCTACTTTTGTTGTTCTGAGAATCAAAAGGGAACCCCATTTGCATGAGGAGGAGAATATATAATATGGTCGAAGCTTTGTTTGGTATATTTTTACAGAAAGGAATTAAACTTCTTAGACGTTTCACCCTTGAAAGAAAAACTAGTACTACAAGAGAGTTTATAGTATTACAAGGAGAAAGAAGTTTGATCCCCAAGGAAGACAAACAAAAACAGGAATATAGACAGAAGGAGTCAGAAATGGAAAGAAGAGAACCACATGAAAAGTTCATCGGTGAGGAGGATGGTAGCTGGTGAAAACCGGCAAAGTGGACAGCAGATCTTGCGGCTGACATCGAACCACGTGTCAACACAGAGACTATGAAACTCATGGGAACAAGGTAAGGACGTGATTTTATCCTCTTCCTCCATTCTCATGAGACACACGGTGCAACACTCTTCCTCTCTTCTTCCTCCTCCTCCCTGTACTCTTGGGTAAAGCAAAGCCAGCCACTTCTCGAGACCCATCTTCTTCTTTGGGAATATTCTCTGCACTTGGTGTGATCAATTTAAGAGAGTGAGAGGCGTGTGTGTTGAAGAGACAAGAAAAAAACGGTTGGTCACTGTTGCGTGGTTTGCAAGGCCTCTTCTCTTTTATGGATTACAAAGTACGTTAATAAACACCTTTCTCTATGTTCACACACCAACACCTAGACCTTAACTTCTCACCTTCTTTTTTTCTCCTTTCTCTCTACGTATCCTCTTTTCTTTTTTCCTTATTCATGCAGATTACACACATTCCAAAATCAAATTGAAAAGCCTCGATTGGATATTATATAGATAAGGCTGTGTTTCTGTTGTTGTGTCTGGATTCCAACAGAAGTTATTTATCTAGATAAGAAGATGATGATTTAGCTTATCTTAAATCCTGTTTTTCAAAAATAGTTTCTCTTTGTGAATTGTTTATGATGATTTGAAAGTTCATCTAGACTAAAATTAGGTCGTGTGAGGTGCCTTATCCCATTCATACCAATTTATAATTTTGTTTTATCTTCTCTTCAAAAACGTAACATAAATACTATGGCCAAACTCTATTTAAATAATACTGACATGTCACATAGAAAGTTCCCTCTCATCTATTTTAACTTCTTTAATTTCATGTTTTACTTGGTTCGACTAAACCGGAACTCTCCGGCTCTATCAGAAGGTTTCTCTTAAGGTTTTTACACTGAACGAATCTCCTTCCTTCGCCGCCTTCTTCTCCTCGCCACTGCAATCGATTGACGACGCTTCTGAGTCCTGACAGAGATATGATCGTGGGTTGATGGCGATTTCCGAATCCATCCCTGACTCAACTCTAAGAATCCAAGCTGGAGATGAATGGCAAGAGCTCCTTCTATTCGCCAATTCACCACATCCAGATCTATCGCACCCGTTCGGGGTCTTCTTAGGGGTTTCAAACTCGTAGAAGAGTCCAATACCATTGGAAAACTCTTCCAAGTCCACGCGAGGCTCATCGCCTCCGGTAACTTCTGGGATTCCTCTTGGGCCATCAGATTGCTGAAATGTTCGTCGCGTTTCGGAGACGCTAGCTACACCCTTTCGATATTCCGGAGCATCGGCAAGTTCTACTGCGCAAATCCCGTCTTCAAGGCGTATCTGGTCTCTTCTTCTCCGCGGGAAGCGTTGGGGTTTTACTTCGATATACTGAAATGTGGCTTTGTTCCTGACACCTACACTTTCGTCTCCTTGATTGGTTGCATCGAGAAGACTCGCTGCGTTGATTCCGGAAAAATGTGTCACGGGCAAGCTATTAAACATGGATGCGATCAAGTTTTGCCTGTCCAGAATTCGCTGATGCAGATGTATAGTTTTTGTGGTGCCATTGATCTTGCGAAGAAGCTGTTTTTCGAAATACCCAAGCGAGATATTGTGTCGTGGAACTCGATGATCGCTGGGGCGGTGAGACGCGGTGATCTCCGATCTGCTCACAAGCTGTTCGATGGAATGCCTGAGAGAAATATGTTTTCTTGGAATATCATGATCGACGCTTATTTGAGTGGTAACAATCCCGGAGTCTCGATTAGTTTGTTCCGTGAGATGGTCAGAGGAGGATTCAATGGAAATGAGAGTACTTTGGTTTTGCTACTCAAGGCTTGTGGTAGATCAGCTAGACTGAAGGAAGGTAGGTCGGTCCATGCTTCTTTGATTAGAACCTTGCGGAATTCGAACGTGGTCATTGATACAGCTCTTATTGACATGTATGGGAAGTGCAAGGAGGTAGAGTTAGCACGTAGGATATTCGATAGTTTATCCCGTAGGAACAGAGTTACGTGGAATGTGATGATAATGGCACATTGTCTTCACGGGCATCCTGAAGATGGGCTCAGATTGTTTCAAGACATGATCAATGGTATGGTTATACCTGATGAAGTGACGTTTGTAGGTGTTCTCTGCGCTTGTGCTAGAGCTGGGCTTGTTTCACTAGGAGAAAGTTACTACGCCCTGATGGTTGATGAGTTCAAGATCAAAAGGAACTTTGGACACAGTTGGTGCATTGCTAATCTTTACTCCAGCGCTGGGTTCCAAGAAGAAGCAGAGGAAACTCTGAAGAATCTGCCAGAGGAAGACGTGACGCCGGAGTCTGCAAAATGGGCTGACTTGCTCAGCGCGTCGCGTTTTACAGGAAACCCGGGTCTGGGGGAGAGCATTGCCATGTCTCTGATAGAGAGAGATCCCCTGAACTACAAGTATTACCATTTGCTGATGAATATTTACAGTGCTGCGAGGCGGTGGGATGATGTTGATAGAGTGAGAGAGTTGGTGAAAGAGAGAAAGATAGGAAAGATACCTGGTTGTGGCCTTGTGGACTTGAAGGAAATAGTACATGGCCCAAAGCTAGGATGCGAAGAGGCAGAGGTTAGTGCCACAGTGAAAGGCTAATGAAATCATAGATGATGCATACAGGAACTCCTTTGCCAGATTCAGGCTATGAAGTCATAGATGAAGCTGTCTCCGGAATGCGTATTAGCTTCAGTTTTTTGCAGACAAGAGTAGTAGGATTCTTCTTAGAATGGATCAAGAGAAATTATGGTCTCTCTAATTGTATTTGATCCTGTTTCATTTTTGTTTATTTGGGGGAGGACGGATTTGCCAATTCTTTGCTTTATATAACACAATGAATGTGAGGGGCAAAAAGAGTGATGTGATCTACGTGATAAATCGAGATTACCAAACTTGCAAAATCAATGAATGATATTCATTTTTAGATGGTTGATCTTATGAAAATGTTTGCTTGTCTCTTATGCTGTTTCTCTATATTGTCACATGTAATTTAATTAAGTGTTGACAAAAAAGGTAAAGTAGATGATGAACAGAGAGAACAATTAAATGCGGAGTGTCGTCTATACGCTAAAATTATTCGGTCAAAATTGAGACTCTTCTTCGCTGTAGAATTGTAGTGAGACAGAATGATCGCCGACGACGATGAGAAGTGGCTTGCCGCCGCCACAGCCGCCGTTAAGCAAAATGCTTTCTACATGCAGCGCGCGATCGTATCTATCTTATTCCCTCTCTTCTCTTCTTCATCAATTAATCAATTTCCCATCGGGGGCATTGGAAACCCAAATTCCTGGATTTGATTTATAACGGATCTCCAATTACTGTCGCAGGACTCGAACAATCTCAAAGACGCTCTTAAGTTTTCTGCTCAGATGCTCAGCGAGCTTCGTACTTCCAAGCTCTCTCCTCATAAATACTATGAACTCTGTGAGTCGTTCGTTACCCTCTTCGTCTAATTCGTATACGCATTTTCGAATTCGGGTGATCACTCTTTTCATTATCTTACTGCGATCTGATTTGTTCAGATATTCGAGTTTTTGATGAATTGAGGAAATTGGAGATGTTCTTCAGGGATGAGGCGGGGCGTGGTTGCTCCATTGCAGAGCTTTACGAGCTAGTGCAGCATGCCGGTAACATTTTGCCAAGATTGTAAGTTTTTTCAATTTTCAGAGTATTACATTGTCGTCTGCTCTCTCTCTCTCTGATTTGAACTTTATAGAGACACACACATGAATCGAATTTCAGGTACCTCCTCTGTACCATAGGATCTGTATATATAAAATCCAAGGACGTTACTGCTACGGATATACTCAAGGATCTTGTTGAAATGTGCCGAGCTGTTCAACATCCTTTACGTGGTCTTTTCTTGAGAAGTTATCTTGCTCAAGTTACTAGGGACAAATTGCCCAGCATTGGTTCAGAGTTGGAAGGGTAAAGCCTCACAACTTAGTCTCCTTCAACTTGCTGTTAGATGATTTGTGTGTAAATGATTTGCATTTCTCTCCAGGGATGCTGATAAACACATGGATGCTTTAGAGTTCGTCCTTCAAAATTTTACTGAGATGAACAAACTATGGGTCCGAATGCAACATCAGGTTGGTTGGTATTACTAATGAGAGTCTCTAGTTTTTGTGGTCATGCTATTGTCTACTGTTTGTGAATTTTCCCTACGGAATTGAACTTTGAGTTGAGGCTTTGTGGTATTCAGGGACCTAGTCGGGAGAAGGAGAAGCGGGAAAAAGAAAGGAACGCACTACGTGATCTTGTAAGAGCAGTAACCTGTAGCTGATTCTTCTCATGTAGAAATTTGCGAGTAATGATTCTTACTATTTGCTGAAAGATAACTTTTTCTTATCTTTACGGCTGATTAGGTTGGGAAGAACCTCCATGTATTGAGTCAGTTGGAAGGTGTTGACCTTGGAGTCTACAGAGATACTGTTCTTCCTAGAATACTGGAGCAGGTCTGGTTTTTCTCTTGCTTTAGATAGCTCAGCATTTAAGCTTCCGTCTACTTGGTGGTGAAAATAAATTTATGTATCATTTTTGTAAAAGGTTGTCAACTGTAAGGATGAACTTGCTCAGTGCTACCTAATGGATTGCATTATTCAAGTCTTTCCTGATGATTTTCACCTTCAAACTCTCGATGTATTATTAGGTGCTTGTCCACAACTTCAGGTACTTATAATAACCTAAACTTTCTTCTTGTATAAGACTGCTAGATAAAGCTTATCCCATCGGAACATGTTTACCCTATTTTCCTTTTCCTCATTGTGTTTTTCAGCCGTCTGTTGATATCAAGACAGTCCTTTCGGGTCTAATGGAAAGGCTTTCGAACTATGCTGCATCTAGTGTGGAAGCATTGCCTTATTTCCTGCAAGTAGATGCCTTTTCAAAGTTGAATCATGCCATTGGGAAGGTAAATCTTGCATCTGATCATGAAGTTAAGGAACTAACTGCAATTAACAGTTATTGAATCTAAGTTAATTCATGAGGTTGGCTAACAAATCTAGTTTAATCTTCATGGTTTTGTGAGGAATTTTCAGCTCTTAAATATTCTGTAATTTATTGTTTCGCCTGTTCTCTCTGATTGGATCATGTTGATATTCTCTTCACTGTTTTAATTTCACACACATCTTATTATGATTCAGGTTGTAGAAGCACAGGAGGACTTGCCGGCCTCAGCATCTGTAACATTGTATTTGTTTCTTCTGAAATTCACTCTCCATGTCCATTCTGATCGTCTGGACTATGTGGACCAAGTATTGGTATAATGCCTTCCGAGCATGTATAAGCGTGTTTCATTTTTTTCAGAATTACGTTTTTGTCTATACTCTATCAATTATGCGAGTTGCTGATACATATTGTCTTCTCTCTTTTCAATTTTTGTATAGGGATCTTGCGTTAGCCAACTCTCTGCCACAGGAAAGCTTTGTGATGTCAAGGCATCAAAACAAATTGTTGCATTTCTCAGCGCCCCATTGGAGAAGTATAATGATGTTGTAACTATTTTGAAGCTTACCAACTATCCTCGAGTAATGGAATATCTTGACCATGAGACAAACAAAGCAATGGCAATCATCATAATCCAGAGCATTCTGAAAAACAATACTCACATTGCTACTACTGATGAGGTGTGCTTTTCTCGTGGTTTAGTTTCTTAATTTAGCGTTCTCTGTTGATGTGGCGTTTCTTTCTGTTGCGCCTTGCAGGTTGATGCACTGTTTGAATTGATAAAGGGACTCATCAAGGATTTTGACGGGACAATTGATAATGAGGTATAAGAATTTTACTGCATTCGTGTTCACAACATTCTAGTCACTCGGAAGAGTATTTTTTCTGTAGATAAATTACCTTTTCTTGTATCCGGCATGATCTCAAACGGGAAACTATGTGGAGTTCTAGGTTGATGAAGAAGATTTCCAGGAAGAGCAGAACTCTGTTGCACGGCTTGTTCGCATGCTCTACAATGATGATCCAGAAGAAATGTCTAAGGTGTGCATATATTTAAACGTTGTTGCAGATCAGGAGCGCTACTATCAACGTGACCTGTTTGTGCGTTTCCTAATCTGTATTCCCAATTACAGATAATTTTCAGCGTAAGGAAGCACATCCTGACTGGAGGACCTAAGCGTCTGCCTTTAACGATACCACCCCTTGTCTTTTCTTCTCTCAAGGTTTGTCTTTCTGACTCTCATCACTTCTTCTATTCTCCAAGATGCATATAAAAATAATTGTGTTGATATACACATGCAGTTAATTCGACGACTGAAAGGTGGAGATGAAAACCCATTTGGAGATGACACGTTGGCAACACCGAAGAGAATTCTACAGCTCTTAAACGAGGCAAGTATACATACATCTTGATTGTTAGAAAAGAGTGAGGAAGGTTTAGTTTTTGTTCTTTCTTTGCCAGAATTACAATGATGCCGAGTCATTTGAATCTCAATCTTTTTTTTACAGACCGTTGAAGTTCTGTCTGATGTTCCAGCATCTGAGTTGGCATTGCGACTCTACTTGCAATGTGCTCAGGTATATAACCGTTTGGTTTATGATCATCCAGTGTCAAAACCATTAGATAAAGTGAATGCGCTAAAAAAACTTCCTTTACTGAATCCTCAGGCAGCAAATAACTGTGAATTAGAAACAGTCGCTTATGAGTTCTTCACAAAGGCTTATCTTCTATATGAAGAAGAAATTTCAGTAAGTGAATTCCATACGAGGCTACCAGCATCTTTCTGCAAGACAGACCTTGACGTGGCCTTAAATTTTTTTTTGGTGTTATAGGACTCAAAGGCACAAGTAACCGCACTACGTTTGATAATAGGGACACTCCAACGGATGCGAGTATTTAATGTTGAGAACAGAGATACTCTGACTCACAAGGCGACAGGGGTATCATTCCTGACAATTCCAATTGAGTTAGTGAGTGCTACTCTGAATAATAACAAAGGCTAAATTTTCTTTTGTTGTTGTAGTACTCTGCAAAACTACTGAAGAAGCCAGATCAGTGTAGAGCTGTTTACGAATGTGCACATCTCTTCTGGGCTGACGAATCCGAGAACCTGAAAGATGGAGAGAGGTATGCTACATATGGATACACTCTCGACAATACTAAATCTTGAAATTAAGCTTATATGGAATTTATGAAATGAGAACAGGGTTGTGCTCTGCCTGAAGAGGGCACAGAGAATTGCAGATGCTGTTCAACAAATGGCCAACGCAGCCCGTGGTATTGGTAGCACCAGGTCTGTGGATCTATATGTCGAACTGTTGAACAAGTAAGTTACTTGTCTTACTTATCACCTACGCTGCAAAATGCTTGTAATTGAGTACTTTGACACCACCTTTCTCTAAATGGTGTTATAATTGAAATGCAGGTATCTCTACTTCTTGGAGAAAGGAAATCCGCAAGTGACAGGCGATACAATCCAGACCTTAGCTGAGTTAATCAAAACCGAGACGAAGAAAGCTGAGTCGGGAGGAGGATCGTTCATATCCAACACTCTGCGTTACATGGAGTTTCAGAGACAACAACAGGATGGTGGCATGAGTGAGAAATACGAGAAAATCAAAATGGAATGGTTCGAGTGATTACTCTTTCTTGCATTCGTTTAGGCTCTCATCATCAATAATCATATGGCTTCTCATCTTGTTTAGAGAATCTTGAGAATAAAACTTGTATCATCACGTTTTCTTTCCTAATTTATACTCTACCAATAAAAATGTTTGCACGCGTAGAACGACCAACTATCGATGAGGAACACATACAACATATGACTAATTGAAGAAATTGTGTGTGTGTGTGGAAATTAGTTGGAGGAGCAAAAGGTGTTGATTCCGACAAACTCCATTAATAATAAGAACAAAAAAGACCAACCAAACTTTGGGTGTCTGTCCAGAAACACATTTGATTCAACGTTAGAAGATTGATATACCAAAAACAAACAGACTTTTGTGATCATTATAGGATGGAGCATGCCTTCTGGGCTTTGCTCTTCTTCTTCTTCTGCTTCGGCGGTTGCAACACCACTCGAATGGCTGCGTCAAACACCGCCTTCACATTCTGCACTCAATAACAGTAACATTAGCATAGACACATCAACAAGATTATTTGGTAACAGAAATCAATGTTATCCACACAGTACCTCTTGAGATTTGGAACTGCATTCGATGTAAGAAGGTGATCCTATTAGCTTCCTCAGCTCCTCTCCCTGAGCAGTAGATATCGGGACAGCACCAGGATGGTCGATGAAGAACTGCTTGTCATCTCGAAGATCTACAAGATATGAGCAGGAACACACAAATCCGTGTCACACAACTAGTAGTAAATTAAAGGCGTGAGAATCGATCAGGAACAAAGCTAATGAAATCTCACCAAGCTTGGTTCCAACAAGGATGATGGGGACACCAGGCGCGTAATGTTTCAACTCCGGGATCCACTGCCAACACACACAATTGTGACTCTATGAGACACTTTTGCATAACCTTCCCAAAATAAGATTTTGATGGATTACTTAGCCAAAAAAGAAGATTTTGATGGATCATTTTCTCACCTTTTTGGAGACGTTTTCATAACTGGCTTTACTGATAAGAGAGAAGGCCAATATGAACACATCTGCTCCACGGTAGCTTAGTGGTCTCAATCTATTGTAATCCTCTTGTCCTGTTTTTTCAAATTTCCAAATTTTCAAAATCTCAGATCCAGAAGCACAAATAAACTACATATTCCAAATTTCAAAACTATAATGAATCAACCTGCAGTGTCCCACAATCCAAGATTAACGGTGGCTCCATTAACCACCACATTCGCACTGAAATTATCGAAAACGGTGGGCACATAATCCTGTATGTTAAGAAAAACTACAAATACATGAGATTTTTGTTGTACAAATGAAGACAAATCTATTAAAACAAGAACAGAGGAGAATTAGACTTAACCGTAGGGAAAGTGTTGCTTGTGTAAGATATCAGCAAACAAGTTTTTCCGACAGCTCCATCACCAACCGTCACGCACTTTACGAACCTCGAAGCGCTCATTTCCCCTCAAAGGTTAATAATTTCAGGGAAATTTGAAACAAACGAACAAAAAAAGCTCAATTATTTAGCCTCCAGATCTTCAAAACAGGCCTGGAATAAAGAGAACCCAGATCCTTGCTATTTCTGTTAATTTTTCTTCTTCTTAATCTCGGAGCTCAATCTCAATCGACCATCTGAGCATTGATGCGGATTTCGAAAGGAGCAGACTTTAGTCCCAGAAATTAGAAACCCTATTACCAAACAAACAAAAAAAAATTGAAAACGGAAGGTGACAGAAACGAAAACGAAGAGTTTGTTAGTTAGCTTTGGCCGGGAAAAATGGCGTTGAAACGTTCCACTTGACACCAATAATCAATTTTCTCGCCAACCAAACTCTCTCTCTCCCTCTACTTCCGACTATTGTGGATTTTCCTCTTTTAATAGCTTTCTCCACAAAACCAACAAACTAACCAATCGATTGTCTGTGATTATTTATGGGAACCCAAATTAAATTCAAGGAGTTGTCATTTTCTGCCGCCCAATCTCTCATTTCAATCCGTTAAAAACGAATCATTTCGCCTCTCTTTCTGTTGCGTACAAATCTTGACAGTGTTTTTCTGATTATCATTAAAACTTTCTTTCTTCTTTAAGCAATGCCTCTAACTAACAATTGTCCAAACTCCGAAGTTAATAAGCAAGTACAAGTAGGTAGGTTGCATGATTATACGCACTCCCAAAGATTTGACATCACCATTTGCATTTGGACACTATTAGAGTACATATATAACTATGGTTAAATGTTGGTTTAGTCTTGGTTATGTAGATGTTAGTTAGAGCTTGGTTTAGGTATATGGTTTACTTTATTGCTTGTGTATAAGCTTTCCTTTGTATCTCTTTTACGATGAATGAAGATTATCCATTATCTGAAAGACACTGTTGTTCTCTTATGAAAATCCTCTTTTTTAACACACTTTTCAAAGAATGTTAATTTGGTACGACTAGCTTAATTTCTAAATGTGTCGGATTAGAAGTAAGTAACCATTGGAGTGGTCAAGGATGATATTATTTGTTGTAAAATGGGACACCAATGTGAATATGTAATACTTGAGGGGTTTTTCTGTAACATCAATAGAAAATAGGGCAAAAACATGAATAAGCAAGACTTGAGGGGTTTTCCAAGCAGACATACATTCTTACAAGCTTAAGGGCTTGTTTGGCTGTGTGACTAACATAAATCTCAACGCCTTTTGCGGAATTCAACCACCATTTCTCTTTGTGCCCCTCTCCTTCATCAGTACCTTGAGGTGAGAGACTGTATGGTTTTCGCAAAAATTGATCCTTTCACTTACTGTCTGATTGCTAATGTGACCTGTTCATATGATCGATTAGGTTTTAGAGTTTTCCAGATGTCTCTGCATTTCTATCTGAATTTCATTTTAATCTTGAATGTGAATAGGATTGAGAGTAGGAAAAGGTCATCAGTTTTGTGTCTGAATCTGCAGAATGGCGACTCGAATCTCCGGTGAACAACAGTATCAACAGTCTTCGTCTGAGTACGATCATCACACCGCCGCAGTTTCTCCTCCTCCTGCTCCTAAGAGAAGACGTCGTAGTAGTAGTAGTAGCAGCGGCGTGGAAGCTGCTATCGCCAATGCTATCTCTGAAATGGCAGCTGCATCGAAGCTGCGCACTACTGCTTTGACGCAGCAGAAGAGCAGGTTCTCTCTTGCCGAGTGTATCAGAGAGCTACATCAGATCCAGGACTTGCCAGAGAACGTCTACTTCGACGCACTCGAGTTCTTCAACAACCCAACCGCAAGAGAGACATTCTTGTCCTTGAAAAGCCACTTGCGTTTGGCTTGGCTTCAGTTTAAATCTAATGCTGCTTCGCATACATGAATCCCAAAGTTCTTGATTTGATGAAGTTTCAAGAAATGATTCAACGAAAAAGTCTTTAAACCTAACAATAGCATTAACTAAAGTTCACAACAGAGAGGAAATGGTAAAAACAATTTTCTCACTTAAGGAAGCAACCTCCTGACTTCTTCTTGCTCCTCACCGATGCACTTGGCTTGGTTGTAAACAGACTCAAAGGCTTGCATACAAACACTTGAGAACCCAACCATTGCCTGAAACACATGAGGAAACCCCATCTGCAAGTTATTCAGAGTCATGGCTCTAGTCACACTCACTGCCTTCTCATGCTTGCTCTTCTCTTCCTCTGCTTTGCCCTTAAGCATCTCAACTTTAGCTCTCTTCTCTATCACCGGGTTCTTCTTCCTGCTCTCAGGCACCGAGTACGGACTATACTTGCTCTCAAGCGCTCTCAACGCAGCCGCTTTCTTCTCAAAGTCTTTCAACACAGACTCCGATCTCTTCTTCTGCTTATGCTCCTCCGCCTGCTGAGCCACAATGCCGTGGACTGCGGTCAGAAAGCTCTTGATCCCTTCAGATGCTACTTTGTCAGGGATCCTGTCGATAGCCAAATGCCATTCCTCGCAGAAGCTGTAGATCTTTGACTCGTAGCTGCTCCTGACAAGTGGATTCTTGCTGAACTGGAACAGACTTAACCTGAGCCAACCAGTTAGTGACTGGATGTAGTCACGCTGGGCCTTGACCAAGTTGCAGAAAGAGAAATGCCATTGTTGGATCTCTAGCTCGAGCTGAAGAGTCGATTGTCTGTGAAGCTCGGAAGTCGGCTCAGTGGAGGGGATGGTGTTGAGGTACTTGAGCTGCTGAACAATATGTGTTTGAACCTGGTGGCTCTCATACATACTCCTCCACATACACATCAACCTACATTACATTATACAAGAACCAAAATGAAGATGCTGAATTAGATGAAGCAAGAAATGGAATATAATACAAGAAACTTACCCTTTAACTAGCTCGACGAGCTGAGGATAGAGTTCGGTTTCTCTGAGCTTGATGATCTCGTTGGAGGCGCTCTGGATGGCTTGTGAAGACACACTGAGCTGAGATTCTAACTTCTCGACGTCTTTCTTGGCCTTTTCGGTTTTGACATACTCAGCTCTCTTCATCTCAAGCCTCCTCACTTGCTCCACTTTCTTCTCATGCTCCATCTTTATGCTCTCTGCATTCTGCAACAGCAACAACCCCACATTCACTAAACAACAAATCACTCACTCACTCACTATTCTCCCACTGCTTTGGCAATATATCTGTGTCAGTGTACACAACACATTACAGGAATTAAGTGCACATGTGGGTCTCTTACACTACCTGCTCACTCTTGGACCCACCACTAGTCTTTTAATTCGGACATGAAACTACCAAATGCGAATCTTTCTTTATTTTTATCCATATTTAGATGAAATCTAAGCATGCAGTTTCAAGATTCAAAATTGGATTGGAGAATAAACCACATACAACATTTAAAACTTCTTCCACAGATCCATCTAAGTCTACTTTTTTTGGTACAAAGATTGAAACTTTTAAGTTGGAAAAAGTGAATACCTTAACCTCTTGAAAGAGCTTCTTCTCCCAAGCATAGAGTCTGTCCACTGTAGAGGAATGGCTACCAACCATGCAATTTCCTCCTCCTCCTACTACTACTACTGCATTTCTGTAATCATTCAACTTTGGAGCAAATCCTCTTGTCCAAAACGACGTCGGATTCAGATTGCATTCGTAGTTACTGTACATTTTCCCTGGAGACACAAAACCAAAACACAATAAATAAAAATTACTTTGCCACTTGTGTCAATCGTTACGAAGAAGAAAAGACAAGAGCTTGATTTGATTACCTCCTTTGGTATGAGCAGAGAAAGCTGTTGTAGTTGCGCTGATAGAGGTAGAGATTTCAAGGAGAGAGGAGAGTGGAGCGCCGGAATCAGCAGCTTTAAGGAAATATTCATCGACTTCTTTGATAATCTCCATCAGATCTTTACTGTTCCTCGGCACCACAACTGCTAACTCGCTTCCCGTCGTTGTTGTCGTCGTCATTGTGTCTTTAGAGAAGCCACTCACTACCGAAGAAGCTTGAGGAGTGGATGTGGTTGGAGCAGTCGTTGCAGCAGTGTCGGAAGCTGTTCCGGTTTGGGTTGCAGTGGCGGTTCCGGTGGTTGTCTCTTCCTCCCACTCTTCCTCTGAGGAAGAAGGAGGCGGCGGAACAAACGGATCCCAGAAGTCCCATGTGGAGGACGGCGGAGGTGGTGGTGGTGGTGGTGGCGGCGGAGGAGGGAGAGCAGAGGAGTTTGTGGTGGAGGTCCATGTGGTTTCGGAGCCAGGGCTTAGAGGAGGAGCAAGAGGGCGAGGCGGCGGAGGAGGAGGAGGAGGCGGGGATGGAGAAGGAGGATGGAGGTGAAGAGGGGTTTCTTTGGAGGAGAAGTGAACAAGGGAAGAGCCGGTGGCGCGTAGAGAACGGAGGTAAAGCGCGTGAGAGACAGAGAGAGTTTGTCTAGCTTTAACAAGCTGTTTCAAGTATCTCTTCCTCGCTTTGCAACGAGACACTATCTCTTTTCTATCTATACTTGACTGACAACAACCCATTTCCGAAAAAAAACAACTCTTTGTCTGAAAATCAATTGGTCTTCTTCTTCATCTTCTTCTTAAACATGCATCCAAAACAAAAATCGTTTTTTTCGTGTGGCTCAACAAATCTGAACTGAACTCACACTCTACACACAAATCCCATTTCCTTCTTCTACTTAAGAAGTGCGCTTGCCTCGTTTATGTCAAAATTTGACCCAAAAGAAAAAGCGAAAAAAAAGAAAAGATCCTAACTTTGTCCTGATCTGAAACTCAAAGGGTTTAACTTTAGGATTAGGATGTTGAAGGTTGATGAGATTTTTATTAAAAAAAAGAAGAAGAAGAAAAGGAATTGAGAAGGTTTTGGCTTTTGAAAGTACTTTGGCTTCTCCTGAGGAATGTAGTTGGAATTTGGACTTCTTTTCTTTTTATCAGTTTAATCTCTCACACACACATACCCCTTGGTCTTTGGGCGGAGAGCCCTTTTCCCCCAATTAAATCACTTCTTTTTACTTTTCTCCTCAAAGGCTCAAACAGTCCATTTTTACCAAAATAACCTTTGTTTTTCAATTTTATTGCATCATGTACAAGACTCGGATTAATGCTGTTACAAAAAATGCCAAAACTTTGAAATAAAAAGTCTTCTTCTTTCACAAAACCGCTAAAGAAAGTTTTTTTTTAAAACCGTTTCATTTGACATGGTTAACAAAAAAGGGCAATTCCGGAACTAAATACACATTCAACGGTTGTATTTTTGGCCGAATAAAAAGAGGAGTAAGTGTATTAACTACAGTTTGGTGCCAAGTGGACAAGCGTTTCTATAAACTCGAAGCAGAAGAGACCAAATTGATAAACTAAATTAATTGTTTAACGGATACTAATTTTTCGAAAAACTTAACCACAAATGTTGAGTGTTGAAACGAATTTCGAAGGGCAAGAATTAGATCAATGATGAACAAGAGATCAAAATGATGAAAGAATGGAGCATTAACTATGCTCTTCTCAAATTTTCCTCTTTTGTCTCTCTCGTTAGTTCTTGTAAACAGCAAAAATAATTGTATTATTATTAACTGCAACCTCTTGTAGAATGGCAAATAACATAACTTCCAACTTTCATTATTGGTCAATGACAATAATTGTGAACAATAAAAATGTAGCAACTTTAAGCTGACAAAAACATTAATAAAATTAAAATCACCATGGAGAATAAGAGCTCATCTCCTTTTGGCATCACCCACAGTAGAACTAGAATAAATTAGAAATTATTAATCGTAGATAGATTTTGGTTAGAGACTCTTCTCGTTTGAGATAAGTCAAGCTCTAGGGCTAAGGGAGGACAAAGTGATATCCTGAAAAACCCTAAGCCTCTTCTGTTCCACCACTTTCGTCTTCTCTGTCCCCAAAACAGCCATTATCATCGCTTCTTCAAACTCCTTGTTATCCGGTAATCCACAGTCTTTCGCTCTCTTCTCCATCGACAACCTTCTCTTCGCGCTTGTCTCTCCCTCACCACCATCACCACCACCACATTCCAACATCCCCATCGTTTGGCTCGACGATCTCGTCCTCTTCAGCTTCTCATTATTGATGGTCGTCAACTTCGAAGAGAAGAACGGTTTCGCATCAACCCTTAACGGGTTTACTACATTCACATTCACATTCACATTCCTCTTCACGTTCTCGTCACCGTATCCATCACTACTCAAATCCGGCTTCGGTTTAGCAGCAGCCTTCACGTTCTGCTCTCTACAAGGCTGAGGCTGCCATATAGAGGAAGACCCGAACATCGCATCGAACAGCCTCCTCTGCTCGACTTTATCATCCCCTCCTCTTCTCATCATCTCGGATCCAAGATCGTTGAGCATCTGTTGCGCTCTCTCGTACGCTTTCAGATGAGAATCCACACCTCTGGGACCATCAACCACAGCTGGCTTCACACGCCGTAATGTCTCTTTAGCCTCATCGATCCTTCCTTGCTTCATCAGACAGATCCCGAGGTTACACATCTTGTTGTTGTCTGGTGCGATTGATAGAGCTCTCCTGTATGCATCTTCTGCTTCCACAAAGTTGTCTCTTTGCATCAACGCCCATCCCAAGTTCCCCTGTTTTCGAAACCAATCAACATACAAATTAGAATCACACAATTTTGGCAATTTGGGTACAGAGTTATGCATAAAGTTTCGAAATTTGCTGCTTACCAATAGCCTAGTGGCTTCTTGTTCTACAGAGACTTGAAATTTCTTCCCTTGAGATCTAGCGGTTTTGGTTCGTTTACCGTTAAAGGCGAGACCTTTTTGAATCAAGAAGAGTTTGTGTTTCAAAAGTCCAATCTGGTCATCTAATCTCCCACATCTCTGCAACAACAATCAATCCAATCTCAATACAAATTTAACCAATTGCTAAAACGAAAACAGAGGAAAAATGGGATCTTTGTGTTAAAGTAAGGACCTTGTAGAGATCTAGGAGGATGTTGTCAAGTGATTCCTGGGCTTGATCTGAACACCTGACTCTGAGAGACTTAATGGCTTCGATTGCCTCTTCAGCGCGATCTTGCTGCTTCATCACAATGGCCATATCTTTCAGAGCACTGTCTACTCTGTCTCCGGCATTAATGGCGGACCAAAACAGAGGAATCGCTCTCTCTGGATCCTTCTCCACCAACTGAATCCATAATAATCAAATCGCAAAACAACCAATCAGATAAACAGCAAAATGCAAAACCAAATCCAGATCTACAGAAATGATAGTTATTTCTAATCACCTGAACATTTTTGGCCCTGACGTAAGGACTGTCTCCGATAGGGACTTTGTGGATGGCATGAAACGATTCAGAGCGAGTGCGGGAGATACCGAGTGGCTTTGCAGGAGAACTCGGAGCGGATTTGGTCGGTCTGAACACATCTTTCATCATCTTTGGACTGAGTGGAGAAGAAGAGAAATGGAATCGCGAAAATGGAATCTCAGAGAAAGAGTGATGTGAGAAAGAGGTCGAGGTTTAAGAAGACGGCTTGAGAGAGAGATCGGAATCGGAATTATAAAAAGGTTTAAAAAATTTCGACCGTTGAGGTCACTAGCCGTTGCGTTTTATTTCCTAATTTTTTTTCTTTCTAATTCCGTTTATTGAGGGGGAGCGTATTTCTCATCTACTCCCTTGACTTTCATGTAGTTTCTGTTTTTGCCCCTCTAAAACAAAATCTAACAAATTTGGACAAAAATATCATTTGAGAATCGAGATTGATTTATTAAGAAAGATATCCGTTGTCAGAAAACTAAAAACAGAAACATATCCATTATGGAATCTCAACCAAATAAGCAAAATTCACCGGTGACACCATTTTCGGCCCGTTTACATAATTGTATGGCCCATTAAGCCCACAATATCTTGCTCAGTTTTGTTTTGTGTATCAAAATTTGCTGTAAAGAAAGTTTTCACCAGTCGTTGTGGACCTTGGAGTGTTGGGAACGGCCTCTTCCTTTGTCTTTGTATGTGTTTCTTGAAGACTGCGACTTTCTACGTCCCTTGGCATCAGCCATGGCTCTGCGTCTTTGTTTCTCCAGTTTCTTCTCCAGATCTGGATCATTGTTTTTCACCTCCTGCACAAACGAAGGAACATCAATACTTTTGTTTTAAGTGCTTGATTCCGATGAACTCATAGTCTATGTGTTACCACAACGCAGAAGAAACTTACCTCATCGCTTTCATCTTCATCTTTATCTCCACTGCTTTCACCTTTCTCAGTATCATCCAACTCAGCACCATCAGAATTGTTCTGTTCCTATATCATGCCAAGCAAACAATGTAAGCTCGAGGAGGATGCGCAAAATAAGCAGAAAAACATCTCCACTCAGGCTATTTTTAGTTATATGAACAACTTGGAAATTCTTATACCTTCCCTTGCAGCTCTAATGACGTCATTTCATTCAGGTTTTCTTCTTCGTTTGACTCACAAGTCTGCTCTTCATCATCAGATTCCTCGTTCTCATCAGAATCTTTACTCTTCTCCTGCCCGCCTTCAATAAACTACACAAAACAGAAACCACATCACCATCATTTTATATTCCATTAAGATAAAGGAATGAGAAACAAAACCAGAGAGAGAGACTAGTGCTACAAAATATAACACAAGGCCACCTAAAGCTCAAAGTATATACGCAATACCTTAAGAAACAATCGGTTATATATAAATTTATTTACTACAAAAACAACAGATAGATAAGAAGTTTTATTCAAGAAGTGCTGTTGGACAGGAGAGAAAAAAAAAAGAGTAGTGTTATTGCTAAGGTCATAGGATCACATACCCTATCGAGGTGATTCTGCTCTTTTTTTGTGAAACCACTAGCTTCTAGATCTCTATCCAAAGCATTAGCATCTTTACTTATATCATAGAAAGATGGTCTGCTGTTCTCATCCACTTCCACCTCTGTCTCATCTCTATCTTCTCGGAAAGTCATATTAAATCTTGAAGAAAGGACCAGAGTTCAAGCAAAAGGAGAATTTAAGGATGAGATTATTTACTGCCAGGTATTGTGATCAAATGATATATAATTCAAACAAGTCCTTTGTTAACTAACCTTTTTCTGAAAAACTTGAAGATGCATTCGATATCACGGTCAAAGTACCTGAAAGACAAATTCATAAACAAACTAAGAGCACAGCATGGAAAATGAAAAAAGAGGACTGAGGTATGATCCAGAGATGAGACATGGCATACATCTGTGCGTTTTGGTGTGAAACAGATACCATTTGTGGAAAGTCAATCATCGTAATCTTCTCTTCATCATCAATCTAAGATACACATACATAAACAAAAGGTGTCAATGAAAATTATTAGTAAGCAGAGGAAGAAAGCTCGCATGATTACAGAAGTATTAATTAAGTCATATAACAGGCAGCTTCAAATACATGCATGCAGATTTCCGCATTAAACAACTGGAAAAATCTAAGTATCTCACCATGATGTTGAATTCGTTGAAGTCACAATGAATAAGACCATGCTCAGCCAAACGTACAACAATGCCAATAATCTTCTCGAAAATTGTCTCAGGGTTCTGTAATTCTTTCACCTGAACCCTGTCATAAATGAAAATGTGAAAGATGTTATTCACAGACGCAAGGTTATTACTGTTTCTTAGTGAGTGGTGAAGCAAATGGATAAACGTCTAAGGAATCTCGAGTCCAATGCATAAATTCAAAAATTCAACCAAACAGCATCAGTAGATGATGCCTAAGACTAACAGAGCGGTATAACATAATAACGTTTTTTCCTAGTGTGAATATGAAGGTAGATCCTTACATGGGGTATCCCGGCACAAGGGACATGATAACACAGTGCCTATTGCAGTCAATAGCTTTTGGAACCGGAAAGTCATGCTCTTGCAAAGCCTGCTCAACCAGAAGCCAAACAAACATTAGGCCATATATAATAAAAGATGATAGACTCACAATAGTAGTGTCACATTAATGGAGCAAGAAAATAACCTTCATAAAAGCAAATTCCTTGAGAGCAGCGAGACGGGAGAGATACAACCAACTGAAACTACTGCGATGCCTCAAATAGTCACGCTTATTTTTGACAGCCCTAAAGGAGGTTCTCCCTAGTCTATGTAACTTCATTGCCAGAATAGTTCCATCTTCTTGAGCAACCTCAAAAATGTCTATCACAATGCAAAGAATCCATAAACAAGAGGTATATCAGTCAGCCACCGAAAAGTATCTCTTCAACGCATCAAATGGATCAAAACCAATAGGTAAAAGACTTACCTGACTCTTTACCAACCCCAATCTGACGACCAACACCGGTAAATACACCACGGTTGACCAATGTTTTAATGGCAAGAAAGTCGTAACCCAGATAGGTGAGTCGGAATCCGTCATCTAGATGAATTAAAAAAACAATAGCCGAATTTGTAAGACAGCCAAGCAGAGGAGTTACTAATGCCTTTGGAGATAAAAAAAAAAAAAAAAAAAAAACTCACATTTAGAGCTGTCGTGATGCAAAAGCTTATACTTGAGCAAGTTCTTCAGGACCTTGTATGTGCCACCATGTCTGTGGATATAACAGGTATACAAATTACACAGCATGTTTTATCAAAACTAAGCAGAGAGCTTTAATATAAAAAAAAGGGGCATACTTTAGATCAGCAATGCGCGTTACGAGCTCAGCGGGAACAATCTCGTGCTGCAAAACACGAAGAACAGAATATTATCAGGAAAAAAAATAATGAAGTAAACCCTAAATTCCAATTCCAGAACTAAAGGGAATAGAGAAGAACACTGACATTTCGCATTCCCAGCTCGACCGCAGTGAGAACCCGGAAATCATCCTTCGATAAATACCTCAAAACATTCACGTCAAGCTTCATCCTTTACACCTCAAAGTGATTACCCCTTTTCTACTCTGATTTAGCCTGGCCGATGAAAGATAAATTTCTCAAATTAGTGTTATTCTGAATGAAATTCTAGACGGAAAAAAACCCAGGATAACACTTAAGAGTTTATAAAGCAATCAATACACAGAGGGACGATGCGAAAGCAAGTACTGATGTAAGGGGAAATCTGGAGAAGCTTTACCTGAAACTAGATAGAGAGAGCGGCGCCGCTAAATTTTTCTCTTCTACTCAAAAACCCAAGGAGGCCAAGAGGAAATAGTTGGTATTATTAACTAATTGAATCAAAAACTACTATCATAATAAATATATTTGTATTTCCAACATTCAACAACAAAGTCGTTGTAGTATAGTGGTAAGTATTCCCGCCTGTCACGCGGGTGACCCGGGTTCGATCCCCGGCAACGGCGATTCACCTTTTTTATACTGAAGACTTGCAAAATAGATTCTAAAAATTATTTTGGCTTCGCCCGGGTTCGAACCGGAGACATTCAGTGTGTTAGACTGACGTGATAACTGAAGACTTGCAAAATAGATTCTAAAAATTATTTTGGCTTCGCCCGGGTTCGAACCGGAGACATTCAGTGTGTTAGACTGACGTGATAACCAACTATTCCATTTAAAGAATTTGTTGCAAGCTCGACTCAATGGATGAATTAACTTGTCCGAGTTTGATTAATCAGCATTATCATGAAAAGTTCCACATTTATGTGTAATTAACCAGAAAACATTCTCTGACAACAATTATAATGAACAGCTATTTTCTCATGGTTAAATATGGTACTCTGCTTAAACTTGTTAATCAAGATTTATCTAGCAAGAATGTTAAATAGGCTAGTAATCCAACAAATCTTATTTCACGCAATCCATATTTTCTATTCAACCTCAAATATCAGCCATTGAAACAAAGTTACATCTCAGAATCCTAAGACCGCTACAATAAGATCTCGTTCATGTTTCCTTTGAAGGGCCTTTCTTGGCCGCTTCTGCAGCAGCTTTCTCTGCTTCGATTTCAGCCACAATAGCATCGATTTCAGCTTCCTCTAGCTGCCTCAGACCACCTTCCTCACGTGTCATTACAGCAACCTCAATGTTCTTTCCTCCGCTCTCAACTACCTAGAAAATGCAAAGCCAAGTAAGCTCATCAAACATCTTCTATATTTCAAGGACTTTTAGCATTCCCTAACACTGTGACCTTTTGTTAGCTTTGCCTCCAACCTAAAGCCAACTTTCAAGAATATACAAGTGCCTCTTTCTAAGTCTTGCATATTGCTCACAAAATGACCGGCTTAGGCTAGCAAGGATCTAACAGGTATGATCTCGTTGTCAAGTTTAGTAACAGAGCAACCGGTAATATCTTAAAAGAAAAATACTTGGTTTAGTTAAAGGACAGATTAAACTAACCTCGAGCAGAGCACGGATAGCAAGCTTCACAGTTTCTGGGCCAGAGCTTTCTTTATAATTCTTCTCCAGAAACTCCCTAATTGAGTTAGAGTTTCTTCCGGTGGCATTAGCTTTCCAAGCAGAGAAAGTACCAGATGGATCAGTCTGATAAAGATATGGTATACGAGTGTAGGGGTCAAAACCAACAATAAGAGTGGAAAGACCAAAAGGCCTCACACCACCACTCTGAGTATACTTCTGTTGAAGCCCTGCTATGTACCGCGTGATGTACTCAACAGTCACAGGGTCCTCCAACGTAAGCCTGTGGCTTTGACACTCTATCCTCGCTTTGTTTATCAGGACTCGAGCATCTGCCTTCAGCCCAGCACAGGCCAATGCAATGTGATTGTCAAGGCTCACAATCTTTCTGGCTGATCTGTGAGCAACAAAATATTTATCAAAAACTGATGGGATTGAAAGAAAATAAAAGCAGATCCTACATGTCCTGTAAATCTTGTATAAAACTTGTATCTATTAGAGAAAGAGCTTAATCACCACAATTCAACTCTCAGGTTAAGGAATTTCATGTAAAATTGATACTGGGGAATGATCAAGCTGCAGGTTTATAACCAAAACGTGTACTAAACAGAAACACAATTGTTCACAGATGAGGAGCAAAGTTCATTTTCCACACTCCTAACTAGGGATCAGCTACGATTCTACAATCTAACACTCCGAGATTCCCAGTTACGAATTGATGACGAAACCCAACATCAAGGTTTCAAAATTGATTAGAAAAGTAGAAATTGTGCAAATCAGGCGATCGATGTGAAATAAAATGAAAAAGCTGGAAACTGAAGTGCGGAAATTAAAGCGAATGGGCAAAATCCGGCTTAACCAGCGTGTATAGGCAGAGATCGGAACTATACCTGGAATCCTGGAGCTTAGGGGTGGATTTCTTCTCGACGGCGAGGACGACAGTATCGGCACCGCGGACTCCGACGGCGGCGTTACCCTTCCGGACAGCTTCAAGGGCATACTCTACCTGGAAAAGGTGACCGTCGGGGGAAAACACTGTGATTGCTCGATCATATCTCGCCATCTCTCACCTTTTCTCCTTCTCTTGTCTTCTCTTTCGTTTTGTTACTGTGAACAAAAAGCGATTCCAACTTAGGCGACAAGTTAGATGCCCAGCTCTGATTAGATCATCTGCGGACAGGATCACGTTAACAATCAGAATGATTCAGTTTATGTAGTGGGCCCAAAATTAGCTACAGGCCCAAAGTTCTACCAACTTTTAACGTTTCGTTAGCGGAGTAACAAATCGTGTTTGTCAGCATGGTAACAATGTGTAAGATAATGGCATAATGCAAATTGTTTGTAAGGGTGGTAATAATTTGTGAGTTTGTTACCGGAACAAGAATCTATGTTCGAATGTGAATCATGTGATAACACTTTTTTTGGGATAGGTAAAAATCTAGTATTTGGTAAAAATCAAGTATTTAGCACAGTTTGTGATAATGTGGTAACAAATTGTTTGTTAGTGTGGTAATAAGTGTATTCTTAATTTCTTAAATATTATAAGCAAGTTAAATCACAATTTCTTCTTCACGTCATTTTCTCAATATAAATCATAGATTTGCTCACATCCAAAAGAAAAACAAACCCAAAAGACAAACAAAAACCCACATATGAGATATCTAAAATAAAAATTTGGAACCAGCAATAAACAAACCATGTTGATGATGATGATAAGTTAAAAATTGAATAGTATTGAAAAAGTTGTATGAATCAGAATATGATTTAATGATCATGTAAGGAACTTAAAATTATTGATAACTAACGAGATTATTTATTTGAACACAAAAATTGTACAACGATAAAATGTCTTGTGATTTATATTCCAATTAATCTGGTTTAAATACAGTTTACATAAAAATCACAGTACACACAGGAAACTAAAATACAGAGTTGTACAGCAGTAAAAATATACTAAATTCAAATATATATGAGAAATGGAAACAAGGCTTGTTATATATTTTCCTAAAATGTCCATAAAGTATACATCACTACTAGTTCAGTTGTTATCCAAAAATTCAGTGGTTCTCAAAATCAATTATACCATGTAAAATCCGTTTGTATCATCCTTGAAAGGATCCTCAAAGGGCAACTCAGGCATGAATTCGCTGAGGTCGTTGTCACCCAACATGTTGTCTTCCTCGTATTTTCCCCAATAGCAGACTTCCTCTTCCTCACTTTCACCACCATTGGTTTTCCCTAGACAAATATTAACTCGGCAATTTAAATTTGAGACTATCACGTTGTTGTCCGAGGCAATAACAAAATATATTGACCTTTAAATCTAGCAAGACTGCATGTCAAATCGAATCTCTGGTATTCTTCTTCATGAGCTGAAAATTTCGAACCGAACTACCGGGCGTTGGATCCTTGACTCTACAAGTCATGTAGTATGAAAAAAGAACAACGCTACCACTCTCGGACTTGTTGTATTTCTTTACGAAAAGAAGCTTCAAGTGTGTCCCCTGGAGAAGATTGTACATATGAAGTCCCATCTTGGCATAAAGGCGGACCAAGTTCATGGAGATTTCCGACTACATCGGTGTGCTCTCAGTGCTATATTCCATCCTCCTGGTTGATAACAACATGCACGGAACCCCTAAGACTCGAGAGAGCGAGTCAAATACTAGTCGAAACCCAAGAAGAAGTGATTGATTCAATTGTCCAAAGAAGGATTGTGATCCAAGAATAAGTTCACTAACAAATTTATGTAAACTTGGTATATGAAATCATATATTACCTCGTATTTCGTCAGTATTTCCCTATACCTGGCCCAGCTACGCGCATTCCTCTCCCTAATTTCTTTTGTTCCCATCACCACCACATGCAGCCGCGGCGCCATCGGAAGCGAACGGCTGATTGATTGATTGATGGACGGATGGATGATGGTTTTGGTCGATTTTGGGTTTTCTCCACTCCACGCCATTTCTATACATCATTATTTACAGCCCAAGTAAGACTTAGCCCGCCCCTTCTTGTACCCGATTCGAATTACTAGAGCATCTCAAAGAGCAGTTTTTTATTTTAAAGTGTGTAGCACATATTTAAAATAATGTTTCGAATGTTATTCTCCAATGATAATCTTTATCTTTATCTTTATCTTTACACGATATTAATACCTAAATTACAGAGTTGTACAGCAGTAAATATCATCATATACTTTTCCCGAAAATAAATACTAAATTCAAATATTGATGAGAAATGGAAGCAAGGGCTTGTTACTTGGAGGCTTTCTTAGCCTTCAAATCAGCAACAGCAGACTTGGCCAATGCGGAAGGCTTTAAGACACTTTTGGGGTTGAATGCCTTTCGGATCTTAAAAGCAACCCATGCGGTTCCAAAAGCATGTCCTGCTGCGTCTAGCCCTTCGTTCGTAGCCTCTGCTGCTTTCGTGCCATACCTGCAAATCCCACAGTAAGGTTTCTTTAACATTTTAAGGCAAACTTTGATCATTTCCTGGAGATAAATATTTCTGAGATATGTGATTGTTTTCCATATGACAGTGAAGAACAATACTTGTGATCAACGAGTTCTGTTGTGACAGTTGATGAAGTCGACATGACGTTTTTCCCAGCTACCTCAACAGCATCACAGATCTTGCCTGCAGCAAGTAAAACACAGAAGACAAGGTCATTAATAAACAATCATGATTGTACATGCTGGGAAGATGAAAGAAAGCAAAACAACTCATGGATAATAATATTTTGGGGAACCAAAAGCAAGAAGTTACTTACTAAATCCATCGAGGGATGCGAGAAGAATCTCTCCAGGCAGGAGGCCAAGAAACTTTTTTCCAGCTTTTGAGTTTGCCACTGAACCTGTGATATATCCCGAGACTTTGACAACACCGGAAAGAACACCAGTCGCCACTTTCTCCGTCATTTGTGTCACTCTCTTAACCCTTTCCATAGAATCCGCAATAGAGGAGATTAGCAAAGCCACATAAGCGATTAATTCAAGAAATACTACCATGAATAAACATCTTTAAGCAAGAAATTCTCATCAGTTATCAAAGAATTGATCTTCCGCAAGCAAAATCATCTCTTACTAGTCAGTTTTTAAATGAGCATGAAACAAATAAGACTACATTTCCTAGTAGATTCTCATGGTACTAAGTATCACCATACCGCTTGATTCTCCTCAATGTCTCGGGGCTCACGTTCTTCTCCTTCTCAGCACGACTCAGCCTGTTCTTCATGACCTCATTGCCCCTCTTGAGTCTCTCCACGGTGACATCCCCACACCAAAGTATCCCCTTGATCACCTGACCCGACCCCGAAGCTATCATTTTGGCAGTCTTGCTACTGTAGTCCTCGATGTTAGGCGCGAGTGTGGTCCAGTACGCCGCACATTGACCCTCCACAATGTCTTTTCTCTCACCCTTAAGCTCCTCCGGCGAAGTCGCTGCAGCCATGGAGTTTCCCAGCACCTCCTCTCCCGTCTCCTTCGCCATTTGAGACATTCTCTGCTCCGTGAAACAGCAATAGTCTCGTAAAACCTGATCGAGCACAAGCAATACGTTCTCTTGCCCTTTCGAAGCAATGGTCAATCCGTAATTGAGAATTTCATCCTCCGATTTCGGATTACTCTTTTTCCCCTGTTTCTCATCGTCTGAATCGGACCCAGATCCGTGACCCTTTTCCTTCGGCGGATGGACTGAGAAGAAATAGTGCGATCCATCAACCTTCGTCGCCACCTCCGTCTTAATCAGCGGCCATTGAATCTCATCCGCGACGTTGGCCAGAACGGCGACGATGTTCTGACCCTGGACGATTCGAACGATGGTCAGATCGCCGCACGCGAGCTCCACGCTGTAGGATTTGTCGATAAGGTTGAGAATGGCGCCGGGGACACGGATGAGAACCTCCTCCGTCGCCTGCGGTGGAGCAGACGGTGAATGGTCGTTGGATGATGCATCTCCGTGGTCTGCGAATAGATTGTGCCCGATATTGTGCGAGGAGAGAGTAGGATAGGGATGAGGGGAAGGAGCGGCGTGAGGATTCATCTGAGCAAAAGGATTATCAGGGGTGGATTGATCAATTTCCGGATACATCGCCGGTCGCTGCTTCCCGTCGCCACCGTGAGAAGGATTCATCTCCGCCGCGTCGTCGATTGGAGCACAAAATGACTTGGAAAGAGGAAATATCGGAAATTGAAAAAGGGAAATGAATTTCAATTTCAATTATCAAGGAAAGTTTCCTTAATGGTTAAGACGGAGACACGTTGCGTTTAGACTATATTTAATTAATTTATTTAAATTGTCCTCCCGCCGGTTTAACCGTCGATAAAAGCAATAACAACACTTGAACCGAAAATATGAACTAACTTTCTTGATATTGATAGCTGTTAAGTTCAATTGTATAAAGTTTACCAATGAGAATTAGTCCATCACTAATAAATAATTAAATATAGATAGTTATTATAGGATTAATGTATTAATTAATTATTATTTATTAATGCCTTTAACATAAACCCAAATGCGGCATTTTTACAATGTTTACGTCATAGACATACACACCAAACATACCATAACTTTCAGAACCAACTCACAAAACAGAACCAAACAAACACAAAAGCAATGGAGCAACAAGGATTCTAAGCAAAGATTTGATCGATAGGCTTCGCAGCAGTTTCCTTAAGGTCATTTGCTTCTTTGGCAAGCTTCTTGAGGCGAGCCAGCTCAAGATCTCTCCCCATCTTTCTCTTATACATCTCCGCAAAAGTGATTGGCTCCTCCAAGATCGGCTTCTCTCCTTCTCTCACTTGAAGCGGATACACGGTGGCATCCGGCGCCGGATTCTGGAAAGTAGCTATGGAAAGTCTGCTCGAGTTTGAGTTCACCACCGCCTGATGATCCGCGTTCTTGAACCTCCCGTTGCTCAAATACTTCAAGACATATGCAATAAGTTTGACCAAGTCAATACTACAAACAGATAAAAAAACAAAAGAAAAAAAAACAGAGTGATAGAAAGTACTGACGTGGCCGTGATCGCCAAGATTGACGACAAAAGCTCCTTCAACAGGCTGCACCGTGATCCAAGTCTTGCCATTGTCCCTAGTGGCTTGTAACCCACCAACTTGGTCTTGGAGCAGCAGAGTGATGGTTCCAGGGTCAGTGTGGCGTTTGAGTCCAAGGGTTAGATCAGGCTGAGGGCATTTCGGGTAATAGTTAACAACAATCTTTTGGTCCATATCGACACAAGCATTAGTGAGTGCCTCTTTCTCAAGATCCATAGCTTCAGACAAAACCTCAAGAAGCTTACAAGCCAAACCCATCAGCTTTCCGCTGTACTCCTCCGTCACTTTCACCCATCCTTCGGGCTTATCCGGCCACCGTGAGTAGTCTCTGTTTCTCACCGGGTACGAGAAGTACGTCACGATCTCTCTCCAATCTTGCACAGCCTCTCCCTACATTTTCTAATGTTTATTTAGTATTTCTTGATTTAAAGCAAGAAAAAAGAAACAGATTGTGATGGCTTTACCTGGAGGTGACTAGAGACGATGAAACCTCCTTTCTTACCACCGGACATGTCGAACCGGAGCTTATCTTCCGGAGGTAAAGCGAAGAAGTCGCGAGCAAGACGAGTCATATCCGCCACAAGACTAGTATCAACGCCGTGATCAACCACCTGGAAAATGCCCCAATTCTCGCAAGCCTCGACGATCTGACGACAGATCTCTTCCCTTTTCCCACCGACATCGTCAATCCCGGAGAGAGATATCACCGGGATCTCGTCGCTAAACACGTTGTAGGCGACCTTGGGGCGTTCATCCTCGTCACGGACGAATTTAGAGTTGAGCTTAGACTCTCCGGCGAGCTCAGTGAGAGTTCCTGGAGCCATTTTATATTAAAAAGAATTAAGTTAAAAAGAGAGAGAAGAGAGGTAATGAAATATATAAGGAGAGAGAGTGGTAGCTGAGAAACCTTTCAAAGCTTGTGATGACTGACTAACGAAGAGGTCGGTCGTTCGCTACCTACCACCATACTACTTAACTACTCTCTCTTCTTCTTCTTTCTAGAACACCACCACAAGTTACTCAACTAACTGCATCTTTACTTTATTTTTCATTTCAGAAATAGTATTTTACTTGTATTTGTTATTTGTTGGCTACATTCCAACGTATCACATTATATCATGATATGGACGTTTAACAGTTGACAAATATGGTAACTATAAAGCTCTACGGTTTTAACGGTGTATAGAAAGCCACGTCTTAAAATTGGTTATGGTCGATGGACAAGCCACGTAGGAAATACTACTTCTGGTACGCGCCAGATTGCATTAAAATGCGCAGTCCCCATCTTTGCGTTGTTTATTAATTTCATCCCATTGACTTGAGAAATAAACTTTTATTTTTTCTTTAAATTGTGAGCTGTAGTTCAGAATTAATACATACTGTACACGATAATTTGGAAACATCACAACATATAAATTCGACTCACATTTGTACTTGAGATAAAACCATAAAATTAGTAGAAATGCGTTTTTTTTTTTAATTATTGCTCGAACAGGTTACGGGCTGGGCCATTAGTTGTAAGCTCGTCAAAGGCCCATACAGGACAGTCGTCAACCCTAAGACGGCGGCTACTTTCCATGAGAGAAAGGACCCAACGGCTAGTGACAGAGAGGAGCCACAACGGCTAGTTTTATTCGAAAATCAATCCAACGGTCACCTTTTTCCCGTACCTATAATACTGCGAGCTTATTCACACATTTTTTCTCCATCTTTCTCATTCTCTCCTGCAAATCTCAGATAATCGGAATCGAGACTGATTTCCAAAGAAACTCTTTCGATTCAGCGAATTCGTGTTGTTGTGTGTTACAAAGAGATCGGAATTCAAAAATGGAGACTCCATCATCATCGTTATCAACAAGAAGAGTTACCAGATCGCAGACCGCCTCTGCAATCAACAACTCTGCTTCCGACTTCAAAATCCCCTTTTCATCAAGTATGTTCCTTCTTTCGCTTCTTGTAGTTTCTTTCATTCTTGATTCGTCTTAATCTGATCCTGATTTCATCATCTTCTTTCTGAATCTAACCGTTTTCTCCTCCAATTTCGTCGCAGAAAAAACAGAGGATTCGAGCATCGGCCAAAGAAAGAGCGTGAAGGCGCAAGAAGACAGATCTGCGCTGATCGACATAACCAACGACTCACCAATCGTGGGCTTAGCGATGCAGACTCCACCTTCAGGGTTCACGTCTAAGAGGAAGAACAACAGCAGGATCAAGAGCACGCCTGGATCTGGTGAAGCCCTTTTGAGAGGCCAAGTCAAAAACCTACTCCAGAAGGTCGAAGAAGGAGCAGAGCTTATCCATTCAATGAAGTCTCTCCCTTTCATCCACCTCGTCACTTCCCCGATGAGACTTCTCGCCCCAACTCCAGCAAACACTCCCCAGTTTCCCAATTTCTCGGTTGATGATGAGGAAGTCCAGATCAAGATCGCGTCTCCGGTTGTTGCGGGACACTTGAGGCCATCTCAAGTGAGCTACGTTACTGGGACTTGGAAGGGGAGTGAGATATTTGAAGAGGAGGAAGAAGAAGAAGAAGAGTGTATGAGCGTGAGTCGTTCGTTGTTTCCTGACTTCACGGAGAAGTCAGCATTATGGGAAGAAGAAGAAGGAGAAGGAGATGTTGATGAGTTGTGTGAAGGGATGAAGAAGATGAGTGTGGTGAAGACTCAAGCTGAATTTGCAGGGAAACATAGCAGATTTGTGTACAACGGTGAAGATGAAGAGATTGTTGAGGCCCAAGAAGTTCTTCGCTTGAGAGGGATTCCTACTCCCAGAGGAAAGCATGTGAGGTTTGCTGCTGATGAAGAGCAAGAAGAAGAATCTTCTTCTACTCTTTGATTTTTCCCCTACATTTTGGTGTTGGGCTGCTTTGTAATGGGTCACGAGAGAGTGATTTGAACACAGTTATTTTATATTTTTAGCCCAATAAAGGCCCATTAATGAAACAAATTGGAGAAATGTCGTTGTCAACTTGAGATCAAGTGAGAAAAAACTAACAGAACACATGAAAAAGATTAAAGGACGTTCCAACGAACCTCTCTCTACTTGTTCTATTTACCCAAAGTTATATCTTGTGTGAAGTAAACGTCAAGACATTTTCAACTATTTAAACAGTTTCTAAATAAAATAAAAAAGCAAGCTGATGATGTTACATTTTGAAAATAAAATGACTATTATATGGTGGAAACCATCACATAATCTAAATCATAACGTGGTCAATTATACATTTATACTCTAATCTGATTAGCCACCATCCGTTTAGTTTTAGCAACAACAACCAACAGTTGCAATCTTATTGAGAAGGAAGGTTGATTCATTTCATTATAAAAAGCTGATGTGGTTCGTCATGACATGGACCACAATTCATACAACCAAAGCAACACAACGTCCCTTGATATCTTGCAATGGTTCGCGCCGAGATCGAGACGGGAGCTCCTTTCCGGTCTGTTAAAGAAGCCGTCACTCTCTTTGGCGAGAGAATTCTTCTCGGAGATAATTACATTCACAAATCCGCCGCAGAGGTAAACAATCTATAGTTCATATAAATGCATGTTTTTATACATGTGAATATGTGATTATTAACTTTGTTGCAATTATTTTTTCCGACCGTGTGGTTAGAGAAACAATGGAGATAACGGAGTAAATAATGTGGTTGTGAGAAGCAAAAGCATAGAAGATGAGCTGGATGAAGCAAAGGAGAGTTTGAAGAAAGCTGAAGAAGAGAACAAGGTTTTGTCTCAGCTTCTCGAAACCCTCACACAAGAGCTTGAAACCACCAAGGAGAAGCTTAAGCACTCGGTAAGAAAATTCTCAGAACACCCTCAAGTCGAAGACGACCTCAAATTCATTGAGCAGTCCACGGTTATTGAACCGGATATCATAACCGAGATCAAGATGAACCGGTTTGATGATCAAGATAAAGTGTATATTGGAGATGAGGATCGTCTGGAGAGGAGGCGTTCCGTGAAGTTTGCCAATCCACCATTGCTAACGAAGGTCATGGAGAGCAAAGAGGAGAAGAAGAACCAGGCTATGGTGAAGAAGCAGACGAAGAAGATGAAGCCACTGGTTCCATTGGCTTCTTGGCTCTTTGCAAGAAACCGGTCAAGTTAACCACTTTAGCGATCCTTATCTTGCGTTTACAATGTGTGTGCTTTTACAAATTCCAAATAATATCACCAAAATTAATTCTCCCTATTTTGTGGAATCCTTCAACTTAATTTTGTTACATTGTTCTTGTCGTGATGTAAGTAAATACTAAATACTAAATTTTGTTCCATGTCAAATGTTTTTTTTTCATTTTTTATGAACGTCTTCTTCCGGCCAGCAAGTACGGCCCATAATCAGAAATATTGCTTGCCATGCGTTACCTAAGGAAACGACTTCGTGTCGTTTTTTGTTACATTTACCAACGTTTTGTTGTTTTTCTTTCTCATTAAACGACTTCGTGTCGTTTTTTGTTACATTTACCAACGTTTTGTTGTTTTTCTTTCTCATTAAACGACTTCGTGTCGTGTGTTCCTTGTTGTTGTTTTCCTTGCCGTGTCATTATCGCTTGCTAGATCTCCTTATAAATACACATGCTAATTGTTACTCTCTCGGAGTCAATAGAAAGATAAAAAAAAAAATTGTAGCCATTTCCATTTCTTAATATTGATGAACAATGAGACTCTATATACAGTATATAATGAGAGCAAGTGAAACGAAGACAGAAAGAGGAGCAACACCATTAAAACAGATGCTGAAGAGATGCTCAAGTTTCTTGAAGAAAGGCAAAGAAGACGTGCCCAGGAAGGGACACTTCGCTGTCTACGTGGGACAATACAGAGAACGCCACGTGATCCCAATCACATTCCTTAATCATCCAACGTTCCAGATGATGCTGCAAGAAGCGGAGGAAGAGTTCGGGTTTAGGCATGAGAGAGGCCTCACCATTCCTTGCGACCAAAACCTCTTTCTTTCTCTCTTAGACTCCATCACATCTCACTATTAGCTAGGTCTTTCCTCAAATTACAGGAGGAACATATATACTAAACATCCTTGTGTTCCACGTTTCTTCACGTGTGTGTCTGTCTCTATATACACTCATCGATGATCGTGTGATCATGGCTGAAGTTAATCTGGTCACGTTGATCACACACATATATCGATAGCTCGCTACAAGATAGTCTTCAACATACCGAGTACTTAATTATATTAGTGATATTGATGACTGGTCTTGTAATGATATAAAATTTCATATATATATTTGTTGCGAGTGAACACTAAAGTTGAGTCGTTTCTGCATTGTATAGCCATAAGATGAATAAAATATAAAGATTTATCGCTCTCCTTGACAGACTTATTCCTTCTTCTAGCCACATGAGGGAGAGAGACTGCCGCCGATTCGTATAATTACGGGTCAGAATCGTGTTTCATGTGTTTGAAAATTTGTAATTACCTATATAGCTAGGCCACACTTAAATTGAAAATTTTGACAGATTTTAGGATTTTGTTTGAAAAGTGCATGACATTCAAATTTGTTGTGGCAAAGAGAAGCTGAATAGCTTTGTTACCATTAGCATTATTTGGCATGTTTTGAGATAATATATTGTACCCAGAGCCGTTCTTGAGGGCACTGCTTGCAGCCCGTTTTAAAATAACTAAAATATTGGCCCAAATTTTGACAAAAGTATCCTATAGCAGAGTTGGTTGTGCACTGATATGTAGATGAAATGGTACCGAGTTCGAAGCTCCCTCACAACTATAGACTAAATTTACCAATTTACCGGCCCTCTAAAAAATTTTACTTGCGGCCCATGCCAACTCAGGGACGGCTCTGATTGTACCCTTTTTATAATAAAAAATTATAACAAAGACTACAATTTGTAGATTGCCTTAGCCAGTTAGCCATGTGAGCTAATTAGGCACAACATTGCATGAGGTCTACAGTTATTTTAGAATTTTTCTTGTTGTTAATACAAAACAAGTCAACACGCCGGTGTATATGAATGTCACACAAAGGGCATGCAAATGGGCTTCCTCCGCCGCCACATGAGTTGATTTTGCTTATCAAAATTTATATATTGTGGCGTGTGGACTCATATCTTTTAAATAGTTCATCCTTTTCAAACAATAACAAAAAACAAGCGTTAGTCATGCGTATATAGCAGCATGCAATTAGAATAACAATTAACTAGTAGAGTACCCGCACGTTTGTGCGGTGTGACGTTGTTGTTTTGTGTAGAAAATTTAAACCCTAAATCCGAACCCGACAAAAAACCCTAATCAAAAAATTTAAAAACCCAAACTTTTTTAATAGGTCTAAACATGAAAATCCGAAATCAAAAAAATCCCGAAAACCCTGACTGAACAAAAAAAATCTGGAAACTTTTTCACCCGGAACCCGACCCCAATACCTAATCAAAATTTTAAAATACTCAATTTTTTTAATATATCTAAACCCGAAAACCAGAAATCTAAAAAATCCGGAAAACCCTAAACTGAAAAAAAAATTGAACCTAACCCGAACAGAAATTTTCAAAGAAACCCGAACAATTTCTATATCTTATATATATCTCTATAAAATTATGTCTCAGATTTTCACCCAAACCCGAACTTGTCTATAAAAACCCGAAAATCCAAAAAGCATATTCTATTGATTTGGAATTATCGTTAGATTATGTTAAGTTTTTTTTTTGCAGATGAGATGGAAAACGGAAGTTTTCTAAACCATCGGTTTATTTTAAGTTATTATTCTTGTATCCAAACAATTTTTTCCATTTATTCTTCTATCCAAATAGATTTTTCTCTTATTCTTATATCCAAACAACTTTTGTTTCCATTTATTCTTCTATCCAAATAGATGTTTCTCTAATTCTTGTATCCAAACATTAGAATGTACTTCTCAATTAATAATATAAAGATTTTGTTTATAATTTTGTACATATCACAGAGTTCAAACAAAATCGAAAATATAACTTAGCTCAATAACAAGATAAGAAAGTTAAAAAAAAAAAAAAAGAAAAAAAAAAGTTCAAAACATGCGCTCAAATTTGTATTAGAGACAAAAGCATAGCTGGAAACTCAACTGCTCACTCATAAGCCATTCAATCGGAGATTTCGTTTCCTTCTTTCAAAACACCTCATTAGAGTGTTAACTGTTTTATTCATTCTTTTTGTATAGAGCGTAACTGTTTATTCATGCAGCTAGGCAAGCGAAAGCATTGACATATAGAATAAGTTTATTTTATACGAATGGTTGAGAAGTTCATTGTTCAAGTACTCATAAAAATGCACTTGGCCAATTCAAAGGCTTACTTGATTGCTCAAGGTTCGCTTACCATTTTAAACTCTTTGAATTAGTTTCGATTAGGATTGCACAATTATCGTAATTAATCCCGAAACACAATGGTAGTAACCAAAAGAAGATTCAATATGTTTAGTAAGATTTTCATTATCCCTATATATATATATATATATTTTTTTTTTTTTTTTATCAAGCTCTTTCAATCAGATAATAAACGCAAAAAAAGTATTTGAAAAATATCGAGAGTAATCAAATATTTTTTGACAAAATAATAATAAATCTCACACAAAGGGAATTGCTAATACTACAAATGAAAGACTTGTATATGTAAGATAGAAATTTAGATCAAAAGAGAGGAAGTGTTGGGCAAGAGAGTTTAGAAAAAGGATCAATGCTTTTTGTTTTCTTATATATGCTTTCATCAGTGACTTATCTAATTTATTACAACTAATGTGATCTATTTATAGGGCTAATGCCAAAGCCATATAATCTTAGGGACAAAGCTATCCATGCTTGGAGCCAGAGTCACACATAAGCTTGGAGGCCAAGCTATTCAAAGATAATGTCGAAGGGTAATGTATAATTAGAGGTTAATCACTATGTGTTTAACATATTTTGTAATTCGACCAAAAAAAAAACATGTTTTGTAAATTGTAATACTTAGTCCGGATTAATATGGTAAAGAATGAGAAAATGTACTAACTCTTTGGGCTTTTAGAATTGAAATACATAAAGGCCCAATATAAGGCCCGCTTCGAACTACAGTTTTTGCTCAACCTAGGGTTTTCTAAGAACTAGTTATAAATAGGTCAAATCCCAATAACTTGTGCAAACGGCAAGAGAAGAAGAACCCAATATACCCTAGGTCAAATGGGTCGTGTGATTAGAGCACAACGTAAGGGTGCCGCCGGTTCCGTCTTCAAGTCACACACTCACCACCGTAAGGGTCCGGCCAAATTCCGGAGCCTCGATTACGGTGAGAGAAATGGATATCTCAAGGGTGTTGTGTCGGAGATCATCCACGACCCAGGACGTGGAGCTCCATTAGCTCGCGTCGAGTTCCGTCATCCTTTCCGTTACAAGAAGCAGAAGGAGCTGTTCGTCGCAGCCGAAGGTATGTACACGGGACAATTCCTCTACTGTGGTAAGAAGGCAACTCTCGTCGTCGGGAACGTTCTTCCACTTAGATCAATTCCCGAGGGAGCTATTGTCTGCAACGTCGAGCTCCATGTCGGTGACCGTGGAGTTCTCGCTAGAGCGTCCGGTGATTACGCCATCGTGATTAGTCACGATCTTGACAACAACACCACTAGGTATGTTATCATTTCTCTAGTTTATATGTATATCCAAGTTACTTCTTACACTGAGTCATTTAAACTTTACAAATGCAAAGCTGAGAACATTTTTTTGGATAAATATGCGTGCAACTATCATCGCCTAATTAACTTGTTGACTTGACTGGCACGTTACGAGATTGTTGATGTGAATTGATATCGTTTCTTGTTTTCATATGATTCTTAATAACACTGGAAACTGTTTTTGTTATGTAAAAGGATTAAGCTTCCTTCTGGATCGAGGAAGATTGTGCCAAGCGGGTGCAGAGCGATGATTGGGCAAGTAGCAGGTGGAGGAAGAACAGAGAAGCCACTTCTAAAGGCAGGTCGAGCATACCACAAGTACCGTGTGAAGAGAAACTGCTGGCCCGTGGTTCGTGGTGTGGCTATGAACCCAGTTGAGCATCCTCACGGAGGAGGTAACCATCAACATATTGGTCACGCCAGTACGGTCAGACGTGATAAATCTGCTGGAGCAAAGGTTGGTCAAATTGCCGCAACAAGAACTGGTCGTCGCAGAGGTCTAGCAGCCGTTGGAGCAGCCAAGTCAGACTACTAGACTTGACTCTGACACACTCTTCTGTCTGCTTTTTTTGATCTTGTTTTCTTGATTTTTATTATACGACCCCCTAATTAGCATACGTGTTCGTTTACTTTTAAGATTATTTTTTGCTGTTTTTGAAAGCTTATGATATGAGCTTTGTACTAAATCTGTCCTTAGCAGGTAGAGTTATGATTTCTTTATTTATAATATATTTTGGGGTAATCTTTGATGGTTTATTTTCTAACTCACAAGACTTGAAACAAAAGTAATCACTGCTTCTAGCGGCAAATCTTTCACATTCCCATGGTGTGTTGTTGTTCGTGTCAAACAAAGGCATTTCATATGGTGAATGGTTTCTTTTACATCTACCGGCAAATGTTGTGTTAGCTAATTTCTTGCGCTTCTTTTCAAAGACAAAATAAAAAGAGGACATCGTCTTAAATTCATTACTGATAACATATTTTTGCTTACAAATCTATATATGGAGATCGGATATAGTAAGGGCTTAAGCGGATAGCTATATGTTCGATTCGTTTAGGGTTTTTTTATTGGCCACCAAATGATCATTTGATCATGTGACAAACATGATTTGTTCTTTATCGATTGTGCTTCTCTCTGTATTTTTCTTCTTCTTCGTCTTTGCAAACCCCAGTAGGGTTAATCAATCGAGGCTACCGTAACAAAGCCCGGTTTTACAACGATAGAAAACTTAACTTCGGTTATCGATTCTCTAGTCAACTTGCTGAACGAGAGGACAAAGACATACTTTTTTTGTTGGGAAAAAGAGGAAATACATGTTCAAATTGAAATAGTACACCGAAATTACTAGCTAAAAATAATTTTGATGCAAAATAGGTTTGAATTCTTCAATAACATATGAATTTTGTAGTATCGTCGTCAGGCTTTCGCATTCTCTATTAACCTCTGGATGATTTAAACCCTAATATATTTTTAGAAAATTCGACTCGACGACTTCTTAGACCAATTTTAAATGTATCGTTAAAATGGACCAATTCGACTAGATGACCTCTCAAAATTCTGGTCTTGGTCATTTTTGTGCTCTAAACAAGGTACTTTTGTTCAATTTATTAAAGATTTGGTGGACAAAAATTTAAATCAAAATTGAAAGTGAGCACCATCTCAGGGTTTTGTTACTCAATCAAGGATGGTGATAGACAAGACTCTAGTTTAATATATTTTTTTTTGTGATTTGGAATGAATCAGAGAGTCAATATTTATCTTTAGAAACCATTTTGCTCATACCTTCCAAACTTCATCCTCTTAGCCATTGGAGCCTCGGCATCAAAACTAGGCCTCAACCGGTGGTCATGAACATAGAAGCAACTATCACCCAGCTTACATCCCCTCGGAGTGCCAAAGTAGACACACTGTTTCTGAACCTTAATTTGATCAATGCTTCCATTGATTTTACCAGTTTGTGAATGGTATTGGTTAGTTTCATGATTCACTGTCCCATGTTCCCTTATAAGGTTCTTGAAATAGTGTACACTCTTCATTGGTTGCACTACCGGTTTAGGTCTACTACTAGCATCAACACGGTTTAAGTTCATTGGATAACCGGTTTGAGGACACCTTCCGAATCCAGTTGATGCTTGAACATTGTTCATTTCAGAGGTGCGGAATGCGTAACTAGGTTGGAGTTGGTGTTGGGGTTGAGAATTTACTATTACCTTTGGTTCTGAGAAAACATTTCGAGGTCTCATTGGCAGAGAACTCGATGGGAGCCGAGGAGGATGCAGAGGTTGTTGTTCTTTAGCAATGCCAGCAGAGGAGTGAAGAGGTAATGGTATGTTATGAGGGTTTATGTTTCCGTTACCAGGCTTGGGTGGAGATACTCGTCTCTGCTCATGGTTAGTAAAAGGCTGAGAAGAAGCTACGAAACACTGTTCTTGAGGTACTGTTACTGGCTGCGGCTTTCTAGGCATTGTGGCATGTTGTGGCACAGCTCTTGTGAGGTTGATGTTAGTGTCAATGTGATGCTTCTTCTCAGTACCTGTTGATATCAGATTCTTGATAGTTTTGGGGTCGCTTAGGAACTTGACGAGTAGATCAGCGTCAATCATACTCCCCTGTTCCTTGGTTTTCATCAGTGCAGTCAGAGCTGCAGAAGCAGCCAGGCTCAACTCCGGAGCAAGACCGGAAACCAGTTCTTGTGTCGAACGTGGAGGTTTGGTCTCCAACGGACCTTCCTTGTTTGCGCTAGTGTTGGATTCTGATTCCTCTGCAGATTCCAACTCGTCCTCAATGGGAGTGAGACGAATGGCAGGAGTTTTGCTGTCATCAAAGCTTTCAGCTTCTACAGCCGGTGAAACAGAGGGCCTGTGTGAAAACAGAACATGATCAGAGGTAAGAGAGAGAGCAACAAAATGTCTTGAGGGCAAGAAAGAAAGCAAATACGTACCGAGAAGGGATGGTAGAGCGATGAGGATATATAGCTTCCAAGACTTTTGAAATCCTCAAGTTCTCACTTCGACGTTCTGTGCTCTCACCACCATCTCCAACCAGCCATGCATCACTGACAAGAAACTGTTTTTTTCCCCCAAATATCAGATACCAAAAGCTTCAAACTTCAAAGGGATTTTCCCAAATTCTGGATTGTAATGATACCTTAGGAGGTCGTTTCCATTTGATGCGAGGAATGGTTGAGAGATTCGGCTTATCTGCATAGTGGTTTCCTTCAAAACCAGGTGGAAGATCTGGTTTCACGGCTGGTTTCTTTTGGTAGCTTTGACGTTGAGGCTGAGATGCAACTTTTGCCGGACAGTCCTCTGTTCTGAACATCTTCACCTGTTCATCAAATCCGCATTGTTATAATCTGACCAAAAGCTGGTTTTTGCTTGTATCAAAATCATTTAACTAACCAATCATTTATCAAAGATGAACACTGAACCACAGATTCTTCTTTAAGGTTCTTAGATTAGTAATGGATTGATGCATTTACAAGTTATGTATTAATACTTACGTCTTATCTTCTGTAAAACACATCCAATCCAAATATTGTTGATTCAAATTTGATATATATGGATCAATTATACGATTTGCCTCTTGTCATTATTATCACTATGAGTTAAACAGATTCTTAATCTTTAAAGATAACAAATTTTAAAATCAAAATCAATCCTTTTTTTTTCTTTTCTTCATCCAATTTCGTTCTTTGAACATATTCTTTTCCAATTGGATTAAACAATAAAATAAATTAACCACCAATTCATACATGCGGATTTAGGTTCATGATCCAGATTTCAGATCCGCAAAAAAAAAGTGTTTTAGCAATCAATAATTAAGACTGATCAATCGGTTTCCGGATTCACGATTCATAAGGCAACAGATCGTCTGATTCAATTCACAAACTGGATTAAAAACATCGAACAAACGATCGTGGTAAAATACCTGACAAAGCATAGGACTTGGTGGCCATGAAACTCTGGATTTCTTCGATCTCTTCATATTATTAATCAAATATCTCAAAAGGAATTAACCGGTAAACAAAAATCGATTTTTTTTTTTAATGCCAACCGATGATTGTTTATCAGATTCAGATAAAGAGACAGGCGATCAATTCGATTCTCTAGATCTACGGATTTCTTAACGAAACAATTGAGATTCGAAGAATTCGATTACGGATGTGATCAAAACGGGACGTGAGTCAGAGATCGGAGAGAGAAAAGAGAAAGGGGAAAGGATGCGTCGGCGGGATGGTTTGAGTGGATCAGAAAACCCTACAATTTGTCTGTCACTTTTTTATTTATTACGGTGGCTTTTTTTTTCCAGACGTCACTATAAGACTGCATTTATATAGATTGTTTAATTATTTGTTTAAGCCTCACAACTACTCTGAATTATATAATCAGGTGCTTCGTATTCGATTGCGTAACGTTTACAATATTTTATGCTTACCAAATTTAGGAAAAAAATACTTGGTTAGGATTTACACGGAATTTCAGAATAGTTAAAAGGAAAATTTACAAGCTATACAAATTTGATTTTCATTCTGTCTATTTGTCAGTGTTTTTAAACCCGGACCGACCCGGTGGTCGAACCGGGTTCAACCATGAACTGGAAGCATCTCCGGGTTGGGTTACTACTAAAATCTATAGATAGTTAGACCGGTTAAAAACCCGGATTCGACCAACAAAAAATCAAAAACCGGTGACCCATTGAACCGTATTGAACCCGGTTTTCTAATTAAACAATAAATTTTCTATTTTATTTGATAATTTTAACTTTTTCAGAATATTTTGTTAAAGAATATTTTCAAATATTATGAATTTTAAATAATTTATTTGATATTTAAAATTTATATATATTTCTATACTGTTTAAATATTATAGATATATTCATATATAAAATTTATAAAATTATATATATTATTTTTTAAAATCATCGAACCAGGTCGAATCTGGTCAAACCATATTAACCCATGACCCAAAACATTTCCGGTTCGGTCACCGGTCCGGTTTTAACAATAAAGTATATAAAACAAAAATGTTAATTCATGAAAAACAATAAAAAGGCGGCATGTAGTCAAATCGAACATGTTAGATGGTCACTTAGCTAGGCTATTAGAAGAATGACGTTCACGGATTACGGTAAATAACTAAGGAATATATAGTTGTCAAATCAAACAAACATGGTGTCAGAAAAAACAAACGAAAAAATGTTAGAGAATTGTTAGTTTGCTTATGAAAAATGATTATGATGACGTATAGACATTTATAGTATGAAGTATGAACAACGTTCACGCAAAGAAGTGAACATAAATTCCATTTTTCTATTTATCTTGGAGGTTGAATAATTTCCTCTTTTAAAATCCTACAATACTTGTATAATCTGACTAAAAATGAACCTAATACAATGGTTAAAGGGTCGTAGGATTGTTGGAGTAAGGGTTATGGTTTAACATGTACAGGTTTTTTTTTTTTTTTGTTAAAACATGTACAGGTTTTTTCTTTCTTTCTATTCAACAACTTTTTTACTCTTTTTCTCCAACTCTCATTCTTGAACAGAATTTCCTTATTTTGATTTAGCAAAACCATATATTTCAAGCTAACACCAAATATGGTATGTTTGTTTTTATTAATTTGACTGTAATAAATATATATCTTATCAAAAAGTTAATGTTTGATTTGACTAATTTTTACAACAGTTATGTCCCTAAAAATAATTTTCAACTGAAAAATCGGTACATTTTGTAAATACTAAGAATTGTTTGAAATTTCTTGATATTGAATTTGACATACTAGGCCAAAGATTATTCTTATAGTAAACCATTCATGAGTTTGACCATAAGATAAGTAAACCCATTAACGTGTCAGACGTAATTATGGAAATAAATCTCATCAGACAGCAATGAAATAAAAGACAAACCAATGATTGACCAAAACAGCCTTCCATTTTCACCATTAGAAATGACCAAACTAGCCCTTCGTCTTCAAGCTCCTCAATCCTTACTTAAACAAAATAAACTCCGAGCCCAAAATTCAACACTGTGTTTGTCTCTGAAATCCAGATCCAAATAAGCATCAATGGCGTCAGAAAACAACGGATCCAGATCCGATTCCGTCACCACTCCCAACGCTGATTCCACCGCCGCGGAAATGCCGTCTCAGCCGAGGAAGATCGCGCTGGTCACCGGAATCACCGGCCAGGACGGATCGTACCTGACTGAGTTCCTGCTCGGGAAAGGCTACGAAGTCCACGGCCTGATCCGCCGATCGTCGAATTTCAACACCCAGCGAATCAACCACATTTACATCGATCCCCACAACGTCCACACAGCTCTGATGAAGCTCCACTACGCCGATCTCTCCGACGCGTCCTCGCTCCGCCGCTGGCTCGACGTGATCAAGCCGGACGAAGTCTACAACCTGGCTGCTCAGTCTCACGTCGCCGTCTCCTTCGAGATCCCCGACTACACCGCCGATGTAGTCGCCACTGGCGCTCTCCGCCTCCTGGAGGCCGTCAGATCTCACACCACCGACAATGGCCGGAGCATCAAGTACTACCAAGCCGGATCTTCTGAGATGTTCGGAGCTACTCCGCCTCCGCAATCTGAGACGACGCCGTTTCACCCCAGATCTCCCTACGCGGCATCCAAGGTCGCTGCTCACTGGTACACTGTCAATTACCGAGAAGCCTACGGCCTCTTCGCCTGTAACGGAATTCTGTTCAACCACGAGTCACCGCGCCGTGGAGAGAATTTCGTGACAAGGAAGATCACAAGAGCCCTGGGGAGGATCAAGGTGGGTCTGCAGAGGAAGCTCTTCCTCGGGAATTTGCAGGCGTCAAGAGACTGGGGATTCGCAGGGGATTACGTTGAGGCAATGTGGTTGATGCTGCAGCAGGAGAAGCCAGACGATTACGTTGTGGCGACGGAGGAGTCGCACACCGTGGAGGAGTTTCTTGAGGTGTCGTTTGGGTACTTGGGACTCAACTGGAAAGATCATGTGGAGATCGACAAGAGGTACTTCAGGCCATCGGAAGTGGATAACCTGAAAGGAGATGCTAGCAAGGCGAAGGAAGTGTTGGGGTGGACACCGAAAGTAGGGTTTGAGAAGCTGGTGAAGATGATGGTGGATGAAGATCTTGAGCTTGCCAAGAGGGAGAAAGTGCTTGTGGATGCTGGTTACATGGATGCTCAACAGCAACCTTGATTGATCAAATGGAAAAGTGAGTTTTTACAAAAAAATCTGCTTCTATAGAGTTGAAAGTTTCGTTTTTTTTTTTGTGCTTTAATGCTTGTTTTGTTGTTTTTTTGTTTCTAGTTTTTGTCGTTTTTGTTAAGTTATACATTTTGTTTCCCTCGATGATTTGAGGATGAAGCACAGTTCATTTTGTAGGAAGAACATCCTCTGTTCTTCTAGTCTTGTATCTCCCAAAGTTACATTAAACAAAAATTACTCATTTTTCCCTCAATGGCGGTTTGTGCTATGACTTGTATCTTGTTTCTATAATTCATGCCTACATGATAGCTCACAAATGCAAATCAAAAATAAAGTTGGGAATTCACTCGGACCTATGGGCTATGGCCTAAGAAACTACTACATATATGTTTCGTTCCTTTAAAGAGAAAATGTTACGAAAGAGGATAAGCGTCGCACGAGATCGTCTGAAAGAGCTCGCGCAGGCACAATCAGGTTAGGAAAAGCGACCACGATCCAAATGATCCACACGATTACAACGATAGCATAAGATAAGAGACAAGTTCAAAAAGGACATTTTGAGTAATATCTAGAGTACCATTTTCTCATTGTGGTGCCGGTTACGCTACACACAAAAGTACGAGGGAAAGAAAAGTATCAATATGATTTTCGTGAATTGGCATTTTAAAATTTATACATTTGAGATCACTCACTCTTCAGTCTCAAGACAAATCAAAATTTACAACTGTAAATGTACTTCTCGCAGAAGCCACACCACTTTCTGTTCAGTACTCAAGCATTGATGAATCAATTACTGTATATTTCTGATTTCTAACCCCTTTTTCTCCCTCTTTAATTTACAAAGTGGAAAGCGACAAAACGCTGCGTTTCCAAAGGCTAGATTTCTTGGGACGGGGTTTAATGGAGAAGTTTAGGCCAAACATCTCCTTGGATGCTAAATCCATATCCACAAACCCCATGAGCTTTCCCACAACAGACGCGCTCTCTCGGACATGATCCATGTCTTTGCTCTCTGACCACACGCGATGCGCCAACTGGAGCCGCCTGTGCTTTGTGTTCAGCCCAATGCCCCATCTCAAGAACACGTTTTCCCTCTCTTCTTTCGTTAGTTTCTTCTGCATCAGCTGACTCAGCTTATACCTCTCTCTGTTCAACGCCCTTAGGCTGTTTTGTTCCACGGCCCAAACAGTTAGAAAAGAAAAGAATAAATTCTTGATCTACACTGTCAAAGAAAGGTATGGTGCTTTTGTACGAGTACCTGGACATTGATGTAAGAGTGCGTCCGTTTTCGATAGCTTTGTTATTGTGTGTAAAGGTTTCTCTAATGTACTTGAGCCGTCGGAGTTCTACTTCCATGTACAAGCAATCTTTCTGATCTCCTCTGAATAAAAGGAAGAAGTAACTTCTGTGTGCCATGGAAACATTGCAAGCATGCCACAGCTCTATTATCTCCATCTCGAGTCTCTTGAACTCCAGCGGCCAGTTCAAAGGCATGGTTAAATAGTCTTGGATGGGGTCCACCGCGGCGTCCTTGAAGCTCTTTGACGATCTTAGCGCCACAAACTTTTGTTCTATTTCCTCCATCTGCCATATTTGATAAACAAAAGGGTACCTCAAAAGATATAGACAAAGATTTTAAGGTCGTACCAAGTATAGGTAAGCGAAAAGCAAGCTCTGCTTGACAAATTTAGTAAAACTAACCGATAGATGAATGATTCGCTTGTCCCTTTGAGGAACAGTATCTTCACCTTCCTGCTGGCTGATGCCACTTGTCTGGCGTTCATACAATGGAGCTTTAGAGTGAGAAACCTGTGATCCATTTGGTGATGACTTTATCTTATTTACACCATCTAAAGCAGATGACGTTCTTCGGGTGGGGTTGAAGTCTTTCTCGAACCAAGTTGCCGGCATGCTCATCTGGCTAACATGACTCGGCAACGGCGGCCTCTTGATCTTTTGCGGTTTCAGGTTGCTCTCCGCTCTTTCTTTCTGATACCATCTTGGTGGTGTGTTAGCATCTATCTCAGATAAAGAAAAGGAAGAGCTGGATACAAGGCTTGCTCCGCAGCTTCGGCTTCTACTATGCCCCGTACCTCCTACCGGTTGCAAATCTTTCTCAGGAAGCCAAGCATAAGGCTTTTCAGGAGATGGAGTGGCGGCACCTGGATGTGTAAGGTCTCTTGTGAGGTTAGAAGACTGTTGAGGAAATGATTTGTCAGTTTGTGACGAAACACAGCGTGTAGAGACTTCGATGGATTCGTTTTCTTCCTTTGGTTGGATAAAGACAGCACTGACTTCCTCCTTTACTCTTTCTTCTTCCTCTTCAGTTTCTGCTTGTGGTCTTAAGTTCTTTGACTCTGGTACACATACTGGTATCAAACTCACAGCCACGGACCGGTCTGGAAGCATGCTTGGCTCTGGAAACATGATGATACCAGGACTCTCTGTTTCTATGCATTGGAGTTCCGTGCAAGTGTCTTCAGAACCCACCTCACTTGGTTCGTCCATTTCAAGAAATCGTTCCTCCTGAGGACGAGATTGGTCTACAGATTCTTCCTTGTGAATGTGCGGTTGGTTTTTACTTTCTGCCTCAGGAATATTAAGTCGAGGTTGAGTGAATCTACGTGTAGTTACAAACGAGAGGTGTTGGGCTGGACTACTTGCACCGGAATCGATCTTAAAGTCTGGAATCTGGAAGACATTCTCGTCAAAACCGTGGTCAGTGGATATTGGGGAAATTATGCAGGACGGTTGAGCTGATACAGGGCTATCTGGTGCTATATTAAGAGATTCCCATGAGCTGCGCACACGCAGCTTGGGGTATTGACGTACCAGAACCACCTGTACGAATACCAAAAATGGATATTAAATCGAGCACTTGAAGTTTTTATTCATGCTTTCAGTATTATTAAGATTAAAATGACGTACACTTGGCTGTTCTGAGTCTGTTGATAACATCTCTTTTTGCGGTCCTTCTCCAACAATTTCTTGAAGATCCTCAATCCGAGAATGAGCCCGCTCCAATTGTTGTGTTAGTTGGAATACCTCTTTATTTAGCTGTAAATAATGAAAGAGAACATGAAACAGAGTTATATATTAAGACCAAATCAGTATTAGTAAATTTATTAGGGGAGACGAACTCTCATATTTTAGATATTCTTGATTGGTTGACTGAAGTAAATGGCATTACCTTTTCAATTTGGAGGTCCTTCTCCTTCAGTAATGCAGTTGTGTCAGACACGATAAGGGCTTGACGAGGGCTTCTCAACTCACCCTCCAGTTTAGCCAACTCCCTCTGAAGATGTTTAACCAGCACTTTATCCGACATGACGACGTTGACTTGTGCATTCGTTGTCACCTCCTTTGCACAGCTTGCGAATAACAGTGTGTTTCTTGATTGCTCAACGTGGATTCTTGCAGGGCTCATGGTGCAGATTATGGCAGTTCTGGCGTTTCCTCCCAAGGAAGTCTGAAGTATACGTGTCAGCTTTGAATCTCTGAATGGAATGTGCCCAGTTTTTCTTTTACTGCATTAAGCTAGCCACATAATTTAGTAATATAAAAGGAAGCCAATACATACATACATTAGATGTTAATAGCAGCAATCTGCTAATAAATAGGCTAACCTTAGCTTTCGAATGACGGTTCCTAGTGTTAGTAAACTTCGGTTTATATGAGAACCTTCTTTCAACCTTGTGCCAGCTGATAATGCTTGAGATGCACGTTCACTTCCAGCTAGATCAATGAAATTCTGCAGGATAATTAGTTAAATCTATGAATTTGTTTCATTTTTTCAGGATAATACATGATGGGAGATTCTAGATTACATACCACTGTTGCTGTGAGTGTACTGAATTTTTCAGTCGCCAAATATTCACGTGCTGTGCTTTCAACTGTCTGTAAAAGAAATCAGTTAGATATAAGTTCCAAAAAGCAGTTTGAACACTGCAGCGTTGAATTGTTAATCTAAAATGCCTTACCAATCTCAGAATCTGATGAGAGCGGGAACTAACTTCATTTAAAGCTGTCTCTCCAATTTTTCGTTGAGCTGCAATGGTCAGATGATACTAGTCAAATTGATGCTAAAAATCAAATATGTACCAATGGTTAGATCATAATCGTTATGCAAAATAAATACCTAAACAGATTGATAAAAGTTCCTTCAAATGATTCGAGTCCCGCAGAGTTTCCTCTGTGAGTTTCTCAACAACTGTTCCTTTCTGTCAAAAAGCAAAATGAGATTATGCATAACCAATTCCATAAGATGCCAGTATCAATTTTTACCTCGGGATCATCTAGAAGTCTGAGTGGGCTAATGTCTGTACTCAAGAGGTCTCTTACAGACTCATTATAGATCTCCATGGCTGAGAACTTCAGAACGAACTCTCTTTCCTTGTGCTGCAATAAAAAACACATCAAAAATTGAATGAGCTGGAAATAATGCGGTAAGATACTATGAAGTCTAAGATATAGTCAACTTCACCTTCTCAATGTAACCATATATATCGGCCATGGCGAAATCAGTGATTCCACTCATAGTGTACGTCTTTCCACTGCTTGTTTGCCCATACGCAAAGACACTAGCTGAAACCAGTTGAAAATTTGTGTCAAACATGAGCCACAGTGGAGAATGACTAGAAAGCAGTACTAGACATGCCTTACCATGAACCCCGCCAACAACAGAGAGAGCCACTTCTTTCGCCCCTTGATCATACACCTCCCTTGTACTACTCTCAGGGCCAAACACTCTGTCTAGAGGCATATGAAAGCTCAGAAAGATAGAATTAAGGACAATCTTTGATCAAGAAGCTGCAAAAGTAAGCAAGTCTTACCAAATGTGTACGCAGTGGGGTACATGGAACGCTCGGAGATGGAAAGATGGCTCCTGTATATGACTGTTTCCTCATTGATACACTCCCAATCTACCACATCATTTTTCACCCTTTCTTTCACATTTAAAGGCCTCAGACGAACAGAAACAAAGATCTTCTCTTCGCTCCCGCTCGGTCCTTGCATCTGATCCTCTCTTGTAGCCGTCTTCATCCCTCACCTCCCTTCCCGCATCCTACCTCAAAAGAAACAACAGCAATGTCATACAAAAGGGAATCATGAGGACAACTCAATCACTGTAGATCATGAGTCCAGCTATGAAGAACATTGTCTCTATCCACGTGTTTTACATTCAAATTATGTCAGCAGAGAATGACAGCGAAACCAGTAACAACGTGGTTCTTTTTCACCATGGTATGAGACATAAACAAACAGAGTTTCATATAATATTCTGGAGAAAGATTTGGTGTTTTCTGCAATGGTCCCCCTTGTAAACAGTCTGTCAATAATTCTTGCTTGCATGTTGCATAAGTTTCAAGCTTAGGACTTATATATTTTATTCTCTACAATCACACAAAGAGAGCACATACGAAATAAATCACTTACCTTCAGAGATTTGATATACAATTTCGTAAGGATTTCACAGCCGTGTCAGCAAAATCTTCGATCTGGAGCCAAGAATCTCAAGTGACTCCATGTGCAGTGAGGAAACACAGCTTCGACTACTTAACACCTGCCTCCGAATAAACAACAGAGAAAATGTCCAACACAAATTTAGCCGTAAGATCCAAGAAAGTAATAATAATAAAAAATCAAATCCTTCATCAGTGTGACATGCTTTGCCAAAACAGACACATAAGTTTCGGCAAGGAGCCCAAAATTGTTTTCACCGGCTCACAGACTCACACTGGAACTCCAAATCAAACAAAAATTTATAGCCAAAACTACAACATTTAACGTTCTACTGGAATCCAAAAGACCCATGCCACGCTCGATGGTTAGAAAACCACAAAATCCGGCAATGAAATTAAGAACAATCAAGGAAATTCTAACCTGCGACACCGCGTGAGACCGGATGTCTCTGAATCCTGCAAATGAGGTACGGAGATTATAGAAACGGGACCAAAATCGAGATGGAGAACAATGGCGGAAGCGACGGTGAACAATAGGGACCACCACGGTGTTCCGACGCAGGAAACTAGCAGAAAACGATTCTAAAAGATGAAGATCGGAAGAAACCAGAGAATCTCGGGTCGACCAATTTCGCTCGCTGGAGCGATAAATCAGGTAGTTGAAAAACTCGGAGTTGCGCAGCTGTTAATCGTCGTTAATGGCTTTTTTTGTTTTCTTCATCGTCATTGGTGAAATTAGGAATTAGCTAATTATATTAGCGCGCTAAAGAAAGCATCAATTTGGAGCAGCTGATGAGTATTTAATTATGATCATATCATTTCGTCTCTAAACTCTTGTTGCTGATAAATTCTATATACTGTATATGATTATCGAGATAGTTAAATAAGAAAACTACTAGATTAGGGAGCAGCTTCATCGGATTATTTACTGTGTTATCAAATTCCAAAGATGTCTTAATAAGGTGTCCAAAGTGATGATGATGGCTCAGTCTAAGACTATCCACAATTTTTTTTTTTTAAAAATAAAAAATAATTGTTTGTAGACCATATTTTCGTTATTCCAAAAGAACAATAATGCACATTATACAAATTGATTTGGAACAAAGAAGAAGATAATCTAGGAACAGTGTTATAATTAACGTTGAAACCAAAATCAGTGTTAAGTTGATTACACTTACATCATTAACGTAATCACCTATTATTGACGCTCATTGTTTTCGATCATAATGGCATATCACATGACAACCACAAAAGAGGAGGTATGATTTTGTTAGCAATGATGATTTGTACCAGCAAATATTTACGATTCTTTCGCCTTTTTAAGCTGACGTAAACGAATTTTTAGTTCACTTTTGATAAGTTAATATCATATAAAATATTTGAACAAAAAAAAAAAAAACAAAATATCATATAAAATATTATAAAGCAGGGCACATACATATATAAATTTAGACACGAAAATAAATAAGAGGGCCATGCACACATGATGAGGCTGTGGACAGAACCATACCATGCACTCATGCAGCCTTAATTATTACAGTATTATGTTGACTTTATGAGACGTCGGTGGACGGTGCATGAGAATGTTGACAAAGTCACATACATGATATATAGCGAATTAGTTTGTCGAGAATTTGATGAAAATGTATAATCATTAATCAGCTTTGCTAATTACCCGTAAAGGAAAGACCAGAACTTCTTTGGTGGATGAAGTAAAAGTGTAAAACGTAGCTATTACTGATAACAGAACCTGAAAAGTCGGTCCTTATTCACTTTCTTTAGCATGTACCTCGTTCCAAAACTAAAGATTAACTCATTTACTAAGTCTATTTTAGGGTAGCTGCATCGACTTTCTATTTCCAAGCTTTCCTTCCTTATCTTCTCTTTTTAAGGTCATGAGGCAATCAGATATTTGCAAATTCATATGCTTATGCCTTTTTTTATTTAACATGTACGATTAGGATCAGCTTTGCATCAGATATTTGTCATACTATTTTGTGGTTTTACTTTCACGTTATATGTTTTCTGACTTTTGTTTATTGTTTAGTGCAGAGGAAAAGAAAAGCATAGACTATATATATGATACTATTCTTCAACTCCATGACAGTCATCAGATCCACATTATACGCCCAAATTAAAACTTTCTTTTTAGTATCGTTTGGATCACTTAAAGTCTTATTTTCTTACACCTCCCTATTGTTTTACTTGCAACTTTGTCATTGCATGATTGTTTTTTTTCTTCTTTGACACATCACACATCCAAAAAGAAAACAGTCATAAACTTGGATCAATGGAGGATAGTCTTCATATTAACAGTTTCAACCACAAAAGTCTTTTCTTTGTCGCGGGAGTCGGGACCCGATGATATTCTTGCAACTTCCTCTTTGTTATTACTTATTACTGTATAATGTTCATTTATGATTATTTCTTAATATTGTAATTTTGATATCTCTAATATTCTTCTTTTTGATAATTTGAAAGTAATTTAAGTTCTGAATATATGTTTGAGATATGAGTATATTAGTGATTAGTTTAGTGTTAGTGTCTCATCAATAAATAACTAAAGTGCACTAAAGTCTAACTAATACTCCCTCCGTTCCGTTGCAAATTAGTTATCATTTTAGAGATAAATTTTTGTTTCATATTACTTGTCGTTTTGTATTTTCGATGCAATTTTTTTTTATCTTTACTCTTTTAACTCAATAGTTATTCTTATCAAATAAATCAAAGTATTAATTAGGGGTAAAACAATAACTTTAATTGTTTTCTTGTGAAAAAACTTTAGAACAGCAAGTAAAAAGAAACGGAAGGAATAAAAAAAGATTCAAATCTATTCAGTGATATCAATAAAAAAATTTGTTTTCTTTTGTTACATCACATGAGAAAATTCAAACGCTTTAGTTTTGAAAAGAAGTCGTGTGGACCAAATGATGTCGGAATTTTTTTTCGTATCGTTGTCTCTCTGGCTCCTATATAATTTTTTCTTTTGGAGAAAGAGAAGCCCATCACTTATCTATAGAAGCTTTTATGATCATGAGGCTGTTTATTATACTTGCTTTCAGTACTCTCACTGTACTCTTGGGCGCGGGTTTTTCTGATGAAGAGTCCAAGTTTTATAGTAACGATGACAGACAAGCATTACTTGCGTTGAAGTCTCAAGTTTCTGAAAACAAAAGAGGAGCCTTGGCCTCGTGGAACCACTCGATTCCGTTATGCAAATGGAAAGGTGTTACATGTGGCCACAAACACAAAAGAGTAACTGGTTTAGACCTTGGAGGGTTGAAACTCGACGGGATCATCTCGCCTTCTATCGGTAACCTTTCTTTTCTGAGATCTCTTAATCTTGAAGACAACTTTTTTAGTGGTACCATCCCAGAAGAGGTGGGAATGTTGTTTAGGCTTCAACAGTTGAACATGAGCTATAATACTCTTGAAGGAGTGATTCCAACAAGCCTCTATAACTGCTCTAGATTGGTTGTCCTTGATTTAACGTTAAACCGTCTTGGACACCGTTTGCCTTTAGAGATAGGATCGTTATCCAACCTTAAACTTTTGCTTCTTTCCAAAAACAATATTTCAGGGAAGTTTCCCATATCTATAGGAAACCTAACATCACTTAGTACCCTTTCCGTTTTAGATAATCATATTGAGGGAAAGGTTCCAGATACAATAGGTAAATTGACCCATCTAATAAAACTCCAAATTTCAGCAAACAATCTCTCGGGTGTTTTCCCATCAGTGATCTACAACTTGTCCTCACTTGAGTCTTTAGCCATTGCTGCCAATCGTTTCTCTGGTAATCTTAGGCCTGATTTTGGATATAAGCTTACAAAACTTGAGAAGTTGCATTTAGGAGGGAATTCATTTTCAGGAGATGTTCCCAAAACAATATCCAATATCTCAGCCCTCACACACCTAGAGCTTTCGCAAAACCTTTTCACTGGAAACATCCCCGTTAGTTTTGGAGCATTACACAATCTTCAATATCTAGGGCTTGCTCAAAATTCTCTTGGAAACAACCTAGTGGGAGATCTTGAGTTTCTAAGTGCGTTGGTGAACTGCACTCATCTGCAAATGTTGGATGTTGGTTACAATAGACTTGGAGGAGAATTGCCAATCCATGTAGCCAATCTTTCTAACGAGCTGGCAAATATATATTTGGGGGGAAATCTCATCACTGGAAGCATTCCTCATAACATTGAGAATCTCATAAACCTACAATCACTTGGCCTGGAAAACAATATGTTGACAGGACGAATACCAACCTCTCTAGCGAAGATTTCAGGGTTGATATCCTTGTATTTGAACTCAAACAGAATGTCAGGAGAGATACCATCGGATATCGGAAACATGACTCGCTTAGAGTATCTCAACTTGTTCAACAATAGTTTTCAAGGAAGCATTCCTCCGAGTCTTGGAAACTGCCGTTTTCTGTTATACCTTCGGATGGGATCCAATAGGTTAACGGTAGTATACCTCAAGAGCTCATGCAATGTGAGTCTCTTGTCTACTTGTACGTGTTGAAAAATCTGCTGACCGGACCTTTTCCCAAAGATGTCGGAAGGTTAAAAAACCTTGTTGTGCTATCTGCTGCAAACAACATGTTTCATGGAAACATCCCGGAGACTTTAGGAGATTGTCTCCAGGCGGAAAGCATTTTCTTGGGTAGAAACAAGTTTGATGGAGCTATTCCAGATGTTAGAAACTTGAGGGCTCTTCAATACTTTAACTTATCAAGCAACAATCTTTCGGGTAACATACCTGAATATCTTGCCAATCTCTCGTCGTTGGAGAATTTAGATCTCTCTGGTAACGACTTTGAGGGAATGGTTCCAACAAAAGGAATATTTCAAACCCTCGTAAACTTTTCAGTGTCTGGTAATGGAAAGCTTTGTGGAGGCATCCCAGAACTAAAACTAAGATCATGCCCTCAAAACGTGACATCATGGGCAAGAAGACATTCATCAAACAAGAAGAAAATTTTCATCGGTGTTGGTATTGGTGTAGCTTCTCTTCTGTTGTTACTACTGGCTCTGAGTTTTCTTGTGAAAAGGAAGAAGAGAAACGGTGCAGAAAACACCAACAATTTCTTGTCAAATACTTCATTAGACCCTTTCCACGAAAGGGTAAGTTTTGAGGAGCTTCGTGCTGCGACTCATGACTTCTCTTCAAGCAATCTGATTGGTTCAGGAAATTTTGGCTCTGTTTTTAGAGGGTTGCTTGGTCCCGAGTCTAAAGCTGTTGCGGTTAAAGTTCTAAATCTCCAAACGCGTGGCGCAGCCAAGAGCTTTATGACGGAGTGTGAAGCCTTGAAAGGTATAAGGCATCGAAACCTAGTGAAACTTGTGACTTGTTGCTCAAGCATTGATTTCAAAGGAAATGAATTCAAAGCTCTTGTGTACGAGTTTATGCCGAACGGAAACCTAGACACGTGGCTGCACCGAGAGGAAGCCAAAGTCTCGGTAAGTCATTCAAGACCATTGAAGCTAAGTGAACGACTTAACATAGCCATAGACGTGGCTTCCGTTTTGGATTACATCCATTCCAATTGTCATGACCCTGTAGCTCATTGTGATATAAAGCCAAGCAATGTTCTTTTAGACGATGATCTAACAGCACATGTGAGTGACTTTGGTCTTGCTCGGATCATTGACCAAGAATCCTTCATCAACCAAGTTAGCTCCACGGGTGTTAGAGGAACCATCGGCTATGCTGCACCAGGTAAAAACTATTTGTGAATATTGTTGAATCTTCCCTATATTATTCTTCTTTTGTCTTATCATTCCTTTTCTTGTGATGAAAGAATATGGAATGGGAGGCAAACCATCGAGAGAAGGGGATTTTTACAGCTTTGGTGTTCTTTTGTTGGAGATGTTCACTGGAAAGCGTCCCACTGATGAAGTATTTGTGGAAGAATCTACTCTCCGTAGCTACACCGAGTCGGGGTTGCAAGAACATGTTCTTGATATAGCTGACATATCGATTCTCCAAGGCGAAGTTGGCAACAAAAACATGAGCACTATTGCTGAGTGTTTGAAGTTGGTGTTTCACGTGGGAATAAGGTGTTGTGAAGAATCTCCCACAAATCGGATGACGATGGCTCAAGCTTTAGCTGAATTAGTCTCAATCAGAAAGAGATTCTTTAGTAGCCAGAGGACGAGATTGTAGACGGTCAAGATATTTGCGAATTTTGGGAAACTTTGCCGACGGACGAAAATTCAGTAATGTGTGTGTGCGCTTTTGTAATTTGAATATAAATTTTTATGCCACTGTCTCCAATATATTTGATTGCTCTAGACTATCTATAGTAGCCGGCAAGTGCTAGCCACAACTTGGAATTTGAGCTATGAAAGTTAGGGAGGTGTCCTCGAAATCGAAATAGCAACTCTTAACACCAAAAAATCATCTATATCTCTATGTCACATAAAGGATAATGCGTTTTTCATACATCCGAGATAACACTTAAAGAATTTCGGACCCAGAAAAGGGGAAAGAAAAAAAGCTAGAATACTACTACCGAAGGTAGCTGGAAGCCACCCAAAGCAAAACGTAGCTCAAGAGAGAAGACATGACTTCGAAACCTCTTGGTCCTTTAATGAACGGCGGGACCACAGCTACCATCAAGAAGGTCCCAAGGAGCCACGAGAAGATGAAAGATCCAGTCCTGTTTCAAAAACATCAACCAGATCAGGATCCGCTAATTCAAATCAAGAAAGGTTATCAAAGTTTTTTTGCGAATATGATCATCAGCTTGGCTTATTACCCGTAAAGGAAAGACCAGAACTTCTTCTGCAGCCTCTGGTGGATGAAGTAAAACGTAGCTATTACCGATAACAGAACCTGAAAAGTCGGTCCTTCTTCCGTCGGGAACAGAACCGTAAGAAGGCCGAGAACTGCAAACGTGGCTGCCGTTTTGATGAGGAACGCAGTGGGAGGAGTTTGGAACCTCTCGAAAACAAAGCTGACAACTTTGGACTGCCTCACTTGTCGGACTTTCTTCTTGATGTCGATCTTCGGGTTTTTCCTCTCATGGAACTTCTGCATGATGATCTTGTCATGAGCTGATTCGATCGCATCAACACTTGGTTTGTGACCTCCGTACTGCGCTATGAGAAAGTTCCTCGCGCCTTGAATCTCATCCTCTGATGCCATCTTGCTTATCCCAAGCCGTTTGTATGGGTCCTTGACATTGATCCGAGGAAAAACAGCTGAAGCAATTCAAGTAGCAGTTGTGAAATTTAAGTTAAAATAAGAATTATGCATAGCATTGCTTGCTTCGTTTAGTGACAACAAGTTCAACACTAAAAGCACCTTAACTATCACCACTAAGGAACAAAAAAGCATCGTTTACAAGTTTAAACCAAAGAATATGCTGCTTAACCTATAGTTATGCATAGCTCAGAATTATGTCTTTTTACCAGCTGAATCGTCAGATGTATCACCAATGGAAGCACTCATGGCACGGACGAACATAGCATTGCGTCTTTGTGTAGGAAGTGCCAAGCAAGTCCTATGCAACACCGGAAGAGAAAATGATTACAGATAACCAAGAGAAAGAACACTAGCATATGCTTTAATCGAGCAAGCAACAAAAAACAACCTTTTAAGAAGAGGCAAAGCGGCATTTTGACGATTCAGATTGCCAATAACAGTAAAAGCTTGAGAGCTTCTCTGACATGTACCAAAATTATCTGAACGCCATCGGAAGTGAAATCTCGGCGGAGTCACTGTTAGCCCGGACGCACTCATCTCTGGAAAATGACCGGAGATTTCCTTCACCTCGCACCAACAAGCTCAATCCCTAAATTGAAATTAAAAATCAGGAATGAGCGAATCCAATAAACCCTAAACAATCATGGCTAAACCAATTGCACAACTATTATGCATTCTGAGCCCAATTCGAGCAGCAAAAAACTCGAAGCTAAAATCCGACGAGTAGAACAAACTGAAGAGATTTCGAAACGATTTCAGGGTTCAAGTTCTCGCATCCCCATTGATTTGATTGAACCGAAAGCCAATTCTGAATACAGTAATTGGATGCGGCTTCGGGAGTAGAAGTCACACCGCAACAACAAAAGAGAGAGAAATCACAGAAAGAGTACCAGAGGAGAAGAAGACGTATCGCCGATGAAAACAATCCAGAACACCAGTTTCTCTTTCCCTCCCGGAACCACCTTCCACAAAACGCTGCTCGCAACGGATAGAAGAGGTAAAGCCACAGCAAGAGTAGTTCCTCGACTAAGTGGACTGAATTGTTATTATATTGACTAAGTCAACAATTGTCAACAAGTCCGTCGTAGTCTAGCTGGTTAGGATACTCGGCTCTCACCCGAGAGACCCGGGTTCGAGTCCCGGCGACGGAGCTTTTTTGTTGTTCGCATGTCATTTTTAAAAATCTTCAAAGGTTTTAACTGATGCTAATATTCACCACTTAAATGGATAGGATGTAGTCATATAGTCTGAAAGAACGGATAAAACCATAACGTAACTGTTATTATAACACTAGATATCAACTAAAAAAACGTAAAAACTGTACAACATTTGTAGTTTTTGGTGATATGATAGTTTCCCAGCTTCTTGACGTTAGATTTACAGAGTCTGGTAGAAAGATCACCCTCTCGAGCCACATCGTAAAAGCCCCTACACAAAGACATTGATTGATCTTGTTCAACAGCGTACAACAGAAGACGAGCTAATTTTGAGCCAAGTTGTTCTACAATATCAGACAGTGAAGCAAATTTACTTTGCAATATAAATGTGTAGCGGAAAAATTGACCATAAACGAAGAATTAGTAACGGCATACCTCAGACGGTATACACATTCATGACTGGAACAGAGTTATGGTGGCTATGTGACCGTTCTTCATCACCTACAAATATTAACCCCCAACATAACATGAACTCATGAAGTGTCGTTTAACAATCTCCAAACGCATATAACAACGGATTACATTTACTGAACTAGGGGTATTAGAAAATGCTTCACCTCAAAAGCAACATTCTGATATCCATACACGTATGTCATTCCAAAAGGGTTGCTAGTTGAGCCTTGCGTCTGAATAGCTGCTGGGCCACAGTCTCCGAGTATTTCCTAACGTGAAAGCAAGGTTTTATGAGAAATGTTTTACGCATTTGCTCACTATCTCATTTCATTATCAGATCTACTAGTTCAAAACAGTCCTAATTATTCTGAAACTTCTATATTTGATCATTTCCTCATAGCTTCCTCACAAGTTTCTTCCGGTTATATGCATTGAGACCCGTAACAATAAGGTTGGTCAAAAGATTTTACATCAACTATCAGTAAGAAAAGGGTAAAAGGGTAACATAGACTAGCTTCCAATCATTTCCTCTTATGCTCGAATCACTTTGATAAAAAATATGTTTACCTTAACCTGGTCCCAGTTCGTTCTCGGAGTGATCTTTTTTCCACCTCTGTTAGCTTCTGCCGCATCCTCTCCAACTGAAAAGCAGCAAGAAAGCGTCGTTTTGAACCAAGCATTTTAGTAAAGGATTATTAACTGACATGAATCTGCTATCATTTGCATAGATTACCAGAAATCACAAAGTTACACTTTATGTATGAGTTGAAATCAGCATGACCAGGATAGTTGGTGTGAAGAACAAACTTCTTCGCCTTGTGAGTCTGTAGAAAAGGTAGAGTCAAGGATTAAAAAAACATATGAAGGGAACAGATAACTCTATTTGACATGTTGCCTACCTCGCCGTCAAACAGGATGTCCAAGCCACGAGTGAAATAGTTGTAAAAGTAATCACCACAAAGAGTTGTTTTTGGCCGTGGATCTGATGCAGAATGAATAACCATTTGATCTACCTGTAAAGCAAAAGACAATTCAGACGCAGAAATCCAAAAAAAGTCCAAATGGGCATTAAGCATCTGTTCGCAATCTGCAACAAACAATTTTAGAGAGACGGCTATAGACCTGCTTTGGATGGATCCCACATGGTCGTCCTAACTCAGTCCATACATCCTGCACGGAGCACAATATGATAAGTTCCAATGAAGAAGTGCAATAAGAGAAAGTAAAATTTTTACCAGTGGTCAAATTTTACCTGTGGTGATGCACCAAAAGGCATATGCTGGCCTCCAACAGTAAAGTATAGTTCCTTGCCAAGCTGCATATATGTTTAGTGAAGTCATGCGAAGAGTACGTAGGTGACTAACGGCTAAGAGATGTTAAAACACACAAAGGGTAAAGGGAGTAAATGAAGATAAGCCAGACCTTGACATGAACCTCTTCCATATACAGGCTGCCAGGAGGCAAAGCAGGGACAGAAGCTCTATCCATCAATTTTCCAACACCAACTTTTTTGTCACTTGAGTTGTCATATATGGAGACACGGCATGCTACTGGTGTGGTGCCATCCGGAAACTCTAATGGCAGTGCCGCTTTGTAGAGGAAAATAATATTGTGAGAAGTTAAATATTGAACAACTACAAGACAAAAACTAAAACAAAAAATTCTCTAGAGTTGGAGAAGAGCATACCTTCTCCATCATGGCAGCAGTCCGTGTACTGGTTAGGAATCGGAAACTCGAAGGATAGCCCCTGCCACAGTAAAAAAATGTTATAACACTGATAGAACAAACCCAATCATTTCTGTAAAAAAAACAGTATGAGCATATGTCTCACCGGGTAGAACAGACAGTAAACCCCTCTTTCTTTATCATAAATCCCAGGAAAGGTCGGTCCAAAGAGTGCATAAACAGCCACAAACGTGCCCAGTGTTGATGGACCCCTGAAGTATCAAGCAAAAGACAGTCATCACAACAGTAAACTACACCTAACCCATAGATTTTAACTACTTGACTCACCCAATCATCGAAGTGCCGTAGCGCATCTGAAGCCGCTTGACATCATATATCTCAACGAGGCGTAACCTCTGCAAAAGAAATTGGACGAACAAGAAATAAACTAAAGTGTATCTTTAACAAACAAAAGAAGACAAATAACGATACTCCAAATTGCAGGTAAAACATGAGAATATTGATTCAACACGAATTTTATAAAGCAGTGAAGTTGAATTCAGTATGAATCACCAGCAACATCTAGTAAAGAGTAGTACCTGAGACCAGGGATCAAATCGAAGATGAAACCCATGATCCGGAAAGCTAATAACAACATCCAATTTCAGAGGCTCCTGCGTGAGGCAACATAAGATAGATTCAACGAAAGAAATGACGAACATTAGCAGCAAATTAGTCTTACTAGCACAAACCTCGTCGTAGTATTTAACATGGACAACATCATATATGTTAGGCTGTTGCTCTATCTGAGCAAATGCTTCGCAAATCGGCATTCCTGAAACAACACCACAATTTGATCGGCGGTCAAAATTGATCGGAAGCAGAACAGTATGCTAATGAGCTAAAACAACTGACACAACGTTCGCTTCTACTAAAGATGATCCAGCAATTTTATCTACCACGCAGCTCATTATCGAATATCGCGATGTAAGACCTCGGAGAAATGTTATCAAAGAATTCCCAAAACAACACGCAATCGCCCGATCGCAAATCGATTGCCATTTTCAAGTGCAATCGACAATAAACTGATTCTCGAATACTAGAAGCATCGGAAATTTTGGGAGAATCGCATACCGATAGAGAAAGGTCCGATGCCGACGCCGGGACGGAGATCGAACACGGTGGCGCCCATGGCGGTGCCTTCCAATCGTCGCCTTGTTCTATTCATCACCAATTTGTCACCGATCTTTGAGTAATCCTTCATTCGTTGGATGGGTTTCTTGCACGGAGGAGAATGTTTTTCTTCTTCTTTCTCTTCCCACTTCCCACGCACAGATAAAAATATATATTTCTGATTTCTGAAGTTGTAAGCAGAAGGCGTGCTTCTACTTCTTATGGTGGTTATTGGAAAATGAAGTTTTAAAAGATTTTCTGAAATTCCGAGATTACGGTTATTTTACGGGTTTTAAAATTGTTAGTAAAAATTAGTGTGATAATTTGGACATTCTTATTTTATCCAAGATTTGTTGTTATAGTTTTTATTATTCAAATATTTTAGAGGAATGTTGATTTGTGCTCTTCGATTAGCTTTGTTACGATTTCAAATTTTATTGTTTGGGATGTTTGAAGTGTATAATTGTATAAACGAAACATATACAAACCGTATCATCTCACATAAAGGACGATCTTAGCTTTAAGAAGCCAATGTCAGATGTGTTTATATACCAATTAAACACATATATCAGTGAGAGATTTTCCGTCATTAAAAGTTCGAGTAAATATCCAAGTTGAAGATATATCAAAGATACTGTAATGACGGAAAATATGTATCGGATTGTAATTATGTTGAGAGATTTGCAGTATTCATTCATAACTCATAAGGATAGATGTTGAATAAATATCTAAGTTCGAGTAAAAGAAATATACTTCGAAACTTTATAACAAAAGGCAAGTCTAACATGCACGTGAACAATGCCCAACAAAGGTACAAGGCCTACCTACAAAACCATGTGAGTATGGCGAATGAAGTTATATCAGCATAGATGACCAAATCAGGTCCTATAATTTTGTACAACAATGGACATATCCGATGAGATAAATACATGTTTTGGGACTTTTTTATTTTTTCAAATTAAATTACCTACCTTAAGAATTCTATTTGAAATTCTTATTTTTTTGACCAAAAAACAAGAGGATACTATTTGAAAAAGATAAAGGGAGTGGTAAGTACTTGAACATTTTGAGACACAATCTTTGACTACTACCGATTGATTGCCGAGTTCAATTCTTTGTTTTTTTCTCGTTGGTATGTAAATAAATATCAAGTCTTTGTAAATTAAATATCATATTATCTTGAGTGAGTTGAGTCAAAGTTATTTCGGATGGGTAATTGAATGATAAACCTAGAAAATCTAGCTGTATATTTGTACAATTAGTTTGAAATCTGAAAATGGTAGTATATTTGGAAAAACAAAATCTATAAGCAGAAAGAAGTCACAATATTTTCTTCTAAAAACGGAGTCACAACACTGTTACCCTAGAAAACTTACCATGAAAGATAGAAAATGATTAGAAATCTAGAAATAGCAGTATATTTTGCCGTTTTGGAAACTTAAGAGTCTGTAAATTCGGAAACAAAAATCTAACAAGTCATCACATTTTTTCTCTTTAAAATGGAGTCAAAGTAAATTAGCAATGCTAAGAAGTGGGCGATAAAGCAAAAACAAAAATCCATTTTTATTTTTCCCCCACTAGTCTTCGTTCTAAAACATCATCACCCATACTCTCAATCATCATCCCCAAAATCCCCAAAGAACCTCAGATTAGGGTTTCTCTTTCACTGATTGATCTGCCTGTACTGTTAATTTATTATCCGAATTCTCGAGTATTCATGGAGAATCAGCCGAACCGGCCCCAGCAGGGCGCGCCGGAGTTGGCTGCTTTGGCTCGTCGAGAAGAGAGTTCGGTTAGGGGAATCGATCTTATGAGAGTCGATCAATGCGAGAATATCGGTGTAATCCAAGGTCCTGGCTTTTCTGGACCTGCCCCGACGGTTGGTGTGCCCGTTGAGCAAGTGGCCAGAATTGTTGATGAGGCTGCCCCTGTAAAGCGAAAACGGGGCCGGCCTCCGAAGTCACAGGCTAAGACGCCTCAGCAAACTAGGCCACCGCCGACGCAACAGAAGGAAGAAAAGGAAGAGGATGTCTGCTTCATCTGCTTCGACGGCGGAGACCTCGTTCTATGTGATCGCCGGTGAGTGATTTTCAGCGTACAATGATAATTGTGTTATATAGTATGCATAGATTGAGATTAGAGCCTTAGCGTAAATTTACAACGAAGAAGAACTTCATTAGTTAGTCAATTAGATTTTCTATGGGATTTACTATGATTGATGATGCGCTGATTAAATGCCGTAGATTGAGTTACTCAATTGCTATAGAAGCAACAGGGCATTGTTAATAATCATTAGTTATTAATGGAGGTTTTAGAGATTGATAAGTCTTGATGGGTTTTTCTTTTCAGGAACTGCCCCAAGGCATACCATCCAGCTTGTATTAAGAGAGATGAGGCATTCTTTCGAACAACGGCTAAATGGAACTGTGGTATGTGCTATAGTCTATGATGATATTACTATGTTGTCTTTGCTCTTAGCAATCTATGGACTGATTGTTCTGACATGCCGTCATTTCAATTTTCTTAAATGATGATGCTGATTCGGAAAATGGTGTTTTGTTCATTCATTTCAGGTTGGCACATATGCGGTACATGCCAGAAGTCTTCCAGTTACATGTGTTATACATGCACTTTTTCTGTTTGTAAGCGGTGCATTAAAGATGCTGACTATGTGATTGTGAGAGGTAACATGGGTCTTTGTGGCACATGTATTAAGCCTATAAAGTTGATTGAGAATATTGCTCACGGAGATAACGAAGCGGTAAGTCAATCCTCCAGAGTCTATAGATAGTTCCATTCAGTGCTTTGCCGAAAGATTTGCCAAGGCCAGTTGAATTATCACCAACCTGCCGCTATTGACTTTAGAGGAATATAGTTTGTTGATTTGAGTTATGTTTATGTTTTAACTCTCTTTTGATAGTTCTAATTTATAAAACCAGGCGTTTCTTTTTGTTTAAACCCGATCAAAATTCGTTCGTAATGTTTTCTTCCACGTAACAGTCACATTTTGATACATTAGTTAATGTGTGCTGCTCATAATTGTTTTCCTTCTTCATCTGTTGTATGGATAGGTTAAGGTGGATTTTGATGACAAACTCAGTTGGGAGTATCTATTCAAGGTATATTGGCTTTGCCTGAAGGAAGATCTGTCTCTAACTGTCGATGAGCTTACTAGAGCGAACAATCCTTGGAAGGAGGATCCTAACGCTGCTCCTAAAACGGACTCACAAAATGATCATACCAATAGCAGAGCTTTAGATGTAGCAGTCAATGGAACAAAGAGAAGAAGGACCAGTGATTCCCCCACTTTACCCAACAAGTCGGATGGAAAAATTCCAAACAAGATCCTAAAGAAGCCTCCTGGAGATACAAGCTGGGCTACAAAAGAACTCCTCGAGCTTGTGTCGTTGATGAAAAATGGCGATACGTCTGTTCTTGGCGTGCATGAAGGACAGACTCTTCTGCTTGACTATGTAACGAAGAAAAATCTAAGGGATCCTGATCAGACGTCTCAAGTTATTTGTGACCTGATGCTTGTGAAGTTGTTTGGAAGACAGCGAGTTGCTCACTTTGAAATGCTCAAGCTTCTCGAGTCTCACTTCCTTATTCAGGAGGAGAAAACCACGAATGGGGAAACTTCTCATGCTGTTCCTAGCCAAATAGAGGAGGATACTGTTCGTGATACACCAGTTAGGGATAGAAGACGGAAGATGCGTAGGAAAACTGATGACCGAGTACAAAATGAAAATCTGGATGCATATGCGGCCATTGATGTTCATAATATCAACCTGGTTTATCTGAGACGTAAATTTCTAGAGACTCTACTTGATGATATCGACAAAGTTCACGAAAAGGTGGTAGGCACAATTTTGAGAATTAAGGTATCTGGCAGTGACCAGAAGCTGGATATTCACAGGCTTGTTCAAGTTGTAGGTACGTGGTTACTGGTCATATTAATCTTTTTTCTAAGGAAAGAAAGCAAAATGGGAAATTAGTGACCCAAAGTTTAATAGTAAGATCTCAGCCGATTTTGTGGTCATTTATCAGGTACAAGCAAGGCAACGGCATCGTACCAAGTTGGCGCAAAGACTACAGATGTTATGCTAGAAATACTGAATTTAGACAAGAGAGAAGTCATCTCGATTGATCAATTAACAGACCAGAACGTCACAGAGGTGAATATAGTCCTCTCTGAAATATTGATTTCTGTACCTTTCTCTGCTTGTGAATGAAACAGCCCTAGTAATTATGCTTCATTTGTTTTATCTTTAATGTTTCAGGATGAGTGCAAACGGTTGCGCCAGAGCATAAAATGTGGCCTCAATAGACGATTGACTGTGGTATGAATAGGCACATTGTACCTTCTCGTCCTGAAATTGTGTAAATTACATAAGTTGGAAACACATGTTATTTTCTTATTTTTTGTCTTTTTTTTGCGATGTCAGGGTGACATCTTGAAGACGGCAGCAACACTACAAGCCATGAGAGTCAATGACGTAGGTTAATTAAAAGCAGTGAATATCATTCGTATAAATATTAAAGATCCACATGATCATAGTTCTTTAATGTGCTTTGCTGGATGTTTTGTTGATGTAGGCTCTGGAAGCTGAGATATTAAAGGTCAAACATCTCCGGGATCGGGCCAGTGAGAAGGGTCATAGAAAGGAATATCCTTTTTGAGATTGGTATACCATATTTGTTGCACTGCACTTATTATTTTGCAAATGTTGCTGCTATTAGAATCCTTCAGTGAGTCGTTGATGAAATAGTGCCCTGAAGATGTCCATGCTACTCGTAATGGCAAAGAAAAATTCAGTTTGAGTAGTATTTAACTTGAAGTGTTCCCATTTAGATGTTTGGTTTGCGGTAGTTTAAATGTGAAGGTTTACTTTTGACACTGATTGCGTAGAAATTTTTAGACTTGGATTTCTTAACTATCTCCCACGCTTAGAGAATGTGTAGAAAAGATAGAGCTTCTAGAATCACATGAGGAACGCCAGCGGCTTCTGCAGAAAGTCCCAGAAGTTCATATAGATGCAAGCATGGATCCAACTCATGCATCATCAGAAGATGCAGGATTAACTACAAGGAAACCAGGTCTTCCACCTTAACCTAGGATGTGAAACAGCTACCTGTTCATTATCTTCCGCAAAATTTCTGGTTTGTGGTTGCGGTTTACAATCTTCTATATTTTTTATTTGCAGATAATCACATACAAAAGGCACAAAGTAAAGGTCTGCAGAGAAAAGGGGATACCCCAAAAAACTTGGGAAAAAATGCTAAAAAAGTTTTTGATGCACCAAATTTGCGAAGCAGAAATGTCACGCATGCTAATAAAGATGATTCTTCCAAGGTCCACAATAACTCATCAGCTATCCAGGTTTGTCCTATACCTCCTACACTGTTGTCAAAGTAACCTCTCATGGTTTTCTATGTTGGTCTCATGTCATGTAAATTTCTGGTTACTGCAGGAAACTGTTAAAGATGAAGAGAGTGAAGTATGGCATTACCGAGATCCAACGGGAAAGCCCCAGGGACCATTTTCTATGGTGCAGCTTCGCAGATGGAAATCTAGTGGTCATTTTCCTCCTTATCTTAAGATATGGAAAGAGCATGAGAATGAGTCTGTACTTTTGACTGACGCTCTTTTCGGACGGCTTGACAAAGCAACTACTTTGCCAAGTTCCTCTTTGCTTCCCCAAGAACTAAAACCGTCTCCGGAGGACTCTGGACTCACAAGTGCAACCTCTTCGTCCTCTACTGTCAGTGCCCTAGCCAACAAACCAAAAGAGAAACAAGTTGAAGCTCTTGCATCTAGCTCTGGGAAAGTCGAGGATGGTAATTCTGTTCAACTCCAGCCTCAAGTTAGTTGTCCGGCGTCAATGCCTGTGGTTCCAGGACACTTGGTTACTCCTGACGCAAGAGAAACTCCAAGAACTGATCAATCCAGTGCTGTGCTGGCAGATGGTAACCATATCACAACTAAGCGTGTAGAAGATGGAACAAATGGTGGTTCTGTTTCCGTAAACGATTCTGTTCCTGCACCAAACCTGAATCAAGAAATTCATTTCCTTGATTTCCCCAGTCCTACACCTAAGTCGAGCCCTGAAGACTTGGAAGCTCAAGCAGCGGAGACTATTCAGTCTCTGTCTTCATGTGTTCTGGTCAAAGGACCATCTGGTGTCACATGGAGCACCACCACCACCACAACCACCGATGCTGCTACTACCACTTCAAGTATTGTGGTCACTGGAGGACAGCTTCCTCAAGTAACTCAGCAGAATGCTGTTGTTTTAGCTACACCGTCTGTGAAGCCAATTGATCATGCCACAATTAGTCAGACTTCAGACAACAACGCCCAAGTGACTCACACATCTGGGTGGCCGGCCATTGTGACTGACCCAGACGAGTGCGATGAATCAGTTTCAGATCTGTTAGCTGAAGTTGAAGCAATGGAGCAAAACGGTTTGCCCTCTTCACCCACCTCAACGTTTCACTGCGATGACGACGATGATTTGACAAAAGGGCCAGAAAAAGATTTCTTCAACCCCGTGGCACGCATGTCCCTCACATCTGAGACATGTAGAATGGATGTCTCTCAGGCGAGTATTCTCGACAACGTCTCTTCCGGGAAAAGCTCAATGGGCACAGAAGCAAAAGTCAACATTCCCTTCAGCCACTGCACAACCGCTGGTCCAGAGCTCCTGCTATTTGCACCACCACCACCAGCGCCAGCGTCAATAAGGCAGGACCTGACTCTAACAACAACAGCTCTCAGGCTGGGATCAGAAACCACAGTGGATGCCGGACCAGTCGAGAGGCTTCACAGGTCAGTTTCGGGAGTAGGTCTGGAACCGAGCCCGAGGTCATCATCATCCCATGACTCAGGCCGTGGAAACACGGAGCGCAGTCGCAGTCCACGTGGAAGTCACCAAAGGAGATCCGGTGGGCAGAGCAGAGACAGAGACAGAGAGAGAGACCGGCAATGGTGGAGTAACGGTCACAACAGTAGCTTCAACAACAGGCATGATAATCATCATCGGCAATGGCCATACAGCAGTAGCCACGGGTATGACCATGGACCAGGTTCGTACGCAGCTCATCCGCCCAAAGGGCTGAAAATCTGCAAATTCTATGAGAGTGGATACTGCAAAAGAGGTGCTTCTTGCAGTTTTTGGCACCCTTGATTTCTCATTTCTTGGATTTTTGTATTTATTTCTTTTTATTTAACACATCCCGAACATCCCTTTTTGTAACACCAAAGTGCCCATACATTTATTTAACACATCTCTGTCGAACATCCTTTTCGCTCATCAACACAGCAAAAGTTCTTGTGCCTCTCTAGATCTTGACACCTAAGCATTTTTAAGTGTTTTGGAGATGACACCTCAGCAGCCAATCAAAACATTTTAATTAATATAGCTCAGCGTTTTTTTAACCACATCAACCTATTGTCTCTCGCACTAAAACGCATCACTTCATCAACAAAATTTGCAAAATCGATTTCGGTAATCGATCCTTCGTCGCTCAGGAAAAGAATTTTTGATGGGTCGTTCCTCTGTTGTCTAATCCTTATGTTCATCACTCCCAAAGTTCCTCTTAATTCCTTTTGTCACCACGTCTTCGCCGATAAGCGCAATTTCATGGGTATCTCATACACACACTCACTCTCTTTACCTCTATCTCTCTGTCTGTCTGCCTGCGTGTAATAACGACATGTGTTTTGTGTTGAATTGATAGAACAGGAGTGCCAAATACAATGAATGTGATGACCAACTTCCCCTTTCTTATTATTGGTGTTCATGGTTTCGTTCTTTGCATTGGAGGAAGCTTCTTCAATATAAGGTGCTTCTCTCTCACTCTCTCTATCTCTCTCTCTCTGAGTAATCTAGATTGCTTATGATAGCTCAATTATATGTAATCCAGTTTGAAAGGTGAAATCTGGGATACACTGTTCTACGCAAGCATTGCAAGTATAAACATAAACAAGATTGTTTCTTATAAAAGAATTTAGTCTAAGTTAAACTTTTTTTTTTGAAAAATCTCTTCATCTGAGTATGTGACAATTTAGAATCGATAATCCAAGTTGCATCTCTTGTCTTTTTTTTGTTGTTGTTGTTAAAGGCCTGCATCTTTTGTTATTTATTACTCAAGTAAGACTTTTTAATGCTTCTAACTACACTCAATTGTTTTACATTTAGATTTTTTACATAATCTAATTTTAGATAATTCTATATTCAAATAAATAACTGCTTCTGGTTTTTTTCCAATGTATAAAATAAAAGTAAATGATATTTTAATTAAATTTTGTTTTTCCAGTTTCATTTCGGACAATAAAATTAAGAAAACAAATGTAATCCTCTCTTGTACAGATCGATAATTTCAGAGCTTCGGAACGACCACCGAACACAATCAAACAACATATCTATAACAATCTTCTTTGGGCCTAGGCCTAATAGTAAACCATTTTAGTTTAATAGGAAAAGTTAAGTAATATCTTTAATTAAATTAATTCAAACATAAGAAACAATTAAATTATATTCTCTCGCAATATATAATTGAAAGGGTTTGTGACACTCTCCAGCTGATGACACAAAAAGTGCCAGGTCAGCCTTTTCCCATATATTACACGAAATCCACAAAACATTTGTTTTTTCTTGCTGTTGAGCTCCAAAACTTTTGACCTCGTTTTCTTATAAAAAAAAAAAAAAAATCTTCACACATGTTTTCTCCGTCAAATCAAATCGTCCCTCTTCGGCTGAGACTCTCCACATCCCTCCCTCCACCGTTACAGAGGTTAATGGCCGCCTTTAACTCACGCCTTCTCACCTTCAATTTTCCTCTTCCGGTATAGAAACCTTTGTATATACACATATCCCCTTTGTCTCATCTCCACATTCGGCACACCTCTTCCACTTTCTACCGATGAATTCTCTGCAATTACACTACTCTCTTCACTTCCTCCGTCCAAACCACCGTCTTCGCTCCTCTACCACCTTGACTTCCCACTTTCCCGGGAAAATCAATCTCCGTGAAAATTCCAGAGTCGGAGCCAAGTCTAGCTCCTTCAATTGCTTCGCCCAATCCGAGACGAAGGAATCAAGTTTCAGAAACGGAGAAAGTTCAGCTGAGAAAGAAGAACCGGAACGTCCTCCGTTCGATCTCGCCGTCATACTTGCTGGTTTCCAGTAACTTCTTAATCACTCTTCTGAAGAAAATTCTATACCTTGTAATGGTTTTTGATTTTTTTTTTTTTTTTTTTCTATCCGATTCTCAGGAAAATATCGGGAAACGAGAGGTTAATGCAGCTGGGTGTAATACTATATTACTCTCTACCTTTCTGAGTATGTCTCTCTTTTTGGATTTCTTTTTGGCTCCAGTTTTCTTATCCTCTATTGTTTTCAATCAGGTTGTACGGTTAGTATTTAGTAGCTTATCCATTTGCTTTGATGGTTCCAAAATCCATTAGGTAGGATCAGCGGGAGAATATATGTAAATGAGCTGAGAGACACGCTTTTGAGCCTTGGCTTTTCAGTTTCTCTTGTGATTTTGGATCTGCTGGTTTCCAGGTTTGACAAAACCGGAGGCAAGAGCAAGGCCATCGAATATGACAGTTTCCAAGTTATGCTCTCTCTCTGTCTTTTCGTCTTCATGCTATGATCGTTGCTAATTAAATGTCATCTGATTTGCTTAACATTGATGCAGGTGCTGTCTCACTGTTAAGGTACGCTCTATCATTCACTTTATCGATGTCTCATCCTACATAAGTGCTTTTAGGTCAAATGAGTCTGAAATCGTGTTAGTGTTTTGGGAATTACTCCTAGGGAAGAGTTCAACTCAAACTTATCTCCTCAACATGAATATCAAATTCCATTTTGTTAAATCAATATGTTGTTGTTTGATTAATCTTCCGTAAGATCTGCAGATTCTGTACGTAATTAGTTTATTGATTTGATAAAATGATGGTGGGGAATGTGCAGGGACTGACAGAGAAGTTCAAGGAGAATGACACAAAATACTCAGGCTCTGCTACTTTCACGTATGAGACCTTCATGCTCACTGTCCTCCCCTTCCTCATCGCATAAGGTGGTTACCTTTTATAACTACTACTTTCTTTACCGGATTTGATTTCGACAAGACTACGACCTCTAACAGTTCAACGTTTCCCAAATGGTTGGTTAAGATGAAACGATTTACTCATAAACAACCTTGCCAAATCATACGTTAGTACATTGTCTAGAAGATTCTGCTTTCCTTGGGATTTAGAGAAGAATGTTACTGTTTTTATTCGAATTTTGGTTATTTTTCCATAAATTTTGGTCACAATATTTCACTCACCATTGTTTATCTCTCTCTTTCTTATCAGAGTGATGAGTATTTTGTTGTTTATATCTACCTGTCATTGGTTTTTGTCACATGTAAGCCTTTTTCTTCGGATTTTTAACAAAATTTGGAGAAAGAAAAAAAAAAAAGCTTCTTTCGGTTTTGAAATATCAACTCTTTTTGGGTGTTTTTCTTGCTGCAAATTTCTTCTTCCAATTTCATCAACCTTTTCTTGAAGAATAAGCTTTGCCTGATTTGCCCTATATTTGGTGCGTCTGAAGTCTGAACAATGAGTCAGTGGTTAAAGATATTTCGTTTTTGAGGTCAGAACAATTCTTTTATTGCAGGAAGAATAGCTGAAGGTCAAAGAACAATGTTGTAGTTTTGTGAATCATGTCTTGATTCCAGTATATACTTGTTCTCCAATACTTGTAATTAGCGTCTATCAAACCTGGTTTCACATAATACATCATTTTTGACCCCGATTATGTGTTCTTCGAGACAATTTTTGGGTTCGTGGATGACTGCCCTGTGAATACTCCCACAACAAGAAGATAAGATTCTTCCCCATCAAGCCTTCAAAAATGGTCAAATACTCTAACTCCAGCCCAACACAAACTACGTTAGAATATTAACATTAGGCCTATTATTGTTCTCAATTCAAATATTACAATTGGACTAGGTGGGCCATATATGTACACATTTTTGGCAATCATTTTTTAAACTCAATATATTCATTGATCCCTTACCTAAACACATGCGCTGCGCAAAATCAATCTAGAAAACCATTGAAAACCAAATTTCTAGAATAATATACCCGCGCTTAGGTAGCGCGGGTTTTCTCCTAGTTATATTTAAAAGATTGTAATGCTTTGCAATGAGAAAGTAGGATATGAAGGAGCTCGTGTCCTCTCTAAAATTCCTTTTAGCCTTTTTGGGGTCTATTTATTATCTTTATGGGTCTCGGCCCAATAAATCTATTTGCTAACATTTAAAAACAGCCTTATGAATATTCGTCTTCGGAGACAAAAGGAGGAAAATGGGAGCAATGAAATTGGATTTTGGAAATTGAAGGGCACCGCCGTAATAGATTACCCGGGAGCAGATCGGAGAGCCTGAAGATGAGCGTAATATAGAGAGACAGAGAGAGACTCCGAGGAAGATTAAGAGATAGATAGAGATATTGAAAGGTTCGCGATGAGTGAAGGCTCGAGCGGAGAAGTAAAGAGAACGGTAATGGAAGAAAAATCGGAACAGCAACAAGGGAGAGCATCTCTGGAGAAAGGAAGATCGTGCAAAGGCTATCTTTATTACTCCTCCACTCTCAAATCCAAGGCTAAGAACCCCCGCTGCGTCGGAATCCCTCGTACTCTTCGTCAAGGTAATTGGACCTTTTCTCTGTTTTCTCCAAAGCTGGATTTGATTGATTGATTGATCGCTGGGTTGCTCAAATTTTCCGAAATAGCATTAACGACTGCTTCTGCTACTGCTAAGGTTCCTGAATCCACCACGTAGCTCTCTTCTTGTAATTGATTACTGCCCAGGCCATGAAAAAATTGGATTTCTCATTGCGGATTGACGAAACTGGTTGAGCTAATCTGATTGTTGATTCTATAATTCAGAATTATCCCTCTAGGCTATGTTTAATTGTTTGTTCACTTTTTCACGACAATTGAATCAACTTGAAGGGAAATGTGCTTTTGCTTTTCGTTTACTTGTTCTCTTTCTTTGCATATAGTGTGATACAGACTACGGTAATGATATTTCATGAATTTTCAGTTCCTGATTACGTTGTTGGACAATCTGAAGCTGAAGCTTCTAAAGAAGGACGAACCTTGGCGGATTTTTACTACGGCTGTTTGGGTTATTCAGTCTACATGACTGAAAAAGATTCATCTGCAATGAAGCAGCCTACAAAGACGCAGCTTCCCGTTTGTGTTGGCCTTGAGGTTTGTACACTCATCACTTTCCTCTAAATCCATTTTTGTTGCTCCGAAAGTCACATTAGACTATTTGGTTTCCTTTCTACTTCTCGTTTGTTGGTGTGTGTGTGTGTGTGTACACATTATTTTGAAGAAACTTTTAAATTCTGCAAAAACTTGATGTATATTGCGAGATCGGTAATCTTCACTGCCTTTAAAGAGCAATATGGTTTAATGATTACTATTTGCAATCTCTAATATCAAATTCGTATGTCCATGTAGATACTAGCAGATAGAAGAGCGACTTCTAGCAACACTTCACCTGTGCCAGCCCGTGTTCAAAATAGAAATGGTGCTCGTACTGGGGATCCATTTGGTGTAGATCCTCGGGATCACCTGAACCAGAACCGGAAACCATCCCCAGCCCGATCACCAGCCCCACCCCCAGCCCCAGAAAACGGCTTTGTAACCAGGTAACCAAAAGAGATTTTGCTTTAGCTCGTGACAGTCTCTTAAACGCCTAATTGATTGTCATGCCTCATGCCTGCAAGGAAATGATACAAATCTGAACCTACAGATCCTTTTTATGACCATTGTAACTGCACTAGTTAGATTAACCTATAGTCAGTCCTATCTAACACACAACATTCATTCATTTTTGTGGGAATGTATCAGGTTCAACAGAAACGCAAACCTGGTGGCATCAGGGGTGATGAAGAACCTGAAGAGAGTGGGTAACTATGTCAAAGAGACAATGGAAGAGTCCATGGACCCATATCGAAAGCGACCAAAATGAAGGAGCAACTGTTTACATTATATATGTGGAGAGAAACCAAAAAGAAAGAGAAAAAAGCACAGGTGACAGACGAGAGAGGATATGAATCTTATTTGACACTTTCTCCTCTTCATTTCTCCAAATAATAAGATATCTTAAAGCAGCCCATGTACCAAAGTGATTAGCTACGACTTCTACGAGAACAGTAATGTGTCCACCTTTCTCAGTTTTGGTTTTTACTGATATACAATCTTCATTTGCAAAATGGGGTACAGTTTTATTCCTGATGAGAGAATTCTTAGATAAATTTTAGAGTGATTCCGATCGCCAAGTCTTTTTGTTATGTATAAACTCTTTTGTTCTTGCAGCATTACTCATAAGTCATAACCAGGTAAGCTCATTAAATTAAAAAAAAAAAAAAACATTGATGAATAATAACATGGTTTTAGTTTGGGAATTTAAAGATAATTAAGCACATGGACTAGAGTTAAATGGAATATTCAAAAAAAGATTAACCAACGTGAATTGAGTTGGGAAACGTGCCCAATGAGGAAAGACCAATGCTCTACGCTTATTCAATCGTCGTCGTCCGTCTGTTTCTTTTAATGGTGCGGAGAGGTCTTAGCGGTTTCAATGGGAAAGAAGCAGACTTTAATAACACCAAAAACAGAATATCCATAAGAACAAATCCTCACCAAACCCATCTTCAAAGTTTCTTCCTTTTTCCCATTTCTCTCATCTTTTGACCTTTCGCGGAATTTCATTTGCATGCTTAACCGATCCGGAAACTCTTGTGTTCATCATCACGCATTCTTCCAACCTCTTTTCCCGATCTGATTGAGTTCTGGTTCCAATTTGCAAATCAATTTTTGGGATTTTTCAACCTTCGATGGCCGCTTACGCGAATTATCTTCGGTTGGCACGACTTGGAACCAGTTCGGGTTTAAATTTGTCGACTTTCAGATCAATTGGTTCTCCAAATCCGACATTTGAAAGGTCTCTGTTCGATCACCACGAGATTCGCTCACCATCTTCTTCTTCTTCGTCGTTACTATCATATTCTCCGTACAGACAATCCCACGCCAGATTCATATCTCAACTTATCAAAACCAATGGGAAACGTGTCCATCTCGTCGATACACTCGCTTTGGTAATACGCACAACCTTTTTTATTGATGTCTCATTGCTTTGAATTGTCTTTTATATCCTAGTTAATTCCTAGGCAAGATTGTGAAAAAAAAGGATTGATTTTTGAAATGAGACACTAAGATGGTTACATAACATTCCAGACCGGAGTCATCGAATGCACATGTCTGGTCTTTGTTTTTAGATATTGTCTTAATAACAGTATAGCTCAAAGGAAGAGTTTGGAATGTGAATTTCAGGTAAGGAGCTTAGAAGCACAGGGCCTGCCTTCAAAGCAAGCAGAGGCAATAACAGGTGCTATAACTGATGTTCTGAATGATAGCTTAGGAGTTGTTTCTCAGTTGGTTGTTTCCAAGGGAGAGATGCAGAAAGTAAGTTTCTATATTGGTGGAAAATCTGTTACAAGGCTATGCTGTTTAAAAGCTTGCCCTAACTTTGATCCTTTATGCTTCTGGTAGGCTGAAATGACGCAGGAATCAAACTTATCCACGTTCAAAAGTGAAATTAACAGTTCACTGGTAAGCTTTGTTTTCACTTTTTTAAGTGTATAGCTTCTCTTCTACCTTTTATAGTGGAAGCTTTATTCTGAAAGATTGTTGAAACAAAATACGGTTTTTATGTATAGGACCACCATTTCTCTTTGCTGCAACACGAGAATGAGAAACTACGCAATGACATAGAGCGAATCCGCGCTGATATAAGGTCAGCTTACTAATAAATAATCTCTATGTTTTGATTTGCTATAGGCCTATAGTCTCAGTGCAGTGACTAATACAACAATTACAATGTTAGGCATGAGATCGACAAAGTCACAGCAGGACAACGGTTGGATTTGAATCTTGAAAAAGGGTCAGAGAAACCGCTAACTTTCCCTGTTCATTAGCCTGTTCTTAGGTTACGAATTTTAACAATTCGTTGTGGTATTTTTCAATAATGTGGTGCAGGAGGATAAGAGATGAGCTAACAAATCAAAAGTCTGAAACCTCTAACCTTACAAACAAACTTGACCGTGTTAGTATTTCTCATCTCTTGTTTATGTGCATTTGCATCAGAAGAGTTTATGTTTATGTTTTATCTGTTTTTCAACCTCTCAGGAGATTCACACTTTAAGAGCTCAGTTAGAAGCGGCCAAGTACGAGGTGATCAAGTACTGTATCGGAACACTTGTCTCCATCTCAGCCGTCGGTCTTGCTGTTCTCCGGATCGTCATGTGACTCTCCATCGGACGGTGCCAGTTGACCAACTCATCTTTGCTGTTTTTTTTTTTTTCAAACTCTGGGATGAAAACTTGGTCTGCTCTGTCTCCATCTTGTGAATGATTCGTATGTTTAATGTAATCTTATTTCCTTATATTATATGGAAGAAAGAAAACGAAAGAAAGAATAACCATGTCTATGAGATTTGCCATCAACGTATATGATGATGATGTGTTTGTTAAAAATGTTCTTCAGATAACGAACCAAAGCGGGCCTACCAAATTTATATTATACTTGGGCCTAAATCTAGGCCCATAAGATAATAGAGCTATTATGAGTCTGCATTTATCCTCACAAGACGATAATACCATGCAAAGAAAATGATTTTAGATCCAACGGCTGCGATGCGATGATGAAAGCAGCACTGAGAGGAAAGCGTGACTGGAGCAGGAAATGCACGTGGTGTACTTTTTTTCATAAAAGTGTTAAAACAAAAATCAGTGTTGCGGTTCAAAAACATGAACTATACATTCTTTGGTTTATCCCCAACGTCTACAAAATTAGGTGAGTTCGAGTGTTCTTGTGACTACTACTTCAATTTTCTTTTTTGTAAAATACCTAATGACTATAGAGAGACAGAGAGAGACTCCGAGGAAGATTAAGAGAGATAGAGAGATATTGAAAGGTTCGGGATGAGTGAAGGCTCGAGCGGAGAAGTAAAGACAACGGTAATGGAAGAAAAATCGGAAAAGCAACAAGGGAGAGCATCTCTGGAGAAAGGAAGATCGTGCAAAGGCTATCTTTATTACTCCTCCACTCTCAAATCCAAGGCTAAAAATCCCCGCTGCGTCGGAATCCCTCGTACTCTTCGTCAAGGTAATTGGACCTTTTCTCTGTTTTCTCCAAAGCTGGATTTGATTGAACGCTGGGTTGCACAATTTTCCGAAATAGCATTAATACCTGCTTTTGCTATTGCTAAGGTTCCTGAATACATATCACAACACGTAGCTCTCTTCTTGTAATTGATTACTGCCTAGGCCATGAAATCATCTATAACATGAAAATTTGGATTGACGAAACTTGTTTGAGCTAATCTGATTGTTGATTCTATTATTCAGAATTATCCCTCTAGGCTATGTTTTATTACTTGTTCACTTTTTTCACGACCATTGGATTAAACTTGAAGAGAAATGTGTTTTTGCTTTTCGTTTACTTTGTTTTTTCTTTGCATATAGTAATGATACTTCATGAATTTGCAGTTCCTGTTTACGTTGTTGGACAAAAAGAACCACAAACCTTGCCGAATTTTTATTACGGCTGTCTGGGTTATTCAGTCTACATGACTGAAAAAGACTCTTCTGCAATGAAGCAGCCTACAAAGACACAACTTCCCTTTTGTGTCGGTCTTGAGGTTTGTACACTCTCATCACTTTCCTCTAAATCCATTTTGTTGCTCCGAAAGTTACATTAGACTATTTTGGTTTCCTTTCTGCTTTTCTTTTGTTGGTGTGTGTGTGTGTGTGTGTGTACGCATTATTTTAAAGTCAGTAGCAAATTCCGCCAAAACTGGATGTATATATATTGCGAGATCGATAATCTTCACTGGCATTAAAGAGGAATATGGTATTATTAGTACTATTTGCAATCTCTAATATCAGATTCGTATGTCCATGTAGATGCTAGCAGAAAGAAAAGCGACTTCTAGCAACACTTCACCTGTTCCAGCCCGTGTTCAAAACAGAAATGGTGCTCGTACTGGGGATCCCTTTGGTGTAGATCCTCGGGATCACCTGAACCATAACCAGAACCAGAAACCATCCCCAGCCCCAGCCCCAGAAAACGGCTTTGTAACCAGGTAAGCAACAGAGATTTTGCTTTAGCTTGTGACAGTCTCTTAAACGCCTAATTGATTCTCATGCCTGCAAGGAAATGATACAAATCTGAAACTATATGACCATTGTAGTTAGATTAACCAATAATCAGTCCTATCTACCATAAAAAGCCATGTATGATAGTCATAGAATGGACATTGTTGATTTGTTTCTAACACACAATATTCATTCATTTTGGTGGGAATGTAACAGGCTCAACAGAAACGCAAACCTGGTAGCATCAGGGGTGATGAAGAACCTGAAGAGAGTGGGTAACTATGTCAAAGAGACAATGGAAGAGTCCATGGACCCATATCGAAAGCGACCAAAATGAAGAAGCAACTGTTTACATTATAAAATGTGGAGAGAAACCAATAAGGAAAAGAAGAAAGCACAGGTGACAGACGAGAGGATAGTAATCTTCTCGACACTTTTTTGGATTCTCCTCTGGATTTCTCAAAAATAAAAAGCAACCCAAAGAATGGTTCAATTAATATCTTAAACTAGCCCATGTACCAAAAGTGATTAGCTACGACTACAAGAAACAGTAATGATGTGTCATTGTGTCTACCTTGCTCAATTTTGGCTTTTACTGATATTTTCATATGCTACATTTTTATCCCAGATGATAATTCTTAGATAAGTGTTAGACAATTCCGACTTTTGTTATGTGTACTCTTTTTCCTTGATGATGGAAGATAAGCTTGCAACTTTACTCAAGGATGATGTGTTTGTGGAACATGTTCTTCAGATAACGGACCAAAGCGGGCCTACCAAATTTATGTTATACTTGGGCCTAAATCCAGGCCCATAAGATAATAGACTTATTATGAGTCTGCATTTACCCTCACGATATAACAAGACGATAATACCTTGCAAAGAAAATGATTTTAGATCCAACGGCTGCGATGCGATGATGAAAGTAGCCATGAGAGGAAAGCGTGACTGGAGCAGGAAATGCACGTGGTGTACTTTTTTTCATAAAAGTGTTGAATAAATATCACAGTGTTGCGGTTCAAAAACATGAACTATACATTCTTTGGTTGGGGTTGTTCAAAAAAAATAAAAAAAAAATACATGCTTTGGTTTATCCCCAAAGTCTACAAAATTAGGTGAGTTTGAGTGTTGTGTTGACTACTACTTCAATTTTCTTTTTTGTAAAATACCTAATGAATATGAAAGATTCTCGCAGTCTCTGGCTTGTATTTTATCGGTAAGTTTAAAAGAAAAAACGTAAAGCGAACCAAAGGAAATAATGTGGAGACGAGAATGTGGCACAGTCACATGTATTGTTGCGTCAAGTGATCTCCCAGCGAGTTTGGGCACACGACTCGAGAAGAACGTTACCTAAACAATTTGTCTTTATAACTTTTATAACTCTATTAAAAAAAATATATACTTCAATGTTATGTGGGAATCGTTATAAGGGCTTACTTTTATGTTACGAAAGTTAGTGATGATGGAACTAACTAATTAGACTATGGACCATAAACAAGCTAAAAGCTAGAGCTGGAATGTGTGAATGCAGTTGAATCGGGTGGAAAATGCTCCTCACGTGACTCCCACGCCTCTCTTTTGGTGTTTCTTCTTTTTGAGTTTCAATGATTGCATATCAGTGCATCACTTAGGTTTGCTAATTATCTATCATGTCTATAAACTAACGAATTTTTTTTTTTTCACTCTAACTTTTTTTATCTTCTTTTTTTTTTTTTTAATACATGTAATATATAAATCTCCCATAAAATGAACTTGGAATCTGGGCCAATACAGGGATAATCGAATAAAAATGCAGAAATGGGCTGGAAATAGAATTGACTAGCCCAATTTTCACCTAAACCCTAGCTAGAACGCAAACGTAAACGCCCAGGCAAAAACGCAAACGCAAACGCTTAACAGGAAAAAGTAGATCTGAGAAAAGTGTCGGGAAAAAGATTCTCTTTTCCTCCTCGACCTCCGCCGGCGGACACGAGACCAGAGCTCACCCTCGCCGCCTTGGGGCTCCAAGAAGAACGGTTGTCCAATTCCGTCCACCCAGTCCTTCCTCAGCGTTGAATCGGACCCCTTTACTCACCGACAAAGGCAAAGAAGAAGACCGAGCCTCCCACGGCCAAAACGCCGACCTCCACCGGAGACGACTCACTGAAACCAGACTACCTCCGATGCTCAACCAAGCTTCACCGCACACATCTCCGCCACTTCCACGCGACACTCCACTTCAATCCGGTCAGAATATTCCACCGCCGTTGACAAGCAGAGCCACCGCCGTGGGGAACCGCCATCCTTAAGCCAGCTCCACCGTCACAACGGAGCTTCCTCCGACAGAGACACATCCCTCCAATCCGGCTAACACAAACGACACCTCTAAGCCTTGGCCGATCTTCTTCTGATTACCGGCGTTGAGCAGTTCGCCGTCCTCAAACGAACCAGCTACCACCAGATCTCATCTGAATCTCAAACGCCTACGCCATGGAGCTTCCGCAGCCGCAAGTTTCACCGGAAAAACCACACCTCGTATCTCGGAGAAGTATCAATCGCCAAACCTTTCGAGCCCACCGTCTAACCCAGATCCCGACCATGAAGCTCATACTATCTAATCGGGTGGGAGGTCCCCTCACGACACCGGCGAAGAGCACCGGACGCCGGAGAAGACCTCAAAAAGAAAGGATGAAAAAACGATGAAGCGGAGAAAATGAGAGAAGAATCGCTCGCGCGTGACTTCACTCGCGACGATTCGCCAAAAAAACAAAAAAAAATCCAAAGAAATTTGGTACATATGAGTCGGTTTAATGTCAAAACCAAAGTGAATTTACTGTAAACTAGAAAAATAAACATCTTTCGAAAGTTTGTATTTTGTATGAAAATGTTCTTGTAGTTTCAAATGCCTACATAATTATATTCCCATGCTTAACTTTCCTTTTGCTCATTTGGTCAAAAGTTTCAATGAAGGTTTAGTAATTTGGTAATTATTGGAAAACATGTACATTTACATTACAATGTGGAATTCTTGAAACTAGGCACTTCAAATCTTTGGATTTTTAGGTAAACACTTAAAAGCTTAGTCAACACCAAAACCAATCGAGGAATAACTCTCAAGTTTATAGAAGTTTCGTAAATATAAATGAGTTTACAATTTTAGTGATGTAAGAGGTGGTAAGTCGTGCTAATCTCAAAGATATGGTCAACGAATGTCATTATAATACATAGTGCAGAAATTGACTATATTGCACGTCACTAAAAGTCGCATTCTGTCTCCAGAAATGCGCAGAGTAATAAATCAGTCACTCAGAAAGTGTGCCTAGTACGTTTGTTTAGCAATTTAAAATTTCAGTTGATGCTATGCCAATTTTATAACATGTAAATATTTTCAATTAGCAATGAACTTATCCTCACTGCCAATAATTATCTAACATAGTACAATATAACTAGAAAAGGAACCAAAGAGATGTTGAAATATCATTATCTAACTGAAATGATGAAGGAGATAATAGGTGTCGCTTATTGAAACTTCTAATGGTTTCATGTTCACTCCATGGTCCCATAACAGTAAAATATCCAAAATGTAAAGCTGCAACCAGAAGGAAAAAGGAGGAACCAAAGAGATGTTGAAATATCATTATCTAACTGAAATGATGAAGGAGATAATAGGTGTCGCTTATTGAAACTTCTAATGGTTTCATGTTCACTCCATGGTCCCATAACAGTAAAATATCCAAAATGTAAAGCTGCAACCAGAAGGAAAAAGGAGGCAAAAAAGAATTTTGAAAAACTGAAATTGTCACGCGAAACAAAACCCAAAATGTGAGTTTTAAAGTTTTGAAACCTGACCATTTTCTTAAAACTACTGCGACCAACACAAACAAAATCAACTTAAGAGAAAAAGGTCAAGACAAGAAATTGGTATTCCATAAACAGAGTTAATGAGAAACTAACTGAACCGGATCTGATCCCTAATTCTTCTCCTATGTTCTTCAAAAACTCGGCACAGCTTGAACCGTCTGAACCGGCTGTTTCAAACTGGTTTCATCATCAGCATCATCGGACGTCTCCTTCTTCCGACGCATTTCAACGACTTTACGGTGGTGGTTGGAGTGGAGCTCGCTCGAGAACGTTGGGCTACAAGCTGGTCTGTATTCGGGCAACAACCGACCCGATTTGAAACGCACACCACAGGCATTGCACAGCGTCTTCGCTCCCATTGGTCCTGCTCTCCACTGCGGCGTTTTCTGAACGCCACAATGACCACACCGCCGCGTTTGCGTCTGCAATTGCTCCTGACCCCTTTTCCAAATCGCCGACATTGAAAACCGACCCGATTTGAAACTCACACCACAGGCATTGCACAGCGTCTTCGCTCCTCCCATCGGTCCTGCTCTCCACTGCGGCGTTTCCTGAACGCCACAATGACCACACCGCCGCGTTTGCGTCTGCAATTGCTCCTCACCCCTTTTCCAAATCGCCGACATTGAAAACCGACCCGATTTGAAACTCACACCACAGGCATTGCACAGCGTCTTCGCTCCTCCCATCGGTCCTGCTCTCCACTGCGGCGTTTCCTGAACGCCACAATGACCACACCGCCGCGTTTGCGTCTGCAATTGCTCCTCACCCCTTTTCCAAATCGCCGACATTGAAAACCGACCCGATTTGAAACTCACACCACAGGCATTGCACAGCGTCTTCGCTCCTCCCATCGGTCCTGCTCTCCACTGCGGCGTTTCCTGAACGCCACAATGACCACACCGCCGCGTTTGCGTCTGCAATTGCTCCTCACCCCTTTTCCAAATCGCCGACATGGACGACTGCTTCTTCCTCTTCTTCTTCTGTCTTCTAACTTCTGGCTCGTCAAGAAACTCAGCGCCGGAGAGCCACAGAGGGCTTGAAGGACCAGATGAGGAAGACGACGATGTTGAAGAACTAGAAGACGACGAACCACAAGACCAGACGCTGACACCGGTTCTGGCTCGTTTGGTTCTGTTTCTAGCCGGAGGAGGTGGTTTGAAGCACAACTCCTCGTTAACCGGCGCTACAGGGTGTCTTCTGTCTCCGGTTAACCACGCCGGTTTCTTCGTCGGAGCAGCAGAACACGGTGTGAAAGAGTCATCCACGAAATTCGATAGCCATTCAAGCTCCGCTAAATCATCCATCTAACAAAGAAGACAATGGGAGATTAAAGATGGGATTTTTACATTCGATTTTATCAAAAACTGAAGTTAGAAACGAGTTAATTACCGGAACAGAGAGCTCGCTCGTCGGAAGAGGACCAATTTCTTCAGCGGCGGTGGAGAAATCATTGCTCGGGTGAATGGTATATTCGTCGTTTAGGGAAACAGAGGCGGCTCCTCTATTTCGTTGAACCTTCAAGTCAGTCTCATCCTCAACGAAAACGTCGCCGTTTGAGAAGTCGAGCAAGTCGTCGACCGAGAAGTCGTCGCCGTTTTGAGCGCTTCCTCCATTGACGGCGTTCTCATTCCGGTTACTGTCCTTCAACCCCAATTCCAGACTTTCCATTTCCTATCAAAAACCCACCAAGTTTATCACATAAAGCAACCTAATTTCTTTTTGACTCGGAGGAATTTCAAACTCACCAAACAAAAACTGAAAATTATCGTGAAATAAACGTCAAAAAATAAATAAAAACCGTTTCTTTTTTACCAATTCAAAGAGAAAACAAAATCAAACGAAAACCCAGAAATTTATCGCGCCTAGAAACCCACAAGACACGAGACAGAAACGATAAAAAAAGAGATTCCTTTATCTCTATGTCAATTTCGGACTTATCAGTACAATGTGAGGAGAAAACTGGAGGAGAAATTGGGAATACCTGAGACACAGAGAGTGAGGGAGACGAACTGTGGAGGAGATGTCGGTGAAGGAAGAGAGAAAGAGATGAAGAAGGAGGAGAGGAGGATGGTGGTGGTGTGAATTAGAAGAGGTGTGAGTTTGGTAAAGCATTGAATATGATAAGTGTGCCCAGTCTCTCTACTAATAAAAGTGCCCGTTTTCTCTTCTTTTTTTGTTTTGTTTCCTTCCTCTCTTATTTCTCAATCTTTCTTTTCTCGAGAACCAATTTAACAACAAAATTGCAAAACAAAACCCAGAAATTTTTTATATCATGAAAGAAGCCCAACAAAAACAAAATGTGTTAATTTAATACATATGTTTTCGATTGCAAGTCAGATTTAAATATAAAATTGACTCATCAAATTAACCAAAAAAAAAAATCATAATTGAAACTATAAATAAAAAAAATCCACAATGGCCATGTTCGTCTTCTAAATAATGCATGCAACACAACAATGCATGAGTGAAAAAAAACAAAAGGTTGCTGCTGCTTGCTTCTAAGGATTATGATTAAAGTTTCTTTTGAGTTAATATCAAAACTGAGAGTTGTTTTGTAGTCTTACTTCTGGTTAATTTAGTAGTCATTTTTTTTGAATTTTTTTTTTGTTCCCTAATTACCGTATTATTATCTATAAGCAAACTCCATCTGATTTGTATTCCTTAGTCCTTACACTGCTCCTAAAGTTAGACACATACAGTATCTTCCTTCAGGCAATGCCAATGTACGTACCGAGATCGTTCATAGATCATAAACCATGTTAAAATAAATGAAGTAGGAAATAAAATGTTCTAATTTAGTCTATAGTCTAACAAGACTAACACTAGTACTTTTACTGACATTCTTTATCCACCAATTCTTCAACACAAAATCTGATTAGTTCAAAATGACATTCTTTATCCACCAATTCTTGAACACTAATTAGCAAAACAATATATTTTGTTTCACGTTAGTAATTTAATATAGATAACATTAAGGATTTTATTTGCCTTAAAAGAAAAAAAAAATTTAGTCTACACTAAGATTATTTGGTTTTTCATCTCCATCATGAAGATTATTTGACTTTTTTTTTTTACTTTTCATATTGGGTATATACACATACACTTCCACCCTTTCTCAATACCGAAACATATTCACTACAAGAAAACAGTCATTTTGCAACGAAATTTTACAACGAATTTATTTCGTCGCAAAATAACATCAATTTAGCGTCGATATTACGACGAAACACAACATCGTTGTAAATTCGTCGTAAATCGGGACGATCAGCAGTCGAAGTAAATTCGTAGTTAAATAGCGACGTTGTTGCGACGAATTAACAACGTTTATATGTTTCGTTGGTAAATCGTTGTAAATTTACGACAAATTGACAACTACCGTATTTCATAGGTAAATACCGTCGAATTACCAACAAGATAAAGACGTAAAGATTTTCGTAGTTAATCTGTTGCTAAATGCCGATGTAAATAGCGACGTGTTAGCGGCATAAGGTTCTATAGTCGCTCTAACATTGTTAATTCGTAAACCTAAACCCTAAACCCTAAAAACAACTTGTTACACTCAATTTTTCAATTACCAACCTAACCAATAACAAATGATAACTTTTTCATGTTTAATCCAAGTAAACGTAAGTTTCGAACATTACAAAGAAAATGAACAAGTGTTTCTTATAGTATAAGGTTTACTATATGTCATCTTAGAGGATTTCTTATAATTTATGATCTTTTCCAAATATGTTGTTGTATTTTGTCAATACAACTTCTTTTATAGCTCCTACTTACATTTCTCATACGAGTAAAGGAACGTCTAACAGTTTAGGGCAAATTTAGGGTTTAGGGTTCATATTAACAACGAATTTCTGACGAGTCGTCGTAAAAATGAAGCAAAATCGTGTCAATTCTTAAAATGTTTTCTCGGATGAAATTGAATTATAATATTATGTGGTCCCTGTTTAGCAACGAATTAACGACGATTTGGGACACGTCATTGTAAATTTGTAGGTAATAAGTATGAAAAATTTTTAGCGATGAATTAACAACGATTTCTTAGTAATCGTTGTTAATTCGTTGGTAATTAACGACGAATTAACAAGGACATCAAAAAATGGAAAAAATAATTCCCGCGTGCGGGAAAACGAAATTTTGCGAAAAAATTTAGCGACGAATTTACGACGATTACCAAGAAATCGTTGTTAATTCGTTGGTAATTAACAACGAATTACCAAGGGACATCAATTAATGGAAAATTTTAATTCCCGCGTGCGGGAAAATGAAATTTTGCAAAAAAAATTAGCGACGAATCAACAACAATTACCAATAAATCGTTGTTAATTCGTTGGTAATTAACGACGAATTACCAAGGGACATCAAAAAATGAAAATTTTAATTCCCGCGTGCGGGAAAACGAAATTTTACGAAAAAAATTAGGGACGAATTTACGACGATGCATACATATCATCGGAAATTCGTCGCTAAATAGCGACGCTGTTGCGAGGAAACAAAATTCTATATAAGGGATCCTCACTTCTTTCACACTTCCATCTCCCTTTGATTCTCATTTGCAACTCTCTCTTCTCACCGATCCTCTCTCACCCGCCGGATCCTCTCTCTCCCGCCGACCCTCTCTCTCTCTCCGCCAAGCCTCTCTCTCCCGCCGGACCTCCCTCTCTTCGCCGCCCCTCTCTCTCCCGCCGGACCTCCTTCTCTCCGCCAACCCTCTCTCTTCCGCCGGACCTCCTTCTCTCCGCCGGCCCTCCCTCCATCGATACTCTCTCGGATTATTAGTTATTATATTATTATTATTTTTTATTTTTTTTTAAAGAAAATATAATCGTCGCAAATACGACGCAAATAAAATAGTAAAATAACGACTTTCGTCGTTAAATCGAAGCAAACTTATTACAGCTTTCGTTGTTAAATCGTTGCAAATTTGCGACGATTTAACAACAAAATATTACCGACTTAAAATTTCCGACGTTTTTTTGATGTAAATTTGGCGTCGAATTGAAGCCTCCTTGTAAATCCGTTAAAGGTTACGACGATTTTACGATGTTTAGGTTGCGACGAATTAACGACGATTTTTTTTTCGTTGCTAATTAGCAAGGAATTAACGACGATAGGTCATTAGCGTCGATAGCTTAACGACGATTTCGAATTCGACGCAAATCCGATGCCAAGGTCGATTAGCAACGATTTAACAACGTTTTCGGCCTTTGCAAAACGCATGTTTTCTTGTAATGATTTGAGTTTAGGCTGTTTAGAAATTATGAAATTCGATGCAAAGTAAATGGAATGATGCTTTTATATAAAGGTGTTGATTCGGCACTTGGATGAGGCTCTATGAAGCTTTTGAAGATATTTGGTGATTCTCATCTTCTCTTTGTTGTTTAACTTTTTTCTCACGGTGAATAACCAAGTCAAGACAGCTCAACTTCTCCATGAAATGTCTAAGTTGCTCCAACTCAGCAAATCGACCATCTCGAAGGCAAATGTCTAAGAATTCGATTGGTAATTCCAATAGAAAGGAATACTCTGACACACACCTGCACACCGCAGCCGGCTTCATCTTTAGAATAGTGCAGTCCACCCTTGATGACGAGTTTCTTCAAATTAGGATTCTTCTTTAGCAAAGAAGATAGAAACAACCTCCATTAATGTTATGTCCTCATGCACAATTTTTAGATGATATAGATCTTTGAACAGAAACTGTACAATCTAAGCTCCCAAAGAAACTCAAGAAGAGAAAGCCAGTTATGAGTTATGACGGTTCAACAGAATACGTTGAATACATTGACTTATGTTTCCCCGAAGAATTGCAAAAGACAAATCTCAAGATTCTTGAAGCTGCTCATAAGTGGAAAAAACAAAAGGTTGTTGATGCTTGCTTCTAAGGGTTACGATTAAAGTTTCTTTTGGGTTAATATCAAACTGAGAGTTTTTTTGTAGTCTTACTTCTGGTCAATTTAGTAGTCATTTTTTTTTTGAACTTTTGCTTTTGTTCCCTAATTACTGTATTATTATCTAAGCAAACTCAATCTGATTTGTATTCCTTACACTGCTCCTAAATTCAAAAAAAAAAACTTAGTTCATAGTATGTTCTTATCGGGCAAAAAAAAAGTTTTCTGATCATTGTGAAGGTTTTGTTTTGTTTTTTTTGTTTGGTAAAATGATCACCGTGCCTCACAAGTCACAATCAAAGATCATAAACAATGTTAAAATATATGAAGTAGGAAACAAAATGTTCTAATTTAGTCTATAGTTTAACAAGACTAACACTAATACTTTTACTGACATTCTTTATCCACCAATTCTTCAACACGAACAAGAATTTTTTGGACTTTATGATAAATGTATAATATAATACCGCTTCTGCTATTTCAATTTGCAGAAACCGTAAAACTAAGAAACCGTCTTTCAGGAAGAAGACTGAGTTGTATCTGGTCTCCAGAATCCTTTTTGGGCACTTAATATTCCTTCTTGGTGCTTGGAGAAGGTTAGATGAACATCCCAGTGAAGAGACTTCAACATATTCTCTACTTCTCTTATCACATTGGACTCGTCACGAACTATAAGCTTACCTCCTGGTCTTACGATTCTATCCACTTCTGCCATTACCGGAGCAAGATTGCACCTTCCAAATAGTAAGAAAAAGAGTTTAATTTTCAAAACTTGATGAAAATTATCAAAAGGTTGGAGATGACTATAATCTTCTCTCTTTTTTTTTTTTACCTTGCTTTCAACTTGGAGAAAAGATGATCTGCATGCAAGAGATCATAGCTCCGAGGGTATGTGCTAAAAGATTCACACCAGTCATGGTAAATTCCAAACAGTCCTCTCTCATAGATGATTGGTAACGTATCTGGTGAATTTATGTTGACTACATTCATCACCCACACATTCAAGTCCTTTAATGCTGCTGCAAACCTACATATTGACATAGTTTGGGGAAACATAAGATTAGTTTTGGACCTTTTGGTGAGTGAATTTTGAAATTTTTTGTTTGATCTATTTCTTGTAGATACTTACCCTCCGTAGACAGCTCGCATATCCATAACATTCCTCACATTAGACCAGCTGATTCCTATTTCATTCATGTACACTTTGCTCACAACATGCTTCCAATGTTCATAATCCGTAGTGAAATCTCTAGGAGCTGGTTTCCCATATATCCCCATTTGAGAGCTGTTTAGCCAGTAAGGAGGTGTTTGAAGCCGACGTGGCCAGTTCACAGGCCACTTACTCCCTCTCTCGACCACATTGGTGGGCACTTTATGCATGCATGCTTGTAACGGTACATACCTGAAAATTTGCATTCAAAGTATATATTGTCATTCTTTTATTCTACTAAAAGCTTTAAAGGTTTTTTCATTCTCTAACTCAACCAATCAATCATACCAGGCTGCATTAGCATCATCCTTGTCTTTGCACATTGGAGGTCTGTTTAGCCTTCTTTTCTCATAGCATTCATTTGTTATAGGTTTCTGGTAGATGGCAGCACCAACACCATTGAGTTTATCTCTGTTGATCGTCACAAGTTCCCAACACATTGACTTTGTCAACGCGGACATATCTACATAACTCAAAAACGTGTCATCAGGAACAAACAAAAAACACAAAAAAAAGGAGCAGACTTTTAGCTCAAGAAACCTTACCTTTCCAGATTTGAACATCTTCTTCAAGCTTCTGGTAAACCGGTGTTGCTGACCAGACAAAATAACCTCCTGGACGAAGCATCCGGTTTAGTTCCAGAAGAAGCATACCACCTTCATTGTGCCAAGGGACTCTGCAACGTGCACAGTGGATTAGGTCAAACACTCTGCTCGGGAACGGCAGTCTCTTAGAGCCCATCACCGCAGAGATAGCTGGAATCCTCCTCTCAAGAGCAAACTGGACTTGAGCCTCGTGTTCATCTTTTGGTGCAAGAGACATTGCTATAACATCTCTCTCAAATAGGAAACCGCCAAAGCTAGCAACTCCACATCCAACATCTAATATGACCCTAGTACGTTTACCCCACGCAATGTTTTTCAAAGCCTACAATAAGAAAAGAAAGAAAAAAAGAAGCATTAGATGAAGTTTTAACACCATCCTGAAACAAAGAAATGAGCTTCACCTGCTGAAGAAAGTCGATATAGTGGAGAGCTCCATGGATAAACTGTGTTCCACCACCGGGAAACGTCAAGAACTCTCCGGTGACTTTCACCCAGTTCTGATGTCCTTTAACCTCTGCTAGCTTTGTGTGTGGGACGTTGTGGTACCATATCTACTTGATAACACGAGAGGTTAAATTTTTATCCAGTTTCAGATTATTTCACTTATAGTAAAAAAATGATTTGGATAGAATCTTTTTTTTACCTTGTCTCTGCTTTCAGGCCACTTGATAGATTCTTTATACCCTTCTGGAAGAGAGACGAGACACGTTGGTGGGTCTTCTGGACAATGCCTCTCTCTGTGCTCAAAGTGTCTTCTACTCGGAAGTTTCTTTATAGCTTCTTCGTTGTCTAAGCATGGTATATAATCAGAACCTGCAGTTGCATTACACAACACCCATGTCTTTCCGTCCGTCATACCCTCTGCGTTGTTTGATTCAGATGTCTGTCTTTGTTTCTCGTCCTTAGATTCTGCTGCCTGACTCTTCCATGACTTCTGTGATTCTGCAGATTCTTTCGGTATTCCAGAGCCAAACCCACTTGCTTCTGAACCTTCTGGTTTTTTCTCTTCTTGTTGCTCCACATTCTCGTTCTTTGTTGTGCTCTGTTCTTCTCTGTTTCCGCTTTCAACCTCTGCCGTGTTATGCTCGTCTTGCTGTCCGTTTTCCTCGTTCATGCTCTTCTGCTCCTTCCCATTTTCGTCACTGACCGTGCTAGTCTCCTCGGTTTGTTGTATATCTTTCCCTGAGATTTGGTCGTCTTGTTGTTGTTGCTGTTGTTGTCCGTTTTCTTCATTCTTTGAGTTCTCTGATGTTACGCTCTGTCCCACCTCCATAGGTTGTTCTTGTTTGGTCGCATCTGTGAATGTCACATCCGCATTCGAATCCTGTTCTTGCCCTTGTTTAGTTCCCATTTCCACATCTTGCACTTGTTTCTTTCCTTGATCAACATCCTGCATTTCCTTTCCTTGTCCTTGCTCTTGTTCTTGCTCTTGTGCTCCTTTTGAGTTACCTAATTGAGCACCAGCGTCCTCGTCCCTCTGTTCCTTCTGTTCCTTCTCAAACTCCTTGACCACTTGTTTCACCTGACCCTCATCATTCTCTTGCACCACCTTGTTCTCCTCTGGAATCTTTTCATTGTTTAGTGGGATCTCTTGTGTCTGAGTCTCTTTTTGACTCTCTCTCACTGCTTTTGTCTTGTCACTCTTCTCTTTAGCTGCCTTCTGTTGTTCGTCTTCAGACTTTATGGCATCGTCTGGAAGCTTTCCAGGATTGTCTTCAAATGCTGGTTGCTCTTCAGACTCCGGTTTTGTCGGTTCGGGTTCATCGTTAACGTTTGAAGAGGTGGAGAGATCACTCCTCTCTGTCTCTGAAACGACCGTTCGAGTGGAGGGTCGTGAGATCTGTGGTGGAATAACGGAGTTGGAAGAAAGCATCCACACACCGATGACACATAGTGCCACAAAGACGACCATTGTAATGGTCGACGCGTACGACGTCGAAGCGCCGCGTTTGTTTCCACGTCCTTTCCCAAACGCCATCTTTCTTGTCTTGTTTTGTGATGTGGTTGGGAAGATGTAGAAAATGGGAAGAAAGAAACAAAAATGAAGGAGTGAAATGGGAGTTGAAGGAAGTAAAAATAGAAGAAAAAAGAAGAGAAAAGAGAGGTTGTGAAGAGACAAGACTGGTTCAAAGATCCAATAGAGACGGACATGGTACTTTCAATTTCCTGTCTCTAAATTTAGTTTATGGTCTTTCTTTGTGTCTCATATTTTGTTTGTCCAAGAAAGAAAAAAAACCATGTAATGCAATGCAATGCTAAGCAACTAGTAACACTAGTGTGAGGAGGATATTTTATACGTGATGAGAGTGTTTTTTTTTTTTTTTTTTGGCAAAATGGATTCTAAATTTAGTCTAAGGATTTTTAATTTGTGTGATGATTTCACCTTAAGAAGTATATGAATTCATGGATAAGAAAATGTTTTTTGGTTTACTAATGTTTATCATCTTCATCTTTTTACAGAAAACAATATGTTGTGTTTTAACATATACATACTGTTAGTGTAATAGTGTGCCGTGTGCATTAGTGTTGTGGACCTTGCAGGTTCGTAATATTGTACGCTTGCTTCGGCTTCAGTCCCCCGTAAAACGCATAATTCAAATGTCAATTTGTCCTTTACACATGTCTTCTGTTTATCGTCCACTATATCCAGTTGTCTCACTTTTGTCGTGCTAAATTGAGAATGTGTATGTTTCTGATTATTGTCATCAATGCACCAAAAGGCATCCAAATTTTAACTCTTTGGATTAATAAATTTCGGGCTACGGTAAATTTTAGGCTTCGGATTTTTGCCAGCTATTATCTCTTTTGGCTTTCTGGCCAAAATAATATATATCCGAATAACTTTACTTATAAGAAAACATTATATACTTGTGGTTCTATTAAAAACAAAAATATGTTGGATAAGAGAAGGTGGAATACGGCAGAGAGTAAAAGTCGGAAATGAGTCGGGCGATTTGACCGCAGCACTATTTGAATGGACTAAAACTATCGACTATATAATGTTGTCACGCAATCAGAGTCTTATAAGGGATTTAAAATGATCAACTCCACAAAACTATACTACTTCCCACATAACAGTATCGAATTGTATTTTGTTATTGCCAGTTTAAAAGGCATTTATCATAGTTATGATCCAAACACTCTCCAACTTAAACAAATTAAGTCAAGAAAGAGCTAAGGTGAGGTTTCAAATCTTGTCTCTTCGCTTTTCCATATGTTTCTTTTCTTGATATCTTGTAGTACATATTATATAGTTCAAGAAAGCTAAATTAAGATTACTGTGAAATTGGATCGGTCAAAAACTACATAAAATAAAACGAAGAAAGAGGTTTATTTGCGTTTCAAATGAGCAAAAACCGTATTGATTGATGAAAAAGAGGAGACGAGGAGAGTAACTATGTTCTGTAATAAAGCCTAAAACAAAAAAAAAAAATGTTTCTGTAGCCAAACATATTTCAGCTGGAATTGATGACACTGCATTCCAAATTCTGCATTTTTTTCTAAGATTTTTTTTTTGCATTTCCTATTCTTGTTATCTTCTACTTCAACATACATCATGAGAATCTGCAAAACCTCTCTCTTTCTCTCTCTATATATATAGTAGTATCTAGATATATGCGAATGACATCGTGTGTAGAAGCGTAAACATACATACATGCAATATACATATATTTATATGCACGTAACGTTACATGCCTATGAGCGTATGAACATTAAAAATACGTAAATAGTCCTTATGCTCATTATTTTTTCGTTGGCCTTGAATTAACTATAAAGCGGAAATAATACATTTCTTCTTTTTAACTTACTGTTTTGACATTTTCACATGGATTATACTCTCACAAAATAGGTCAACTCTTCACTTCATATGAAATTCAGTTTTATTAATTTTAATTAGAAACTAAGAGATATTTTCTTAAGAAAAATAAACAAAAATTACAGAAAATGATTAAACTACAAGTACTAGCATAAAATTACTTGCATGTACTTACTTAAAAGACTACTAGTGGTATTTTTTCCAAAGTCATTAAATGTGAAAGAATAAAAAACCTAATTGTATAACAAAGTTAATACTGTATTTTGGTATTCACAGTACTAATGGAGGGCATGGTGAATTGATTGGGTTTAACGTACACTGTAAAACGCACCTCATGTCACATCTATACATGTCGCTCTTCCAACATATTTATATACACATTTACTCATCTTTTCTGATTCTATCACATGTCAATTATGGTATATATGTATATCAGTTATATAGTAACAAACAACTTAATAATACAAACTGAAAATTATTAAATGCATGGTATGGGCAGACCATATAGTCGCCACTCGCCAATCGCCATAACTGAAACCATAGTTGGGGGTACTTTTTTGTTTTTATGTTAAAATGGTTAGAAAAATTAAATTGTATTTATTTATTATGTAGCACATGTAACGGATTTTTCTATTGGCCACAAGAAGAAAAAAGGTGATATAAGTATGAGAAACATTATCCCCGGATTCTAAGGTTACGTGTTACACAAACAAGAAACAGACACATTTGATGTAACAAAGATTCAGACAAAATGAGCTATATTGTGCTCCTAACATTTAAATAATACAAAACACTATCCTCACAAAATCATTATAATAAGAAGTTGGTATTATTATTTGAATTGAATTTTCATTTAAAACCCTAAAATTGCAACAACCTTGAGTGTCCAGAGGTAAGATAAACAGATCCACTTTCCTCCTAAATTTCCCCCTCTTCTCCAACTTAATGTAATATGATCCAACAATAGATGGCTTGAAAACCCTAATTCTATTCTAAGAATCCAAAAGAGTTATGTTGCTTCAGCATGATCTTGGGTTGGGAAAGAATTGTGTACCGGCCATGAAAGTGTTGATTGGAGTTGGATAGAGAGCGGCTGGATCAATGTAAGCCGTGGCAGCGGCTGAGGAGCTGCCAATACCACCGGCGTTTGGAGTGGAGGAAGAGGCGGTTGCCACCGTGACAGAGCCAGCTGTTATGAGATTCATCTGCTGAGCACCACCGGAGGAGCTCTCACCGGCAGCGATAACGTTATAGCCGCCGCCGCTATTTCCAGGACCGTGGTCGTAAAGAATGCCTTTGAAGATGTGACCACCGATGCTTACGGCTGTTTGGTAAGCAAACTCTTCTTCTCCATCTTCCACTGAGCTCACTCGCACACATCTAAACACTGCCGACGAACTTACCTCCGCCGGAAAACTCCCAACCTCTAAACCTAGATTAAAAAAAAAAAGACAAAGTAACAATTACTAATAGACAAACGCATGATTGACTATACATACAGAATAAAACATCACTATTTTTTTTTTTCTCCAAAATTCAGGTTTTTGTTTTTTGGTTTTATCGAAAATTCAGGTTACGGAAGAATGAGCAGAGAACTAGAGAAAGAACACAGATTTCAAGAGCGATAAGAACAGCTTGTTCCTGTCAATCTACTAGTCAGTGTTTACTCCAAAACAGTACTTTCATATATCAAAATCAAATCACGAATATTTAAATAAAAATAAACATTTTTCAGAAAATTGATCAACAAAATAGGGTTTTCATTTGCTGTTAAAGGCTGATCCTAATCGTTACTTCAAATTATATAAAAAAATACTGCTTGCATTTCATTATTTTACGATCTTAACTTATACTGTATCAAAAAAAGACATAGAAATATTTCTCATTACATCGATATAATATATATACCTGAAGCGTTGTGACTAGGTATGCGAGTGCAGACAAGAGACGTCGAAGTTGCGGGCAAATTCTCCCGTTGGCGTTTCGGTACACCACTCTCACCGCGTGCCAGCTGCGTCGGAGGGTGAACCGTGGCTAGCTGCTGTTGTCTCTCACGGCGTTTTGCGGCAGGAACCCACGTGCTTCTCACGTGAGTAGGACACTCGAAGCCTCGGCTCTTGCAGCAAGTACGACACCTCGTGTGAGCGCAATCTTTCTTCGCCTGATTCCCACAGTCTTGACAGCTCGCACCGTTTCCTCCTCCGCTGCCTCCACCTTCACTCCGCATCATCATCATTGCTGCGGCTCTTCCGGCGCCGGCGTTTGAGGTTTCGCCGGAGATATCGAATTGGCTATGGCTGCTTGGTCCGACACCTAAGCCCGCCGCGGAGGAGTAGAGATCCAACCTTTGCTGATGTTGTTGATGCTGAAACATGATTTCTTGCTGATTGTGGTTTTGCCATAGCTCAAGTGTACCTAAAGCAGCGTTTGAGGATGAAGGAGCGTTTGCGTTCGCGTTAGGGTTTCTGTACCAGAGCCAAGCCTCTGATGCAGGCGGAGGAGGAGTTCTGTTGGTTCGATGCTCGTCTTGGTTGTTTCCTCCGCCTCCGCCTCCTCCTCCGCCGTCTAGCGAGAAAAACCCCGCCATTCACCGGCACCACCACCACAACCACCCATACCACCACTCTCCAACAGCTTTTTCAGAAAAAGATGAGATAAATCCAAGATCAAGAAAGATGCTATTCTTTACTTTCTCGCGCTAGATCTTTGAGACTATTGTGAGACTATTGGGGGAGGAGGATTTCTAGGGTTTAGGTTGAATTCATTCTCTCTGGGTTTGTAGTGTATTGAAGTTGAGTAGCTTTTGAGGGTCTGATAAAGGCAAAGCTCGTTTGTCGGTACGAGAGAGAGAGTATTTAAGAAACACACAGAGAGAAAGAGGAAGAAGAAGAAGAGAGATCAGAGAGGTTTAATCGCCTTTTCTCGCGCTCTGCAACGCCGCCATAACCTTAATAATCACTCTTTCTCTCTCTCTCCCTTCTGCTCCTCTAATTTAATTCTCTGTCTCCTCCTCACTCTCATCTCTTCTTTCTTTGTTTGTTTCTTTTGTTTTTCCAGATTTTGCAAAAGATCTTTTTCTTTCTCTTTTTTTTTTTTTTTTTTTGTTTTCGAAGAACAAATTTACACCACTTCTCTCTACCAAATGAACATCTCTCATCGTTGATATTTTCATTGTACAATCGGACGGTAACTATCCTGCCACGTTTGTACAAATGGAATTATCCCTATTTGTCCTTTCTTCCGGGAAACCCGCTGCTTATTTCTCCTTTTCTCTTACATTTTGCAATTTTTATATGACATTTTTATAGAATGTAAAAAAAAACTAAAATAATCCTTAAAAGGAGTAGATATTTCATATTACTAATACTAAATTAACTACGCAATTTTTGATTGTCCTAAGATAGTTCTATATTTTGGGACCTAGACATCCTAATCGTGATCTAAAAACTGACGACAAAACCTTGTCAAAACTCCAATGTACAGGTCTATTAATTTCTTTTTGTTTTTTTTGTTTGGTAGTTGTGAGATTAATTGTATCAAATGCTCCAAATATATTTTGTGGACGAGATAGAGCATATACTACTAACGAAGATGTTAACAAAGAAAAGACGTTAAATCAAGTTTTTAAAATCCTTATCAAATAGATAAGCATGAGGACTATTACTCACAATTTATTTAAAAATTTAAGGATTGCCAATTATCAGCATTGATTGTCATTAGTTCATTACTATAATGTTCTGATTATCCATAAGCCCATAATCTTTTTAAAATATCAATTGCACCTGTGGATTAAATTTAGTGTCTAAAGTTTGTAGCTGGAAAGCAGATGCTTTTGTCCATGTTTCCGAGAGTACGAAATTACTATGATATACGCACATTTGTGTATTATACTTCCTCCGTTTTTTTAAGATGAATTTTCTAGAGTTTTCACACATATTAAGAAAAAGTTGATTTTCAATCATTAGTGTATAGATTTTGGCAATAAAACAACTTTCTATAAATTTAGACCAATAAAAATCTAATAAATCTAATTATTGTTTCTTGAGAACCGAAAAAGTAATTCAAAAAGCTAAAAAATTTATCTTTGAGAAACAACAAAAAATGTCTAGAAAATTCAAAACGGATGAAATATTTGTTAATAATATTTTGCATATATGAATAACAAAATGCACGTAAACACACCCTCTCTTGTAGAGACAAAAGTACGATTCTATTGAGGTGCCCTATGTTCTGCATTATCTTTGTATAAATATTAATGCTTATACAATTATATACAGACAAACACACACCTCTATGCCCGTGCCGTGAGCATCATGGATCCTAATTAATTAATCATTATAATTATCATTTGTATCTTCTTGAATTGCCTGAGAATAACGGTAAATCAAAATCTAGAGAAGTACATGCGTGTCATGTAAAAATAAAGAGTAATTACTCAAAAAGAAAAATTAAAGATGGGGACATTTAAAGGATTTGCCAAAAGAATGGAGAGAGTTGACTAATGGAGAGGGGGTTAATTTAGACATTTCAAAAATATTAGATTCAAAAATGGGAATAATGAATAATTTGAGACAGGCTAAAAGCACCACCTCGCCGCCCTACGCTTCCGTACGACTTCTTGATTTACTGTATTACCGATTCCATTAGTTTTCCTCAATAATTTAAGCTAATAATCGATCGATGTATTAATTGGTTTACAACCTTAAGTGAGTTGATTTTTTTAATCTATAGTTGACAAAGAAAAGAAGGAATAAGAAATTGTAGTAAAAAAGATTAGTAGTAAAGGAGACCAATTAAATCAAGGGGGGCTGTGATTGATACATTACAATCGAGTCAATGACCTTTTATCTCTCGTAGTCTACCTCTTCTTTCATTTGCTACATACCAAATCCATTAATGTCAAACAATTTATACATCATTTCAAAATAATAGTTTCAGGCAGAACCAACACGTAAAATAACTAACAACAGTTAAAATTGTAGACGAGATAGATACTGACTACTGAGAAGTCTGCATAATGTTGAGTAGATTTGGACTATGACAAAACTTAGGATTTAGGAATTAGGATGTTATCAGAACAGCAGAGAAAATCATACTAAAACATTCATGCGTGTGTCATTATGCCTAACAAAAAAGTATGCATGACAACATTGCACGTATGTATATTTTTGACATACGTGTATAAGTAAATAGTGTGTCGTATAAATTGTATAATAGAAAGTAAAATACTGAGATGCATAAGGAGAAGCGATGTAAGACTTTCGTGGCCTCTGTACACGCGTTTTCAGTTCAACCACTTTCTTTTTTTCATTGTTCTCCATAATATTCTCTTTTTATTTCTCTCTAATTCGTTCATTTTATTATTATACTGTAGCTTTTTTCTTATCTTTGGTATAAGCATTTATATATATAACCAAATTGCTTGTCACTCATTTCTCCAGGCCCTTTCTCTCAATTAATACTCCAAATTCCAACAAACAAGTTTTTGCTTTCCTCATACTGTATAAATTCAAAATGCATGCATGTAGCTTTAAGTTTTAAAAATTTATGTTGATTATTTTGTACGTATCTAAATAATTATTTAAAATTGTTTATATTACGGAGCAGATGGAGTTTAATTCTACAATAACTCAAAGCAGGTTTTTGAATAAGTAATAAAAATTGAGAATATAAATGATACTCCTTCCGTTTCAAATTAGTTGTCGTTTTAGCAAAATGTATTTGCAAATATTTGGATGTATCTGCAATGCAAAATATGTCCAGATACGTCCAAATATTTACAGATACATTTTGCCAAAACGACAACTAATTTGAAACTAATTTGAAACGGAGGGAATAGGTATTTCTTTTGAATAAGAGGAGGGTGGGAATCAGAGTTGACGTGGAGGAGAAAAGGAGAGGGAGTGAATGATAAGAAGAGTGAGTCCCCAAAAAAAGGTTAGAAACCGCAGAGTCTTGTCTCTTCTCGAGCCCTGTGTTTTGTAACTTGTCTGCCTCTTTTCTTGTTATTTTTTCTTTTAAATTCCTACGTAATACTCACATAGCTAGATATACATATACGTGTAAATACATACTCCATACGGTAATACGATGGGATTTCTATGACGTATATAAACCATCAAATAGACTCAAACCATAATTGACCATATGCTTCTATTCGCGACTCGCGAGAGTTAATTAATTGTAAGGTTTTCGTGAATCTGTGAGGAATATGAAAAAAGAAGAAGTAAAGAAGTAACTTTCAAATAATTATCGATTGTGAATTTGTGACCAAAATACTAACCTATTTGTATGAATGTTTTACTTAAAGTATAAAGTGGCATACATTCACTTTCGTAGATAATAATGTATAATATTACTATATCATTATTATTTGGGGTTTTTAGCCAACTATTATTTGGGTTTTCTGTGAAGCATTTATTTAAGTGTAGAGAGAGATTTTGGAGTATAGTGTTTGGTGGCTTCTCATCACTGCTACTTAACAGATCTTTCTTACAGAGACAGGGAGAGAACAGTGTTTCTACAATGAGCCATGCTTTCACTGTCAAATCATTTATTGCTCCCTCATATCCATTTTTCTATTCCTCTTTAAAATTATTAAAATTTCATACATATTTTTGTAATTTTAGAAACGAAGAATAAGCAAAAGAAAAAAAAGGATTTGGTGGGTTACTTTTTTATATTTTGTTTCTAACGCAAATGCCAATTGCCAATATAAAAAAATGAGCTTTTAGTTTCTTACATTCTCTTTGGTGCAAGAGTAGTTATTGTTGAGAGAGAGAGGAGATGAAGAATGTAAAGTTACAAACTTGGTTTAGTTTCTGTTATGTTCTGTTTCACTGTCTTCTCTCTCTCTCTCTCTCGCTTTCCTTTCAATTCCATATCTAATCAGAAGCAGAAACTTCTTCACATGGATTGTGTTTCCATTTGGACCCCACTTGACTTTCACTTCGTATACTTACATACATTTCATATACGTGTATGTCAATGTATAAATACTGTATATTTTCTTCAATTACGAAATCAAAAAATATACAACCAATGGAATTCTTGTGGGTCCCCAAGGGATTGAAGTTATGGCGTCTTGCCATGTCATGCACATGCATACACGTATACACTCGTTATAAAACGTTGTGTCATCTGATTTTACGTTTCATTAGACTCAACGTAATTATCAACTTCTCTTTAACCAATAACAACTCATTAGCTTGTTATTGGTCTATGGTACATTGTGGATTTTTCAACTAGCATTCCTAGAAGTCTAGAACCAGTTAGCAGCTTCCATCAATAAAAGTCACCGAGAATTTGATCAGTGACACTGAAATATCTAACCAAGATTTAACTGAAATTTAAAACCATATATTACAAAAAAAATAACCGAGAAAATGATTTTAACCAAGATTTCGTGTAACGACAATTTTTTTGTTCGTTACCCTTGCGAAATGCTCGCAGCTTCAAATATAAATCGCGATTTTGATATACAGTATTGTGATTGGTAAAACATGCATAATCACAAAATATGACATTATGTGATTTGGCGGTTTATAATTCCTAGTCTCTATATATGATGATGTCTCAATCATATAT